TCTACCGCACTACTACGGGACGATGAAGCTTCACAAGGCCAAGGTGGACGTGCGGTACATCTCGGACTGCTCGAGCGACATCCCGCGCCCCGCAGCGCAGCTGCTGACGAAGGCCCTCGGCGCGCTCATGTGCCACGCCACCCTCGTGGAGGTCTGGAGCTCCATCTTCGACGGCGTCCCGGAGGACCTCTGCAGCAGCTTCGCGCCCTTCTTGGTGGACTCCAGCCGCGGCATGCGTGACATGGTGACCGCGTATCTACATGACAACCCACCACGCTCAGCGATACATGCTCAACAACCACCTCTGCTGCTGGGCGCCGACATCAAGCGGCTCTACACGCACATCCGGCACGAGACGAGCGCGGACCACGGGACCGGCCTCATCGCCTGCGTCATCGAACACATCGACGCTGTTTTTGCACTGCATCCAGGGCAACACCTCCTGATCGACTTGCAACCCGCGTTTGACGCGAGGGAGACGTGGTGGTGGGTGGCGCAGCTGCCGGACGCGGACGGCATGGTTGGGAAATGGGCACCGAGCATCGAGCAACTTCATGGTCTCGTGCACATCCTCGTCAAACGCGCCTACGTGGTGTTCGGGGGCGTCGTATATCACCAGACCTGCGGTGTGCCCATGGGGCTCTCGGCCTCCCCCACCTCGCGAACTGCTACATGTTCCGGCATGAGCTCGCGTTCCTCTGCCAGTTTCGCGACCGCTGGTTGAGCACTGGCGACGTCGCTTGGCTGAAGGTCTTGGGGTCTTTCCGTTATTCCAGGCGCTACATCGACGACAATTTCTCTCTCGCGAACGCACTGTACCGCTACTTCAACACCCACCCCCGCCCCCCCACCCCGCCCCCCGAAACCCCGTCGTCGATCGTAGATCTCATCTCTGGTATACATAACATGTACCCCCCCTGTCTTGAGGTCGAATTTGACGCCCCAGCGAACCCGCTCGACGGTGTCTCCTTCCTAGACCTCCGCGTGCGTCCGCATCCCGAATATCAGGGCTTCCTCCTGATCTCGCACTATGACAAACGCGGTCTGTTTCCTGAGAACATTCACCTCATACAGTACCCCCACGCTTCGTGTGCGCTGCTGCGACGACACCTTTACAACATCGTCCGCACCGAACACATCCGCGTGTCCAGCGAGGTGACTGACCGCGACAGCTACGTAGCCAAGATGTCGGCCATGATGCGCTACATGCGTACGCATCGAGGTTACTGCATGCGACAGGTCCTGGCGATCCACCGCGCCGCCTGCCGGACGCACCCGAGCCCGCATTTTGGCCCTGCCACGCCGGCGGGCCTGGCTGACCTCGTGCGTCGCCACGTGCAGTTTGCAGACCATACTGGCCAACCTGCTGACAGGGCGTGCCCGGCGCCCTGCAACTCGTCACCCTCATACATGATCCCGGCGCTGCGAAGCTGGCTCGGAACTATCCAGCCATGCCCGCACACATGACGCACTCTGTTACCCCCCGATGTTGACATGTTGGCCATGCGCGTATTCCGTGGCCGCTAGACCGAGGTATGATCCCTTTTCGCATGACAGGCCACGCGCGGGGGACGGCGATGACGAGGAGAGCTGAGTAGCCGTCGGCGCGTCGCCACACAACGCGGACAATGCCGCAGACTCGGTCACCGCTGTCACCCAGCCGGCTGCCGACACCCCCTGGTACAAGCAGCCTAGGACGTGGACCAGCACTTCGGCGCGTCGGCTGGCGGGCGTCGTCCAGTACTCGCGCGGCTCGCCGCGTTGTTGCTGACGACGCCCGCCACTCCCTCTAACTGATTGCAGGTCAGAGCCTTCCCTTGGCACATGATGGCACGCTCACATGGCATTTCGCGCGAGTACTCCTAGCACGCTGCCGCCTTGATCAGGACGATAGCACACCCGCATTTCGTTTCGTGCGCGGGTGGTCAATTACTACTCTGTGTGCGCCACGTGCCGCTCGCCCGCCGGCTGCAAGCGCCGTCGTCGCTCTGCCCTATTCGTTACACGCCGACAGGCCGCGCCGCGCCGGCCGGCAGTCACTCCGCCGCGGTCCGGCGCGCCGACGGCAGGTACCGGTGGTCCTTCGCCGCGTTCCTCTTCCTCTTCTTCTCCAGGAACTTGTCAATCTTGTTTTCCCCTTTCTTCTTCAACTCCTTGTACCTATCTAGCAGCTCCAGCTCCCGCTTCACCGACTTCTTCAAGTAGAACGGCCGCTTCCCGCCCGCGATCGCCGCCTTCTCCTTCGCCCGCGCCTCCCTCTCCACCCTCTCCGACCGCCGCCGCGCCGACTCCTTTGCGAGCTGCTGCTCGACGCGCGACAGCGCGCGCTGCAGCTCGGCCCGCTTCGCCGCGCTCTTCGCCCTCTTCGCCGCCGCCGCGAGCGCCGCGCGCTCCTCCGGGAGCCGCTCGTCGTACAAAAACTTATACCTCTTGGCAAAGGCTGCCTCGTTATACTCCCCCGCCATCGGGTCGAAGCGAGGGTCCCGGACCTCGCGCTTCGGAACCCCGACGTCCGCATCCGCCAGCACGTCGCGGAAACGGCTCACCGGCCGCGCGCTAGACACCTCCACGGGCCGGTTCTTGTTCGCGCGTTTCACGCGCTTTTTCGGCGGCGGTCTCTCCTCCGCGCCGCCGCCGCCCGCCCGCCCCTCCGCGCCGCCCCGCTTCCTGAGGCCCCGGGCGTCCCCGGGCAGCGCGTCGGCCGCGGCGGCGGCCGCACGGAGCCGCGAAGGGTGCATGTGCCCGCGCGTGCCGTCCGTGCCGTCTGCGCCCAGGTGCGCGCGCTCCTCGAGAGGGACGTCCGCGAGGCCGTCGCCTGGCTCCTCGTCGTCGCTGCGCAACCGCGCCGGGGCACGGAGGGGCTCGTAGTCCCGTTGGGATCAAACCAGCATCAATTGCAAATCTGTTGTATATATTTACTTAGAGTAGCGACGCGGCGCACCTGGACTCGAGGCCGGCCTCCCCTTCGTCCTCAGAGCTGCTCTCGCCGCTCTCGCTGTCGCGCTCAAGGCCCTGTCGCGCCTCGTCGTCGTCGCTGGAGCCGGCGCCTTCGTCGCTTTGCGTGGCGCGTGCACGAGCAGCGCCTCCGTGCCCCCGCTCGTCTCCCGCGTCGTCGTCCTCCGAATCGTACTCCGAGTCGCTGTCGGGATCGGACCCCATCCCCGCCGCCCACCTTCGCTTCAGCCTGCGCGGACGCGCGCCGCGTGCGCGGTGGAAAGGACGTGAGAGAGCAGCTGCAGCGCCGGCAGGCCTTGCGCAGTGCGTGGGCTTTCTCCGTGCCCGCAAGCGCCTGGGAAAACTAGCTCTGGATCTGTTCACGGCGTGGAGCCCATGAATGTGCCGCCGTGTTCCCGAGCGAAGCCAGGGGAAGCACGGAGACACACTGAAAGGGAATCAGAGACTTCCGAGCGCACTCAGCGAGAGGTCTGCGCACCGCTCATCCATTCCGTCATCCTCCCGTTCCTCCTCCGCGGTCCCTCGCTTCCTCGCCATGTCAGACCGTCATACCCCTACCCGAGCAAGCGTGGCGACAGCACCCCCTTCTCCAGAACCGCACTTGCGCCCGCGCGCGTGAAACTAGACCTCTTCCGCGCGCGTCTGTGGACAGACACTGCCATGGCCGTGGCGGCCGAGGGCCAACTAGGCCGGCGCACGCCACCCCGCGCGGACAATTGCCCCTGACCGAGGCGGACAGACCTCAGGTCGGCCGCGCGCCCCGCAGGACACCATACATCGCCCCTCGGCGCTCCCCGCGGCAGAAACCGCTCTCGTCCTCCCCGTTTCTCGCCGCATCGACACCGACAGCATCGGAACCGGGCACGCAGCGGACATGCAGTCGTTGTCGGCCTCCCTGGCGCCCGCGCGCGTGTGCGCGGGCTCGAACGCGAGGCTCGCGTCCAGGTAGGACCACGTCGCCAGCCCCACCAAACCGCCGTTCGGCCCGCGCGGCCGTGGCCCCCCGACGCCGCTGCCCGCGATCCCCGGCCGAGCGCTCCTGGGCCTTGCTTCTCCTTCCTGCCCGACCCTGCGCTCCTGACGCACCCGCGGCCCAGCATTCCGCCGCTTTCGGAGCCCCATAATTCCCCTCTCCAATGCGATGGCGCGCGCTCGCGACGATCGTCGACGCACGGCACGCAACGACGCTGTTTGGGACCTTGGCCGTGCTAGAGAGGCACGCGACGCGCCCCGCGGCGGTTTCAGCGCCATCGCTGCCCCCCAGAGCCATCTTCCCTTCACTCTCGCCTACCGTGTGGGCCTCTGGGTCCTTCTCACTCCCCCCCCGGGTGGAACACCTGTGCTGGTGCAGGTCGCGGGCCCAGACTGTGGTGGTGCGGGCGGAGGGCCAGGTGCGGCTTCCTGCGGGCGTCTCGGAGCCCAAGAAGCAGCCGAACCTCACGAACCCCAAGTTCGGCTTCGTCTACAACGCGGAGCGGGTACGCCCCGCCCACACGGCCCCCACCTCCCCTCCGCCCACTGCACCCAGCCCGCTTGCGTCCCGAACCACAGACGCAACGTCAGCCGCGCCGCCGCCCTCACAACCCTCGCGTGACACCATCGCGACGCTCAACGGCCTCCAGCGACCCGCGCGCGTCACACAACGCGCCCCCCCTCCCTGCGCACACCCGCCCCCCTCGCGGCGCGCCCGCGGCGCCCCCGACCGACCACGACCGCGCGCGCCGCCCCTGGACCCGCAGCTCAACAGCCGCGCCGCGATGATCGGTTTCTTCGCGCTGCTCCTCTTGGAAGGTGTGGCCAACAAGGGCATCCTGGAGATGATGGGCGTCGTGGTCGGCAAGGGCGTTGAGACCACCCTGTAAAGCACCGCAGTTCCCGCTAGCCGGCGTCCCGGGCGGCGCCACGGCCCTGCCGGGCGCCTGCCCTCGCTGTTGCGTCGTTTGTTGCTGTGGGCGCGCAGCCACTCGCTCACACTAATTGCAGGTCAGAGCCTCCTTGGCACTGACGACATGCTGACACGGCATTTCGCGCGAGTGTTCCTAGCGCGTCGCCGCCTTGATCGGGACGATAGCACGCCCGCATTTCGTGTCTTGGGCGGGTGGTCAATCACTTTCGTTGGTGCAATCGCCGCGGCCGCGGCTCAGCCCGGGATGGAATCGGACGGATCACATGCTGCGTGCTTACTTGACTGCTCGTACGGTCCAGCGATCTCCTTCGCGCCGCGCCACTACCTCGACTACGTGCCCTGCGTTGAAGCGCGCCCTGATGTCTGCCGCGAGGCCCGCCGGCATGTCCGCGTCGCCGACGTCCGCCGTGTCGCCTGTTTCGGGCTCCATCAGCGTCACCGTGCCCCCCTCCGCGACGTCGATGACCTGGAGCACCGTGTCGGTGCCGCCGGCGTTGTCGGCGTTGTCGTCTGCCGCCGCCTCGTCGCCGGTGAGCTTGGCGTGCAGCGCGAGCATCTTCTTCTTGTGCGCCGTGGTGAAGACCGTGAAGGGCATTTTCAGCGCGTCCTCTGCAGGGAACAGCGCAGAAACGCGGGGAGGGTGTTGAGAACCATTGACAGCTGCGCAAGCCATCAGGGCCGACGGACGAGCGCCGAAACCGGGCCGCTCGGTGGTGCTGAGCGTGGCTATTCGGCAGGGGGCGCCGGAAGCGGCGTCCCATTGGGGGCTAGGGCGCGGTTGCGAGAGGCAGCGCACCCAAGAGCTCCGACCCCCCCTCGGTCGGCGCCTCCTTAGCGTGCGCCATGACCGACTGAAACAGGTAGGTCTGCGACTTGTCGTCGAATCTGCGCACAGGAGATACGCGTGAGGTCGATCTTCGCGCGACATTTCGCGCGCAGCAGTCTCAGCTAGGAGTCAGGAGGGCGCTGGAGCCGAGCGAACGGCGCGATACTCCGCTCACCGATGGTTTTGGTTCTTATGCAAGAAGGTCCGCAGCTTCTTGATCTCAGCTGGCCGTTTTGCCGCCCGCTTTTCCGCCAACCCATCGCTCGCCCCGGTGCCGTCTCCAACTGCAGCCGCGTGGAACTTCGCGCAGCGCTCTTCTATAGACATGAACCCACCGATTCACTCTCTGTGTAGCGTCCTGGCGGCCCGGTATATCTTCACAACACGCCCCGCGTCTCCGCTGAGGACCTCAGAAGCACACTGCGCTTCTGTACGGCTCGCTTCGCCGAAACCGCCTTTGAGTTGCGTGCTGACGACGGGTGCAGTGACGCAGGGCTGTGCGCTGCAGCGTCCACCTCGCCGTGCCCTGCCGGGGTGTGCGAGGGTACTGCTGTCAGGTAGAAACAACACACCCCTCCTGACTCAGTGGCCCGGCAGCCCTGCGCGCTCCGAGTGCGCAGAGGACCGCGCGCGCCGGAGGCCCGCTGCCGCGCGTCTGCGTCGCCTCGCTGGATGCCTTGGCCGTCATTCAACACGTGCGATTCACCAACGAACCATGCGTCGCAACGCAGGCGCACTCTCCGCTCCTACCGGCGGCGCAGCGCGACGAGAGCCCCACAGTCCCACTACCCACTCTCGCGGAGCGGCGTAGTCCCGGCGCGGAATCCGCACATCCTGCGACGCCACTACCACTCGGCGATGTCGTGTCATCGTCATTGACTGTGCGCGCGAGAGGGATTCGCCTCACAACTTCGTTCCGTGCGGTTCCGCGCGCTAGTCCTGCGAGAACGGGTCGTCGTCCCTGGCCCCGAACGGGTCCTCCTCGCCGTGGCCCGACCCCGCGAGCTCCGTCGTCAGCATCGACGCCCCCGTCTTACTCGCCCCCCTCGACACCGCAACCTTCGCCGCGCCGTCCCCGTCGAACGGGTTCCCGCCCTTCGCGCCCCCGGACGTCCGCGCCGTCGGCAGCGACGACCCGCGCGACGACGCGTCGCCGTCCGCCACCGCCGTCCCGTTCCCCGACAGCGACGCCCCCCCCGGCTCCCCCTCGCCCAGCCGCGTCTCGTACTCCATCGCGTCCTCCGCCACGATCTTGATCTTGTCCAGCATGTACGTCATCCGCGTCTGCACCAGCTCCTCCACGAACTGCTGCAGCTTCGCCACGGACACGTTCTGCATGACGACGACGTGCGCAATGTCGCCCTCGCAGGCCAGCTGCCACTTCCTGATGAACGCCTCGGACTTCGGGCGCTCGAAGACGACCGTCGACGACATCTCGTTGAGCATCGCGCGGATGCCGACCTTCTCGAGCATCGTTTTGAGGACGTGCGCGTTACGCATGCAGCGCTCGACGTCCTTCCGGAACCCCTCGTAGCCCTTGCGCGCGAGGTTGTACCACATGTAGATCGCCGCGTGGCCGTTCCGCGAGCCCATGATCGTCGCGTCCCTGCGCGGAGGCGGCCCGGCGGCGGCGTGTGGGCAGGACGTGCGTGCGGGTCGCCCGGGCGTGCGAGAGCGCCTGTGAAAGCGCGAGAAGACGGCGTATTCGAGGCTCTGAGCGTCCGAACGGACGCACGCCAGGGTTGCTCGCGGACAGAAGAGGAGCGGTGGGGTACGTGCGTGTGTGCGTTGACGGCCCGTCGCCCGCGCGCAGGCAGACGCCCGCCGCGCGCGCTCACCTCGAGTTCAGGTACTCCACGTCGCTGCTGAGCTTCATCACGTACTTCAGCCGCGTCATCACCACCCCGCACGGCACCGGCGCGCCGACAAACTTGTGCCCGCTCACGCTCACGCTCCCGATCGGCTTCTTGAACGACACCGTCGCGGCGCGCCGCAGGAACGGCACCATCATCCCGAACAGCGCGCCGTCGCAGTGAATGAAAAACCGGTCCTCGCCGAATCCCGCAGCCTTCAGCGCCGCAATGCACTTATCCAAGTCGTCCACCGCGCCCTTGACCGTCGTGCCGATGTTCACGTTCAAAATCGCGGGGCGGTCGCTGTTGCGCCGCAGCTCCGCCTCCAGCGCCCCGTAGTCGATCTCGCCCGACTCGTTGCACCGCACCTCGACCAGGTCCATGCGGTACATGCGCGCGGCCTTCGGGACGGAGTAGTGCGTCTCCTTCGAGCAGTACAGGATGCCGTCCGGGAAGTTCTCGCGCCCCGTCAGGATCCCGTGCAGGTTGCCCTCGGTGCCGCAGTTGGTGATGTAGCCCCACATCTCCTCCGGCTCGATCTCCCAGAGCCGCGCGAACCAGTTCAGGACGCCGACCTGCGGCGGCGAGGGCTGGGCGCGCGGCCAGTGAGAGCGGGAGGTGGCGGGAGAGGGGTTGCGGTGGCAGTGGCGGGGGCGCTGGCTGCGTCAAGCGACGGCGCGGTGCCGCTGCGCGCAGCACAGCGGTCGCTCGCGGCGCGCGACGCGTGGCGTGCCGGTCGGGCCGGAGGCTGCGGGCAGTGGGGGGTGTTGGTGTTGGTTGGTGGCAGCACCTCGAACTCGCGGGAGTGGACGCCGTAGTTCGATTCGATGAAGGGATCGCCGAGGTTGTTGATCGAGAAGCGTTGCAGGCCCTGCGACGGCGAAGCGGAGCGCGGCGGCGGTCAGCACAGGGCCCTGGAGCAGACATACGAGCGAAACGCCGCTGTGCCGGCGTCAACACGCTCGTTTCGACCCCCACGCTGTAGCCAACATGCCGCATAGGCGCCATGTGAATGGCCGCGGCGGCGGGAGCCGCGAGCCGGCCAGAATCGCGCCTCGACGCCCCACGCAGGACCTCGAGGCGCGGTTCCGACGCCTGGGCGGCCCGGCCGGCCTGCGCACCTCAAGGGGCCCGAAGTCGAAGTCCAGGTTGTACGGATAGCCCAGGTGGTGCTGCGTGCGGTCCTCCAGGCGCTTCTTGTAGGCGTCCATGATGCGCTGCAATTCAGCGTCGACCTCGTCGTGCGTCATTCCGCCCGTGTCGAGCACCTCCAGCCCCGTCGCGATGTTCTCCTGGATCCTGCGGCCCGTGATCGGCAGCGCCTGGTACGGGTTGTTGCTGCGCTTGTCCGGACTCGTCCCCGCAACGTTCCCCAGCCCCAGAGGGTCGTCGCCGGGCGGCTCCACCGGCTCGCGGTTCCCGAGCTCGGGGCTCGAACCCATCGGAACGCCGCCCCGCTCGACCGGCAGGGGCAGCGGGAGCCGCCGGGCGATCGCCACAGGGCTGCACGCGCCCTGGTGGGCTGCGTGTGCCTCCTGAGACATGGTCTGCGCGCGGCCACGCCGAGTGCTCCAGCGGCGCGTAACTCGCGGTTCCCGGTAGAACAAGGGCCAGACGACAGCGAGACGCGGAGTCCAGGAACCGAGAGTGCCGCGCGACCGCGGAACCGCCACCACTCATGCCCGCCGGCGTGCGTCCGACACACAGGCTCAAAGTACCCCCCCCGAACGGCAGCGCGCGCGCGCACCCAGCCGCCGCACGCGCTGCCTCGCCCGTCGCAGCACGTCCACCGCAGCGGCACCGCGCAGCGTTCACATCGTCGCGAGCCGTGTTGCTTCACTGGCGAATGTTTGCATGACAACGTTCGTGCTGTAGCGTCACAAGCGCTTGGCGGCCTTCTTCTTCGCGTCGCGCTTCGCCCCCGCGTGCTTCTTGTGGGCCGGCGACGACGGCACGCTCCCGTCGCCCCCCGCAGCCGCCACCGCCAGCGTCGCAGTGCCCGTCCCCTCGCCGTTCGCGTCCCCCGCCGCAACGGTCTTCGGCTTCGCGTGGATCTGCGTCATCAGCTTCGCCCTGCACGCACGTCGCGGGCGCGCGTTCGGGCGTGTCGCCCGCGGGGCGGAGGGCGCGCGTTGTGCCAGCTACGACAACGCAGCTACGTGGCCGCGCCCTGAGACCGCGGCTGGGAATTTCGACCGACGGGCGCGCCGGACCTGCGGGAAAACTCCTCGAAGTCCTCCAGGAGCAGCTTTCCGGCCTCTTCGTTGAGCGCGGAGTCCGGGTTTGGTTCGATGAGCAGGCAGCGGATGACCAGCAGCACGTGTCGCACGCCGAGGTCCGGCTTCCAGTCCTTCTTCAGGACGTTCACGCAGATCTCCCCGGAGCTCGGCTGGACGTTCGGATGGAAGATGCGCGTCGTGAACCACCCCTGCGCAACCAACCGCGGCACACACCAAGGTCTTCTTATATGCTCCGGTTACGACGAGAACCCGCAACGACGTACCAATTCCTGACCAAAAAGCGATGTAGAGTCAATATCAAGCGTTCCAGCCCTAAAAATGTATCGCGCGAGGCCAGAGCGACACGCATTCGGGCGCAACAGCCGCAGCATGGCCCACGCAGGAATGCGGGCGCGGCAGCGCGGCCCGTCCGGCTGCTCCCGCTGGAACGGTCGCGCTGGAGCGTACCTTGGGTGCTGAGTCCGGATAGTCCGGTCCGATCGAGAGCCGCATCTTGAACAGGCCGCCCTCGTAGGGGGTACCCTGCGGCCCCTGAAGCTCCACTGATATGTCCGCGACGTTCTCCTCGTTCGGGAAGACCTTGATTCCCTCAATGGGCTTCTTGTCCAGCTCGGCGAGCTCCTTCAGGACCTTCTTGAGGCCCAGGCTCGTCAGCTGGCACATCGCTCCAGCTGCGCTGCACCCTCCCTGTGCTCCGCTGCCGCACCGACTCTGCGCGGCCACGCGCTGCCGCTGCGCCGCGACTCCGCCGAACGAGGCGTTTCGAGCACGCAGCAACACTAGGTATCAGGAAAGGCGCGGCGCGGACGGTGACGGCCCCGCCGCCGCGTCGTTCGCGGCGCTGCGAGGTGCTGTGTAACAACACCACCTAGCCCACGCGCGTGCACGTCTCCGATGCCCGATTCTGGCTGATTTGGAGCTGCAGGAGCGCACTGGTCGCGCGGAAATGCCAGCAAGCGTCGCGGCGCGCCCGCAGTGGCGCGATCCGCGTCGGAACGCGGCCCCGGGGGCGTCGACGCGACACTCCCCCCGCGTCACACCCCCGGGCCGCGCCGCACCGCGCCGCAGCCGCCGCGCTCCCGCGGCTCCGGATCTTCCGCGCGCGGGGCCTCGCCGCGGTTCGGCGAGTCAGAGTCGATACGTCGCCTGGATGTCGCGTCACACGTCGCGTCGCGTCACCACAGGACGCCGACGGGCTTCCCGCCGGCGCGGCAGGCCTCGACCGCGGCCGTGGCTTCGGCGAGGCACCGCGCGTGGACCTCCTCGGGCGTCCCCGCGGCGTCCACTACGCGCCACGTGGGTCCTTGCAGCGAATTGTACTGCTGTCTGACAGCTTGCTGAAACTCCTCCCTCTCGTACCTGCGGGCATGTGGGCCGCGGCGCAGGTCGGGTGGACTCAGCGGCGTGCGTGGGGGCGAGACGGCGGCTCTGGCGGCCGAGAATGATAGGAGGCGAGGAGGAGTGAGCAGAAGGGGATCGAAGACTGTCAAAGTGCGGGAAACGAGGTGTGTTCGCTGGCGGCGGGGCGCGCTCTCGACGTCGCGTCGACGCGCACCTCTCGCTGCCGTAGCCGCCGCGCGCGGCGGCGACGTCCGGGGCCACGTCAAGGTACAACACCACGTCAGGCGCAGGCAGGCCCGCGTCAGGCGCCTTGCACCATGCGGCGTCCATGTCCGCCCGCCCCTTCGCGGCGCTGAACGCCACGCCCGACACCGCGTACCGGTCGACCACCAGCGTCGTGCCCTGCGCCAGCAGCGCGCGCAGCTCCCTCGCTTTCTCCCACCTGCACAACATATGATATAAGATATAAGATCATATCAGATCAGATCCACACACATGAGATTTACCTCACTGGTCGCCGGACCGCGAACGAGCGTCCCGCGGCACAAGCCAAAGCCGCAAGCGATCAGCTGCGAGCCGGCCCTGGGCGCCGGTGTTTCCAGGCAAGGTGTGCGCGTGCTCGCGTGCCTGTTCGCGGAGAAGAGGAGGTGCACGACGTGGTCGTCGAGGTCCGTTTGGCTCGCGAGGTACGCGTTGATCATGCCCCCGATCGGCGTCGAGCGGTCCGGGAAGTTCCACAGCTCGCACGACACCCCCCGGGCCCTCAAGGCTTCTACCAGCTTCGCCGTCTGCGTCGTCTTCCCCGACCTGTCGCAGCCCTCGAAGAGAATGAACGCCCCGCGCGGGGCCGCGGCGTCTCCGCCGCCGGACATGCTCGTCGCCGCGCGCAGCGTGCTGCGGCGGGGTGTCAGGTGCGCTGCCGTCCGGGCGAGGCCGCGGAGGAGCGCGCACGGCATGCACTACGCAGGGGACGATGCGCCTCGCCGCACGCGTGCCAGCGGGGCCGCCTGGCGCCGGTGCGCGAGGCGGGAGCGTGCCGTTGTCCTGTCACTTCGACGCGCTAGCGCCGTCAGACGCCTGCGCTTCGCTCGCGGGGTCCTGCGGACACGTGCCACCGCTACGGTACGTCGGCGGCGCGGCGCGTCGCTGTGCTGGCCGCGGCAGGAAACGGCGTGTGAGCGTGTGCGCGGGCGACACGGTCCGTGCCTGGTACGCTTCGGAGAGGCGGAAACCGACGCGGCTTGCGACCGCGGACACAGAGTCCTTCGTGGACCGCGCCGTCGAGATGTTGTACGAGATCAGAAGGTCCTGCACGGGTCGCGAGAGAGGCCGAGACTGAGCCTGCGTAGCCTTAGACGGGTCGCAGCGCTTGCCAACCGCCCTCCCTGCGCCCTCGCGCATCCTGGCGGAATGCTCGACAGCTGATTGACCCAGAAACGCAAGGGTGCGCGCCGCACGGCGCCGCAGCCCGCACCTTGTGGCGGTGCACAGCGTGGAGGTATGCAGCGTAGGCTTTGGCCTCCGCTACGCGCGCCTCGAAAGACCCCCGAGGAGGATCCCGGAACCGCTGCCTCAGCAGGACACGGAAGTTATCGGACGCGCCGTCCGCGGGAAAATATCGCGCCACTGCGCGGAGCAAGCTGCGGTACACGGACCGGGCTTCTGCGGCGCTCATCTATGCGCCCCGCGCGCCCCCACTGCCTGCCGGCGCCCAAGCGTCTTCCTCAGCTGATGCACTGCGCGGTCCGGGCGCTTGCCTGCGGCGCCGCGGCCCGCGCGCCCTTGGAGGCGGCTCGGCGGGAGGTGTTTCAAGTCAGCCTGGGAGGCGCCCGGGCGGCCTGCGGAGGTCGTGCCCGGCGGTTGGTTGGGTGCGGTTGGCGCGGGGCGACGCACAAGTCCGTCTAGCATCCGCTTCCTAGTTGCAGCTTTGCGTCTGTGTCGAGTGCTGGCGCGAGTGGGGCAGCACCTGTAAGAGGCGCCGCTGTGCGCGGTTGCAGGGCACTTTCGCAGCGTCGCCGGTCCGCGGCTGTTCGGAGCGACTGTGAGGCACGCTGCGACGGCCGCGAAGCCAGTCGTTCGCGCTCGTGTAGGCAGGGGGCGCCGACCAAGGCGTTGAGGTTGCAGCGGCCGGGAGGGGCGCAGAGGGCAAGATGAGTCAGGTCACGGTCGAGCAGCGCAAGAAGCTGATCGGGGCACTCTCCCGGGAGGAGCTGGAAGGTGCGCGCGCCCCTGCGACCCCGCAACGCCCCACCAGACTGCCCGCACTGCTCTCGCGGTCGCAGCGCGCCCGCCCGCGGCCTGCGAAGCACCCCACAGCGTCACCACGCGCACACATCACGCAGCCACCTCCCCGTCCATCGCGGCGCCGCTGCCTGCGCGCCTGCGCGCCCTCAGGCCCGGCGCGGTCGGTGCAGGCACCAACCGGCGCCGCGCGCGCAGCGAGCCGCGCCGCGAGACCCCGCCTGGGGCTGCGCGGGTCGCTTGGAGGCTGTCCGACGCCGCTGTGCTCCGCGACGCCGTGATTCGCAGCGCTGAAGGACCTCAAGGAGTCGAACGCTTTGACCGAGGACGACCTGTTGGCGCACCCGGAGCGCATCCAGGAGCTCGCGATGTTCATGTTCAACTTCCCGAAGATCTACTGCATGCAGCTCTTCCCCTTCCTGCGCCACCTCCAGCTCATGCAGCAGGCACGCGCGCCCCCGCGCCCCCAACCCACTGCCTGCACGCCCCCGCCTCTCCCGCGGCGCACACGGCCGCCAACCCGCCGCGTCGCGCGCGATCGGCGAGGCCTATCTCATTCCATCCCCCGCGTCGCGCAAGACCGCTGTATCGACCCCGCAGCGGCCCGGTTGCGCTGCCTCCCACACCTGCGACGACGTTGTACACGCGCCCTGACGCTCGCGGCCCCGCCCGGCGCCCCGCGTGCAGGGTCTGAAGGTCATCGAGGGCCTCGAGAGCCTCAAGCAGCTCGAGGCGCTCTGGCTGAACGACAACTGCCTGGAGAAGATTGAGGGGCTGGAGCACTGCACCATGTTGCAGCGGCTGTATTTGTGGAACAACAAGATCCGCAGGATCCAGGGCCTGGCGCACCTCCACAAGCTCGAGGTCCTCTGGCTCGCCGGGAACGACATCCTCGTCGTCGAGGGCCTCGAGAACTGCACTGCGCTGCGGGAACTGCACCTGGCTGGCAACCCGATCGAACAGCTCGGGGGGAGTCTCCTGCACTGCACGAACATCGAGTCGCTCAATCTCGCGCGCACGCAGGTAACGATGCATGTTCGCAGCCGCGACGCGGGCCGGTTCGAGTGCTTCCTGTGTTGCAGGAAGCGACGCTCGCGCTCGCGCGTCGCTCGCGGCGCGGCGCGGGCGGCGCGCGTGCTGGCCGGCTTTGATTTTTCTCCGCGCGGCGTCCGTGCTCGCAGATCGGATCGTTCCGCGAGGTCGCGGGCCTCGCGCGGCTCCCGCACCTGCGGGACCTCTGCTTTTCCGACCCGCACTGGGGCGACTCGCCCGTGGCGCTGCTCTCGAACTACCAGACGTACTGCCTCTTTTGTCTCCCGTACGTCACCGCGCTCGACACGCAGGCCGTGTCCGAGCAGACCCGCCAGGTCGCCGAGGCCACCTTCCTCAAGAAGCGCATGTACTACAACATGCGCCTCAAGACGCTCCGGCGCAACCTCGGCCGCCTCATGGCCGCCGCCCGCGACGGCATCCTCTCCGCCACCTCCTCCGTCCGCAAGTCGATGAAGTCCATCGAGGAGGCAATCGCGGCCATCACGCGCGCGCACATAGAGCTGGAAGAGGGCGTCGGGGCCGCGGCGACGCCCGCGGCGGTCGCGAGCGGGCCGCCGCGGCCCACGGCCGGCGAGCTCGACGCCCGGCGGCGCGCGCTCGAGGCCGCCCTGGACGCCAAGCGCGCGCTGCTCGCGGGCGAGGAGGCACGCCTGGAGGCGGCGCAGGCGCAGGCGTGGGCGGTGCACACGGAGATGTCGCGGCGGATTCTGCTCGAGCTCGAGAGCGGCGGGAACGTGCGGCTCGAGGAGGGGCAGCCGAGCGACCTATGGCACACGTCGTGCGTGGATCTCGTGGCGTCGCGCTTCCACGCGGGCGCGTACGCGCCGCTGGCGCTCGGGATCGAGGGCGTGCGCGTGATGCGCGTCGTCCGCGTGCACAACCGCCACCTCCGCCACCGGTTCGACCGCCTCATGGAGCAGGCGGGCGCCGCGGCCGGCGCGGGTGGCGACGGCGGCGGCGCCGCGGCCGCGGGCCGCCAGGCCGTCGAGTACCTCTTCCTCGGGGAGGACCTGCACCTCCCCGGGGGGTCCCTGAGCCAGGTGGCGGAGGAGGGCCTCCCGCACCCGTCGGAGTGGGCGGCGCGGGGGATCGACCGCGAGCCGTCGTTCCGGCTCTCCAACTCCGTGGGGCTGTGCGACGGCCCGCGCGTGTCGATGGCGCGCAGCCGCGCGCAGAGCGACCCGCAGGCGGTCCTGCGCGGGCAGCTGCTCGTCGTCAAGGCGTGCGTTGGCCGCGCGACGCACGACGACGCGGAGCCGCTGGACGCGCTCTTCAGCAAGCGGCCGTCGGGGCGGTCGACGAAGCAGGCGTTCCCGGGGAGCGACAGCGTGTCGCGCGCGGTGGCGGGGGACCCGAAGCAGAAGTCGTGGTGGCTGTTCAACCACGCCGCACTCCTCCCCGAATATCTCGTGGACTTTGAGTATGTCTCGACGGCGCTGACGAGCCCGAGCGTGGCGCTGTCGGCGCAGGACAGGGAGTGCTTGGCGCGCCTCGGGCCGGACCTGGTCCCGATGGCGCACGTGATGCTCGACTTGCTGCCGACGGCGCTGTTGCCGCACCGCGCGGCGCGCAAGGTGCACGACCCTGACGCGGCGAACCCCGCGGTGGCGGTCGGGGCCGGGCCGGGCGTCGGGCCGTTCCCGGCGGTGATGCGCGTGACGGACGCGGCGCTGGAGAAGGCGCTGGACTGCCCGGAGCGGCGGCTGGCGACGCTGACGGCGCTGTCGCTGGCGGGGTCGCACGTGGCGCGCGTGGCGTCGCTGACGTGCTTCCGCGCGCTCAAGGTGCTGCGGCTGCCGTTCAACGGCCTCACGCGCATCGAGGGCCTCGAGAAGCTCGTCGAACTGCAAACCCTCGACTTGTGCCACAATAAGATTTCGAGAATTGAAGGCCTCAAGGTGCGGGCCGAGACCCCCGCCGCGGGGGGGCCCCGGACTCCGAATTCCGCTCGCTTTGCATGAGCGAGCGCCCGTGGAGCCGCGCCGCGGCGCCGACTGTTGGCCCGCTTATGCTTACGGGACTGCACGCTCCGCTGCGACGCGTGCCCGCTGTCTGACTGTTCTGCGTTGACTGCTGCTGTGCCCCGCCTCGGTCCGCGCCTCGGGCCGAAGCGCGCGCTCTCGCGCACACCGCCCCGCCGCGCGCGCAGCCGACCGCGAGCAACGCGCTTCATGTTGTCGCCGCGACGCTCCAGCCTCACTTCGTGCCGGCGCGCAGGGCCTCGAGAACCTGCGCGAGCTCCTCCTCGCGCACAACCAGATCACCGCCCTGGACGACCTCAACCTCCTCCGGAAATACACCCCCCGCCTGACCGTGCTCGACATGCGCGGCAACCCCATCTACGGCGCCAAGTCGTACGCCGCGCTCGTCCTGCGGCGCCTCCCGCTGCTCAAGACGCACGACGGGCACGCCGTCACGCGCGCCGCCGCGGACGCCGCGTCGGAGAAGCTCGTCAGCCTGACTCCGCAAATGATCAAGGCCAGCAGTTATACCTCGCGCCGGTCGGTCTGGGCCGCGGGGGCCGCGGGCGGGCCCGGGAGCGTGGCGGACCGCGAGGACGACGGGTGGTGGGAGGAGGTCGAGGAGATCGTCGTCGACGCTGCGCACGTGCGGCGTCTGCAGAACCTCGGGCGACTGAGCGGAGTGCTGCGCGCGAGCTTCCGCGACAACGAGGTACGCGGCCGCGGACCGACGGACGAGCGCGGTGCCGCCCTGCGCGAGGCGCCCCAGCCAGATAGGAGGGAGGAGCGAAAGCCAGTCGGTGTAGCGTGATTGACTGCGCGGAGTGTTGGCTGCGTTGCTTTGTTTGAGCGTGTCCCGCGCCCACGGTCGTTCCTGCGCGCAGATCGCCCGCATCGAGGGCCTCGAGGGCTGCACGAGCCTCCAGGAGCTGTCCCTCGAGGACAACTGCATCTCGGACGCGGCGGGCCTCGCGGGCCTGACTCAGCTGCGGAAGCTCGACCTTGGCCAGAACATGGTCGCGTCGCTCGCGGGGCTGACGACGCTCACGAACCTCACGCAGCTCAGCGTCGAGGAGAACCGCATCACGTCGCTCGCGGGCCTGTCCTCGCTCGTGTCGCTGATGGAGTTGTACGCGGCCAACAACCGCCTGGAACACCCCCGGGAGGCGTTGCACGCAAAGGACCTCCCGCACCTGATCATTCTGGACCTGGTCGGGAACCCGCTCACGCGCGCGCCGAGCTACCGGCACTACGTGATCTTCCAGGCGCGGCGGCTCAAGGTCCTGGACGGCGCGCCCGTGGAGGCCCAGGAGCAGGCGGCGGCCAAGTCGCGGTTCGCGGGGCGCCTGACGCGGGACTTCCTGCGCGAGCGGCTCGGGCACGGCCACTTCGACCGGATCCGCGAGCTGGACATCTCGGGGCTGAAGATCAGGGACACGGTGCGCACAAACCCTTGTTTTTACTGTTTGCTGCCTTGTTTGTTTGCTTGGTTCACTGAGTTGGATTGTGGATGCGTGGCTGCTTGGTTGCCGTTCGACGGTCCCTGGCTCCCTGGCTGCTTGCTCCGTGTCTATGCTGCGGAGCAAGCGGATCAGCGATCAATTGCCGCTGGGTAGCAGCCTTGACGCCGTGCGTCTGCTGCGACCGCAACGGCCCGTGCGCGGACGCGTGTGGCTGCGCCGCGCAGTGCGGCGCGCGCCACGGGCCGCTGACGCGCCTGGTCTTGTTCGTCGCGAGATTCGTTCATTGCTTGATGGATCGCGCTGAGATGCGGTTCGTTGCCGTCGGCGTTGCTGCGCAGGGCGCTGTGTTTCGGGGCGAGAGTTTTCAAGGACTCACGTCGCTGACCATGGCCGCCAACCTCCTCACGTCCGTCGCGCCCTTCAGCGGCCTGCGCGGCCTCCGGCACCTCCGCCTGCCTGACAACAGGCTCGCGGAGGCCTCCTTCTCAGAACCCCCCGCGCCGCTCGACCCCGAGCTCCCCGACGTGGACCCCGACGACATGCCCTCCAGCTTCACCGGTGCGCCCCCGCCCCGACCCCCCCCCCGCACAATACAATACAATACACCCCTCCCAAACTTCACACCCCCCCCGGCGCGTGCGTGCAGAGTCGGAGCGCATCATGTTTCCGTCGCTAGAGCTGCTCGATCTCGGCTCGAACAGCATCGCGGCGCTCCCGCCGCTCGACCTCGGCCAGCTGCGCACCCTGCGCGTGCTCCACCTCTCCAACAACGGCATTGCCAGAATCGAGGGCCTGACCACGCTCGTGCGCCTCGAGGAGCTCGTCCTGGACTACAACCGCATCAAGCAGATCGACCCGGGCGCGCTCAAGCTCCCGGCGCTGCGCGTGCTGTCCCTGGAGAGCAACATGATACGGTCGCTGCAGGCGGTGACCGACGCGCCGGCGCTGGTGGCGCTGAACCTCGGGCACAACCGCGTGCTCGAGGCCACGGAGCTCGATCACCTGTGCGGCTTCACGTCGCTCCTCGAGCTGAATCTGCTGTCCAATCCGGTGGCGCGGCGTCCGAGCCACCGCGTCACGCTGCTGATGATCGCGCCGGCGCTGCGGATCATCGACCGGCGGCAGGTCGACCCGGAGGAGAAGGAGGCCGCGGAGGCGATGCTCGTGCAGCAGGAGATGCAGCAGCAGCAGATGCTGGCGGCGCAGATGGCGGCAGCGGAGGCCGGGGCGACGGGGACGGGGTCCGGGCGCACGAGCGCGGCGCTGGGGGCCGGGAGCGGCGCGTCGCGCATTCAGCTGCGCGTGAACTCGCTCTCGCTGGACCCTGGCGGGCAGGGGGTGTATTTCCAGCCCACGGGGGAGGCGGCGGTGGCGGCGCTGGCGGCGGCGACCTCGAACCGCGGCGCGGGACAGGGGCTGTCGGTGATGGGCCTGGCCGCGGCGCCCCCGGCGGGGGACTCGGCGGGCCTGGGCGTGGACGGGCGGTCCTTCGGGATCGGTTTGGAGGGCATGCCAAAAGTGCGTAGCAACTCGGGGGCGGCGCTGGCGCGGGAGGGGTCGCGGGGCGGCCGGGCGCAGCGGTAGCGGGCCGGGGATCGGCGGGGTTGTTGGTGGGCGGACGGCGTGTGAGTTCTTCGTGCTGAGGCAAATGCAAGCGGGTGGTCAATTACTACTTTGGGTGGTCAATTACTACTTTGTGTGGTGTGGGGTGCGTCTGGCAGAGCACGTTGTCTACCCTGTCTGCTGTGTGAGTCTCGCCTGCCGTACCATTTCGGCCGCTCAAGCATCCTCGCGTTGAGGGTGCCTGAAGGTCAGCGAACTACAAAGAGAGGGTGTGCTGGGGTTGCGGGGAAGCGAGCGGTGGGATGCAGCGCCTCCCAGGGATGGCTCGGGTTCTCGTTCTCGGTCGCTCGGCAGCACACACACGACGGACGAGTACTCGCACGCCGCGGGCCCGTCACTGACCCAGGATCTCCTGAAGCTGTTTGTGCAGGTGTGTGTGTGTGCTGGACCATCGCCATCTGTCCCTGCATCGTCCCTCGCGCGTGCAGGTACTCCACCGCTGTCGGTCCTCACGGCCGCCCTATCTCGGTCATTTCCCCCGGGAGTCATGTCCTCTGGGAGCTCGTTTGCTTCGCCGAGTTATGATGACACCTCTCGGCCTTTTATTTCTCTTCTACCGCCCAATCGCACAAGGTCTTCACACACACTCCTGCTAGCGCGCCGCGTCCATCACGTCAGCCCCCTCATTCAGCCCCACGTCAGCAAGTTGGGTCCGTCAAGAGAAGAAGATGGTATTCCCAGTCTCTTTCACTCCCCGGACTTCCCCTGTCGCTCCTACACCGGCACGGCCCCGCCCGTCGCCGTCGTCGCGAGCCCCGCGCCCGCGGCCCCGACCGCCGCCGCCGGCGCGAGTGCCATCGACATGGACGCCAGCAGCGCTGGCAGCCGCGCCACCGTCGGCCCCCTCCGGAGCGCGTGCAGCAGCGACACGACCACCGTGAACAGCGCGAGCGCCGTGGCCTGGTGCGCGGACCCCAGCTCGACCGGCACGTGGTTCAGCAGCGTCGCAACCCCCAGACCGACCTGACAACAGGTCAGCGCGGCGAGGGCGTCGACGAGCACCGTGGCGCGGCGCGGAGCGCCCGCGGACGTGAGCTTGCGGCGGGAGTACGCCCAGAACGCGAGGACGGACGTCAGCGTCGTTCCGGCGAGAACGCGGTGGTTGAACTGCACCGCGGCGGTGGATTCAAAGAATGACCGCCACCGGGGCGCCTTCTTGAGGAAGTACTCCTCCGTGGGCACCCAGACGTCGCCCATCTTGGGGAACGTGTTGTACGCGCGTCCGGCGTCCATCCCGGCCACGAAGGCCCCTGAGACCGCAGTCACCGCGACGAGCCCCGCCAGCGGCAGCGCGCGGCCTCGGACCGCGTCCATCGCGCGGGCGACCGCCGGCGCCGCGTCGAGGCGCGGGGGCGTCGGGAGCGCGACGCCGAGCGTCGTCCACGCCAGCGCGGCGTAGATCGCGAATGCTGACGTCAGGTGCGCGGCGAGGCGGAACGGCGACACCCGGGGCACGTCCCAGTGCTCGGGCGGCTCCTCGAGGCCCGACTTGACCATCCACCACCCGATCAGGCCCTGCGCGCCCCCGGCGCCGAAAATCAGCAGCAGCCGCCGCGCCAGCGGCCACGTCATCTTGCGACTGCAGAAGACAGGGGGGGGGGTGTTGGGGGGTGTTGCATCCCGCGTCGCGACGCACGCGGCACTCGGCGAGACGAACGTCGGCGAATGAATGCAAGCGCTGTCGCAGCAGCGGCCCGCGCGTGGCGCGAAGGGCTGCGCGTGCGGCATGTGGTGGCGCGGCGCGACCGGGGCGGCGCGGCGCGTACGTGGCGCAGAAGTAGGCGAAGGGGACGGCGAAGGCGAATCCGAGGGCGCGCCCCCACATCCTATGGCCCCACTCCATCCAGTAAATGAATTTAAACTCCTCCAGAGACATCCCCAGGTTGACGCGCTTGAACTCGGGGGAGTCCTGGTACCGCGCGAACTCCTCCTGCGATCGCCCGCGGCGCGCGCGTCCCGTGAGCGCCGCCGTGGCGCAGGGGCGGGGTTGGCGGAGCAAGAGGAGGGGGGGGGAGTTACCAGCCACTCGGCCTCGGTGGAGGGTGGGCGCTCGCCGGTGAACTTCCAGTCGGTCATGGAGAGGCCGGAGCGCGTGAGGCGCGTGACGCCGCCGAGGACGACCATGGAGAACACCCACGCACTACAGCCGCCAATCCACCAGGCCAGCTGACGCCGCGCCGTGTCGGGCAGGCCTGCGAATGCCGCGAAAAAGCGCCGGGCGTCGAGAATGTGGCGGCGAGCGTCGGTGTGGGGCACTGTGCTGCGCTGGGGCGCGGGAGCGGCGCGCGTGGCGCGCTGGAAAGCTGGTGGCCTGCGCGGCCTAGACAGCTGAGAGGCCCGGGGGGGGTGTTGGAGCAGTCGTTCTCGCGGGTTACCACGTGGGCGGCTTGGTGGTGGACTGATGGTTGCGGCGAGCTAGGAGTTCGCGGTTCGGCGCGTCGTCATGCGCGGGTTTCGGCGCATCCCTGGTCGGCGCGCAACACGCGTGTTTCCGCGCGCCCGGGGCCTCACCGGCCGTGAGCCTGCACGCCCGCTTCTCCAGCATCTCTGCCGCGCCGGGGACCGCCGCACCGGCCCGCGGCGCCGCGCCCGTGGCCACAGCGCGGGCTGCCCTGCCTGGCACCGGCGTCCAGACACGCGCAGCGTTCCTGGCCCACGCAGCGCGGCTGTGCGAGGCCGGACCCCACGCGGCGGAGCCGCACATTCCTCGAGGCGCGCTGTGGCACACGCCGCGGGCGGCAGCGACCGCCACAGACCCGTGCGCAGCGCCATCCGGCCTCGCTGCTGCCCACACATCCCCTAGGCGGCCCTCCAGGGGCCGGAAAGCCTCCAAAGCCCGCCTCAGTCTACTCATTTCGACCCCGTCTGCGCGTCCGCAGCGCCACCCCGCGCAAAAGCAGCCGCAGCACGACTCCACGCATGACGTCATCACTTGTTTTCTTCCGAGCGTGCATTGGAACCCCCCCCGCTGGACGCCCGGCGGGCCAGGGGGCGCCGCTGCGGCCCCCGCGCACCATTCCACATCCCACAGGGCCCCCAGCTGCAGAAGACAGGCTCCGCGGCGCTGGTCAGCGATCGCCAACTGCTGCCCGGAACCAACTGCGCCCCTGCGCTGCGCAGCTGCGCGGATCGCGCCCGTTCCGGCGCACCCAGGAGCCACTGGACGCGTCCTGTAGCCTTCAGCGGCGTCGGCTCGAGCCGAGGGCGTCCGCGGCGGCTGCCCCGGCTGCCCGCGCAGGGGTGAGCGGTTGCGCGCAGGGGGCGGCGATGTCACGGGTGCCGCCTCCGGAGCCGGAGGACTCCTCGCTGAGCCTGAACCTCCCCGACGGCCTCGGGGATGCGGCGGCCGGCGTGTGCGTTTGCAGCGGGACGGTCTCTGGGCATATGGTCGCGTGCCGGCGCTGCTCCGAGTTCTACCACCCGAAGTGCATGGGCCTGAAGCACGTGCCAGATCCGTGGTACTGCCCGACCTGCGAGCGGGTCCGCGCGAGCGACCCCAGTCGCGAGGCGCGCGCGTCAGCAGTGCCGGCGCACTTTGGCGCGGGCGAGGCGGGGCTGGTGCGCGTCAGGGGCGGAGACGGCGCCGGCTTGCGGAGATTTCAGACCGATGTCGTCGAGCCCTTGGACAAGACCGGGCGGATTCGCCCCGAGGACGGCGCGGACGGGGCCGGGCGGAGCCTGAACAGCACTAATCGCTCTCAGGCGGCCGGCGCGGAGGGCGCCGGGCCCGAGGAGGTGTCGTCGCGGATCCAGCAGATCAGAAACAGAGCGCGCCTCGCCTCGGAGGCCGCGCAGACCGGCGCGAGCGACCACGCGGGCGGCGGGGAGCACCTCGCGGAGATGCCCGCGCCCGGGGCGGCCGAGGTGCGCACGCGCGTGCGCCTGCGCGTCGGCTGCGCAAACACGGCGGCTGTATCGCGCCGATCCCGCGGTCGCGCGCGCGGTATGACGCCCCGCTGCTGCGCAGCGCCCGGTGGTGTTGAGCTCTCGAACCATGCGCGCACACGCGCGCGCCGTGGCCGGTTTACCGTGATGCAGGCGCGCGAGGGCGAGGACGGGGCAGGGGCCATGGACGCGGAGAGCACCGCGCTCGAGTGGGCGAAGATTAAGGAAGCCTGGGGGTGCAGGTGAGGAGCACTCTTGGGCGCCCTGCACGCCGTCTCGACGCACCCTCGCCTCCGCGCATCCCGCCGAGACGAATGTCGTGTCGATCTACGTTCCGTTTACGGGGAGTCCGCCCGCGTCGGCCCTCCACGGCCCCGGCCGGGACGCTCTCCTTCTCTGTGCACTCGGGCCATTTCCGCCCCGCGACAGCCTCGCGGCGCCATCCCCTGTCCCGCACGCCCTTCCTCAGTTGGTCTTCTCTCCGTCCCGTCCGCGCAGGTCCCCGGAGGAGCTCATCGCGGCCGTGTCTGCGGCCAAGGCCAGATCCGCGGAGCTGGACCGCGCGATTGCGACCGCCAAGCGCCACTGGGAGCTCGAAGACCGCCGCGCCGCCATCGAGGCGCAGAAGCTCCAGGTCATGGAGGCGGCCGTGGCCGGCGCGGTGCCCCCGGGCGACGACACAGCCAGCAAGGAGCCTGCAAAAGTGCTCCAGCGTCTGCTCTCGCACCCCTCCGGGCCCCTCACCGCCTACATGGCCGCGCGGAGTGCGTCGCAGCGAGAGATCTCGGACCCGGGCAGCTCCGCGTCCGACAGAGACGACACGCGCCGCCGCGCGCTCGGCGGCCTCTCTTCAGTCATGTCCTTCAAAAGGGAACCGGAACCACCGAACCACGACTCGGAACCCGACGAAAACCAAGACCCCAGCCCACCCGCGGACTCCGACGCCCCCGACGCCGCCGCGCGCGCCCCGCCCGCGCGCGGCGCAGCCCTGCCGCTCGGCCGGCACGACACCGCGTCGCTCGGCGCGGTCGCCGGCGGCGACGTCGACGGCGTGGCCATTCTCGTCGCCACGCAGCGGCCGGCGTCGCCGTCGCTCGACACGCTCGCGGAGGGCGACGAGGAGGCCGAGGACGACGAGGAGGGCGACGAGGAGGTGGCTGCGGAGGAGGAGGAGGGCGGGGACGCGCTGGGCGACATGTGGGCGTCTACGGCACCCCCGAAGCCAAAGGTGAACCGGAGGGACACGTCGGCGGCGGGGGTGGTGGCGGGGACGGACGGGGAGGTGATGGACCATGTGCTGGCGCTGCGGGCCGCGGCGCCGGGGCTGGACTCGGTCGGCGAGGGTCCGGAGGAGGAGGGGGGGGAGTGGTCGGCGGAGCTGACGGAGGCGCAGGCGGCGGCGCGGGACCTCGCGCGGCCGGCGACGCCCGAGAAGCACGCAAACCGCCCGCGCGGAAGCGGCAGCCGCGCGTCGGAGCCCGGGAGCGAGGCCGCGCACCTCGCGCCGCCCGCTGCGCCGGACGATGACGAAGAGTCGCTCCCTCCGGCTTACTTCGTCGGGCGGGACGAGGCGGACCGCGCGCAGATGCTGCGGTCGCGGTCCTCGCGCCTCTCGAACGTCTCGCGGCGCCAGCTGGACCCGCACGACGGCGCCGCGCACAGCATGTCTGGGTCGCTGCGCGACGCCATGTCGCCGCGTGCGGACGGCGGCGAGGTGCCCGCGTACTTCCTGGACCGCAGGGACGTCGTGCCGGCGCCCGTGAAGGCTGCGTCGCGGCTGGGGGGGTCGTCGCGGAAGTCGATCGAGCTCCCCCGGGGGAGTGTCGACGGCGGCGCGCGGGCGCGGACGAGCGCGCCGGGGTCCGCGGCCGCGCCGCTGTCGCCCGACGGCGGCATCGGCAGCGTCCTGGGCGAGGTCCGGCCCTCGAAGAACTCCTCGGGGGGGAGTCTCCCCGGGGCGGTGGCGGCGCCGGACACCGACGCCACCACCCTGCCGCCCGCTTACTTCGTGCCAAAAGAGGACCTGTCCGGCGCGAACCTGCTCGCGCGCCGCACGTCCTCGCGCCTCATCAGCGTGTCGACCCGCCACGACGACGCCGCGTCGCCGCAGCACCGGTCGTCCACTGGCGCCGCGCCGCACCACGCCGGCGTCGGCCGCAGCCTCTCGGTGCGCGGCGGCGAGTCGCTCAACTCGAGCCTGCGGTCGCTGAAGGCCACTGCGAGCGCGCGCATGTCCTCGGGCGCCGCGATGTCGCCGCGGGAGCACGCTGCGCCGCTGCTAGCGCCCAGTGCGACGGAGAGGGCGCAGGGGCTGGACCAGGCGCCGCTGGTCGTTCCGGGCGAGGTGAGCGAGGAGGCGCTGCCGCCGGCGTACTTCGGCGTCCGGCGCAGCAAGGAGGGCGCGAGCGGCAGCGACAGTGCCGCGTCTGAGACTGCCCGGGGTCCTGTTCCGGGGGTGTTGAAGCAAAAGACCCCCCCGCTGAAGACGCGGTCGGCGTCGCGGCTCGGCAGCGGGCGGCTGATGGGCGACGCGCACGCCGACGCGCAGCGCGAGCATTCGCAGGGCGCCAGGCACTCGGCGGACCTGCTGCCGCACGCACACACCCACCCGCACGCGCGCGCGAGCAGCGAGCACGGCCCGCAGGAGCCCGCGCTCGTCGCGCGGGGCGACGTCGACGAGGAGACGCTGCCGCCGGCGTACTTCGGGCGCGTCAGCCAGCACAGCGGGCGTCCCTCCTCGCACGGCAGCGGCCTGCACGTGGTGACGCAGGGCGCGGCGGGGATCGCTGCGCAGTACGCCGAGATCCGCAAGACGCTCGAGGACGCGCAGCCCGAGCGGTCGGAGACCGACCGGGACGCCAGCAGCCTCCAGCCGGCGTACTTTGTGCGTGCGCGCCGCGCGTCGGGATCGAGCCGCTCCGGCAGCAGTACGCCGGGCGCGCCGGCGGCGCCGCGCACGCACCGGCGGTCGCGCATGGGGCGCTCGACCTCCCGCGACGCGTCCCCCGCCGCCCTCGTCAGCGCACGTGTCAGCGCTGAGGCTGACAGCGGCGCAGACGTCTCCGACACGGACGCCCACCCGCGGCGGCAGTCGCGGCTCGCGAGCACGGCAGGCGGCCGCACCGCGCCGCCCGCGGCCGAATCCAACCCCGCGGCGCGGCGGCGGGCCGCGGAGCGCGAAAGGGAAGAGCGGCGGCGCCTCGCGAAGCAACAGGAGGCCGCGGAGCGCGCCGCGGCGGAGCGGGCGCGGCAGGCCGAGGCGCAGCGGGAGCGCGAGCGGCGCGAGGCCGAGCGGGCCGCGAAGGAGGCTGCGATGGAGGCGGAGGGGCTCGCGGTGCTGCAGAAGGTGTCGACGCTTGCGCGCAGCAAGACGCGGGCGCGGCCGGCGGGGGAGAAGCCGGAGCGCAGCGCGGGGACGTCGCGCGCGGAGGAGGAGGCGCCGACCGTGCGATCGGCGCTGGACGCGGCGAAGGAGATGCTCAAACAAAAGGGGATGGGGCGGCGGCGCGGGCGGCGGTGAGGGGGGGGTATTGCGCCTGACGCGTTGTGTGATGCCGTTGCGCGGAGGATATCACGGTTGGTGCGTTGGGGAGCGTGGCGGGGGTTCGTTTGTGGCCTGTGGAGGGGCCTGCGTGTTGGTCATGGCGGGTCGTTGCGAGTCCCTGGCGGCGCAGGTGGTCGCGGAACGGCCTGCGCGGGTACTTCTTGGCTGTTGCTGTTCCCGGCCGCCACTCGCTCTTCTGTCTTTCTGAGCGTCATCCTCAACGGACACGCGGAACGCGCGGAATGTTGTTTGTTACACGTCACCTCACCTCACGCCACATGCGCCGCAATCTGCGACTTGTTTGTGTTCCTCGGTTGTCCCGCCTTTCGCGCAAGTTGTACAGCAGGGCGCGGACATCATCAATGTATCGGCGGGGAGCTCCCCCGTGCAGCAAACCGCAACACTCCCCCCTTGTGTCAACACGGACCCCCCCCCACCCCAGCTCGCCGCCATCACGCCCGCAGCGCGCAGTACTTCGCCCCCTGCCGATCCTTCGCGCTGTGCCCGGCACTTACAGGCTCCGCCAAGCGCCGCCCTGCACGCCTCGCGCGCAGCACCATCGTCCCCGCCGCCACCGTCGCCACAACCAACCCATCCACGAGCATGTGCGCCCCGAGCTCCACGGGCAGCATCATGGCAGCGAGCGGGCCGTCCCAGTGCGACACCCCCCCGTATAAAATAAAACCGATGTGCACAAACCACGTGCCCTGCGTCAGCAGCGCCCACGCCATCACGACGCGCGCGGCGACGCTCTGCGGGGACCGGAACACGCACGTCGCCGCAACCGCGCCCACGAAGACGGTGATCAGCAGCAGCTCGTGGACGCGGCGCTCCACTGCAGGAAACGCAGGGGGGGGGTGCTCGAGGGGGTGTTCCACGAGCAGAGATTGACGCGTGGCGGTCGTGCTGGTGCAGGGCGGGCCGCACGCCGCGAACGAGCGGCGCGGAACCAGGGAGGGGGGTGTTTGCGCACCGTCGCTGCCTTTGAGGTGAAAGATGATGAGCAGGGCCTCGATAGCGAATGCGAGGACGAGGAAGGAATGGCTTAAGTAGTCGCACGCCTCCGCCAGCATCCGTCGCAGCTCGGCAGTCCGCGCGGCGGCGCAGTCGGACCCCGCCTCTTCCTCGTCGACGCCGAGGTCCCCCGGGGGAGTCATGACGGCGGCGGGCCCGCGCGAGGCGGTGGCGAAGCAGCGCACGGCGTACCCGGCGACCGCGGCCACGCCGGCGGAGCAGAAGCCGGCGTACATGAGGAGGTGCTGGTAGTTGTTGATGTCGCCCTGGTCGAAAGTCCTGCACATATCAAGTCATTGAATGTTGACACATGAATATAAATATCAACCTTGATTCGAGGACAAGTGCAGCGTGCGACGAAGTGGTCGGCGCGGCCCTCGCGTGCTCGCTCGTCTCGCGCTCTGCGCCAGCTCACGGTGCGTCAGGCGCGGATGCGACGCCCGGTGAAGCATGCACGCTTGCGGCTGGCGCAGGTCGATGTGGCGGGGTCGCACGTGTAGCCGGTCTGCTTGTCGTACAGCGCGCGCCACTCCGGTACGACGTGCTCCGTGTTGAAGAGCTCGCCGAACATGGAGACGGCGGTGGTGCTAATAAGAAAGACAGGCTCCAGGAGGGTCATGCTCATACCGATGACTGGCACCTGCGGCAGGTCAAACGATACGGGCGTCAAGGGTGCGAGGATACCATGCGGAGACGCCATCGAGCGCCGCTGAAGAGCGCTGCAGGGGCGTGTGCGCGCGTAGATGCTCGTCCGAAGCATCCCGCGGCCGGGGGCGTGCAGGCTTCGCGTCGCGCGTGGCGCGGTGTGGTACGTCGGACCGGCACGCTTCTGTCGTGCGGTTGCGCGGGCGATTGGCGGGAGATGCCGTGCCTTGAAGTTGGCGGGGAACCAGGCCCCCATTGGCAGCATTGGTCCTCTGCCGGGCCTTCGTAGGCTCCAATAGAGGGTCGAGAACAAGACGTACGCGCCCCAAAGTGACATGTAGATCCCTGCATGTATCGGGGATGCTTGCGGCCTCGTACGTAGTTGGCGCGGACCCCACTCATGTGTGCAACAGGAGCAGCTCCGCGCTAGCGGGTCTCTGCAACACGCGCGACGTCCTCATCCGACGCAGGTCCTGAGAAGCCAGGAGCGCCTCACAGCGTTGATATTCGGCGCATTCGAGCGGCGAGGCGCGCTGCAGGCACTGAAGTGCCCTATCGAATCACCGCCGCGCACGGACCTGGAAGGAAGTGTCCCGTGAAGTTGCCGTGCGCGTGCATGTGCTGCATGCTCTGCCCGGCCTCCGCGACCCCGCCCGTCACCCCAGCGTGCCCGTCCGCCGCCCCATGCCCCATCGTGCCCGCCACCCGCCACAGTCGCCCGCGCCCGGAGACACGCTGTCCTCGCCCAGCGACCGCCGTTCTCAACGCCTCGTGGATGTATCTAGCTAAAAGGAGCGACGCTGGCGGAGCAGCGCGATCGCATTGTGCACACAGGCGAGGTCGCCTCGTGGCGGTGTTTGCCGCGTGGACAGCCCGGGGGGACTTCTCGCAGCAGCACCAGCGACGATTGAGGGGGGCGCGACGCTCGGATGCGCGCGCAGGCGCGCAGCGTGCGCGTGGTCCCGGTCCCTGGATCGGAAAACTCGACTCCGATCGATCAATTATCAATCATCAAATACCAATTGATTGGTGTGTGTGTCAAATATTCCGTTACATAAGCGCAGCATTTCCGCGGTTTCTTCTCTGCAAATTCGCCGCCCGGGAGCGCTTCCCGAGTCTATTGTCCGCCCCGCCCCCTCCCGCGGCCTTCGCGCACGCAAGTGAGGGTGGTCTCCCGCTGCACCGCGGGCGCGGCGGTCGTCGCGGCGCGCACGCAGCGTGCCTGCTCTGCGTTCGCCGTCCTCAGAAGGACGGTGTCATGCATCGGCGCCCACACCCGTCGGTGCTGCACCACTGGTCGATGGCGGGCTCCAGCCCAGCGCCCAACTGCGGCCAGCCGCCCCCGCACGAGGCCGGCGACGTTCATCTCTCCCATCACGCCCCCGCGGACGGTTCGGTCCCGCGAATTCACGACGTCGGTCCGACACATCACGAGTCGTCGTCGCCGCTGACAGCGGTGGCCTTCCCGTGGGCCTCGCGGTCCACCGGGTCGTACTGCAGCCGCACCGAGCTCCGCACGGCCGCGAGGCCCGCGGACACGGTCAGCGCCGCGACGAACGCGGCCGCGAGGAGCATGTGCGCTGCGATCTCGACGGGCAGCATCATTTCCGCCATCGGGCCCTTCCAGTGCGGGTTGTTGCGGAAGAGGATGAACGCGATGTGGACGAACCACGTGCCCTGGATGATGAACGCCCAGCCGAGGCACAGCCGCGCCCCGAGCGACTTTGGCCGCGCGAGCACCAGCGCCGCCGCCACCGCGCCCACCGCGACCGTGATCGCGAGGATCAGATGCACCCGGCGCTCCACTGCGGACGCGAACGAGCGCAGCGAGCCGTGTGAGCGGCACGTGGCGGCCAGGCCGCGCTATCGCGCCGCGCAGAGGCGTTCGCGCAAGCCGCGCGCACAAAAGGCCCCCGGGGGGGTATAACGTCGCCCGGATCGCTGCGCCGTGGCGCTTGTGTGCAAATAGTGTGGTGGAGGGGCGGGTTCGCACCTGCGCCGCCCTTGAGGTGGAAGATCAGGAGGAGGAACTCGATGCCGAAGGCCAGCACGCGCGACGCGTTGCACAGCCCGTCGCAGAACTCTACGAGGGCCGCGCGGGTCGACGGGTGCTCCGGCGTCGCGCAGTCGGCCTGCGCGATGGCGTCCGCGTCCACGGCGACCGCCGCCGCGCCCGTCCGGCGCGTCACGACGCGGCGGGCGTGGAACGCGAGAATGTTCGCGGCGCTCACCGCGGCGAAGCTCGCGTACATCAGCACGTGCTGGTAGTTGTTCATGTGGCCCATGAAGAACGTCCTGCGGAGGGGGGGATGGGTGGGGGAGTCGTGAGGGAAGAAGCGAGCGCAACGTACCACGCGGATGGCTACAGAGCGGTTGGCGCCAAGGCGCGGCGCGTTGCGATGTGGAACGCGTCAGCGCCCGCCGCGTCGGGCGGCTGGCCCAGGCTCTCATGCCACGGCACTTGATAGGCTCGCATCGCCGCGTCCAGCGTGGAACGGCGATCGGGGAGGGCCGCGACTCGCGTGCCAACGACGGGGAGTGCCTAGCCCGGTGGTGCAAGCCGCTCGAGCGTCAGCTCCAGAGCCCTGGCGCGCTCCGTAGGATCGGCTGGCGCGGTCTTCGGATACTATAGATGTGGTGAATCAATCAATTGCGATGTTCTAATTGTTTCTCGGCGTCATTGCAGGGCGTTGCTGCGCGAAAAGGTGCGCTGACGCGCCCCGCAGTGCTGCGCCGGGCCGGTACGGCGGCGCAGCGCACCTGTAGCCGTCGTCCGGGTTGTACAGGAACCGCCACGTGGGGACGCGGTGGTCGAGGTTGAACAGCTCCCCGAGTGAAGCCAGGCACCCGGCGACGAGGACGACGAGCGGCTCGGCCAGCGTGAGCGGAACCTGCCGCTGCGTGCGAGGGATCGGCACCTGCGGCGAGCGTCGCGGACCGAGCGGTGCGTCACCGGCGGCGGCGGAGGTCGGGCTAGGATGGAGGGTGCATGCGGCAGCTGCGCACGTCACGCCGACGCTGCACCCGAACTGCGGCGCGTGTGCGGATCTATGTGTCGTGGTGTGCCAGCGAGGCCGGTGCATCGAGCGGGAGAGGGCGGGAACGGGGCGCCTGCGGTGTTTGGTTGGCGAGCGGTTAAGAGCGCCGCAGCACTCCCGCGACGCGTACCACGCGCCGTTCAGAGCGCCTATGGAGGGTTCATCACCGTATTTGTGCTGAAATGACAAAGAAACGGTCCCAGGTGTACTGGGGTGCAAGTATCGTACCTTGATGTCTAGCGGGTACCATCCGCACGTCGGTAGGCCGCCGCGGAAGAACTTCCTGCGACGCATTGCGGCCAGGAGCGAGGACTGCCGTGTGCTCAGGCCACGCAGCGGTGCCGCTGCTTCTTTCGAGCTGACAGGGCGCGCAGGCTGCGCATCGCACTCACCAGTAAAGGGCCGAGACGACGTGAAAGACGCCGAGCGCCAGGAAGATGGAACCTGCGGCAAGTCGGTGAGGTAGAGTTGTGCTGGCGCTTCTGACCTGGCCGGGTAGGCGGACCGGCGCTGTGGAGGCCGGAAATCAAGCGTGCGCTACCCGAAGGCATTCGTCCTCGCGGCGTCCACGAGGCTGCGTTGACGCCACCGAGCCGTCAGCGGCGATGCCCTTTCATTCGCGCGCGATGCTTCTCGCCGAGCACAGGCCCGACGCGACCGAGCGGGACGCCACGAGCGTCCTTGCGCAAACTCGCCTGGAAGGACGTGCCCGCGGAAGTTCCCGTGAACCTCCTCGCCATGCGCCATATCCGAATCCATTCCACCCGCCATCGCGCCCGCTGCGGCGTCGTCCGGCACGCCCATGTGCGCGTGGCCATCGTGGAGAAGATACTTCATGCTGGGCTGCCGGGAGGACAGCGCGCGCCCTGGCCGCGCGAAGACGCGATGCGAGCGTCCGACTCCTGCCGCCCGCCGATCCGATCGCCACTTCGCCCCGGACGGCCCCGCTGCCGTGTCAGACGGTCTCGTGGGCCCGGGGGTTGGAAGGCTCTTATGTCGCACATGCGTGGGACGGAGACGTTCCGGCGGGCTCATCGCCCGCGCGTGCTCGCGGCGTGTCGCCACAGTGCGCCACTCGCGGCAGAGGTTGCAGGCGCAGGCATGGCCGGGTGAGGGCCGAGTCGCTCGTGGCAACACGCCGCAGGGTTTTGTGCTCGTGGAGCGGGGCAATGGCGGGCGGCGGCGTCGCGGTGACGCTCACGGAGTACGCGCGCAAGGTTCTCGACGCGGCGGCCTCGGACGAGGGCGTTCCGGAGGTGACCGAGCTGGAATCGCCCGCCGTGTCTTGCAACGTGCTGGTTGCGACCTGCCGACCCCGCCTGCCGCGTATTTCGCCCGGACAGACGAGCGCTCTGTGCAGCGGATGTTCCGCATTGATGGACCGCGTTGACGGAGCGCATGAGTCGCGGCGGGCGACGTCTCGAGCGGTTGCAGGAACTGAGAGCGCGGGCCAGAGCGGCTTTGGGGGCGCCCGCCGCTCCATGGACGGTGCTCCGCGACAGCGTGCTGGCGCTCAACGCCTCCTGCACGGAAGACGCCCCCGGTGCGTGCCGAGGCCTCTGAGACGCACGCGCGCCGCACGCACAGCAACCTCGACCACGCACCGCTGCACCCTTGCAGCCACCCGCACAGCGCCCCCGACGATCTCGCGCCGCTCGATCCCGCTCCGTTCTCCGTCCGAACCGCAGCGCGGTACAGCCTAGCCGACGCGCTCGCCGGGTCTGCACTCGCCCTCCCGTCCCCTCCCGCGCCGACGCGCTCCGCTGCGGCCGAGGCTCGGATCCGCGCCCTCAAGCGCGCCCAGGAGGACAGGGAGTACGCCGCGATGGTCGCCGACGTCACCGCGGCCGAGCGCCGCGCCAAGGTGAGCCAGCACACCCCACGGCCCACTGCACTCCGCCGCTGAGTCCGGAGCATACGACACCCCCGCGCGCGCGACGGCGGCGCCGAGACGGCCCGTTCCGGCCGTGGCCTCGCCGCGCAGGAGAAGTTCGAGGACCCGCTGTCGAGCTTCCAGAACCAGCTGTCGTTCGGCGTCAACCTCATGGTGTCGGTGGGGTGTTTTGCGGGGCTGGGGTACTATGCCGCGCGCCACGTCAGCCCGGACAACCCGGGGCACCACGCGCTCGCCGCGGTCGGCGGCATCGTCCTCGCGCTGCTCGTCGACGTCACGGCGCTGATACTGCGGCAGGTGTATCCCAGCGAGGCACGGGAGGCCTTTCGACGCAAGTACGAGACACCCCCCCCTAGGAGGGGGGAGTCGGTCGCCGCGGGAGGCACGGCGGAGGAGAGCGCTGTAGGCCCGGGGGGGAAGCAGAAGGAGGAGTGAGCACGCACGTTGCATGTACAAGAGTGAGGGAAGGGTTGTTGGTGCACCGTGGCCGGCAGGAGCGGCTGCGGAACAGAGACGAAGGCTCGAGAAACTGGTCTCGAATCACAGGGCACTTGTCGCGACCGCAGGTGGCGACAGGGCAACACTCAAGCGCGCTACTCTCGTACTGGTCATGCGTTTCCTCTCCGACGATAGTCATATAAACACTCTCTCCTTCTCTCTACCTCTGCGATGATTTGCCGCCGCGACAGGTTTCTCTCTCAGGCGGCCTGCGGCACCTTGCGGGCCGCGGGGGCCCACCGCAGGGACCACCGCATCTGCAGCACGACCGCCAGGACCGCGTAGTACATCATCAGGGACCCCCACAGCCCCGGCAGGCCCCACCCCTGTGCCACCGTCTCGCGCACGCCCAGCAGGCACGCCGCGGCCGCCGGGATGAAGGCGCCGCTCATCGCGCTCGCGTCGCCGACGCCCACCAGCGCGCCCTCCGTCGCCTTGAACCACATCAGCGCCAGCATCGCGCACATCGGCCCGGTCGCCTCCGACGCCATCGCCGCCACCGCCCCCGACGACGTCACCAGGCTCACCATGCTGCCGCGCACGACCCACGTCGCCGCGCTCAGCGCCGCCGCCGTGGCCGCCGCCGCAGTCATCAGCGGCCGCGCCGCGCGGACCGCTGCGGCCTCGCCGCCGCGCGTCGTGACGGCGCGCGCGCACACTGCTGTCGTCACCGTCGTGAACGCGCCCATCGCGATGGCCTGGAACTGCTGGAAGCACAGCACGACCTGGTGCGCGGCGGTGTGCAGGACGCCCATGTGCGCCGCCGCGACGCTCGTGGCCGCCCACACGACGATGACGTTCACTGCGCGCACCGCCAGGACTGCAGTATCGCGCAGGAATGGCAGCATGTCCGCCCGGCGCGGGACGAGCGCCGCGGGCGCAGCGTCGAGCCCGAACCGCTTCCGGTCCCGCCCGAAGAGGAAGTGCGACAGCGCCGCGAGGTGCGCGAGCTCCGCGGCCACCGTTGCCACCGCGGCGCCAGCCACTCCCCACCCGGCGCCTGCGGCCGCAGCACTCGGGGAATCGCCGCAGCTAAGCTCCGGGGGTATTTTGGATGGCGTTGCGCGAGCAGCTGCGGGCAGCGAAAGGCCAGCAGGTTCGGTCGTGTGCGTGACGCGCACCGTAAATCAGCAGGGGGTCGAGGACTGCGTTGACGGCGCCCGCGACGAGGATCGCCCTGAGGGGCGTCTTGAGGTCCAGCGCGGCGGTGTAGGACGCCTTCACTGCGACCGCCAGCATCCCCGGGACCTGCGTGAGGAGCACGAGGGATGATGATGAGACTGCTGCGCTGACTCAGTTACGGAATCTGGCGCAGCTTGCGTGGGCTGGCCAAGCTGCGCGCGTGCGGCGTCTTCGGGGCACTCACGATGCAGGCTGCGCGGATGGTGAGGTAGGCGGACGCGTGGTGCATAATGGCCGGGTCGGCGCCGGCGAGGCGCAGCCAGCGCTCCGGCGAGCTGATCAGAATCCCCGTCGCGAGTAGGCCGACGCACAGCGCGGCGCAGACAGTCGTTGCGACCGCACGGCCCACGGGCAGCTCGTCGTCGTCCGCGGCGTCCGCGGGGGCCGCGTCGCCGTCCTGGCTGCCGAGGGACGCAGCGGCGGTGCCGGGGATGATCCGGCCGAGGGACCTCCCGACGAGGCCGACCGACGCAGCGAGGAGCGCCGTGGACGCGAACGCTGATACCATGTTGAAGAGGGTGCAGTTGGGGCCCATCGCCGCGAGCTCCGCGATGCCGAGGTGCCCGACGAAGGCCGAGTCGATCAGAGTCATCACCGGGTCCGTGATGGCGGACGCGGCGACCGTCGCGACCTGCAGCCACTTGGAAGTTGCTGCGTGGTGGGTGTGGGGCGAGGCGGCGCGGCGAAACGCGCCTCGAACGAGGGAGATTCAGTTCTCAGGCGACGGAGTGACGTCCTGGGCGAGGAAACGTAGGCCGAGCGGCGCGTGCTGGGCACACGCAGCGCCCTGGCGCGTGGCCTCCGCGTGCGTGCTGCCGGCGATGCAGCGGCGGAAACGGCGACAAACGGTGCCGCTGCGGCCTCCCCGGCGCTCGGCGAGCGGTTTCAGCAGGCGCCGGGCAAGGGCAGCGGCCTTGCAGCGGCCACCTGCAGCGGCCGCGGACCGCGCCAAGCGCGACCTCGAGCTGCGTCACCGACGCCGCGATTCAACCTAGCTCGAACGCGCGCCTGACGGGCGGACACTCGGGGCATCACGCTCCCCAGCGCCGAGCCGCACGCAACGACCAGGGCAGCTGCAGCATACCAGCGCCGGCGCAGCCGCGCGGCTGCAAACCCAGGCGAGAAAAGCTTCGCCCGGGCACCAGGAACCATCTACGAGGCGTCCTGCCGCGCAGGAGCCGCGTCGGGCGGCGCGAGCGCGGGAGATGCCGGGCGCACGCCACGCTGCAGCGCAGCTCGCGACGACGCACCTGTGCGAGCAGCTTCGCCGTCGAGGGCCTGTCCTGCACCGACGCGTCCTCATCGTACAGGGGCCTGCCCTGGCCGCCCTCCTGGAACCTCGCCAGCGCCCCGGCGCGCTGAACGTCGACCCTCCAATGCTGCGGCTCCCCGGTGGCAAGCCATGGTGCGACCCGGCCGCTTGACGGCCCCGCGACGCGACGGCCGGGCGCGGAGCGCACTACAGATCGCGCACATACGCGGACGCAGGGCGAGGTGGCCTGCGCTCCCCGCATGGGCGCGGGCCGGTCGATACACCGAGGGCGCGTGCCTTGGGGAGAATTACGGCTCAAGCGGCCGCTCCAGGTCCCGGCTAGGGCTGGATACGGCTGGACGTGCGAGTACGTCCGAGAAGCCACCCAGAATCCTCGCCGGAACGCGCCCTGAGATAGTCCGTCGACTGCGGCCGCGGCAGTTATAGGAAGACTAGGCTCGACGCCCGCAGCGCCGTCCACTAGCTAGGTGTCTACGTCCGTCAGAGCGCGAGGTAGCACGGTAGTGCGAGCGACGGCCGCGGCGGGCGTCAAACGGCCCGAGGCCGCCCGTGGACGCCCGGACCCTGGCCAGTTGTACCAGGCGGGTGGCCGCACCTCCAGCAACACGACGGATGCGACTCCGTTCGCCGAGGATATGCGATACGCTACGGTCCCACCGGGTCGCCGTGTACTGGACTGGTGTGCGCGGCCCAATGGCTGGCGTGAACGTCTCGTTCGAGCACGTTCGGCGGGTGATTCTGCGGGATACATGTGCTGGCACGCACGTGGCACGGGGCGACCGCCGACGGCGCCCGCGCGGCGCCGGGAGCGATGCCTGGCGCTCGGGCTCGCCGCGTGAGGCGCCGGGAGCGCGAGAACGCGCCCCGTGCGCCGCGAAGCCGCCGCACGTGCGCGTGTGCGATGACAGCGGTCAACACAGCGCCACCGCGTCACAGGATCGGCGGAACCGACTCTCACAATGCGTCCCCAGCCACTGCCGAAGCATCCGCATGCCAGGCGCGCGCGTCGCGTCGCGCACTGGGACAGCGCCGCTGCTCGAAACGCATGACGAGGAGCCGCACGGGTTGACGACGGGCGCCGCGAGACGCCCGGCGCCGGCTCGGCGGCCCGGAGCGGCGAAACGGAATGTCAGGAGCCGGTTCTGGCTTCCCATGCATCGAACGGGCGCGGCGCGGCGCCGTACGGACCCGGTACGCGTCCAACTGACTGTAAGTTCGTTAGGTTTTAGGCCCCAACAAACGACCCCGCCGGGCTCCGTCCTGGTGCCCTTCGGCCCCGCCGCCCCGCGCGCCCGCGCACTCCGAACGCCCCAGCCTCCGTCCACCTGTCCCCCGCCACGTCCGATTCATCGCGTCCCGCGGCGCATTCCCGCCAATTGTCGTGCAGCTGATTGGTGCCCTTTGGGCCGCGCGTTCTCCCCGCTCACGAGCGTTCTCGCGGTCCACGCGGCGTTTCCGGAGCCGCATTGTCGTGCTGACGGCGCTGCTTGACGGGACACAGCGCGTGCGCGCGCGGACGGCCAATGCGGGCGGCGACGCAGGCGCTGCAGGCCAGGCGCGCCCTGGCCGGGGCGGCGCTCGCTCCTAGGAAGATACGCGGCCACACCGGCGCAGTCGGCCGCGGAGGCGCGAGGGGTCCTCGCGTGCGGTGCTCTGCCGCCGAGCCGAAGCGCAAGGGGCCGTCTGCCAAGTCCATTGGTTTGGCCGCGGGCGGGGAGTGCATGATGGTCTTGGCGACGACCCTGGCAAGCGAACGCATCCCCCTCGTGCTCGAAATGCCGCTCGCCGCCACCCTCCTCGGCGCTTGGGCAGCGGTCGGCTACGCGCGGGGCGACTTCAAACGAGCTGGCGAGGTCCTCGAAGACGGGTGCGTGGCCCCGCGCAACGCATTCCCGCCCCCCCGCGCAACGCATCCCCCCTCACGAGAGCCAGCGAGCGGGCCCGGCGCCGGTCCATTTATGCGACGGCGTCGAGCGGATGTGCGACATACCTGCCGTAGAGCTCAGGGGCGTGGCGCGTGCGCAGCTTGCTGCGCCGGCGAGGATCCCCGGCGGCTCCCCACCGCGGCACCTGCATCGCTCTGAGCGCGCTGATCGCGTTCGCGCGTCGCGGCCGCGCCGTTGTTGCGGCCGCCCGAAGGCACTCTCGCGCGGTGGAAGGTTTGCGGCTCCGCCCACCGTCGCGCCCCCGCGCCCGCCGCTGCGCAGCGACGACACGTGGAGCATCATGACAGGCGCGTTCATCTACGAGGTCGTCGACCAGACCATGCTGACGTGGCTCATTTGGGCCCCCTGCGCCCTCCTCGCCTGGGCAGGTGCGCACACACCCCCCGCACAGCCCCTCCCGCCACACCACCTCCCAGCCACTGCCCTCCGCGGCCGTCGCCGCGCGCTCACTGCGTCCCGGCGCTCCCCGCACCTGCAGGCCTCTATTCGCGCCTCTCGCTGGCGCCCGAATTCTCCTCCGTGCACGACGTCGTCGCGCCGATGGAGAGCCGCCCCGCGGAGGTCCAGGTCGTTGCCGCGGTGTTCATCACGGTGCTGTGCTGGCGGCTGCTCTTCCGCTTCATCAGTGGCTCCTCCGCCAGAAACTGACCCAGGGGGGGTGTCCGAGAAGCGAACCGCCGCGCACGCGTCGCAGCACGGCGCTACTTTGCTGTAGGGCGCGAGCTGCGCGCTCGGCGCACGGACCGCCAGCTTCGTTCGCCTTGGTGCGGGGTGCAGCTACGACCACGTTTGGGTCCGTGCGGCGCTCGTGGTGGCGCGGGCGCGCACGAACGAGGCCGGAGTGGGCCAGACAGCGGCCGTGCTGCTTAGCTGCGCCCACGACGGGCGGCGGCGGGGTGTTTTCCAAAGCCGTGCGGCGACGAGCAAGCTGCGCTGGCGCCAGTGCTGCGGAGCGTGTGGGGGGGCTCTGTGACACGGTGCCTGACGACGTTGGCCGCTGGCGCGAGCTCTTCGCGGTGCAGAAAGAGTGCACGCCGCGGTGTTCTTCCTTCGTGTCAGACAGACGGCTGCTGTGCACCATCCTGGTCTGTTTGTTGTTTATCAGGTGCACGAGGCCCTGTGTCCGACGGGCGAGGGTACAGTACCGCAGCTCGTAGCGCCGCGCGACCCTCCCGCGTGTCAGCACGGCAGTTGGCAGCGAACTACCGTGTGTATGTCAGACCGGAGCTGTCCTACCCTGTTCAGGGCGGGCTCGTTTCGCCGGGTCTGCGCGCCCCATCGGCAGAACTTGACGGGAACTGACCACGGTCGCGCACACACGTGGTTCGCTACGCGCTGTTCCGCCGCAACGTCCGGCAACGCAGACGGCTCCGCGGTTGCACTCAGGGCTGGTTTCGCGCGCGCACAGGCCCGGCGCTCGCCGCGCAGGCGGGAGCGGAGACGCCAGTTGAGAGAATGGCGTCGTCGCGGGAAGACGTGACCCCGGAGGTGCTCCAGGAGGCCGAGGCGGAGGTGTTCCCCGACGGTTCAGGGATCCGCATCAAGGACTGGACGATTAAAGCGCACAAGGAGCACATCCTGGGCGACAAAGGTGACGCTGCTCCCTATACATCCACGCAGCGTGCGCCTCCGGCGCGGAAGCCCGCTCCCTGACCCAGGAAGCCGCCCGTCTCAGCCTGCGTGGGCTCTCCCCGTCTCTTCGCAGCGCTGCACGAGCTGAGCGACCGGCTGAGCCACCCCCCGAAGCTTCCCGAGATCCTCTTCGGTGGCAGCTACCTCAGCCTCGTCCACGAGCCGACGGAAACGTCGTTCCAGTTCCGGGCGGCCGAGGCGCTGCAGGGGTGGCGCGAGGAGAACCTGCCGCCCGTCCAAGTGCCCGCCGCGCAGGAGTGGCAGCACCACCGCGAGCAGGAGATCGCGGCGCAGCACCCCGTGCGCATGAAGTACGACTGGACCTTCACCACGCCCTACAACGGCACCGCAGTGCGCTCCGGTAACGCCGACAGCGCAGCTGGCCCCGCTGTCGCGTTCGCCCCGACTGAGGCGCAGATAGACCGGCGGATGCTCATGGAGCGCGACCCCATCCTGTTCTACGCCGGTGAGGCCCGCCACTGCGGCCACGACCCCGCCCTTTTGTTCTCGAGCACTGTTTTTGTTGTTGTTCTATTCTCTTTTTCCAACCGCTTCGAAACGCCCGCACTTCGCCCGCGTTCCGGCGCGAGTGGGCGGGGAAGCGACGCGCCAGCCCTGCGCGTGTTGCGTGCAGACGTGCCGCTGTACGAGAGCGAGCTGGACGACAGCGGCGTGTGCTCGCTGTCGGTCAAGGTCCGCGTGATGCCGAAGTGCTGGTTCGTGCTCCTGCGGTTCTTCCTGCGCGTCGACGGCGTCCTCATCCGCCTGCGCGAGACGCGCCTCTTCTGCAAACTCGAGGGCCCAGGTGCGCGCCCGACTCACAAACGTCCTATATATATTACCAACAACTTCCTATACTATATTTTATGGTTCCACGTCTTATTATACCATGTGTACGGCTCTGTCAGGCGGCGCTGCCCCGACCTCGCCCGGCGGGCGCGTTCTGCGTCGGTTGGTTGTTGCAGCGGTCGTGACGCGCGAGATGAAGTGGCACGAGGGCACGAACGGGGAGCTGAAGAAGCTGGGGGCGCCGGTGCGGGCGGAGGCGTACGCCAACGGGGACGCGGCGGCGCAGTCGTTCTCCGCGATAGCGCCGAACGGGGTCACGAGGTTCACGCTCGAGTCGGTGCGCCTCTAGCACCACGTGTGCGTGCGCGGCGGCGGGGGAGTTAAGGAGGCCCCCGCGCAAGCGCAGTTGGGATTTCTCGATTGTGAATTCGTCGGTTGCACTGGACGGCGCGTGACTGTGCCGCGGCAGCGGACACGCCGTCGCGGCCCGCTCTGCCACCACTGGCAGCGCGAGACACGTTACGCGCAACTGCGCCGCGCGCTGCAGAACAGCGCGTCGACCGAGCGCGCGTGGCTCACAGCGCGCGGCGCCGCCGCACAGTCCACGTGCCAGGACGCAGGCCCGTTCCACCCCTATCAGAAACGCAGTCGTCGTATTCGTGTCTGACATATACAAATACACTTTTTAATATATATTTATACTCTCGATTCATCGCGAGAGCGACCGCCGCCTCTGTCACGTCCCGTCGCTCCCGCCCTCGTCCCCGCTGGACCCCACCGGCGCGAAGCCGACGCCCCTCTTGCCCGCAGCGCGGCTCTGCATCACCCGGAGGTCGCGTGCGCCCGCCGCGGACCACATCGCAGCCAGCTCGTCCAACAGCTCCTGCGCCCACACCGCCGGCCCTGGCGCGGCTCTGCCACCGGCCACAACGCGTGCAACGCCGCGCGATATGTGTGGCACAGTGCAGCTGGAGGCGCTCGAGCGACGAATTCCGCTGCTATATGGTGCTCAGGATCGCATTTTATGGCAGATCGGCAGTGAGGCATGGCGTGTTCGCTGGAAACGTCGTGTGCCGCGGGCGCGGGAGGGAGCTCGCTGGGCGCGCACCGTCTTGGGTGTTTGCTTCGAAGCGTAGCGCGCCGACTTCTTCTTGGCGAGCTCGCAGAACTGCTGGAAGCCGGGTCTAACGTCCTGCTTCACGATGTCGGCGCGCGCCTTCAACCTCTTCGACTCCTTCTGGAAACGGCCCGTGAACTGTCCCGCGCTCGCAGCGAGGCGCCGGTTGGCATTGACCTCGTTGCGGAAATCGTTCGAGAGCCGCAAGAGGTGCCTGGAGAGCTTGTCGAGCAGACGTACGTGCGGCGGCCGGAACTCCCCGCCCTGGCCTTCGCCCACCTCGGCGTCGGAGGCCATCTCGCAGTCAAGCCACGGAGCGCCCTCCCGGACACTCACGGGAGTTCCGGGTCGGACTGCGGCGCCCAGCTCTTCCAGTCCGTATTCGTTCAAATCCGTGACGACAGCCACCTTCGTCAACGCCCCCTACGCACGAACGACTCGCTTCTGTGCCCTGCGGACTCAATGGCAGCGTCAATCGACAGCTCCGGACCGTTCCTGCGTGCTCCCCGCGCGTGAGGAATGAAGTGATGCGACGCCGTGCTACGCCCGCAATCACACACGGAGCCCCCGCCACCACTGACAACACCAATCCAAGTATGACTGACAAAGGCCACCTGACTAGTTCTTCGCTGACCTACGAGCACCCTCACCGCGAGGATGCCGGAGCGACCGAAATGGTACGGCAGGCGAGACTCACACAGCAGACAGGGTAGACAATGAGGTGAGGTGTCACATTCTTCGCGTCGTCAGCCATAAGGCTTTGGGACCTGACAAGATCATTCGACTAGGTGGCGAGTCATGCTAACCCCCCACCGTTATGGTAGCAACAGGTTCGGCAGCTGTGACAGAGTCAGCCTGGAGCAGATCCTCAATGCCACGAGCAAAGATCGCCATGCCTCGCTGATTCGGCAGGTTCAGGAAATAACGCACTGCAGCGTTGGCAGCGGCTTCCGAGTCGAGTGTTGCAGCGCCGTACAGGTCCTCGAGGTGCTGGCGTAGCCGGCGGTTGAGAGCGAAGCGGCGGCGCTGTCCAACAGTTGCCGTGGACGACAGGGGCGCATCGGCAGCGGGCGGGGGTGGCAGCGTGAGGTGCCCAGACGAGTCCATGGCCAGGCCCGCTCGTTCCCGGAGAGAGCGTACCGCTGGGGCGCAGCAGTCCAGCAGCAGGTGGCGGAGGTCCTCCGGGGCGGGCGATGCCGCCACGTCCACGCAGAAGCGGCAGACTTTCGACGGGTGCGACAGCGGTGTGTGATGCCACTGCTGCTCCTGGTCCGCCATGGCCATCGTGGAGGTGCGCAGCCTCGTAGCTCCCACACGCAGGCGGGATAGGGCACGGCGGTCCGCGTGGTAGATCGCGGTGTCGAGCAGATGTGAAGGGATGGTGCGCGGTGGTGGCTGGCACCACCAGGCGTACCTGGCCCGTGTGCGGCCAAGCCCGTGCTGAGTGACCTCGGTCCGGGGATCCGGGGTTGCCGCGGGCTCGTGGTCCGGCAGCACGACCTGAGCGATCTTTCGTACCCTGCCCACAGCAGGTGCAGGGTGTGGCTGCTGCGGGGTCCCTGGCGTGCCGCCTATCTGAGTGATGGCCGCCGCGATGTGCGCTGCCCACGGTAGCTCGCGTTTGCGGAGGCGGTGGGCTGCGGGTTCGGCGCGCCTTGTGCTCGTACGAGTTGTCGACGTCGTGCGTAGTCCCCGTCGGCCCGCGCCGCTCCTGCCTCCCCCGCGCCGCCCGCGACCCCGTGATCGTCCGCCTCGCCCCCGTCCCCGGGTGCTACGTGGCTGCGACCGCTGGCCCGGCTCATCCGAGTCCGTCAGGGAGGTCGTTGAAGACGCAGTAGCGTTGTGCGACCCCTCATACTCTGATTCGCTGTCGTCGCCAGTGGCAGCCGAGGAGTCCTCGCAGTAGTTCGGCCTCGGTGTAGCGCGGGATCCCCCTCGCGTGGTCCGGTCCAGCGTGCGAACAGTCAAGCGGTTCGATTCAGTGCTGCGGGATGCCGGTGGTAGCGAGGGCCGCGATCGAGGTGGTGTGCGGCCGTCCCGTGCTGCACGTCCCCTGCCTCGGGTGGTCCGAGCTGCGTGGTCTCGGCGCGCGGCGGTCCGTGCTCCTGCGTCGCGCCGGCCCGGCTGCATGTGCGGGGGGAGTTGAAGTTGTCGTAGTCGCCGCTGTTGGCCCGGCGGTGCAGCTCCGTCGTCGTCGTCCGTGTCGTCCGACGGGTCCGGCTGAGCCGCACGGGGGCGGCCCATCCGTGCGGCGCTCGACGATGTCGCGTCGCCCTCCGCCGTGTCTCCTGCTGGAGGGTGGGTGACGAACGCGTCGGAATCGGGCTCCGCCGCGAGCAGTAGCTGCGCGGTGAACGCCCGGACCGTCATGTGCGGGAAGTCGGGGGGCAAGGTCGGGTTCGTTCGCGCTGTGTACAGCAGCTTCGTCAACGAGTCCCAAAAGTCGAAGTTACGGGCCCACAACGTCGCTTCGAGGGGAAGCGCCCCGAACTCGCGGAAGAGCAGCTCGGGCGGCGTCTTGTAGCAGGAAGTGATCCGCTGGTTGGCGGTGGATATGAGGGAGGCGAGAAATGCACGCTGGGCGCGCGCGGGGTGTTGGGACGGGATGCGCGTCAGGCGGCCGTCAAGGTCCCGCAGTGGCTTGAGGCCGAGGCGTGGTGACCAGAGTTCGCAGCCGTACGTCGAAACCGGTGTGACGTATGTCTTGAAGAGGGCAGATTGCAGGAGGGGGTCAAAGATTCCCGTCTGCCAGCAGCGTTTCGACAGGCTGTACATTGCCTTCCGGGACTTGTCGCCCGCGGTGGACATGTGCGACGATACACCCGGTGGTCGGCCCTTGTCTTGGCCAAGGGTGATGCCCAGATACTTGCAGCTTTTGCAGGGGGCAATGTTGTGCTGCTTGGCAACGAGGCCGGTGGCGGGGTCGATACGGGTGAACATGGTCAGGGTCGTGGTACGGGGGGTGTCCCCGAACGAGAGAAAGGTGGACTTTTTGGGGGCCAGGCGGAGGCCTGCCGAGCACGCCCAGCGGCAAGTGCTGGTGAGCAGTCGTTGGAGGCCTTCTGCCGTGCGTTCGATAAGGGCCGCATCGTCTGCGAACAGGGACATCAAGAGGTTGCGTGTCGCGGCTCCGCAGGTGTCAGAGCCCGATGGGCGGGGAGTGGTCGGGAGGGGAAAGCCCTGGTTTGGGTGTTTTGCATGAAGGTATCGGGCTAGATCGTCCATAACGAGGGTGAACAGGGTACAGGACGCTGGGCAGCCTTGTTTGACCCCGATGGTCTGTGGAATGGGGGCGCCGGAAGGCTGCCCATCGATGGTGAGTTGCAGTTCGGTGCACGCGTAGTACGCCTGCAGGGCGGAAAGCACGTCGGGGGGGACGCCCGCGGCCTCAAGGCACTTCCACAGCACCTCGTGGGGCACCGAATCGTACGCCTTGGCGATGTCGAGGAGCGCAACGTACAGGGACCGGGGGTAGTCCTCTGGGAGGCCCGATAGGCGCTTCCGCGTTGCAACGTCAATAGCGGTCTGCACGTTAAACGCGGCCAGGATCGTGTTGCGCTTGGGGCGGAATCCCATTTGGGAGTCGTCACGGCTGTGGGCCACCGCGCGTTCGACCTGTGAGCAGTCATGCATGTCGTACACACACCTGCACGACGGTGAGACAATGCGGGGATCGTTCAGGAAGCGCACAGCGTGCTGCGTGAGTCTCTGAACGACCCCAGGTGACGACGGGCCTTTGTGCCTCGGTCCAGCAGCACGTCCAGAGTCCAACCGACATGAGTCAGTGTGCCAGTCCCCCCGGAGGGTGTGTACCCACGCTGCCACCGCGCCGCCGTAGGGGCACGGCTGCAGCAGGCCTTCACGAACTTCGTGGGATTGTCGGGCTGGGTGGAGTACGCCTCGGAGAGAACAAGCGCGGACCATTACTGGCGCATGGGGGCGCGTAGCACTTTCGGTACGGGTCCATATCCCGCCTACTGACTCAAGCGAACGTCCGACAGACGCCTCCGACCCCTCGCCGCACGCGCACCACATTCGAGTTCGATGCGACGCGGAACAGATCCCCGCGAACCGCCTTCTTACACGCCCCCCCCCTCACCTTTGTTCCATCATTTGTCTGACCCACCGCCGCCGCCGCACGACCGCCGCGCGCCCCATCTCCCCGCTCCCCTCCGGTGGAGGCCACGACAGCGCCCGGAAGCTCGTGCCGTACACCCAACCCTCCGCTCCCACGTGCCCCGACATGTCGACCCTCCACGGCCCTGCCCAACCCCACCCGGGCGGCAGCGCGCCGTCCCCGGGCAGCTCGTCCCCGGAACACGGGTGGTCGTGCGAGTACGGCGGCCGGTCCGACCGCAGGAGGTGCCCTTTACCCCCCCACCCGCGCAGGGGGATGTATCGCTGGTTCTCTATCGCGTGCACCGTGTCTCGTTTCGGCGGCCCGGCCGCCGCAGAATCCACCGCGCTGCTCGCTCTCGCCGGCGCCGCCTGCCCGACCCCGCCACTCCCCGCCGCCGCCGCCCGCGTGGCTGGCGCAGGCGCCTCCGCGCGCGACGCTGCTGCGCCGCTGCCGCCGCCGGCCTGCGCCTGCTTGCCCGGCCCGTGGCACTCGATGCAGTATAGCTTGCCGTTCGGGACGCGCACGAAGCCGCGGTCGCCGAGCACGCGCCCGCAATGGAAGCAGGTCGTGCCCAGGGACACAAGCACGCGGGCGCGCCGGCGCCGCACCGCGTCCTCCTGCGCCTCGAGCGCGCGGGCCTTGTAGAGGTTGCGCAGGACCTGCCCCTGACGCATGCGGTGCTCGCAGTCTTGCAGCATCTGCAGTATGACGCTGCGGGCCAGGAGGAGGGGGGTGTCTTCTCCGAGGGCCTCCAGGGCCTTTCGCGGGTCCAGGCTGCGGCCGTGGTGCGCGATGAGCCGGCAGGCCTCCTGCGTGGGTCGGCGGGACGGAGGATCCTCATGAGAAAGCCACAATCGACATTTCATGAGTGGATTTGTTTTTCCGTTTTCGTCTGACAACAGACGCAACGCGCCACGGGCAGCGCCGACGGCCGCGCAAGCGGGGAAGCGCCCACGATGCTGCGCGTGTCTCCCAGTACGACCGCACAAGATAAAATACAACCCCCCCCCTCCTCACCTGGAATCGTGGCGCCCCGCCGCCGCCCTGCGGCCCAAGCAGGATCTCCTGTAGGTCGTTCAGCAGGTCGTCGCCGGCGGGGGGCTTCCCGAACGTCCGGCAGTACTGCTCCGCGAGCCGGACGCCATCACTCCCCCCTGACACCAGTAGCTGCAGCGCCGCAGCGTGGTTCGGCACGAGCGCGTACGCCAGCGCGCCCTCGATCGCCACCGCCCTGCTCGGCTTCTCCGCGCCCTCCGCCGCCAGTGCGCGCACCACAGCTGCCCCGTCGATCGCGTTGCCCCGTCTGTCGCGCTTGCGCCACCCCTCGAGCAGGGCCCCTCGAAGCGCGACGCGCAGGTGCCCGAGCCGCGCCCAGGGCGACAGCGCCGCTAGCGCTGCGTCGAGCGGCGGCCGGCCGTCCTTCGCGGCGTCGGCGGTCGCGGTGGGGGGGTTTTCCAACGTCCCCGGGACGTCGCGGGGGGAGTCGTCCGCCTCAACGCCCTCCGCGACGCGGCTCGCGACCTCCTCCGCCAGCGCGACCACCAAGTCGCCGACCTCCGCGCCGCCGGGCCGCGCGAGCGCCTTGTGGTACACGTACGCCAGGCGCAACGCCGGCGGCACACCCCCCCCTACAAGGGCCTCCAGCACCGCCTCCTGAGTCACGTCGGACCGGCACACCGCCGCGGCGGCTGCGAGCATGCCTGAGCGCTGCGCCAGCCACGGCAGCGTGTCCCTCGCAAGCTTCTCGTCAACAACTGCCAAGTCTGACAGCGCGCTGGCGATTGCGCGCAGCGCGCGATCGCCCTCCGCGCCGCTGTACAAGTGCGGCCGCGGCACGGTAGCCCCTGCATCGTCGCTGCGACTCGCGTCGTCGTCGCCGTCGTCCTCGCTGGCAGAGTCGCCGTTTGGCGGCTCTGGCATGGCGCGTGGAATGCCCTGGTCGCCGCTGGCCGCTTTCCACGCCGCGATCGCGCCGGCAGCGTCGCCCGCGCGAAAGTACTGCGTCCCGAGCTCGAACGTCATGCCGCAGGACGCCAGGTGCGGGGCCACGCGCGCCGGCGGCGCCGCGCATGCGCGGGTCCTTGCGTCACCCGACAGCAGCGCCCGCAGGTCCGACAGGCGCCCGTGGCGGCTCAGCAGCGCAACGAGGACCGTGTCGATCGCGTCCAAGCACGCGACGCCGTCCTGGTCCCGCACGCGCAGCAGGTAGGACGCCAGCGCGGTCTCGCACGCTGCAACTGAGTCAGTCAGACCTGGAACCCCCCCCTTCTCCGACGCCCCGTGCGCCTCGCGCGTCTCCTCGACAGCGCCGTTGCCGGCCGCGGCGGCGTGTTCCGGCCCGTTGCCGTTGGCGTCTGGCGCGCCCGCATCATCCGCGCCGTCGACTGCTTGCTGCGTGGCGAGGAGAATCATCTCGCGAAGCGGCTGCCAGGTGAGCGTGCGCCCCGCTCCGAACAGCCGCACCTGCGGCAGGCCCTTCAAATACTCCCCCGCGTCCCCGGGGAGGAGTCTCAGCAACACCCCCGGCTGGAACGCCGCCGCGGGAACCGCCGCCAGGTCGTCGAGCGCCGCGCGAAACTGCCGCTCGAACGACGCCAGCGCCGCGCCCACTGTGCCCCGCTCCCTCGCCGGCGCCTGCATCGCGATCAGCTGCGCGTGTGCCATTGCCGCGGGCGCCCAGCGCTGGTCCCAATTCTCCCTCGCGAGCGCCGCCGCGGTGTCCGCGGCCCTGCCCGCGTCCCCAGCGTCCGCGAGCCGCAGCGCCGCGCGCACCCGGGCCGCAGGCGGGACCTCCAGCACCGCCCACACCCCCCGCGGCGCTCCAAGAAGCGTAACACCCCCCCCTGGCTCCGACTGCGCAAGCGCGACCCGGGACCGCGCGCCGTACGGAATGGTCTGCTCGAACGCGCCCCCTGCGCGCCCGGACGCCCCCGGCTGCGCCGCGACTGCTCCGTCAGACACGAAGATCCCATCAGGCGACACCGTTAGCACGTGGCGGCCTGACGCGACCACGCCGGTGGGCGTCGACGGCGACGGCAGCGTGCCGCCCACGGGCGCGCCGTCGGCGTCGACCATGAGGACGACGTCGTCCATCACGAGCGCGGCGGCGAGGGGGGGGGGGAGTGCCGTCATGTACGTCGCGGCGCCGGTGCGTTGCCGGCGGGTGGACGAGGCCGCGGTGCTCACGGGCGTGCCCGCGGCGGACCCGGCGTCGCTCGGCGGCGGGCGGCGCAGCGAGAAGAGGTGCCGGCAGACCCCTGCGAGACGAGTTGCGCGGGAGATGGGATTCCTCGAATGTTTGTGCGCGTTTCGGAGTGTGGTTGCGCGGGGGCCGGCGGGGCGGCGGGGAGCGGAGAGCGGCACCTGTTTCGAGGGATGCGTGGTAGTATTGCGAGCGCGTGGCGATGAACAGCGCGCGATCCGTCCACAGAAGTGACCGCGCGCTGTGACGGCCCGGGACCTCCAGCGCGCGCACTATGGCTTGCGTCGGGGCCGACGCGTTCTTCGGGATCCATATCCTGCGCGCAGGCGAGGGCGTCGGTGCAAGTGCTCGGCGGCCGGGCGCCTCTTTCGTGGCTCTATGTGAAGGGTGTTTGTGTTCGGTGTGGCGCGATCGAGGAGTCGGACGTGCAGCGCGGACGGACGTACAGATACAACAGAGATTCGGGAACGCGGTCAAGCAATGGGATGGCGGAGGCGTGCCGCGGGGGGCGTGTGCAGGGCCGGGGTCCGGCAACGCTGTGTGCTCGGTTCAGTTGGCAGGGCTGGCATCGCGGCCGACGCGCTATCCCGTCAGTCTGATGCGCAGCGGACTCTCCAGGCCTTCAGGTCCGCGCAAACAGCGCGCGAGCGGCCGGCGTGCGCGCCGGAACAAGCACGGTGGTCGTGCAGCAAGTTGGACCGCGGAATGTGCCGTACAGGCGCGACGCACCGGTATATGAGCACGCGTATACAGTCGCTCTCTCGTAGCGCGACCGCCACGTGCGCCGCGCCCGTCTTCCCGCTCCTCCTGCCCGCCAGCGCGGTCGCCCCAGTCGACCCCGGCACCGGCACGCTCCCCAGGCTCTCGCACGACACGAGGTGCACCTGGTTCCCGCAAAGCACCGCCAAGTACCCGAGATCTCCCAGATGCGCCACCCCCACCACCGATCTCCCCGCGAAAACCACCGCGTCCGGCCGCGTTGCGCGCAGCTCCAGCGCCCGCGGCCCCTCAGCGCTCGCCACCGCCCCGTCTGACGAAGATCCCGCGCCCTCCGGCCCCGCGCCGCCATCATACGTATCAGGGGCCGCCTCCGGGCCCACCTCGCGGACCGTGCACGCCCGCAGCGAGCCGCTGCTGAGCCCCACGTAGACGTCCGATGCGCGCGGAGACACTGCGACGGCCGTGACGTGCGCCTGAGGGCCAACATCGAGCCCCGTGTCGACCAGCGCGAAGGGCCCGGTCGAGGCGGACGTGTCCGCCGCCATCGCGGCGGCCCGGGCCGCGAGACCGCGTCAGCGCGCGGCGCGCAACGCTCTAGCTCGAGTTCCGGGCCTCAGCGGCCGTGCCAAGCGCGCAGGGAGGCCGCCATACCGCACGTGAGGCCAGGTCCGCTTCTGACTCGCGCAACTGGCCGGCCCAGGGCGGAAGCGGGCGGCGGTGGCGCCCGCGGCGACGCCCTGGTGGTTTGTTCCACCCTCTCGACGCAGGGTCAGGGTCCGGCGGGGCGACGTTCCGTGCGCGGGGAATGCCGCGGCGGCGCGCGCGGGCGCGCAGAAGCCCAGCTGGTGCACGGCGGCTGCGAGACGGCGTGTTGCGTGTCGCGTGGACCGCAGAGGGACGCAGGGAGCTTCGCGCCGCAACTGCTTTGGCGTGTCTGGCGCGATGCTGAGTCAGGCGACGCGCCGCGCGGCCGTCCAGGGCTGCGAGGCCCTCCGGGCGATCAGCACGTCGGCGACGGCGCAGCTCTGGGCGCCCGTGGACGCGTTCGAGGGTGTGAGGCCTGCGCCCAAGGACCTGCCCGAGGTCTCGTTCGACAAGTTCAAGTCCATGGTGCAGTCGGGGCCGGTCCGGCCGCAGCCCGTGCCCGAGGACTGGAAGGCGTGGGCGAAGAGCGCGAAGGTCGACAAGGGCGCGATGTTCGCGGCCTGGGAGAAGCTGTACAGCGGGTCCTGGTCGAACGCGGACCCCGAGACCATGACGCCGAACCCGGAAGGTGCGATTCTCTTCGGTTCCATGCCGGCGAGCGCGCTCGACGGCCCCGGGGGGCGCCGCAGCGGCGGATCACGCGACGGTGTCGCTCGCCCAACGAGAGACCGCCCGCCGGGGCCGCGTGCTGCCCCGCGCGCCCTCATCCCGCGTAGCCTCGCGAGAGATATCCCGGTCGTTCCGTCCCTGGACGCCAACCGCTCGCTGAGGCCGCACGAGCCACGCACGGCCGCAATTTGCACCGGCCAGGCTGCTTGCACCCCCGCACGCTCCCCGCACGAGCCCGCCGCGCAGCCCGGACGCCCCCCCACGCACCGCACGCCATCCACGCACCCCGCGCTCCGCCGCAACACCCCTCCATCCACCGCACGGCCGCGCCCGCTCCCCCTGATAGTGCCCGCCCTCCCCTCGCGCTCCCACGGCCCTCTCAAGCCGCCCCGCACCGCTCCCCGTGCCCCACCGATCGCAGAGAAGCTCAAGGAGATCCGTTCGGCGAAGGGCGAGTGGGCGAACGCGGAGGCCAAGTACGAGGAGGCCGTGAAGATGCCTGCGGAGCCTGACTGGGCCAGCATGGCGACCTCGGTGCGTTCCTGCGCCGGAAAACACCTCCCGCCGCATGTCGAGGCCGCGTTCGCGCGTTCCCGAGCTGCCCGCGTCCGCCAGGAGCGTCGGCGCCGAGACTGGTGACGTGGCGGTGTGCGTGTGCGTTTGCAGGGCAAGATGTTCCCGGAGTTCATCGCCGAGGTGAAGAAGATCTACCAGGAGGAGGCTGCGTCGGTCGCGAAGAAGCCGAGCGAGGACGAGCTGATCGCTGCGCAGGCCGAGGACATCAAGCGCGCGCACGCCGCGGCGAAGGCCGAGGTCGCGCTGTTCCAGAAGAAGCAGAACGAGCAGTGGAAGATCGCGGCGCGGTCCGTCAAGAGCATCGAGGTCGACGAGTGGCTGTACGGCGAGCTCGAGAACGGGCGCAACGTCTCCACCGACGAGGTGCGCGGCGCACGCGCAGCCGACGCCGCACGAGCCGCGCGCGCCGCGCCAACCGCGCAGCTAGCCTTCCTGCCCCTAGCTGCGCCGGAAACCCGCCGCACTGCGGACGCCCCTCCCACCACCGCGCCGTTCCCGCCCTCTGTTACACAACATGCAAGTTGTCGTGTTTGCACGACGAATGCCCGACGCCAGCGCTCGGCGCGGACCTCGTGTGGTTTCGCAGGTGCTGTACCGGCAGCCGGAGCTGCGCCAGGCCATCGACGACGAGATCAGCGACTACCAGTGGGACCCGTCGCTGGCGTCGGAGGCGGCGCAGAACGCGTCCAAGGTGATCGACGTGCCGGGCATGGCCAGGCTGAAGAAGTTCACCGAGGCCAAGGCGGCGCTCGACGCGTACGTGCGCTCCAAGGCGAAGTAAGCGCGATCGTAAGCTGCGCGCTGGCTGCGCCAGCTGTGACTCTCTCGAATCGATAGCCGCGGCATGGGGACGGCGCTGCCGGTGTTCGGCCTGGCGCTGCTCGCCGCGTGCGTTCCTGAGGGCCGCGTTCGGTTCGCGCGGACGGCATCGCCTCCCCGAGGGGCCTCGCAAAAGCCGTGTTCAGTCACAGGTCCGTATTGTCAGGCCGAGGAGCCATGCCGCGTGTGTGACTGGTCCGCTGGAGTCCCCTCGGTGTCTGCATGCCACGCGGAGCGCGGCACCGGTGTGCATGCGCATCTGCCGACGTCAGGCGCGCACTGGTGTCAGGCCGCTGGGAGTTGCACCAGAGGCGCCACTGCGGGCAGCCCAGGCGCTTTCGGGGGTGATGCTCGGCTGCCCTGGCCAGTCCAGGTTGCGAGGGTGTCCGCGTGATTGGTTTCAGCGCCTGTTGGTCGGTGTATCGCCGTGGCGCCAAGGACCGGTGTTGGTGCGCATTGCGGTGGTGGAGGGGGTCGCGACGTCCGAACGAGATGCCGCGGACGCCGGTGAAATCAGAGGACGAGCCTCCGTCGAAGCGGAGCAAGACGGGCGGCGCGGGTGATGCGGTGCGCGCTGCCCGAAATTTCGCCTGCACCTGCCGCGCCCTGCATACGGAGCCAGGCGCCGTCTCGCCCGGGAATCGTGAGCACACGCAACTTGAGCTGACCGGCTCGGGCGTCGACGTGCTGCCTCGGGCACTTCCGCGGGCGTTCCAGCTCTTTCAGCTTCCTGCGTGCACATTCGCCCCTGCCGCGCTGCCGCGCCTCCTCCGAGCACATTCCTCCCATGAGCGATATATCCCTGCCATGCTGCATCCCTGGGCCGCGGAATGAACGAGCTTTCCGCCTCCCTGCGGCCGCAACGGCCGCCCGGGCCATCACTCCTGCGCCCCACTCGCCCCACGTCCCCCCGGCCCCGTCGCCCGCAGGCCGTGCGCGGGAGCGCGCACAAGGAGGACAGCGTCGCCCGGCGCGACCCAGGCACGCTCCCCTCCCGCACCCACCACAGCAACACACGCTCATGCAACAACCAACACAACGGCAGTCGCTGACGACAGCACGCGCGCACCGGCCCCGCCAGGCCCGCACGCACTTCACCAGCCCCGCACGCCCCCTGTCACCGCCCCTGCGCACCCCCGCCTTCGCCGCACCGACCACGCTTGCCCGGGACGCTTGCGCGGACGCAGGCGGGAACGTGGCGGGGGAGTGGGACTTCGTGGAGCAGAAGGGGGTGTACTCCGAGCGCGAGCTCTTCCTGCTCGGGCAGGAGGAGCGCGGGGAGATCTCGTTCGAGTATATTCAGAACGACGGAACGGAAGACTCCATGATATGGTTGACGCAAATCAAAAACATATACTCGAAGCAGCTGCCCAACATGCCGCGGGAGTACATCGCGCGGCTGGTGTTCGACCGGCGGCACCGCTCCGTCGCGCTCATCCGCGCCCGCGACAACATGCCCGTCGGCAGCATCACGTACCGGCCCTTCCACGCGCAGCGGTTCGCGGAGATCGCGTTCTGCGCGGTGATGGCGTCGCAGCAGGTCAAGGGCTACGGCACGCGGCTGATGAACCACACCAAGCGCTACGCGCTCGAAAAGGACAACGTGACGCACTTTCTGACGTACGCCGACAACAACGCCGTGGGGTACTTCGCGAAGCAGGCCTTCACGCAGGTGCGACGCGCGCGCGCGAACTGCCTCGCGCCCGCCGTTGCCGGCCGCACCACCGCGCGCGCGCATGTGCGCTCGTCGCCGCGTTTGCGCGTCCCCCGGTGCGGCCTTGCGACGCCGCTCCTGCGTCCGTGCATCCTGGGCTCTGCCCCGAGCCTGCCGCTCGCGCCGAACCAGCGCCGCAGTAGCCTCGGGACAGCAGCAGCCTCAGACGCGACGAGATGAGCGCAGGGGCGGTGCGATCCGCAAGGTCGCACCGGGCGACCGTTGCGCCGCTCCCCCGTCTCTCTCGAGCCCCCAGCCGGGCAGCACGCCCCCCCTGCACACACGCGTCGCCGCCCTTTCCGTCGCAGGAGATCAAGCTCGAGCGCGAGAAGTGGGTGGGCTACATAAAGGACTACGACGGCGGGACGCTCATGGAGTGCGCGATGGACCCCGCGATGGACTACGTCCGCTTCCCGCTCGTCGTCCAGGACCAGAAGGCCGGCCTGTTCGAGGCGCTCAAGGGCTACTCGACCTTCCATTTGGTGCGTAACGGGCTGCAGCAATACCAGCCGCCGCGGCCGGGGGCGCCGGCGCCGGCGCTGCCGGCCGGGTCGAAGCACCCGAAGATGCACGCGGTTGCGCGGCTGGCGCCGGAGGACGTGCCCGGGGTCGCGGAGGCGGGGTGGTCGGCGAAGGACGCGGCGCGGCACAACTTTATACTGGTCGGGGTCCCGGGGGGACCCAAGGTGACGGAGGCGACGCTCAAGGCGCTCTTTGGGCAGGCCGTGGCGGCGGTGTCGCAGCACGCGGACGCGTGGCCGTTCCACGAGCCCGTCAACGGAGGTACGCTGACAGTGCTGGTTGCAACGAGCCTGGCGGATGCGCGAGGTTGCGACCGGGTTTTTCCGTCGCTGCGACGCTATGATGGTCGGATTTTAATCGTTTGTGTCGTTCTGTGCGTCGATGTCGCGCGCAGACGAGGTCCCGGACTACTACGAGGTGATCAAGGATCCGATCGATCTGCGGCTGGTCAAGGAGCGGCTGGACGCGGGGTACTACCGCACGCTCGACATGTTTTTGGCGGACATGAAGCTCATGTTCAACAACTGCCGCTTCTACAACGCCCCCGAGACCATCTACTACAAGATCGCCGGGCGCCTCGAACAGTTCTTCGAAAGCTGGGTCCGCGAACACGTCACCTTCCTGGAGGCCTGATCGCGAACAAATGCATGCATTCATCGGCGAGGGCCGCACCGCCCAGGAGTGAACGCGGACAGGCACCAGCAGCACTCAGCGCAACTGCCCGCGTGCGAGTGCCGGCGCGCGTGTCCGTCAGCGCGCTCGTGCCTCGAGCGCCCGTCGACGGCGCGGCTGGACACCGTCGTTCACGCAGGGGGCCCTCAGGCGCCTCTCAGTCATGGCGCCAGCATGCGTCGCTCACGCCTGCGGCCGTGTAACCGCTCGAGGAGACACCCGTATCACGCGCGTCCGGCCGTATCCACCTCGGTCGTGCCGGCTGCACCAAAGGCACTTCTGGCAACATCTGGCCAGCAACGTTGGCCCATCGGCGGCAGCGCTTTCAAACGCACTCCGCGCGCGAAGCAGCAGGTGGCCGCACCGCCGCAGCTACGCCGGAACCCACCCAGAGTAGTAATTGACCACCCGCCACGGCGTCCGCGGCCGCCGCCCGCCCGCCCCCGCGGCGCTGCGACCCGCTGCGCACGCTATAGCCGGATTACAAGCGCTGCGCCGGCCGCAGCTAGCAGCGGCGCCGCCTCTATGGATACTATTCTCAGCGGATCGGGCGCAGCTAGCCGCGAGGCCGCCTCCTGCGCCCCTCACACCCCCCCGCGGCCCCGGAAACCCCGCGTCTAGTTCCGCCCTGCCTTGGTGGGGTTGATGCGACTCGAGAAGGTCGTGCCGCGGCTCTTCGGCTGGCGGAGGTTCCGCCCGCCCTCGCTGCGCGGGTTGCTCTTGAACTGCTTGTCCACTTGCATCGCGTACTTGTCGTGCATCGCCCGGACGCCCTGTTTCATCTCGCGCTGCCCCGAGGCGTCGTCAAGCATCGCGTTCAGCGCCTGCACCTCCGGGAGCACCTTCGGCGCGAAGTCCTGCTCCCTGCAGCGGCGCACGCGGGCGGGCGCGGACACCGTCGCGCGCTGCGGGCCGGAGCGCGCGTGTGTGCTGCCGAGGTGGTTGGTCCATGCAGTGCCGTGCGCGGTGTCACGGCCGGGATTCCGGGCTGGCGTGCAGACGTGCGGCCGTGTGTGAGAGAGCGGCGCGTGGGGGGGCGGCGCGGGGCGCCGCGGGCGCGGTCGCGGGGTGCGGGCGACGCGCAGTGGCACAACCGCTAGTCAGGTCGCGTTCCGCGGGCGCTGCGGCGCGGTTCGGGCGCGGTGCGGTGCGCGGCGTGGGCGTGCGGGGCCGTGCGGGGCGCGAGCGCACCACGGGGCCTTGTTGGTGTCGACGGCGGCGCCGGTGCGGGCCGCCTGGGAACGGGTGACGGGCTTCGAGGCATTCGTCTTCCCCGGCTTGACGACGCTGAGCTTGTGGCGGATCTGGCGAGGCAGCTCGTTCTTCCGCACGAAGCCCTGCGCGGCTCCGCGGGGGCGCATCGGCGGTGGGACGCGAGCGCGGGGGCCGCAGAGGCGCTGGACGGATGCAGGGGGTGGAAGTCGCGTTGCGGGCGCGACTGGCGGGCTGACGTGGGACGCCGGGGGCGCCGGCTGGAGTGCGGGGGGCGAGCTGCCGGGGATGCGCCGTCCGGCGGGGAGGCAGGCGCCGTGGCGGGCGCGCGGCGAGGCCAACCAACCGCGAGCGCTGGGGACGTGCCGCGGGCGCGCGTCGGGGCGTACGGGGCCGGTTCGGCGCGGTGGTTCGTTTTCGGTTTTGAGGACGTACCTTCATCGCGGGGCTGTTCGTGCGCGCGCCTGGGATGTTGCCCAGGTTGACGGCATTCTGCGGTGCGTGAGCCGAAGGGCGCTCGGCGCTGCATGAGACGCGGCCGCGGCGACGCGAGGCGCGTGCAACATTTCGACGCACTCCGTTTCGGGCCCTCGCGCGGCGCGATCATCACGCCGCAATCGGGACGCGGGCACGCACCTCGACAGTGACCTGCTGCCTGGTAGGACGCATTCTGCTGACTTCGATAGAAACTCGATCACAAACTCGTTCTCACTCGTACGTACGACCGCGCCGCACGGCCGCGCCGCCCCTCGAGCCCGCGCGCCACGCCCAACCTCGCTTGAGCTGGCGCCAGCCACGCTGGTGGCCCGACCCCCCCGCACGCCCCCCCGCGGGCTCCTTCGGCGCTGCCAGCGGCGCGGCCGGCTCAGACTGCCCCCCCTGCTTCTTCGAGGGGCGAAATCTCGTCCGTCGGGAGCTGCGTGCGGAGAAGGGGGCGCTCGAGGCACTACGAAAGGGTGCGAGGGCGCCGCGATGTCCGAGTACGGGAAGAACACGCCGCGCAGCCCGACGGAGTTCCTCAAGGCCATCAAGGGCAAGCCCGTCGTGGTCAAGCTGAACTCGGGCGTGGACTACAGGCGCGACTCCCTGCACGCCGCGCTGCGTTTCCGTCGCCCCGTCGCGCGCGCTGCCCCGCCGCGGACGCGCCTGGCGCCGCCGGATACCTCACGATCCACTCCGTGCGGGACCGCGCGGTTTCGGCGGCGCGCCGCTGCGCCGGCGCGGTGATTGCTGTTTTCAGGAAGCACAGGGTCTTTTGTGCGTGCTTGCGCGCCAACGGGGGGCCCGGCGGCGCGTGCGTTGCAGGGGGATCTTGAACTGTCTGGACGGCTTCATGAACATCGCGATGGAGCAGACGGAGGAGTACGTCAACGGCCAGCTCAAGCGCAAGTACGGCGATTGCTTTCTGCGCGGCAACAACGTCATGTACATCTGCGCGGACATGAGCAAGATCCTCAGCGAATAACCGCGGGCCCCGCGACCGCGCGGGCGCGCCCGCCGGCGCCCACGCCCCGGGCGCCAGCCGCGGCGCGCACCGCCCGCGCCACACACCAGGGCGTCGTCACAGCTCGCAACCTGCATACAGCCGAAGCTAACCGTACTGTAACTACTACTACCGCATCCTCTTTCGTCCCAGCGGGCCCGCTGCGCGCCTCGCCGCAAGGGCCGCCGGTTTCCTGGACTCTCCTCCGGGCGTCGGCGGGTTACGGCAACTCGCTCTGTACGCCCCCGCTGCGCTCGTTGCCGCGCGGCCGGGCGCGCGAGCTGGCAGGTGGGCTCACGGAGCACGTCGCTCGGCGCAGGTTCGGTTGAGCCGCGGCCCGAGAGGAGCGCACGGGCGGCTGGGAGGTGCGTGTGTTTTGCGGCCGGCAGCACGGCCGCGTAGATGATAGCACGGATCGCGCTTGGCCCGGCAGGCCTCGCGAGGAGGGTGGGGATGGTGAAGAAGACGGCGATGGAGCGCACGGCCGCGAAGGCTGCGCAGGCCAACACGATGCTTGGCGTCAGGGTGGCGCCCCCGCCGGGCGCCGCGAAGCGCGAGGTGACGGTCGAGAAGCCCGCGGACGACCCGTTCCTTGATCTCGGGCTCGACTGGAAGGTCCTGGAGGAGGTGCGGGTCCGCGTGTGCGACCGGCAGCGGCGCCCGCTGCAGCCGCACACTTGCGCGCGTCGCCACGGCGCGCCAGCGCCGCCGCATCGCGAATGTGCGCCGCGGCATGATAGAACACCCCGTAACCTACACCTCTCCAGGCCACAACCCGCTGTGTCGGCCCTCACCGCCGAGCCGGCCGTCCTCTTCTGCAGGCTGGCGCCATCCGGGTGCGGCAGCACGTCAACCCGCTGCAAAAGCAGCACCAGATCCCGGCGACGGGTCTCGAGTGGGACAAGGTCTTCGCGGACCCCAAGCTCCCGCTCGTCGTCGACGTCGGCTGCGGTCCCGGCCGCTTCCTCCTCCTGCTCGCCAAACGCTGGGGCACCGAGGGCCGAAAGTGCAACTACCTCGGCATCGAGATCCGCACCAAGATGGCCGAGAGGTGCGCCGCGCCGCCCAGCGGCCCGACGCCCGCGCCGGCGCGCACCGCAACACACCACGAGCGTGAAATAGTACGCGCGTTGTGTTTGATGTTTGATGGTGTGCGTGTGCGTTTCCGCGCTGTGCTGACCCGGCACGCGCTCGCGTGCGGCTGCGCTGGCGCAGGGCGAACAAGTGGGCGAAGCTGCTCGGTCTGGACGGCAACGTGCACTTCCTCGCCACCAACGCGACGATATCCATGAAATCCCTTCTGGAAAAGTACCCGGGGGACCTGGACCTGGTGTGCGTGCAGTTCCCGGACCCGCACTTCAAGCGCAAGCACCACAAGCGCCGCACCGTCCAGCCGCAGTTCGTCGACGAGGTCACGGAGCGGCTCGCGCCTGGCGGGCGCGTGTTTCTGCAAAGCGACGTCGAGGCGGTGGCGATCGACATGCGCGACCAGTTCGAGGAGCGGCACGCGGAGAAGTTCGAGCTCGACAAGGCGCACGCGGAGGGCCGGACGTTCCCGGCGCGGCAGGCGCGCTTCTATGAGGTTCTGCATGACCGGATGACGGAGGGGGGGAAGAAGGCGGTGAGCGGGGCGGAGGTGATCGTGGAGGGCGCGAAGCACGACGAGCTGGAGCTGGACGGGCAGTGGGACGGCGACGACGGTGCGTGGCGCCCCCGTGCTGCCCACGCCGCGGCGGCGCACGCCGGTTGCTGTGTTCAGAGGCGGGGTAGCGCGCGGCTGGGGCGCTCGCGCCGTGGCTTGGGCGGGTAGAGTGACGGCGCGGGTGGATGTCGCGCGGTCGGGGCGTGGGTGGTTTGGATGCGGCGTGAATCGGGTTTTTCCGATGTCTGTTGTGTGGGTGCAGGGGGGTCGTTTCGGAGCAAGTGGGCGCAGGCGGGGTGGCTGGTGGACAACCCGCTGCCGGCGCCGACGGAGCGGGAGGTGTACGAGCTCGTGAATGAGAAGTTCGGGGGCGTCGCGCACCGCATCCTGCTCGTGAAGAAGGACGCAGGCGACGGCAAGTGACCGGACGCTTGCGACGCGAGGCCGGGAGTGGGCGCGGCTGAAAACACGTGTGTGATCGTAGCTCGCTCGTGGGTGCTGTGCCTCGCGCGGACAGCGGCGCGAAGAGCGGCCCCGTCAGCGGGGGGGGGTGGGAAGCCCGACGTTGCTTGGGGGGGGGGTCCGGCGGTGTGCGCGCGGATGCTGGGCGGGTCGAGGATTTTGGAAGCCGACGAGGCCCTCCATAACTCAGTCTTGCCCTGGAGGCAGAAAGGTTTTGCCGGATTTGCGGTTCAGGCGCGGATTTCCGCAGGGCGACTGCTCGAGGCCTCGAGCGGACGCGACGCGCGGAGCGCGCCGACGACGCGTTTCTGCTTCTGAGCGCCGACTGAAAGGGCAAACCTGAATCGATTCGGGCCAACAGTCCCGGAATCGCGGCGATTTGCGACGTGGACGACGCGCAGGAGGGCGCCGCAGCAAGTGAGGGCGACCATCTGTCTATTGGATCGTCCCTCCGCTTTGGCTCCTTTTTCGGCGCTGACGTTCTGCTCACATGCTCTTCGTGATGCATGACAACTCACTCACAGCGCTACTCCAACGTTCAAGTAATTATATCACCACAAATGAGACCTCTGCCTGCAGGTCCTAAGATGCGAGCTTCAGCGCAGCGACGTGCCTCGACGCGACCCAGCGCGCACACATCCGCCCTACGTGGTCTGCTCCTTCTCGCCGCGCTAGCCTTCGTGGCCTCCGGGGTCGTGGCGGTGCCGATTCAGCCGCCACTGATCCTCGGCACACGCCACGGCTGCGGCCCGGCGCTGGTGCCGAGCGTCGAGGGTTCCGGGGACCCCGTCGTGTACGCGAACCTCACGGGCACGGTCGTCGACGGGTCGCCCGTGCGCTGGAGCGTGCCGGCCGGCGCGAGCGCGTATGGCCCCGGGGGTGTCGTGTGGCGCGTCAGACGCGACGTCGGCGTCGTGGCGTCCGCGCCGCAAGTCCGGTACCGGCTGTCGCTCTCGAAGATCGCGAGCGGCACGTGGTACGATGCAGCGCTGAGGGAGCGCGACACCGGAAAGGCCTGCGGGTCGATGGCGACGACGACGTCGACCGCCGGGAACGCCACCGTGGCGCCCCAAGCAGGTGCGTCGACGAGCGAGCGAGCATGCTGGACGCGCGGTCGCTAGCTGTGTTTGCGTGGGGAGCGCGCGAGACGCAGCTGCGGAGCAGGCCGTCCCGTGGCGCCACGATCAGAATATGAAAGAAGATTTATGATTACAAGATGCTCGCACAACTGCCTCACTGCGGTGCCTGGCCGCCGCTGTGCGCAGGGGCGCCTCGGTCGTCGTGCTGCCGCGCAGGAACCGAGCGCGAGTACGCCGTCGAGCGTCAGCCGCAGCCGCTGGCGGCGTACAGTGCGTCAGACGCACCCGCCGAGCCCGCAGTCGCTCTCACCATCTCCGTGCCCGGCGCCGGCCTGTCCGACGAGCTGCAGCTCGTCTGCGGCGGCAGCGACACCGGCTCTCCCGCGGGCTGCGCCCTCTCGTCCCCGGCGCGGGCTCCCGGCGCTCCTGTGTGTCTGACAGCGCTCACGCAAGCAACTCGAGCTTCCAGCTTTATGGGCTCCGCGTCTGACTTGGCCCTGGTCTCTCGCCGCGACGGCAGCGTCGCAGAGGGCGCTGCGGTCCTCCCGCGCGCCCTGCTGGGCAGCGGTGCCTCACGCCGTCTTGGCATCTCGCAGGAATCGCTCGAGGCCTGTATCGGCTTGAATACCGCTGCTCTGGCATCCAAGGACCTCCAGGTGCCCAACTGCCCTGCCGATGGCATCTTCGCGAGGTGCATGACCCTGCTGGGGGCGCAGACCCCCGCCAGCGCCGCCCAGGACGCACTGAGTCAGTTGCAACTGGCAGACATGCCTACGAGCAGCATCGCCTTCCCCTGGCCCGACACTTCCACAAACTGCTCCGCTACGGCAGACCTCGACCCGGAGAACTCGTCAGGGACCGTCGACGCGGCCTGTCCCGCGGTCGGTGCAGCCGCAATCACCCTCCATGGTCTCCTCGCACTTCCGCAATCGGCTCTCGCAGCGTTCCCGAGCTTCGTCCGCCCGGCGATCGCGCGCGCCGGACCGTACGTGCCCGTCCAGCCCTGCACGGGCGCCCCGGCCGGGTGCGCGAACGCGACGGTGCACGTGGACGTCCGCAACGATGGCAACGCCACCGGCCCCGTCGGCGTCGCCTTGGATGCGTGCCGGTTCGTCGCGGCGACAGGAGCGACGCTCAGCGACGGCGCGGACGGCGCGCTGCTGGGTGCGTGGAGCGCCGAGGCGACGAGCGTTGCGCCGGGTGGTGGGCTGCGGTATCTATTTGCCGTGGTTGGCGAAAGCGCGTCGTTCGGCGGGGAACTCGGCACCGTGTCCGGCGTGGAGTGCGCGGCCCGCATGAGCGTTGCAGGTGCGAACATCTCTGCGTGCCTGCGCATCGCCGCGCTGTCAGACTCGTACTTGAAACCTGAACGTCATGGTCAATTTTAACTGTTGAGACATCTCGGGGGCGGTCGCTCCGTCTGACCGATCGCGTCGCACCTCTCGCTGCCCTTGCAGGCTTCGAGGTCGCGTCGGAGCTCACGTTCTTCTCGTTTGCGTCCGCCCAGGACTTCCCAGGGCAGCCGTCCTCGGGCTTCGTAGCTGCGCCCAACGCCACGCTGCCAGCGCTGGGCCTCCCGACGGCACCGCCGCGCCCGACCGCCACCGCCGCGGCGTCGACGCAGCCAGCGCCGTCCACGCCGTCCCCGACCGCGTGGCTCGCGTCCTTCGCGCGCCCGTCTGTCCTGACGACCATCCAGACAACACTCCCCTCCCTGACAGCAAACCGGTCCGTCACGATCGCCGACCGGGCCTCGGCGCTCGCCAGGGAGCTCGGCTCCCTTCTCGACGACGCGGCGGTGTCCGTCAGGGTCAAGAGGTACCGCGTGGTGCTGACCGCGGCCGGCACGTGGGCGCTCTCGACCACGCTGCAAGTGTCGCAGGGCGACGACGTCGGTCACTGCGCTGGAGAAGACAGCATCGCAGCCCTCCTCAGCGGCCTGCGCGCGAACGATACGGTCGAGTCCGCGCTGACCGCTCCCGCGGCGGGGGACGGGCTGGCAGCCAGGACACGCGACGTGGCAGCCAGGGCTCGGCGGCTGTCGCAGCTGGCGGAGCGGGGAGCCTACACAGGTGCGGGGGGCCGATCGTTGCATGGCACGCGAAATGCAACAGCAATGGCGGTCGAGTCCGGTTCGAATCTCGCTCCGAAGACATGTTGAACGTCATGGAGTTGCTTGCAGTGATTTCGAGCCCCCTGGGCATTCCGGCGTTGCCCGACATGGCGTGCTCGGAGCAGGCGAGCTGCGGCGCGCACGGCGTCGCGCTGGGGTGCGACTGCGCGTGCCGGCCGCCGTACAGCACGGTGGGAGACAGCGGCACGTGCGCAGCCAACACCACCGCCCTCGCGGCCCGCGTCACGGTCGATCGCGATTCGGGCGAGGGAGAGACAGCACGCCTCGAAGACGAGCTCACGCTGTCGGACTGGATCGGGCCCATCGGAGTCGTGTCAGGCATTGCATCAGGTACAACACAAGAATACCACACTCAACATCACGTCAGGCTGGCCGGGCATGGAATGCTGGACGAGCAGGCTCACGCACCGCTCCCTGTGCCACGCTCGCAGCCATCGGCATCAGCGCCATCGGCGTCTCGGGCTACCTGCGGTGGCGCGCCGCCCGCGACGGAAAGCGGAAGGAGAGCGCGGTGGAGCAGACCAGCGACGGCGGCGACGACGACGCGTCCGGCGAGCGAGACGATCCCCGCCGCTCCATGGACAGCGACGACCTCATCGACGCGGACCCCGCGTGGCGCACCGGTCAGGTGCGCGTCCGACACCCCCGGAACCTTCAATAGTCCCCCCCTGCTCTGAACGCTCGGATCGAGCCGGCGCGGGGTGGCGGTCGCTGCGCCGCGTAGCTTGCGCGGCCGGTCGACGGCCCAGCCAGTCCGCCCGCTCTTCGTCGCCGCAAAAACCAGACCCCATTTCCCGAGTGATGTTGGCGCCGTTGCAGACGTACGCGGAAGAGGTTGTGGAGCCCGGGCAGGTCCCCGCGTGGGACGGCAACCCCCTGACGTACACCGCCTTTTTCCGGCCGGGGCGCGACGGCAACTTACCGACCTTTGGCGGTCCGGACCCCGGGGTACCGTTGCGCGGCGAGGAGCGGCCGTGGGCCGCCGGCGACCCCGGAGGCGACGACGGCGCGTCGTTCTCGAGTTTCCTCGGCGCCGCTCCGCGCGGGGGGTCGGCGTCGCTCGACGGCACGCTGTGGCACACGGGGCAGGGTTTTGCGAGCAGCGGGCTGGCGACGTTGCGCGAGGGGGGCGCCGAGGGCAGCGACGGAGAGAACGACGCGCTGCGGGAGCTCATGGAGATGGAACCGGCTCCGGGCAACCCGTTCGCGTGAGGAGGGTGCGGTGGTGCGCGAGCGGGGCTTGAGGGGCGATATGTGCAGCGTGTGGGCCCGGCGGCGCTCGGAGTCGCTGCGTCGTGGATCTGGAGCGTGAAGGGGAGTTGTTACATCCGAATGTAATATCGTTTGGTCGCCTGAGCGGCCCCGGAAGTGGTTTTTTACTTGGCAGCCTTAGTCACCGTGAACTGCGGCGGCGGGGGCGGCAGCGGCTCGTAGACCGCCGGCTTGCGGTTCTTGTCCGAGGGGGTCCTCTGCGCGGGCGGGGCGGCAATGCCAGCGGTGAGAGCTCGGCGCTGGACAGCACGCTGGACGTGCAAGACGACACTGCTCTAGGGCGTGGCTCTGAGGCTTGCGGGCACGGATGGCGCGCGTGGCGCAAGATAAGAGCCCGGTGCCAGCGCTGGTGCGTCGAGATGAGAGCGTGGTTGGCAGGTGGCGGCGCGGTGGCCGATGTGGGCGAGTGGGCAGCAGAGGCCGCTTGGCACTCGCGGGGGCGAGGAGCCGCGAGGGGGGGGCGGCGGGTCTGAGCGGGAGGTTTGGCTGGAGACGGTCGTTGGCGCGGAAATTGAGGGCTCGCGGCGCGCATCGCGTCGACGGCAGACGAGGCCGAGCTCATCCATTGCCGCAGCGGCGCGCGAGGCGCAACTTCGGGGCAGGACTGGCTGCGGCGCTTGCGGAGCGTACCTTCTTTGGCCGGGCGTGGCGGACGTGCTTGATAGCCTGCAGTCGGAGAGGCATCGAGCAACTGGCGTCGACTCGCGCACGGCACAGCGCCAACGCGGGGGCGCAGGTCGCCCAAAACCGCGCAGGCGGGCGCATTCATTGCAGCTGCGCGCAGCTGCGCTGTCGACGTGCGCGTCCGTCACGCGAAGGCACGCACCTTCTGCTCCACACGCATCGAGGTCTGCAGCCTCGACGGGGCCTTGACCGCCACAGCCGCGCGCGGCGCGGAAACCTGAACCACAACGCCCATGATGCCTCCCGTCCGTTCTGGCCGCACCGGGCGGCCTCAGCGCGCAATGCGCCCCTCGTGAACAGCGGCGACAGACTGCCACCTCAGGCCGCGCGCGGCGACGCGGGGCGGTGGAAGGGCGGCCCCGCGGGCGCGCCCCTGCACACAGCGCGTCCGCGGGGATCTCGAACCGTTCGCTTCAAGGTCGGGATTCCGGCCGGGGCCTTGAAAGACTACGGCGCGTCACTGCCGGGCCACAGGGGAAGTCGCTGCGTCCTGGTGACCGGGTTCCCGACATCGAGCACGGCGTCTGTATCTGAACGAGCGGTGTCGTGCACCCGGCGCGCGCGTGGGAGCGCCGGGCGGCGAGAGAGGCGGGCCTAAACCATGGGGAGAGTGAAGACGGGTCCTGGGCACCGGAAGCTTCCGTGTCCCCTGTACGCTGGATCATGGGTTACGGACGATCTGTTCGTGGTGGCGGGGGGCGGCGGGAAGACGAAATCGGGCATCCCGAACAGGTGCGGCGTCGTTTCTGAGCGCGCGCGAGTGTTGGTCCGTTCCGCGGCATTGCGGCGCGCAAGGGGGACAAACTGTGCGGCTGCCGATCCCTCTCAGTGTGAACATGCATCTAGCGCAGAGAAACGTGCGCTCATCCTGATATATGCGGAAAAATCCGCGTGCGAGCGTTCCGCACTCGCTTGCGACCCACGCGCGGCACAGCCGCCCCGTCGCGCAGGATCATGCTCCTGAGGGTCGACAACGGAGCTGTCACCGAGCCCGTGGCGTTCGTGGACACGCCTGACGCGCCCCTCGCGCTCGCGGTGCACCCGGCGGGGCGCATGCTCCTCGCGGCCATGGCCTCGGGGGGCTGCATCGCGGTCAGCATCGACATCGCGACGGCGACGCTGCGCGTGAACGAAGCAGTCACGGACAAGCTCTCCGCGGACCGCGTCGGATCCGTGAGCAGGTGCGCCCGTGCGCGACCCCCCCCACAGACTCACCCGCGATGCACACACCCCTCGGCCCGGGCGGTCGCACACGCGCGGGGTGTGCGCCGCGTGTCTGCAGGATCGTGTACGACAAGAAAGGGATGGTTGTGGCGTTCGGGCTCGACGGCCCCGTCACGAGCCGCGGAAGCGTCGTGTCGGTGGTTGTGCTCGACGCGTCAACGCTCGACTTCGTCTCCGAGGTGGAGGCCGCCGTCCACGGCGACACCCGCGCGGGCGTCAAGGTGCGCCGGCCGCCTGAATAAGCATGCGAACACCCCCCTCGTTGGAATGCACCCCTGCGAGCAAGGGGGCGATGGGGGGGTGTTTTGTTCTGAGCGCCGCGTGGGCTCGGTCGCCGCAGGACGTGGACTTCTGCCGCTTCGGGCAGCCCTGGCTGGCGGTCGTCGACGAGAGCGGTTCGGTTCGTGTTGCGAATTACGAGTCCGGAGTCGTGTTTTCGCAAATGCCGGCGCCCCCGCCGCCCTTCGACAAGGCCGGCGCGGCGCGCTGCCAGTTCTCGCGGCAGCACGACGAGTCCGCGCTCTTCGTGCTCTCCAACTGCGCGGTGCGCGGAGAGCCCGCCGGGTACGTCGCGCGGTGGGAACTCATACCGCAGAGCGTGGCTGACTCAGTTGGACGCGTCAACCTCGCGTGGATCGGCGGCCGCTTCCGCCAGGCGATCGCGGACCCCATCACGACGATGAACATCAGCAGGTGCGCAGCGGCCCCCGCGCCACCCCCGCGCGCCATCGCGCGGCCGCCCGGGCGCGCCGCCGATGCTGCGCCGCGAGCGTGGCGCCGCCACGGTGGCCGCGGGAGCGGCTGCTTGCACCAGCGCTGCGTCGCGTGCACCCCAACAAGAGGTGCCGGTGCTGACCGCGACGCGGCGCGCGACGGCGCTGCCGTTCACGATGTGCGTGCCGGGCCCGCGCCGCTGCGCACGTGGCCGCCGCGCGCGCCGGCCGGTCTGGCCCGACGCCGCCGCCCGTGCGACGACGAGCGCTGAAGAGCGCGCACACACCTGGCGCGGGCTGTCCGTTTGCGCCGGGGCCCGGCGCTCACTCTGGGCGCTGTTCGTGGACGGTGGTGCGTGCAGGAGCGGGTCGCGGCTGGTCGTTGGGAGCTCGGAGGGCGAGATCCGCGTTTTGGCAGCGAATGCCGCCGCGAGCACAAGCTACCGCCTGAAAGACGCCCACATGGTCGTGGTGACGCAGGGGTGCTTCTCGCCGGACGAGAACAGCCTGCTGACGGTCTCCGCGGACTCGTCCGTGCGCGTGACGAACGTCGCGGGCGTCAAGGGGGCTTCTCCGGGCCAGGGGGGGGGGAGTTCGGGGGGGTCCTGCCTGTGGACGCTGGTCAAGCTGGTGCTCTTCCTCTGCCTGCTCGCGGCCGTCGTTGTGGCGTACCTCGTCGACGTGGCGCACCCCGGCGTCATCGGGCACGCCGTTCTGCACGGTGATGCAACTGCGCTGCTGGCAGCGGTGCGCAGCGTCGTGGCGGACGCACAGGCGGGGCGGTGGGACGCGGACACGCCACGGGGCGCGCGATGACGCGCCGCGACGCCGGTCGCGGCGCACGTGGACGCGCAAGCGCGGGTGCGGTGCGCACGACGCGCGTGCTGTCGGGGGACGCGCACGCGGCGCGCTGTGACCGCCACGCGCGAGTCGCGGCGCCTCCTCATGCGGATGGCCATGGGGCTAAGCACCGAACGCGATCCCGGGCCGCACAGGCACGAAACGGCGACGTGAGAGCATGTAGCCTTTGCGGGTGGCAGGTGTGCTCGTGCCGTCGCGTTTCGCGGCCGGATCGGTTCTGTCGTCCCGCGCACGGCTCACAGGGCCGCGCAGGCCTACTTGGCCTGTGCCTTGATTGCCTTGACCCTCTTAGACCTCGCATCAGGACTGAGCATGAGCCGGTCGAAATCTCCGAGCGTCTCGTGCCGCTGCTGCCGCTTGAACGCGCGCAGCGCCGCCACCCGCTCGTCTGCGCTCTGCAGCAGCTCCTGCGTCCACTCCTTCCTCTGCGCGAGCGCGCGGGACGAGCGGAAGGGTCTCAGCGCGCGCGGGGAGCCGCGAAGCGCTCGCGTGGGCGGCCTGCGGTGCGCAGGGGGCAGCTGCGCAGGCGCCGGACCTGTACTCGAAGGATGTCGTCCTTGTGGCCCTTGAAGAAGCCCTTCCAGCCGTGCGAGAACTCCCGGGGCTCCTTTGCAGGGAAGGGCCACGGCACGTCGTGCTGCTCGAACTCCTTCTTCAGAGACTTGAGCCGCCTGGCCTTGATTTCCGGGCCCTGCGTGCGCACGGCTCGGGCCCGCGGGTTCGGGTGCGCGTGGAACGGAGCAGAGAGCACTACGCTGGGTGCAGGGTCGCCCGCGCGTCACGTACCCGCCACCGCATGCCCTCCGCTTGGACCGTGTTCAGCTTGACCTTCTGTAAGCTCCCCTTCGCCAGGTCCGGGAGCACCTTCGCGAGCTCCAGCAGCTTCTCGCGGCGACCCATTGCCGCACCTCTGCACCCAACCTCCGCCTACGCAACGCCCCCCCCTCCGCCGGACGTGGCGCCCCGCTGAGCGCGACGATGAACCGCTAGCTATCCAGGGCCGCCGCCGTGACGGCAGGGATCACCAGCACGCAGTGGGAGCGCACTTGCGCACTGTGTCTGCTTCAGCACGCGATCGTGGATGATGACGGCGTTTCTAACGCGTTCCACGCTGTCTAGGAGCTTGACAAATGCACGCTCTCCAGCACGCGCGGCCTATTCGGTGCCTGGGGGCCCCGCAGTGCGCGTGGGAGGCCTCGACGTTGACACCACCACCAGCACACGTAGACAGCCCTCCCGGCGCTGTCGCCTTGGCGCGCCTGGCCCGCGGTGCGCCGCACATCTGCGAACTGAGCTTCGCGTCATCCTGCTCCGCGCACAGCGGAATCGTCGCCCGCGTTCGCCCGAACGGGCTCCCTCCTTGCCTGCAATAGAGGCTGCTGCCGTCGCGCCACGGGCCGTCACCGGCGTCGCACCCCGCGATACGCACGAGCGAGGTTCAGAGGCTGGCCGGACTCCGGGGCGCATCGGGGGGGCGTATCCTCGCGGCAGGAGCAGGAGCGTCTTCGTCGCACTAGGTCTGCCACGCCCGGCAAGCGGGGGAGTGTCGCGGGGAGCAGAGCGGCGATGGGGGGGTCTCCGGGCAGGCAGAAGCTGTTCCAGCTCGCGAAGGGCTTCCGGGGGCGTGCGAAGAACTGCTACCGCATTGCCAAGCAAGCGGTGTACAAGGCGCTGCAAAAGAGCTGGACGGACGGACGCAACAGGAAGCGCGAGGCCCGGGAACTGTGGATACAGGTCAGGGCTCGCGCTTGAGCGCAAACGCGGGGCCGTTCGCCGAGAAACGCGGTCCTCCCGTGGGTGTGCGCGCTCCGCAGGCCTTGGCGCGGGTCCGCGCGGCCCGCGAGGGCGTTTTTCCACGCACTCATATCATATGTGTACGTGTTCTTGCTCGTGCGTGCAGAAAATCAACGCGGGGACGCGGCAGCACGGCCTCCCGTACAGCCAGTTCATCCACGGCCTGAAGGAGGACAACATTGCGCTCGACCGCAAGTCGCTCGCGACCCTGGCCGAGTACGAGCCGCTCTCCTTCCAGACGCTCGTCGAGCGCGTCAAGTACATGAAGGGCATCACCCCGGAGACGCTCGCACAGATGCCAGCTAAGCGCGCCCGGCCTCAGGTCGGCCGCAAGCCCGTGCCGCATCAGCCGCCGCCGCTGTGACCCGGCCCGCGGCACCCGCAACGCCACCACCTGCTCCACGCGCGACGCCAGGCACGACCGGACACCTGCGGGGCTCGTGCGGCTGCAGAGCGACACAGGCACAAACATGCTGTAGCGCGCTAGATCGGCCGTCGTGCGCGACGGCTGGTGCTCAGAGGGCACTGGCATCGCGCCGCGGACCTGTGGCGGCGCGCACGCGGGGCCGCTGGCTGCATAAGTCACGCGGATTGTCCTTTACACGACTGCGAGTTGATTGCGACAAACGTGCCTCGCGCGCGCTCTGTCACGGTCGTTTCCTACGCCCCGAAGCAAGCTCGTTACGAGCTTTGCTGAGAGCCGTTCGCTCGCGGCTCGCCTCTGTCGCATCCAGTGCGTCCCGCGCCCCGCGACGCGCGTCACGCTGCTTTGCCGTCAACCCTCCGCAGCTCGACTTCGAACAGGAGCGGCTCGCCCGAGTGCACCTGCAGCTGCCGCTTCGTCGCGAACGTCGGCGGCTGCGGCTGGAACTCCCCCCCCGCGCCTGACTTGTACCCGACGTCGGGCGGCATGAGCAGGCGCCGCTTGCCGCCGGGGCGCATGCCGACGATGGCGGCCTCGAGGCCGGGAACGACCTCGCCGCTGCCGAGCTTGAGCAGCACGGGTCCGACGGGGATGTCCTTGGGCTGGAACGACACCCCCTCGATGGTAGAATAAATGAAATAGCCGTTCGAGCGCCGGATGACGTAGTCGACGAGCACCACGCTCGTCTGACCCGCCTCGACGCTGCCGGACCCGATCGAGAGCTCCTGCACCTTGACCCCTGCGATCGACCAGAGGGGGGGGTGTCAACATGTAAAGGGGGGGTGGAGTTGCGCGCGAGGGCGGGGACGGGGGACGCTCTGGGCACGGGATTCGCATTCGGGGCAATCGCCGAGCGCGCATTTCGTTCTGAAAGCGTGTTGTGGTCCGGTGCGTGGCGCGATGCGCAAAAGGTGCAGGGGGCGCACCGTTGTCGAGTTTGAAGAACTCCGGCTGTCCCTCTGGATTCTTGGCGGCGAGTCCGGGCGTGGACCAGTCGCCTGCGGACTGCGCTGCCCGGGGGGCTGCGACTGCGGGCGCGGAGGGCGTCAGCGCTAGACCTGCGAGAACGAGGGCTGCCGGCGCGGCTGTGGACCCGAGAAGCTGGCTTCGCCGCGACACCTGCGTTGTTTCTACGTTTGTCAGTCCATCCTGCGGGCGCGGCGTCGCGCTCGTGCGCGCCGCGGCGCGCGCGTGGCCGCTAGCTGCCTGGCCACTACTTGCTTGCTTGATTGCGCAGCGCATCACGACTTTTTTGACCTCAAAATACGCGCGACAGCTCGCTCACTGTCGGTGGTATCCCCTGCACTGGCGCGACGGGCGCGATCGGGCCGCTACACAGCGCCAGGTCGTGCGACTCAGGTCAGACTATCGGCTTGACACAGTCCGTCACACGGAACGGGGACGCAAGGGCGCATGCCGCCGAGTCGGCACATGCTCGCCCTCGCAGCAGCAGAGGAGCATCGGCCGCCGGGCGACGTGGTCTCCGTATTCTCACTTGCACGTCTTCCGCGTTCCGCTATCAACCAGTGTTGGCACGACACTCCTCGGCGAGGGCGGTGTACGCGACGACCTGGCGGCGCGTGTGGAGGAACTGCGCGAGGATGAGCAGGTCGAACGTCAGGCACACGAACGCGTCGACCAGCCACGGCAGGCGCTGCAGCGTCGCCAGGGGGGAGTTGTCGCCTGACGTCAGCATCGACAGCACGAACGTGACGTTCGCCGCGATCGCCAGCCAGAACATCATGCTCGACAGGCCCTTCGTCGTGCCCCGCCTGCAACAACACCATCACGCACGATTGCACCGCAGTGCTGTTTCGCCTCAACATCGTTGCGTCGGCCAAAGCGGCCGACGTCGTGCGGGCAATTGACCGCCTCGGCGCGCCGCAGCTACGCGCGTGGTCTCACCTTGCGTTTTTCACGATCTGCGGCACGCGGCTCCCGATATAAAAGAGACTCATAAGCCAACCCATCAGCCAGCCCACAAGCACCGCGCGCTGGCGCGTGAGCTCTCGGAACGCCTCCCCGGCCGGCATCGGCCAGCGCCCGTCCACGTGCCACGCCCCCGTCAGCCACGGCACCGCCACCGCCGTCGCGCCGAGCAGCACGCACCCCGCGACCGCCACCGCCATCCCCCGCCCGCCCCGCGCCGCCGCCGGCCCCTCAGCCGTGCACACCCAGCTCGCCGGATCGCCCGGGAACTCCCCGAACGCCTCCCCGGCGTCCGCGTCCGGCCCCGACCGCTCCGTCGCGACACCCCCCCCATCCTCGCTGTCCGGCCGCTCACTCCCCCCCGACACCCGCGACGCGGCGCTCGCCCCGACCCCGGCCCCCGCGGACCCGCGCTGCCGCAGCACGTCCGCTGCGTGCTTCGCCGCGAGGTCGTCCGCCGCGTCCGCGGCCCAGTGCGGGTCGCTCAATTTCACCAGCACGCCGCCCACTGGAGAGCCCACCGGGACACCCCCCACGCCCGCGAAGAGCCGCTCGTACTCGTCCGACGTGCCGCTCGCGCGCGAGTGCCGCGGCTCCGTGCCTGCGGCGTCCGCGAGGAGCTGCTCTTCCAGATCCGACGCCAATCGAGATCTAGTGTCTTCTGGAGAGCTGTGAGCGTCGGCTGTGCCCAAGTGCGACATTCCGTGCTTCACGGTGTCCCGGAGGCCCGTGTACCACAGGTGCTGCGCAGCGAGGGCCGCGGTGACCAGGACCCACGTCACGGCGAGGCCCGTTTGAGCCGGAATCGCAGACGTAAGCAGACATCCCAACAAATCCAGCACGCCCGCCTGCACGAGGCGCGTTCGCGCTTATGATGATCAGGACGGTGCAGCTAGTATCAAAGGAGCCGCCGAACGGTTCGACGGGCTCTTGACGGGCGCGCGGGCGGTGCGTGCGTGTGTGGGCACGCACGCACAGAGGGTGCGCACCCCGAACCAGAAGGCGATGAAGCCTGTTGAGAGGCCTTCGGAACTGCCTTCGCGGTAGTTCTTGGTCAACTGCGGACGACGATGTCTCGAGACAAGCGGTGTAGACGGAGAGCGAGCGACTAGATTCGCGCTGGAGGTTGATTCGCGCATCAGCTGCGTCCGCGCGCAGCGCAGGCCGCACCTGCGGGAGCTGGCTCAGAATCCACGCCGCGATGGAGATTCCTCCAAACACGTTGCTGACGACGCTCACCATCGCGCTGCGAGACACGAGCTGGAGCTTCTTCCAGAGACGCAAACACCGCTCTTACGTGTCCGCATTACGAACGCATCGATGAGAAACGGCTCCTTCTTCAGCAGGCGAGCGACAGCCACCGGTTACAGCGCCTGTCCATTGCAGGCCGTGCGCTGCGAGGCCCCTAGGACCGTCCAATAGTACCCGGAACAGGCTACGAGCTCGTCCACGGGGCAGGCAATGCCCCGCGGCCTTGCTCAACGCATACCACTGCCGCTCAACTCGATCACATCGATGCGGGGACTCATATTCTCCACGCACCGTCGCCTTTCGTCCAAGACTTGATGGAAGGCTCCGTGCACCACCCCGCAGCTCTGCGCGGGTGGAAAGACCAGCGGCGCGGGCCGCTCCCTTGCAGGACATTGCATTGTCATGCGCTAACGCCGCCGCATCGGCCTTCTCGTCGCGTGAGCGCCCCGAAGCGCTGCACCAAACGCCACGCATCGTCCGTCGCGCTGCCGAACGGGCTCGACGTCGACTACGTGAGCCGCGCGGACGTCGACTTCTTCTACACCGAAGTGTTCCTCCAGCGCTGCTACACCAGCCGTGGAATCACCATCCGGCAAGGAGACACAGGCAAGCACGCACCCCGCAACGCCAGGGCCCCCAGAACAAGCCACCCGCCATCACCAAGCTCCGCCCACCACGCTCGTCTACGCAGTGATCGACGTCGGCAGCAACATCGGGATTTTCGCGATCTTCGCGGCCATTGAGGCCGGTCCGACTGGAAGGGTTATCGCGGTGGAACCGATGCCCGCGACGTTCCGCTGCCTGGAGTCCAACGCGGCGAGGGCGCGCAGCTGGTGCCCGGGCAGCGCGCCGATCACCTGCGTGAACGCCGGCGCCGGTGACGGGACCGCGAGCGAGGGGGTGTTTACGTTCTACCCTCTCGGCGCCGGGTGGAGCACGATGGCGCCGGACGAAGCCGAGGTCGCGTCGGCGGTCGAGGCGTACCTCGAGGACGCGCTGGAGGACCTTGTCGGGCTGGAGTCGTCGCGGTTGGCGCGGGTGGCGCGGGGACTGAAGCGGGCGCTCCCCGGGGGAGTGTACGGCGCGCTGCAGCGCGCGGCGGTGCGGGCGATGGTGAGCGTGAAGCGGGAGGTGCGCTGTCCGCTCGTGACGGTCGGGGACGTCGCGGCGGAGGTGGGGGGGGGTGAGGTGGGGGTGTTGAAGGTCGACGTGGAGCGGGCGGAGCTGGCAGTGCTGCGCGGGGTGCCGGAGGAGCTGTGGCCGCGGATACGACAGGCAAGGGCGAGGATACCATACACACATGGCTCTCAGATACCGATTCGATATTCGATTCGATGCTTTGTCTTTCAGTGCATGGCATCTGTGCCGTGACCGCCTGGGACAGGAGGATCGCGACGATGCAGCGGTGCCCACGTCGCGTGCAGGTGGTGGGGGAGGTGCACGAGGGGAGCAGGGCGGAGTTCTGTGCGCTGTTGGTGGCGCAGGGCTACGAGGTGGAGGTGTGGCAGGAGGGGGGTCTCAGCGGCACCCCCCTCTACTCGTTCGCCGCGAAACGGCCGCAGTGACGCGCGCGGCGAGGCGCTCGGTGCGTCCGCGGCGCGCCGACGAGCGACGACGTTTGAGCAGCAGCATCATGCGGAGGAAGTCTGAAAGTCCCCCTCCACACAAAGTAGTAATTGACCACCCGCGCACGAAACGAGGGGGACTGACGTGTCCTCGCTCGATTCGGGTCTCACGTCTTGGTAGCCGCTGGGGCTCACAAGGGACCGTGCAGCCCCTTGTAGAAAGGTCATTCGACTGACAGTCAGTGATTCATATCTTCTACTTGCTGCGTCGTTACGATGTGAACTTGTTATACCACCCCTTCGAACGCAGGCGCCACCAGCTCCGCTCGCCCCGCCGAGGCTCGCACTCGGAGCCGCTCCCGTCCCGCTCCGTTCCCGGCCGCGCCCGCGGAGGCTCCTCAAACCACGTCATGATGTTATCAACCATGATAAACCATCATTTCCCTACTATCCGTCCTTCCCCGGAGACTCCGCGGACTCGCGGCGGTACAGCGTGTCGCGCGGGAACACGAACGGCCGGCGGCGGTCGCGCAGCTGCTGGATCACGCGCGCCACGCGCCCAGGGGACATGAGACCCCCCACATCCCCGGGGGGGTCGCTGTTCCGCCGCGACCGCTCCGTCCGCCCCTCCGCGCTGTCCTCGTCGACCGTGCGCATCGCCGACACCCCCGATATCGCCCGCGGCGCATCCGTCGAGCTGGGCCGCCGGACTGCGAGCGCCGGGGGCGCGGTTTGTGGGACAACGCGCTCCGCTTCACCCGAGGCGGCGAAGGCCACCACCGGCCGGACGCGCGACGCAGGCGTGGTGGGTTCGCCGGCCTCTGCGTCGACGTTCGAGTCGACGTTGTCGTCGAGGTCGCTGTCGGGGGGGGTGTCTCCGCCCGACTCCCCCACCACGCTGCTCCCCGCACTCCCCCCGTACAGCCCGAGGCCCCCCCACTCCGAGCTCCCGCCGCCGCCCGCGAGCCCGAGCTTCATCAATATGTAGTCCCGCTTGTCCCTCGTCCCCGTCACGCTGAACGACATACGCCCCCCCGACGGCGCTCCCGCCAAACCGTTCCCGATCCCCCCCCGGGGACTCCACCGCCCCGTGCCCCCTACGCCGCCGCCCGCGGCTTGCTTTCCCCCGCGCATCCCCGCGTCCAGCGCCTCCTGCAGGTCCCGTCGCAGCTGCGAGATCTCGGCCGCAAGGTCACCCTGCTGCCGTGCGATCGTTGCGCCGAGCTGCTCGACCTGGTGCGCGAGGAGCGGCTCCCCGAGGCTGAGGGGCTTCGGGGGCAGGCCTGGGTCCGCGACGGCGGCGGTGGGGTCCGTGGGCGCAGGGTTGGCGAGCTCGTGCGCGACGCGCAGCACGTGGACGTAGGGCGGGAACCAGGAGGCGTCGGAGCGCGCTTTGACGGTGTGCGGGAGCGCGGCCTCGATCTGCGGGCGGCGGGTGGCGCGGGGTGCGGTCGGGCGAGTTCGCGGGGGTGTTTTGTGGGGGGTTTTGGTTTGTTGGGTGCGTCATACCTCGCAGATGAGGAGCGCTTTGGAGCACAGGAAACGCGCGTGCTCCTTGATCTTCGCGTTGTCGTACACGGAGACCATCGCCGCGACGACGAGCGGCAGCAGGATGACCATGGTGGTGAGCATGTAGGCCAGAAACAGCGTCGTCGCGGGGCCGTGCGCGACCCCGGGCGTGTCCATGAACGTCGACACGTCGAACACCCCCATCGCCATCCCGAAACTCGACACCACGCTCCGCGCCGGCGTCGTGAAGTCCTCGGACGACGTCGGCGCGTAATCTTCGCTGTCCACGGACCGGAACAGCAGGAAGAACGTGTGCGCGAACCCGAGCATCGTCAGCATGATCATCGCGAGCAGCCACCCGACGCCAGACACCACCCCCTTGATCAGGTCCACGGGGGCGACCCGCGTGGCGTGGAAGACGCGCAGAAAGTACTGGAGCTTGAGCCAGAGCAGGAGGCACAGCACCGCGCTCAGCTGCGTGAGGACGGCCGCGGGGGCGCGGCTGAGGTGCAGCGCGGAGACGGCGGGCAGAAGGCCGTAGGTGCCGACGTCGATGATGTTCCACACGGTGAGGTAACTCTCGATACCGTAGATGCGGACGCTCCGCACCTCGGCCCACGCGAGCGGCGCCGCGAAGAGGAGCGCGGAGAGCTCGGAGAGGACGGCGAGGCGGCCGCGAGGGGTCTCGAGGAGGCGCGGGAGGGGGGTTTTGGCGTCCTCGCCGTGCAGGCAGACGGTGAAGCAGATGAACGACGCGAAGCAGGCCTGCGGGGAGCCGGAAACACGTCGGCGTTCACGGCGCTTCCGTCCCGGCGCGGACGCGAGTGCCCACAGTTGGGCTCGCAGTGCGCGACAACGCCTGCGGCGCGGGGGCGGGTTCGAGCAGGGCAACGAGCGTACCAGGAACACCCAGAGGAGGATGAGGGCGTAGGACCGCGCGAACGCGAGCCACTTGTGTTGAATAACCGCCTCCACCGCCGGCAGCGAGAACACCTCCACGCCGCACGCCTTCGACCGCCAGCGGCGCAGCAGCGGCTGCAGGAGGCCCAAGTCCCCTGCGCTCCACGCGGCGCCGCGCAGCGGCGCTCGGCCTCCGCCCCCGGCACGACACAGCGTCCGCAAGCAGCGCCAACGTACAACGCGCGCACACACGCACCTTCCGCGGCCGCGTCCTTGAGCGAGACGACCGAGGCCTGCAGCCGCACGCGCGCGCTCCAGCCAGCGTGTCCGGCGCGGACGAGCGGCTGCCTGGCTCTCAGCAGGTCCTTCCACTCCTGCTTCGGGAAGGCGCGGTCCTCTCCGGGGAGCGTCAGCACGCCGCGACGTCGGCCCATTCCGTCGCGAAACGCGCCGAGGACCACGGCGTCCTGCATTTGGGTACGTGGAAGGTGGCTCGCGCGGAGAGGTGCGCGCGGTGGAGCGCGAGCAGGGTCTGAAGGGCGTGATGGGGCGCAGGTGAACGTTGCTCGATCGCACCTTGGCCACGATCTCGCCGGTGTACTCGAGGCCGTGCTCGGCGATATACGAGATGACGCGTTCGGGGCACGCGGCCGCGATGTCCTGCGTGGCGTGGCGGGGGCGTGCGAGGGGCGGGTGAGCCGGGGACGTGCAACAGGAGCACGGCGGGTGTGCGTCGCGGCTGCGCGGGAAGCGACGCAGACGCACGTTGATCGTGATCTCTGGCTCCTCGGCGCCCGACTCGTCGCCCGTCATCGACGTCATGTTGTCAGGATCCGCGGGCAGCGGCCCCTGAGAGGCACGCGAGCCCAACAGGGGCTCCCTCACGTCGCCTGAAGCCGCACTCATCCTGAAACGGTACGTTTCGACTACTCCTAGACACTCCGAGAGCCGGGAAACGCGCTGTCTGCGATGCGGCCGCCCACACGCCCCTCCCTTCGCGCCAACAGCAGCCAGTCTCACCACGGCACGTTTCTGTTCGCGTCGTGGCGTCGAGGTCGCATGTTTGGCGCGCCGGCCGACGACCCTCTCTCGCACTCCCCGCGGGGCGCGTTCGGCGCGCACCGTGCGACTGCGCGGAGCGCGCGACGCGCCTCCAAATGAAAAGAGCAGCCCGCCCCTCTGTCAAGGTGGCCCTGCACGTGCGTGAGGCGCCCCGCGCGCACCGCGCGCGCGCTCGCGGGGCCGCCGGCGCGCGCGCGCGCACCAGTCGCGCAGGCGCAGCTTGCCACCGCGCACATCCGCTTTCGTCTCTCCTCCCGCGCTGCGTCGCAAGGTGCACGTCAGAGGGTGGAGCACCTCCGAGCTCCGCACGCACGCGCGTCTGCGCACTGGCGCGCGGCTTTCCGGAAAGCGCGGTCAACGTGGGTTCCAGCGCGGTGCTTGGCCGGCTCCGGGACCCACTGCGTCGTCCGCGGTGCCATCGCTCCTGCAAGCTGCGAGGCTGCCAGCCCTGGCGGGCCGGTTCGCGTGCGCTGTGGGACGCGGCGGGCGCTCTGGAGTACTCAGACCTCGAACGCCCGGGCTGTATGGCCGACGCTGTGTCGCTAGGAGCGCGGACGGCGGCTTTTGCGTGCTGCGGGGTTCCCTAGAGCGGTCTAGGAGCGCGCGTGCGCGTGTCCCGGGGCCGCGCGCGGCTGAGGTCGGATCATGAAGAAGGGAGGCGGGCGCCGCGAGCATGAGGCGCGTCGCGAGGCCGAGAGGGCGCGCAGGGCGGCGGAGCAGCAGGACGGTGCACAGAGGAGCGAGCGGCCGAGAATCACGAAGCGATCGCGTTACCACAGCGACAACTTCTCCCGGGTGCCCCAGGTCAGTGCTGTCGCGCACCGCGCCGCGCTATACTTCCCGCGCCGGCGGAGATCCCGCACTGTGTGTTGCCAAACCAACGGTTCCGCCCCACGCGCGCCCGAGGCGCGCTGCTCGGCGCGCAAGCCCGCGCCAGGGCTCGCACGAACTGGGCCGCTCGACCCGAGCCGCCGGCGCGAGGGCTCGCACCCCCTGCGCCACGCACGCGGCGAACGGTTCGGCCAACAGGAACAGCAGTCCTCCGGGCCGCGACGCGGCACGCACAGCGCTCCGCCTCCCGCAACGGACGGGCAATCACCGTCGCAGCCTCCTCCACCGGCCTCGGCCTGCGTCGCAGAGATCCGCGGCGCCTTCCGTTGGGGAGAGGTCTCGCGCAGCGAGCAGGGCCACGCGGGGCCAGAGCATCAACCAGGACGTCTTCGAAGACAGCGACTACGCGGACAGCATCGGTCCTCGCGGCCCGGACTCCGACTTCGTGCGCACCCTGGCCCTCGGCGCCGCGCAGCGGCGCCCTGCCGCGCCCACGAGCCCTCCTTGCGCTCGCGCTCCCTGCCGCGCGACGCCGCGCGTGCCGCGCGCCCAGCGCTCACAAACACCGTTCCCGTCCGCGTCGGCGCAGGGGGAGCCCGAGATTCAGTCGCGCTGGCGCACACGCAGCCCGCGCAGCTACGCTGGCAGCCGTGCGGCCGTGTCGACGCCCGCGCACGGCCCGTCCTCGGCGAAAAAGCTCGGCCGCGACTTCGTGATGCACCGCTCGAGCCGGCGCCTCGGCCGCTTGTCCTCGCGCCGCGACTCGGCAGTCCGTTCGCCCGACGTCCCCGGCTGGTTCGCGGAAGGCCAACGCCGCACCCGGGACCTCGAGGGCGGCTCGATGGCGTCGTCCTTCCGGCGCGCGCGGCAGATCGCGAGCGCGCGCACGCCGAACCAGATTCGCGGCAACGCGGACCGCGAGCGCCAGGTTCGTAGTGCGCGGGGGCGAACCGCGGACAGCAGCTCGCAGCAGCGGCGGTCGCGCGCGGACACGCGGTCGGAGGCGCGCTCCTCGCGGGGCCGGCTCCCGCGCTACGACAGCGAGCAGCCGCCCGGGCCGGCCGCGGGGTCGTCTCGCGCGCACCTGGGGGGCGGTCGCGCTGTGGGGGCGACGCGCGTGGCCTCCCGGGGGCGGTACCGCAGCGCCGGCGCGGCGCAGTTCGACGCGGAGCTGGCGTCGCAGGCGTCGCGCGGCGCGGGATGGGACGGGTACCGCGACGCGTCTCGGGCGCGGAAGCGCAGCAACGGGCGCAGCCGGAACAGCGCGGGGACGTCTGGTGGCGGGGAGAGCGGGCGACGGGACTGGAGCAACGGCCGCGGGAGCGTTGCGAGCCGCGGGGAGTCTGGGCGCGACGGGAGCAGCAGGCGGGAGCGGGCCGGGAGCCTCCGGCGGGCTGATGGCAGGGAGGGATATTTGGGGGGGGAGTCGGGGAGGGGGCAGCAGCACGGGTCGGTGCGGTTCGCGCCGATGGCCGCGCAGGCGTCTGTGCGGTCGCGGCGCGGCGGCGACGCGCACGACGCGGTTGGGAGCCGGCGATGGCGCACGCAGGACGAGGAGGACGCAGCTGGCCGGCGCGGGCTGGAGGCGCGGGCGACGTCGACGGCGATGCGGGACCGCGAGTACACGCAGCCGGTGCGGCAGGGGGACAGTGGGTCGACGCGGCGCACGAGCATCGAGGGCGGCGCGGGGAAGCGCGCGAACGACAGCGCCGGCGCGACGACGCGCAGCGACGAGGACGCCGCGGCGGTGCTGGCGGCGGAGATGGACGACGCGTTCTCGTACGGGTCGGGCCTCGACGGGCACGACGTCCCGATGCTGCTGACGGACACCCCGGGGGGACTCACGATGACGTCCCGCGCCGCCGACGACGACGTCGACGAGATGGAACAGATCCTCGACAACGTCAGGTGCGGACTGAATCCGGCGTGGGCGAGCCGACTGCGAGCCTTCTCGTCTGTTCCGGCGCCGTGCTGCATTGCTCTATTATCCGTTGAGGGTCTGTTGTGGCGTTGTGGTTTGGCGCACCTTGCGTTGGGTTGCCGCCCGCGGCCCCCGACGGTTTGTCCGTGTCCTGCGTGTGCGCGTGTGCAGGGTCGCGGACGCGAACGACGCCGGCGACGACGACGACGCCTCGCTCAGCTCCTCGATCAGCAGCGGCAACAGCGACGACGACCTCCGCGCCAAAGCCAAGGAAAAGGCCCGGAAGCGCGCGGCGGCGGCGCACAGGGAGCTCATCGACGGCGTGCGCGACACGCAGGCGGGCAAGATGGTCCACCACGCCGCGAAGACCCTCAGCACGTGGACGAACCTCGCGGGCCAGCGCGTGGGCAAGCTGCTCGCCCTGGCGCGCGGGTCCAAGGGCAAGGGCTGGGACCTCGACGAGCTCGAGCTCTCGCGGATCCACGCGCTCACGCGGAAGCTCCGCAACGAGGGCAACCGCGTTCTCGAGATTCTGCTGTCGATGGAGGATGACGCACGCGAGATAGAGACGCAGCTGTACGACATGGAGCGCGACTTCGCGGACGGGGCGCTGTCGGTGGACGACGAGTCGCTGATTCCGGAGCTCGAGGCGCAGCTCGAGGAGGTCGAGGGCGAGCATTCCGAGCTCGACAAGTATTACCAAGTGTTGGAGTGTTTGATGACGTGTGTGCATGGGTTCCTGAACCTCAAGGGGCTGCCGAACACGATGAACCGGATCGGGCAGGGCGCGGAGCGGAACCGCGTGATCGCGATGCTGCGCGCGATGGGCGTGGACGAGATCCCGGGGCAGTTGAGCGGCGTCATTCGCGGGATGCGTGGGAAGGAGATCGCGTCGGTGTGGGGGGACTCGTACGCGATCGTGACGGCGATCCAGGAGATGGAGAAGCACGTCAGGGCGCTGGAGGAGGTGCGTGGCGCCCGCGGGCGCGTGTCTGTCGCTTGCTGCGCGGCGCAGATGGAAGTGCGTGTTCGCGTGCCGTTGCGCGGGCGATCCGATCTGCGTGGAAGCGGGGATCGGTCGGCTGTAGCGCAGGCGACGGTCGCTGTCCGGGCGCGGTGCTGGTGTAGCGCGCGCGGCGGTGATATGTGGGAAGAAGCGCAAGAGATGACTGTGTTTCCTGTTTGGTGTTCCCGCGCTGCAGATTGGGCAGCTGGTGGACGACGACCTGCTGGACGAGCTCGGCGCGGCGAGCACGGAGCTCACCCACGAGGCGTACGAGCGCGCCACGCAGCGCCAGCTCGGCAGCCACCCGATCAACGCCGACTGGTACGACGACGACGAGTACGCCGACTCGTACGCCGGCAGCCTCGACGAGGACGACGTCGAGTACGACTCGCAGTACGCCGACGAAACATACACGGAGTACACCGACGACACCCCCGGGTACATCCAGCAGCTGCGCGACGACGCGCGCCCGCTGCGCACCGGGCTCAAGTGGGGCCGCTCGCGGCGCGCCGCGACGACGGTGGCCTCGCACCCCGTCGACGACGTCGACGACGCGGTCTCGGAGCTCGACGGACCGACTCTCGGGTCCTCCGTCGGCGACGTCGTCCACGCGGTGCAGAAAGGCGGCAACAGAGCGCAGGAGGAACGGCGCTCCGTGCTGTCTGAATCGAAGTCGGGCGGCGACGAGGAACGCGAGGGCGAGGGCGAGGACGAGGACGGGGCGATTGCGGCGCTCGACGACTGGGCCAGCCGCGGCGGGCGCGCGTTCGAGGCTGCCGCGTCCGCGGCGGGCGCGGACGTGGACGCCGCGATCGATGACACGCTCGACGCGCTGAGCGCCGGGGCGAGCGCGTCGTCGTCGGGCAGGGACGGCCTCGTGGCGCTACCGCCCCCGCCTCCCGCGGCCGAGGACTCCTCTTTTGACGCGTACGCGTCGACGGGCGCGCTCCCGGCAACAGCGATGATGTCGCATCCGCTGGACTTCGACGCCGCGTCGGTCAGCGAGGTCGCGAGCCGGATGTCGAGCTTCGGGCCGGGAGAGCCGCGCCCGTCGCCGCGGCGGTCGCACAGCGCACGGCAGCTCCACGGCATCGTCACGTCGCACTCTTTGCGCAGCCTTCGGCCGGACGTGAGCGGCCCGCTCGACGTGGGCGCGCGGGCGACGACGGACGACGGGCGCGCGGACGATGACGGCGACGCCGCGGAAGCGTTCCCCGGATTTTCGCCGCTCGTGTCGCCGGCGTTCGCCGGCCCGCAAAAGACCGTGAGGCTGTCCTCGCCGCGGCTGCCGCCGCGGCCGCCGACGCCGGACTCCACGCACGCGACGTCCGCAGGGACCGGGCTCACCTCGCACGACGTCTCGGCGCGGCTGTCCACGGGCTCAGTAACGCCGCGCTCGACGACAGGGCGCACCAGCGCGCCGTCCGAGACCCCCCCCGACGTGGGCGCCCGGCAGGCCGGCAGCGAGGTCGTCGAGAGTGTCGCGAGCGCGCGCGGCGCGTCGCTCCCGGCCACACCACGCGACCACACCGCCGTGTCCATTGCTGTTGTTTCGTCAGCGGCCTCCGGGTCAGAGATGGAGTTCTTCGAGCCGCTGGTCACGCCGGGGCGCGAGCTGCTCAAGCAGATGCTGCCGGGGCAGTCCCCGGACGACGCCAAGCCGTCATCGCCGCTCGGATCGCATGTGGAGCGCAAGAGCGACGCGGCGGAGGTGGCCAGTGCGCCCGACCTGGACGCCGCGGGCATCGCGGTGGAGGTCGTCGAGGCGTCGCTGGCGGAGGCGGAGCCCGTGGGGCAAGAGCCGGAGCCGCGGACGCCCAGGATGGACGAAGCAGGGGGGGATGTTGCGACCGGAGGGGGGGTGTCACCGCTGACCGGGAGGTACGCACCATGAGCGGCCCGCAGTGCGGGCATGTTGTTTCCGTGGTGCGGGGCGTCCGTTGTGCGCTTGCACCCTCTGCCCGAGACGGGGGGGTGTGTTGTTGTGTCCTGACCTCTGTGGCACCGCCGCCGCGCAGCTGTGCCTCCAGTGCCGCGCACAGGCTCCCTCGCGCGACCGTGCGCCCCGCGACCACCTGTCCCGCAGGCTCAAGGAGCGGATGGACTCGGTGCGCGCGAACACCGAGAAGCGCAGCGCTCTGGCGGCGAAGCGCATCGAGGCCCTCAGGTCGCGCGTTCCGCCCGACAGGGCCTCGCAGGAGCTCGCGGAAGGACCCGTCGGGTCGACCGCGGCCTCCGCGACGCGTCGGTCGCGCTCCTCCACGCCCCTGCGGTCCCCGTCGGGCAAGTACAGCGTCGGGCGCGCCTCCCTGACTGGACACCCCCTGGACGGCTCCGAGGTCGACCGTGCCTCCACGCGCTCCAGCCTCGCTCCCACGCCGCTGCGCATCCAGTTCGGCGGGAGCTCGTCCCGCGAAAGCAGCGACGGCGACGGCGACGGCGACGACGCTGCCTCCCGCGACGGCAGCGCGGTCGAGCTGACGCTGCTGCCGGCTGAGGGCGAGGACGCGAGCGCGGCCGTGGGGTCGATCTCGCTCGTCGCGCGGTCGCGAGGGAGCTCGGACCCCGCGAAATCGCTGTCGTTCCAAAACACCCCCACGCCACTGCCTGGGGTTGAGGAGGGGTCAGTGCACGCGCCGAGCCCGGACACGAGCGCGGACGTGGCGGCGGCGGTGGCTACGCCGGCGCCGGCGGCGGCCCGTGCGGTGCCGGATGCAGAGGCGGCCGGCGGCGGTGCCGCGAAGGCTGGCAAAAAGGGGGGGTGTTTCGGGGGGTGTTGCTGACCGCCGGTGCTCGTTGTTGCGGCGTGGCGGTGGAGCCGTGTAGGCCCGTGGGCTCGGTGGCTTCGTGTCGGCTGTGGTGCGCGTGGCTCGCGGGCAGGTGCGCATGAGGTGTGGCGAAGTGCAAAGTTGGTCGAGACTCTCCGACGCCACGGCGCGCGATACCGTTGACTGTGATATGTTGCGTTTCGCACCGGCGTGGCGGGAGTGACGTGCGCGGCGTGCGCGAGTCGCGAACCGTACCACCGGGCGGCTGGTGGTGCAAGGGTGAGAAGGCAGATCGCGGCTGACCGGACATCGGGAAATCCCTTCTGCACTTCCCTCACGTGCACGCGTCGGCCATGAGGGCGACCCCGTCCCCAGACGCCCCCCTCCCCTCCTCCGGGCCCCGCGCCATCGGCTCCGCGAGCCGCCCCCCGGAGCTAAAGTACGAGGCACCGTTGGATGCTCCACGTCGCAGTTAGATCGCGGATCCACGCCGCAAGAGCCGCAGCAGGAGTGTGCTGCCTCCCGCGCCTCCAGCGGCCGGTGCGGCCGCGCAGTTCCCGGGGGACCTCTGCGGGCCCGAGACCGCACAGTACGGCTCCGTCGTGCACAGTTCGCGGGCGGACCGCGGCTCTATCCCGCGCAGCAGCTGCTGATCGTAGCGCAAGGCTCTCTGTCCGCCCCTCTGGCCCTGATTGCGCCATGATCGGCGGGCGTGCACTGGTGTAGCTGGGGACGAGTCAAGATGCCTTCCCGACGTGCGCGCCCCCCACAAAGCACGAGCCGCCGCGCACGCGCGAGCAGCGGCAGGCTGTGTGCCCCTGGTGCTCCCGCACCCTTCCTGCGACGCCGCGGGCGCCGTGGTGCCCGCTGCGTGACGGTCGTAGACACCAAGGTCGCAGTGCGCGCCGCGATGGGCCCGCTCGACCTTCCGGCGGGCGCTCGGGCGGGGCGGTTGCCCCTCTGCCAGCCTAGGGGAGCGCGTGCGGCCCTGTGCGTGCTCAACGAGGCCGCAAGGTCTGTTTTTCCGTGCCCGCTGCAGTGGAACGAAGTGGCCAGAAGAAGGACAGCAGCAAGGGCGTCCTCGGGCTCTTCTTCGGGGGCGGAAAACGCGCTTCTTCTGGGCAGGAACATTCACATACGAGCGACAGCGGCCACGCGAACGGCAGCGGGGCGAAGAAGCCGCGGAGCTCGTCCAATGTGCGCTTCGCAGAGGATCCGGGCGGCTCCAAGCACGCCAAGGCCGCCAAGCGCGCGTCGGACAAGGGAGCTGCCTCCTCCAAGCCGCGCGAGCCGTCCCGGGGTCGCGCACGCAGCCGCATGCGCGACGACACAGGCTGGGCGGCCGAGGAGGACTACCTCGACGATCTGGACGACGAGCTCGGCCTCGTGGTGAGCCCCTCCGCCGCCCCCTCGACCTCGCCCCCTGCCCCGCACACCACCTGCTGTTAACGAACAGCCTAGCGCGGCGCCGCGTGCCGGCCGCGAGCCCGCCGCCGCCGACGCGCGCGTTCTCGAGTCCACGTGCGACGCGCAGACGAAGATTGCGGGCAGGGAGCGCGGCAGGGCGAAGAGCAAGGCCACGAGCCGGGCCACGAGCCGCGCGGGGAGCCCCGTGGCGCGCGCCACGGTGGGCGGCGGGCGCTTCGCGGACGACGACGGCGACGACGACGCGATGCTCGGCCGCGTCGCGCGCGAAGGCAAGCTCGCGCGCCTCGGGTCCGCCGCCAAGGGCCACGGGAAGTCGCGCGGGAGCGACGCTGCCGACCCGGGCGCCTCCGGCCGAGGCCGCGCGCGGTCGTCGTCGCGCGCGAGGTCCGACTCGAACCGCAGCATCAAGAGCAACCGGAGCGCGAAGAGCACGAAGAGCCGGAACACCAGCGCTGCGCGGCATCAGGCGGCAATGGAGCGCGAGCGCAAGTCGCGGGCGGCGAGCCGGCAGAAGAGCCGCGCGGAGTCGCGGCAGCGCACGCGCCCGCAGTCGCGGAGGGGGTCCGAGATGTACGCGAACGGCCCCGAGCCGGACAGCGCGGCGGAGAGCTTGTTCCAGGGGCAGTCGCAGGCGGCGCGGAGCAGCGTGCACCCGTCGAGCTTCGGGCCGTCGGGGCTGACGGACGTCGAGGCGCAGGAGATGGAGATCGAGGACCAGGAGGCGCGCGAGATGGAGGAGATGCTCAAGGAAGTCCAGTGCGTTCCCCGCCGCCACGCCGCTCTCTCTCAGCGCCGCCGCCCCGCACGCCGCGCGCCCCACGGCCGCCGACGCGCCGCCCCGCGCAGCACCGACCCAGACCCCCCCCCCCACCTTCCTCGCGCGCAACCCCCCTGTCATTCTCACACCCCCCCGCCCGCGCCCGTCCCCGGCGCGCAGGGTCGCGGACGCGAACGACGACGGCGCCGACGAGGAGTCCCTCGGCTCCAGCATCAGCGTCGCGTCCAGCGAGGGCGGCAAGAACCCGCGCAAGAAGCGGCGGCGGCGCGACGACGGACTCGGGGGCCCCGCCGGGATCCTCGACCGCGCGGCCGACCTCGTCAAGGCCAGCGAGACGCTCGGCCGCTGGCGGAAGGTCGTCGGCGGGAAGCTCCTCAGCCTGCTGCGCGGGTCGGCCGGCGACACGTGGGACCTGGGCGAGATGGAGCTCAAGCGGCTGCGCACGATGACGCTGAAGATCCGCAAGGAGGGCGAGCGCGTGGTCGCGCTGCTGCAGGAGCTCGAGGCCGAGGCGGACGAGCTGGAGCGCGAGCTCGACGAGATGGAGGCTGCGTTCGAGGACGGCATTTTGTTGGCGGAGGAGGAGGAGGCGATTCCGGAGCTCGAGGCGGAGCTGGAGGAGACGGAGGCGGAGTACAAGGAGCTCGACAAGTACTACCAGGTCCTGGAGTGCATGATGACGTGTGTGCACGGGTATATGAACCTGAAGGAGTACCCGAAGACTCTGGACCGGGTGGGTGAGCGCGGGGAGCAGCAGCAGGCGAAGAGCTTGCTGCTGCGGATGGGCGTGGACAAGGTGCCGGTGAAGCTGGGGGAGGTGCTCAAGGGGATGCGCGGGAAGCCGATCGACCAGGTGTGGGGGGAGGCGTACGGGATCATGAAGGATCTGGACGGTATGGAGCGGCACATGAAGGCGCTGAAGGAGGTGCGCTGCGTGCTTGCGTGATGCGTGTTTGCTGCTCCGCGAGCCTGTGGCGCCGTGGTCGTGTTTGTTGCCGACGTGCTTTGTGTGTTTGGGTTGTTGTTATGGTATTCTTGTTATTGTTGTTGTTATTCTTGTTATGTTGTTGTGCGCAGGTGGACCAGTTGATTTACGACGACTTGATGGACGAGCTCGGCGCGGCGGTCGAGGAGCTCACCGAGGCCGAGGCGCTGCGCAGCGAGAAGGCGCGCATGATGGCCGGCGAGTGGCTCGACGACGAGGACATGTCGATGTATAGCGACGAGTACGCCGACAGCTGGGCGGACGACCTGGACGACTACGACGACGGGTGGACGGACTACAGCGGCGAGGCGTCGTACCGCGACTACGACGACGAGGAGATGGCCTCCGAGGACAGCCGCGTGCGCCTGCGCCTGCAGTTTGACGACTCGGCGGCGCGCCGCAACGGCGCGCCCGCGGACGCGAACGGGCACGGCGGGGCGAAGCAAATGGACCGGCTCGAGAAGGTGCGCGCGCGGCTCGACAAGAGGAAGCAAGAGGCGAAGGAGCACGTGAAGGCGGCGCGGCAGGCGTCTCAGCGGCGGCAGGACTCCGTGGTGCAGCAGACAGTGCTGGCGCGCAGGCAGTCGACGGTGCGCGGCGCGCGGGACTCGATGGACGCGGGCTCGGACGACGGGTCGGCCGCGGGGTCGCTCCACGGCGGGCGCTCGCAGTCGAACGGCACGGGCGTCCTGGACGACGACGACGACGTCCCCGACGACGCAGCGGTGCGGCGCCCGGACCGGCGCGCGTGTTCCCGGGCGCTTGACGCGGGCTTTGCTGCGTGCAGTGCGAGCTCTTTGAGTGTAGGTCGCGTGCGGTTGCCTGGCCGTTCGAGCGGCTGCGCAGCCGCAGCGGGATGGGTGAATTGTGTTGCGGTGCTGTCGAGCGGAGCGAGTGCTGGCACTTGACGCGCGTGCTCGTTGGGTACTGCTGTGCGCAGGTGCTCCGCGAGCAGCGGCTGAAGATCCTGCGGAACACGCTCAACTCGCGGAGGCAGGCGTCGATGAAGCATATGATGCTGAGCAAGGAGCGCGCGGACTCGCGCGCCAACATGCTCGACCAGGCGATCGCGAAGACGCCGAGCATGAGCGTCTCGCGCGCGGCGAGCCAGGCCATCAGCAGCGGAGCGTACAGCGCCGGCGACACTGCGCCGTCGTCGATCGCCGAGGACGAGGAGGAAGCGCACAGCCCGCCGAAGGACAAGCGCGGGTCGATCGAAGCACACCGCGTGTCGCTGGGTACCGTCGCGTCCGTGTCGTCCTCCAAGCGGCTACTGGTACGGACTCGAATACTCCCCACTTGAAACACCCCCGCTCGCCCTGCCGGTCCAGCGGCGCCGCAGCTGCCCGCCCCGCCCGGGCGCTTCGCCGTCGCATCGCTTGCCACGGCGTGGTCGCGGGGCGCGCCTGGCTTGGCTCAGTTCGCGGCGGCAGCGTCCCTTGTTCTTGCACACGCTCACCGCCGCTGTCCGACCGCCGGCCCGCCGCCGCCCGCTGCGCAGGAGCGCAAGGAGCACATGCGCACCAAGCGGAGAGATTCGTTCCGCAAGGACGCCCTGCGCGCGTCGCAGGGCACCCCGAGCGGCCGCTTCAGCCTCAGTCTGACTCGCGGCGGCACGCCCGAGCCCGTCACCCCCGCCGCGCGCGAGGAGGACGAGGAACGGCTCTCTCCGCACGAGCTCCAGGACCTCGACGTGAGGGCGCAGACGGAGCTGACGCGCAGCCGCGGGGGCTCGACCGGCATGTCGACGTGCGCGACAACCTTTGGGTCCACCGCCGCGTCCGACGCCGCGCAGGCCGCGACGAGCGAGCGCTCGCGGCCGCTCGAGATGTCGACCGACGTCATCATGCGGATGGCCGCCGCGCACCACTCGCGCGAGAAGGGCGTAGCCTTCGCCCTTGGGCCTCTCGAGGACAGCGATGCGGAGTCGCGCGGCGCGCCGGCGCAGGAACGCGGCCCGTCGGACGGCGCGGACTCCAAGGGGGCGTGGTCGGGGGCGCGGGGATCGTCCGCGATGGGGTCCGTCGCCGCGATGTATCTTGAGCGGTCCCCGGAGCACACGCCGCGGGTGGACCCGGCGGAGCAGCGCGACATGGAGGCGCAGGCGCTGCTGATGAGTGCGCTGACGCGACGAGGCGGCGAGCTGCTGGTCGAGCACCAGAGCACGGGCAGGTGCGCGGGGGACTGTCAAGGGGGTCCAGCACAGCCTGCTGTGTCGCGTTGGATCGCGCCGCGCTTGCGTCTGCGCGTGCAGACGCGCGCGCTTGTTCGTGCATCTGACGCGTGCATCTGACGCGTGCATCTGACGCGTGCGGTCGCGTGGTCGGTTTTTGTCCGTCGCAGGGACATCACGGCGGGCGAAGCTATCGAAGTCGCCGCGCAGGTGCTGCAGGACCTGCGCGACGGCGGCTACGAGCCGAACCTCACGCAGGAGCACACGCTTGCGATGCAGCTCGCGCCCACGCTCGAGCTCTCCGCGGAGGTCGCGTCCGAGGTCTCCTGGCGTCTCTTCCGTGCCATGAAGGCGTCGCGCACCGACTCGCTCGGCACGGTCACGCCACGCGACCGCGACGTCCGCGACCTCGTCGCCCGCACCGTCGCGCGCGAGTGGAGCGCCGTGCCTGGCGCTGGCATCCAGGGGTCGTACGGGCTCGCCGGGCGCGATGCTGGGAGCGTTGCGGCGGCAATCGAGGTCGCGGAGCGGTCCGTGGCGGCGCTGGCGGCGCAGGGCGTGCCCGTGGAGCGCTCGCCGATGCTGCAGTGGGCCGTGCAGCAGGAAACGATGCTGCTGCTGGACCCCAAGGTTGCGGATGCGGCGGCAGCGGACACAATCATTGATGGCATGAACGCGCGGCCCGTGCGGCCGTCGACGACGTCGGGGATCCTCGAGGTCAGCCGCATCGACCAGCAGCTCAAGCCGGTGCGTCCCCGCGTCAGCTTTTGACTGTGTTTGCTGGAGCACGTAGCGTCGAATGTTCAGTTGTGTTTCCCACACGTAGCGGTGCGGTTCGGACGCTCGTCCGCGCCCTCGTCGCCGCTTCGCGTGCGCGGCTCGCCTGTGCTGGCCCGGGAGCCCGCTCCAGACAGCTCTCTGCAGCGGAAAGCTAGTTGAGTTCAGATATCTCGTCATGGGTCCTCACGAGTCCAATCGCGTGCATGTTTGGCGCAGATCGCGGCGACCTTCGTGCGGGAGCGCGACGCCGCGTGGGCGGACGACGAGGAGGGCGGCGACGTCGAACAGTCGGCGCTCGACGCCATCGACAAGGCCCTGGAGGTGCTTGCGCAAGACTCGGGCCGGCCGGAACCCACTCTGGAACAGGAGTACCTGGTCGCCCGGGAACTCCCACGACTCATGAACCTCCCGGAAGCCATGGTGCGCGCCTGCACCGCCCGCCTGCGCGAGCAGCCACCGCGCAGCGACCCCACCGCACCCACTGCTAGCGCAGTAGTCTATGACCATCTGTGCACCCGCGTGCGATACGTCGCGAGCGCTCACTTCGCCTCCCGCGGTGCGTTTCGTTCGCGCAGAGACAGCGCCTCCTCGCGTCGGCGTTCAACCGTCCGCGGAAGACCTCCGCCGCGACGTCGGGCGACCGCGCGTCCTCGGAGCCGCCGAACGAGTTCACGGACGCCCCGCTCACGCGCGCGCACATCGAGAACGTCGTGCGCCGGCAGTGGGAGGACGCCGGCGCCGGCCCGCTCGCCATGCGCGTCCACCGCGTCACGTCGCGCGCGCTCGAACAGCTGCGCGACACCAGCTCCCGGAGCGTCGAGCCCGCAGTCGAGTGGGCGGTCCAGCAGTCGCTCTCGAAGCTCTCCGACGGCCAGGTGCCCAGCCAGAGCCCCGCGCAGCTCCCCGAGGGCTCCTCCATGCAGGCGATTGCGCGCGTGCTGCGTTCGATCTTCGTGGAGTCGTCGCGCACCGGTTCGCCGGCGCAGCGCGCCGCGGAGCGCTTCCAGCGGCCCAACAGGCGGCTGCCGCCGCGCCGCGGCAACTCGTTCTCCGGCGGCCACGCCCTCGAGAGCTACGACGCGTTTGCGCACTCGGCGGCGTCGTCGCCGCGTCTGTCGGTGCTGGACGGCAACTCCGGGGACCTGACGGCGCGCGCGGCGGCGAGCGCGGTGGGTCCGCCGATTCCGGTGATCGACCCCGCGGCGCCGATCGCGGCGCTCGAGCTCTCGACTGCGAAGCCGCCGGTGTCGGAGATAAAGCTTTCGCTGTTGGCGTTGAAGGCTTTGAACGACCACCTGGACAGCCAGAGCCCGGACGGCGCCGGGACGCCGGATACGCCGGCGACGCCGGCGAGTTTCGGGAGCGCGTCGGTGTGGACGCCGCGCACGGGCACGTCCGCGGGCGGCGGCGGCGGCGGGACGGCAGATCGGATCCTGCAGGAGCGCCACGACACGGCGATCCGCGCGTTCAAGCAGGTGGCGAAGCGGCTGCACGAGACGGGGGGCCGGCGGCTCGGCATCGAGCAGCTCGCGGTGATCGCGCCGGCGATTTCGTCCAAGCTGGACCTGCCGCGCGTGCTGCGCAACAAGCTGGACCAGCGGCTCTTCCGACGGCAGATTCTGGACCCCGAGGACGGCCCCGGGGACGGGCTGGTGGACACGGTCGTGGCCGAGGTGGACCGACGGTGGGACGCCGCGGAGGAGGCGGAGGGCCACAAAAAGGACAAGGGTCAGCTGGCGGCGATCGCACGCGCACAGAAGGTCGCGCGCGGCGTGGTGCGGACGCTGTGGCGGAGCCGGATCCCGCTGACGCCCGGCGTGCAGTGGGTGATCACGCAGGCGATCCGGCGGCGGCTCGAGAACCACGGTTGGGCGACTCCCGAGGACCTGGGCAAGATTCTGGCGGGCATTGTGCGGGAGGACGGGACGTGCTCGGTGGCGGAGTCGCACCCGGGTTTCGCGGCGGTGCAGCGCGCGTACGACGACGTGACGCGCATCCTCGAGGAGGAGTGGGTGGCGGCGACGCTGGCGCACGACCTGCGGGGTCACAAGATGAAGAAGACCCCCGGGAAGCCCGGAATACCCCCCCACCTGCGCAAGGCGATCACGCGCGCGGTGCAGCGGCTCTACGAGCTCGGCTACCGCGCGAACCCCACGATCCACGAGGCCCTGTGCAAGGAGCTGGAGGAGAAGCGCGTCGGTCAGATGCTCGCAAAACCTGCAATGGACCCGGCGTCCGCCGTGAGCTCGCTCGTGCAGGAGATCCTCGAGGGCTACATGCCCGCGAGCGCCGCGGACCTCAAGCTCCTGACCACGACGCTCTCCTTCGCCGACACGGAGCTCGCGAAGACAAAGGCTGACACTGGCGAGGACCCCTTCACGCTCTTCTCGAAACTCGTGGAGGGCGGCGCGAAGGGGCAGCCGGCCACGTACGGCCGCGCGATCGCGACGCGCGTGCTCGCGAAGCTCGAGGACTGCGGCGCGCTCTCGGACCCGGGGGTGGATCGCGCGGCCACGCGCTGGGCCATCTCCAAGGCCATGTGCCGGCGGTCGCGGCTGCGCGGCGCGGCCGCGGTCGCGATGGAGGGCGTCGTCGTCGAGGCCCTCGTGAACCGGTACGGCGCGGCGGGCATGCTGGACGTCCGCCCGGCGCAGACTACGGCACCAACGGCAACGGGCCTAGCGCGGAGCTTCTATCAGCGGTCCGAGCTGTCCGACCCGGAGGGGCGCGGGGCGGGGCGGATGTTCCCTGGCGGGGACGAGATGTTCAGCGGGAACGCGCCGGTCACGCTGTCGAACATGGGGTCGGATGCGGGGTCGGAGGCGGCAACGCCGCGACGGTCTGAGAACCCGAACGAGATCGGGCTCGGCGCGATGCTGTCGCGCAGCCGACGGGACTCCGAGCCGCCGAGCCCGAGCTCGAGCGGCGCGATCGACTCCGTCGGCGTGTTGTCGTCGGGGGCAATCTCGCTGAGCCCGTCCGGCGGTGCCGACACGGCGGCGTCGTCGGCGCAGCCGTCCCCGACGGCGGCGTACCTGAAGAAGAAGGAGAGCGACCGGGACATGGCGGGCCCGAGCCTGCGCGAGATGATGGAGCTCCCGCCGCCGGTGCTGCAGCTCTCGGGCGACAAGGGCGGCATGCCCGCGCAGGGGACGCCGGAGGTCGAGAAGAAGGCCTCGACGCTGTCGATCCAGGCGGGCCCCTCGCTGCGCCTCATGCTCGACGAGGAGGCCGCGGGGAGCCTGCTGTCAGGTCAGACCAGCTTCCGCGCGCTCCTGGCGAGCCGCAGCGTGCGCCGACTCGTGCACAAGAAGGGCGAGGGCGAGGGCGAGGGCGAGGGCGAGGACGACTCGGACGTCGAGATCGAGGTGTCCGGGAAGGTCCCTGTGCAGAAGACCGGGTCGAGGAAGAAGGACGGCGTCATTACGTTGGGTAGTGGGAACAGCCGATTCTCGTTCCGCGTGAGCATGGCGCACGGCTCGGACGCGCCCGGGAGCGTCACCGTCGCGGGCACCGAGCGCGACCCGAGCGCGCCGTCCCCGCCGACCTCGCGGAAGTCGCGCAGCCTCTGGCCGGGCGCGACGCCGCCGGGGGTCAGCGGGCAGGGTTCGCCGCGCGGGACGCGCGGGGACGACTCGGTGGACCTCGGGGACGCGCTCCACATGACCTCGATGGTCCGGGACGGCGGGAAGGCGCCGCCGAAGAGCAAACGGGGCGGGAAGGAGCCTGAGGTGCCCGGATCAGTGCCGCCGATGGCGTTCCGCCCGAGCCCGCCGAAGGCCACGCCCCCGGACGCGCACGGGTCGGCGCCGAAGAACCCGGCGGGCCCGTCGCCGCACGCCCGCCCCGTCGCGAGCGACAGTCTGCAGAACTTCCTGCGTGAGAAGTCCATGACTCAGTCGCCGGCGGGGGGGGTGTCCGACGACCGCACGCCGCCGCCGCCGCCGTCCGACCCGTCCGACACCGCGCGCTCGAGCCTCGACGAGGCGATGATGTTGGGCCGCGGCGGGAGCTCCAAGAAGGACGCGGACGCTCTGCGCATCGAGTGCGAGCAGAGAGAGGACTCGCAGCTTCAGTCCCCCGCTCCGCCGACCGCCCGCGACCTCGCGCCGAGCGCGCTCGGGACGCCCGCGGGCGGCGGCACCGGCCTGGCGCCGCCGGCGTCGCCCCCGCCGGATCTGCCGTTGCAAACAAACAGCAGCGCAAAGGACGGGGCGCTGGGACGAGCGCCGTCCGGAGCCGACGCGGGCTCGCCGCAGGGCGAGGCGTCGCCCACGAAGGGCAAGATGCGCCGGTGGGGCTCGAAAGACAAGGCGGCGTCGCCGTCGAAAGGCTCTCGGAAGAAGAAGGGAGGTTCGCCGGAGGAGGAGAGGCGGCTGAACGCGGCGCGGGCGGCGACGGAGGCGGCGCGGCGCGATCTGGAGCTCCCGGAGCCGGGCGGCGCGGCGCAGGGCGTGGCAGACATGATTCGGCGCGACGCGGAGGAGGGCGCGGGGCGTGCGCCGCCGGCACGCAAGGAGTCGTCGTCGCGGCTCGGGGAGTTCTTCGGGAAGCTGGGGCGGAAGTTCTCGTCGAAGAAGAGGCTGAAGGACCGTGTGTGAGGTTTGGGGGGGGCGCCTGGGGGGGGTCTGACGCGATGACGGTTGTGGCACGGGGACTGATGCTAGGAGAGGGGTTTTGACTAAGAGAGGGCAGTTTTAAGATGTTGCGATTTGATTCGATGTGATAGCTCCCCGTGACGTGCGCAGTGGCCGTGTCAATTACTACTTTGTGTTTGTGAGCGGCGGTTGGTTGGTGTGGGGTCAACTGTCAAATTTGTAGTACGCAGGGCGCTGCGGCGAGGGATCCTCGGCGAGCTCGTGGACGACGGGGCTCAGACTGTAGTGGCTGCGGGCGCGTATGCGCTCGCCAGCTCAGTGGGGCCGTTTTCCTCACCCGAACACCTACCCCCCCCTGACACAGGACGGCGTGTCGCGTCGAGGGGTGACTGGCCGGCGGCCCGACGCACAGCCGAAAGTCCATCGTCCCCGCGACAGTCTGCGAGACACTCATTTCCCGTCCGCCGCACCGCACCGTGGTCACTGGGACGCGTAGTGCATCCTCGACGGCCGGGCGGTCGCCGGCCGCACCGCATCGCCCCGCTGCGATACACGAAGGATTGCATTCAAGTATTCGTTCTAGACGTTAGATCGGCGCTATGAGGCACCGTGTGGTGCACCTAGCCACGTGCAACTTGGCACAATGGGCGATGGACTTCGAGGGCAATCTAGCGCGCATCGTGGAATCGATCCGGGTCGCTCGTGAAGCTGGTGAGATTCAGCTGTACTTGCTCGCGCTGGCCGCGGGCCTGGCCGCGGTGCGCGACGTGCGGTTCACGGGCTGTTGCGCTGGTGAGTGCACCCGCAGGCGCTGCGTACCGCGTGGGGCCGGAACTGGAGATTCCGGGCTACGGGTGCGAGGACCACTTCTTCGAGCACGACACCGTCGAGCATTCCTGGGAAGTTGTGTGCGAAATCATCAAGGCGAGCCTCATGTCCACTGCGCGTGGTGGTCGCCTGCGTGCCCCGCCGCCAACCGCGCCCGCGCCTTCGCGCCCCCGTTCCCCACGGCCACCTACACGCCGCGCGTACCGCAGGGCGGCCACACAAACGGTATCGTCGTCGACGTCGGCCTCCCAGTGGTACATTGCGGCGTCCAGTACAACTGCCGCTGTCTGCTACTGGACGGGCAGATCCTCCTGGTCCGACCGAAGCTGGCCCTTGCGAACGACGGGAACTACAGGGAGACGCGGAACTTCACGGCGTGGAAGCACACGGGCGCCCTCGAGCGCCTGAACCTTCCCCCCGACGTAGCCGCGCTCACCGGGCAGCGCACGGCGCCCTTCGGCCACGCCATCGTCCAGTTCCGGGACATGTCCCTCGGGATCGAGTCCTGCGAGGAGCTCTTCACCCCCAGCGCCCCGCACATCGAGCTCGCGCTCCGTGGCTGCGAGGTTGTGTCCAACGGCTCAGGATCGCACCACCAGCTCCGGAAACTCTCGCGCCGGTTCCAGCTCATGACCTCCGCGACCGCCAAGTGCGGCGGCGCCTACCTCTACGCCAACCAGCAGGTCCGCACCCCTCCGCACCCCAAAACACCCCCCTCCCACTCCCCCCATCAACCAACCGCGCCGCCGCCCCGTACCCCGCACCGCAGGGCTGCGACGGCGGCCGCCTGTACTACGACGGCTGCTGCGCCGTCGTCGTCAACGGCGACGTCGTCGCGCAGGGCTCCCAGTTCTCCCTGCGCGACGTCGAGGTGGTCACCGCGGCAGTCGACCTCGACGACATCGTCTCGCACCGCGCCGCCGTGTCCTCGCTCCGCGAACAGGCCTCCTGCGCGGCCGCGATCCCCGTCGTGGAGGTCGACCACGCCATGTGCCGCGCCTCCACCGCGCCGCCGCCCGTCTCGCAGCCCATCCCGCTGCGCGAGCCGCGCCCCGAGGAAGAGATCGCACGCGGCCCCGCGGCGTGGCTGTGGGACTATCTGCGCCGCAGCGGCGCCTCGGGCTTCCTGCTCCCGCTCTCCGGCGGCGCGGACAGCTCGAGCACCGCCGCGATCGTCGGCAGCATGTGCCAGATGGTCGTCGCGGCTGTGCGCGAGGGAGACGCGCAGGTCGCGGCGGACGCGCGCCGGATCGGACAGTACGCGGACGGCGAGGCCGTCGACGACGCGCGCGAGCTGGCGCGCCGCGTGTTCGTCACAGTGTACATGGGAACGGAAAACAGCTCCGCGGAGACCCGGAACCGCGCCGCGGCGCTCGCGGGCGAGATCGGGTCGCACCACATGGACGTTCGGATCGACACGGTCGTGTCCGCGCTCGTCGCGCTGTTCGCGGCGGTCACGGGGCGCTCCCCGCGGTTCCGTGCCGACGGCGGGTCGCCGGCGGAGAACCTGGCGCTCCAGAACATCCAGGCGCGGATCCGCATGGTCGTGGCGTTCCTCCTCGCGCAGCTCATGCCGTGGGTGCTCGGCAGGAAGGGCTTCCTGCTCGTCCTCGGGTCCGCCAACGTCGACGAAGGCCTCCGGGGGTACTTAACCAAGTATGACTGTTCGTCCGCGGACATCAACCCGATCGGCGGCATCTCCAAGTCCGACCTCCGGGCCTTCCTCCGCTGGGGCGCGGAGCACCTCGGGTACCCCGCGCTCGCGCGCGTGGAGGCCGCGCCCCCGACGGCGGAGCTCGAGCCGCTGCGGGAAGGCACGCCCCCGCAGACGGACGAGGCCGACATGGGCATGACGTACGACGAGCTGACGGTGTACGGGCGGCTGCGGAAGATCGCGCGGTGCGGGCCGGCGTCGATGTTCCGCCGATTGGTGCTGGAGTGGGGGCCTGCGCTGGCGCCGGGGGAGGTGGCGCGGAAGGTGAAGCACTTCTTCACGTACTACGCGATCAATCGGCACAAGGCCACGACGCTGACGCCGTCGTACCACGCCGAGTCGTACTCCCCCGACGACAACCGGTTTGACCACCGGCAGTTTTTGTACAACGTGCGCTGGCCGTGGCAGTTCCGGAAAATCGACGAGATGGCCGCGGCCGCGGAGAAGGACGCCAAGTGAGCGAGCGCGCGGAGGCCCTGCGAGCCGCGGATGTCAGCGGCGTGGCGCGTTGCAACTTCATCGTGTCAGACGGAAAGGAGCGCCCTGCGGGTGTGGGAGGCGTGGCGCGCGGCCGTCGGCGCATGCGTGGGACGCCGTGGGGCGCCGGCGGTGACGTGGCGGGCCGGAGCTCTGTAAGCGCCGTCGTTGCCACAGCCTCGCGCGCTGCCACTGCAGCGCGAGCGTGCGCCCAGGCCGCGTCCAGGAGCGTCGCCTGGCGGCCGCCAGCGTTTGCGCCTGGGTTGGGGGCCTGGGGGGCTACCGACGGGACTTGTGCCGTGCGCCTGACCAGGTGGAGTGTCCGGGTCCGGGGGACGCTGCGCGGGGCGGCGATGGGCTCGGGTCGCCGCGCCGTCGGACAACTCGCACTTCAAGCAGGGCTGTGCATTCGGGCGGTCCTGTCTCGGAGCGCGCGTCTCGCTCTTGCTCCACCGAGCTGGGTTGCTGGCAAGCAGTCCGCTTCTCGACATACAGGGCGTGGCGAGCCAGCTTGGCAGCACCACGCAAGTGAACGTAGCGTCAGGCGTGTTGCCGCTTACTAAGATCCCCGCTAGCGCCCTGCTGCGACACTTGAGACTCGATCCAGCTCGCGCCCCAACGACTTGGGTCCGTTTCCGGCCCCAGCGGCGCATGCACGAACTATCTGCTTAACGACAGTGAGCATCAGAGGGCCCGTTGCACATGGCCGGATGTGTCTGACCAAGTGAGCGCGGGAATTCGCGATGCGGAGCGCACTACTGCTCTTCCTGCTGACCCTAGCCGTGGCGCTAGTCCCCGCGCTAGCAGGTAAAGCCTGACCCTCAGAACTCAACTTCATGCAACGGTCGCCCTCAGCGCGCGCCCTGTTCGCTCTGCGCCGCCCGGAACCCAGCAGTGCTGGCGCCTCCCTGTGCTCACAGCGCGCTCCCTCCACCGGCCCATACGGCCGGCGCGACGCCCGCCAAATGCGCGGGCGACCCGCGGCCGCTCCAGCACGATTTTCCCATGTCCCGGGGACCATGCTCTCTGAGTTTCCCGGGCGCACGCCGCCGCCCCGAGCTGCTGTTGGGCCTGGCTGGGGCAACATGCATGGAGCTCGTGCGGCCTCGAACCCCCCCCCCACCGCGCACCGACGCCCCATGCGCTTTCCCTGTACCAACAAGGCTCCTCGCGTGCGCCGGTGCCCGCAGTTAACGATGTGCGCGTGACAGAGAGCATCACGTTCAGCGTGGGCACGCCCCCGGCGAGCTCCGTGACCGTTCAGTCCGCGAACGCGTCATGCCAGCCCCAGTTCGGCACCGTGACGTTCGCGAGGAACACGAACCCAGGCGCGACGGACTACCTCGCCACGTACAGGCCCTTCGCGGACCAACCAGCCATCCCACCTGGAAGCTCCCGCGAGGACGTGTTCACGTTCCAGTGCGTCACCCCGCCCCCCGCGCCACACGCAGACGCCCCCGAACGTCCAGCACAGCCCGCGCGCAGCGCGCACCGCCCGCTCAGGGCCGCGCACGCGCGCAGCCACCCTGGCTATGATGTTCAATTAACGTCCGGCCCACTCTTCGTCTCGATTCGCAGGTACTTCGGGCAGGAGGGCGGCGTGGGCGCGGTCGTGCCGGCGCCAGGCATCTTCCCGATCCGCGTCAGCATCCTGCCCGTGAACCGGCCCCCGCAGTGCCGGGACTTCGGTACTGGCGCTGGCGAGGGCGCGTCGATTCGCACCGTCGTGGGCAGCTCGACGCTGATCGAGTTCTTCCCGAAATCGGACCTCGACATCGACGGCGACCGCCTGACGTACACGTACACCACGGACGCCACGAAGTTCACCCTCGATCCCGACCCCCAGGGAACGGAGTGGCGGAAGACCTTTATTCCCAATGTCAATTTCGCGTGGAGGTGCGCAGCGACCACCGCCCGCTTCCGGCCCTCCGGCGCGTGCAGTGCGTGCTGCGGCCCGACCCCCCGCGCCATCCGCGACGCGCACGCGCGCCGTCGGCCGCCCTGACCGCTACGCGCTTGCTTCGCGTGGTGCAGCGCGACGGGGGACTTCGTGACGATCCCGTACACGGTGACGGACTGCGCGGTGTCGACGGCGTGGAACTACAGCAACCCGTTCGAGCAGTGCAGCACCGTCGGGTGCACGTACACCGTGCCCGTCGGCGCGGCGGGGGGTGTCCCGGCGCCCGTGTACTGCACCCAGCAGGAGTCGCTGTGCGTCAACACGACGGAGCTGACCGACAAGGTGCACTCCGGGACCGAGTTCGACCCGCTGGTGGCCACGGAGGACGAAACCCTGACAGGCCTGCTACTGCGCGAGAACACCCCCCTGCCCGTCGGGGCGCCCGTGTACTGGCTCATGTCGCAAGGTGCGGCTCCCGCGACCACCGCTTCGCCGCCCACAGTCGAGAAATCTCGTCTCCCGGCTCAACCTTCACCCCTGGTCCACCGCCCCGCGCAGACACGGAGTTCACCGCGCCCCCGCCGAGCGACCGCTTCGCGTTCGTCAACCTCCAGTTCGGCAAGGCGCGCATCCTGTGCCACGAGGGCCCCAACGGCACCACGGCCGCCGGCGCGCCGCGCAACTGCCCCTCCAACATCCGGGGGGCGTTATTCGAATACACCCCCAACCCCAACTTCTTCGGGGCGACGGGCCGGCGGCGGGCGGCGGAGCGCGACCTCGCGCAGCTGCAGATCTCCCAGAAGGACCAGCTGCGGTGGAAGTACAGCGACGGCGCGCTGGTGACGGATCTCGACCGGCCGCTCTTCATCACGACGCGCGCGGTGGAGGACCCGACGGTCGGGCGGTTCAGCACGGTGCGGGCGTTCGAGGCGACGGCGGCGGAGGCCGCGGACCTGACGAAGTTCACGCCGTTCACGCTCGCGGCCGACGACGTCGACGAGTCGTTCACGCAGCAACAACAGCTGTTCTGGATTCCCCTCAACCTCGACTCAGTCAACGGGACGGTCTACCGGCAGGTGCAGGGCGACGCGGTCGTCGCCGGGAGCGCGCTGGCCGGGCGCGTCGCGATCCCGATGGCCCCGTCGGGCGCGCAGGGCACAAACTATACCCTGACATTGTACTGGAAGGGCGACGCGGGGGCCTCGGGGCGCCCGATCGCGACGCTCAAGTGGTTCGCGGTGTCCTCGACGGTCCAGGCGACGCTCTCGGGGCTCTCGGACGCGCAGTTCGCCGCGCAGATCGCCACATGGACGACGCAGTGGGACGCGCAGAGAGCGGCGGGGGCGCGGTCGGGGTCGATCGGGACGAACGGGTTCGGCGGCGTGGCGCTCGAGGGCGCGTGCCGCGGAGGGTTCTTCCGCAGCCCCGCGACGGGGCGCTGCGAGCAGTGCCCGCTTGGACAGTTCCTGCCGCCAAACTTGCTGCAGGACCGCCCAACGTGCTCGCCGTGCGGCGTGGGGACGCAGGCGCCGTTCCTGGGCACGGTGGTCTGCGAGCCGTGCCCGGTGGGGCGCTACACGGACGTCCAGGGCACCGTGAACTGCACGGTGTGCCCCTCGGTGGGCATGACGACGCGGCAGGAGGGCAGCCGGGTCGTGACGGACTGCATCTGCAAGCGCCGCAACCCGCTGAGCGTCACGACGAAGCTCTTCCTGTTCACGGAGGGCGGTCGCGGGTACTACGGCCACCCGGGCGTGCGCTGCTTTGAGTGCCCGGGCCCGTCGATCGACGAAGTCGACCTGACGTCGGACACCGCGATCGAGGCCGCCGAGTGGGTCAAGTGCGAGGAGGACGGCCAGATCCTCCCGATCAACCGCGAGGGCTTCTTCGTCGAGGCCGGCCCGGAGATCGGCTCCGCGGCGACGGTTTCCAAGTGCACGCCCGCGGAGGCCTGTCCCGAGCACGACAGCGTGGAGGACATGCAGGAGGAGCCGTGCGCGGACTGCTACACGGGGACGCGGTGCGCGGAGTGCTCGCGCGCGGACGGCGAGCAGTGCTACCGCCTGCAGGGCACGTGCCGCAGCTGCCCTGAGTCGGCGCAGGTGGGCTTCGTGATCGTGATCGCCATCATCCTGGCGCTGTTCGCGCCCTTCATGTTCAAGCTCACGGACGTCCTGCGCGCCGCGCCGTCCCTCAACATCTCCCTCAACTTCGTGCAAATCACGGCGATCTTCCCCAAGCTCAACGTGCCGTGGCCGGACTCGCTCATCGTCCCGCTCGAGTGGCTGTCGCTGGTGAACCTCAACATCGAGCTCGCGCACCCGGAGTGCATCTCCGACAGCTGGACGTGGGAGAGCAAGTGGCGCCTCACGCTCCTGAGCCCGCTCATCGTGGCCGGGTTCTTCCTTTGCTACTTCGCGCTCGCTGTGTCGTGGTACGGCCTCAACGTCGGCCTCCGCAAGCAGCTGTGCAAGACGTACCCGCCGCCGATCCTCGCGCCCGTCCAGGGCCGCGGACAGGGCTTCAAGCGCCTTCAGAAGAAGGCCCTGCGGATCCTGCTCAAAGTGCGCAGCCGGGACGACGTCATGCTTCTGACGCAGAAGCTGACGCGCGTGATGCTCACCTTCCTCAAGGTCGCCTACATCTTCCTGGTGAGCGGCCCCCTCGCAGTCCGTCTCGCCTGGAACACCCCCCTTGCCCTTTTGTTGTGTTTGTTCTTCGCGGTTCGACCCGCGTTGCGTTCGTGGCGTCGTGCCTGCAGACCGCCGCGGTGTTCGAGTTCCTCGACTGCAACGTGGACGCGGTGTCGGGGAACCGCTTCCTGCGCAACGAGTCGTCGGTGCAGTGCTTCACGCTGAGCGACGCCGCCGCCGTGCAGCTGGGCAACGACACCGCGCCGCGCAACGTCTGGAAGGACAACCTCGCGATCTTCTGCGTCGCGGCCTTCATGTACCCCGTGGGGATCCTCGCGCTGTACGTCGGCATGCTCGTCGCGTCGCGGAAGGACATGGACAACCCGAACGTCGACGCGATGCTGGAGCCAGTGGCGCGCGAGTACCGCCTGGGCTTCAACTGGTGGATCGTGACGGTCCTCATCCGCAAGATCGCGCTGCTCGCCGCGCCGCTGATCTTCCCGTCGGAAACGGACGAAAACGGGCTGCGCCAGAGCCTGTTTTCCATCGCCATCCTGCTCATCGCGCTCGTCACGCACATCTACTTCTACCCGCACGACACCGAGGCCCGCAACACGCTCGAGTCCATCGGCACGTTCGCCAACTTCCTGACCGTCTTCGTGGGCATGTCCCTCTTGGCGCACAACAGCGACGACCAGGAAACCAGCAAGATCACGGACCGCTACGCCGACTTCCTGGAAGTCCTCGCCATCATCATGAACGGCGTCGCCGCCACCGCGGGCGCAATCGTCGCCTACATGGAGATGTCGCCCTTCCTCATGGCGCACGTCGAACGCTGGCGCGCCAAACGCCGCTTCATGGTCAACGTGAAGCGCGCGGGGCTCAAGCTCGACCTGTTCAGCGTCGACGCGGCCGTCGCGAACGGGCCCGCGAACACGCCCAACTCGATCGCGCTCAAGTACCCCCTCAGCGAGGGGGTGTCTCGCGAGATCCTGCGCGACCACTACTCGGCGGGGCTCGCCGCCGTCGCCGGCATCGCCGCGCTGGTGCACGACAGGCACGGTGTGCCGCAGCACTACGTTGTCTTCGCGGACTGGGGCTCCCTCGAGCGCAAGCTCAAGAAGCCGGAGAAGGCGGCGGCGTTCATCGTTGGCTCGCACGAGGGCGAGCCGATCGACGAGACGCGGCGCGAGGTGATCTCGCACTGCCTGCACGCGGACAAGCAGGCCGCGCTGTGGGACACCGGCTCGGCGTCGTACGCCCTGTCGGTGCGCACGATCGTCAAGATTCAGGAATTCGCGGAGCGCGCAAAGCTGGGCAGGGAGGAGTCCGAGCACCTGACGTGGGTCGGAGCGCGCGTGACGAACGCGATTTTGCACCGCCGGAAGGTCCTCTTGGAGGCCGGGGACAAGGCGGCGGAGTTCATGCCGGATCGCGACGTGCTAAAGAGGGCGCTGCGGAGGTTCAACGAATATCTCCGGCAGCCGGTGTCGCTGAAGCTGAGGTACCCGGACAAGATTCCCATCGCGCGGATGATCCGCCCGATCGTGCGGGAGCGCGTCCTGGACCGTCTGTGCGCCCAGAGCGCGGAGCAGTGCAGCACGGTGAAGTCGGTGCTGCTGGAGGCCGTGAACCACCGCCCCTCGCTTGTACAGGCGGTGGTGAATGCGGGGCAGGCGGCGTTCCAGGCGGCCGGGACGCTCGCGCGGCAGATGACGCACACGGCGGCGTCGAACGCGACGTTGATTGCGCGTGCGGCGACGCAGTCGCGGCGGCCCTCGGAGCCCCAGGCGACGATGTACAGCGGCGCGAGCCGCGCGGAGGTGCGGCGGGCGGCGCGCGAGACGGGCATGATGCCGTCGAAGTCGACGCGGAAGATCACCAACGCGAAGAGTAGCATGGCACGCAACGTGAAGAGGGACCAAGCGAGGTCCCTGCGCTGGGCAGACTGACAGAGCGCGAGGTGTGAGCTGCGAAGACCGAGCGCGTGTCCGTGAAATCCCCGCTCGCTCGAGGTGGGCGGGGGCGTTGAAGGGGGTTGATGTTGGTACGCCCCCCTGGCCTGTGCGTTGCGCTTGCTCACGCAGTGGATCGCGCGGCGGGGCGTCGCTGTGGCGACGATCACGGCGGCGACGGTACGGGTTGCGTCACAGCGCGATTTGGGTCGTGGCTGCCAACGCAGCCGCACCGCTGCCGTTCGCACGTGTGCGTCGACTCCGCTCAATTTCAATCTTCATGACATGCGCGCGCTCGCAGTTGCCGCGCGCTTACTCGCGCGGGTGCACGAGCGAGCCCTGCACGTCGATGACGAAGCGGTAGCGCACGTCCGAGGCGATGGTGCGCTCGTAGGCCTCGTTGATCTTGTCGATGGGGATGACCTCGATGTCGCACGTGCAGTTGTGCTTCGCGGAGAAGTCCAGCATCTCCTGCGTCTCCTTGATGCCGCCGATCAGGCTGCAATCGCAACAACACACACATGTCCTCGTTGCTGTTTCCCTTCGCAACGATCACGAACCGCGAGGATCCGCACGCGAGCAGCAGCTTCCACGCGCACCGCGGATTGACACAGACAGCGGATGCACGAGCAAGCGCATGGAGTCGTGTATCTCTGCGCACCTGCCGCCCACCGAGATGTGCTGGAAGAGCATCGGCACGGCCGGGAGCGTGTAGGGCGCCGACGGCACGCCGAGCAGCACGTACTTCCCGAAGGGCTTCAGGAGCGGGAAGTACGTCGTGACCTCGTGGTTGGCCGAAACCGTGTCGATGATCCCGTTGAGCGTCCCCGCCTCAGCCTTCATCTGCTCCTCGTCCGACGACAGCACGAACTTCGCGCCCTGCTTGATCGCGTCCTCCTTCTTCCCGGGGCTGTGCGAGATGATGACCGGCGTGCCGCCCATCGCGCGAATGTACTTGATCGCCATGTGGCCCAGACCGCCAAACCCGACGACCCCAACGGTCATGCCGGGCTTGTCGAGGCCGTACGAGCGCAGCGGCGAGTACGTGGTGATGCCCGCGCACAGCAGCGGCGCGGCCTTGTCGAGCGGGAGGCCCGCGGGGATCTTGAGAGCGTAGTCCTGGTCCACAACGATGTGCGTGGAGTACCCGCCCTGCTGGAGGGTGCCCTCCTTGTCCTTGGCGTTGTACGTCATGAGGCAGCCCTCCGCGCAGTGCTGCTCGTTGTGCGTCTTGCACATCTCGCACTTGGAGCACGAGTCCGTGAAGCAGCCCACGCCCGCGCGGTCGCCGACGGCAAACTTCTTCACGTTGGCGCCCACGGCCGTGACGATGCCCGCGATCTCGTGGCCGGGCACCATCGGGTAGACCGAGTTGCCCCACTCGCCGCTGCGGTCAGACACGCGACGACTCACGCGTCAGATCGCGGAGTCACGAGGGAAGGAGCGTTCACGCATGTTGTTGTGTTCTGTGCACCGCGGTGCGGCGCGGGGGTCTGTGGGGCGTACCGGGCCTGGTGGATGTCGGAGTGGCACACGCCCGCGAAGCAGATCTTCAGGGAGATGTCGTTCGGGCCCACGGCGCGGCGGTCGAACCCGAAGGGCTGCAGAACGCCGGTGGTGTCGTGGCACGCCCACGCGACGCAGTTGCCCTCCTGCTCCGTGACGGGAGCCTTGAGCATCTCTGCGGAGACGCGCCGCGGGGACAAGGGTGAGGCGTCGGGCGCGAGACGTGCGTGTTGTTGTTCTAGAATCAGCTCCAAGTGCTCGCGCGTGGCCAGGAGCGCGTGGAGTCGGTGCGTTTTCGCGATTTCCGACAAGGACAAGTCCGCAGATGACATTCCGGGCCGCGCATGGCGCAAATACGCGTGGTGACGTCCCACGGACGCCACAGGAAGCTGCTTGCTTACCTACAAGGTCGGCAAAGGCAATGGTGCCCTTCTCCGGGATCTTCTTGGCCGCGTCGTCGCCGTTGAGGGCGCGCACGACCTGCTTGAGGCCCTCGACGTCGGCCACGTTGCCCTTCTTGTCCGCGTGCTGCGTCAGGATCGCGTACGTGCGCGGGTGCTCCGCCGCAGCCTGCGCAGACAGCAGGGCCCTCGCGCGGGGTGTGTGGCCCGCGGAATGCGTCGCCGACGACGTTCCTCGCCAAACACGCGAGAGAGCGGCGAGAATGAAGCGAGCGCGCGCGCGACGTGCTGTGTCGGCGCGACGCGCGATGAGGTTGCCATTAGGTGAGCCCGTGGCAGGCGGCGACGCGTCACCGCGCGCGTGCGGAGCGCTCTGTGCGTGGCTTGATGAGCGGTGGTGCGAGAGGTGGCGTCAGAGCGGCATGCCGCGCGGTCGAGCAGCGCGCCGCGCGGGGCCTAGCTGCGGCGCGCTGCAGCCATGAGTTGCGCGGCGCGGCGGGGAGCCTGGCGGCCCGTTCGGCGCCGGAATCGCGGCGGCATTTGCGAGCGTGGTAGTGGTACGTACGTTAGCGGGGAGATCGACCGTCACGGCCACCTTGGAGGCGCTCTTGAAGAGACCCATCGTGAAGTCTTCAGTCCTTGATGAAAGAGAGGAATGCGAAGAAGGTAGTGTCTGGAAACGCTCTTGTGCTTCGAGGGGCGTTGATCTGGCGGCGGAGCGCGAGCGGGCGGCCTCAGAAGCGCGCCGCAGGTTCCAGACGCGACGCGGTGGGGCCTCTCCTGACAGCGCTAGGGTGGTGTGGGTCTGTCTCACGCACTGTCGGGACCCGCACGCGAGCGATCGCAATGGGCGTGCGTCGTTCGACGGCCGTGAGAGGGGATCGCCGCCCCCGAAAAGGCGTTTAAGGTCGGCAGCGCGCCGCGAAGGCGGCCACGTCCCTCCACCCTGGGGCGCTCGTTTTCGGCGTACATGTCCACGGAAATCGGTCGCCCCGCCCCCCACAACATCGATCGAGATTCCGACGGGCCTCGCGCGGGCACGATGCGATGTTTGCGAGGTTCCACTATGCCCCCGCCTTATGCTATGCTAAGCTAAGCAAAGCCGCGCCATCCTCTGCGGCGCGGGAGCCCGCCGTGAGGCGCGGCCGCTCTACTCGTACCGGCAGACCCCTGCCATCGCGGCTACGCGGGCAGTAGGCCCGCACGCGACCCGGAGCGGCCGCCTCGCTTGTACAGGGGCCAGAACGACATGCATCGCCTTTCCACCCCACAGGGCAGCGACATTGGCTTCGAAGCGGCAGCGGCGCCCAGACGTGGGACTGACGTCGCGTCACGAGCCGTTCTGACCACGCCGTAGCCACGAGGGATGCACCTCGCTGAAGCAGCACTCAGCGCACGCAACGCGCGCTGGTGGCGTGCCCGTCCTGTAACGCGGGACACCGCACACGTGACGCGACTGTATCGTTTCGTACCACGCATGTCAGCCGCACGCCGGGCGGCTCTTCCGCGCCGCACCCGATCCCGGAGCCGCGGGCACAAAGCGTCGCAACAACGTGCACACCTGATCGACGACACGCGTCAGACGCGAGGCATCACGGCTGCCGACCGCTCCGGCTCTCTTCGGCACCCTCGTGCGTCCTCCCCGACCCGTCCGCTCCGGCGTCCCCCGCGGCGGGCTCCGGGGTCAGCCCCAGTTGCGTGGCGAGCTCCCGCAGCCCGTCGAGCCTCGAGAGCCGTGGCAGCGGCGGAATCGGCGACTTCGACTCAGTCCCCTCGGCCCTGCCGTCCCCGTCGCCCACAAGCCCCATTTGCACCGCGCGCTCCCGCATCTCCGCGGCGGTGTAGAACCTGGGCTGTTCCTCGAGAAGGACAGGGAGCACCACCCTGAGCTCGAGCGCGCGCTCGAACACGGCGGCGTCCTCGGGAGTCAGGGGGCCGTCGGCCGGGCCCGGGTCGGTCAAGGTGAGCGTCAGCGCTGCCATCGCCTCGTTGATGGCGGGGTCGCTGAAGTCGGCCTGCTCGTTCAGCTCGAAGGCGACGAGGCCGAGCTGGGCCAGGGTCGCGTAGATGTCGGCCTTGCGGTGTGCCATGGCGGACGTCGGCGGCGCGCGGCGGGTGCCAGGGCCTCCCTGCAAGGATGCGGTTGGGGTCACAGCGGCGTTTCGCGGTCTAGGCGGCCGAGGCGTTGCGCGTCGAGACGCCCAACAAGCGGGTGAAATATATGGCGTGCTCCGAGCGCCCTGACGCGGCGGTCGTGGCGCACAGCCGCGGGAAACGAACGCTCTCATGACGAGTCGCGCGTGCTTCTCCGCGCAGATCGGCCGCGCTCCGCGACGCAACGAGACCGTGCGCGCTCGCTAGATTGAAGATGAGCGAGCCTCGTTCGGGGATCGGGCGCCGCCTCGAGTGCTCGCAGATGGTGGGATCGCAGGTTCGAAGAGGCCTACCTGCTGGTCGGTTCGTCGTCGCGTCGGGGGGACGTGCGGTGTGCGGAGGGGAGGTTTGTCGTCGCGAGAGTGTCCCGCATCGGCGGCCGCGCGCGCCGATGAGCTGCGGCGAGGCAGCGGGGCGCTCAGATCCACCTGACCCCCCCCCCTGCTGTCGGGGCAACAGAGGACAGTCGCCGTTGGGCCGGGAACGCGTCGGTGTGCCCGTGAGACGTGGCTGCCGCTGACATGAAGTACGTACAGGGAGCTGCGGACGTCACACACCGCCGCGCGAACGGTCCACAATCAGTTTCAGCTGAGCACCAACAACGTCGCCTCCCACACGAGTCAGGCTCGCGGCCTCAGTGCTGCTGGCCGCTGTGCTCCGTCCCGGCGCGCTCGGGCGTCCTCTCCGCACCATCGTCGTCGTCGTCGTCGTCGCTCACGACAGGAGGCGTGCGCAGCCCCAGCTGGTGCGCGCGCCGAATCACCTCCTCGGTCGTGCGGAACCGCGGCAGCGCCTGCGGAGCAGCCGAGTCGTCGTCGTCTGCCGAGCTGTCGCCGCGCTGACTCAGGGTGGGAGGCGTGCGCAGCCCCAGCTGGTGCGCACGCCGCCTCACCTCCTCGGTCGTGCGGAACCGCGGCAGCGCCTGCGGAGCAGCCGAGTCGTGCCCGCCGGTCCTGTGGCTGTCGCGCTCCCCCGCGACGGGCGGCGGAGCCACCCCGAGCCTCCTAGCGCGCTGCATCATTTCCTCCGCGGAGAAATACCTCGGCTGCTCGGGGTCGACGCGCAGCACCCCGAGCTCGAGCGCGCGCTCGAACACGTCGGCGTCCTCGGGGGCCAGGTATCCCTCGGCCGGGTCCTGGTAGAGCCGGGTGAGCGCTTCGGTGGCCGCGCGGATGTCGGGGTCGCTGAAGTCGGCCTGCTCGTTGAGGTCGAAGGTGACGAGGCCGAGCTGGGCGAGAGCCGAGTAGATGTCGGCCTTGCGGGACATCGTGGCGCCTTCCTGCAAGTGCAGGCCACGCATGGCGTTGGGCTCGGAGACTCCGAGCGAACCACCTCGATTGGCGACCCGAGCGTTTCGGGCGTCGCAGCATTGCTATGGCGCTACTGAGCATCTCAGCGTGCTTGAACCGCCGTGGCGCGCGAATGTCGCGCCGCACGAGGCCAGGAAACCCAGCAGGCACGACCAGCTCCGGCGCAGATCTACCGCGCCGCGGAGCGCAACGCGAGATCGCGCACGCGCGCGCTCGCTAGTTCGTCGATGAACTAGCCTCGTTCGGGAATCGAGCGTCGCCTCGAAGTGCTCGTTGATGGTCGAATCGCGCGGATAGATAGATATTATCTATCTAATAGAGAGGGCACGCTCACCTTCTGGGTCGTTTCGTCTCCGCGTCAGGGGGACGCGCGGTGTGCGGAGCAGGGCTTTGTCGTCCGCGGCGGCCGCCACGCGCGCCAATGTGCTGCGGCGAGGTCGCGCAGCGAGAGGTCAGGCCAAGTGTGGGGCACTTGGCCTGGAACCCCCCCGCTGTCAGGTCCGACTCTGGAGGTAGGAGCGTCAGCTCGGAAACGCTTCAGCACCGGCACTTCGACGTGACTGCTCTTGGTCATCGACGCGCACGTGCAGCTGTTGACGTCACAGGCCGCGTCGTACGTCGTACGTGGGCGCAACCTGACGGCAGTGCTGCGTGCCGCACCCACCCCGACTCGCACACGTGCTCGCGGGCGCGACGCGCCGTCCGCGTATCGCCGATCGGCCGAGCTCTTCATGCTTCCGCGCAAGTCCGAGTAAGTAACAACAGTTGGGACACTGGCAGCCTGCAAGAGCATGCAGCACCACCCCTGAGACCGAGACGCAGTGCCGCCTCGACGTGCGAGGACTCACAGCTCGGTCCCGTCGCTCCTGTGCTCGTGGAGCTTCTCCTTCTGAGTCAGCCACACGGCGGGGCCTGACGTCATGAACGTGTCAGCGCCACGGTGTGACTGAATTGGAAGCAGGGAAGCTCCGATGCCAGGGGAGACCGGACCGAGCGGCGCGTCATCGCTCGCTTCCGCCAAGGCCTCACTGCGTCTCACTAGCAGGAGCGGTGCAGCCTGTTCGTGCGCGTCCCGTGCTCATGCTCACCGCCTGCGAGCGGTCCCGCTGCGAGCCGCCGGCTTGGCGCGCGTGGAGGGGCAGCGGTGCCGAGGTATGACTCCGAGCTCCACGAGACGCTTGAAGCACTCGGCGTCCGTGCGATGACTCAAGTCGTTTGCAAGGCCCAGCTCGACACTCTTCGCTCGAATTTCCGCCACCGAGCGCCTCGGAGGCGGCGGCTCGTTGGCCTCGCGCGCCATTTCCGCTACTTTCTCGTGGAAGGTGTCGGCGATTTTCTCGTACCAGGCCGCGACCTGCGCGGAAATGAGACGAGCTTTTCAGTGTGGCACGTGGCATTGGTGGAGCAGCGTCCTTCGGCCACCCGCAACGTGTCGCGGACGCACCGGTCAGTCATGCAAGCTGACGTGCGCGCAGACGGGCGGCGTTCGCGATGGGGGGGAGGTGCGAGCGCGGTAGGTGTGTGCGCACCAATGCCTCGTCGGCGCTGACGCCGTCCTCGGAGGTCACGTGGTACCACTCGATCAAGACGATGTCCTCGAACGGGGTCCACGGCTTGCCTTGGGGGCGGACCTGCTTCGTCGCGCGCCACCCCTTGCGGACGTTTCCCTGTTGACTCATGCTTGCTGGCCCTCTGTCTGCAAGGAACGGGGGGGGAACGTGGTGCTTGTCGCGGTGCCTTGTAGGACTGGAGTGTGACATTCGCGTCGAGAATGTCTGACCAGCCTGGTTGCGCCGTGCGTGAGCGCTGCGGGAGGGTGGTTGGGCGTCGCACGCCGCCGCATGTCGGGATGCGATCTTGTTTCTCCATGTGAAGCAACTTTCAAGCTCGTATCTAGCGAAATAGACATTGTACGTGTCGTCTCAGGCGGCAGGCGCCACAGAAATCGCGACACGACCTTTCGCGCGGGGGCACGGTGCGCTGCATCCGCGCACGGCACCTGTCAGGGCTCTAAGCGAGCCAACTCAGGTACGCGCCTGAAACCGACCCCAGGCGTCTTCGAAGACCAACCCAACGTTGTCAAGCGAGCACTCAGACGAAGCCCACGCAACCACCGTGCAAATCGAAGCGATTTCTCCCGATTGTCGCGAGCGACGGCCCTCGGCATACGCAGCGCAATATCCACGTACGCCCAAAGCCTCCTGCCCTGAGCCACGCGAGCTCGTCCGACGCCGTCGCAAGAAAGAGGGGTTCTATTGCCCCCTGACTGACCAGAGCGGCAGAGATCTCACAGGGCCAAGGCGCGCCTTGCGCGCACAGACAGTGTCCGCGGCGCCCCGGTCAAGCACGTGCCCGTCAGCGCCCCACGCGCCTCCCGTGCCGCACACGGCGCGCCCGTCGCCCGCGCACCCGCGTCACCCCCTCCTCCCGGCGCCGCGTCCGCGCGCCGCCCCGACGCGCGCGTCCGCGCACGGCCGGTACGTCAGCACGCCGAGCTCCGCCAGCCGCGCGCGGCACTCGTCGTCCGTGCGATCGAACTCCTCCGCGAAGCCCATCTCAATGCACTGGGCGCGCACGTCCGGCGCGGTGCGCCGCGGCGTCGGCGGAGCGTTTGTCTCGCGCGAGTGCCGCAGGACCTCGTCGTAGAAGGCGTCCGCGACGCGCTGCCACATCTCCGCGATCTGCATCGGCGACAAACACACAGCTTCTGGTCAGACCTTCTTTTTCTTTCCTGTTACGAACATGTTGCCCTCGAGGGCGGCGCTGAGGCACGACTGCGGCCAACGCGGGCGGAGAGCTGAAGGACCGGATCGACGCGCGAGCGGGGTGTGGCGTCGCGGTGCGTTCGGGGTGGAGGTCGTGCGCCGTACGCGGTCGAAGTTGTGGATGGGGCTCTGGCCGTTCGTCGGGTCGCGGTAGTACCACTCGACCACGAACGCGTCCTCAACGGTGCTCCACGGTCGCGCCTGGTCGCCTCTCCGCCCCGATGCGCCCCGGCCCGGGACGGTGCGCCGGACCCCTTGCACCATAGCTTCCTGCGTCCAGTCTTGCCGCCGTGGGGCTCAGCCTGCGGAGATACGTGCAAGAGCGTGCAGATGAGGCTTGAAAACGATGATCGCCGTCGAGCGACTCGAAAAGAACGCGCTGTGCACGCCGGCGCCGAACGCAACGGGTTTTCCCCTTTGCGAGCGCTCTGGAGAGCGCTGCGTCGCTGGAAGATCGAAACGCGTCATCGACGTGCTCAGGGATATTAACTCGCACGCGCCACGACAGACACCGCGACACCGCACGTCGCATGCGAGCTCGACATCGCCACGGTGCCACGCACCTCTCTTGTTCTTCCCGATACAAGCACGCAGGACGCCGGTGGGGACCGTCGACGAGATGGCAGCTCCGAGCAGGCTCGCGCAGCTTCGTATTCGCGCCCCGCGGTGCGAGAGCTCCCCCGGGGGAGCCTCTCACACCCCCCTGCGCGCGTCTGACACAACAAGCAGCCGAAGTGCGCCGGGGCGGACGACGGGCGCTCGACATCACCGCTGCGCGGCTGCGGAACGCTAGCACTATCACGAACCCTGTGGAACGACGCGCCTTGCATCTGTGCGCCACCCTGCAGTGCACCCCGCCAGAGTGGCCTAGCAGCGCGGCAGCGGCGTTCGTTGATTCCCTTGATTCTGGAGACAAGGTTCGATAGCTCCAGGATGACCCGTCGCGGCGCTCTAGTTTGAGCACCCAGCCTCGCTCGGAGGGCGCCACATTCGCGCCTTATGGGCCGGTCCATGAAGGTGCCGCTGCCAGAGCGTGCGCGAAGCCCCTGATCCTGCAACCGCGCGCCGCGACCGCAATCTCCACCATGAGCTCCGACAAGGCTCCCGCGTTCTTCGAACGCATCGTGCGAGACGTGCTCGAGGACGACTGCCTGCTGGTCATGGGCGAGGGCCTAGGCATCGAGGTGTGCCCGCTGACGTCGACCTAGCCGCGCAGGCGTCGGCCAGCGCTTCCCCACGCATATGCCGTCAGAAGCGCTCCGTGGTTGGGCCCGCAGCAGGTCCCCTGACAGCGCGTGCCCGCTCTGAACCCATCACAGAAAGTCGTTGCCGGTTTGCTCGCGGAGTACGCTCAGGGGCGGGATTCTTCGGCGGCGTCTGGAGACGACGCAACTCCTGCTCCGCACCAGTCCGGCCCGGTGATTCTCCTGGGCTTCCAGGAGTGGCAGCGAGCGATGCTAGCTGCAGAGGTCCGGCGCTGCTGGCCCGGCCTCGAGCAGCCCGAGATGGTGTCGCCGGAGATCGACAGCTCGAAGCGAGCGGAGCTATACTCGTGAGACCCTCGGCCGCGCGTTTCAGCAAAGCATGCAACGCCGCGGCGACACCCGCGCACACCGCGCGCCCAGCGCGCAAGCGCTCCCCCGCCGCCCTCCGCGTCCCGCAGGTCGAACAGCTCGATTCACGTCACAGGACGCATCTTCAACGTCGACCTCCTGCGCAAGGCCGTCGATCCCTCACGCATCCGCGCGCTCCTCGTCATGAACGCCCACAGAGCGTCAGAGACCACAGGCGAGCCACCGCGCCCCGGCCTGCGCCGCCGCGCGTCTCAGACGCACTCCAGGCGACGCCCGAGTCTCCGCGGGCACGCGCCGCCCCCTCCCGCCCGCCGCCACCGCGGAAATTCGCAAAAACACAAGGTTGATGTGTTGTGCCCCCGCAGGCGACGGATTCGCGGTGCGGCTGTGCCGCGACCACCCGGGCTTTCGCGGGAGCGTCGTCGGGCTGTCGGACTCCCCGTCGGCGATGACGGGCAGCTTCAGCGGCCTGGAGCGCGCGCTGCGCGCCCTGTATACGCGCTCCGTGCACATCTGGCCGCGGTTCCGCGACGAAGTCAAGGAGGCGCTCGCGGAGCGGGCGCCGGACGTGGTCGAGCTGTTCGCGGACCTCACGCCGCCGATGAAGCTGATGCAGGGCGCGATCGCGGAGATCACGGACCGTTGCGTGAAGCAACTGGCGCGCTGCGACAAGCTGGACCCGACCGGTGCGCGCCACGTGGCCGCAGCGGCATTGCGCGTGCGTGTGTTGCCGCGGCGGCTGGCGCTGACTCGCGTCCGTGCGGTGGGTGGGTGCAGAGCTGCGGAACGCGGACGGTACGGCGCGCGAGGCGGACCGGATCGTGCGACGGCAGCTCGAGCCGATCTGGTTCACGGTGCCGCGGGCGGTGAAGCAGATGGCGAACGATCTGCGCACGCTGCGCGACCTCTCCGCGGACGTCCTCAAGTGCGCTGCCCTGTTGTTGTTGACGTCGTTGCGCATTGCCTTGATGGACGCTGCCGCGCCTTGCGGGACGCGCTGCGCCGAGCACGTCGCCGACGTGCGGGCGCGGTGAACGAGAGCCGTGTTGTGCGGAGTGGTGGGTGTTGGAGAGCATGGTGAGGATGCCGAGTCTCTAACTCATGTCTTCTCGACTGCAAATTGCAGGTACGACTGCGTGTCGTTCCTCCAGCTCCTGGACAACCTGCGGCAGACCGAGAAGGTCGAGTCCGTGTGGCTCACGGACCCGTGCGCGCAGCTGCTCATCGACCAGGCCAAGGCGCGCGTGTACACCATCGAGGGCGGGCGACAGCACGCGCCCCCAGAACCTGACGCAGCACCGCCGGCCCGCGGCGGCAGGGGCCGCGGCGGCGCGCGGGGCCGCGGGCGCGGGCGCGGGCGCGCCGAGGGCGCCTCTGGAGCGCGGCCGGCGGCGGGGGCCGGCACAACAACGAGCGTCGACGTCGGGAGCGTGGAGCCTGTGCTGGAGGAGCAGCCCAAGTGGAGGTGGGTGCGCGACATACTGAGAGAGGTACAGGAAGAGCGGAAGAAGCTGATGTTTGCGGGGAAGGGGAGCGAGGCGGAGGGAGGGAGCGCACAGCCGGAGGAGAGCACACGCGCTGGCAGCGCGGGACACGGCGGACAAGGGAAGAAGCGGCGTGTGGAGGTCGTATTGGACGTGACATCGAGTGACGAAGAGGACGTGGAGGCGGGCGGCGGGGCGTCGGAGCCGGAGCGCGCGCGGGGCGTGCGGCCCAACGTTGTGGTTGCTGCGTCGGACAAACACATGTGCGAGCAGCTGCGAAGGGCGATCACGGCGGACGGAGCGAAGGCGATGCTGAAGGAGTCGTTCGAGAGGTACCTGGAAGCGGCCACGCGCGGCGCCAAGAGCAGGTGGGGCGGCTGGGGGCGCCAGCGAGGTGAGAGCCGCCGACCACGCTGCGCGTCGACCTGACCGTTGATGGTGCGCAGCACAGTAGATCATGTCGCGACGACGGTCGTCGACCAGGCACCGCCCTCCCCTTCTCTCACATGGATTGAGTCTTTGAAAATCACAACAAGAGACACGTGTTGTAATTGGGTGCAGGACGTGGCGGTCGAGGCCGCGGGCGCGGCGCCGACCCGCGCGAGAAGCTCCTCGCCGCGGACGCGCCGGGCGAGCGCGAGGCCCTCATCGCCTCGGCCCGCAAGATCATCCGCAAGGGCAAGCGCGGGCGAAAGGCCCCAACCGCCGCCGCGGCCACGGCGCGCGGCGGCAAGCGGAAGCGCAACGAGGCCGCAGACGCCGGCAACGACGCCGCGTCTCCCGAGGATCCGTCGGGCGGCCTGCTGGACGCCGTCACGTTTTGGCCGATCGACAGCCGCGACACGAGCGCGGTGCTCGACGCGAAGCCGTGGTTCGTCGTCATCGTCGACCCGGCCACGCCGGGCACGCTGCCGCTGCTGCGGCAGCTGGAGCTCTTCCGGGCGTCGCGCCCGGGCCGCCCGCTGCGAGTCTACATGCTCTATTACGAGGAGACTGCAAAAGAGTGCGAACGGTTCCTATCTGCCTCCGCGCGCGAGACCAAGGCATTCGTGTCGCTGATTCAGAGCCGCGGGCACATGCTGGCGCCCGTGGACGCCCAGAAACGGCAGGTCGTGCTGCGGCAGCGCAACGCAGCGGACGCGTACCACCCGGACGCGTTGGTGGAGGTGATGGCGGCGCAGGGGGGCAACAACGCGGTGACGCGGCGCGCGGGCGGGCGGGACCTGCTCGCGGGGCCGAGCCGGCCTGGGCGGAAGGTGGTGGTCGACATTCGGGAATTCGTGTCTAATCTTCCAGGCGTCTTGCATCAAGAGGGCTTCGTGGTGGAGCCCGTGACGCTCGAGGTGCGCCCGGACGAGCCCGAGAGCCCACGCCCTTCGAGCACCGCGTCCGCAGCTGGGCCTCCTGCGCACCGGCAGCCAAGGTTGCATTGTTGATGCGTGCTGCGGGCTCGCAGAGCATTTCCACGGGTCGCTTCGCGCAGGTCGGGGACTACGTCCTGTCGCCGGAGATGTGCGTGGAGCGCAAGGCCCTGCCGGACCTCGTCTCGTCCCTGGACTCGGGCCGCCTGCACGCGCAGGCTACGGCCATGTGCCGCCACTACAAGTTCCCGATCCTGCTGATCGAGTTCGACGAAAGCAAGCACTTCGCGCTGCTCAGCCCGGACGAGCTCAGCCCGGAGATCAAGCCCAACGCCATCACGTCAAAGCTCAGTCTCCTGCTATTGCACTTCCCGCGCCTCCGCATCATTTGGTCGCGGTCCATGCGACACACGTGCGAGGTCTTCGAGGCGCTGAAGACCAACCAGGACGAGCCGGACGTCCTCGCCGCCGCGGCGGTCGGGGCGGCGGATGACGACTTCGCCGGGGCCACTGTTGGCAGCGCCGTCAACGATCCCGCACTCGACGTGCTGAAGAAGCTGCCGGGCGTGACGGACCTGAACTGGCGGTTCCTCGCGCGGGACTTCGCGTCGCTCGCGGACATCGCCGCGGCCTCCGAGGAGCGCCTCGCGGCGTCCCTGAAGAACGACCAAAGCGCCAAGGCCCTGCACACCTTTTTACACACCAAGTGCCCGTCCTACTGGAGCTAGCGCTCCGGAGACGGCAGCGGGACCTGCGAGCCATCGCGTTACATCACGTGCCGCATCAGCGAGAGCTCCGCGGCGCCTGCGCGGACACAGGTTCCCTCTGGGGGGCAGGCACCGTGTCAGGGCGCGGCAACTCCCCCAGAGACTCCCCCACGTAGAACTCGCTCACGTCCCAGAGGCGCCGCTGGAGCGCAACGTCGCGCGCCTGCTCCGACGCCTCGACAACCTGCACGACGTACACCGAAACGCGATCAATGTATCGCGGGGGTGTAACACAACAGCGCTTTCTCGTCTGAACACGCGCAACGAGGGCGAATGCGCGGAGCGGACGCGCGAGGCGAGCGCGCCGCCAGGGGGGCAGGGGTCGTTGCGCCGCACCTCCAGGTCGTGCATGTACAGGGCCCCGGGGGAGTGTGGCCACCCGAGTTGCGGGTCGAGGCAGGCCTTGAGCGCGGTCGCGGCGCCCTCCGTGGGCGTGCGGAACGCCGCCTGCGACAGCCACCGCAGCGCCGGCCGCAGCGCGCCCGGCACAGAGTCGAAGATGTTGGACGCCACGCGGCCGGGACTGACTGACGTGGCAGACACCCCCCTCCCGTCGGCGTACGCGCGGCGCTGGACCTCGCCCGTCATCATGACGTTGAGCAGCTTGGACCGCGCGTACTGCTTGTACCAGCCCGAGGGGTTGTCGAGGATGGCTCCGGGGGTGTCTTGTGATAGCCCGAGGGGAGGGGCGCGGCGGTGCGCCTCGGAGGCGACGGTGACGACGCGGGAGCCCGGGCGCATGGAGGGGAGCAGGAGGAGCGTGAGGAGGAACGGGCCGAGGTGGTTCGGGCCCACGTGGGGGTCGCGCGACGGATGCCACACCTCCGGGGGGGTCATTGTGGGACCTGACGTCAGGCCCGGCCAGACGTCGCGCGCCGAGAACGACCCCATCACGCCCGCGTTGTTCACGAGGATCGAGAGCGGCCGGCCTGCGGCGAGGGGCGCAGGGAATCCTTTGGCAGTTTAACGTCGCGCGCAGGACGTGACAACCCCTTCAAACGCATCATCGACGTCACTAGATTGATCATCATGACAGTGTCGTTCGCTGGAACCGAAAATGAGTCCAGGTCCGGGCCGGAGAGGCCTCAATTTCGCGGTTCGGGCACGCAGCGCACCTTGCAACTCCCTTTTTTCCCGTCGCACGAACTCCCTGATGGACTTCGGGTCGTCGACGTCCAGCTGCGAACAGCGACACGTACCACTGAGCCCCCGCGACTCGATCTCCGCCTTGGCGCGCTCGCACTTCTCCATCGAACGACATGCTAGCACCACCTCTGCCCCCTCACCTACCAGACCTGCGAGCGCGCCCACCAGGCCGATTCGCAGCTCAATCCTCCACCACAAGCAATACGCTGCCTCGGCCGCGCATGAGGGGCGCCGGCGGCGCCCGGGCCCTCTCGTCCGCTCCCCGCGTGCGTACGTAGGCCTCGCGGCGCGAGTCCTGCGGCGTGTGAGTCTCGCCGCGCCGGGCGTGTTCGTACCTGCTGCAATCTCCTTCCCGATGCCGCCATTGGATCCAGTCACCACGCACACCCTGCCGCTGAGATGCGTCGGACCAACCGTGGGTGGCTGCAACTTTGGTCCAAACAGGCCCATCGCGACGAAGTAGCTGCACCCGCGCCACGCCACGGCCCGCTCAGAAGCAGCGGGGCGCGCGCTGGGCGTCGGCAATGGCCGGGCGTGGCGCTGTCTGACCGACAGACGCCGCATGACGGACCCTGAGCCTAGCGTGCTCAGCATGGAGCCCGCCCGGCGGCCGTGCGCGCCGGAGCCATCGGCCGGGGCCGCGCGCGGGCCCGCGCAAGCACTGTCGGCGTGGTTCGCGGCGACTCACAGAGCAACGGAAGCTTTGCGGTCCCGGGGTGAAGGCGAAAGCGCTTTGGCTGTGTCCAGGTTGGGCGGGTTCGTTTTCGGGCGCCTGGAAGCCACGCGCGGCGTCCCGCGGCACCTCGAACTGCAGTTCACGGACGTGAGAGGCGCAGGAGGGATGGACCTGGACTACGGAGACGTTCCCGCCACGCAGGTGCGGTACTAGCACCCCGTCCCTCCTTTCCAATTTGCCGCTCGGGACCCCGCCTTCCTCGACCTTCCAGCACGGAATCATAGCGAATCGTGCTTGTGTGCTGCGCACATACCGCGCACTGCGTCCATCTGCACTTCCACGACCCGCGGGCACGCACCTGAGCCAAGCTCAAAGCCATTCGCGCCGCGCTCCCTCCTCGGGGAGCGATTTCCCCTCAACTCACCGCCGCACGCACTGATATGTACATCACGCCACAAGAATCACCCTGAAGCACCCGCCCCTGCCCCCTGCGTCCCTCCCGCGCTCCACCGTTTTGTTTCACTTCACCGCCACTTCCCGCCCTGCCCCCCACCGGCACGGCCGACTGCCCCGCCGGCGCCTGCCCGCTCCCATTCGACGATTCCCTTCACCCCGGCCACGCCACGCGAACCGGGAGCGCGCCCCTCGCCCACGTCCCCGCCCAACAGCCTCTGCGTGCCTCCTTGCACGCAGGTGGACACCTTCGCGGCCACGCAAGTGGCTCCCGCGCCGGTCCCGGAGCCCGAGGCCCTGCGAGACATCGAGCCGAACGTCGAGCGGAGGTCCTCGCAGCAGCCGGCCGACAAGCAAGCCCGGGCGGAGCCCCAGGGTGCAAACGCGGACGGCGATGCGGCAGCCGAGCCCGCGTACGCGACGCAGGAGGAGCTCGACGACCCCCCGAGCCCCGCGGCCCCCGCGGCCGCCGCGCCGGCGCCCGAGCCCGCGTCGCAGGAGGGGGGGAGTCAGATCATGAGTCAGGTCAGTCAGGAGGAGCAGGCGATGCTGGAGCGGTGGGTGCCGGGCGTGTGCGAGGCGCGCGCGGCGGCGTCGCTGCGGCACAACCTGTTCGTCAACGAGGGCGACGCGTCCGCGGGGCTGCACGCGCTCATCGCCACCGAGGACATGAAGGCAGTGTTCGCGGCGATGGGGCACGGGCTGCAGGAGCTGCCGGAGCACCTGCTGGGCATGTACAGCCGCGTGGAGGCGGCGCTGGTGGCGGTGCGGCGCGAGCTGAACATCAGCAACGACATGTCGTTGCCGTCGGGCGACGCGCGCACGCAGGAGACGGTGCACACGCTGTCGCAGAGCCAGGGGGGCGGCGCGGGGGCCGCGCAGCCGGACGCGGCGTGCGCGAGCAACGCCGTGGACGTCGCCTCGCAGCAGGAGTCCGCGCAGCATGACGGGGGCGGGGGGGATGTGGTGCCGTGCTCGGCGGACGTGGTGGCGGCGCGGAAGCCGCTGCTGGAGAGCGAGAGCCCCGGGGGACTGCGGAAGAAGATGCCGCCGCCGCCGCCGATGAGCAGCCTCAACCCTGCCATGAACGCCGCGCTGGCATTCGCGAAACAGGGTCTCCCAGCGAGCCCGGGCGGCCCTTCTGGCGGCCACGACCCCGCCGCGACGCCCTGGTGCATGGTCCGCGTCTCCGAGGCCTCGCACAACGAGCTCGCCACCACAGCGAAGTTCTCCGCCGCGGCCGCGCGCGCCCTTCCCGACATCGCCGTGGACGGCGGGGCGCCAGTCGACGTGCAGTGGCTCGAGCTGCGCGGGGACGCGGCGGTCGTCCGGGCCTCGTGGGCGGGCGCGCAGCTTGCGCCAGCGCGCTGCCTCGAGACGCCGCTGTCTCAGGGCGGCGCGCTGTCGCAGGCGGGCGGGCCCGGGGTCATGGTGCCTGTCGCCGTCCAGGGCGACGCGTGGGCGACTGCGTGCCGCGACATGTGTCTGTGCGCGGGGGACGCGGTCGTGGTGGTGCTGGGCACGTCGCCGAAGTGCGCATCCGGCCGGAGCGTCGACTGCTGGGTGTTTCGTGAGGCTGACGTGGCGGAGGGCAACGATTCCCTCCCGAGCAGCCGGGCGTTCCCGTGGCCCGCGGAGATCGACCGGCTCGTCGCGCCGCTCGTGCCGGGGCGCGACGACGCGATGGAGATGCAGCGGACCTTCCTGCGCGCGTACATCGGCCTGAAGCTCGCGCGCAAGGCGGCGGAGGGGGAGTCTCTCGCGCCGTCCGACTGGACGGCGGGCCTGTCGGACGCGAGCGTGGGGGAGTGCGAGCGCGCGTGGAAGAACGCGGCGCGCGACGCCCAGCGCGCGCTCGGCAAGGACGTCGTCAAGCGCTTCATCTCGTTTTGCGACACCGCCTGGCGGCACCTCAAGGCGCACCACGTGTCCTCGCAGCCGCCGCCGCCGCACGCGGACTCGCAGGCCACGCGCGCGCTCTCGCTCACGCAGTCGCAAGCCTCGCAGCAGACGCCCGACCTCGGGCGCGGCGTAACGGCTGCGAGTGCGCTCGGCACGCCGGCCGTCGGCTGGGGCCCGGGCGGCGCGGCGGCGCCGCCGGCGGCCGCGTTGGGGAGCGCGAGCGTCGACGGCGTCGCGACGGAGCTGTCGCTGCGCCTCGCCGACAGCCAGCAGCCGCCGGGCCCGGCGCACAAGGCTGGCCCAGACTCCGGCGCGCCGCCTGCGGGGTACCTCGGGTCGTCGATGCTGAACTCGGAGGACCTCGCGCAGCTCGGGGAGGTGCCGTCCTCGCTGCCGCTGTCCGTGCCGCCCGCGGCGCCCCGTCCGGCGGCGGGCGCCGGCGACGCAGTGGTGCCGCCGGCTGCGGACCGCGAAGGATGGCGCACGACGGAGAACCCGGAGCGGAAGCGGCGCGCGGTGTGCGTCGAGGTCGGGGGCTCGAGCGACGACGAGGACGAGATGCGTGTGGTGCCGCGCAAGAAGGCCGCGTCAGGGGAGAAGCGGGCGCGCCCACAGGTGCTGGAGACGCAGGACACGGACATGCAGGACGCGGAGGCGGGCGGCGAGGACGGGCAGTCGCCGGTGAAGACGCCGCCGGCGCGGGGGGGCGTTCCGGACGGCGACGAGACGGACATCGAGGACGCGAGTCAGTACCCGGGGGGACTGAATGCGCAGCTCAAGGTGCTGCGGTCGCGCACGCCGCTGCGCGTGCCGCGGCGGCGGAGCCGCGACGCGGTGTCGGACAGCGACAGCGAGGGCGCGCGGACGCCCACGCGCAAGACGGACGACGAGAAAACCCCCCCTGCATCAGGGGGGGGGTTCCCGGCTTCGCTGCAGGCGCAGGCGGAGCGCGAGCCGGAGGAGTACCGGCAGATGCTGCTGCTCGCGGCGACGAAGGGCAAGGACTGGGTGTCCCGGTTCAAGGACGTTCGGAAGGACTTGAGTTCCAACTCGCGCCGAATCTTCGAACTGCGGTACGGGACGTACGGCGACCTGTGGATCACGGCGCTGGCGCCGGACAGGTCGAGCACGCCGCCGTCGCGCGCGCGGACCGCCGAGCGCAAGAACAAGGGCGCGCGCATGAACAGGGGCGCCGCGCGCAGGAAGAGCACCCCGGGGGGAGTGAAGAAGGCGCGCGGGCGGGGGTCCACGCCGAAGCAGGCGGCGCCGCGGCGCAAGTCGCGCAGCCGGTCGCCGATGCCGCCCGGCGACGGCGAGGACCTCACGTACGAGGCGCGTCTGGTGAAGATCAAGGTGCGACAACTCACATCTCACACCTCCCCCTCTGCCCTCGCACGCCTGCTTCGCGCTGTGCTGCTGTCTCCCGTGGCCCGCGCTCACGCGTTCGCCCCGCCCGTGCGGTTGCAGGAGCTCGTGGAGGCGCAGGGGCCGGGCTGGTGGGACGGTCCCGGGGGAGTGCGGGTGCTCAAGAGCGGGATGAGTGCTGGGCAGCGGCAGATCTTCGAGCTCAAGTACGGGACGTACGGGTACGGGCTGTCGTCGAAGACGCAGAAGGACATCGCGGCGGGGCAGGCGCGCCGCGTCGAGGACTCGGACGCGGATCTGACCACGAGCGACGTCGACACCTCGGGGGGGGTCTCCGGCGCGTCCGAGGACGAGGCGCCGGCGCTCGGCGCGCGCTGCTGCGGCAAGCACGGCAAGGGCTGCGCGAAGTGCATCATCCGGTCGATCGCGTGGCACGACGAGCGCGCGTTAGAGCTGCCCGACGACGTTCAGGAGGCGTGCGAGGCCAAGGTGAGCCTGGGCATGAGCCGGGACCTGGCGCGGTTCCTGGAGAAGCGCAAGCAGCAGGAGGTGGCGGGGCGCGGCGGCGCCCGCGGCGCGGCGCTCGGGCCCGACCACCCGCTGTATCGCAGTCCCGGGACGCCGCCGTTCCGCGGGCTGACCTTCCTGCTGACGGGGGCGCGCGCGGGCGAGGGCGAGGAGGTCCGCGAGCGCGTGCGGCACACGATCGAGTCCCGCGGGGGCGTCGTGCTCGCGGAGGTGCCGCGGAAGGCGGGGGGGTCTCGCCGCCGGCTGTCTGGGACGCCGGAGGGCGCCGCGGGGGCGCACGCGCCGCACAGGAAGCCCATCGTGGTGTGCCTGCTCGGCGACGAGACGCTCGAGGCCGCGACGAGCGATCCGGACGGCGGCCGCCTGCGTACGCCGAAGTTCATGTACGGGATGGTGGACGGGTGCTACATGGTGCTTCCTTCGTGGGTGGAGGAGTGCCACCGCGCGGGGTGCGTGCTGGACCCCGAGCACCCGCGGTTCTGCGTGCGCCTGCGCCGCCCGGGCCCGCCGCCGCGCCCGGGCACGTTCCTGTACGGCGTTCGGGCGTACTTCGACAACCCCACGTCAGGAAAGACGTTCGGGCGCGTGCTGGAGTACGCCGGCGCGGAGGTGGTCGGCGCGCTGCGCCCGGACGGGAAGCCCGCCGTGGACTTCGCGGTGTACGACTCGAAGGACCGGCCGCCGCCGGAGGACCTCGCGAGGCGCGCACGGAAGTGCCGCGTGCCGTTGGTGCGCAAGTCCGTCTTGATCGACGCGCTGGTGTCGCTGCGGCTGCCCGTGCTGCGGGACGGCGCGCTGTCGTGCGACCTCGGCGTGCTCGTCGCGGAGCGCCTGGCCGGCGGCGACGCGGGGCAGCGGGGGGCGTCTGCCGACGAAGCGAGTCCGCCGCCTGACGTCGCGATGTCGCAGTGGGCGCTCGAGGGCCCGCGGGGCAGCGCCGGGCGGCATGGGCGCGACGAGGGGCACTCGGACGACGACGACGAGCGGCGCTCGGACGAGCGCGTGGCGGAGGAGCACGCGCGAAGGAGGTCGGGGCACGAGCAGCGAAGCACGCACAAGGCGGGGGCGCGGACGGACGTGGCGCGGTGCAGCGACGGCAAGCGCAGCAAGGGGGCCGCACCGGGCGCGCGGGGCGCACCGGGGAGCGCGCCGCGCGCCAGTGCGGTGCCCGGGGACGAGACGTGGGTTGGCGCGCCCGTCGCTGCCCCGCGCGGGCTCCAGCCGTTCAAGATCCGCACGTACTACAGCGCGTTCCGTCGCGGGTCGTGGGAGGTCGCGGTCGGCGACTGCGCGCGCATCGACAACATGCCCGGCGAGGTCAGAATGAGCATTGTCAGAATTCGTGCCCTGTGGTCCGAGGCGGGGCGGCCCTTCTGCCGCGCGGAGCGCTTCTACCACCCCGAGGACACGCACTTCTCGGGTTCGCCGGGGTTCGGCGACCTGTTTTTGTCCACGGAGGTGCTCGAGAGGCTTCCGACGAGCGCGATTCGTGGGCCAATGAGCGTGGCGATGGGGACGAATGCAGGGGGCGGGGCGGCTGGGGAGCTGACGTGCCGGTTCCGGTACATGCACGAGGACGGGGTGCTGGCGGCGCTCGTGCCGTCCGACGACGAGGACGACGCGGACAGCGAGCCTGACAGCGGGGCGTAGGTGGGGGGGTGTCGAGAGGGGTTTCGCCATGAGAGGGGTAGGTGCGTGAATTGTGACGTGTGATCTGCGTGACAGACGCGCCCACTGCGGGTCACATTGCGTTGCTCTCGCGTGAGAAAAACCCCATGCATCCGGGGGTCACCCGCCACATCCCACCACCCCTCAATCGATAGCAGGCGTGTCCCACGCGGGTGCAGCAGCGACGCCCACGATCACGCTAGTCGGCCGCCCTGCGCTCCGCACCGGCAGCGCCCTCGTCGCCCCGCGCCACGGCTGCACCCTCCTGTGCTCGCTTGTCCGCCAGGATCCTCATCCACGCGTCCTCGCTGACCCCGCCAACGCTCGGCTTCGCCCACGCCGGCTGGAACTCGAGCTTGACGTTCGCCATCGCGTCCACGATCCTCTGTTTGTGCGCCGCGGGCATAGGCGCCTCCGAGTGCAGCGAGAACGCCCCCTGCGCGCTGTGCGCGCCGTCGCCGTCGCGCTCGGCATCGCCGACTGCGCCGGCCCCATCTCCCGGCCGGAACGCGTTCCCGACGGCTTGCATCGCCTCCTGTAGCGCTCGGGACCGCGTCACCTGCAAACATGTTTACGATGCCCGGTGTTGGGCGAGACTGCGCGCAAGGGGTGCGGCGCGAACGTATGACGGAGTGCCGTGTGCGGGCGTGCGGGCGCGCGGCGCACCTGCTCCCTCGCGCGGCTCGCAGCGGCGGCGGACGAGAGGCGAGTTGCGGCGGCCTGGACGTCGTGTGTAGCGGGCGTGGCTGCGCCCGCGCTGACACCTCCGGGCCCCATGGCGGCGAGCGCGACCTCGATGGATGCGAGGTCGCTCTCGACGGCCGCCCAGCCGCCCGTTCGCGTGAAAAACTGGTCTTTGTTGCTGAAAGTTGCCCAGCCCTCCTCTTCTGGGGGCTGCGCTGTGCCCTGCTGCCCGCCCCCTGGTCGCGACTGCACCTGTCCACCGTCTGCGGCCTCGTCGTGTGGTGCGTCGCTCTGGAGGAGAGGCTGGTACCCAGCGACGTCCTCTCCGCTTCCCTCGGACTCTCGCGCGCCACCCACTGGCTGCGCGCCCTCGAAGCTCACCCAGCCCCCGACCTCCTCATCTGCGCAACACCAGAAACGCGCGCGCGTGAGGCATCGTGAAGCCCCGACTGCACAAGCGGCTGCGACCTCTGCCACAAAAGCGTCCCGCTTTTTCCAAGCACGAGCGCTGCGCGTACACGCACACTCTGCTCAACGCATCCAGGATAAGCACCGTACTCGATCATCGCGTTAGATCCAAAAATAGCACCGTACCTTCCAAGGGCATGTCTCCCCAGTCACTGTTGCTTGCCGTGCCGCGCCCGGGCTCCTCCGGGGGCGCATGGCCTCCGCCCGTGCGCGCGTGCCCGCGTTCATCGCCTGAAGACGCACCAGCGGCGTCCGGAACACCTCCACCGCTCGCGTCGCTGCCGCGTCGCAGAGGCGTGGCATTGGTCCCAGGCACGGGATGACAGCTCGCGTCCTGCTGCACCATCGCTGTCCTCTGCGCGCCGCCCAGAGCTTCCGCAGCCCCGCGTGAGAGTGCTCGTGCACCGCCGGCGCCGCCCCCTCGGTGCGCGCAGGAAACTGAGACGGGGGGAGTTGGCGAGAGACCCCCATCAAGTCCTCCACACGTCGCGAACTCACCGGGGAGCGCACCGCACGAGCCGCAGGCGCTCCTCCGGTCCACGTCCCCAGGGATCCACGTCCGCACCCACCGAACAGCTGCAAACCCCGCTGCCTCCCAAACCCATGCGTGTACGTCCACGAGAAGGCAATCCATGATACAGCTGCGCAGGGTATGACGATGCGGGCGCGCTATCTTCCACTCATGGACCTCTGCGCACAGCCCGCGTCCCCTCACACGTCGCCCACGGCTAAGTTGGCCTTTGCCAGCTGCCTGTGCGTATTTATCAGGCCTGTCTCCGAGGCAGGTCCCCACCGTCCTCCGTCCGCGGCGCTCAGTAGCGCACGATCGCTATATATATAGTCCGCCCCCCCGCGGGGTGTCGGGGTTCGTTCGTTCCGGCCGGGGGTTGCGTGATGCAACCCCCGGTCTACGCCTCCCAGTGGTCTGACAGGTGCTGTTTGAGGGCGCTGAGCGGCGCGCGGCCGCCGCCCTCGAACTGCGCGCCGCACTGGTTGCACGTCAGGTTGCGGATGTGCTTCATCTGCTCGAACTGGTGGAACTCCTCCGCGGTGCACGCCACGCGCCCGTTCTCGCGCAGCATGATCTCCACGTCCGCCGCGTGCAGGAAGTACGACGTGTTGAAGCTGTTCCAGTGCTCTGCGGGGCGGAAACGACGCAGCCCGACCGACACGTATGAGTCACGGCAGGGCACTGCGGCGGGCACATCCGCGCGAGCGTCCGCGACGCCCCGCAAGACGTGTCGACTCGCGATAGCGGTGCGATGGGGCGGTCCAACGCGCACCTGAGCGCTTCATGCCGCTGCCCACGAAGTCGGTTGAGATGACGTGCATGTGCAACTGGCGCATCGACGGCAACGCGTGGAAGCCGTACAGGAACGGCGGGTCCAGCCGCCGTAGCCGCTCGCTCTCTGCAATACAATCGAACCAGAACCACGGCGCGCTCGTTCTCCGCACCACCGCGGACCCCGCAAGCGCTGTTCTGCTTGTCGCTGCTCTACTCTGTGCAAAACACCCCAGGGCGCCTGCAAGCTGATCCGCACCTGCGAGCTGCTCGCGCGCCCACGCCTCCCCGGCCCTCCGCATCGCCGCCACCAGCCCCGCGTGCTCCCCGCGCAGGGCATACACGTCCAGCAGCTGCAGGTCGCGCGCAATCACCAGCGCGTGCGCCGCGCTCTTCGGATACTCGTCCTGGATGATCACGAAGTCCTCCCCGGGCTCGTCGCGCAGCAGCCCGCGCCGCCCCGCCGCGTCCCCCGGCGAGCCCTCCACCCAGCTCCGAAGGCCGTCAAACCACATCTTCGTCACGCCCGGGTTCAGCGTCTGTCCCTTCCAGAACATCAGGTGCGGCGGCCGCTCCCGCGACGCGTCCACCGGGCCGCCGTCCTCGCTCCCGCCGAACGCCCGCGGCGGCGGGCGCGGCGGCGGCGGCGGCGCCGCCGGCACCCCGCACGCGCGTCCAGCCGATGGGGGTGTCCGCGCCGGGGAGCCGCAGGGGGCGCCCGGGGCGCCAGCGCTGCACGACCGCGAGCGCCTTCGCGACGGCGCGGTCCGACGTGCACGTGCACACGCTGTCGAGGCCCTCGGCGAGTTGCGGGGGGTCCGCCTTAAGCTTGCTGTGCGGCACGCTGCACAGGCGCGCGGCGCTGTCGCCCTGCACGCCGCCCTCGTGGTCCATGCGCGCCGCGACGCGCTCCCGGCACACCGCGAGCGGCAGCCCCAGGACGATCGCGTGCACCTCCACGCCGGTCTCGTGCGCCAGGGCTACGAAGTCGTAGCGCTGCGCGCGGTCGAAGTTGCAGCGGTCGATCAGGACGCTCGCGCCGCGCCGGAGGGACTCCGCCGCGAGCCGGACGCACTCGGCGCGCGTCCCGCGCTCGCCGTCGTTGATGGAGTCCTGGTTCACCCGGACCCAAAGGGGGGGGTTATTGGGCGCGACGTGCTGCGCGGCGGCCTGGACGACCGCGGTCGCGAATGTGCTCTTCCCGGCGCCCTGCGCGCCGCACAGCATGAGCATCACCGGCCGCGGACCGCCCTGTTGCGCAGCGCCGGGCAGCCCGCTGGCTGCTGCGGCCTGGGTGTCCTGCGCCGCCGCACCCGCTCCATCGACTCTTTGTTGAACGGAGGATCCGTTGGCGGCGACGTCTTGGCTTGAGGGGCCGGTGGCGTCGAGTTGCGGGGGTCGGGACCCTGGTTGCGCCGCCCAGGCGACCTCGGCCATGATGTCGTCGTTCCGCCACAGCAGGCCGATGCCGTCGCCGACGTGGAGTTCCTGCCGGTTCCCTGGCTCGACGAACACCCGCCTGCGCGCAGCCAGCTCGGCGCGAGCGCTCAGGAGGCTGCGGGCACCCAGTTGACCGCGCGTCACGCGCCGCGGGACGGTCGCCCGGACGCGCGCCGTGCGCCGCGTTCACGAGGGGGGCGCGCGCAGTCTCGCCTGCCGTCGAACTTGTCCAGCCGCGTCGGGTTCCGCGCCTCTTTCGGGGTCTCCAAGTAACCGACAACGCTGCCGCGCGCGGGGGAGCTCGCGTGCTGCGAAAGCGACGAAACGACCGCCTGCACCCGGCTCACGTACGCCGCGTCCTCCGTCCCAGCCAGACTGACCGGCAGCTGCGCGCGTCCGAGCTTGGAGCTGCTCCCAACTGGGACAACCACGTCTCGCGCGTCGTGCCGCGGCCTTATGACTATACCCATCGGGCGCGCCATGTGCAGCACTACTCACACCGCCCCGCCGACGCGCCGCAACGAGCGGGTCCCCACCCTCGGCGCCCTCGAGGACCCTCCGCAACCCGCCCAGGTAAGACAGCCTGTGTGGCGCGCCGTCAGTGGCCCGCCGTGCGCGCCGACGCGCCAGTGCGCGTGCTCACGTCCAGCTCCATCGGTCCGCGTGTGTCGTGCGTTGCGTAGAGCCTCCCAGGGGTCTATTGTCCAAAAGTGCAGCACCAACTCAGTGCGAGGGCGGTCGTGATGACCGCACCGGAGGAGACCGCGGCGCGGCCCCCGCAGGACGTCGACACGGCTCCGGTCGACGACGCGGACGAGACCGCGCGCGCGGAGCTCGCGGGAGCCTTCGAGATGGCAGGTGCGGAGCCGGGCACAAACAGAGCGCGGGGCGCGGGCGCCGAGCGCGCTCCCGCGGGGCCCTCGCGCCACGGCCGCCCGCGCGGGACCTCGCATGCAGCGGAACCTGCACTTCGCGGCCCTGCGCGCTCGACCACGCACCGCGCGCAGCGCGTGCGGCCGGGCACTGGGACCCGTGCGCTGCCCACCATGCTCTAGCGTCCCGCGACGCCCGCTTCTCCCGTTTCCGCCCGGAACGGAAACCTCAGTCTATGTTCATCGCGAAACCGTCCTTGGGCCGCCCGCGTCGCGTCGCAGAGAGCCTCATGAGGGAGCTGCAGATGGTGGGCAGCATGCTTGAATCGCAGGAGGCGACGGGGCGCGACTTGGAGGCGCTCAAGGACGAAATGAACAAGGAGCTCGACGTGCTCAGGTGCGACGCGGCCCCCCGCGCGCGCGCGCCCCCGCGGCCGGCGTGCGCGGGAATGCGGCACGTGGCGCGTGGGTTGCGTTACGCGCACACAAAGCGAGCGCGTTTTGTGTCGTCGCACCGCCGCAGGGACGACGCGTGGCGGTACGAGGAGTGGACGGACCTCGAGGCGATGAAGCGCGAGCTGATGGCGCGGGCGGGTCCGTCGAGCGACGCGGACGAGGGCGCGACCGAGGCCGCGGCGGGGGCCGGGGCGGCGGGGGCGTCGGAGGGCGGTGCGGGGGCGGAGGCGGCCGAGGACGACGGCGAGAGCACGGAGGACGAGGAGGGCATGCTGCGCGCGCAGGTGCGTCTGCGCGGGCGCCGGTGCGTGCGTGCGGTTGGCGCTGCGGCGGTGCCGGGTGGATGTTGATGTGCCGCGCGCGGCCGGTGCGTGCAGCTCGAGGCGCTCGAGATGGGGATCCAGATGGACGAGGAGATCAAGGAGATGCAGGCGAACCTGGAGCGGGCGCGCAGGGAGCGCGACGAGTCAAGGCACAAGCTGGCCGCGCTGCAGGCGGACATGATGGTGAGTCCCCGGGGGGTGTATTGCGGGGAGTTGGTCCGCGGGGGGAGGGGACGCGGCGCGGTGGCGCGTGGCGCGCGCGGCGGAGCGTCCGGGCCGCTGCGTGGCGGGCGCGAGCGTTGGTTGTGGCGTGACATGCGATTGTGTGCGTGCGGGTCTGACCCGGGTATCGGTGCGGCGGTGCGTGCGCAGGCGTTCGAGGCGGAGATGCGGGCCGCGCTGGAGAAGCACGCGGAGGAGGCGGCGGCGGCGCGGCGCGGTGGGGCGTCGGGGGAGGTAGTGCAGGAGCAGCCCGAGGCGCCTGCGGCTGGCGGCGAGGAGGCGTGAATGTCGTCGTGGAAATCGACGGCGATGTGATTCGTGTGAGAGATTGCGGCGGAGGAACGCTGCGAGGACGTCACGCCGGGACGCCGGAGGCGCCACGGCATCGCGCACACGGGAGAGTGCTCCGGGGGTTTCCGCGGCGAGGCGCCACGGCAAGCCTAACCGCGAAGGTGCGGAGGAATGAGGCGAGCGCGGCGCGGGGCTCAGCGGCCGGCTGCCGTCCTGGAGCCCCCGCAGCCCCCCGTCTCACCAGGGGGGGGAAGATGCCCCGGACGGTCTCCGTGGGCCGGAACATGGGCTTTCAGCGGCGCGACGCGGCTCAGTGAGTAAACGGGAGTCGCAGTACCGGAGCTCGGTTGGTTGAATCGCGCAGACGGAGGCCAGCGAGCGCCCCGCAGGTTGGTCGACACGTTCGCCCCCGCCCTGCGCGCGCACACGCTGCCGAGCACCCCCTGCATGAATTTGCGGTATTTCGTGTCTCGCGCGCTGCGGGCCGAGGGCGAAGATCTATCGGTGGCGCACCCGGCTGCGCACACGCACCGTTAGTGTCCCCCTCTGCTTCTGAGCGGCCTCAGTGGTCGTCAGGGGCGCAGGCAGCCGTCTCCGCCGCACCCCGCGCACGCTACACATCCGTTACATGCGTGCGGAGCGCGAGGGACCCCGCGAACGACGCCGTTACCGCGAAACCCGCCCGTCTTGATGCTATGCTGCCGCAGGTCGTCTCCGGCGCCATGACGTCCACGATGGGGCCCGTCGCCCCGGGGGTGTATTCCCCCGCGAAGGATCTGGACCGCGCTACGGTGACGGAGCACTTTCGCGGCCGCGAGCTCACCCCGCACCCGATGAGCAACCGTCCGCCCACACTGACCTCGCCCATGAAGGGCGCGACGACGAGCCCGGTGCTCGCGAACCAGCAGGCGATGTTCCAGAAGGCGCCCAAGTTCGACGGCAACACGTCGTACAAGCAAGAGTACACCGAGAAGCCCCTGGGTCCCTACGACAGGGCGCCTCAGGTGGAGTGGCAGCCCAGGTGAGCCGCCTCAAATGTGCCGTCCACGGCGCATCAGAGCTCCCAGCAGCGCCGCCATGCCACCGGGTATCCGAGAACGTGCGCCGGATGCGTGTGCCGCGACATGCAACAGTCATGATGTTCGATGTGCCAACCATCAAGTCTTAACTCCGCCCGTCTGCAGTCCGTACAAGATGGCCGGCAGCACCGCGTACCGCGACGAGTTCGCGCCCAAGCCCATGCCGCCCATGGCCGAGTACGAGCCCGTCGCCGCCAAGCCGTCGCCGCACAAGTTCGACGGCAGCACGACGTACGGCAAGGAGTTTGCCGCCAAGCCGATGGACCCGCCGCAGCCGCTGCCGAAGGTGGAGTGGCAGCCGTCGCCGCACAAGATGGCGTCGCACACGGCGTACCGCGACGAGTTCGCGCCCAAGCCCATGCCGCCCCGCCCGGAGTACGCCCCGGTGGTACGTCACCCTCCAGCGCTGCACACGGGCCTCCCGCTGCGGTGACGCGGCTTCCCGGCCGCGGTGGTGCTTGCTCTGAGCACAACACGGGGCGCGTGCCGTTCGCGTTGGTCGCAGGGCCCGGTCACGAGCCCGCACAAGCTGGACGGCGTCACCACGTACGGAAAGGAGTTCAGCCCGAAGAAGATGGAGCCGGCGGCGGCGCTCCCGAAGGTCGAGTGGAAGCCCAGGTGCGGCCCGAGCGCGCGCGCCGCGTCGTGGGCAACGCGGACAGATGTGCGACCGTCAATGACCTCGAACGCCAAACGCGGCTGGTCCGTTTTCGCTCGTGCAGCCCGTACAAGATGGCCGGCAGCACCGCGTACCGCGACGAGTTCGCGCCCAAGCCCATGCCGCCCATGGCCGAGTACGAGCCCGTCGCCGCCAAGCCGTCGCCGCACAAGTTCGACGGCAGCACGACCTACGGCAAGGAGTTTGCCGCCAAGCCGATGGACCCGCCGCAGCCGCTGCCGAAGGTGGAGTGGCAGCCGTCGCCGCACAAGATGTCCAACGAGACGTCGAACCGCATCTTCTTCAAGGGCTGGAAGCTCCCCGTCCAGCGCACCAACATTGGCATTGAAACATACGGCGGGAAGTTCTACATTCTGCTGCCCAGCGACGCGCCGCTGCCGTGCAGCAGCAGCCAGGTCTTCACGACCGTGCACGACGACCAGCAGGAGGTCTGCGTCATCATCCTGCAGGGCATGTCGCCCTACGCGCACGCCAATGCCATTCTCGGCCAGTTCGACCTCGTCGGCATCCCCCCGGGGCCCGCGGGGCGGCCGCAGATCAAGGTCGAGTTCTCGATCAGCGACGACTCGACGCTCCAGGTCACCGCGGAGGAGCTCGAGACCGGGCGGCACCAGGACTGGGTGGCGCGCGGTGGGGCGATGTTGGCGCGCGTGGACAGCAAGGACAACTACGGGACGCTGCGGCTCCCGCTCGGCAGCGCGAGCCAGGGCGGTTCGATGGTGGACCAGGTGGCGCCTGCGCCGGGCGAGCCGATCAACCGGGCGCTGGACTTTGACGGTGGCGGCGAGCCAGAGACGCCGCAGGGCAACACGGGCGGGTCGTTCGAGATGCTGGATTGAGCAGCCGCACGGGCGGGCGTTGTGACGGATGTTGCTGCGGAGCGGGCTCGCGTGTGGTGCCCGAAACTCCGGTGAGAGGCATTTCACACGTTGTACGATGTATGCGCGGGTGCCGTATCGTCGCACGGACGAGCTCGGGGTCGCGGGGGCGAGAAGAATGAGGAATCGTGCTAGTGGAGTCCAGTGGCGGGAGTTGGGAGCGCCCGACGTCCGCGGCTGGGGGGGGGTCTGTAGATGCATGTGTCGGGGCGCTGCGTCGCCGGTTATGGATAGAATTCGGTGGCGCCGGGACCGGAGTCGCCGAGGCGCTCGGCGTCGCGCAGCTTGCATATCGACATGGCGCACGCGTGCGGGCTGTGCGGGTCCCCTGTGGGCACGCGCGCAGCTGGTCCGCATCGAGTCAGCCGCGCTCCCTCAGTCTCAGCCGCAGCAGCCACGCGTCTGGCGGCGCGATCCTCCGGTAGTAGTTCTTCACCACGCCGAGCACGCGGAAGTTGTTGCGCAGGTAGAACTTGAGAGCCGCGTCGTTGTTGGTCTGCACGTGCAGCAGCGCCTCCCCGATCGCGTCGTCGTCGCGGCAGGCTGCAGGGGCCGGGGGACGCGGCGCCGAGCGGTGTCGCGAGGCCGCAGCGGGGCGCGGTCGGGAGCCGGCGTGCGCGCGTGCGTGTGTGCGTTCGTGGTGCTGCGGTGTGTGGCGCACCTTGCATGGCTCTATGGAGCAGCACTGTGCCGAGGCACTGCCCGCGGTACGGCGCGTGCACTCCCAGGGTGGCGATGTAGCAGGCCGCGCCGCCGGCGCGAGCCTCGAGGCGGCACGCGATGGCGCCGACCAGCTCGTTGCCGACGTACGCCAGCTGCGTGCACCTCCCTGCGAGGTTACCGCGCGAACGGAATGAAATTGGTGTAATCCGGGTGGGTGTCGCGGTCGGAGCGCGTGTGCCGCTGCGTGCGGGCGCTGGAAGCGACGGGAGTGTTTGGCACACCTGACTGCATGCACTGCTCGTAAATCTTGTCGTTGTAGTTGATCGGAAACAGCACCGAGTTCAGCCGCTTGAGGTCCCCGACGTTCTGCGGCGGACACGTCGATGGAGCGCCCGTGTGTTCGTAAACAAGTCACGCGAAGCTCCAGGAGGCTTTGCGGCCCGAACTCGTCTCTGAACGGCGGTAAGGCCGCCATACAGCCGCACGCGACGATCGACGATCATCCTGTGCCGCTAGCACGATTGCTTACGGGCGCTCATCTTGCCGCGTATGCGCCAGGACGGGGAAACCCCATGGTGACCAGTGAGCGCTAGGGACGCGCGCCACGCAGCATCACGCCACTTTCGCGACCGAAACCCCCTCTCTCACCTCCGAACAGAGCGGCCGAAAGTCCACCCGCGACCCTTCTATCTCTATGGAGTCAGCGCTGGCGTCGAGAAGGGCGTCCGGCACTTGCCGCGGCGACGGAGGCGCGAACGCGGGGTCCGCGGGGTCCGCCTCCACGAACACCGGGCCCTGCGGTGCCCCGGCCATGTCGTCCGCGACACCGGCGGCTCGGGCCCTCCGCGCGAGGTACAACACTCGTCCACTAGCACTGGCGGAGCCTCAGCCTGCTCCCGGCAGCACTCTCGGACGGAGACTGTCGTTCCGCTCGCACCGCGTGGCTTGCGGGCGCAGCACTGTCCGTGTGCCGGGGCCGTCGGGCCCGCGTTGCCGTTGAGGCGGCGACGGGCTGGTCAGGTGGTGTGTGCAACGCCCCACGGAGGACTGGCTCGAGCTGCAGAGTGACGCAGCGGGGCCAGGAGGGGTCCGTGCGGCTCGCGGGAGGCATGTACATGTGCATGAGAAGTCATTTGCCTGCTGATTGACGCGCCCGCCGCGCGCAAGAGTGGTGCGCTGCGCAGAGGCTCTTTGCACGGACACGCGACGTGTTCTTCGTCGCGTTCGCAGTGCCCCCCCACGACGCGAACCCGCGGACAATGTGAGCGTCCGCAGTAACCGTCATCAACCACAGCACTCGTCGCGGCACCAGCCAGCACCGAGGCACGTCAGAGCTCGCAGCCACGGCAGCTATGCAGCTCCGCAAGCGGCGACGACCGTCGCCACCCGACGCACCAGACGCTTTGAGCAGGCTGCTGAGCATCGCGGCCACGTTGCGCGGCAGTTCCGCCGGGCAGCAGCCTGCGCACCCAAAGCTCCTCGTCGTCTCGGGCGCCGGCCTCTCCGCGGAAGCCGGCATGAGCACGTTCACGTCGCCAGGCGGCCTGTACGCGCGAGCCCTGCGCGCACTCGGCCTGCCCGCCACCGGCGACCGTTCCAGAGCCTTCCACTATTCTACTTTCCGCAACAAACCTGACGAAGCGCAGGCCTTCTACGCCGAGATCAGGTGCGCCCCCGCGCCGCACAGACACCTGCGCACGCCCCGCGTCGCCGCCGACCGCACCTGGAGCCGCGCGCCGCAACAACGACAGGCTCACTGCCGACGGTGTGAAGTCACTTCACGCGAGACAGTCTCGCGCGTCGGTCCTGGCGGTCTGCAGGGAAGAGGCGCTCAGGGCGGAGCCGACGCGGGCGCACAAGGCCATCGCGCAGCTGGACGCCGCCGGGCTGCTCCAGCGGCACGTGACGCTGAACGTGGACGGCCTCGCGCTCGCCGCGGGGCAGGAGCGCGTGCAGCCGGACGCGGCTGCGCCGAGCAGCGGCGGCGTCGTGGAGCTGCACGGGAGCGTGCTGCACGCCGTGTGCCGGAGCTGCGGCGCCCGCGAGCGCATGTCGGACGCCACGGCGCGCGCGTTCAAGCGTGCACGTGTGCGCGGCGCTGGAGAGGCGCGGCCGGCGGAGCTGATGTGCGGCGCGTGCGCGGACGGGCGGCTGAGGTTCGCGATGATGCTGTACAGCGACGGCGAGGGCCACCTCATCACGCCGAACGCAGCTCTCGCGCTCCTGCGGTCGGACGCGTGTGCCGCAGCGGCGGTGCTCTGGGTCGGGCTGTCGTTCGTGCAGAGCGCGTCGGTGTCGTACTTCACGGCGGCGTACCGCGCGTCGCGCAGCTCGGGCCGCGCGGTGCCGCACTTCGTCGTCAACACTGACGCGGAGGCCATGTTCGATCTGGCATCGGCGTGCGCGGACGAGCTACACGACGACGTCGCCCTCGTGCAGGAGGACGCCGCGACGGTGCTCGGCGCCGTTGCGCGGGCCGCGGGGCTCGAGGACGCCGCGCAAGGTGACGAGGAACCTTGATTGACTGACACACAACATAAATAGCAAGTAATTCATTAATTCATCGAGGAAAGAAAACGGGATCGTACCTGCAGCCGCGAGCGACCCACCCCGCGACGTCCAGGCAGCTCGGCTGCGTACGTACATAAACGCGCTGCCATGTTACACGGGCTGCTGCGCACTGCGCGTGCGGGCGGCCCGCCTGGTGCGCGCCGGGAAGTGATCAGTCGCTTTCGCTGCCGTAGCTGCCCAGCAGGCCTAACGCTGCCGGCGCCCCGCCGCTGTCCTCGTCGCCCGCCTTGTCCGCCCCGTCTTGCTTCTTTCTCACCACGATCCGAGGTTTGCTGCTCGCGGGCTTCTTCACTCCCCCCTCCGGCTTCAGCGGGTCGCCGGCCCGCGCCGCCGCCGTCGGCGCCCGCGGCTTCGGCGGCGGCATCGCTTCCTCGCTGTCGCTCCCACTGTCGACCCGCGTCATCAACTGCAAACACACGAACAGATACCCCCGTCAGCACCACCGCGCACGTACGCCGCCCATGCATCACGCACGGCCCCCGCGCCACGCACCGCTTTCTTCTGCTCCTCCAACATTCTTCGAATCGTGTCTTCGTCCTCCTCGGGCATCGCAGGCGCGGCCCCGTCCGCGCCCTCGCGCGCGGCGTCCTGCCGGCGCAGGATGTTGATGGCCTCGATGGGGTCGATTTTGTTCCGGCGGTTATTGAGCGTCCGCATCTCGTCGATGGCCTCCATGAGGTCCATTTCGCGCTTGCTGTCCTTCGTTCGGTTTTCCAACGCCCGCATCGAGTCGCCCTTCTCCTCCGCGGTCCGCCGCTCCTCCATCAGCCGCTTCTTCATTTCGTTCTCCCGCCACGGCTCGTAGTTGCGCTTCCCGCCGTGCTCGCAGACGTAGTCCCCGTTCTTTGGATCTGTCTTGTACGTGATTTCGTTGCCGCACGTGAGGCACCGGAAGTAGAAGCGGATGATCTGGATGCCGAGGTAGTCCTCGCCGATCACGTCCTCCTTCCGGCAGTTGAACTTCGTCCCCTTGTAGATGAACGAGCCGCACCCAAGACACTGAAGGCTGAAGGGCTGCATCATGCGCACCACCATCTGCTCCCCGGGCTTGTTGAACTTCTTCATCTTCGGGAGCTTCGACGGATCGAAGTCCTGCGGGGAAGCGCGCATCGGACGCGCGCGGTGCGTGAGCCGGGCGTGCTGTGGAGCGGTGGCGAGCACTCCTCGTCGCGGCCGCGAAGCCGCGCGCAGGCACGGGCGGCGAGCGGGCGCGCGTGATGCGACGGAACCAGCTCGGTGTGTGCGCGTGCGGGCGGTCCTGCGCGTGGCGGCCCCGCGCGGCGACGGCCCGACGGATGCCGGGAGGAACACGCGCGCTGTAGGTCGAACGCCCGGGTCACGCCGTGCGTGGCGAGGCATGAGGACGTCTCGTGGCCGTGTTGGTCGTGTTCGGCTGACGACTATGGCTCAGCGGCGCGCAGGGCCTCGGCGTCCGCCAGTGCGCTGTTGCAGAAAGCATTCTTCGCGCAACGGCGCTGAAGGGCCGCTCAACCGTCGCTGGAACTCACCGGTGGGTAGTACTTGTTTAGGACCTTCCGTTCACCCATTTTGACCTAGTTCACGCACAGCGGGGGGTCCCGCGCGGCCTCCAGAAGCGCCACCAGCTCTCGCGCCCGAATTGCGCGCCTCCACGACCTATTCCTCGAACAACCGTGATCCTCGTCGCCGGTCTCGCTCCTTGTGAACTGACTCGCGCACTGTCCGCGCGCCCTCATCGCCCCCCGACCGCCCTAGCGCGCACACCCCAGAGCAGTGTTCATTGACGCCGCGCGCATCGCCGCGACCGTCGCAGGGTTGTTTTTCCGGTTAACCAGCTCAACATGAGCTCACAATTTCTGATTGAGGAATGCAAGTGGGGCAGGAATGTCGCGTGTCGCCGTCCGGGCGCCATGCTCTGGGCTCTGTGGGGAGGTGGGCGTGTCACGCGGAACCAGAAGCGAGGCCACTGCGGCGACGCCGTACGAGGGAGCTCGATGATCCTTGGCCTGCGGGCAGTGTGCTTCTCCAGTGCGGTCCGGGAACGGCGCCGGCCGGGCCCCTACACCTCCACGTGCAAGTGTCGGCACGGCCACCACGCGTCGCGGATGGGCCATTTGCGACGGACGCCGCTACGACAGAGAGATGTGAACTGAAAACAACGCCCCAGATTGCCAGACGCCCCCTGGGCCCCGCAGCGCCGCCGCCAGATTGCAACAAAGGCCGCGTGATACGGGGGCGTCACGTCGGGCTGGGGGCGCGCGTGGTGCCTCCGGGCGCTCAGTTCCGCGCCGCGCCGCCGCGCCATGCAATGAGCTCCGCGCTACTCGACCGCCGCAAGACTTTGTCGCGCGCCGCACCTCGCCCGCGAGCTGGCAGTTAAAGCGCGGACCACCGCAGCATGCGGTGACATCAACACGCGCCAAGGCCGCGGACGCTGACGGAGACCTAGGCACCCTGTCACAGGGCCGCCCCCGCGACTGCGCGGACGTTTCAGAGCCTATACAAGATGGCTGGCAGGAGGTTCAAGCTCCCGAAGGCCCTGCGCTGGGCCCGCGGGTCCGTCCCCACTCAAAGGCCATCCCACCAGATCACCTGTAGCTGAACCGGCCCCCCGCCCGCCCCCGGCGCGGTTTCGGCCCGCACAGCGCCGCAACGGCATCCAGTCCTGGCAACCGCTGTACTGTTCCGGTCGTCCCGGCCTGGGCGAGAGCGGCGCGCCCACGCTCGCGCCGCGTCCCCCGTGGACTGCTCTCGCCCCCGAGCACCCTTGCGTCCGCGTCCGGGCGCGGTTGACGCGCTACCGGGCCCGTGGCCCCTTGCTCCGCGCCGCAGCCACTGCGCGCGAGCCCTGACGCCTCGCGCACACCAGCCGCCGCCCCGCCGCGCCGTGGCCGCAGGGTGATCCGCTGGTGCGACTTCTATCTCTTGCCCGTCGACGATGAGGAGACGCGCTCCATGCTCGGCGGCTTCATGGCCATTGCGTCCGTCCTCATCATGGTCTGGTTCTACATCCAGGTCAGACACCCGCGCACCACCCCCCCGCGCACACGCATGCCCGCTGCACCGCGGAGCGCGCACGCGGCGCCGCGCCCGTGCAGCCTCCAGCGCCCCCGCGGGCGGCTCCTGCTACTGTGCCCTTGCGGCGTGCCTCAACTGGTGCCGCTGCCGGCCGCACGGCGCCCCCGCGACGCAGTGGCTCCCGGACATGCGACGTATCACGAGGTCCTCGACCATCTCGGTGAGTCCCCGCCCAGGCCCGCGCCCTGCGCGCGAGTTCCGGCGCCTAGCTCGCCTCGGTGCCAGGGTGCTACTAACTGGCGCGCGAGCGCTCCGTTGCGCACCGCAACCGCCGCCGCGAGCGCCCGCGGGACGCGAGCGAGCGCGGGACGGCAGCCGCGCCGCCCGGACCGCCCCCGGCCGCGCCGCGCGGCGCGTGCGTCGCCCTCGCCACGCGCAGAGGGCGTCATCAGCTGAGGGCGTGGCGGCCGGCCGGGGAGCGCGGGGGCGGTGGCGCGCTGGGCGTCCTGCGTTGCTCCTGCCTCGTCCAGTCGGCACGACCTTGCCGCACCGCGCGACCTGCCCTCACCGCGCGTCGCACGCGAGGGCCAGTGGTGCCCGGACTGGGGGATACCCCGCCGCTTATACGCTCGGTGGCGGGGAGCGAGACCTCCTGCGCGCTCCCGGTGCGTCTCCGCAGGTGGTGGACCCGGTCAAGGGCGTCCAGACGCCGATGCAGTGCCTCTACCGGCACGGGTGTGTCGCGGTGGACCTGCAGGGCGGCGTGCCGGTCAACGCGCGGCAAATGGACCGCGACGAAACCGTGCTCACGACGCTCCGCTTCTTCAAGAGCGCAGGTACGCTCCGGCGGCCCCGCGCCCCCCGCCGTCGCCCGCACGTGCGCGCCACGCAGCAACTGACAGCCTGCGTGCGTCCCGGCCCGCAGGCGACGGCCTCGTGGTGCTGCCGCGGCGGCTGATGCAGAAGAAGCAGCTCTGCGACGCCGGGTCCGAGCCGCTGTTCTACTGGCAGGACCGCTTCGCCCCGCAGTGCACGCCCGGGTGCTTCGAGTATTGCGCCCCGGAGCCGCTGACGGAGCGCCGGCAGCCGGTCGTGAGCCTGTCGGGCGTGACGATCTACGAGGGCGAGCGCCCGGAGATCGCGCTGTTCGACACGAAGCTCATCTCCGGGCGCGTGGACCGCAGCGCGGTGGTGACGCGCAACATGGAGCCGCTGAAGACCGAGGGGCTCGTGACGGCGCTCAACGTGACGGGCGTGGAGACGAAGACGCTGTCGATCAACGTCACGTTCCCGGCCGCGTACCCCACGTGGCGCCCGAACAACCCCTTCAACGTGTACGCCGTGGACGTCAACCACAAGGCTTCGTTGTGGTACTCACAGTTCGTTCCGCCGCTGCGGCGGCCGAACGTGACGTGCACGGGGCCGGTGTTCTCGCCGACGTTCCCGGACAGCTCGGTGCAGGCGAGCAAGTGCCCGACGGACCACCCCGCCGCGCAGGTCGGTGCGTACGGGACGGCGGACTTCACGCAGATCACCACGCCGACGTCCACGGCGTCCGGGACGTCCCCGAAGATCCCGTACGGCACGTTCACGGACACGGACCTCGTCTTCCTGCACGACACGGAGAACGGCAAGTTCGACCTCACGGAGACGTACGACGAGAGCAACGTGCGGTTCGTGGTCATTGGCGGCGCGACGTCGCTGGTGACCGAGGAAGAGTCGCTCAAGATGTCGTGGATGGACGTGTTCCTCGAGCTCGGTGCTCTCTGGGGCATCGTCGAGCTCGTCTGCGGCTTCCTCGTGAAGGAGTTCGAGGGCTGGATGCGCGACGAAATCAACGCCACGCGCAGCCAGCTGAAGACGGCGCGGCTGCTGCAGAAGGCCGCGTACGCGAACGAGGTCGTCGGGTCCGAGCGCACGTCGGTCAACTCGGACCTCGACGAAGACGACGACCTCGAGGCCGGCGACGGCGACCGCGGGGGGGGAGTGAATCCCGCGCTCGAGTCAGGCGCGCTCCCCAGCGACCGCGAGGCCGCGCCGCCGCCCAAGTCCGACATGGCGAGCGTCGTCGCCGCACTGCGCAAGTCCGCCGCGGAGGCGCAGGCGCCGCGCTCCGACGGCGCGGCCAGCGGCGACGAGTCAGCCCCTGCGTCAGCCTCAGAGCTCCGGCGCGGCTTCGGGGAGGGCCTCGAGACGGCGCCGACGGAGCAGATCGTGCGCGAGGAGGTCCGCGATGCGTTCGAGCCGGACAGGCCGCTCCCGAGCTTCGTGTCGTCGCGCGCGGGCCACTCGGGGGGGCGCTTCCACGTGCAGGGTGCTGCCGCGTCCCTCACGGCCGCGAGGGGGAGCCGGCCGACGCTGTCGCGGCAGGGCACGCTCTCGAACCGGCGGCTGCTGCAGGCGACGAGCTTCCGGCAGCAGCGCTACGATACGTTCCTGCAGCGGGCGCACACTCAGGCGGCGGGCGTGCTCAACCAGGTCGTGCCGGAGACCTGGCAGCCGACCTCCCTGAGGTCGGGGCCCGCGAGCCAGCGCGAGGGGGGCGGCAAGAGTCTCGAGGTGCCGCCGCCGCCCGCGGACAAGCAGCTGCGTAAGATGTGGAGCGAGCGGGTGCGGTTCAACGTGGCGGCGGAGATCGAGCAGGTCGCTGCGTCCGGGGCGGCGCGGGCGAGCTACGCGGAGGTGGCTCCGGTCGAGCACGTCGTCGCCAGCGCGGACGCGGTGCGCCGGGAGTCGATGCCGGGCCTCGGCCTGCCGCCGTCGGCGTGGGCCAAGGTGCGCGACGTGCTGGGGGAGAGGACGGCGAAGAAAGTCAAGCTGGGCGAGATCTTGGCGGAGAACCTGCGGCGGAAGATCGTGGTCGAGGAGACGGCGCGCATCCTGATCGCGATGGTCGTGCCGGCGCTGTTCCTGCTGATGCTCCTGGTTGGTACGCCGGTGTTGGGGGAGATATGGCTGCGCGAACTGAAGAGCGAGGACGGCGGCGGGGGGCCGCCGGTGACGCTCACGGAGATGCTGGCGACGTCGTCGAAGATCAACGTGACGCTCGACATCGACTGGATGACGTACACGGAGCCGCGCGGGCCGAGCGCGACGGCGCTGTGGGCCTCGCAGAGCAAGCCCGCGGCGCTCGCGGCGCCCGCGACGTCGACCACGACGAGCGTGGACCCCACGTGGACGCCCGTCGCGGTCAAGAAGCGCCCGGACGGGTCGCAGGTCGGCGCGTACACGGACACTTCCGGCGCGCTGCACCTCGCAGTGCTGCCGGCGAAGAAACTGGCGGGCCGGGCGCTGCTGGTGTCGAGCGCGGCGACGGCGACGCCCGTGGTCGGGAACTCGACGGTCGTGTCGACGAAGGTCGCGTCCGCGGTGATGGACATCGACTCGACGGGCCGCGTGCTCGTGGGGTACATCAGCGACGTCACGGGCTACCCGGGCGTGGTGCTGCGGCAGGTGCTGTCCACCACGGGGACGAACCACACGTGGGAGCTCCTGAGCGGGCTCACGACGCCGCAGGGCGCCACGCGGAGCGACAGTATCGCGTTGAAGGCGCTTTCCGGCAGCACGGTGGCGTTCGGACGCTGCCTGCCGACGCTCTCGGCGCTGAGCCTGCACGACCGCGGCTGGCTGCTCATGGGCGGGCGGCTCCCGGCGGCGGCGTCGATGGACATCCTGGCCACGCCTTCCGGCGTCCCGTCGGTCATTCTGTACCAGAGCCCCACGACGGCGCGCCGCAAGCTGCAGGGGAAGCACCTGCTCGGCGAGCTGCTCGGCGACGCGGGCGCTGCCGCGGCGCCCGAGGCCGCGCCGGGCGCGCACAGCACGCGGACAGTCGACTACCACGGGTGGGGCGCGAGATGGGAGAACCATATCTTCGACTTGTTCCCGGAGTTCGCATGGGAGGACGCGGCCGCGCAGGCGGTGGTCGCCGGGCCGGCCGTGCGGGCGTTCAGCCCCGGCGGCGCGTGGGCGGGTGGCAGCAATGATGCGCCCGTATACGCCCGTCAGACGACCATGCAGACAGCGGCGGTGCTGGACTGGACGGGGGGGAGTTTCGAGCAGCTCCCCGCGGCTTCGGTGCAGTGCAGCGTGTCGCCGGTGACGCTCAAGGATGGCGACGGCAACAGCGTGATGATCTGCCCGCAGAGCCCCGCGATCAAGGACGCACAGTCTCCTATCTCTGGTGGCTTCATCGTTCTTCGATACTCGACTGTGGACGCGGCGTGGAAGATCGACAGCGCACTGACGCCCACGGAGCTCTCGTCCGCGGTGTGCAACGCCATCGCGGCGATCTCCGTCGGCGAGGGGCAGCTCGTCGTCTCCTGCGAGACGGCCTCCACGCCGATTCTGCTGGTGCAGACCCCGGGCGGGCGCTGGCAGTTCCTGTACCCGCCCGCGCCGGGCATCGACACCGTCAAGCTCTTCGCGACGTCGTTCAAGGAGAGTGGCAACACAGTCACAGTCACCGTGTCGTACCGCCGCAAGGCCACGAACGCATTCGAGAGCACGTCGCTCTCCGTGGACGTCGCGGCGCAGTCCGTGCAGGACACCGCGGCCGTGGGCGGCGGCGCCGGCGCGACCGCTGTCGCCGGGGGCGCCACCGCGTCGCCGGTGACGACGGCGCCTGCGACCACACCGCTCTTCTCGCTGCCCCGCTGGCACGAGTTCAGCGACTCGCAGGATCGCCTGCGCGGCCTCACGGGGCTACACCTCGTGGCGCAGCACGGGACCGGCGCGATCAAGGCGTTCGGCCTCGGCACCGACGGCAAGGCGTTCATCCTTCTCCGCAGGGACGCGCACTCGGAGTGCAGTCCCGGGGTGGACTGCAAGGCCGACCCGCAGACGCAGCCGCCAGCTTCGACGCCGCCGCGCAACACCACGGTTGCCGCGACGACCGGGCCGACTGCGGCGGGCCGGCGCCTCGCGCAGGGTGCCGGGACGCCGCCGCAGGGGGCTGGGACGGGGCCGAACGGGAAGCTGACGTTCAATGAGACGGAGCCGCAGGACTGGGTCAACCTCGCGGACGTTCCTGGGTTCGCGGAGGCGTCGGACACGCTGCCCTTGTTTTCCGCGAGTAGGAACACCACGTTCACGATCGACGCAACCGCGGTCAAGGCGATCGAGTCGGCCAAGGGGATGCTCGTCGCGGTCGGAACGAGCAAGGGCACGGTGACGCTGCTGGAGTTCGACCGCGCGCGACAGGGCAGGCCGTCGGAGGGGAGTCCGTGGTCGCGTGTGTGGCCCGAGCCGATCCAGTTCCCGCACCGGCTGTCGCACGAGCAGCTCGAGCTCGACGTGACCTCGGGGCGCATGTCGACGGTGTTCACGTCCAGGGAGCAGTTCGTGCTGGTCGACAACTCGCAGACGCCGTTTGCCTTCGACATTGTGGACAACCGCGCGCACGGCGGCAGCGTCTTCCTGGCCATCACCACGCGCAGCAACGTGTGCGAGGCCTCCTGCAACGACCCCCGCATCTGCGAGGCGCGCGCCTGCCTGCACACCTATCTGTACCGCGACGGGGTTCTTGAATTCAAGACTCCCGTGCCGTACTACGCCCCGGCGAAGAACGTCGTGCAGATCTCGTCCGTGCTCGGCGAAACCACGTACGAGCTCCCCTCGTCGTCCTGCGAGCCCGAATACGGCAAGCCGCTCATTCTGCACGAGGGCGGCGGGTTTGGCATCCTGCTCAACACCGGGGTGTTCTGGCAGCTCCGCGACGGCGCGTGGGTTCCCAGGGAGATGTTCCCGCTGACGTGCCCGCTCCCGGGCATCGCGAAGGACCCCCGCGGCGCCACATGGGTCTCTCTGCCCAACAAGGACGTGCCATCTTTGGAGGACAAGTTCGCGGGGTTCCCGCCCGAAGTGCTCGTCGTGCTGCAGGAGCTGCAAGTGGTCAACGAGCGCGAGCTCGCCGCGCTGGGCCTCCTCGGCGACGGCCCCGACAAGGTGGTACTCAACAGGTTGACGGCGGGCGGTGAAATGCACGAGGAGAGCGTCGTGGAGCTGCCGCTGGCGCGGTACGGGTACTGCCTGCGTCAGTCGCTGACGTTCGCGCTCGACGGGCGCCCGGGCGTGGTGTGCGAGGAGTCGCAGTCGAACTCCTCGGCGTTGTACCTCGCGTCCGGTCAGGGGGGGGACTTGAACAGCAGCACGTGGACGCGGTTCGTGGCGCCGGCGCTCGGCGCCACGGACCTGGAGGTCGACTTCATCGTCGCGGGCGAGAACGCGCAGAAGATCATCATGACGTACGCCGCGCCGCGCCCCGGTTCCTCCACCGAGGTGGACCTCTTCCTCAAGCGGTTCGACTCGGTCACGGAGACGATCAACCCGCTGGGGCCGAGACTCGGCGTGGGCGGCGAGTTCCAGGGCCGCAAGCCCGTGCAGTGGGGCTCGTTCCCGCTCCCAGGCACGCAGCACAACCACTTGCGGTCACTCATGATGGGCGCGACGCGGATGGCGAAGCCCGGGGTGGACCGGGCGGCGTTCGACATCGACCGGACGGTGGACCCGGGGGCGGTGTGGCTGGTGCACGCCGCGGAGGTGAAGACGCCGCGCGGCGTGATCGTAGCGCCCATCGTGGAGCGGAAGCGCCCCCGGGGGGACTGGGAGGTCGTGCTGGGCCCGAAGTCGTACAGCGAGGAGGCGAAGACCGCGGAGGCGATCCTGAACGACCTGTTCAAGGGCACGCTGCGGCGCCTGGACGCGTTCGTCCCGCTGCACGCGCAGCTGGTCAATGTTCCCCCCACGAGCCGCGCAGGCCGGCGCTTCGTCCGGCAGTACCTCATGGTGACGTACCTGACGGGGCGCGCGGACAGCGATGACGACGACGACAAGAACATGGCGCAGCAGATCCTGTCGATCAAGCTCGAGTACCCGATAGAGAGTGACGGGCGCGTGGCGGTGGCGGAAGTGGAGCCGACGCTGGCGGCTGGGTGCTACGACACGCTGCGGTCCGACACGATCCGCGGGCTCGGCACGATGGACGCGGACCTCGGCTGGTCCGAGGTCGGGCAGCGGCCCGCGTACGGTCCGAACGGCGAGGTGATTATGAACTTCTGTCACTTCGCGCCGACGCCGAAGTTCGTGTACGGGACGCGCGCGCCGTCGACGTGCGCGCTGTACTACGCGCAGTACCTGTGCGACACGACGTTCTACCTGGAGGGGTCTTGGGTGCCGAGGTATGACCAGAGTGAGCTGCTCAACCGGCGCGTGGTGAGCAAGGTGCTGACGACGAACCTGACGATCCTGGGGCAGCCGGGCACGACGCCGCTGCTCGACGCGTGGGCGGTCGTCACCGAGGGCGTGTTCAACTTGACGGGCGGCGGCAACAACAGCTACTACTCCGCCAAGTACGCCGACTTCTACCTCAACGAGGCGGTGCAGCTGGAGGCCAAGGCGAACTACCTGGCGGAGGGCCTCGCGGGCTTCGACTCGTTCAACGAGACGTTCACGGACGCCGGCGGGCGCGTGTTTGACTACACGTACTCGTGGCCGACCCACAAGCTGCGGCTGGGCGCGCCGACGACGTCGGCGTACGTCACGCGCGCGAACATCGACGTCGCCGAGCACGTCAACATCTCGTCCGTCGACGTCTTCCTGTACATCTCGCACCGCAGCCCCAACGACCTGCGCATCACGCTCACCAACAACGTCACCAACGAGACCGTCGCCTGCCTCGTCGAGGCGCGCAAGCGCTTCCGCTCCGAGCAGGAGGGCTTCTTCGGCACGCGCTTCACGTCGGACCCCAACATCAACGCCACGCTCCCTGGCGCGCCGTTCATGTTGGATATTGACTTCTCGTACCAGGCGCTGCTAGAGACGCTCGGGCAGTGCATCAACTGGTTCGACGGGTCGTACCTGTGCCAGACCGCCTACGGCGACTGGTTCTTCAGCCTCGGCGCCTCGCACTACGGCGCTTTCCGCCCGATGGGCGCGCGCTGTCCGTCGGGCGGCGCGGGGCTCGACGCGTTCCACGGGACGTCCTCGAAGGCGCGGTGGACGTTGTCGGTGGACGACCAGGTCGAGGGCACGGACGGCTTCCTCCTGCAGTGGGGCCTGCGCCTCGTCGGCGACGGGAAGGTGGTGTACAAGTACGCGAGCCACCACGACGTGTTTGGCGAGTACACGACGACGACCGGCGGCGACCTGCTGCCGGAGCTCGGGCGGCACGTGTCGCCGGAGCTGTGCCCTGGGCCGGAGCTGAACCGGTGCGACCAGCAGCGGGCGAAGCCACTCAAGTGGCAGGCGTTTACGGTGGCGCGCCCGAGCACGGAGTCCGGGATGGACATGAACGCGGCCGCGGACACGCGCGGGCGCGTGCTGGCTGCGCTGGGCGAGGACAAGTACGGCACGTGGGACGGCAGCCGGTCGTCCTTCCGCGGCTTTGCCACGCAGGCTGTGCTGCGCGTGGGCAACGTGACGTACGGGATCGACGGCTCCGAGGGCTCCACCGCGAACCTGCAGGCGGACACCAACGGCGACCTGTGGGACGTGTCTGAGTTCTGCGGGGAGCAGTCTGCCCGGTCCGACATGCCGCAACAGTGCACGATGTCTATTTATCGCGCCACGAACCGCACGGGGCATGCTTCGAGCGTCGGTCTGCGCTACGAGTGGGAGCTCGTTGCGAAGTTCGAGCACGGCGTTCCGTGCGAGCCCGGCTCCGAGGGCATCAACCCCAGCATCTGCAAGCCACAGCTCTTGTTCGGGCGGTCGCCGTACCCCGTCGTGCTCTGCACGGACCCGCGCCCGGCCGTGGTCTTCGTGCCGTACAAGCGCGGCGGTGCCGGGCAGGTCGCCGGCCCCGGCGCGCCCGTCCAGGAGGGCGAGGTTCAATACCGCCATGTGGCGCTGCAGTCGCTGCCGAACGCGGAGCTGATCGCGCGCGAGAACGACGGCGAGCGCCGCGACTTCCTGCTCTCGCGCGCCACGGGCCTGCAGGGCGCCGTCGACTCGTCCGCGCCCGGTGTCGACAAACTCGTCCTATTGATTACCACGCACCTTGTCGCCGACGACGACTTCCTGGACGGCGTCGACGCGCCCGTCGCGGTGCCCTCGCAGGCCTTCCTGACCCTCGACCTCCCGTTCGCGCCCGACGGCACGCAGCTCGGCCACCTGCCCCGCTCGCGCAGCTCGCTGGACGAGCCCGCCGTGGCGCTGGGCCTGCCCGCATGGTCGACGCTGCGTGCCGAGGAGACCTTCACGTCGCGCCCGGACCTCGACCCGAACCCCGAGGGCCTCTCGCGGCACCTCGCGAAGGCCGTGTTCCTCGGCGGGTCGATGCAGCGCTACGTTGTTGGGTATCGCGATTCCGATATCATTCCTCGACTGAAGATCCGCGCGTACCTCGGCGCGGGGCAGGTCGGCACGGACGGCCCGTGGATCAAGTACATCGACGACCAGGACGCGCGCCGCGAGAAGCCGCTCGCGTGGGACGCCCACATGACCAAGGCCCCCGACAACGCCGAGTGGGTCTTCTTCCCCCTCATCCTCGAGAAGAGCGCCTCGCAGGCCGCCGTGGAGCTGCACCAGTACCGCCTCACCGGCGACAGCGACCCGCTCGGCATCCAGCCCACGGACTACGCGCGCTCGGCCCGGTCGTACCGTGTCCTCACTCTGGACACCACGCTGTTTACGAGCGACCGTCGCAAGGCGGCGTCGAACGTGGGCGTGACGGCGCTCGTGCGGTCGAACGAGGCCAGCACGGGCGTGCTCGTCGCGTACACCGGGCCGGCCGCGGACCAGGTCTTCCCTATGATCACGCGCATCTACATGTTGCCGAACCAGGAACAGGATTGGTACGACCCGGGGTCGCTCGGCTGGAAGGCCTTCCACGCGCGGCTGGTCAACTCGATGGAGTCGACGAGCGCGGGCGAGGAGGCGGAGGGCGAGGTGCCCGGGGGCGGCGGCGCGCCGGCGATCGATGAGGAGGCTTGCTTGACGCAGTCGCAGTGCAAGCGGGCCAACATCGGGCAGGTGTGCGAGTGGAAGCTGCTGTCGAACGACGTCAGCGACGACATCACGAACAACGCCCGCGCGAACGTCGCGCTCCTGGGCCCCGACGCGAAGGGACGCATCTTTTACGTCGGGCCCCAGGAGGTCCGCGTGCTGAGCAAGTACACCGAGCAGGGCTGCGGGTTCGGCTCTCCGTCGACGAAGCTGCACTGGGTGGCCGTGACGCGCGTCGGCACGCGCTTCGTGCGCACCAGGCAGGGCGGCGAGGTCCTGCTGTCCAACCCTATCTGGTCCGACCCGAATCAGCTGCACACGTGGTACTACTCCCAGGGGTTCATCTACGACGGCACGCTGCACCTCGCGGTGAGCTACCGCGACGAGAAGGACAGCTTCGGCCGCCCCGTGCGCACCAAGATCTTGCGTCTGAGCTCGATCACAGAGGGGCAGAACGCCGACGGCCGGCAGGCGTCGCGCGACGGCTCCAGCGCGCTCCCGCGGCTCGCGTTCTACACCTCGGCCTGGGAGGAGGTCGGGCCCGTGGACCCGTGCGACGGCGCGTTCTGCGGCGCCGAGTCGGGCGTGGACGAAGTCACAGGGCAGACGACGAATCCAGAAGACGTGGAGTACCGGTTCTCGCCGTACACGATCAACGACGGCTTCATCTCCGGCGTGTGCTGCGGCCGCGCCTGGGCGCGCGACCTGTCGAGCGTGGTGTGGCCGTCGCAGACGACGGCGACGGCGCGGCGGCGCGCTACTGCGCGTCGCATGCTGGCGGCGCGCAGCCGCGAGCTGGGCATCGCTCCCGGATACACCAAGTCGAGCTTCGCCACCGGGCCCGCGCCGCCGCTGGACGCCGGCCCGCTGCGGCCCAAGCGGTCCAAGCAGACGCTCGGAGCCGTGCTCAACTCAGGCCGTCGTTTCCTGGGCGGCGACGTGCCGGACGACCTCGAGCTCTTCCCGGCAGTGAGCGCTGCGTTCGACGCGCACGATCTCGACGCGCTCGGGCGGCGGTGGCTGTCGGCGAACGGCACGAACGCGACGTGCGTCAATGGCACCATGGTGAACGGCACGTGCAACGGCACGGCGACGAACGCGACGAGCTCGCTCCTCGGGCGCGACTCGAGCGTCGACCCGCTCGCGAGCAGCCAGCTGGTCATCTACGTCCCGCCGGTGCACACGGCGCTCCTGCAAGGAATGTCCATGATGAAGACCCGCAAGTTCTGCGATCGGTTCCCCACGCCGCCGGCGAACGCGCCGGAGGTGCTGGCCGCGCTGTTCGAGCCCGGCTTCAACCTGCGCGGGACGTACCAGGCGCCGCCGATCGACTTCTCGCAGTGCAACGCGTGTGGGATGCAGGCGCACATGCTCCTGGTGGAGGAGTACTACCAGCAGCGCGCGGGCGCGGAGGAGGGCGACTACGAGGACGCGCTGCTGTCGAACTGGTACCTCGACTGGCTGCGCGAGGACAAGGTCCACAAGGAGGTGGTCTGCGAGGACGTGGACCTCGACACCCGTGCACGCTGGCAAACGGAGTGCGACCCGACGCAGGAGGACTGCTCGCGCGCGTCGACGCGCGCGTCGGTGGCGGTCGACAACGCCGGGCTGCCGGACTACGGCCGCGACTGCTCGGCGGGCGTGTGCACGTTCGTCGCGGACCACACGCTTCAGAACGTTCCGATCGCGGACCTTGCGGTGACGGAGGACGTCTTGCCCGTCGACGACGACTGCCGGCTCGTCAAGGTGCAGGTCGAGATCGACATCCAGCACGACGACGTCCGCGACCTGGAGATCGAGCTCGTGGCGCCGTGGGGCACGGCGGTGATGCTCGCGGACGGCCGCGGGATGGACGAGCTGGAGGTCGTGCCCTCGTACGACCGCACCGTCTTCTCGGACGCCGCCAACAGGCCCGTGCGCCAGGCCGACTTCAGCGGGAACTTCAACCTTGCCTTCCGGGACCAGTTCAGCCCGGTCACCCCGCTCGGGTGGTTCATCGTCCCACCGGGAACCTCGCAGGTCCCTCGGTGGCGGCGGTGGCGGCGGTGGCGGCGGTGGCGGCGGTGGCGGCGGTGGCGGCGGTGGCGGCGGTGGCGGCCCTGACGGCCCTGACGGCGGTGGCGGCCCGGACGGCGGTGCTGGCCCTGGCGGCGGTGGCGGCCCTGGCGGCCCCGGCGGCGGTCCCGGCGGTGGCGGCCCCGGCGGAGGTCCTGGGGGCGGCTTCAGGTCGCTGTTCAGCTCCAGCGGCGGCGACGGCCCGGCCCGGACGGCCAAGAAGGTGCACCGGACGTTGCTGCAGAACGTGCCGGACGGCTCGAGGCCGAACGCGCGCGGCGACTGGAGGTTGCGCGTCACGGACAAGGTGGGCGGCAACGCCGGCTTCATCGAGGGGTGGAAGCTCGACCTCCGGTGCGCGAGCCTCGGGTGCCCCGGCATGTCAGCGAACGACACGTGCACCTTCGAGCGCCGCGGGCTGTCGACGCCGATCGTCGAGTCGACGATCCTCAACCCCTCGTACTCGCCGGACGCCATCTACATCCACAACACGCAGTGCCGCGTGTCAGACATCGAGGTCGTGGTCGATATCACGCACGACTACATGGGCGACCTCAACCTCTGGCTCGGGTTCGTCGGCGAGGAGCCCGGGCACGTTCCGCGTGTCGCGCGGCTGTCCAAGGCCCGCGGCGGCTCCGGGAACGGTTTCTTCGGCGTCGTGTTCGACGACCAGGCCACGAACAAGATCGCCGACGTCGGCGACGTGCTCGACCAGCTGACGGGCGCGTTCAAGCCGGAAGACAAGCTCAACTTCTTCACGGGCGAGCCGGCGCAGGGGACGTGGTCGCTCATCGGCGCCGACTTCGCGCTGTCTGACGTGGGCGAGATCAACGGCTGGCAGCTGCGGCTGCACTGCGGCGGCCCCGGGGAGCCCGAGTTCGACCTGACGGGCGGCGCAGCGAAGATCGCGGCGGTGGCGGAGGCGTTCAAGGTCATCCCCGCGGACATCGGCCGCGGCGTGGATCTCCCGGACGCCACGTCCTCTGGCCCGTCGGAGGTCACGCTGGAGATCGACGTGTCGGAGGACTTGTTCGAGGTGGAGGGCGGCGCGTGCACGATCAGCGAGCTGGCGGCGATCGTCGACATCTCGCACACGTACATCAGCGACCTGACGGTGTTCCTGCAGACGCCCTCGGGCACGGGCATCGAGATCTCGACCTTCGTCGGCAACGACGGGCAGGGGTTCCGCCCGGTGCTGTTCACCGACCTGGCGGACGTGTCGATCGTCGAGGCGATCCCGACGCCCGAGGGCTTCGTCGCGGGCGTGTACCGGCCGTACGCGACCTTCTCATTCGCCAAGGGCGACTCGGCCATCGGCACGTGGACGCTCAACATCGCCGACCACTACCAGTTCGACAAGGGCAAGCTCAACCGGTTCGAACTCTTCGTGCAGTGCGAGGAGACGCCGCGGATCTTCCGCCTGCCCACGCCGCCGCTGGGCGCGACCATCCACTCTACAGAGATGATCCCGCCCGACGTTGAGTCGAGCGTCGCCAACCGGACGTTCATGATCCCGGTGCCGCGCGAGTCGTTCGGCGACGAGGAGTGCTTGGTTCTTGACGTCGGGCTGCGCCTCAGCATCGACCACCCGGAGATGGAGGCCTTGACCTTCGCCCTCCGCAAGGACCTGCCTCCGCCGCCGGGCGCTCCTGGGGCGCCTGGAACCGGCGGCTCCGGCGGTGGGAGCGGCCCTGGGTCGGGCGGCGGCTTCGGCTCCGGCTCTGGGTCGGGCAGCGGCTTCGGCTCCGGCTCTGGGTCGGGCAGCGGCTCAGGCTTCGGCTCTGGCTCTGGGTCGGGCAGCGGCTTCGGCTCCGGCTCTGGCTTCGGCTCTGGGTCGGGCAGCGGCTTCATACCGTCGCGGCGCATGTTGTTGAATGCGACGTCCAACAGCACAAACGCCACAGCTCCACCCGCAGCGAATGCCACCAACGCGACCGCGGCGCCACCGTCGCCCACGACGCCACCGGTGCTGATTTCGGCCGACTACCTGCAGAACGCCACCGCGCCTGGCCGCGCGGTGGTTTTCCGGGGCGACGGCGCGGGCTATGACGGCATGCGCAGCGTTGTGTTCTACGACGCAGCGTCGCGGAGCATTGACCGCCCGGAGACGAACGAGCGAGGGAACTTCATCGCGGGCATCTACGTGCCGCGGGAGAAACTCGCGGAGACGTTCGGCGGCTTCCCCGGCTACGGGCAGTGGTATTTGGAGGTGTCGAGCAGCAGTGCGGCGCTGGGCACTCTGAAGTCCGCGGAGCTGCTCGTCCGCTGTGGACAGCCCCGCGTCGCGGCAGCTCTGCCCCCCGGCATGATCATCAGCGACGCCGCCGGCCTGCCCAAGCGCATCCCGGACTTGAACCAGGCGGACGGCTTTGTTACCGTGGAGATCTCGCCGAGCCAGCTGGACCCTGCCTGGGGCGGTTCCTGCACGATCCGCGACGTGGTGGTCGACGTTGAGATCGGCCACACGTACCTGTCGGACCTGGTGGTCTACTTACGACCGCCTGACCCACCTGGTGGTCCAATTACGACCGCACCGGGATCGCGGGTGACCTTGTTCGAAGAGATCGGCGCGTCGTTCAACGGCGTCGCCAACCTCCAGCTCAACGGATCGGCGGACGCCAACGTGCAGGAGCTAGCTGACTTCGTCCCCGCCGTCATCGCAGACCCGTCGGACCGCACGCAGCCCCTGCGAGTACGCCCTTCCTCCTCGTTCGGGGGGCTCTGGGGGCAGAGCGCGCTCGGGACGTGGAGCGTCGACGTCTACGATCTCTACGAGGCGGACTTCGGCACCATGAAGTCGTTCAGGCTCTACGTGACATGCGAGGAGGGCTTCCTCGCCGGCAATGGCAATGCCGTGGTCGTGCGCAGCACGGACACCCCGCACGACATTGCCGACAACTCGATGTCCGCTCCGCTCTACTTGTCCGTGGAGCCGTCGAAGTTCGTCGACTTCGGAGGACAATGCATCATCGACAAGCTGTCGATTTCCCTCGGAATCACGCACACGTACTTCTCGGACCTTGCAGTCTCCCTCGTCGCCCCGTGGGGCGGGAGGTTCGTTCTGTTCAATGGCATTCTCTCGAACTATAACGGCGGCGTGCGCGTCGTGTTTGACGCCGACGGCCTCCCGATCGACGCTATCGAGACATTAAGTCAACCCGCGGGCACGTTCCGCCCGAGTTCGGACCTGAGCAACGCAGCGGGGCGCAGTGCTGTCGGAGAATGGACACTCGAAGTCACCGACTCGGCCGAGGAAGACGTAGGGCAGGTGCTGGGCTTTACATTGCTCTTCGAGTGTAGGCCAGGCGGGCCCGGCCCTGGCCCCGGCCCTGGCCCTGGCCCCGGCCCCGGCCCCGGCCCCGGCCCCGGCCCCGGCCCCGGCTCCGGCAGCGCATCGGTGGTGGTCAGCCCCGACACCCCGCACAGCATCCCCGACTCGGGCTCGTCGCCAGTCCCGCTCAACCTGCAAGTGCCGGCGTCGGAGTTCGCCAGCCAGGGCGGTGGCTGCATCATCGCGGACGTGGACGTGGAGCTCAACATTGCGCACACGTACTTCAGCGACCTTCGGGCGACGTTGACGGCGCCTGGGGGCGGGAGCATCAGTCTGTTCTCCGGCGTGCTGGGGAGCTTCGCCGGGACGGTGAGGCTGGTGTTCGACGACGATGCATCGACGCTGGTGTCGGCAATCTCGACGCCTCCGGACGGGACGTACCGGCCAATGGTTAGCCTGGCTGACTTTGTCGGGCAGAGCGCGGTCGGGCAGTGGACGGTCACGGTATCCGACACAGCGGACGGCGACGTGGGGAACATTATGCGGTTTGCACTGAGCTTCACCTGCAGCTCAGGGGGCGGCTCTGGCAGCGGCTCTGGCTCTGGCTCGGGCAGTGGCTCTGGCTCTGGCTCTGGCTCTGGCTCTGGCTCTGGCTCGGGCAGTGGCTTTGGCTCTGGCTCTGGCAGCGGCTCCGGCTCCGGCTCTGGCTCTGGCTCTGGCAGCGGCAGTGGCTCGGGCAGCGGGTCGGGCAGCGGTCCCGCCACCACTGTACCGCCGGGCGGGAGTCTGACACCCGTTGTCGCCAGCCCCGACACCCCGCACAGCATCCCCGACTCTGGCTCGTCGCCAGCCCCGCTCAACCTGCAAGTGGCGGCGTCGGAGTTTACGAGCATCGGCGGCGACTGTACGATCACGGACCTGGACGTTGGGCTGGACATTGCGCACACGTACTTCAGCGACCTTCAGGCGACGTTGACGGCGCCTGGGGGCGGGAGCATCAGTCTGTTCTCCGGCGTGCTGGGGAGCTTCGCCGGGACGGTGAGGCTGGTGTTTGACGACGATGCATCGACGCTGGTGTCGGCAATCTCGACGCCTCCGGACGGGACGTACCGGCCGACGGGCAGCCTGGCTGACTTTGTCGGGCAGAGCGCGGTCGGGCAGTGGACGATGGCGGTAACGGACACTGCGAGCGGCGACGTGGGGAGCATTATGCGGTTTGCACTGAGCTTCACCTGCAGCTCAGGGGGCGGCTCTGGCAGCGGCTCTGGCTCTGGCAGCGGCTCTGGCTCTGGCAGCGGCTCTGGCTCTGGCAGCGGCTCTGGCTCTGGCAGCGGCTCTGGCTCGGGCAGCGGCTTTGGCTCTGGCTCGGGCAGCGGCAGCGGCTCTGGCAGCGGCTCCGGCTCCGGCAGTGGCAGCGGCTCTGGCAGCGGCTCCGGCTCCGGCAGTGGCAGCGGCTCCGGCAGTGGCAGCGGCTCCGGCTCCGGCTCTGGCTCCGGCTCTGGCAGCGGCAGTGGCTCGGGCAGCGGGTCGGGCAGCGGTCCCGCCACCACTGTACCGCCGGGCGGGAGTCTGACACCCGATGTCGCCAGCCCCGACACCCCGCACAGCATCCCCGACTCTGGCTCGTCGCCAGCCCCGCTCAACCTGCAAGTGGCGGCGTCGGAGTTTACGAGCATCGGCGGCGACTGTACGATCACGGACCTGGACGTTGGGCTGGACATTGCGCACACGTACTTCAGCGACCTTCAGGCGACGTTGACGGCGCCTGGGGGCGGGAGCATCAGTCTGTTCTCCGGCGTGCTGGGGAGCTTCGCCGGGACGGTGAGGCTGGTGTTTGACGACGATGCATCGACGCTGGTGTCGGCAATCTCGACGCCTCCGGACGGGACGTACCGGCCGACGGGCAGCCTGGCTGACTTTGTCGGGCAGAGCGCGGTCGGGCAGTGGACGATGGCGGTAACGGACACTGCGAGCGGCGACGTGGGGAGCATTATGCGGTTTGCACTGAGCTTCACCTGCAGCTCAGGGGGTACAACCGCGCCGGCCACAACTGCGGCAGCAGGGACGGCGTCTGCCACGACTGCGGCAGCAGGGACGGCGTCTGCCACGACTGCGGCAGCAGGGACGGTGTCTGCCACCACTGCACCGCCGACTTCGGCAGCAAACACGACCGTCGCGCCATCCACGACGCTGGCTGGCACGTCAGGGCCGGCGACCACGGTGGCAGCGTCAGCGACCACCACCGCTGCGCCGGCGACCACCACCGCTGCGCCGGCGACCACGACTGCCGCACCGGCCACAACGACCGCTGCGCCGACAACGACGGCTGCTCCCACGACCACGGCCGCTGCAGGTCCGCCGCTCGCCGACGTCGCTTACGCGGGCAGCTTGCCCGCCAGTATCCCAGACAACGATGCGGCTGGTGTCACGCTGGACATCACGACGACCACGGGGGACTTTGGTGGCAGTAGCTGCAAGGTGAAGGACGTCCAGCTCGTCCTGGCCCTCACCCACACGTACTGGAACGACCTGGGGGTGACGCTGACGTCCCCGAGCGGCAACTCCGTCGCCATGTTCCGGGCGATTCCGTTCACGGGCTCCGGGACGGGCGCGATGACCTTCAACGACACGTCATCGACGGAAGCTCAGACGCAGTCCTCCCTGCCTTCGGGCGTGCTGCAGCCCAGGGAGCGCCTGCGCATGCTCGACTGGGACAACGGCGTCGGCACGTGGTCTCTGAATGTGGCTGACACCGGCGCACTAGACACGGGCACGATCGGCGCGTTCAGTCTGCGCATCACGTGTCAGCCCTCGAGCGCGCGCAAGGGGCGCGTGCCCGCACCGAGCGGCGACCTGCCGCTCAGTATCCCTGACGCCACCACGGGCACGCCGCTCAACATCGTCGTGTCGGGCGGGGCGTGCACCGTCCAGTCGGTCACGGTCGACGTCAGAATCACCCACACCTACTGGGCTGACCTGACGCTGACGGTGACATCACCGGAGGGCACCACCCTGACCATGTTCGCCGGCGTCGGAGATTCAAACAGCGGCACGAGCACCGTCGTCCTCGACATGAGGGCGGCGACGCAGATCAGCGGCACCGCCCTGCCGTCAGGGTACTACAGGCCGACAGACGATCTGGGCGATTTCTTGGGGGAGAACGCGCTGGGCACCTGGCAGCTGACCGCGTCCGACGGCGCGTCCGGCGACCTGGGGACGATCGACAGCGCGGGTCTCACCATCAACTGTCAGTGAGGCTGACACGGCAAAGAAACACACTTGAACAATACAGTTCCCCCTCCTCCCCTTCCTTATCACTTTCCTCTACAGCACGGTGATATGTTCACCGTGTCTTGCATTGAAATCACCTCGCAGGACGTCTACCGCGGCAGAACCGCAGCACTTGCCAGCATGCAAGTGTTGTGGTGGCAATAGCAAACGAGCGCGCTTGTCCAAAGACGCGAGCCGCTCAGACACCGCAATGTGCGTCTCAGCAACGCCCTGAGTAGTAGCCCGATAGAAGCGGCCGCCGGGAACATGTGATCCTTTCGCGGCGTACCTCGAGAGCGGCGTACGGTTCTCGAAACAGCCCCAGAAGGGGCTCGAGGCTCACGTGGGACGCCGGCCACGCGCTTCATGCATTGGCGGCGGGAGGGGCGAGGTCGGCTCTGCGGGCGGTCAGGCCCTCGGGTATGAGCCACGAGCCAGACAGACTCAGTCTTGCGGTGCGGGGGAGTGCAGCTGGAGGGCGGCACGTGGGGCCGGCGCCACGCTGCGCACCCGCAGTCCTGAGTAGGAGCGAAAGGGCCACGTCCCCGTTCGTTGCGCGGCACCGACGTTGTGTGGTTGCAAGCCTCGGCAGCTGCGCCAGTTGTGCGAACCGTGGGCGGCGGCCCGGTCATCCTGCGCGATCGGGCGCGGAGAGGGCGCGAGGCATGACGACGCTGCGGCGGTTCAAGTGCAACGACCTGTTCTCGTTCAATGCGGTCAACCTGGACTCCCTCACCGAGACGTACAATCTGCAGTTCTACCTGCAATACCTCGCCCAGTGGCCAGGTACGTCGCATACATGCGTTTTTCTGCTCCACGAGGCGGAGGCGTCCACTTCCTGCGGCGGCGGGGCGGTCGCTCTGGTGCTGTCTATGTGCACGTCGCCCGTCGCGCCCTGGGGTCCTCCGGTTCCGAAGTTGTCGGATTTCCGTGTTCACGCGTTGCAGAGTACTGCGTGATGGCGGAGGGACCGGGCGGGAGGAGTATGGGCTACATTCTGGGCAAGGTGGAAGGCAGCGGCAGGTTGTGGCACGGCCACGTCACGGCGGTGACAGTCGCCCCGGAGTACAGGTAGCTCAGCCTTTCTGGTATCCGTCAGTCACGCAAGCACCCCGCAGGCGCTGCTGCCTGCCGCACGCGGACCCGCGTTCACCGGCGCTCGCTGCCCGCACGGCCACCGAGCGCAGGAGAATGGGTCTCGCGCAGCGCCTGATGAAGAGTCTAGAAGATACCACGGAGGACGTCCACGACGGCTACTTCGTCGACCTCTTCGTGCGCAAGAGCAACCTGGTTGCCATCAGGATGTATGAGAAGTTTGGGTACAGGCGCGACGCCCCGCCACGCACGCAACAGCGTCTCGCCTCGCTCGGAGCGTTCGCTGATCCACAGGCATCCTCGCCGCGAGGGCGCTGGAGCGACCGAAGCAGTGCGGCACACAGAGCCCCGACAGCAACCAGGAGACAAAGTGGGCAGTCAAGCGATGTCGTGCTGCTCTCCACGCACGTGATCGATAGGGCCGGCCACGGGCGTCCGTGACGCGCTGCCCGGCGCGAGAAACTGCGCCCGCCGACCCCCGCTGAGTCCTCGTTTGGTGTGTGCAGCATCTACCGACGCATCATTGGGTACTACAGCGGCGAGGAGGACGCGTACGACATGCGCAAGGCGATGCGCCGCGACGTGGAGAAGCTCAGCGTCGTGCCGCTGGACCGGCCAGTACGCCCCGAGGAGCTGGAGTTCGACTAGCAGGCCTTGTCCAGGTTGTGCTTCGCGGGCCAACAGGCGCCCTCACCCTCTTTCGAAGCACGTCCGCGTCCCCTGGCGCGTCTCATGACCGCGACGGCGCGAGGGACCAACGGCGCGGCGAGGGCGTCGGGGCGGCGCGGGCACGCGTTGTCCATCTTGTGCGGTCACAGGTCTGCGCGCGGGTCGCTGTCTACGCCGCGGCGAGGGCTGCTTCGTTCGGACTGCAGCGGAGTCTATCCTAGCGCGCGCGCTCGGGGCGCGCTTCTCGCTTGTGAGGAAGGTCCGGCGCAGTCGCGGGGCGCGTGGGATGCGGTCGCGTCGTTGGGCGCGAGGAGGCGTGCAGGGCGGGTGGGCCGGGGCGGGAGGGGGGCTGCGAGGCCAGGCACGGCGTGGCCGACTATGTACAGACGAAACAAGCGTTTGGCGACGTTGAGGAGGGGGGGGGGTCTCCATGCTCGGGTTTTGGTTCGAACATGCAGGCGGCCGACCCGTGTCGCCACCGCCGCCATAGTTACTATCACGCCGCGTCGCGGGGGACGTTCGGCGCTGCGGGAGTGTCGCCAGCGCCGGGAAACGGCGCTGCACTTGCGTGCAATGCAGGGCGGTCCGTGCGCCATCGCGCGCGCCGCTCGGGCCACAAGGGCCGCCGCAGGACGCGCGAATGGGTGTCGGGAGCGCGGCACGCCGTACGCGGGCAGGACGGGCGCCTGCCCTGCGGCGGCGCCGCGGCCTCGAACCGCGTGCCGCCCGCGTGCCGCCCTCATGCCCACGCGCGCAACTTCCGCTCGCCGCCGTGCACAAAGTCATGGAACTCGGGGTCGCAGCGGAAGACCTCCATCGTGTCGGGCTCCACGTTGACTTTCACGCCGACTGCGGACGACGCGGGGCGCGGGGTGCTGAGTTGGAAAAGACACGAGTGGCGGCACAACCGCCAGCAACGAATGAGGCCATTAGGCGTTGCATAGCCCGCCGCAGCGGCGCCCCCCCGCGCCTCGTACGCACGCACGGCGATCGCAGCGGCACGTCAGCGCCGAATCTGGCAGCCCGGCCGCGAGTGCCGCGGCCGCGGCCCACGCATGCGCCCCGGGCGCGCTGCTGACTATGCAACGCCTGCTAGGCTGCAGACATGGCGGCAGCCGGGCGCGCGGGGGGCGCGGGATGACGCGAGCGCGCACCTGAGACCGCCGGCAGATCGGTCGGGTCCTGGTTGGCTGCCTCGGGCGCACCGCGGGGCGCCGGCGGCGCGGGCGCGGGGTCGCGAGGGGCGCGCGCCAGCGCCTCCCTGGCAGCCGCTGCGGCGGGCGCGGCGGCGGCGGCGGCGACGCGCGAGGTCGCTGGGCCGAAGTACTGCGATGCCGGATGGGAGGGCGGATTGCAATGGGCGTTGGTGGGCGCGAGGATGACGGGGAGGGCGTCCGGTGCAGCGGCGCCTCGTTGGAGGTTGCACGCCGTGTCAGCAGCGGCGTGCGCGCCCTATAGACGCCGCATCGTTCGGCGTTGATCGAATCGGCGCGATAATCCAATCGTAAACAGGCCGGGGGGCTCGAGGAATGCCCGGCATTGACGCGCATGCGCGCGCGGCGGGCGAGCATGCCCGTCGACTTTATTCGATGGGCGGCTCTCACCCGCGCGATGAGCCGCGCCGTCGCGGACGCCGTGGGGCTCATATTCGGATATGATAGAACGCTCCGCGCTCCTTCTCAGACGGACAACGCCGCTCCTGGACCCGAAACGCACGCAGTTAACCTGTCAACCAATCTCCGATCAAACCCTGCGGGAACGGGAACGGAGTGCGACGCGTGAAGCCGCGCAGGCGCCTCTCGAGCTCAATAGACCCCGGGCCGGCGCGCATTGCTGCGCCGACGGCGCACAGCGCTGGGATCCCGAGGTCGTGCATCACAAGAAAACGTGCAGGCCGCGGCGACCGTCCGTGGCCGCCCGTTTGCGCACCTGACGGAAAACGGTTCTCTAACCAGCAGCGAGCTCCAGAATGCGCCCGAAGAGCGCTCGGGCGGGCTCATGCAGCCGCGGCGCCCGCCACGATGCTGGCAGCGCTGCATCACGCCCCCTGGGTGTAACCGTCGGACGCCGCGGTCACGCAACGCGCCTCGGATCGATCCTCAGGCCCCAGCGCCGTTATCTGGGTCCAGATGGAGCGCTCTGAGCGACGCCGGGCGTCACGGCGCGGCGCCGGAGCGCCAGGCTCGCTTGGGCGCAGGGCGACATCATCATCCCTGCTGGCGGGCGCCGCGGCGGCGAAATTCGCGCCTCGTGCCGCAGTCGCCCTCGCATGCACGAAATCACGCAGGGTTCGCGCCGCGGGCGCCTGTCCGCGCGCGCGCCGCCGCGGTCACGTGCCGACACGTCACCCGGGGCTGACACACACACGTTCCTCCGGTGACGTCGGGACTCCGGACGCCGGCCCGAGCCCACCCGCCGCCGGCGCTCCCCACGACCGCCCCACCTCGCCCCGCCGCCCGACCCGCCCCCGCCTGCCCCCCCCGCCGCCCGCGCACAGTCTCCGCCGCACGCGACACGCACCGCACACGCGCCCGCGCCCGCGCCCGGAGCCGCCTCACAGCTTCACGCCCTCGCGGCGCTGCGCCGTGGCCTGCACCGCCTGCGCCTGCGCGGCCGCCTTGGGCGCGTTTGGCATGGCCATGTCGACCGCGAGCTCTTCCAGCACCTTGTTGACCTCCTCCTCGGCCTCCTCCTCGATCCCGTCGTCCTCGAACACGTCCTCCATCGTACCCCCGACCATCTCCTCGATCAGACCCGCCTGCGGCGTACACGTACACACCGGCGCGTCCTTCGCACCTCTCTCGTGGGTTCTCCGTTGCGGTGCGCGCGCAGCGGGGCCGGCGCGGCGGCCGGCGGCGCGCGCGTTCGCGGGCGTTCGCGGGCGTTCGCGGGCGCGCGCGGCGCACCTTGCACATCTCCTTCGACATGTTGCGCATGGTGTCGTGGAGCTGCGGGATGCGGATGAGGGACGTGACGCCCTGGAGGACCTCGGTGGACTTCTCGAGCTGGCCCGTGACGCGCAGGAGCGAGAGCTGCTCCGTGAGCTGCCCGGCGACGCCCATCATGTGCGCCTTGTTCGTGTACAGCCGCGTCACCGCCCGTTTCGCCTGCGCGACCTCCTTGGCGAGAATCTTGCAGCTCACGATGTCCTTCCGCTTCGCCGCCTGCTTGATCAGCAGCTCCGTCTTCTTCTTCTCTCGCTCGATGTCTGCAGCGCGGGCGCCCCGGGGGCGCCGGGCGGGTGGGCCGCGCGGCGAGCCGGGCGCTCACGAGCCAGCACGCGGGAGGCGCGGGGCGCGTGCGACGGTCGCAGGTCGCGGGTGGGCGCCCTCACGCCACCGATGTGGTCTGTGCGGCCACGCGGAGCCGGAGGCGGGCCGACGAAGCGCCGCGCGACGCGCAGTCGGGAGCTCTCAGCCTGGTGCTGGAGACCGCACCTCGGATCTCTCGATCCGCCTTCATCTGCTCCCGCCGCAGCACGCGCTGCCACTCCCGGACGAGCTCCTTCGGGTCCGGCTTCTTCGCCAGACCGAGCGCCTCCAGGACCCCCATGGCTCCCCTACTGCTATTGTGCTGGCTCCGGACGCAAGCGCAGCTCCCCTAACGGCCCGCGACCCCTGCGAGCCCCGCCCTCACCAGCTCCGTCGTAGCAGCTGCCGCGCCGCGCCCTTCCGGACCAGCGCTGTCCCCGCGCGTGGCGACGTCGCTGCGCACAGGACCTCCCAGGCAACGAAAGTCACGACGAGCCCCTCTACGAGCGACGACAGCAGCCCCAGTGCCGTTCCCCGGTCTTTGTGTCCGTAACGCATCCGTGCGCCCCCTCCAGATGCCCCGCTCTAGACCGTATCACGCCCCCTGACTACCGGGTAGTACCCTGCGCACCAGTCTCACCACCGCGGCCCAAACGCGGCGGGCCCCGGCGCGGCAGCGCCACTAGGTGCACCCCAGCGGCCAGGAGACGCGAGCGGGTCGAGATGCTGCGGCGCGCACTGAAGGGAGTCGCCGGCGGGCGCCTCGGGGCCCTTGCGCGGCGGTCCCTGAGCACCTCCACCACGGGCGACTACACGCTCATCGACCACGACTACGACGTGCTGGTCGTCGGAGCAGGCGGCGCAGGACTCCGTGCCGCGATCGGCGCCTCCGAGCACGGCTTCAAGACCGCGTGAGCGCCCCTGAGCCCCCTACCACAGCTGCGTGCTTGCAGCGGGCGTGCCACGGGGAGGTGCGGCGGCGCGCGGCCCGCACGGGACCGTGCTGCGCGCCGGCGCGCGGGGGCGGCGTGCCGCGGCGCAGAAGCGCGTGTGTTGGGCCGCGGTGCACGCGAATGGGCTCTGGAGGGTGTGGCACGGCGCTGTTTCGCCGCGCGCGCGCCCGTCAGCGCCGTTGCGGCCCGTGCGGGCGCGCGGTCGCGTGCACCGTGGACTGGAGCTGAAATGCCGCCGGCCGCGCGGGGTCGTTCCGCGCGGACCGAAGCTGCGCGGCCGCAGGGCGCCGCTCGTGCGGGTGGCCAGGGCTCGCCCCGTCCTGCCGCCACGGGCGCCGCGGGCGCCCCGCAGCTCCCCCCAGCGGCTTATCCGGACGCCTAGACGCAGAGCGATGCGCGTCCGGCCCGGTATCTCACACAGGCAGGCCGTGCCAGGCCTCGCGTGTCAACTGCCCCTGCTCACGGCGTTGCCGCCCACGCCCCGGCCGCCGCCGCAGATGCATCACCAAGCTGTTCCCGACGCGGTCGCACACCGTCGCGGCCCAGGGCGGCATCAACGCCGCGCTCGGCAACATGACGGAGGACGACTGGCGGTGAGCTCCCGCGGGGCACCGCAGTGCTCTTCCTGCGCCCCGTCGCGTTCCCGGCCGTCTCCGCCCGCGAGCGCCCAGCCCCCGCATGATCCGCTCCGTCTGCGTCCGCACACGCCGGACGCGCCCCGCGCGGCGTCCGCGCCGGCGTCGCAACGACGCAGGCAACACCCAACGCCGAGCCTGCCCCACACGCGGCGCCCGCCGGCACACCGCAGGTGGCACGCGTACGACACGATCAAGGGGTCCGACTGGCTCGGCGACCAGGACGCCATCCAGTACATGTGCCGCGAGGTGCGCCCTCCACCCTCCACGCGCCCGCCTCCCGCGCGACCACGCCCGCGCCGCTCACCAAACCCCCCCCCACACCCTCTCACACCCCGGGAACCGCCGCACGCCGCCGCGCTCGTCCGCCCGCAGGCGCCCAAGGCGGTGATTGAGCTCGAGCACTACGGGATGCCCTTCTCGCGGACGGACGAGGGCAAGATCTACCAGCGCGCGTTCGGCGGGCAGTCGCTGGACTACGGGCGCGGCGGGCAGGCGTACCGGTGCTGCGCGGCCGCGGACCGCACGGGCCACGCTCTCCTGCACACGATGTACGGCGCCGCGATGAAGCATAACACGCAGTTTTTCGTTGAGTACTTCGCGCTGGACTTGATCATGGACGACGAGGGCGCGTGCCGGGGCGTGATGGCGATGTGCATGGAGGACGGCACGCTGCACCGGTTCCGCGCGCACAACACGATTCTGGCCACGGGCGGGTACGGCAGGGCGTGGTTCAGCGCGACGTCCGCGCACACGTGCACGGGCGACGGCAGCGCGATGGTCGCGCGCGCGGGGCTCCCGCTGCAGGACCTCGAGTTCGTCCAGGTGCGCGCGCGCGCGCGCATGCCCCGCGAATCCTCTTTTGTCTAAACGCATCCGAGTTCGAGAAACCCCGAATGCCGCCGCCTCGGTTTTACGGTCATCGGAGCCACGGCGCGCCCTGCGCCCCGCACGCACGCGGCCGCTCCCCGCCGACACCCCCCCCCCTTTTCCTGACCGCGGTCGCGCAGTTCCACCCAACGGGCATCTACGGCGCGGGCTGCCTCATCACGGAGGGTTCGCGCGGCGAGGGCGGCATCCTGCGCAACAGCGAGGGCGAGCGGTTCATGGAGCGGTACGCGCCGACGGCCAAGGACCTCGCGTCGCGCGACGTCGTGTCGCGGTCGATGACGCTGGAGATCCGCGAGGGCCGCGGCGTGGGCCCCGAGAAGGACCACATCTACCTCCACCTCAACCACCTGCCGCCGGAGCTGCTCGCGGAGCGCCTCCCGGGCATCTCGGAGACCGCCGCGATCTTCGCGGGCGTCGACGTGACCAAGGAGCCCATCCCGGTGCTGCCGACGGTGCACTACAACATGGGCGGCATTCCCACGAACCACTACGGCGAGGTGGTGTCGCCGACGAAGGAGGACCCGGACAGGGTCGTGCCCGGGCTGTTCGCGGCGGGCGAGGCCGCGTGCGCGTCGGTGCACGGCGCCAACCGCCTCGGCGCGAACTCCCTGCTGGACATCGTTGTCTTTGGGCGCGCGTGCGGGAACCGCGTGGGCGAGATCGCGAAGCCCGGGGCGCCGCTGCCGCCGCTGCCGCCGAGCGCGGGCGAGCGCACGATCGCGGACCTGGACGCCAAGCGCAACGCGAGCGGCTCGTCGTCGGTGGCGTCCATCCGGAAGAACCTGCAGAAGATCATGCAGAACAACGCGGCGGTGTTCCGGACGCAGGAGACGCTCGCGGAGGGCTGCGAGCTCGTGGACGCGTGCTTCGAGTCGTTCAGCGACATGGGCATCAAGGACCGCGGCCTCGTGTGGTGAGCGCGCAGACCCGCGTCATCGTTGTTTGCACGGATGCCTGCTTGCGGGAGGGCACGCTGTGCGATGGGCCGGTCGGCTCGCGAGAGCACTTCGGCAGGCCGCTGCGCCGGTCGGTGCGCTCTGCGGCGTGTCGTAGCGGCATTCCTCCTCACGCGTGCACCGCGCGGGCTGTGTCGGTGCAGGAACACGGACCTGATCGAGGCGATGGAGCTCGAGAACCTGCTGCTCAACGCGCAGCAGACGATGCACAGCGCGGAGCGCCGCAAGGAGTCGCGCGGTGCGCACGCGCGCGAGGACTTCCCCGACCGCCTGGACGACCAGTGGATGAAGCACACCGTGTCGTACGCGGACCCCGCGGTCGTCTCGGGCGGGTCGTCGCGCCGCAACGTGAAGATCGACTACCGGCCCGTGCACGACCAGCCCCTCGACGCCGAGATGGAGCACGTGCCGCCCAAGGCCCGCGTGTACTGATTGCCGGCGACAGGGGCCGCAGGAATGGCCGAACTGCTCGTGTAATGACCAGACTCGAGACGTCTGAGTTCACAGCTGGCTGGTGCCGGGCCCCGCGGCTGCCTAGGCGGTGCGGGGGTGACTGCTTCGACGATCTGGTCGCGGAATGCAGCCCGATGGCCACCGTACAACGGACACGCCTACGCCGCGTTGCCCGCTTCGGCGCGGTGCGCCGTCTCGGCCTCCGCGGGCGCGGGGGCCTCGACCTTGACCCTCTGGTCCGCCTCGTCCTTGCTCCCGGCGTCCTTCGCGGCCTGCTGCGCCAGGTCCATGGCGTGCGCCACCCAGTGCTCGTAGGTGATCTCGTCGATGGCCTTCCTGGACCGCATGTCGTTCAGGTCGTCCACGGACGGGAAGCCCGGGACGGGCTTCGGCGCGCTGCAGCAGCAGCAGCAGTACCTCGCGAGCGAGCACACGAGCGACTCGTTGATGGGGATCAGCATCAGGCCTTGCTGCCAACCCAGCCAGCCGGGGCCCGGCGCGCGCTTGCGCGCCTTGTGCAAGGTCACGATCATTCCAATCATAGTGATTGCCTCGAAGAAGATCGCGACCACGGCGAAGCCACTCTGCGTCAAACGGGGGCAAAAAAGGGCGCGAGTCACGGAACTGGAAGGTCGAGCAATCTGAGAGCGATCCTGATCCCGGCCCTGCTGTTCACGGCGGTCGCGTGGCCGGCAGCCAGGACTTGTCCGACCCCCGACTGAGGTCACTGGCGCCACGATCGCAAACCATGGGCAGATGGGCCGTCGCTCACCGTTTCTTGGCCGGGGCGGCGCAGCTGCAGCACCATGCCGATCATCGTCAGCAGGTCGCCGATGAAGGCCTTCACGAAGATCGTGCCCCAGTACTTCTTGCGGTGCTCCCACTTGGTGTGTCCCACGAACATCGTACAACACTGCTCCGGGGGCGCCTCGCCACGCTCCTTGGCCTGCTGCTCGAGCAGCGCGCGCCTCTCGTCGCGGTCGACCTCCACGCGCCACGTCTGGTACAGGTGCGCGTGGTGCATGCCCAGCGTGAAGAAGGTGCCGGCGATGAGCAGGCGCCCCGCGTGGGTGTTCAGGACGTTGACGGCCTCCACGAAGATGAACGCGATCGCGGCCCCAAGACCGATGGTTTCCAGGAAAATGCTCAAGAGCATCTCCTTCTGCTTGCGGTAGGAGTAGGCGAACAGGAAGATCATGTAGACGATTGCAAGGAGCGCGCCGAACGTCGAGGCGGCCTCGTCACTCGCCGTGTCGCACTCGGGCTCGAACTCCCACTCGGGCGACGTGCAGTCGATCTCGAAGCCATCGTCGCCGGTGGCGCTCTGCAGCAGCAGCCTGACAGGCATCTTGTCCAGTAGCCAAGTGACTGCGAATGCCGAGCGGAAGCGCGCGCTCGACTGAGAGGTGGCCCCTGCGAAGCGGACACGCTGCGCCGTCCCGGGCATGGCGCGCTGAGGGGTCGCAGGGCGACTCCAGGCCCGCGCAAGCAAAGGGCGGGTTGCGCAACATTGGATGTGTGGGTGAGAGGAGGTTTGGGCGCCTCACTGCCCCGCGCTCTCAGGATTACGGAGCACGGGTCACGCTGCCGGCATGACATGCTTGCAGCGATCGAGTCGTGCAACTTTTGGGTGTTTCGGGCGCGGAATGTGCGGCCAAACACCCGGCGAGAGGCATGCACGTTGCAGAAGGGCACGAGCTATCGCCCCGCGACACGGCGAGTCCTGCCGTTCTGACCACTTGATGCGCTTCTGACATTGTAGTTTGTCCGGCCATGCGTTCGACGACAGTCCCATTGGACACGGGTGCCGAGATTTTCGCGGCTATGGCCAAATCCGTCGAGGGCCGAGCGCGCAGCGGCTGGAAAGTCCCGTCGGGCCGAACTGCGACCTCAACTGCATCACCATGCCCCTGTACGCGGACCACGCTGCCTCGAGTGCGCACCTGGTCGTCGAACAGCGGATCAGGCGGGTAGCTGGTCCCGCGCACGCCGCTAGAGCCTCCGTGTCCTCGCGGGCCCGCGGTGTGCGGCTGTCGTCCGGTGCCGTGCGCTTGTGGGCATGTATCGATGTTGTCTGGCGCGTGGAGCTGATATTCCGGGCGAAAACGGTCGCGTGCGGGCCCCGAGCGACGGTAGAAACGAGCGAGTCTTCGCCGCCAGTCATTCCTGCCCTAATTGTGACCTAATCAAAGCTCGCAGCGCGACCTCAGCGATGCTCGGGCGCGCATTCGTGCGTGAAAGCGGCGGTTCCGACACGCGAAAGCACGTGCGGGGCGCAGCCGGGCGCTGCGGGCGACACGCAGGCAGCGCGATAGACCTGACGCGCCGTGGCGGCTCGGGGGGTCACAGTGCGCCGGCGCGCTGCCCTGTGCTTGGCTGTGAGGCGCAAGAGCTGCGTGTCGACCGACGGTCCGGTCGCTCGTGCGCACGCTCCTGTCGGCGACAGCGTGGCAGCGTGTTGCAACACAGGGGGCGCCCGCGTGACGCGCAAGGACGCTCAAGCTGCGTTGGCAGGGCCGGCGCCGGGCGCCCCATCGGCCGCCACGGGCGCGGGGGCCTTGACGGCTGATGGGTCCACCTGGTCCTCGTTGTTGTCACCTGCAATGCCTTCCGTGCCAGCTCCTGAGAGGCCCTTGCTCGCGACAGGCCCGATCGAAGCCAGAGGCGTGCCGGCAGCGACCTTGAGGCGCGCAGCGATGCAGGTGGGCGGCCATTTCACGCCAGACCCGCCGCGGGGCGTGGGCAGGCCCCGCCGGGATGCCCTTGCGCTGACAGGCACCCGTGGTTGCGTCGTGGCCGCGTGGCGAGCGTGGCTGCCACGACGAGCCCCGTCTGCGATCGAGTCGTGCAGTCCGGCGTGATGCGAAGTGACGTTCCAGCCGTGACAGCTCGGACACTGCAGATGCACATGTGCGGGACCTGTGCCCACGCATCTCGCGACTGCGGGCACGACGGACCAAGTGGTGTCACTGGATCACAACAGGTCGTCATGGCTAACGCCAGCTCCGTCGCTGGCGTAATCTTCGCATGCATCTATCGTCATTATTCGTTCTAGTTCGCTATTATTGTTTCTACGGCCTAGGTGTGGTTCTTATGCGCGCGCACGACCTTGTGCGCGCTATCAATCGCTCAGCGCGAGCACCATCGCGACGCCGAGCATGATGTACTTCGCGGGCTCCTCGCGCGCGTTGAGCGGGAGCCGAATGAAGGACACAAAGTTGGTCGAGTGCCCGGTCGTCGCCAGCGTGCCCTTGCGCTCCGTCGTCCGGTACAGCGGGCAGTTGTAGTGCGGGTACTCCGAGAAGTCCGCCGTCTTCTTCGGCACCATCCAGATGCACGGCGCCGGCACGAACAGCACCTTGGGTTTGCTCTCGCACAGCGTCTGCTCCTCCGAGTCCCAGTCGCAGCCCTCGAGGAACATGCCGTGCACGTACACGCCGGCCTCGGGCGGCTCGACGTAGTCCTCCGGGTCCATCCCGAGCATCTGGTAGTCGTACCCGACCTCGTCGATGGGGATGGTGTGCCGCCGCGCGTAGTTCTGCAACGCGGCGGTCAGGAACGACTGCACGAAGAAGAAGCCCGACATCCAGAAGATCGGCGGCTGCCCGTGCTCGTACCAGTCCTGGAGCATCTTCAGCCGCGCGTACAGGTCCGTCAAGTACGACCCCAGCGGCTTGAGCGTGGGGTAGCTGTCCTTCTTCCACAGCTCCGGCACCTGGTTGAGGCTGATGGAGTTGTACGCCGCCTCGAGCTCCGCGGACATGACCTGCAGCCCCTGGATGGCCAGGTCGATGGCGTGCAGGGACTCCTTGATGTTGGCCGTGAGGCGATTGAAGCGCAGCATCTCCTGGGCCAACACCGTGTTCATGCTCTCCTCGTACAGCACGGGGTACTTGAGCTGCACGCGCTCGATGTCGAACTGCGGCGGGAGCGCGGCCATGCAGTCCCGCACCACCACGCCCACGCGCTCCTCGACGGCGGCCGCCGCCGCGCCGCCGCCGCCGCCGCCGCCGCCGCTCATCGCGAGCATCGACTCGAAGATCCGCAGCGAGTCGTTCTGGTCCTTCGTGATGTCGGCGTTGTCGTGCAGCCCGAAGACCTCCGGCATCGGCGTGATGGGCAGCGAGTCGATGTACGCCAACATGTCCTGCAGGGTCCCGGGCTCGGGAACGAAGTACGTGCCGGACTGGCTGAGCGGCGCCTTGTCCTCCTCGGCCACGTGCGTCGAGTAGCACTTGGAGAGGATGGTGTTGAGCAGCAGCCGGTCCTTGTCGTCCGTCACGCGCCCGCCGTAGTTGCACTCGCCCGTGGCGTACAGCAGCGCCTCGTACGGGATCTTCTTGTTCTCGTCGAGGAACATCCGCAGCTGCTGCGCGGAGATCCGCAGGTCCCCGTCGTCGAACCCGTACTGGATGTTCCACCCGAGCGGCCCGAACTTGCGCCGCTCCTGCACCACGGCGTGGAAGAAGGTGAGCCCGAAGAGGAGCCGCTTGAAGACCTCCGGCTTCGAGCTGCCCTCGAAGAACTCCTCGTTGCACATGGGCTCGAGGTGCAGCGTGCGGCGCATGTTGGCGCGGATGCCCTTGGGCGGTTCGTTGGTCATCTTGACTCCGTTCTGGAGGATGCTGACGGGGAACTTGGGGCTCGGGTACGACGTGATCCACAGGCGGAAGTCCGGGTGGACCTTCGTGATGTCCATCTGCTCGCAGATGCGGTCCAGCGACGGCATCCACGACGGCGCGAGGTGCGCGTTGTACAGCGTCACCCACGACCCGTCCTGCATGCCCTGCTTCATCATGACCTCGGCCTTGGGGCCCTGCCCCTGCCCGAGCGAGATCGAGAAGAGGCGCGAGTCCATGCCCTTCTCGCCCGCAAACTGCAGGAGCGCGGCCGTCGGGTCCGACCCCGCCGACAGCACGAAGATGAGCGGCGTCACCGGCGACGAGTCGTTGTAGCACGCGTGCAGGTTGAACGCGGGCGGCTCCACGAAGCGCGTGCCGAGGTTGTTCGCGACGAAGTCCTGCACCGCCGAGCTGACCTTGTCCAGCCGGATGCACCGCGTGATCATCAGGCGCCGGAAAGCAGACACGTCGTTCCACACACCCGGGAACGTCTCCTTCTGCGGCTCCGGCGAGTCGTACAGCTTCTTCCACTCCCCCGGGTCCGCGAGGAAGCTGGCGACGATCCCGTCGAACGCCGGGAGCATCCCGAGCTTGCAGATCTCGCGCCAGCCGCGGTCCACCAGCCAGTCGGACGCCGGGTTGTTCACCTCCTTGGGCTGCGTCACGCCGCCCGTGAGCAGGAAGATCCACTCGTCCGAGTCGATGTTCCCGCGCGACTCCTCGATGCGCGCGCAGAGCAGGAACGCGAACAGCAGCTTGTCCTTCTCGAAGAGCGAGCGGCACACGTTGCAGTACAGGCTGTACGTGAAGTGGTCGTGGATGTTCGCCAGGCGCTGCGGGACGTCGTCGGCCGCGTTCGCGGCCTGGATCGAGGCCACGAAGAGGTTGATGTACCACGGGAGCGAGTACTGGTACATCGGGTCGATGTTGGCCAGATCGCTGATGCAGAAGAAGAGGAGGCTGACGTAGTCGCCGCACGGCGCGTAGTTCTCGCGCGCCGTCTCGATCTCCTTCTCGGTCACCTCCGCGATCTTCTGCTTCTCCTCGATCTCCTTCCCGAGCACCTTGGCGTCCGTGATGACCTGGATCGCCGTCTCGTCCTCCAGGATGTTGCCCTCCGAGCTCGACAGCACCTGGAGAATCTGATCCTCGATCTCCTTGAGCCGGCGCTTGTTCTCCGCGCTCTGCACGACGAGCTGGCTGTGCTGCTCCTCGAGGTCCGGGCGCTCCTTGGCCACCACGACGCCCAGCATCTGGTCGCTGAGGCCCGCCAGCGTGATCATGAAGTTCAGCAGCGTGACCTTGACCGCGATCTCCGGGAGGTAGTGCGGGTTGCGCATCTTCGTGGTGATGAAGAACTGGAAGTCCGGCGAGTACTCGATCACGCTGTCGCCCAGCTTGATGCTGTCCACCCCGCCGTTCTTGAACACCTGCTTCAGCAGCAGCGGCTCCAACGACGGATCGAGCTCCTCGCCGACGTTCTCGAGGAGGACGGGGAGGCCGAACTGGATCGCGTTCTCGAGCGTGCGCATGTACGCCCCGCCGTCGAGCTTGATGACTTGCAGGTTGGCGGAACGGCACATGTTCTTAATCCACTTGTTCGCCTGGCCCTGGGGGTCGATCATGAGCGGCCAGCGGCGCGCGTTCGCGACGACGATGCCGTTGTCGATCGAGAACCCGTCGTTCGGCAGCCCCGCGATGAGCCACTCCCGCACCTTGACCGGGTCGCCCAGCACCGCCGCCATGTTGAAGTTGTCGCTGTGCGGGATCTTCTCCTCCGCGAGGAGCGCGGCCCACGACTTGACGATGTCGCCCCGGAAGTGCGCCGTGAACGCGCCGAGGTACGAGATCACGCCCGCCGACACCAGCATGTCGCCCGTGAGCTTGTCGTGCGCCGACCGCAACGTCTCCGCGGCCTCCGTCCAGCGCATCTGCTCGCCGCCGAGCCCGCCGATGAGCTTCTCCGCGCGCTCGAGCTTCAGCGTGCACAGCTCCACCTCGGCCTCGAGCCTGTCCTTCTTCTCCGAACTCGACTTGAGCTCAGCCTCCATCTCCGCCAGCTTGTCCATGAGGCTCTTCAGCTCGGCCTGCTTGCCGCGCAGGCCCTCCATGACGACGTCGTACTCGCTCTGCGCCTTCTCCTGCGCGGCCGAGAGCGGCGCGACCTGCTTCGCGACCACGTCGTACTTGTCCATGGCAACCACCCACTTGCACATGCCCTCCGCGGCGGACGACGCGTTCTTCGCGTTCGCGGGCGTGAAGTCCTCGCGGTTCGTGTACTCGCTGCGGATCTTGCTGATGATCTTCGGCGGAATGTTGTCCTTGTCGTACTCCTTCAGAGTCTGCAAAAAGTCCTTCTGGTTCAGGAGCTGCAGCGACGGCTTCCAATAGTCGTTGACCATCGCGCCGTCCTTGTTCACGCGCTGCGGCTTGACCTCGAGGATCACGCACACCGCCTCCATCACCAGCTTGATCACGCCCGGCGGGTTGGTCAGCTTCTTGACGTAGTTGATGTCCGCCTCCTTGATGGTGTCCAGCGCCGAGAGCGCGTCGTTCAGGATGGGCATCGCCTTGCCCAGCTCCTCCTCGCACTGGTCCTTCAGCGCCTTGGCCTCGTCGGCCTTGATCTGCGCCGCCGCCTCCTCTGTCTTCACCACCGCCGCCTTGGGCTCCACCACCTCGGTCTTGTTCTGCGCAATCTCCTTGATCAGCTGCTCGACCTCGCCCACGGTCTTCACGAGCTGCGGCTGCAGCGCGCGGAGCTCCTCCTGCATCTGCGCCACCTGCTCCTGACTCGACTTGAGCTTCTCCAGACCAACCAGGTAGCGCTTCTGTTGCTCGAGGTTCTCGCTGCGCTTCTTCGCCAGGAGCGACTTGGTCATGGACAGCAGCTCGAGGTACGACGTCGGCGTGACGTAGTTGTACCGGCCCAGCTCCTCGCGGAACCGCAGCGACGCGTCTTGCATCGAGAGGTGGAAGTGCTGGCAGATGCCGACGATCGACTCGCGCTGCTCGGGCTGGAGGTCGACGTCCTTGAGGAACTGCTGCGCGACGGCCTGGAGCGCGTCGCTCGGCCACGCGGTGAACCAGTCGATGGTGCAGCAGTTGATAAGTGACGGGTTCTGCCGCAGGCGCTCGCGGAAGGCGTTCCCGATGGGGCTCATGCAGAACATGATGTGCAGGTTGTTCGAGCACTCCTTGACGAAGTAGCCCCACAGCTCGAGCGGCGTCTCGAGCCCGCGCTTGGACGCCATGGGCCGCACTTGCTCCATCACCGTCATGCGCTCGTCCTGGGGGAACATGTTGGGCACCTCGCCCGAGTTGAGGATGTTGTTGAGGTCCTCCACGAACGACTCGTCCTTGATCTGCGTGTCGCTGAACAAAAACACCGACGGCTTGCCCTCCCCGCCGGCCTTCCGCAAGATGGCCTTGAGGTCCTCGTGCCAGTCGGACTTGGAGTAGTTCTTGCTGATCTCGACCTGGAAGACCTCCATCCCACACATGAACGCCGCGAGCCGCGTGAGCGACTGCCGCCCGGACCCGCCCACGCCGACCAGCAGCATGTTCCCGCCCGGCTGCTTCAGCAGCCGGCAAATGCGGCTCACGTGCTCCACGGCGAACAAAAACATCGCGAGGTTCATCGGCCGCTTCGACATGCCGTTGTAGTCGCGCAGGAAGTCCTCCATCGCGCTGATCGCCCGCCCGGTGTCGGTGACCTCCGCATACTGCCGCAGCGCGGGGTCGTCCGCCTCGGTGTCCAAAAAGTCCCCAAACATCACGCTGCGCATCTGCTCGGTGCCGATCTTAGCGCCCTCGCCCTCCGGCACCAGGTGCGGGAACAGCGCCTCCAGCGACGTCTCCAGGTGCGTGGTGATGGCGCTGCCCGCCGTGTCCACCAGCCACTCCCTGTCCTCCTTGTCGACGAGGCGGTCGTAGAACACGCGGAACACCTCGTGCACGAAGAGCCGGCAGTACACGCCCGGCCCCTGCGGCGGCTTGCCCTCCTCGTCGTCGGGCAGCGACAAAATCGGCAGCAACATCACGCCCTGGACGACGCGCGCGAAGTCGCGCAGGTTGAACGTGTAGTGCGACTTGAGCGGCGTGGGCAGTAGGCTCTGCAGGCACGCGTCGTAGATCTGCAGCGTCGCCGACACGATCTTCGGCCCGAGCACTTTGATCTCCTCAGGGAACCCCTGCGCCGAGAAGTGCCACCCGAGGATGGTGTTGAAGATCTTCAGGAGCGTAGTGTCCTCGACCTGCGTCACCGCGACCGTGTTGAAGTGCCGCAAGAAGCGGTCCGTGATGAACGACCGCCCGCCGCCCGGCGGACCCATGGCCCCCACCAGCTGCACGTCGTCCATGTGCCGGAACATCCAACCCTTGCCCTCGCGAGCGTACCACCCGGAGTAGTCCATGAACTGGCGCAGGAGCTCGATGGGCGGCTGCGCGCCGTACTGCTCCTTGGCCGGCATGTTCATGTCGTCAATGAACACGATGGCGCGCTGCCCGATCGGCGGCCCGTAGATGCCCTTGCGGCGCTTGTCCAGGCGGCCGTCGATCTGGTCCTGCGTCATGTTCGCGGTCGTGCGCGCCGACATCGTGACGAAGATCTGCACCCACGCCCCCTTGGGCAGCCCCGACACGAGGTGCCGCCGGATGTAGACGCTCTTGCCGGTGCCCGTCGGGCCGACCAGGAGCATGGGCTGCTGGTGCTGGATCGCGAGGTCCAGGAGGAAGGTGTAGCGCGCCGAGTCGATCGTCGGGACGATGATGTCACTGAACTGCGCGTTCTCCGGAATGTTGACCTCCGGGAGGGTGTCCGCCCAGGCCTTCCACGCGCCATTCGTCTTGTCGAAGAGGAACTCGAAGACCGTGCCCGTGGCCGGGAACGGCTCCATGACCAGGTCCACGGGGTGGCAGTCGGTCATGAAGTCGCGGACCTCCTCGGGCTGCAGGCCCGACAGCAGCTCGCGGAAGAACTTGTCGAACTTGAGCCGGGACTCGGCGTCGCCGGTGCACCCCGCCGACCACACGAGCGAGAACATCACGATCGCGTCGACCCAGCGGGCCTTCTTGCGGTCGTCGAACGCGGCGCCGGGGGCCGCCTGCGGGGGCTCCGCGGCCGCGGCGTCGCCGTCGAGGGACTCGTCTTGCGCGGGGGTCTGGAACTCGTCCAGGAGGGCCTTGGTCAGGCGCATGGCGCTGTTCGCGACGGCCGACGGCGCCGTCGGGGAAATCTCCGTCGCGATGTGCTCCGAGAAGCGCAGGCACGGCAGCATGAGCCAGTCGTACAGCTTGCCGATCCGCTCGACGATGTCGGCGCCGAGGTTCGCGGCGGGCAGCGTGTTGAGCCACGACTTGAGCAGCGGCGGCCAGCCCAGCTCCGAGGGCTCGAGGTACACCATGCCGCACCGCGAGACGGTCGCGGGCGACGCCGCGCGGAGGTCGCCCACCTCGAAGATCATCGACATGTTCGGATGCATGGCGATGATCTCCGAGTTCGGCAAACAGAGCTTCTTGTTGTCGTCGAGCACCGTGTTCATGTTCTCGATCCAGATGGCGTCGACCGGCCCGTCCAGCACGCACCACTTGCGGTCCGTGGACGTGTCCGCGGGGTTGGCCAGCTTGCGGAAGGCGCCCGCGAGGTTGCCGTCCTTCCACTCCTGCGTGGCGCGGTCCGTCTCGCCGTACAGCTGGCCCATGGTGACGGACTTCGGGTTGACCACCTCCATGCGGACCTGCTCGAACAGCGGCCCGGTCTTCCCCGCCGCCTTGAGCTGCCCGAGCGCGCCGGCGAGCACGTGCAGGCACGACGACTTGCCCGAGAAGGGCAGGCCTACGATCATGAGGCCGTGCCGCACGACGACCATCTCGTACAGCTGGATCGTCTTGAGCTCGAAGTACGGCACGCACTGCAGGTTGCGCTTCTTGCACTGGTCCTGGATGGCGCCGCGCAGGTTGTCGTAGTCGGGTGCGGGGAGCTTCACGCCCGGGAACAGGTCCGACACGATGCCGTTGAACAGCGGCACGTCCTGGCTGAGGAACTTGCAGAGGTTGACGTCGATGATCGAGCGCAGCATGAGTACGAACTCGTCCTCGTTCGGGTGCTGCCGTTTCAGGTTGCCCGCCGCGCGCAGCACCGCCACGACCGCGCGCATGCCGTAGTCGTAGTGGAACTGGCTCGAGAGCTGCTCGGAGCACAGCTTGTACGTCGCGACGATCTTCCGCGCGCTGTCGCGCGCCTGCAGGTACCCGTACGAGTACAGGATGATCTCCGCGATCATGGCGTAGTCCGGCACCATCATCGCGACCGTCCGGAAGAGCGCCTTGAGGTTGTCCGGGAGCTCCGACCGCCCGGCGTACCCCGGGTTCATGGTGATGAACACGTTGCACGTGGGCTTGAGCGGGATCTCCGAGCCCTCGAAGACAAACGTCTTGACCTTGTGCTTGACGGCGAGCTGGATCTCGAGGACCTGCTGCGCGACGACGCTGAGCACCTCGAGGTCGATGCGGTTGAACTCGTCGAAGCACGCCCACGCACCGGACGACGCGAGCCCCTTGAACATCTTGGCCATCTGCAAATATCCGATTTGGTCCGAACAGTTGAAGACGACGCACTGCCGCGCGAGCGCCTTGGCCAGATCCTTCGTCGTCTCGGTCTTGCCCGTCCCCGCGGGGCCCTCGGGCGCGCCGCCGAGGTTGAGGTGCACGGCGCCCATGAGCGTGCGGTAGCAGCGGTCCGTCAGCGGGGTGATGACGAGGCGGGACGAGTTGCCGAGGTACTCGTAGCCGTACTCCACGTGCGCGTTCATCATCTTGCACACCACCGTCAGGTCCTCGCCCTCGTTGATCGCCTCCCAGTACGTGCGCAGCTGCGACTGCCACGCAAAGGGGTTCTCCTCGGCCTCCAGGCCCTGCCGCGCGAGCTCCGCGGTCACGTCGCGCGCGTGCACGTCCATGACCACCAGCGCCGACAGCGTGGCGCGGTCCAGCTTCGAGAGGTCCCCGCGCACCAGTTCCACGATGTCGCCCAGCTGCGCGGTGCACTTGTCGGTGTACTCCTGCAACGCGCCCTTGCGGCCCTCCTCGAAGACCGCCTCGACGCCCGCGGTCCAGTCCACCGCCGTGACCACCAGCACGATCTGGCCCGGCCACTGCAGCACCCACTCCTTGCGCGGCGTCGTCGCGTACGCCTCGATCGACTGCCCGGTGACGTGCTTGACGGCCTCGAGCATAGAGTGCTCGACCTGGAGCAGCCACTTCTCCACCGCGCCGTTGGCCTCCTTGGGCTTCACGTGCGTGCGGAACGGCACCTTCTCGCCCTCCACCGACATCATGCCGTGCACGTCCGTGTTGGGCTGGAAGTCGAGCCGGTGGATGCCCTCGAAGCACTTGTTCAGGTGCGGCTGCACGCGCAGCGGGTCCTTGGTCTCGGAGAGGATCTCGAGCATCTCGTCGTTCGACAGGAAGAAGAAGCGCGGGAACGCGATGCGTTTGAGCTCGAGGTACGCCGCGAGGCCCTTCTGGATGTCGTCGAGCAGCTCGTTCGCCTCCTTGAGCTGCGCGAGGCGCGTCTTGTCGCGCGCGACCACCAGGCAGCCCGGGCTCTTGAGCATCTGCTCCATGAGCTCGCGCCAGGTCTGGTCGACCTGCTGGAACTTCTCGCCCTCGGTGGGCATCTGCTTCATGATGTCCGGGGAGGAGAAGATGGGCTCGAGGTACTGCCAGGTCGCCTGGCACGCGAGCTGGTTGTCGATGATGCTCTGCAGCGTGTTGAGGGTGTCGTCCCACATGGCGCAGCGGTCCGCGAAGGGCTTGATGAACGGCGACGCCCGCATCGACTGGATCTTCACGATCTGGTCGTCCAGGATCATCTGGATCTCGTCCACGCCGCCCAGGATGTACGTCCCCGTGTCCTTGTACGGAACCACGATGAAGTCCAGGCCCTCCCAGTCCGCAGCCATCTTGTCGAGCGCCTTCTCGAGCGAGTACTCCTTGCTCGCCGTCGCGCTGATCTCCTGGACCTTGTCCATCTTGTTGCGCACGCCGAGCTGCAGCAGGTCGTTGATCGCGAACGGCTCGCCCTGCACGTCAAACCCGGGCTCGCCCACCATGGCGAACACCGCCTCCCAGTGCCGGACCTTGAGCGCCGGGTTCGCGAGCTGCTCGACGAGCGGCAGCAGCTCGCGGAACTCGTCCACGGCCTCGCGCAGCCGGAACACCACGCGGTCGTCCTTGAGCTGCTTGCCCAGCTTGTAGCCAGTGGTGCCGAAGTTGTCCACCTGCGGGACGATCTGCTCCACGTCCAGCTCGAGCACGGGCCCGTTGAGCCAGTCGAGCTTGCTCTGCTCGAACTGCGCCAGCGTGTTCCAGATCGTCGACCGCGCCTGCACCTCGCGCTCCATCAGCGACAGGTTCGACATGTCGTCCGTCGGGACGTCGAACAGACGCTGGTACTCCTGCAGCTGCGCCGCGCGCTTGCGCATGCCCTGCATGTGCTCCTGGAGCTGCTCGAGCTCCTCGACCATGCCCGCGGGGTCGCTGTCGGGGTCCATCGAGGGCCCCGAGTGCAGGTTGCCCAGGAGCTCCATCGCCTCGTTGTTGATGGAGCGGATGTCCTGGTCGAGGTTGCTGATCATGCCCTGCGCGTGCTCGAGCACGAACTCGCGCCCGTCGTCCAGCTGGCGCTCGAAGTCGGGCCGCAGCTCCTGACTCAGCGTCTCGAACTTCGAGGCGTCCTGGAAGGCCACGCGCTGGTCGAGCTCGCGCTCGAGGAAGTGGTACATGGCCTCGACCTCCGCGAACTGCTCGAGCACCTCGGCCTTCTTCTCCACGATCTCGCGGTGCATGACTTGGTACAGCACAAACATGTCGAGGTCCTGCGGGCGCTGCGAGAGGCTCTGGATGTAGCTCTCCATCAGCCCGGACGTCTTGCTGCACAGGTCGCGCGCCTTGGAGACCAGCATCATCTTCAGGTCGTCGAGCGTCTTCTGCGTGACGGGAATCATCCGGTTGCGCAGCGTCTTGGAGTCGATCTGCAGCATGCCCTCGACGTGCCCGATCTTCATGCGCTCGAGCGCGAGCTTCCACTCCATCTGCTTGAAGATGTCCGCGCGCAGCGACTCCAGCGTCGCGTTCGACATGTCGTACTGCGCAGGGTCCCACGCCCGCCCGAACTCGTGGATCTTCCGGTACTGCGGGGACGACGTTCGGCGGAGCGAGGGGCTCGGTGAGGGCGCATACATGGGCCGAGAGCGGCGACGGCGGAGGACCCGCGCGCACGAGCGAGAGGTCGGGTGCAGCGGAGCCGCTGCGGGCGGCGCCACACACCTGCGTGAAGATCTGGGCGTAGTCCGCGGCCTGCTGGTAGTCGCTCCGGATGACCTCGGAGATGCGGTCGCGCGCCTCGAGGTACTGCGACGCGTGCGTGATGATGTGGACCGGGTTGAGCCCCTGCAGCTTCCCGTCGAAGAACTGCCCGAAGCTGCGCATGAAGAGCACGCGCGGCGCCGCCTGCGCGAGCGTGATGATGCCCTCGACGACGCTGTCGATCACGCCGCTCACGGCGCGCTCCGGCGGGAAGAACTCCATGCTGCTCTCGTCGACGCCAAAGTCCAGGACCGTGAGGAACACCCCGCGCGGGAGCTTGTCCTGCGCCTGCTGCCGCGGGCTCTCCAGCAGCGCGCGCACGTCGTCGACGGCCGACACGCTCTGGTCCACCACCGCCTCGACCAGCATGTAGTCGACGAGGCGGATGAAGTCCCCCAGACGCGCGGCCTCCTCCATCACGCGGCGGTACGTCGCCGCGCGGTCGACCTTCTCCTGCCGGATCGCCGCCATCGACTTCTTCTTCTCCCCGGCCTTGACGTACAAGTCCACGCCGGTGGTGTCCTCCAGCTCCGAAATGTCCCGGATGCTCTCCTGGTAGAGCTTCGCCTGCTTCTGCACCTCCTTGCAGAGCCGCTCGAGGACGCCCTGGACGCGGTCGACCACGCTCTCGACCGCGGTCTTGGCCTTGGTCTCGCGCTGCGTCACCTGGAGCTCGAGGTACGAGTGCAGCTCGCACGTGTGCGTGGGCGAGGCCGTGATCGCGACCTCGCGCAGCGCGGAGACGTGCCCCTGCACCTCGACGAGGCTCGGGAGGAAGGTCGGCTGCGCCAGGAAGAGCTTGGCGGAGAGCTTCTGGCGCACGCGGTTGAACAGCTTGCGGCGGACGGTCTGGCGCCACGCGCGGAAGAAGTTCCCGACGATGTAGTGCTTGAAGAAGGGGATGTTCCGCAGCAGCGAGAACAGCGTCTTCTCGCGGATCCACTCCGCCAGCGAGATGAACTCGCTCTGGACGCCGCGGCGGATCTTCATGACCCCCGTGGCCGAGATGGTGTAGTACTGGTTGCCGACGTCCTCGCGGCGCACGACCTCGAGGTCGTACGGCCGGAAGTCGAGCCCCGTGTCCGCCTTGATACAGTAGAAGAACTTGATCGGCGCGTCTTGCCCGAAGCGCGCGTAGAACTCCAGGACGTCGTCGCCCGTCTCGATCCCGGGCACCGTGCTGCCGTCGAAGTTCGCGACGATCGTCTCCAGGTCCATCTCCTTGTGGTGCGGCCGCCGCTCCGCATCCTGCATATGCACACCGCGACGCCGACACACCGTTGCACCGGGGCGCCCCGTGCGGGCGGACGCGAGGCACGCATGCGCGCCGGCAGGGCGCAGGCGTGGGGAGCGCGGGGGCGCGTAAAGAGAGTGCGTGATCTCACCTCTTCCGCGACGTCGTCGAGGTTCTCGCCGGGGAGGTGCTCGGCGGTCCCGAGGCGCGCGCCGCCCGTGAAGGACGAGATCCCGGCCTCGAGGTTCCGGATCGACCGCATCGACCGCATCATCGCCTGGTGGCGGCCCTGCAAGAGGCTGGGCGTCTTGCCGGCGTCCACCTCGCCGCTCGCGCCCGCGCGCCCGCGCAGGGCCGGCAGGCGCTCGCCCGTGGCCGGGGGCGACGCGGCGCCGTGCGTCTTGCGCGGGCTCGCGGTGGACCCCGGGGACCCGGGCTTGGCCTTGCCGTTGGCGGCAGCCTGGGCACCTGCCGCCTGCTGGCGCGCTGCCTGCTGCGCCTCGGCGTGCTGGGCCGCCTTGAGGCGCCGCTCCTTGACGATTGGGAGCTCGTAGGCCTGCGGGCGGAGGTCGGGAGGGCCGGGGGCCGGCGTCAGGCGTGCAGTGAGGCAGCTAGTGCCTCCGGCGGCCGTTGGGGCGCGCTGCGGGGTGCCGGGGGCGGGACGCGGGACGTGCGGTGGCTCTGGGCCGCACGGCGTCGGTTGGGTGCGGTTGACGCGCACCTGCGGGGCTGTGAGCGTCGCGGCGTCGAAGAGAGCTGTTGTAGCCGGGCGTTTCGTGCGACGCCGCGGCGACGGGAGGTCCTTCTGTCGCGGGAGCCCGACCGTCATGGAGAGCTCCTGCGTGACGGTGTGCTGGGCGATCCGCGGGAGCCACGCGGGCGTCTCCGGCTCCGGGAGGTCCTGCGCATGACGAGCAGCGGAGCCAGGCTCAGCGACCAGCACCGCCACACAGCGGCACGCGCGCCGACAGCGGCCGCCTTGCGCCAGGCAACGCGCGCGCGAACACGGACAGTCCGTCAAGACCGGCTCGGGCCGCGGACGGGCCCTCCAAGGGCTCGGAACACGCGGGGTCTGTGCGGAGGGCATGTTGCAGGGGCGACGCGGGGCACGTAGAGCGCGTTCGCGGGGCGAGGAAGCGCCGGGGGCCTTGCCTGGACCCTGGTGAAGCGCGTGGAGGCCCGCATGCCGCCGCGGGGCCCCGCACCGTCCCCGGCGCCGCGCTCAGCGGTGGACATTGGTCAAGAGGGACCGGGGGGTCGCGCCCGGGCCCGTCGGGCCACGGCGGGAGGGAGCGGGCGCCGCGGGCGCTGTACGTGCGCGATGGATCGTTCCGCGCGGGGTTCCGGCCCTCCTAGCGAGCGCTTCGCGTCAGGGCAGGGCAAACATGTGGAATGGCTGGTTGCCTCGTTCTACCCCCTTGGCCTCGCCTACGCGCGCCCTCTATGTTTGACGGGCTGCGTTGAATAGAAGTGACGCATCCGCGGGCGCAGCGGGCCGCTCGTTGGCCGTCGGAGCCGCAGGCGGTGGTGGAGCCCCCCCGTCGACGGGACCGACCGCCTCTCGCGCGCGGCCGCCGCCCGCCCGTCGTTGCGGGCGACCGCTCCGCGCGCGGGGCAATTGACTCTTCGCAGGGAGCTCCTTTCCCGCGACGAGGGCCACTGCGCTGTTCGTGGAGCCGGGTAGACCTCTGCAGGGGAACGGTCCCTTCAGCACACGCCTACAGATAGGCATCACCGACCCTGGCGCGCAGCGCGCGACCTCACTGTCGTGCCGTGTCCCTCGAGGCGTCGCTGGTGAGAGCGCGCCCCGCAGTGACTGCACACCACGAGTTCGTTCCTGCGCTGCTCTCATTGCCCTCCCGCGGCGCGCAAGAGACCGCTGCGGCGCTTTCCGGCGCCGTTCCGCGTTATACACTCGGCGCATTCCCCCGTCGCTGGCTCGCCCGCCCAGCAGCGGCCCGGAGAGCCCACCCGGGCCCCGGCCATGCCCACCGCCCACGCGGTTCACGGCGCCTGTACGGCTTCTTCGGCCTCTTCGACGGCCGGGCCGCAGTCGTCACATCCATATCCTCGACGCCGTCGCGTACTGGCGGTTCACGGTGGCCCATACGGACGAACGAGCGGCCCAGGCGCTTGTGCCACTTGCATCGTCCCCCGGCCCGCGCTGGTGCCTCCGGTTCCCGTTGGGCGACGGCGGCGGCTCCCTGGCTGCTCACCACGCACGCAGGCCGCGGAGGGCCGCGGTCAGACATCGTGTGCGCCCCGGTTGGGGCTCTCGAAGGCAAGACGCGGGTGCCAACGCCCGCCGAACGGACCCCATGTGTGCGCAGGTGCCGTTGACTCGCGTCGCAAATCATGGCACTGGGATAACGTAGGAGAGCAGTGCGGAAACGGCTATGAGTTTGGAAGTCAGCACGCCCCCAGCGGGGCTCGACCGTGGACCATCTGCCAGCCTGGGCACCCCGAGCGGCCTCGAGGCGGGCGAGCACTCGTTCGGGGACCAGGTGTCGTTGGAACGGTCGGAAGAAGCGCTGGACCGCGCCGGATCCGAAGATGTCGACCTCCTGGGCGGCGCAAGTAGCGCTGCAGGTGAACGCGCGACCCCGTCCCTTCCAACGCCCCGCGCGCGCTGTCCGGCGCATCACTCGCCGCCACCTCCCGCATGCAGGCTTTCACATCAGATGTGTTGCCCGCACCGGCCGCGGCTCCCTTGTTCGCGCACGTACCGGCTCGAACGCGCGACTAGTGCTATGTCCCTGCAGACCCAGCTGACGGCCTCTCGGAGCACGCAAGCGACGCTGGCGCCGGCGCTCCGCCCGAGGAACCATCCGCGCCCGCGGCGGATGCGACTCCTGAGCCGCAGGGCCCCCCGCCGGCCGCGGACGAGCCCGAGACACCAGGCCTGCCTGATGGCCCGGCGCCCGCCGAGCCAGAAGGCGACGCGAGCCCCGCAGCGGCGGAGCCCGCGATAGACGAGCCCGAGCAGAGCGTGCCGGCCGCCCCGGAAGGCACAGAGCCCGAGCAGGACGCCATCGCGGCCGACCCTTTACAGGACGACCAGCAAGCACCGCTCGGAGCCGAGGACGCGGGGGCAGGCGACGCCACGCCCCAGCCCGACGACGACGTCCCTGCCACGGACGGTGCCGGCGCGGATGGCGCCCCCGCGGGCGATGCGGGCGCCGCACCACCTGTGCCGGTCGCGACGGGCGCGGAGCCCGAGGCGGAGGTTGCCCAGGCCGCCTTGCCCGACGACGCCGGTCAGGACGCGGCGCTGCGTGCGGAGGCCAGCGGGGCGGAGGAGGGCGCTCCGGCGGAAGGCGACGAGCGCAGCGCTGGTGACGACGGCGATGCGGACGCGCCAGCGCCGGAGGCGGCCGCGGAAGCCGCTGCACCGGAGGCGCCGGAGCAGGGCGACGACGCCGTTGTCGAGGCGGAGGCAGCCGCGGAAGCCGCTGCGCCGGACAGCGACGCCGCGCCCACAGAGCCAGAGGCACAGGACGCTGGCGCTCCCCCGCCTGCTGACGAGGAGGGCGCTGCGGGCGGCGAGGGGGCTGCGGGCGTGGAGGAGGTCGCTGCGGGCGGCGAGGGGGCTGCGCCGGCGGACCCGGGCGCGGCCGCGGAGGACGCGTCTTACGCGGCGCGCGAGGCGGACATCGTCGCGCCGCCGGCGCCCCCGGCGCCCGCCCCACCGCCGCCGCAGCCCTCGGACGACAAGCCCAAGCGCGCGCCCGCGACGCTCCCAGTCGTGGAGCCCGACCCGGAGCCCGAGGGTCCCGTCGAGGGCGTGTTCGACGTCGAGATCGAGGACCTCATGGACGTCGTCCAGGCCGTGCAGGAAGTCGAGAGCGCGTACGACGCCGTGGAGCTCCAGGCTGCGCGCGACGCGCTCGACCCGACAGTCGAGCTCACGGAGGCGCTGCAGTCGATCGCGGAGACGCAGCTCGGCGGGAGCGCGAAGGTCGTGGTGATGGGCGGCATCGGCGCTTCGGAGGAGAAGCCGTCTGTGTTCAAACACTGGCCAGGTGTGTACGCGGATGCGACGGCGGGCGGCGCGGAGGGCGAGGACGGCGGCGCGGTGCTCGGCCAGACCGTCACGTCGGAGCTCTTCGAGGACCGCATGGGGGGGGAGTATTGCCTGTCGGACCTGTGCGTGATGGACGTGGCGTCGCTGCAGTGGTCCAAACCGGTGACGCACGGGACGCTGGACCCGCCGCGCGGCGGGCACGCCGCGGCCGTGGTGCCGCTGCGGGTCTTCGCGGCGCCGGAGGGCGCGCAGGCGCAGCGGCGGCCGGGCCGGACGGACCGCAATCCGCTCGCGGCGGCGGGGTTGGCGGGGCGAAAAGGGCAGACGACGCGCGGGCCCGGGACGCCGGCGTTCGTGCACTTGTCGGACTTGCTGCGGCACGTGGCGCGGATGGAGGGGCCGGGCGAGGCCGGGGAGGTGACGCTGCCCGGGCGGGCTGCGGCGGCGGGGCGCGCGGTGGCGAGCACGATGCTGCAGAGCCTGGTGGCGTGTGCGAACGCGCAGGGCGTGGGCGCGGGGTGGCCGTACGGGACGATGCCGATGAGTTTCGTGGAGGAGCTGTTCCACATGGCGCTCGCGACGCGGAGCCCGGAGCTCGTGGACGGGCGCAGCGAGAGACTGGGCCTGATGAACGGTGAGAGACTCCGGAACGAGACTGCGGTTCCGCCGACTTGCCTTGTCTGCCTTTTGGGCGCGAGCGCCTCCGCCTCTGCGCGCATGCTGGCCGCGAGACGCTACACCTCGGCTTGTGTCCACGGTGGCCCGCATGACTGTTTCACGAATCAATCGTCAATCCTCGATCTCTGTTCCCTGTTTCGCGCAGAGCTCCTGAAGGCCATCCGTGTCGCGCCGGACGTCGGCGGCCGCGGCGCGCACGACATGGCCGTCGTCAAGGACGTCGAGCAGGCCCTCACGCTCCCCGCGGCCGCCGAGGCCGTCCAGCAGACCCTCCCACACGCCATGCTGTGGACCACGCCCTCCCCGCACCACGCCATCATCCAGGCGGGCCGCGTCGAGATCCTCGACGTCCCGCAGGCGCTCAAGAAGGCCTCGGAGCTCTACCTCACGCTCGAGGTCAAGGCCCTGCGCCCCATTTTCAAAGGGATGCCCACGCCGTTCCGGGGCGTACGCGCTGGCGCAACCGTGGGGCCCCCGTGGGACACGGGCGTCGCGGCGGGCGGCGCGCACATCGAGGCCGGGCAGCTGGCGCGCGGGCTCGTCGCGGAGGCCGTCTGCATCGTCGGCGGGCTCGGGTCGATGCAGGGCGTCATCGACAGTCTTCTCAGCATGCTGGCGGGGGAGCGGTCGTCCGAGGCGCGGATCGCGCTGATCGCGCGGCTGCCGGACGTGCGCGCGCCGGGCGAGGAGGAGCAGGCGCTGGTGGAGATCGGGAGCGGCACGATCGACTTGCTCGAGGCCGTGGACGAGGATGTCGTCGCCAAGACCATCACGCTGTACGAGCCGACGCACATGAAGAAGGGCGCGCGCACGAAGAAGAGCAAGAAGGGCGGCGACGCCGACGAGGCCACGGGCCCGTCCTCGCGGAACGTCCCCGTCGCGCGGTGCAACGTGACGGTACTGATGCGGCAAGCGCTCAACCACATTCGCCTGCTAGGGTCTAAGACCTACGTGGACGCGTTCCGCCTGGTCGTGCACGGCGGCGCGAGCGCCGCGCTGCCGGGCCCGGGCGCGCCCCCCGGCGCCGTGGTATCGAAAGGGTTGGCTCCGAGTTCTTCGTTGATGGTCTACGACGCCATCGCCAACAAGTGGCAGGAGCTGCAGCCGGACCCGTTCTCGCTCGCACCGGCGGGGCGCGCGCGGCACGCGATCGGGCGCGCCGGGCACGTCCTGTACGTGACGGGCGGCGTCAGCCACGAGGGGGCTGTATTGGGAGACCTCCACGCACTCGACACGACCGACATGACGTGGCAGATGCTGACGCCGCAGCAGTCCGAGTGGACGATGCTGCTGCAGCGGCACTCGCACTCGATGACCGTCCTGCCGGGCGCGTCGCTGCTCGGGGAGCGCACGGTCCTCCTGATCTACGGGGGCGTCGACGGGTCCGGCGCCGTGGTCGCGGGCGGGATGGTGGCGCTCGACGTGACGCGCGCGCAGCAGCGGCAGCTGCTCGAGGCCACGGGCGCCGACGCGAAGGCGCTCGGGCTGGTCCCGCAGCGGGCGCAGGGCGTGAACATCGACCCGGCGCCGGTGTCGGCGGCGATCGTGCAGAACGGTGCGGAACCGCCCGGGCGGCGCGGGCACGCGACGTGCGTGGTGTCTGGCGTCCGGGAGGGTGCCGGGACGGGCGAGCACGCGTGCGCGGGCTCGCGGATCTATGTCTACGGCGGCCGCGTCGAGGGTGGCGGGCTCACGAACGACCTCTACTGCGCGCACGTCGAGCACGTGGCGCCGGAGATCGGCGGCGAGGTCCAGCTGCGCTGGGAGAAGGTCGAGACGTCCGGTCCGGCGCCGCCGAAGCGCGAGTCGGCCTCCATGGTCGCAATCGGTTCTTGGCTGGTCGTCGTCAACGGGTGGGTTGGGCTCGAGGCCACGCCGTGGACGCGCGACTGCTACCTGCTCAGCACCACGACGAACCGCTGGGCGTCGCTCGCGTTCCCCGACCACTTCCCGTCCGGCCGCTTCCTGCACGCGGGGCTGATGGTGGACTTCCGCGCAGGCGTGTCGCGGTGCTCAACGCTGCACGGGCCAGTCGCGCCGCCGCTGTCGTCGACCACGCAGCCGCGCCCGGCCCCGCGCGACCTCTCCGCGGGCCCCCCCTCGGAGCCCGTGCGCGTCACTGCCGGGAAACCGCTCGAGTTCTTTGTGCAGTCGCGCGACGTCACGCGGGCGCCGGCGGACCGCGCCGGAGACGGGTACACGGGCGTGCTGCTGCGGCTGTCGCCGTCGGAGGGCGACGACCTCGCCGCGTCGGTCGTGTCGGACCAGGAGGCCGCGGCGCGTGGGCTTTCTCTGGACCAAGCAATCTCACGGTTGCAGGGCGTCGCGCAGGAGGTGGTGACGCAGGGCGGCGTGACGGACATGGGCAGCGGGCTGTACTCGCTCACGATGACGCCTGTTGCGTCGGGGCGGTACCTGCTGTGCGTGACGGGCGAGGACGGGCACCACGTGCGCGGCAGTCCGCTCCCGGTGCAGGTGGACCCCGGTCCGCTCGCGATGGCGCGCACGGTCGCGTCGGGCGAGGGCCTGAAGAGCGGGTTCGCCGGGGAGCCGCTGTCGTTCTTCGTGCACCCGTACGACCAGCTCGGAAACAACCTCGCGACCTCGAAGCGGCTCCTGCGGCAGCTGCACGTGCGCGTGCTTGGACCGCACGCCCCCGCGGCGACGCTCACGCCCGAGCCCGAGCACGGCCGGATCCGCGTGACGTACGTACCGGAGAAGACGGGGACGTACCGCGTCCGCGTCAAGGCTGGTCAGCACGACGTTCCGGGAAGCCCGTTCTCCGTTGGGGTCAAGCCCGGGCCGCTGGAGCCGGCCAAGTGCGAGGTGACGGGGCGCGTGGTCGGCGCGCGGTGGGTCGTGAACTACACCGCGCACATCACGGTGCGGGCGCGCGACGCGCAGGGCAACAAGTGCTCGCTGGGCGGCGGACACTTCCGACTGCTCGCGGAGCGCGTGAGCGCCTCCCCGGACATGCCCGAGGGCGACCTGCCGATGCCGTCGGCCTCCGACCCCGAGCCGAAGCAGGCGGACGTCGTCCTGGTGACGGACTGCAAAGACAACAACGACGGCACGTACGCCATGGACATCAAGCTGCCGTCGGTGGGTCTGTGGCGGCTGTGCGTGGAGACGAAGAAGGGCATCGACGTCGCGGCGGAGTTCGGCAAGGCGCCCGCCGAGGCCGCCGATATCCGCGACGCGCTGTCCAACGCCAAGCTGTTTGCACGCAAGCTCGACCTTGCGGGGGGCAAGCCCTTCGCGATCTCGGTGACCTCCGGCACGCTGGACCCGAGCAAGTGCAGCCTGTTCTCGCAGGACGCGCACACGCAGGAGTGCCTCGACCGCGGCGCGCCCGTGACTCTGCGCGCTGGCGAGCGCGGCGGCGTCCGGATCCAGGCGCGCGACACCGAGGACGCGGTGCTGCGCGGCGGAAACGACCTCTTCATCGCGTGGCTCGAGCCCAAGCCGCTCCCGAAGCCGCTCCCGGCCATCGGCGCGGGCGGCAACAGCGGCGCCATCGTCGCTGCGGACCGGGATCGTGACCTGGAGGAGCAGCAGCGCAGGATCGACGCGATGGACCCCCCGACGGAGCGCACGCGGCACGCGGTGCCCGTGAAGGTGGAGGACCTGCACAACGGCCAGTACGAGGTGACGATGTCGGCTTTCCGCGAGGGCGCCTATTGGCTGATGATTGAGGGCTCCAGCGGGTTCACGGAGCAGCCGGACTACCGGCCGGTGAACGGATGTCCCGTGTCGGTCCGCATCGAGGCCGGCCCGACCGTGCCGAGCCAGTGCGTGGCGCGCGGGGGGGGACTCGAGGGCGACATCCCCGCGGGGGAGTTGGCGCAGTTCCGCGTGTACGCGTGCGACGACGCGGGGAACCGGAAGCGCGTTGGCGGCGACAGGGTCGACGTGTCGGTTTGGGGCGGCTGGGAGGTCCCCGTGGAGGTCGTGGACAACTTCGACGGCACGTACGACGTTTCATATCTGCCAGGGTCTTCCATCGGCCCAGGGAACATGCCGCTGGGCAACTCGAGCGTGGAGATCGCGGAGAACACGTCCGCGTCGCAGCTGGCGTCCGCCGCGCGGATCTTCCGCGTCGACGTGTGCGTGAACGGCCAGGACCTGCTCACGAGTCCCTTCTTCCCCCGCGTCATTCCCGTCGCGGTGGACCCCGCGCGGTGCGAGCTGGAGGGCGTGCCGGAGAACCTGGTCGCGGGCAAGCCGCACCAGATCGTCGTGCGGGCGAAGGACAGCCGCGGCGTGCCGATCACGGTCGGCGGGACCGATTTCCGCATCGCCCTGTTTGGGGACAACGCGTCCAAGGTGCTGGCGGACATTCGGGACCGCAACGACGGCACGTACGGCGTGCGGCTCCTCGCGAACCTCTCGGGGTACTACGACATCGTCCTGCACGTGACCCTCAAGGGCAAGCACGTGGCCGGGTCGCCGCTGCACCTGTCGGTGGTGCCGCGCGGGCTGTTCGGTGCCGGGTTCTGGACGGGCGCGCGCGCGATGGACGAGTCGGCGACGCACAACTTCATCCTGTCCGGCGACGGCATGCACTCGGCCGTTGCGGGCGAGGAGACGCAGTTTGAAATCGCCGCCAAACGGTTGGGCGACGCGACTCCCGGAGAGGCGTTCTCGCTCGAGCTGCGCGGGCCCGAGGAGATCTCGGGCAACATCGAGGGCCCTGACGAGAGCGGGGTGTACTACGCGCGGTACCGGTGCACATTGGCGGGGGAGTATTTGGCGGTGGTGAAACTCGCGAAATACACCCTCCAGGGGTGTCCGTTCACGGTCAAGGTGAGCGCGGCCGCGACGCACGCGCCGAGCTGCGAGGTCAAGTTCCTGAACGCCCGCGTGAAGAACATCGGCGACGAAGGCCGCCCCGAAACGCCCGTGGTGTCGGTGGGCGAGCGGCTGCAAATCGAGATCCTCCCGCGGGACCGCTTCGGCAACCTCTCAACGCACCGCGAGGACCGGTTCTCCGCGCACATCAGCGGCGGGCACCTCGACATGTTCGTCAAGAGCCACAAGGTGATGGCGCGGTTCAAGGGAGGGCGCTACACGGTGCCGATCCTGGAGGTGCGCGGGCGGCGGCTGGCGGAGTGGATCCCGGACTGCCGCGGCGCGTTCGGGATGTCGGTGACGTACCTCCGCCCGGGCCTCGCGTCGTGGGACCAGGCGACCGACATCGGCAACAGCCCGTACGAGATCGACGTCAACCCGCCCCCCAGGACTGCGCGGAAGTTCTCCGACCTCCGGGACGAGCTCGAGGAGGGCGCGGCGCGGCAGGCCAACCTGATCGCGGAGAAGGCGTTCAACGCGGCGCTGTTCGGCGGCGGCGCGGCCGCGGAGGGCGGCGCGGAGGCAGAACTGACTGCCGACGAACAGGAGCGGCGCCAGGAGGTCATGGCGCAGGGCATGAACTACAAGGCGCGCCCGAAGAGGCTGCTGAAGCGGCTGCGCGGCATGCTCGGGCGGCCCGAGGTCGGCGCCGGCGACGCGGACAGCGACATCTCGCAGGCCCTGACGGTTATGTCGCGCACGGTCGCGGACCGGGCGTCGCGCGGCGCGGTGAAGAGCTCGATCCAGCGCATCAAGACGATGCGGAAGGAGTCGCGCTCGATGCTCCTGCGGTCACGCAGCGGGCAGGCGGACGCCGGCACGCTCACAGCGCCGCCGCCGCCGACCAAGTCGCTCGGGCGCGCCGGGTCGCGCGCCCGCAGCATGCAGGGCACGTCGACGTCGCAGCGCGCGCTCATGCAGTCCAAGAGCCGCCCCGCGAACGTTCCGGCCCCCGTCGAGGAGGCCGGCGAGATCGTCACCGCTGAGTTCGAGGACGTTCCGGGCCTGCAGGGCCCGCGGCTGCGGCGGCCGGCGCAGCCGCCGCTCAAGGTCGGCGCGACGGGCGACGCGCAGCCGGGCAAGCCGCCGAAGCCGCCGGGCGGGGACCGGCCGTCTGGGCAGCCGCGGACAGAGACAGTGCGCGACAAGGTCGGTTTCGCGGAGGTTGCGTCGACGGCGACGCCGCCGGACACGGGCGGCGGCGCGGGGCTGTTCAGCGCAGGGTTCTGGGGGCAGCAGGATACGGTGAACGACATGATCGAGGGACCGAAGGTCGTGAAGACGTCGACGACGATGCGGTCGCGGCAGGTTGGGCAGCAGGTGGAGGAGCCCGGGGTGGAGCCGGAGCCGACGCGGGCGCTCAGTGAGATGCAGCGCGCGCGCACGACGCGGATCCGCGAGCGGGACACCATGGGCGACGCCAAGAAGGGGTTCTTCAGTCGCCTACGAGGACTCAAACAGCCCAAGAACTAACAACGGCGGGGAGGGCGGCGCGGGGCTTGCGTGGTGCGATGCGAGGCGGCGTGCACGAGCTCGTGGATGCGTGTAAGTTGTCAACAAACCGCAGGTGTTCGTGTACGCTCGTGTTTGAGTCACTCAGTCATTTCTCAGCCCGAAGAGGCCGCAGCCAACGTGCGTGAGGTTCGAGACGATGGCCACCCGTCGTCCCCGCGACAGGCGCCGCGCATCCCATTCTATTGCACCCATCGTTCGCCCCACGCGACACACAAGTTCAAGTTCACTGCACTAGTTCCTTTTCGTCGAGGTGCTCCTTGACGCCGATGTCCACGATCTGCACGTCCTCGAGCGGCTTGTCCTCCTTGTCCGTCTTGACCTTCTCGATGATCCGCACCACGTCCATCCCGCGCACCACCCGCCCGAACACCGTGTGCTTGTTATCCAACCACGGCGTCGGCACCGTGGTGATGAAAAACTGACTCCCGTTCGTGTTCGGCCCGCTGTTCGCCATCGATAGCGTTCCCGCGCGGTCGTGCCGCAGGCTCGAGTCGAACTCGTCCTCGAACTCCCCCCCCCAGATGGAAGTCCCCCCCGTGCCGTCGCCCAGGGGGTCCCCTGTCTGCGCCATGAAGCCCTTGATGACGCGGTGGAAGATGAGGCCGTTGTAGTACCCGTTCTTCGCGTGCGTCGTGAAGTTCTCGACCGTGCGCGGGCACTCCTCCGGGAACAGGCGCAGCCAAATGTCCCCCAGGGTTGTGTGCATGACGGCCCCGCGCGGGAGCAGCGCGCCCGACACCGCCGCGCGCTCGGTGCCGATGTCGAGCTCCTCCCTGCACGCACGCACGGCGACCGGCCGCCGCGGTCGGCACGCACGAACGCAGACAGCGACGAACGTTCATGCAATTAAGAAACCGAATCGATGGTGTTTGGTGAGCCAAGGGCGCGCACTTCGGCTTCTCGTTGAACACGTCGCGGCCGAGCGCGGCGGTCTCGTTGTCCTCGGGCTCCCGCGTCGTGAAGAGGTAGAACCTATCCTTCTTGTATGACGTGGCAACTACAACAGGGTCAGGCCCCGAGAGCTTCGTGTCCGCGGTGAGCTTCGACAGCTTCTGCCGCTTGCTCGCCTGCCCCGGATTCCCCTGGTACAGCGCGACGCGCACGAACCGCTCCGTGTTCTCCACCTTGCCTAGCACGCGCGACACCTGCAACGCCACCCCGTAACACATCGTCATTGCTTGAGCGGTGCCCGCGGAGGCGCGGCGTGCGGTAGAACAGCAACGATCCGATCCGCCGGTTCACGAACCTTGTTGGAGACGATGTTGACGACCTTGATACCCAGCAGCGTGGCGTAGATGACGAAATGCCCCGACTCGTCGAACACGGCGTTGCCAAGCGGGGCCTCCTTCCAGCCGGCCGCCTGCCGCGCCGTCAGCTCCTTCTCGACAGCCGCGCGGCGCCCGAAGTCCATGTCCTCGAGGTGGAACGTCTCCGCTGCACGCAGCGCGAGCGGACTACACACGTACAAGCCCTGGTCGCTGATTCCGCGCCGCGAACACGCCGGCTCTGCAGCGGCGCGCGCAAGGCGACGCATGGCGCGAGTCTCACCTCCGGACTGCTGCACGTCCTGCGCGGCCTGCAGCGACTCGTCGTAGGCGCGTTTGAGCTTCCCGGTGTCATACTGGAACACCCTGACGCGTCTGTCGGCGCACATGCACACGAACAGGTCCCCGCTCTTCGAGACATCCATCGAGCACGCGCTCGTCTTCACCTGCGCAGCGCAGCCGCGTCAACCAGCGACATGAGCGCCGACCAGACCCTGGGCAGCAAGTCCACAGTGGATGCTGTTTCGGTGGTGGTGGTTGCGTGTTTGCGGCGTGGGCGCGCACCTTGGCCATGGCGAACAAATCCGTCTCGATCTTCCTCTTGAATTTGAGTCCTTCTTCCGCGGCCTCGCCAGTCTTCGGATCCCAATACTCGACCAGCCCCTTCTCGTCGGTCGACACCACCGCCCCGCGCGCCGCGTTGAACCGCATCGCCGTCACGGGCGCCCGGTGCAGCGACCCCGCCTCCACGTCCAGCAGCGGCGCCTCCGCCGACGCCTCGCGCCCGTCCAGCACCACCACGCGCCCCGTCGCGTCGTCCGACACAGCCAGGCGCGCCCGGGGGTCGCCCCGGAGGTGGCACCACTCGGCGCACCGCGGCAGGAACGGCAGCTTCGTCATCGAGATCATGTCGAACGTGCCCACGTCGAACACCTTGACGGTGCGGTCCCGGGAAACAGACGCACACAGCTCGCCGTCAGGCGATACAGCGATGCCGTCCACGGGCCCGACGTGCGCCTTGAAGTGCTTCGCGAACTCGATGCCTCTGCGGGAACGTGCGGGCGGGGGGGCGCGTTGCCTCCGTGCGGGTCCGCGGTGGCGGGCGCTGTTGTTGAAGGAGTGAGGGGGGGGGCTCTACATACCCTTGCTGCTTCTTCCAGAACTTGATGTGGCCGTCGATGGAGCCCGTGATGATGAAGCCCTGGTTCTGCACCACCGCGACGTGCGTCATCGTGTCCCGGTGCATGTAGGACTTTTCGTACATGGCTGCAAGCGTCAGGAAGCAATGGGTCAGACAGGGGGGGTGGGGGGAAGCCGGAGGCGCTGGACGACCGCGTTGGACGGTTTATGGATGGAACACGTCGGGAGCGGCAGGTTGGCGCGTTTGGAGCCGCGGGGGCGTGGCGGCAGCGGAGGGAGGGGCTGGCGCAGTGGACCGCACCAGCGCTGGGGAGTGCGTCGAGATACTGCTGCTCGAAGGGGAGGATGCGACGCTTCTTGGGTCTCGGAAGCTCCGGGCCAGCCTCCACATCGTCCAGGTCTGCACGCGCGCCGCAACGGGGGGAGCTGGGTGCTTGCGGTGCAGTGATGGCGGGCCACAAGAAGAGCGCGTGCCCGCGAGGCCGCGTGGACCACGCCGCCGCCCCGCAGGATGCTTCGGGCGGCGTGCGGCGCCGGGAGAGCGCGCGCGGCGGGCGCGGCAGGAACTGCGCCGCATTGGCGTCGATGCACCGACACACCGATGCGAAGTGCTGCGGCGCTACGCACCGTCTGGTCGCGGCGGCCCCTCCTCGGCGTCGTTCACTGCGCCTTCATCGTCCGGAGGAGGACGCGGCGGGCCCTCCTCCATGGCACAGATCGACGAACCGCGCCTGCTTGCTGCGACTGTGCCGTGCGCGCCAGAGCGGCTGTGCTGGTTCTTTCTGCCCGCACTGCTGACGCGAAGGCCCGCGCGGTGTCCTCGATTGCACCGCCGCAGCACGGCGCCGCACCATTCACTTGAGCGGCTGGGAGGGGTCCCCGGGCGCGTCTGTCGCGCGCAACCTCGGGCCCCGCGCAGCCCATCACCGCGCGACCGCGCCTGCGAATCGTACGACCAGGAGGCAGGCACGTGCACGCACTTCCGTTGTGCGTCTGGCTGAGGGGCGTGCCACGCACCGATGCTCGCTTTCGACGTGAAAGGGTTCAGCAACGAGTGATTTTCGCGCACGTCGCGGCTGCACGGGCCTCAGGCCTGCTGCGCGGGACAGCCCCGTCACGCACACTAGACTCTCGCCGCAATGGTGCGATGCTCGGCCCTGTGCACCCCGCTCCCCGTCCGTGCGGCCGGCTGTGCACACGCCCAGCTCCCCCCGCGCGCAATTACGCTGCTCCAGGCGTTGCCGTGCATCCACCACGCGCGCCCACAAGCCAAAGCAGCCCCGCTCACCTCCCTCCGCCGCGATGATCCCCGGTGGCCGCCACAGCGCGGCGCTGCTCCTCCCTGCACCACGGCCCTGCCGCCCGGCTCGCCCCACCCCCGCGGCGCCCCCCCCCTCGCCTCCGCAGTCCAAGTTCATCGCGATGATCCTCGTCTCGGGCGCGCAGACCCTCGCCCGCGCGTTCATCCAGGCCTACGGCCAGGCCCTGCACAACGCGCGGCGGTCCGGAATGAACGCCGAGAACGTGAAGCGCGCCGCGGTGCGCAGCAAGATGACGCTCGAGGAGGCGCGGCAGATCCTGGAGATCGACGCGGGCGCCACGGCGGAGCAGGTCGAGGAGCGGTTCCGGCACTTATACCGGGTGAACAAGGAGTCGGGCACGTTCTACCTGCTGAGTAAGGTGTACAGGGCGAAGGAGCGGGTGGACCAGGAGGAGGGGCGGGAAACGGTCGACCCGCGCGCGGAGGAGGCGCAGGCGGGGGAGGGGGAGGCGGGGGGGGGTGAAGAGGGGGGGGCGCGGGCGCGAAAAGGCGACGGCGAGGGCGGCGGGTAGCGCGGCAGTGATCCTTCTAACACCGCGTGGTCTCGCTGGCGGCGCATGCTCGGAAGGGCCGCGCGCACGGGCGCTGCCCGCAACAGACCCCCTCGTTCCAGTGTGTGAGGTGACCCAGCCAAGCTGACAGACCACGGCATCGAAGACGCACCGCGACGCACGTGGCGGGCGCCTCCCGCCGGCTCGAGCCCTGGGGCCGTCATCATCCAGCGCGGGACGAGGCGCACTTCTACACGCGCAGATGTGCACACACACGCTCGCAGTGTTACACCGACACGGCTGCACTGTTTGCGAGGTGCGACTCCATGAGTGCGACATCCAGCAGGGCACGGTGCCGACGCCGACTCCAAGGCCATCGCGGCGTCAACACGCACCGTCGGCGTGTGAGCTAAGTGCAACGACTGACTTGCAGCCTGTTGTGGCCTCACGACGTCGCCGCTGAGGGCTGTACGAGGCGGGCGCCGGCAGTGACCCATCGTATCGTCCTCCCGAGAGTCCACATTCGTACGTGCGCTCACACTGATTGCTCAACGTAACTGAGATGTCAGGGACCGCATCTGCTCCTCCGGCAGCATCTGCAGCTGCGAGTCCGTGGCGTGCAGCTCCTGCAGCCTCCCGCAGCTCGACGCCGGTAGCCAGCCCGCAGCCAATCGTCCGCAGCCAAATACACTCAGCACCTCCAGCGACCCCATCCCCTCCGGTAGCCTCTTCAGTGAGGACGTCCACGCAAACAGCTTCTTCACGCTCCCGCCGCTCGACGCCGGCAGCCACCCCTCCCCCGCCAGCTCCATGCACCAGCTCACGTAGAGCACCTCCAGCGACCCCATCCCCTCCGGCAGCCTCGCCAGCGAGGAGTCATCAGCAACCAGCTTCTTCACGCTCCCGCTGCTCGACGCCGGCAGCCACCCCTCCTCCGCCAGCTGCGAGCACCGTGTCACGTCGAGCTCCTCCAGCGACCCCATCCCCTCCGGTAGCCTCTTCAGTGAGGACGTCCACGCAAACAGCTTCTTCACGCTCCCGCCGCTCGACGCCGGCAGCCACCCCTCCCCCGCCAGCTGCTTGCAGTACCTCACGCTGAGCTCCTCGAGCGACCCCATCCCCTCCGGTAGCCTCGCCAGCGAGGAGTCATCAGCAACCAGCTTCTTCACGCTCCCGCCGCTCGACGCCGGCAGCCACCCCTCCTCCGCCAGCTCCATGCACCAGCTCACGTCGAGCTCCTCCAGCGACCCCATCCCCTCCGGCAGCCTCGCCAGCGAGGTGTAAGCAGCGTTCAGCTTCTTCACGCTCCCGCTGCTCGACGCCGGCAGCCACCCCTCCTCCGCTAACTCCATGCACCGTGTCACGTCGAGCTCCTCCAGCGACCCCATCCCCTCCGGTAGCCTCTTCAGTGAGGACGTCCACGCAAACAGCTTCTTCACGCTCCCGCCGCCGACGCCGGCAGCCACCCCTCCTCCGCCAGCTGCCAGCACCGTGTCACGCTGAGCTCCTCCAGCGACCTCATCCCCTCCGGCACCCTTGCCAGCGACGAGCACCCAGCAAGCAGCTTCTTCACGCTCCCGCCGCTCGACAACGGCAGCCACCCCTCCCCCTCCAGGTGCGTGCACGCCCCCACGTTCAGCACCTCCAGCGACGCCATCCCCTCCGGCAGCCTCGCCAGACCTTGCCCGATCACCGCCAGCTCCTTCAACCGCGCCGCGACGCTTGCAGGCAGCCAGTCCCCCCCCCACTCCTCAGCGATGTCGAAATCATACCCCGACGCCCTGACGACCTCCAGCCCCGTCATCTCCTCCGTGATCACCAGCTGGTGCGCGTTCGCCACAGGCCCCTCTCCCAGGTCCGACCCCCTGGCATCCAGCCCCACAATCGCTGCCACACTGTCGGGGTTCGCACCCGCCCGCCGGTATACCACCCACCGCGCGTCGTCGCTCGTCCGCCCCACCAGCGATCTCGCCCCCGCGTACACGCGCCCCTCCACCTTCCCCGCCACCGCCCTGCCCACCTCCCTTGTGCGTGCGGTCCACCGAGCCCCCCCGCAGCTCTCCAGCACGCACGCCATCGCGCTCGACGACGCAGCGGCGAACTTGATGCGCGACTTCCCGGGCAGCCGGCGGATGACCTCCGCCAGCGCGCCACCGTGCTGCCCGAACGACAGGTCCATCAGGGCGAATGTGGGCGCATCCTCGTCACCAGCGCGTGGGCGCTGCGAGGGCCGCGGCCCGCACACGCAGCGGCCGCTTCGCAGCTCCATCGACTGCAGAGATCGTGTCGGCGATGTAGCGCCGCCGTCGGAGCGCCGTGGACGGGTCCTGCGGGTGCCAATGAGAGAGATTCCAGGAGGTGAGGTAGCGGGAGCTGTGAGAGCCGTCCGGAGCGCGCATGCAGCCGGGCTCTGCATGACACCTAGTGCCTGTCATGTGAGATCGTGACAACCGAGCAAGGGTCTCCCGCAACGCAGCCTCACGGCCGAGCTCCCTCCAGCGCCAGAGACGCACGCCGCATGCACCGTGTTGGGCACTCCATGCGACTCGCACGGCAGCCCGCGAGACAGCATACACCTCCACCACGGCCGTGCGATCCGCACCAACCACCGCCAGCGCGTTCCGCGACCACCGCCCCGCGTCTCACCTGCTACAAGCACTTGCACGGCCTGCTGTCGTCACGCCGTGGCCGATGTGCGGCCGATCGCGAGCCAGTCACACTGACCATGTGCGAGGCGGGCGCGGTCGCATGCTGCCCGCTCGGGTCAGTGAGACCCAAACACCCGCAGGGGGGGTTGTTTGCCGATGCGTCCAATTGGCGCGCGGGGCGAGGTCCGCGAGTGGCGACGGGCGTCTCACAGCTCGGCACGTTCTCCGCTGTGTGGCCAGTCGCGAACACGCGTCAGGTGTTGAATTATATAATCATCATCATCATCAGGGGGGGGGGGTGACGGCACGTGGCTCGACCGTCGACCCCCAGGCCTCAAAACCGCAGCCGGCCGCGCCAGAGAGTCAGCCAGCACGGCGGCACCGTTGTCGCCCTCGCGTGCAAGAGCCAGCCTCGCTCGCCAGCGTCCCGCGAGCCACAGGCTGCCACCGCGCCTACGGCCGGCGATCCCGGTCCTCCCTGCCGTTGTCGCTCGCGCGCGCCGCCTTCCACAGCGCGCGCGCGGCCTCCTCGACCAGCAGCGCGCTCCCGGCCCCGACCATCACGTCCGCCGCCTTTGCGTTCCACGACTCTTCCTGCTTCTTCTTCCCCACGCCCGCGCCGGGCAGCAGAACGTCCCCCCCCATCTCGGGGTTCTGCACACGAGGCGCGCATGCGACGTCCAGGAGTCACGCGCGCGCGTTGAGTGAAGGTTGCGTTTGCAGGGTCGCTGCGTGCGCGGCTCACCTCCATGTTGGCCCACTCGCCGCTCGCGTACACCTCGCGGTCCATGCTCGCGTGCCGCGAGCTGATCACCGCGCCGTCCGCCGCGCCCTTGGCCTCCCCGGCCTTGCCCTTGCCCTTGCCCGCGCGCCGCCGCTCACGGTCCGCGGCCTGCCGCGCCGCGATCGTGTTCGCGATCGGCCCGACCACCAGCGGCGCCAGCTTCTTCCACTCCGTCGGCGACAGCACCACGCGCGCGCTCGACGGGATCCTCGCGTACCCCGGGTCGAGGATGTCAAAGGCCTCGACGAGCAGCTGCTGCAACAGCAGCGCGCGCGTCCAGCGTGCGACGGGGACCGGGCCCTCGCGGCGCCACAGCGGGCCCTCGGCGAGCTCGCGGATGTCGCGGATGAGCGGGTCGACGAACATCTTCATTTCGGAGCCCTCGGTGGTGGCCTGGCGGTAGAAGTCGGTGAACGCGATGGTGTAGATGCGGTCCTGGCCGTTCTCGGAGCCGAGCATGAGCGAGCCGATCGCGCGGAAGGCGCCGCGGGCCGTGCGCAGCGGCACGCCGCCGCCGTTGTGGTCGATGCTGCGGTCGACCTCCCGGCTCGGCCTGGAGGGGCGAAGGGGAGCGACGCGGGGGAAGGTCGGACGCGGCGCAGGCGAGGGCGGGTGTGGCGCGCATTGGTGGGCCGGCGCCGCGTCTGGTGCGCGGTGGCGGTTGCGTCGCGTGCGCACCTCCACCGGAGCCCGGGGTGCTCGCGCTTGCCGCCGCCGCGGCCCTTGCTGTCGAGGTACTGCGCGAGCGTCGCGGGGGCGGCCGAGAACACGAAGAGGAAGGCCTCGCGCATGATCGAGAGCGAGTTGGAGCCCCGCATGGGATCGAGGAGGGAGCGTTCGCGGGGGCCTTCGCGACGCAGGGCCTCCATGTAGCCCAGGAACTGGCAGAAGGTGTACGTCGTGAACATCAGCTCGGTCTCGTCGATCTTGCCCTGCCTGTCGCGCCACTCCCCGGGCAGCGTGAGCAGGTGCCACAACCGATGCTCGAGCTCGCACGCAGCCTCGAGGAGCGGCCCGCGGTACATCGCAACGGTCTTGATGGCCTCCTGCGGTACGTACGCGGCAATGGGGGGTGTATTGGGACGATTGCCGCGTGCGCTGGGCGCGCTCGGCCCCACGGAAGCGGCGTGCTAGGGCCGGTCGCGGGACGGGCGGGCGCGGGGCTCGCCTCGTCGCGCCAGAGGGCCGCCTTGTCTTGCTCGAGCTGGAACTGCAGCCGGGAGTTCTCGCGCGCCTGCCGGAAGTTCCCCGCGACCTGCAACGCGGCGAAACGGAGACGCTCTGTTGCAGCAAGCCAACGGCCGCAGCGGCGCGTTCCGCGCGAAACCGAGGGAGGTACTCCTCCTCTGGGGTCACACAAGAGAGCATGTGCGCGTCAGAGGCTCCAGATCCGCGTCGCGGCCGCGTGGGAGGCGGAATTCCGCGCGGAGAGCACCGGAGCAGCGCACCTGAAGCCCGATGGCCGACGCGCCCACGAGGGCCGAGATGATGGTACCGAGCTGCGGCGTCAGGAAGGAGAAGTCCACGACCGCCAGCATACCGACGGCCTCGACCTGCTCGTACGCCCGCCGCGCCACGCGCCGCGCTCCCTGCGCGGGCTCCAGCGTGTAAGGCTTCGCCCGCCGGCACATCCGCGGCGCGGCTGGCGCGGAGCAACGCGTAGCGTTGCCGCTACAGCACCGCACGGCAGCGCCCACCATCGTCCTGAGCTCCTCAGCCGCAGGCAAGCTGTCCCCGGCGCCCCCAACCACTGCTGTGCCCCGAGGGCCGCGCTGCGAGGAGGTGACGCTGGATGGCGGGACGCGGCCTGCTCTGCACACGCACTGCCGCCTGAGGCCCTCGGAGGCGCGTCCTGTGGCCGAGGGGCGCGCCCTATCGGCCATAATCGCCGCTGGCGCTGCACGCCGCTGCGCCCACGCCCCCTCCTGCGGTAGAACCCCGCGCGGGGACGCTGCGGCCCCACCGCGCACCCGCGGCGACCTCCGCATCTAGTCACGGAGTGCGAGAATGGGAGAGACGAGTGCGGTGCGTGCCGCCGCTGGTCCGGAGATGCTATCTGATCACACGGCTAGCTGCGGGGGCGCGGTCGCGCCGCAGGCGGCGTGGGCGTCGCTCTAGTTCGTGAACGAGATGGTTTTGCCCGCCATGCTCGCCTCGCGGTACAGCTGCGTCTTCACCATTGACGTCGCGTCCACCGAACGGTCCACGTTGAGCGTCGCCAGCGACGGGATCTGCGCCGCGGTACACCGCACGCGCCGGAACAGGTCAGCACGCACAGCGAGGGCTTCGCGGCGCACGGGTGCCTGCCATGGAGCGACGCGGGGCTGGTGGGCGCGCGTGCGTGGGTGATGTCGCGTTGAGGCCGGTTGGGGCGGGACGAACCTGGACGAGCGCGCTGTAGCCTTTCCGGCTCACTTTGGAATCCCGCAGCCCGACGAGCGTGAGGGTTTGCAGCCGGGGCAGGCCTTTTGCGAAGTTGCGCAGAGTGACGTTGTTGACGTCCGGCATGTTGACCGACACCGCGAGGTCGCGCAGCTCGGTCAGCTTCGTGAGCGAGCGGAGCGCCAGCGCGGACTTGCACGTCGGGCTGTTGACGACGGATCCCAGGTGCGCGTACCGCAGCGACGTGAGCGACTGGATCGGAGTCAGACACTCGAAACACTGCGCAGCGCGGACGAAAACGCACACCTGTGAACGCATCCGCCTCTCGCACGAGCGTGCCGGCCCACCGCGCGCGCACGGGCCGCAACTGCGCGGCAGGTAGCTCCGGCAGCCTGCGTGCAGAGGCGAGCGGCAGGGCGTCGGGACGGGCGCACCTCCTGCAGGTCCCACGGCTGCTCGCTCTCCATGCCCTGCGCGGGGTTCCACGAGATCCACAGCTCCTGCAGGTTCGGCAGGGCGCGCAGCGTCCCCAGCGCGTGCATGGCGACCATCGACAGGCGCCCGTTGTGCTGCTCCGCGACGTCCGACTCCTCCAGCCGGATCGACGTGAGCCGCGACAGCCGGTGGAGCCGCGTCACCGCCTCGTCCAGGGCCATCCAGCAACACGACAGCCGCGCCAGGTTTGGCAGGTCGAGGTCCGGCAGCGTCGGGAGGTTGTCGTCGAGGTCGAACTCCATCTCGTGGTTGGCCTCGTGCTCGTTCTCGAGCCGCCCCTCCAGCGACAGCGACGTCAGGGCTGCGCAGCAGGCCGGCGGCGGCGCGCAGCGACGTCAAGCTGCGCGGGGGCGGGGTGCGGTCGGACGGGGCCGCAGCGGCGCAGCGACGCGGCGGCTAGATGCACGAAGCAGCAGGGGGCTAAGCTGCGCACCTGTGAGCCGCGTAGCGATGTGTTCGAGCATGCCGTGGTCGAGGCTGCAGGGCGACAGCACGAGGCTGCGGAGGGCTGGCAGCGCGTCGAACATGTCGGCGTCGAAGTCCTGCGAGTACGGCACGTCGAGCAGCCGCAGCGTCGCGACGGTCGGGAGGTCCGGTAGAAACGACAAGGTGGAGGTGTCATACTCCCAGTCCTCCTGCTGGTCCGTCACCGCAGTGTCGGGCCCGGCGATCGTGAGCGTCTCCAGGCGCGTGAGGATCGTCAGCTGCTGGATCCCGGCGTCCGTGAACGACACCCCGTGCAGGTGCAGTTGCCGCAGCGAGAGGAGGACTTGTGGGTGGTAGGCGGCGCCGGGGGGGCCGCCGGGGGCCGGCATGCCGAGCGCGGGCGACGTGGCGCACACCGAGAGGGTCTGCGGGGCGTGGGGGGTCGGCGGGGGCGATGGGACGCGCCGGCGCGGCGTCGGAGGCTGGCGTGGCGGCAGCGGGAGTAGCGGTGCTGCCGACCTGCGTGGTGGCGAGGAACTGGTCGAGGCTGTACTTGAAGTCGCTCTTGATCGTGAGGGCCTCGAGGAGGGGGAACTTGATCACGTCCAGCAGGTTGGTCAGCTCAACTGCGGGCAAACAAACATCACGTGGGTCTTCGTTTGTGTCGTTGCGGCTAGGAGGGGCCCGAGGGCGCGTCGCGGCACCGGGGGGTCCTAGGCGGCGTCTGACGCACCGCTGCGGTACTCGAACACGCCGGGCGAGTCGTCCACGCTCACTTCGGGCTCCCACGTCGCCGCCCTGACGACGTCCTGCGCCAGCGCCCGCCACTTGGTGCAGACCAGGCGCACGCCGTTCAGGTCTCGCCGCTTCTGCAATGAACGCGCCGTTCCACGGCGGGAAGCAAGTCTTCGGTCGGGCGGGATACGCGGCAATTCGGCCGCGAGCGCGGGGGTCGCGCCGGGAGCAGCTCGCTGAGCCGCGAAACGGAGTGTGCCGTCCGCGGCATGTCGGAACGCGGCCGCCTCGGATGTACCGAGATCGATAGGGGCTCAGGTGCGCCGGTGATACCGCGCGAGATCGCCCGCGAGGGCCGCGGTGAGCGCTGCTGGTCTAGGACCACTTGCCTTCCACTCGCGCTCCCACGGTGCCGGCTCGTCCTCCCTGACGCAGCTGATGACGTGCCTGCATGGTGCGTCGATCGAGCCGCGAAAAATTCAGCGCTCGCGCAGGCCAACGGCGCGGAGAGCACGAGGCGAACCTCTGCTGGGGGGGGGCGGCCGCGCGCAGCTCGGAGCGCCAACGCGCGCGAAACACCGTGCGAAGCGAGATCTGTCTTCTCCGCGACGGCGCCGCCCCACTGCGGGAAAGATCCCGGTGTCGGGGGCGCGGTGCACGCTGTTGATGCTCGGCGAACGAGCCAGGTGGTTGACGTGCCTCAGTATCTCCGGCGGCAGGTCGCAGACAGTGACGGTCGGCCCAGCCTGCTCCACGACGTCCACGCTATCCATCCCGGACATCTCTGACCCCTCTTACCCCACAACGAGCCCGTCGGGCACCTTGCCCTGCAAGCCCCGCGCCCCTCAGCGCGTGCGCGCGATGGTCGCTCGCTGCGAGTCGCTCACACTCGTCTTCTAAGCAACGAGAAGGGACGCGGGTGGCGCTTTCCGCCGCTCTGCGGCTCGCGGAGCCAGCGGAGGCGCGATGCTGCAGGCGGGAATCCTCAGGCGCCGTGGGGGGCGTGTCCGAGGATACGAGACGACGACGGCTCCTCCGATCCCGCACTTGCGCGCCCGCCTCCCTCCTCGCGGCCAAGCGCCCCACGCAGACCTCGCAGCGCGGCCCCTGACACTGTCATGAGGTGCCAATTCCCCCCCCTGAGCGGCACGGCGGACCGGGACACTTCGGGCGGCGTTCTGGCCGCGCGATGCCGACTGGTTGGCCTGGACAGCGCGTTCCCGTGGCAACGCGCATCAGCCTGGTCTGTCCGGGCGTCGGAGCACAGTGTGGTTCCTGCACACGGGCAGGGTGAGGCCGGCGTTGGCGTGGGCCGACCAGGACACGGAGCGCGCTTCCACTATGCCGGACAGCCGTCTCCCCCCTGACGTGGAGGCAGAGGGCCCGCCGGCCGAGCCATCTCGCGCCGATCCGCCAGCGCCTGCACAGACCCACACGCCCTCTCGTAGGGAACGAAGGCGGGCGCTGCGCGCAGCGCGGCGCGCACGCCGCGAGTCGCTCCGCCCGATCCCCGACGTGGAGAAGGGCGCCCTTCCCCCCGCCATCCCGGACGACGAATGGCCGAAGGTGCGCCCGCGCCTGCCCGCCACGATGTCCTCGGGATCTTCGCCTGCCGCGCAAATATACGCACTTTCTCGCGCGAATACGGGCGCGAACGTGCTGTTCCTACCGGTATCCGCCAGCTCCGTCGCGCGCGGCTCAGCCATTCGCCGGGGAGCGGCCGCAGCCACTCATCCAACACATAACGTATGGCCTCGCCTGAGGGTCCCCGTTCGTCGCGCTGCGGTGCGCATTACGAACGAAGGAATCGCGTTGCGCCGTGCAGAACGCCGAGAAGCCGCCTCTGGCGCTCGTTGTCAACCTGGACGGGTCCGCGTACGTCGCCGTCGACCCCGAACGTGAGAAGGAGCTCCACGCCGTGCAGGATGTCTCCGCAGGTGAGCAGCGCCGCACGGCGTGTCAGAGCGTGATATCACGCCGTCATGCACCGGCTCGCTCGATCTTGCATCATAAACAACGAGAGATCGGTCCCATTCGCTTGCGCGTCACCATCTCGACCGCCACGTCGCCTCTCCGCTACACTGAGCACGTAGCTGCTCGCACCGCGTTGCGAGCGGCCGCCCCTGACGTCGCGGATCGTCCGTGCGTCGCTCTCGCAGAGGATCTCGAGCGGCAGCAGCTGGAGGACCTCGCCGAGCGGCTGCGCACGTCGAGCGTGTGTTGCCTGGAGCCGCGCACGGGCACCCTGGTGTGCATCGGACTGTGCGCGTCCCTCGTGGGGATCGGAATCGCGGTGCTCTACCTGTTCGTCGGCGGCACGCCCCGCCGCTGCAGAGGGCGCGCGTGCGCGCAAGCCACTGCTAGCGGCGGGGCCCGGCGGCTCCTGATGGGCGGCGACGGCGACGGAGGCGCGGCGGAGGCGCTGTTCGCGGCGGGAGACGGCGACCACGTTGCTACTCTGCGGCGGGCGATGCTCGGGGACGGGGCCGAGGGCGTCCTGTAGGGCACCGGGCCGACTTGCACAACACCCCCTCTGCTCCTGCTAGCTCAGCAGCTTGCATGACTGCGGCCGCCGGCGACGGCGCGCTTAGGCGCTGCCGCGCGGGCGACCTGCGTGATGACCATTTCTTGCGACGCCCGCGATTGCGGGGCGTCCGGCTGGCGCGCTGCGCATCATCATCCAATGTGACGTGTTCTCCGCCGCCCCGTTGCTCGCTGGCTGCGGACCGTGCAGTGAGAGGCGCGCGCATTGCCGTCCAGTCGATGCCGCACACGAAGCACGACCAGAAGCGCCTCGGATGCACTCCGTCGGTGTGTCAGACTGAGCGAAACTGCACGTGGGGCGATCAGTGCCCCTCCACGCGCGCCCGGGGCCGCACTTGGCCACCGTGGCATCGCGGGCGCAACTACACGCGCGGGCGCCGGGGCCCCAGCGGTGCGGTCCTATCAACAGTTGGTTGGAGAGTGGAGTCCTCCGACGCACCAGGCGGGGTCGGTCCGCACGCACGCTTGCCTTGTGCGCGGGGGGTTGCAGGCGACGAGTGGTGTACTGTGAGGCGGCTGGAGGGGGATGCCGGAGGGCGGCGCGAATGGCGATGGGGGGGACGGAGGGAGGAGGTTGCGCGGAGTGGAGGGACCGGGCGGGCAGCGAGCGGAGAGCGCGCTTCCACCGGTCATTCCCGACTGGAACTGGCCGCAGGTGCGTCGTTTGTCACGCTTAGAGGCCCGGAACAAGCGCACTCTGGAGCAGCAGAGTGCAATGCGTGATGCCGCGTGCGGATGGGGCCATGCAGTTCCGGGAGATCCTCCTGCATTTTTGGGATGGATAGTATCAACTCGATGCTCAGACTCAACGACAAAACCGTCGTCTCTACCCGGCAACCCAAGAAGCCCCTATGACTACAACATCCAGCATGTCCCGCTCACGACCGCACGCGCGCCCGAACAAGCCCCGTCCCGCCCGCTCGCCCTCCAGGACGCCGAGAAGCACGCAGTGGCGCTCGTCGTCAACCTGGACGGGTCCGCGTGCGTCGCCATCGACGTCGAGCGTGAAAAGGAGCTCGACGTGGTCGACACCCTCCCCCCCGCGCCGCCCGGGGAGCCGCAGCGACGCCGCGGGACCGTTCGCCTCTGGAACCGCGACGTCAGCATCCCGATGCTCGTCTGCATGGGCGTCTCCGCGGTCCTCATGGGCATCGGCGTCGGGTGCCTGTACCTCTTCTTCGGGACCTCCCGCGAACGAACGTGCCGCCCGCCCTGGTGCTATCCGCAGCCCGACGAGACGCCTTCCGTCCGCCGCGCCCTCGGCGCGCTCGCGGACGCAGCCGCCCCCGAGGCGCCACCGCCGCACCTGCACCGCCGCCTCTCCCTGCGCCGAGCTCGACTCGACGGCTGACGCGGACCACGGGGCGGTGATCGCGAGCAGCCACAATCGCTCCACATATCCCTGCATGCGTCGATCTCGTGTCAAAATGTCGTCCATGGTAACTATGTGAGCTGAGCCGTCGCCGCGCCCATCGGCGCCGCTTCCATGCCCGCAACTCAGCCTCCCGCCCCGTTTCCGTACCGGCGCGAGCGTCGCGGGCGCGAGCGGCGCGCGGGCCCGGTGCCAGCTGCGGATGCAGTGACCACGCGCTGAGCGGCCCGTCGCGCCCGGCAGGTGCGCGGCGCGACGGTCGGTCGCGGGCCGGACTGCCGGAGAGCGCTCGACCGGCTCCTCGGCGCCCCGCGTGCGGCCTGGGGCGGCGCGTCTCGAAAAGTCAGCGGGAGATCCCTAGCGGGGGTCTTGCAGTCCTGAGTGGGCCTGCAGGACGCGTGCGGGCCATGGGGAGCGCACCGCGGGCCCACCACTCAATGGTATGACCGCCTGGAGGCTGTGTGCGCACGTAGGTACCGTGCTGTAGATCGCGGCGGGGGACCAACTGTAACCGTGTCACGTCGTGCGCCCGCGGGCGCTGCGGGGCGTTTTCTGCGGCGCTGCTTGCCTGCCAGGGCTGCAGAGGGGTGTGAACGTGTGCGAGGATGCCGCCGGTGTCGCCAATGCGCGATGGCGGCGGCGGCGGCGGCGGCAACTCCCGCGCACAGACCCTGAGCCGCCGTGAGCGGCGGCGGATGAAGCGCCGGCCCGCGGTGTCGGCGACCGAGAAGCAGGATGAAGTAGAGGAGCTACCAGCGCTCAAGTTCGACGACGAATGGCAGGAGGTGCGCGCAACGAGCCCTGCCCTTTCGCAGCGCCCTCACCTGAGCTCTAAAACACCGTTCCCGGGCGCCTGAGGGAGCGCTACTCAATGCTCAGACCACTGTCAGTTTGCCTCGACTGCTCTCCCGCTACCGCGACCGGCGCTCCGGCCAGACACGGTCCGGGGCCGCGCGCTGAGACCAGCCATCACGTGAGTGGCCACGCGCGTGCGCAGGGCGCGAAGAAGCAGCCGCTGATACTGGTGGTTAACCTCGACGGGTCCATCAACATCGCCGTCGACACAGTGCGCGAGAAGGAGCTGCACGCCGTCGAGGAACCCCCAGGTGTGCCGCAGGGCAGCAGACGCGCGCCGCGACGCCGCACGCCACCCGTGCACGTCACAACACGCCGCGTCCTTCGCACTCTGCACTGGATCGTGGCTCCGCGAGTCGCACCGGCTGATATAGTCCCGCAGCGGGTCGTCGCGTAGCTTCAGGCCCCAACCGCCAACCTGCTGCTGCTCCCGCCCCCGCAGAGCGAAATCCCGCCCCGAAATCCCGCCCCCGCAGAGCGAAATCCCACTCCGGAAGAGCTAGCGCAGGAGGGCCGCCTGTGGTACGTCGTCCACTGCGGCCGGATGCGCATCCGGCCTTTCCAGCTGGCGCTGGTGATGGTTCTGCTCGCGCTGCTGGGTCTGACCAGCAGCATGATGTACGTGTTCCTCGGGTCGACCGGCGCCGGGAGCGGGCCGAGCGCGACGGCCGTGAAGCAGTGCAGCCGGAACCACAACTGCGAATCGCTCTCGACTGGTGCGGTGGACTTGGCTGGAGACGGGCGGCGGCTGCGCGGCGAAGGCGGTGTGCGGGGGCCGCTGCGTCGTGCGATGCTGGGTGCGGACGCCGCGCGCAGGTGACTGCGCACTGCCTGGCAGGGGCGACACCGACTGAGACCTGCGTGCATGTTGAGTGTGCTCGGGCACGCTCCGCTGCGCGTAGACACGACGTACTACATGTGGCTAAAAACGAGACTGCATCGGTTCGCCGGTTCGAGCACCGACGTGGGTAGCGAGCCGCCGCAACTGTGACTACTCCGGTTGACGCCAGCACGCTCGGTCGACGCGCGAACAGACACCACCTGCACTTCAAGCATCCCCGCGGTCGGGGGATGCCCGTAGGTCAGCGCACAATCAGCCCCGGCGCCGCGATAGCGTTGCGCTCGCGTCGCGCCGCGCAGCCGATGCCCGGGGTGACTGAGGGGCCGTGCACGGTGAAACGTCATGGTGTTCAGTGCGGCGCGTTTCTGACACCGTGACACCGCTGCCCGGACACCTTCCTGGCAAGGGATCGACTTGCACGCGTCCGACATGGCTCGCGGTACCGTGAAATACCCGCCCAACCCCCCACTCAAAATACTCCCCCGTTCAGACCTCTGCAGCAGGATCACCACGCTGTCCATCCACCCCGTCCGATGACACATCGCGTCCGACACGAATAGCGCCCCCCGCCCTCACTAGCTGTGCGTCGGGACCACGTACCGGTCCCAGCTGTTGGCGTCGAGGCCGCGCTTGTTCCACGGCGCCTCCCGCGGCGTCGCGTTGCCCTCCGCGTCCGTCGCCCGGCACAACACCTCGACCTCCTCGCGCCCCGCGAGCGCCCGCGCCGGCACCTGCACCTCCCACCGCCGCCACCCACGCGCGCCCGTGTCGGCCCCCAGCCGCACCGCGTGCCACGCCGCGCCGCCGTCCCACGACACCTCCACGGTCCGCACTGGCCCCGCGGCCCGCCCGTGCGCGATCCCACGCAGCGTCACCGCCCCGTCCGCCCCGACCTCCGCCGCCAGGATCTGCGCCTGCACCGGCAACACATCGGCCATCCCCACCAGCGCCCCCTCGCGGTCGTACTTCAAATACGCGCGGGACTCGTCCGCGAGCGCCACGTCGACCGCGAGCGACTCCGACAGCGCCCCGCTCTCCACGCCCGCTTGCAGGTCCGGCGGCACCGTCACTTTGGACCTATCGATGAGGACAATGCTGTCAGGGAACTTGACTTGATAGTGCCCGGACAGGCCCGGCATGACGACGCGCAGCGGGTAGCCGTGGTCGGGGTCGAGGTCCTTGCCGTTCATCGACCACGCGAGGAGCGAGTCCGGCGGGAGGCGGTCGAAGGCGATGGCGTTGGCAAAGGGCGTGCCGCTCGGGGCGCGGTCGTGCGCGGTGATGTACACGTGGTGCTCCGCGAGGTCCGACTCGTCGAGACCTTGCTCCTGCGACGTAGACACGGGGAATCCGAGCGTGGCAGACTGCCCTCGGAGTCGAACAACAACAACGAGCGCAGTGTGGATGACTAGTCAAGTTGAGCCGAGGTGCAGGTCTCAGGGTCCGTGGTCAGCGGCGTCAAGCAGGAGCAGTGCGGGTACCGCGGTATGTTCCAGCAACGACAAGTCAGACAGGCGTATGGACTCCCCCCCTTACCTTGGCAATGCGGAGCAGCAGGGGCTTGAGAGGCGTGCCCGTGTACGTCACGTTGCCCACCGCGGTCGTCCACGACAGCCCGTTGACGCCCGTCGACTTCACCTGGCTCCGGCGGTTCCCCGAGCACGCCTGGACCGTGGTCACCGACGCCTCCCCCATCGCCCGCAGGTCCGCGACCGAGTACGCCATCGCCTGCCCGAGCATGTTCAGATGCACCTTGTACTTCTCCTTGTCCAGCGCCGGCGTCGGGTAGTGGTTCCGCACGTACAGCAGCTCCGCCGGCGTCACGTCGTGCGCTGCCAGCTCCGCCGGGCTGGGGTCCGCGTTGAACGGGCCCTCCTGGAGCACGCGGACGCGCTTGTGCGCGCGCGAGGGCTCGTTCGCGTACGGGTCGCCGAACTGCTGCTGCGCCGCCGGATCGTACGTAAGAGATCCGATTCGGTACTCTTTCAAGATATGAAGCGCCTTCTCCTCGTGGAACTTCAGGGCCGCCCAGTCCGCGTCGATCGAGCCGCCCGCGACCTTGGCGAACACCCCCGCGCCGCCCGGGTGCTGCGGGACGGGCGAGGCGGGGCGGGGGCCGTCACGCGTGTGTGCGCGTGCGGGGGGGGTGGAGTGGATGGCGGTGGGTGGGTGCGACGCACCTGGTTGACCCAGTCCGTGACGTCGTAGACCTCGCCCTTGTACGTCACCCAGATGCCCTTCTCCGCGCAGTCGTGCGTCGCCACCTCCTCGGGGGAGTATTTCTTGTCGCCGGACATACCGAACAGAGACGCAAAACCCCCCCCCTCCTCGCCGCCCGTGGCCTGCCGGAACGACCACCCTGCGAGACCCACGCCCACGAGGCCCATGGCCACGAGGCCCCCAGGGAGCCCCCCGCCCCCGGCCGTGGTCGATGTCGTCGACGCCATGCCACGGCGCGGCCTCTCAGCGCGCGACGCTGCGCATCCGGGTGCGCGTGAGGGGTGGCGGGAGCTGCGGGCCAGCAGGGAGGGCGACCGCAGCGCCGTGAGGGCTGGCAGCCCGCGGCGGGCGGCGGTGGCGATGCCGCGGGGCCCACAAGCAGCCGCTAGAGCCGGCACGGCGACCGCTGCGAGGGCGGCGGCGGAGCGGCGCAGTGCCTCCTGTCGAGGTCCGTCCATTGCGATTGCCGGATCCTGCGAGGGAGCCGCGAGGCGGTGCAGGGGCCGCTGCTGCGGTCAGAGAGGGTGTGCTGCCGGCGCTGCTGGGCCGTTGCGAGCGGGTTCCTCGCAAACGACGCAGATATGTCGTGTATTATACCATGCGGCAGCAAGAGCGTGAGGGTGACGTCTGGGAGGTGCGGGCGCGCGTTACCTGGTGACACAAAACCAGGGGGCGCGGGAGGCGTTGCGTCACCCTGCGCGAACGCACGAACCTCAAGCAGCGGCCGCAGCTACACACGCAATCGCTTGCGCCCGCAAGTGTGTCTGGCGGCCACCACGCAGGAGCCGCAGCGACGGAGCACACACGCACGCGGCTGGGCGGGTCCGCGGCGCAGCAGCGGGCGTGAGAGGGCGGACGCTCCTCGCAGCCGAACACCCACGAGTGCCTGCGCGAGCGCCTCGCGAGCGCAACGAGCCCAGCCGCGCCCTGAGACGCCCCCCCCAAGCCCCCCGAGGATGTCTCAGTTCACAGACCTCCGAGAGCGCGCCGCGGCGTCGAGGAGGGCCAAGGGGCACCGCGCGCGGGTGTGCGGAGAACAATCCACCGTCAGCGGTCTGAACCAGGCGTTGTTGCCACGCGTCACCAGCGCAGCTGCGTGGGAGCGGACTGCTGGTGTCTCTCACGGAGGTCGCGCGCTCCGGAGCCGCTGTTGCGAGGAGAGCGTTGATAGGGGCGGCGCGGCGTCGCGACGATGGGTGTTATCATCGAGGACATCACCGACGAGCAGCCGGAGCAGCGCACGGACGAGGAGACGGCGGAACGCCCAGTGCCTCCGGAGTCCGGTGCGCCATCCGAGGCAGCCGAGCGCGCGTCTGCCGGCAACGGCGGCGCCGCCTCCGCTGCCGAGCCCTCTGATGCAGCCGCGAACGCGGAACAGGACGACAAAGCACGCGCGAGCCAGGAGGAGATCCCGGAAGAGGGCCCGCTGACCATCGCTCAGTGTCTGTTGCTCAAAGCGCGAGCGAACGACCTGTACAAGCAGAAGATGTTCCGGGACGCTATCGCCCTCTACACAAGTGCGCCCCCGCGCGGCCCCCGTCCTCTCCGCACAAACGACGCCCCTTCATCCTGCTCCTGCACCTCGCTTCCGCGCCCCGTGCCGCCATGCATTCTCGCTCATACTGCGCCACGTCCCACAGCTCAGCACGCCACACCGTTGCCGTGCTGGTTCAGGGGCGGCGGACGCGTGCCCGGAGGAGAATCGCGCCGAGAGGGCTGTGTTCCTGGCGAACCGCGCGGCGTGCCGCGTGTCCATGGAAGACTGGGACGGCGTCGTCCTCGACTGCACAGCCGCCCTGGAGGCCGACGAGACGTGCGCGCCCGCCCAGGCCCGCCCGCCCCTCTCCTGCAACCCCCCCGCGCACACACAGGACGACACAACCAGACGCCGTGGCCGCTGCACGCAGGTACACCAAGGCCCGGCTGCGGCGCGCACTGGCGTACGAGTCCATCGGGGAGCTGCACAAGGCGATGGAGGACTACCAGGGGGTCAAGAAGGACCACCCGCAGGACCACACTGCGCACGCGGCGCTGTTGCGCCTCGAACCGGTCGTCAAGAAGAAGGACGAGGAGCTCAAGGTGCGGCACGGCGCGAGGCAGTGGTCGTGTGCGCGTTGCAGTGTCTGAGCCGCCCGTGCTGCGGCCGCGTAGGGGCGCGAGTGAGGCTGTGTGCGCTGATGTGTGTGGGCCGGTGGCGGCGTGTGCTCGCAGAACGAGATGATGGGCAAGCTCAAGGACCTCGGGAACATGGTGCTGGGGAACTTCGGGCTCTCGACGGACAACTTCAAGCTCAACCAGACCGAGGGGGGGGGGTACAACATCCAGTTCGTGCAGAACCCGGGGGGCGACGAGGAGGCCGCCGCGCCGACGCAGAACCAGGAGCAGCCTAGCTGGGAGTAGCGCGCGCGGCACGCAGTCGTAACACCCCGCGTCACAGTTCGCTGTTCGGGGGCTCGAAGTCCCCGTACTTGCACACCTCGAGGTCCTCGACGCACACCTTCTTCACCACGTCCTCCCACTGCCACTCCCCCGCCACCACCTTCTCCGTCCCGTCCTTGACGGAGTCCGCGTGCTCCTCGACCATGTCCTGACACACCTCCGCCTCCACGGGGCCCCACCGGTCGTGCCGCCGCACCATCGGCAGACAGATCACCTCCGCGAGCTCGTCCACGCGCGCCCGAACGCCCTTGCCCGCCGCGATGCTAGATTGCGTGCGGAAGTGAAAGTGCATGTCTTCCAAGGAGGCCTTGCACGCCTCGCACCGCCGGCTCGACTGCGGACGCGGCGCACGGCGCGTTCGCGTGAGCGAACGCGGGCGGGGAAGCACGGTCTCGCGCGGAAGCGGCTGCGTGGCGGGTAGGTGTTGGGCGGCGGGGACCGCGGGGGACGTACCACGCGGCCGTAGGGCGTCTTGCTTTCGTTGTGCAGCGCGCGCGTGGCGCGGCTGTTGTACGTGCACGACTGCGCGATGTCCTCGCAGACAGTCTTCTTGAACTCGCGAATGACCTCGTTCGACAAATGCTTGCTCAGAAGCTGCCCAACGATGTCCCGCTTCCGCACGCGCATCAGCTGCCTGCAACCCTGCTCCATGAAGGGCGCCGTGTCGTCGCCGTACGCGTACTTGCCGTGCTCGCAGAACTCCTGCACCGCTTTTTCAAACTGCTCGTCGTACTGCAGCGCCGCGGGCGTGTCCGTCGTCGCGCTCTGCATCTCGCGCGTCCGCTTCAGCGACATTGAGACCCACGCCGCGGGGAACCGCTCGGTCAGGTAGTGGCACGCGTCGCAGTAGTGCTCCGCGGGGTAGTCGAAGCCGTGCCACTGGCCGCCGGTGCCGTCCTGGGAGGGCTCGAGCGAGGCGATGCGGCCGTTCAGGGACACGACGTCGACGTCGATCTGGACGCCGCCGGACCGGAACGCGTCGGCGTCGGCCGAGAAGTGCTGCGCGACGGCCTCAGTCTTGGACGCCGGGGCGAGGATGCGGCGCTGCTCGCCGATGCACGCGCCGAGCATGCCGTGGTAGAGGGCCTCGGGGAGCTCGCTCTGCGGCCGCGCGGGTGCGACAGGCGGGTCAGCGGCGCGGACGCGGCGTGCGGGCGGGCGGGGCGCGTGGGGGGGGAGTGCGTACCTCGCGCCACGTGGCGTCCTGCGGCCTGCCGACGTACTCCGTGCCGTGGTCGACCACCCGCTTGGTTTCCCGCGACGTCAGCCTGCGCGGCGGGGAACAAGGCTGTGTCATGGTGGAGGCAGCGCCGCGCCGGTCGCCGGGAGGCGAAAAGTAGGCATACTTCGTAGGATTCGAGAGCTTGGAAGTAGTGCTCCATGACGCCACGGGATCGCTGATATATCTCGTTGCAACAAGCGCCGCTACGCCCGCGCACCTGTAGTGAAACTCGACGCGGTCGTTCTCCTTCAGCTTCGGCTCGCAGTGCGGATCCAACACCCCCGTCGATATCACGTCCATGCCCTTCACCCGCAGCGTCCGCGCGCCGGGCGCCTTCGCCAGCGACCCGAGCGCGCACCCGGCATACAGAGCGAGCAGGAGCGTCGTCACCGCCGCGGCTCGCATCGCGCCCGACGTCGCACAGATCCCGCGCCGGGTACTCAGACACAGACTCTGCGATCGGCGTGCTCTGATGCACGTCGTGAGCTCCACACCGCGCCCAATAGCCCTCAGGTTCTAGAATTGCGCTGCGCAGGGCCCGTGCAACGACGCCGACGCTGGTGCGGTGCCCGACGATGTAGCCCGGACGAGTGTGGACGTGCGCGGACGCCCCTGCGCGCATGGCGGCGCGCGAGGCCGCGCTGCCGCGCGCGGGGAGTGCCGGAGTCAACCCTGTCGTACTTTGGGAGGGTCCCACACACTCTGGAATCACCGAAATCGTTTCCCGGGCTCCGGAGGGCGGCGGGGCAGTTCCAGCGGAGCGGGCAGGATGCACCGATCGGGCCCCTTGCGTGCGTTGCGCGCGCCGCGCGGTGTGTCGCGCGTGCTGCTGCTCGTGCTCGTCCTGGTCTTCTGCGTCCTGCTCGCCGGCCAGGGATGCGACGCTGCAACGGAGAAATCCAGGAAGAAGGCGAGTACGCCCCTGACAGAGCGTATCGAGCGCACCCGCGGCCACTCTGCCTGCGTCATCCCACCCATCCTATCATGCCTGCCCATTAACGGCTGCTTCGCGACGCGCGCGCCCTCTCACGTCGGTTCCTCGCATGATCAGGTCGCGAAGCACCGTGCTTCGCATCCGTTAGGGTGAACGTCGCGTCACTTGCGTGAGCCGGTGCTTGCCGTGCAGGGGAAGAAACGGTCCGCGGGCGGCAAGGCGAAGGGGAGCAAAAGCGGGCAAGAGCATGCGAAGAGGAGCGCCAAGAGGGCCGCTGAGGAGGCATTCAAGAAGGCGAAGGGCCGCACCGCGCGCGAAAAGATGGGTGCGAACCCCCCGCATTGACGCAGTCTCCGCACACCTGGCCGCCCCGCCCCGCTCGCAGCGGCGCCCGCGCCGAGCAGCCTCTTGGGCGCGCCCCTGCGTTCCGGCAGCGCCGCAGCTCACCAGCCTCGCCACGACAGCCCGCAAACCAAACCACCGCGGGTGGCGTGATGTCGAACCACGCCCGGGCGCTGCGCGCAGGCAACCTCAACTCGAACTTCGCGCAGGACGCGACGGACCGCATCACGAACGACCTGGGCGAGAAGTGGAGCAAGAAGCTCTCCGGCGGCGACATGTCTTTCGACGAGATGATGCACTTGCGGCGCGTCGTGGATCAGATGGGGCGGTACAACTCCGACCCGGAGTACCGCAAGCAGATCGACGACCGCATGGAGGACGACGAGGAGTTCGCGAAGGCGTACTGGGGTCCGTTGTACGACGACGTCAGGGGGGTGGGGGAGGGGCTGGGCGACGCGTTCACGGGCGCGATCAACGAGATGTACGAGGACGTGAACGAGGACATGGAGGAGACGAGGAGGCGGACGGAGGAGATGGTGAGGGAGGCGGAGCGCGAGGAGGCGCGGAAGAAGGCGGAGCGCGCCTTGGGGGGGGGTGAGGGGGAGCTGACGGAGGAGCAGCGGGCGGAGCTGGACGAGGTGCGGGCGGTGGAGGACGACGCGAAGCTGCAGGACGCGTACGAGCAGATGCGGAGGGAGGAGCGCGAGCGGACGGAGGGCGCGGCGGCACACAGCGCGGACGAGTTCGGGCACGACGAGTTCTGACGCGCGCGCCGACGTTGCGCGGATGCTCCGGCGCGTCGCAGGGCGCGTGCGTCCTCCGGCGGCGCGCGCGGTCTGGGGTGTGTGATCACACAAGATACCCGTGCAGGCGCGCACGGGTCCGTCGTGGCGCGTTCCGTGCGTCAGGAGCGCTCCTGTCGCAGCCGCCTGAGCCCTTTGCTGCGCTCGTCTAGCCACGCGCGGAACCGTTCCTCGTGGTCGAGTCCCGCGACGGTCATGATTGCCAGTACCGCCGTGAACTGACCTATCAGGCGCGCGCGGAGCACCTTCGTCGGCTTCGGGCCTGGCGACGCCCACTGGATGCCGATGACCTGCGGCGGAGGGGCCCCGGACAGGAAGGTCAGGGCCCGCAGCACTGAGCATGGGGCAATGGGACGTGCGGAGTTGGGCCGCGTACCGCCGCCATAGTGGCCGCCCACGTCCCGCCGACCGCGAGGAGAGTGTTCTGTCGCGCCCAGTCCAGGCAGCGCTGCATCTGGCTCTTCTCCGGTGCGTCCGGAGCCCGGTCACCAGCCGAGGTCATTGTGGGCCCAGGTGGCGAGTTCCGGCGGGGAGCCGGCCCGGTCTAGCGCCGCCTGCACGACGAGCAATCGTGCCACGAGGCGGTTTGCTGGAGAGGGCAAAAGACGGGGCAAAACGCCTGGCCGTGGAGACAATGCCTTGCGTGGCAGGGTTCACCGCGCAGGCGCGAAGTAGGGTGCGTTTCCGCATCCAACGCGCACGAATTCAGACTGTGGAAGCGTTACCTGTTCCTGAGGGCGTCCTGCTTGCCGGACTGTGCCACGCTTAGCCCGAGGCTATCACGTTCCCTTCCCAGCTGCCTTGACCCGTTAGTTTCCTCGATTCCGTGATTCAACTGCCTGAGCGCGCTCGGCGAGTCCACGACTGAGTGAAGCGGCGTCGCTTGCGACCCCTTGTGGTGCAGCACGCGCGGCGCCAGTGACGCGTCGAGGCAACTGGTCCCTGAGGGAGAGTCCCCCTCGTCTTCTAGCGAGGTCATGTTCTCTCTCTGCATGCACGATGCAGCACTCCGTGGCGCGCCAGGAGCACAGGCAACACTCCGCGCCGCTCTTAGACGGAGGGACCGCGGCGCTGCCAGCACCCTGTTTCTATCTGTTGGTTTTCTCGCCGGTGGCTGGTCCGCCCGCACAGTGCACGCGTGGCCGCGCTGCACACCATCCTGCATCGGTTCGGGGACGGCAAAGCTGCACCGCTGGGCGGCTCTTGCGCGGGCGCGGCCCCACACGAGGTGGAGCTGTGCAGCAGGAGGGCCGTCTTCCTCCGCCCCGCGTCCGCCAATCCAGGCGGACCACGTCTTCGGGCGGAGAATGTCGCGAGAACGCGGCACGGACTTCTCCTGTAGCCCGCCGCGGTCGGTCCTACAGCACAGACAGCGCTTCACGTGAGATCGCTTGCCTCGACTGCGCGCGCGCGCTCCCGCGGCCCGACGCGCGCCCGCCCGCATGCGAGGCACTCGCAAGATGCATGCCCCGCTGCGCCGCCGGCCAAATGCTCGGCGCAAGACGGCTCTGTACGGCCGTGAGGTGGTTCCAAGCACCTGCTAGTCACGTCTTGGGTGATCCCGCAGGTCGGAGAACGCCAAGGACACGACCTCCGGGAGCCCGCACCGGTCGCCGCCGCGGCGTGGGACCGCGGACCGCGCCCCGCCCGTCGCTCCGCCCGCGGCCGCCCCGAAGCACCACCACCGCGTCTCCTCGCTTGGCCACTGGAACGAAGCGTCGCCGATGCTCCTCGGCGACCACGTCGTCGAAAACGGCCGCACCGCCGCGGGAGGCCCCGCGCACGAGCTCGGCAGCGCGTTCGTCGACGGCAGACGCTTCCGGCTGCAAATTACTGGCGACACGAATTGCTTCGCGGCCACGCCGCACGCCGGCGGCGGCGAGCACGACGACGCCGGCGGCGGGTGCTTGACTGCGTTCTGCGGGCCCAACGCATCCGTAGCGCACGCGGGCCTGTGCGTGCCGCTGCGGGAGGTCATCGGGGTCGTCGCGCCCGCCGGAGCGAAGTCCGCGTTCTCGGTCATGTACGTGCAGCGGCCGCGGCGCAGCGGCATCGCGGTCAACCGCTGGCGGGCCGCAACGACCGAATTTTCCGCGGGGACGCCGGCAGAGCGTGCAGCGATCGTCGGAGCTCTGCGCGGTGCGCTCGACACGGTCCCCGGCCGCCCGCACCGCCTCCTGGTCTTCGTGAACCCCTTCGGAGGGCGCGGGCGCGCGCCGGAGGCCTGGGACAAGGCGCGCGTGGTGCTGCAGGCAGCGGGCTGCCAGTGCCGTCGCGTGGACACCACGCACGCGGGGCACTGCCGCGAGGCGGTCGAGAACCTGACGGAGAACGAGCTCGCGCGGCTGGACGGCATCGTCGTCGTCGGCGGCGACGGGCTCTTCCAGGAGGCGCTCACGGGTCTCCTCGAGCTGCGTGCGCGCTCCCAGGCGCTCTTCCGCGCAGGGGCTTCGCTCCGGCTGGCGCACATTCCGGCGGGGTCGACGGACGCGGTGGCGTGGAGCGTGAACGGCACGCGGTCGGTCGAGGCCGCGGCGATCCACGTCGCGATCGGCGACGACCTGCCTCTGGATGTTGCGCGGACCGACGGCGGTGGAACTACGCGGTTTCACACGTGCCTGGCGGCGTACGGGTTCATGGGCGACGTGATGGCGCGCAGCGAGGGCATGCGGATGCTCGGCCCCGCGCGCTACGACCTGGCAGGCGTCCTGACGGTCTTCCAGAACAACCGGTATAAAGTGCGGGTGACGATCCACCCGCCGGAGACTGCGTCGCCAGCGGAGCCCTGCGGCGTGGAGTGCCGGTTCTGCGCAGGGCGCCGCGAGGACGTCGCGGCGAACACCGTGCCTGCGTCGCCGCACGTGGGCGGTGTGGACGCCAGCGCGCCAAGCATGGACCGCACGCAGCCGGGGACGCCTCCGAAGGCGGCGGCGCAGCCTCCGGGCGCCGTTGGCGCGAGTCCGTCGCGGCGGGGGACGCGCCGCAGCCTGTGCCTCAGCAGCGGCGGCGCGCAACACGACGACAAGGGCGGCGCGGCGTCGTCCGCGCACGCCACGTGGGACGCGCACGCGCCGGCGGCGGCGATGTGGCGCCCCGCGCACGCTGTACCGGCGGGCGAGGACGATCCTTGCAGCGGCGTGGGGTCCACGGCCCACAAACTCCCCCTCGTTGTGGAGGGGGTGTTTCGCAACATCCTGTGCTGCGTGGGACCCTGCCGGTCGGACAAGTCCGTCCGCGGCATCGCCCCGAACGTGCACCTCTGCAGCGGCACCATGCACGTCATACTCGTCCCGGGCGACAAGCGTTCTCCGCTCGGGTTTCTCGCGTCCCTTGCGCGGATGGGTTCCAAGGGCTTCACGCCGACGCGTGGCGGCGAGCCGGGCCCCGGCGGCGTGCGCGTGTTCGAGGCGACGGCGGTGCGTGTGGAGGCCGCGGGGGGCGAGGCCGTGAGTTCGTGGAACGTGGACGGCGAGGTGCTGCGAACGGGAACGGTCGAGAGCCGCATGCACCGCGGGCTCGTGCGGATGTTTGCGCGCGGACCAGAGGGGCTTGCGTGATGCGCGGGGCGTGCGCGCGTGAGACTGAGAGGTTCACAGGCGGCTTGATGCGTGAGGCGTGTAACACTGTGTGGACTGAGTGCCGCGCGTCAGATGTATACGCGCTGGCGGCTGGTGATGGGCTCGCGGCAGAGCGGGCAGCTGCCAACCTTGTCGGCGCACGACGCGCACATCACGTGGCCGCAGTTGAGCGCCACCGCCCGCTGCGCCGCCCAGCACACGGCGCACTTGGACGCCTCCTGCTGCTCCTGCTCGCGCTCCGCAAGCGCCGTTCGCACCATCGCGTCGCGTATCCGCGGGCCCGCCTGCAGCACCAGCGCGAACCCGCGACCATAGCTCCATCAAACAGAACAACAGAGAACGATTCTGCTTCCATTCAACATGACATGGAATTGTAAACAAGTTAAACATATCATGTCGACCGGCGCACGAGCTGTCTTCAGCCACGCCGCACACGGGCGCGGCAGTCTTGCCTGCTCGACGATGGTCACCAGCTGCCGCAGCTCCTCCGCGCTGCAGCCCGACAGCTCATCGGGCTCCCCGCGCAACTGCCGCACACGCCGCTGCTCCGCCCGCCGCGCCTCGTCCGCGGCGCCGAAGTCCTCGAGCGCCTGCTGGTACGCCCCGTGCGCGTCCACGAGGTCCAGCTGCATCGCGTCGTGCGACGCCCGCAGGTGTGCCAGCTGGCTTTGTGCGCCCTGCAGGTCGGCTTGTAGCTGCTGCGCCGCCTGGCGGGACGTCTCCACCTGCCCAAAGCAATCCGACAGCACGGCAAGCCTGCTGCGTAGCTCGCCGATGTCGCGCGCGAGCCGCTCGTTCTCAGCGCGGGCTTGGTCCGCTGCGACCTGGACCTCGTGGTGACGCTTGCGCCACGCCGCGACGGTCCGCCAGGCCTCCGCCTCGGACCGACGCGCGCCGGCGGCATCGTCCTCTGCGCGCTGCAGCTTCTCCTCGGCGCACGCGAGGTGTCCTTTGACCTGCACAACGAAAACGATTATCCACTGTATTTGCCACTCCTCCCGCCTTGCCACTCTGTACCACACTCCTTCGGATACCCAGCAAGATCGCAAGAGCCGGACATCATGAGCCTGCGTCTCTGTCATATGATATGCATGCGTGGTCCTTCGCATTCAGTTCCTCACTTGATCGATGGCTTCCTTCAGCTCCTGCTTGGCGCGCTCCATCTCGCGCTGCAGCTTCGTCAGGTCCTCCTTCGTTGCCTGCTCGCGTGCCTTCGCCGCCGCCTCCGCGCTCTGTGCCCGCCTGATGGCGGCCGTGGCGCGCTGTCGCTCGAGCGCCTGGGCGTCCGCCGCGGCCTGCAGCTGCTTTGCGCCCTCGTGCAGCTCCCTGCAGGGTGCGAGTGATGCAGCGGTCGGAGCGCAGGAGCACCGGCTTGGAGAGTGGCTCGGCTGCGGTCGACGGCCAGATCGGCCTCGCCCGATCGAACCAGCGTGTCGGCAACCGTGCCACACAAATTCCGAGCGATTTCCTCGACTCTTCGGCGACCGCATTCCGCGCGCCTCGGAGGACGCCGGCACGGAATGAGCGACGCGGTGACATCCTACCTCTCGCAGGTCGTCAGGACGTTCTTCAGCCTCCGCTCCGACCCCAGCAGCGTCTGGTACCGCTCACGCAGATCCTTCAGCCGCAACTCGATCACCGCGCCCCTCTGCGAGCCAACAGATCGCCATGTTATCAGTCTAGCCAATAACAACGCCCGGTATCGGCACGCGCCGCCCCGCAGCGCACCTCCGCCTGCTTCGCAAGACTCCGTTGAGCCTCCCGCACTCGGTGCAGCTCGCGCTCGCACGCCCGCAAGCGACCCTCGGCCTCCCGAGCCGACCGCTGCCACCGTTCGCACTTTGCAGCCGCCGAGGACGCCTCCTGCGCGGCACGCGCTGCCTCAGCCCGCGCAGTCCGCAGCGCCTCGTAGAGCTGCTCGCGCTCGACGCGCCGCGCGGCCTCGCGCTCCTCGAGCTTCTCGCAGCGCTCCTGCGCGAGCGCCTTCTGATGCTCGGCCACCCTCATGCGACGCTTGTACGTGGCCTTCTCCCAGTTATTGAGACTCCCGAGGTGCGCGCACGTCGCGAGGAGCTCCCTGCGCTGCTTCTGCGCCGCCGACACGATCCCGTCCGCGTTCAAGAGCGTGCCCTCGGAGCTCGAACCGCTCGGCGGTTGAGCCGCAACATCGGCGCCTCGTGCCGCGCCGCTCGCGGCGCCGTCGTGCACCATCCTGCCCTCCCTTCACGAGCAACGAGTCTGCTGCGTGAGAGGCGCGCGGTTCGGCGCCCCGCGCGCAGGCACGGACTCCCGTGTGCAGTATACAACACAGGGGCAACAGCGACCACGGGCGCGCCGATGAAGTGCGGGCGGGCTCTCGCGGTGCGCGGTGGCCGAGTATATCGCGCTGGCCGACGGCGCGTGGCGGCCATGATGCGTCCGAGGCGCGTCGACGTCTCCGAGGGCGTTCGACGCGTTCACATGGGGGTGTTACTTGACAACGTTGGGGCGTCCGCATGACTGACTCAGGGCGGCCGTCGCGCGCGGCCGCCCGAAGCAGGACACTTCTGGCGGACGGAAGGGTCCGCGATCGCTGCGCGCCGGTTCTTCGCCGCAAGCAGCAACTAGGAAACCTAACGATGGTGTACTGTTGTTATTTGTCTGACAAGCGAGACGCACGTCGCTGGATCTGCCGAGGCGGGACCTGGCCGGCCGCGCAGCGAGCACTGCGCGCTTGCGGCACGCGGTGCGAGTCTCTCGCGCTGCGGGAGACGTGATGGAGGGTGTGGCCAGGGACCGCGATCACATGTTCTTGGTGAGCTTGGTACCCAGGACACGCGACATCTTCGACAGCAGCTGCGGGTTCGGGATCGCCTTGGCCTGCTCGTACTCCTGAATGATCTGCACCGCGCGGGCGGGCACACGGCGCCGCGCCGGTGTGAGATGCAGCCTGACGGGGCGACCGGGGGCACTGCACGCGTTGGGCGCGGCGCGGTCGCACCTTGGGCGTCTCGTTGATCTGCTGCGCGAGCTGCGCCTGCGTGAGCTTCTTGTTCAGGCGCGCCTGCTGGATGGCCTTGGCGAGCGTGGGCGAAACGCGGTTGTGCTTGAGCTCCTCGGTCTCGCGGTCGAGCTTGGCGGTGTTCAGCGTCGTGCCCTTCTGCGTGTTGGCCGCAGCGCCGTACTTCTTCGCCGTGTCCACCTGCGAGCCGCGCGAAGCGAAGCCCTCGTCACTTGCGCAGACACGAGGGAGCGCGCGATCCCGGGGAGGACACGCGGCGCGAGCGCCCCGAGGCGCCTCGCGGCGGAGGAGACGATCCTCTGGGTCGCCTCGCGGCGGATCTACGTGTCGGATGCGCGGCCCTGTGCAGCGGCGCGGGCACTCGTGGTGCGCAGCACGGTGGTCGCATTCCACGCCCGCTCGAGCGCAGTTATGGAACATCTTCGTGCTCAACAGCATATTTCGCGCCAGGTGCGCCGCCCAGGCCCGCTGGGTCGCCGGGTGCGGCGCCGTGGACGCACCGCCGCTCCCTGCTTCCTGGCCACGTTGACGGCCTGCTCCGAGTTGGCCTGCTTGGAGGGCTGGCGCTTCTTGCTGAGGACAACCGTGTCCCAGTCCTGCACGGCACGACCGGGTGCGCGGCGGCGGTGGGAGGACCGCGGCCTCGGTCCCGGGGGCGGCCGCACGCAGGTGCTGCGCAGCTACAGAAGCTTCCCACGGCGCGGACCGCGGGGCCGATGAGGGGGCGAGCGAGCGGCGCCTGCTCCTCCGCACCTGTCCGCCCAGATTCATCTTGCCGGAAGACCTAGTCGGCGCGTTCCCGGCGGGAGGCGAGCGGGCCTGGTACGTAGCGGGTGCGCGCGGTGGTGTGACACTTCGAATACGATCGAACGCCTCGTGGGGATGCAACGCGCGCTTCTGCTGTCGCGCGGCAGCGCAGCGCCGCGGGCGCATGTGCTCGACCGCGTCGTGATGCCCCCCGGACCGTGTTGAGTTGTACTTGGTGCTACTGGCCCCTCTGCGGAGTGAAGAAACGCGGTTCGCGCGATGCGCGGGCACAGGAGCGCGGCGTACATGCGGTTGCACTGAAGGCGCCCGTCGTGCCGTTCGTTCCCGTCTGGGCCGGCCCGCCACAGGTCCGTTTCGTGTCCCAGGCACCTTGTTTTCGCGCTCGCGCTCTCACACGGCCTCGCAAAATACCGCGCAACCGCGGCGAGGCTGGAAGCACTTTCTCCCTGATCCGTCGTCGCGCCGCGCGCGCGGGACGGTCTCCGTGGAGCCCGCGAGCGCGACCTCTCCCTCCCTCGCCGCAGTCGCGTCACCGCCGACGTGCCTCAATCCATGCGGGTTTCGACGCGCGCAGGGAGAGGCATTTCCTCACGCATCACCGATTCGCGAAGCCATGTCCGACCAGCGCTGGGAGCGCGGCGGCGGAGGCGGTGACCGAGAGGCACAGGACGCGAAGCCGGGCTTCTTCAGCGCGGGCGCCGCGAGCCGTTTCGATCGCTGGCACGCCTCACGCGCTGCCGATCGGACGTCCGACGAGGCCACCAGGTGCGAAGCTCGCCCACACGCCCCCGCCCGCCGCGACGCCCCGGCAGCACTCACCCTGCCGCGCTCCTCCTCTGCGCCGCGCGCGCGGCCCACGCGCGCGTCTCGGGCCCGCCGCCCGCGCGATCCGACCAGCGCACACATGAAGTCGACAGCCCCGCCGCGCAGCCCCGACCTACGACGCCCAGCCGTCCGCGTCGCGCCCCTCCCCCCGCCACCCTCGCCGGGAAACCGCACACGCCCCGCACAGCCGCCCTCCGCCCCGCTCCGCCCCGCGCCGCAGCGGAAGATGGACACGCGGGTCTAGCGAGCACGCCTCCGGCAGCGGCTCGCGGCGCGCGCCCCCTGCTGACGGCCCCACCGGGTCCTCTGCCCGGCCGTGGGTCGACCGTGGTGGTGGCTCCGCTGGGGGCAAGTGGTCCGCGCTGGTCGAGCCCCCGCACACCGGCGCCGCGCGCAGCAGCGCCGACCGCGGGTCCTGGCGCGCCGGCGGCGACGGCGCCGACTCGGGGCACGGCGGGCGGCGGCCTGGCGGGCGCGGGCGGCGCGGCGCGACCGTCGGCGGAGCGGTGGCGCCCGCCGTCGCACCCTGACGCGGGCGAGGCGCGCGACCGCGACCGCGACCGCGACCGCGACCGCGCGCAGCCCCCCGCGCCGCCCGGGCCGCCGCACCGCTTCCTGTGGGACAACAGCCTGATTGACAACAAGCGCGGCATGACGCTGGAGGAGTGCCGGCGGCTCGCGCCGCTCGGGACGGGCCTGCAGCGGTACAAGTACGACAGGCGAGCGATGCTGGAGGCGTACGTGGGCATGCGGGCGCGCGGGACGCTGACGCAGATGGAGGTGCTGCGGCAGTCGAGCTGGAGGGGGTTGCCGCTGCTGCGGATGGAGGGCGGGGCCGCGCACCACCCGGGGGTCGAGCGCACGGCGTACGTCGACGTCGCGCTCGTGCTCCTCGAGGAGGAGCGCGACCCGGAGCTCGCGGCCGCGCGCCGCCGCAACGCGCAGCGCGAGGCGGCAGCGGTGCCGCGCGCGGAGGCGCTCGAGCGCTGGCGCGAGGACGACGGGGCCGCGGTGAACGGCGTGCGGCAGGAGCGGCCGGCGCCGCAGGACGCGGGCGCGCCGCAGGCGCCCGCGGACGCGCAGGGCGCGGGCGGGATGGACGCGGGCGCGCCGCGGGGGCTGCCGCCGGGCATGGCGATGATGACCCCCCCGCCCGGAGCGCTGGACGCGCAGTGGGTGTACCGCGACCCGCAGGGCATGATCCAGGGCCCGTTCTCGCGCGCGGAGATGCTGGATTGGTTCCACCAGGGGTTTTTTCCTGTTGACCTTCCCGTGCGGTCGTTCGCGCTCCCGGCGGCGATGTCGATGGTGCCTCTGCTGGAGTGCCTGCCGTTCTGGCTCGGCGCGACGCTGCGCGACATGGGCCTCGCGGGCGTCCCGGAGACGCACCCGGAGGTGCAGCGGTGGACGGCGGTGCTGCGGCAGCTGCCGCCGCCCGCGGCGGCCGCCGCGGTGGCCGTCGCGACGGGCCGCGCGGAGGACCCGCTGTTCGCCGTCGGGGCGCACGCGGGCGGCGGCCTGCTGAGCGGGCCCGGCGCGCTGGGGCCTGCGGACGCCGCTGTGCAGCAGCAGCAGGAGTTTGAGCGGCAGCAGAGGGAGCTGGAGGCGCAGAGGGCGGCGGAGGAGGCGCGGAGGGCTGCGGAGGAGGCGCGGAGGATCGAGGAGGAGCAGCGGAGGGCCGCGGAGGAGCAGCGGAGGTTGGCTGAGGAGCGGGCGCGGCGCGAGGCGGAGGAGGCGCGGGAGGCGCAGAGGCGCGCCGAGGAGGAGGCGGCGCGCGTGCGCGCCGAGGCGGAAGCGGAGGCGCGGCGGCAGGCGGCGCTGCTGGAGGTGCAGCGGCAGCGCGAGGCCGCGGCGCGCACCAGGCCCGCGGCGGTCGAGCAGGAGCCCGCAGCGGAGCCCGAGGGGTGGACGGAGCTGCCGAAGAAGGCTCGGGAGCGCAGGGATGCGCCGAAGGTGCCTGGGTCGACGTTCGCGGCGCAGCAGATGACGCAGGAGCTGATGGGCGACGGGGAACCCGCGCCAAGCAAGCCCGCGCCGGCGCCGGCGCCGACGCCGGCTGCTACCGCGGCGCCCCGCAAGCGCGACGTGCAGCCCATGGTCACGGTCGTGCCCGTGCCGCGCGTCGCCGCCGTCCAGCCGAAGCCGCAGGCGCAGCCGGCAACGGCGACGCCCACCCCCCTCCCTCAGCAGTCGCCGCTGCCGCAAGCGCCGGTCAAGTCCCTCCGCGAGATCCAAGAGGAGGAGGAGCGGCTCGCGCGGCTGCAGCTCGAGCAGCGGAGGCAGGCGAATGCGCGCGAAGCCGAGCGGGCCGCGGAGCAGGCCCGGCGCGCAGGGCCGTGGAACGAAGGTGGGCGCGGCGGCGCGCCGTCGCTGGCGGACATTCAGCGGGAGGAGGAGGAGGAGGCGCGGGCGCGGGCCGCGGCGGCGGCGGGGCGCGCGGGCGGGGGCGAGGACAGCGACGACGACTTGTGGGGGGTGTCGGCCCCCCCTGCTGCGCCGGCACGGCCCGTCGCAGGCGCGTGGGGCGGTCGCGCGGGGGCGGGCGCCCAGCCGCCGCCGGCGGTACGTGCTGTGCCGGCGACTGCTTCCACCGGCGCCGCGCCGTCGTGGGGGTCCGGGAAAGGGGCCGCCGGCTTCTTGGCAACGGCGGCGCGCGCAGCGCCCGCCACCGCCCCGGCGGCGCAGCTGCCTGCGGAGCCCGCGCCGAGCAAGGCGCCGCCCGCGGCGGCTCCGGCCCCGCGGCCGGTCGCGGTGGCCGCCCCGGCGCCGAAGCCCGCGGCCACGACGGACGACTACGTTGAGGGCAACTCCCTGGGTCTGTCTCGGCCGTTCGAGGCGTGGTGCCGGCGGGAGCTGGAGGAGCTCACGGGCAGCCGGGACCTGGCGTTGGTGGAGGTGCTGATGACGGTGGGGAGCAACGGCGAGGTGGCGGACTACTGCACGATGGCGCTGGGCAAGTCGGTGCGCGTGTCGACGTTCACCGCGGAGTTCATTCGGCGGAAGCACGCCGACGTGGCGGGGAAGCCGATTCCGCTGAACGACGGGAAGGGCAGGGCGGCGGGCGGCGGCGGGGGAGCGGGCGGGGGCGGCGGGGGGTCGGGGGGGCGACGGCGGGGGCGGGGTCGGGGGCGGCGCAGGGTGGGGGGGGTAAGAAGAAGAAGAAGAGCAAGGGCGGGAAGGGTGGGGCGGGGGACGGGATCGCGACGAACAGCGCGTTCGCTGTGCTGGGGATGTCGTGAGCGGCGGGCCGGGCTGATGTGTGAGCCGGCGGGTTGCAGGGGGTGTGTTGCGAGAAGCTGCCATGTGGTGTGCGGCAGAGGAGTCGCATGCGGGCCGTGTCGCAGCATCGCAGCCGTTGCCCCCAGGTAGGGCGTCATGCGAGTGGGGGCGCGAGCGTCACCGTGTCGGGCGCTTTGCATAGCTTCGCACGGTGCTGCGTTCTCGCTCGACGCTCTTTGACGCGTGCGAGACGTCCAGGTGGCAGCGCGACTTACACGCGCACAGCCGCCGGCCGCGCTCGAGCCGGCACACCCCCCCCCCCCTCGTGGCACACCCCCCTACGCCTCCTTCTTGAACTTGGCGTTGTCGTCCCACTGCTTCCCCATGAGCGGGTCCACCGTCCCCTCGAACTTCCCCGTCGCGCCCTCCCACTCCTTGACCCCCAGCGAGTACCCCCAGTCGCACTGCGTCTCGATCTCGCAGTCCGACGTCGGACGCGCCATGCACAGCAGCGTCATGCCCTGCGCCTGCTCCTCCTCCGTCAGCACGAACGACAGGTCGTCGATGTCCGACTGGTCCACCCCGCCCCTGCACCGCACGCACCCACACGCTCACGTCGGCGCCCACACACTCACACACATCATCGCTGCCTAGTCGGCACGAGAGCGTCGCCGGCGGGCCTCCCTGCAGCACGACACCGGCGCGCAAGCGAGGTACAGTGGCAGGGGGGCAGCGGGCGGAGGGGGCACTCACGAGGCCAGGCGGCCCACGCAGGCGCCGCAGATGCCCCCTCGGCACGTCGCGGGCAGCTCGATCCCGTTTTCCTCCGCAATGTCGAGGATGTAGGTGTTGTCGGGGCAGTCGACGGTGCGAGAGTCGCCCTCTCCGGCGAGAAAGGTCACCTGCGCGCGAGCAGGGGCCGCACCGGCGGTGAGAGCCCGCGGGGATGCGTCGTGGCTGTGAAGAGCGCATCGAGGAGCCTTCTGTGCCGCGCATGGGAAGGGAGGGTCGTAGAAACCGCTCGCAGCGCCACGCTGTCGTTCTGTTGGACGCGCGGCCGATGACTAAGCTCCGAGAAAACCCCGCGTGTCCCGTCAAAGCGTAGATTTCATCCACAGGCCTGATGCGCAACGCAAGCGCTGTCGGCAGCGCCAACGCAGGCACGCACACCGCCGCTCTACGCATCCGGAGCACGTGTCAGTACAGCACGAGGCCAGCGCGCGCCAGAGCCGCCCTCGCCGCGCCCTTCCCGGCCGCACCGCGCACCTTGTAGGTCTTGCCCGTCCCCTGGACCTCCTTCCGGTCCGAAATCTTGTCCCGGCAGAAACCGTCCTCGGCCCGCGCGACGACGCGCGAGCGGAGCCCCGCGGGACCCGTGGCGCGGGCGTGCGCGACGGACGCGGCCCGCGCGTGCACTGATGGCATCAAGGAGCAGGACATTGTGTGGCGGCGCAGTGGCGGGTGGAGAGCGCGAGGGACGGCGCGGACAGGAGGGTTGCGGGTGTGGGGTGGCGCCGCTGGCACCGGGATGCAATGATCCTGCGTGAACGGCCCGCCAGCGGCGTTGTCTGTCCCGCGGTGCAACACAGGGAGAGCGGTGCCCTGGGAGGTTGAGGGCGGCGCGGGGGTGCTGCGGTGGGCGCTTTGCGCGGCGATTGACGACGGCGGCCTGCTGGCGTGTGGTGTTGGAGGCGAACGAGCCGTGGTTTGCGTCCGGGTCCTTTCCGGAGTGAAGAAGCAGGGCCGCTGGCCTGCCCGGGCCGGCGGGGCGCGGCAGCGGGATGAGCAGGACGGAGGATAGCTTCAAGGGTCTGGTGCGGTGGGTTGTACGGGCGTTCTACTGGAACATCGAGCCGGCCGGGATGGGCTTGCAGCCTGGGCGAAAGGAGGGCGACACTGCCGGTGAGACGCTCCCGTGCTCGATTTCTTTTCGTCTCACCTGCCGTCGCTGAGACGAAGCGTCTGTTGCGCACACACACCCGGCGTTCCACGCCGCCCCGAGCGCGTGCACCGCGACGATCGCAGACAGCTTGGTTGCGCCGCGGGCCGCGTCGTTTCGTCCCCGGCCAACGCACCGCGCCCACAGCAGCTCGGAGAATCCGTTCGCTCCCACCTCCACGCGTCCGCGTCGCCGCTCGCGCCGTGCAGGGCTCCCGGTCCTCATCATTGATGTCCTGACCAGCCCCGGGACCGAGTGGATCAAGGAACAGAGGATCGCGGACAGCCTCCTCGTCGACGCGCACCAAGTCCGCGCAGTCCTCAAGGCGCGCGCCGTCCCTCGCCCACGCCGCACCGCACCGCCCTCCCTGTCCCCAGCACACACGCGCAGACGCCCGCGCGCCCCCGCACCGCCCGCAGATCCTCCACGCGCACCACATCGTCCACCGCGACAAGCTCAGCCTCCCGCGGGACCCGAGCCGCCGCCTCACGGACGAGGAGCGCAAGAAGGCGGATTACTACTGCTGCGTCGACTACCCAGGGGTGGTCGACATGGTCCGGCTGCGCATCCGCATGATGCGCAGGAAGCTCCAGGAGGGCGACCAGCGCAACTCCGAACCGAAGTACTACTGCCACCCGTGCTACAAAAGCGGCGCGTTCAAGAACGAGTGCGCCGCCCGCCCGCGCCGAGCACGTGGACCCCGCAGCTGGGCACGCAGACCCCGCAGCCGTGCGCGTCTGAGCGCGTCCCGCGCCGCAACTCCGTCCGCAGGTGGTCGGCGTACGACTTGCCGCTGATTCTGCAGGCGGAGGGGGATTTGCAGTGCCCGCAGTGCGGCTCGGAGCTGCTGACGGAGCAGCAGCTCCTGGAGAAGACGACGGGGCAGGACGAGGGGCCGGCCGGGCCGGGGGGGGGCGAGGGGGAGCTGCGGCTGAGCGCGCAGGAGCGCAAGGTGCTGCTTCGGCTGATGGACAAGCAGCTCGCGGAGCTCGAAAGCAGCATCCTCGTCGCGCTCGAGGGGCACGACCCGCCGGACTACGGCAGCAAAGTGCGCGAGTGGTCCGTGCGGAAGCGGCTGCAGGCCGAGCAGGCGCAGCGTGAGCGCGCGGAGCGGGAGCGGCTCACGGCGCGGCCGCGGGACTACGCGGGGGGCGCAGGGGGCGCGGGGCTTCCGGGGCAGGCGGGGCGCGTCGGGTGGCTCGCGGAGAGCGGCGGCGGGGCCGGCGCGGCGGGCGGGGGCGGCGAGGCGCTCCCGTGGCTCAAAGCGCTGTCCGCGGGGGGGGGAGTCGCGGACGAGGACGGGTGCGACGCGCTGGGGCGCGCGGCGTGCACTGGGACGGAACGCGCGCTGCGGCCGCCTCACTGCCGTGCCTGTGCGGGCTGTGTGCGCAGGGATGTGGCGATGGGGGACGCGGACGTGGCGGCAGTGGCGGAGGTGCCTGCGAACGAGGGCGCGCAGCAGCGCGCGAAGGCCGCAGAGGTGGTGGTGGAGGGCGACGAGGGCGACGACGACGACCTGAACTGGGAGAACGTCTGAGGGGGGGGTTTCCGTGCATGTGCGTCATGACGCATGTCACACTCGGTCTCGCGGCGCCCCCGGCCGCAACGGCCTTGTAAAATATCATATCGCCCCGCGGCTCGCCTGGCGGCCCGTCCGCCCTGCGCGCGCTCTCGCCGGCGCGCGCCGCCGGGCCATTTGCGCGCTCTCTCCTAGGCGCGTGTTGCCAGGTCCAGCTGCGCCCGGCTCGAACTGCGGCCGGCCCCGGGGCCGCGTTTCGCTCGCGGGGGCGCCTGCCCGCGCGCCCGCGTGCGTGCTCGCCAGCGGCAATCACTTCTTCTTGCTGCCCACGACGGCGACGCCCACCGTAGTGGCCCCAAACTTCTCGTGGAGGTTCTCCGCGGCGGCCTGGTCCCACGGGAGCTTCGGGTGCTTGGCTTCGTGGTGAATCTGAAGCGTTTTCAGGTCCGGCGCCTGCTGCTTGCACACAGGGCAGGCGTACTTGGCGTGCCCGGCCTTGCCTCCCTGCGCTCGCGCACCAGAACACCTCGCCGTGAGCCGCTCTCGCGCGCGCGCGACGGTGAGCGGGCAGCGCGGGCCGCCCGTGCGCGAGAGCCGCTGGTCGCGGGCGCTCCGCGGGCGGCGCAGCGAGCCTGGCGTGTGTGCACGGAGTCGGCGGGCGAGCGGCGGTTGGGAGGGGAGCGGCGATCGACGTGAGACTGGCAGCAGCGCACCTTCCTGTCCTCGAGCCCCGCCGAGCCCCCTCCGCGGTTGATCGTAGCGTCTCGAGCCTGCGATGCGGGGCGCGCGGGACGGTGACGCTCAGCGAGCGCCCTTGTGTGTCACGGCACACTGCTGCAGCCGCTGCAGCGACGCGGGGAGCGCAAGACGACCGCCGGGTAGTCCCCGCACGGTTCGCGCCAGTCGAGTGCGACCCGCGGGGCGCGGCCCACCTTCTTCTTCAGCTCCGCTGACGTGTGCTTCGCCTGCTTCGCCTTTGCCATCGTGCTGCAGCCGCGCGGACGTGGGGACTCCGCGCCTCGAACCAGACGGCTGAGGAACGTGTCCTGCGAGTGCGTGGGCGCGCGCGGGCGCCGCCCCTCGACACGCTGCCCGGTGCTGCTACCACCACTACTACTCCTCAAGTCCCCACCGGGGTCGCCTCGAGCGCGGCGGGATATCTGGCAGCGGGGGCGTGTGCTAGGCGCAGAGAGGGTTCCGGGCGCGACATCGACACGCGAAGGTACAGCCGGGCTGCGCCGAGGTGACTCGCTCCACGACGCGGGGCGCACGCTGAGCATCGATTGTGCGGGAATTCTCCTGTCTCAGGCCAGACGCATCCCACATACAAGGCCGCGGCGGTTGCCTGGGGGCGTCTGGGGCGGAAGCACGCGGCAGGTCGTCGCGGGGAGGACCGGGCCCCGCGCGCCGACCGTATGAGCTTCCCTCGTGGCCTTGAGCGACGAAGCATCGCGGCTCCCGGCCCCCAAACGACACCGTGACGCGATGAAACTGCCGTCCGTCATCGAGAGGCTCCAGCACCTCGGGGAACACGCCGTGCACACCGCGGCCGCGTCGCCGCACGACCATGCTGCGACGCGCAGCGGGGCGATCATGCAGCCCGCCGTGACGCAGGGCCTCGCCGCGGTCTTCCTGCTGCTCGTGTTCGTCGTGCCGACCACGTACGTCGTCGGCGTGCTCAGGCACGGCGTCGTCCCGCTCAAGAAGACCACCCCGATTGGAGCGCGCGCGCGACACATGGTGCTCTCCGCCGCGTCCGTGGTGCGCGGCCCCTCCCGCCGACCGCAGCACACGCACCGCGCCCTGAACATTCCGCGCACGCCGCCGCGCGGACGCGCACGCGCCGTCGCGCGCGCGTTGGGCCGGGGTGCCCAGCTCGTGTGTTTGCGCTGACCGACCGCTTGAACCCCCCGGCGGTGCGACGCAGCTGTCCTGGATCGGTGCGGTGGCGATCGAGATGCCGTTCGCGCCGGCGCTGACGCCAATGCACCGCCTGTTCGTCCCGGACGGCGGCCCGGTGACGGGCGCGTCCCCAGTGGGGGCCGCCGTGGTGGCGTGCCTCATCTCCGAGGTGCTCATGGTGTCGTCCTTCCTAGTCTGCCACTCGAGGGACGGAACGCGCCCCGCGCGCAGCGGAGCCAAGGCCCTGCGCGGCCCCGCGGGCCACGAGAGGGCCTCGGACGCGGTGCTCGCTCTCGGCACGGTGCTCGCCGTCGCGTCAGGCCTCCTGGTGATCGTCGCCGAGGTCGAGCTCGGCGACGCCAGCGCCTCCCTGCAGGTGCTCTACTTCTCCCTCTCCGCGGCCGCGCTCCTCGTGTCGTTCGCGGCCACCCACGGGCTAGGAGGTTGGCTCCGGTTCCAGGCCCCACGCGCCAGGTGCGCCCAGCGACGCGCCGTCCCGCGGCTGGCGTCACAGATACATCACCCCACGCGCCCGACGGCGCAAGGCGCGGTCGGCCCGCTCGCCACGACAGCCCGCTGGCCTGCCCCGCCCTCCTCACGGGCCCTCGCCCCGCCCACGCGCCCCGCACCGCGCGCCGCTCCGCCCCGCAGGCAGCGCTGGAGATTCTTCCAGCCGTTCCGCGGCAGCTACTTCTTCGTGGCCACGCAGGCCGCCGGATGGGGCCTCTTCTCGCTGGCCACCGTCGGCGTGGTCGCCGCGGCGCGGCTCGCGCTCGCCCGCACGTCCACCTACCTCCGCGGCCTCAGCGCGGGCGTCGCCGTCACGATGGTCGCCGGCCAGGTCCTCCTCGCGGTGTCGGTGCGCTACTTCCAGGTCCCGCGCCACCAGCGCTCGCTGTCGCGCGTGTTCTCGGCCGCGGCGCTGGCGGACGCGGGCGTGGCCGAGGACGGCGAGGCTGCGCCCGCGCGCGGGTTCGCGGCGCGCCTGCGCACGTGGACGGTCGTGGGCATCATGTATGCCGCGCCGCACTCGTTCGTGGCGCTGGTGGTGCTGACGTTCGCGTTCCTGTCCCCGAAGATCGCGCTCGCGCTGCACGTGGCGTGGATCATGCCGTACCTCGCCATCGTCGGCCCGCGCAGCCACGCGACGGGCGTGCGGCGGTGGCCAGCGCTGCAAGCGTGGCTGACCGCACACCTGGACAGCGCAGCGAGGGAGGTCTTCGGCGGGTACCGCGTCATATTCGGCGACGCTGACGCCGTCCGCGCCCTGTGGGACGCGCCTGACGCCCAGGATGGGCCTGCGGACGGGTCGAAGGCCCCCAGCTCGCGCCCGGCGGCGCAACGCAAGGTGATCTTCGGGTACCATCCGCACGGGCTGTTCCCCGTCGGCGCGGCGGTGCTCCCGCTCCTGCCGGCGTTCCAGGCCGTGGTGGACCGCGTGCGGCCGGTGGTGCTCACCGCGTCGGCTGCGCACTTCCCCCCGCTGGTGCGCGACCTGCTGGCGTGGGTCGGGTGCCGCAAGGTGACGCGGTCGTCGTTCCGGCGCGCGCTGAGCGAGGAGCGCGCCGTCCTGCTCGTGCCCGGCGGGCAGCGCGAGCTCGTGCACACGCACCGCATGCACCCGCCCGAGGGCGCCGCGGGCGAGTGCGTGCTCGTCACGCGGCACACGGGCTTCCTCAAGATGGCCGTGCTCGAGCAGGCGCACGTGGTCCCCGTCGTGGTGTTCGGAGAGGCGCAGTCGCTCCGCAACATCATCAACATACCTTCGATGCAACATTACACATACAGGAAGTTCGGGTTCCCGATCCCGTTCCTGATCGGCGGGCGCTGGAAGCTCTCGCCGCTCCCGCAGTGGGGCCGCGTGACGTTCGTCGTCGGGAGCCCGATGGCGCCCCCGGCCTTCGACTGCCACGTGTGCTCGCCGCGCAGCGCGGGGTCGCGGGACGGCGGGAGCTCGAGCGAGGGCGAGAGCGAGGGGTCGTCGGGGAGCACGGACTCGGCGTGCGCGTGCGCGGAGGAGGAGCGCGACCGCGTGTGGCACTCCCCGGAGCTCAAGGGGGTGGTGGAGCAGTGGGGGCGGAAGTACTTCGCCGAGTGCAAGGCGCTGATGGAGCGGTTCAAGGCCGAGGCGGGGTACCCAGACCTACGCGTGCTGCTGCTGGGGCAGGACGTGTCCGAGGAGGACCTCCTGAAGTCGTATGCGGCGCTGCCGCAGATCAAGGGGATACGGCTGTCGCTCACGGGGGTGGAGCAGGAGGTGGGGACGGCGCGGAAGAAAGACGAGTGAGGATGCTTGCGCGGGGCGGCCGGGGTGCGGGGGCAGGGGGGGCGTGGAGCAGGGACCGGAGCCGGCGTGTGATGATGACGCGTGAGGTCATGTGCGGGCGGCGTCGAGCACACGCGATGTGAGGTCCTTGACGGTGGCGAAGCGGGGCGTAGTACAGAGAGCTGATGCGCTTCGCGGGGGGGGCTGACACCTGGCCTCACGGCGTTTCAGTGTACATGTTCAAGCAGCAAACAACAACAGCATGTTGACACTGCGCTGTCACGGCCCCCCCCCCGTTCAGGGCGATCTAGTCGCGCTTTGTGCTGACGGATCACGTGCGGGTGCGCCGGACAGGTCCTGACGTGGTCGCGCATGGCACAAGCGAAGTGACGTGGAGCTGCCAGCTCCACATGGGCCCATGGCTGTGGTGTCGCGATTGGTGCAAGGCGCGGCCCGGGCGACACGCACTTCGGACGCAACGGTTCGCGAGTGAAGCTGAAACATTTCTAGGCCCTGGCCCACTGCGTGCACGCTGCTCACGATGCCGGGAGCGCCCGCGGTCTGGGCGGTGGCTTCGTTGTTCGTCCTCTTGCTCGCCGCGGCTCCAGGTGGGTGACGTTCCTTCGGGAGCTTCGCGAGCCTTGTGTTCTGGTCCCAATCGGTGCATCACACTAGTCCAGTCACTAGTACCACGAGTGCACAGTCGTTCTCGCTCGGTTTGTTGAGCTGCAGAAGGGGTCCGTTGCCAGGAATGTCGCGATGAGAGCCCGCCCGGCCCCTACTCCTGTGCGGAACAGCGGGACTACGGCAAGTGCGACGCGGGGTGGGTGAGTGCGTCCCACAGCGCGGGCTGCGTTTGCGGCAGTCCATCCAACACCCATGAGATACCTCAATGAAGCCCTCGTTCCGCCAACTCCTCCCATCTCGCAGATGACCAGCGGGGGATACTGCGCACAGACGTGCGGCAGATGCACTCCTGAAGGTACGGGCCCTCGCCCTGTTGCCGTTGGACATCTCTCTTTGCACACAGCCCCCATCAGAGCAGTAGATACCAGCGATGCGGCTTTTCGGTTGCGCCGCAGTGTCCTATCGGGGCGCACGTCGACCCGGCGTGGCCTGGCTTTTAGACTCCTTGTTTCGTCCGCCGGTGCGCGTGTCGGTGCTGCCGCCAGCGCGCACCGCTCCTGACAGCCTCCCCAACCCCCTCGCCCGCCCGTCGACGCCGCAATACGCGCGAGCGCCCGAGCCACCAGCGCCAGTGGCCGCACCTCCCGTAACCCGGCCGCCTGAGACGGAGCCGCCGGCGACGCAGCCCCCCGCCACCTGGCCAGTTCAAACACCCCCCCCAACGACCGTTCCAGTCCAGACGCAGCCACCCACGACCGCGCCAACCCAGCCCCCAACGACCGTTCCAGTCCAGACGCAGCCACCCACGACCGCGCCAACCCAGCCCCCACCGACCGCTGCAGTTTCCAGCCCCCCGCCGACGCCAAGCCCGACGCCGCGGGCGCCTGCGCCCTCGCCGCGCCTGTCCAGGCCCCGCATGGTGACCCCGCTGTTCCCACGCCCCACCCCGACGACGCCCCCGCCGACGGAGGCGCCCGAGGAGGAGCTGGTGCCGGAGGGTTGCACCAACTCTAGCGTGCTCGACTTCCTGGAGCAGAACGACAACCTGACGCGCTTCGCCGACATGATGCAGCGCGCGGGGCTGCAGGACACCAAGGTACGAACCGCAACGCTGGTGCCGGCGCGCACCGTCCCTGCGCACGTGGCTGCAGAGGCTCTGATGACGGCGTCGCGGGGGGCTGCGGTGCAGGGGCTGGAAGCAGGCGGCGGTCCGGTACTGGTGCTGGCGCCGACGAACGACGCGATCGGGGCGGCGCTGGAGCGCGCCGGAGTCAGCGAGAGGGAGTTCCTGGCCGACACGGACCGCCTTCGCGCCATCGTGCTGTACCACCTTGCGTCAACGGGCAGGTCGATCTCTGAGGCCACGCGATCCAGGTAGGACTTCGGGCCACACCGTGCCGCTGGCGCGTCGCCATCACCTCCCAGTGAGCCACCGCCCCGCGCTGTGGAGCGGCTGAACCTGGAGCGAGACGCCGCGGCTGCATTGCAGGCAGATCGCCACGAGGCTGAGTGCGGCGCCGCGCCTGGGGCTCTTCGCGGGGTCCAGGGGCACGGTCCTCGTCGACGGCCCGTTCGGGGACGCCACGTGGACGGGCGCGGAGGAGGTGCTGTGTTCGCGCGCTGGCATCCACGTCGCCCAGGTCGACCGCGTCCTGCTGCCCGCGGCCTCGCTCGCCGCCGTGTCCGGCGTGTCAACCGGCAGCCGGTGCGACGAGGGCGCAACGATTCTCTCCGTGGTACGCAACACGCCGGAGCTGGCGCTGCTCGGCAGGCTGGTGGCGCGGGCCGGGCTGACGCGGGTGCTCGACTCAACGGCGCGGAACCTCACGCTGCTCGCACCGGACGAGCCGGCGCTGGCGAACCTGCTGGTGACGCTCAACACCACGGAGACCGACATCGACCCCGCGACGCTCCGGGACATCCTGAGCTACCACGTGCTTCCCGACGTGGTGCTCCGGAAGGAGGACATCCGCGACGGCAGCCTGCGGACGCTCGAGGGCGAGTCCGTCGTCCTCGACGAGTTCCCCGGGGGTGTGGTGGTCGAGGGCGCAGCTGGGTCCGCATCCTTCCTTAGGTATAATTTGAGCGCGTCGACCGGCCGGCGCCAGGCGTGCTCGGCGGAGGTCCACGTGATCGACGCCGTGCTGGCGCCCGACGCCGACCTCCTGCCCGCCGAGGGCGAGTTGGGCGAGGTGGAGAGCGTCGCGAACGGCCCGACCGGGTTCGTATCTGCGGGTCGACGTTGCCGCACAGTCGGCGACATCGTCAACTTCATCCCGGCGCTGCGGAACCTCACCCTCGCGCTGCGCTTTGCGGGCACCACGAACGACGTCCTCGTGCCCAGCGCGGACCAGGGCCCCGTTACCATCTTCGCGCCGAGCAACAACGCATTCGACTCGCTTGTGTTCAGTCTTGGAATCGAGCCCATTCAGCTGTACTTCAACAAGGAGCTCCTGCGCCAGATCACGCTCTACCACGTGGCCACGGGCGGCGCACGCAAGGCCTTCCAGCTGTCCGACGGCGCCGAGCTCCCGACGCTCGCCCGGCCTCTGGGCGACGACGCCGGCCCGCCCTTGAACGTCGAGGTCAAGAAAGTCGGACGACAGATCACCATCGAGGTGAGGCAGCGCGCGCAGCCCCGTCGCACTTCCCCCGCAGCCGCATGCGTCTGTCGTGCGTGAGTTTGACCTCGCGACGTCCGCGCTCGCTGGGCGCAGGGAGCGGGCTCGGCGGCGAACGTCGAGGCGTCGGACATCGAGGCCTGCGACGCGGTGATCCACGTGGTCGACACCGTCCTGCTCCCGAACACAACGCTCGCCCTCGACCCCGTGGAGGTGACCGAGAGCGGCGTGTTCGTGGGGGGCGTTCCGATCGCCGCGGAGGACGCAGCGACGCTCGCGCTGTCCGGGTCGGGGATCCGCGCGACCACGACGACGCGCGCTCGCCGACCGGGCCCAGCCGCGCCCGCCGGCACGCCCGCGCCCGGGGATTCCGGAATTCGCGCCACCGTCACGGAGAGCGAGCAGCCGGCGGCGCCAGCGTCGCCGACGGACTGCACGTCCGTGGTGGACCTGGCGCAGGCGGTCGAGCAGCTGTCGTCCTTCGCGGCGCTCATCGAGCAGGCTGGCATCGAGAGCACCCTGGGGGAGTCCGCTGACGTGACGGTCCTGGCGCCAACAGGCACGCCCGCGACGCGACGACGCGCAGCAACGCCGCCTCGCTCAGCCGCCTGCGTGCCGTGACTTGACACCTGGTCGGTGCCCGTGCTCGCTCGCAGACGAGGCGATCAACGCCATGCTGGCGGCCACGTCGCAGCTGGAGCAGGACGCGCTCGAGTCTCCGGCTGGCGCGGCGGCGCTCCTCAAGTACCACATCCTGCCCGGCCAGGTGACAGCGCAGGAGCTCGGCAGCCCCGGGCTTCGCGAGACCTTGGCCGGTGGCGCGGTGGGCGGGAGCAGCGAAGGCGTCCTCGACGCTCGCGGCGGCACCGCAACCATCACCGTGCCGGACGTGCGCGCCTGTAGGGCGACTGTGCACATCGTCGACAAGGTCCTCAGCCCCCCCGAGGGCTACCTGGAGGCGGCAGCGCAGTCCAACGCCCCCGCGCCGGCCGAGGAGCCCAGGCCGGGACGACGGGCGTGATGCACAGGAAGACACGTTGTATCCGCTGCGTGGCGGAGCTCGCCCCGGTCGGTGCTGCGTGCCTATGCAACTCGTTTGACCATGCGCAGAATGTGAAGCTTCTCTTCATCCGCGCTCCGCACCAGCGCGACCTCCGCGTCCAGGCCCGCCGCCTCCGCGATCCCGACCAGCTCCTCCGGCCGGTTCTCCGCCACCGTGACCATGTAGCAGCGCCCCCCGGGCGACAGCAGGTGCGGCACAGCGGGCAGAAAACGGTCGATGACCTCGCGGCCGTTGAACCCGCCCGCCCACGCGGCGCACATCCCCGGGCGCCCCACCTCCTCGGAGGGCGTCAGGACGTACGGCGGGTTGAACAGGAGCAGGTCAACAGCGCCGCGGAGGCGCCGCGACAGTGGCGCGGCCAGGTCCGCCTGCGCTGGGGCGGCGGGGGCGCTGGGTTGCCGGCGGCTGGAGGTGCGCGTGTAGGGGCGCGGTTGTGCGGGCGCGGGCGGCGGTGTCTCACCAGTGCGGTGTCGAAGGCGGTGATGGCGTGGGCGCGCATTGTTGTGGTGGTGCAGGCGCAGGCGTCAGGGTTGATGTCGGTGGTGATGAACTCGGCGCGAAGGCCCGCTGCTGCCATGGCTGTCGCGACGGAGCACGTGACGTAGCCGGAGCCAGAGCCGACCTCCAGGCAGCTGCAAAAGAGGGCGGCACAAGGCGGCTGTGGGGACGGCGCATACCGGGGCGCGGACTGCCGCAGCCGGCGCGCATGACGTGGAACATGTCGCCGCCATCCGCGGTACGTCATGCGCTGAGGATGCGGGCTCGAACAGGGGCCCGTCGTCCGCACAAAGGGGAGGGACCTCACAGGGTGGGATTCAGCGCCTGGATGTCGGAAATGTCCGCAATTACCGCGTCTACAATAGCGAACGAATCGTCGGACGGCTCGTAGACCTCCCGCGTGTAGTGAGTGTCCGCAATCCTCGCAATTGGCAGTTTCTCTCCAGCCATCATGGACGTGCAGAGCGTCCTCCTACGCGCCGTGGCCGCCCTTCCAAAGGCGGGTGTCTCATGTACCCACAACACTGCGTGCTTCCCGCACCCGCACATGGCAAGAGAGGCCCTGACGGCCGCACGCGGGGGCGTCGCGCTGAGATCTCTCGCCAGGCAGACTGACGGGGTTGTGCGTCGCTTGCGGTGATGCGAGCCGGTTGCGTCGCGCGCTGCGCGCACTCCTTACGTCATGGCATCACTGCGGGTGCGTCACACGGGCTGCGGGTCGCCCGGGTCAGCGCTTCGTGACCACCTTCCAGTCCAGCTTCGGCCGCGCTTTGCCGGCGGTTGCTGCGTCCCATGCGAACAACGTCCATCGGGACGGAATGTTCAGTCGCGTAGGGGAGCAGAGGGACCGGGGAACGCCAGCAAACAAGCGGGTGGGGCGTTGACGCGAAGGCTCGCGATGTCCACGCTGGTGTGTGCACCAGCGCTTCTTCAGCAGCGCCTCGCGCTTGCTGACGGCTCTGATCCGTCTGAGGCGAGCGACGTCGACTTCGACTGCTCCTGCAAATCGAATGTGTCCGGAAAGGCGAGCCCCGCAGTCCCCGCAACACGACCTTGCCCTCCACCAGAAGCACGTCGCCTTCTCCGCATCGGCCGCGCCTCACCCCCACGCCGCGTTCGCGCCCACCGGCGACCGCAGGGCCCCTCGTTCCGCGTGGACAAGTCCGGCGCGGGCGGCGCGCGCACCTCCCTCGCCGCCGCGATTGCAGACGCGCGCACGGCCTGGCAGTACTCCGGCGACCCCGCGCCCGCGACGATCGAGCTGGCCGCCGGGACGTACCGCGAGCGCGCCGTGCTCGACTTCCCCTGCCGAATCCGCGCGGCGCCCGGCTCCGGCCCCGCGCCGACCATCGTGTGGGAGACGGACGCGCCGTACGAGTCGACGGTCGTCGTGATGGCCCCGGGGACGTCGATCAAGGGCGTCAACATCAAGCACCGCTCCCCGTCGGTCGCGAACAACTTCGCGGTGTACGTCATGCAGGGGGCGTCGCTGTCGGTCGCGAAGAGCACAGTGACTTCGCAGACGGGCGCTGGCCTTGCGGTGGAGGGCGGGTGCCTGGAGATGCGAGGGGTGACCGTCGATTCGTGTGCCGGCGTGGGCGTGCAGTGCCTGGCGTCGATCGAGGGGGACGCGGAGGGCCGGCTGGCGATGGGGGAGTGCGTGCTGCGCGGCAACGGCGGGGGCGGGCTGCTGGCGCGCGGCGGCGTGCAGGTGTGCGCCACACAAGTTGATATCGAGGGAAACGGCGGCCCGGGCGTGCAGGTGGCCGACGCGCGGGTCCTGACGTGGCAGGACATCAGGTACAACAAGAACAAGGGGGGGAATATTAAAAAGGGGCCCGGCGTGACGGGCCTGTGAAGGAGCTCCGCGAAGCAGTCACAAAAGGAACTTCTCTATCGCCTCGGCGACCCCGTGGTCGTCGTTGCTGGCCACCACGTGGTCCGCAGCGACGCGCACCGGCTCGACGGCGTTGGCCATGGCCACCCCGAGCCCCGCGGCAGTGACCATCTCGAGGTCGTTCATGCCGTCCCCGCACGCCATCAGCTCGCTCATCGGCAGGCCCAGGTCGCGCATCATCAGCTCCAGCCCCGTGCCCTTGTGGTGCCCGACCGGACACACCTCGAGCATCGTCGGCACCGCCTGCATGGTGGTCGCGCCCGTGCCGTCGAGCGCCGCCGCCCAGTGCGGCTTCAGGACGCTGTCAACCTTCTCGGGGCTGTCCAGGAACAGCAGCTTGCGGACCACCGGCGCCGACGACCCGGGCGGCGGCGGCGGCGCACCGTCCCACTGCGAAGAGCACAGGGCGTCGAGCGACGGAGCGACCGCCGCGAGCGGCTCGTAGTAGGTCGTGTGCAGGTCCAGCACGAGGTCCGTCAGGTCGAGCGTGACGCACGCGTCCCCCAGGAAGGCCACAAGCGACGTGCCCGTCTCCTGGGCCCACGCAAACGCGGACCGCACCACCTCGTCCGGCAGCCGCGCCTCCGAGACCTGCCGCCCCTCGTGCCCGTGCACCTGCAGCCCCTGCAGGAACACCCCCGGCGACCGCTGCGACACCACGCCGCCCGGCTGCGACAGCCCGTGCGGCGCCAACGCTGCAGCCGCGGCCGCGCGCGCCTTGCCGGTCGCGATGACCACGCGCACGCCCAGGCCCAGCGCGGCGCGGATCGCCTCGACGTTCTCGCGGCTCACCTTGCTGCTGCTGTTCAGCAGCGTGCCGTCCATGTCCAGAGCCAACACGGCAGGCCGGTCCCTCCTTTGAAAGGACGACCCCGACACCGCGGCCGCCTGCACCTTCCGCCCCGCCCCCGCGACCGCGCCCTCGCCCTCCCCGTGCACGTCGCCGCCCACGCCGGCCTCCGCGATCAGTCCCGCGCCCGTCCATCCCATCTGCGCCAGCGCGCGCGCCTCCGCCTCCCTCATCTCGCGCGCGTCCGGCTCCGCTATGTGATCGTATCCGAACAGATGCAACAGCCCTGCGTGGATCGACGGCGCCGCACGGACCCCCGTCGCGTCCCTGTGCGCGCGGAGGGATTCTGCGAGCAGTTCGTCATTGTCGTGCGCGGGCGAGGCCGGCTCTCACCGTGCACGAGCAGAACGCGGCACTCGTCGCGCAGCCCGTGGCCGCGCTCCTCCGCCTGCCGCGCGGCGGTGTCCAGAGACACAACCAGGTCGCCAAGCAGCCGAACTGGCAGCTCCGGCCACCAGTCACCGAAATCGCCGTCGTCCTCGCCCTCCTCATCGTCCGCAGCGCCGTCCTCCTCCGTCCGCACGACGTCGTCACCGCCCGCCCCGCTCTCCTCTTGCGCGAAGGACAACACGTCCGTGGGCGCGTCCTTGCCGCGCCACTCGAGGTTCAGCGCCCGCATGCGCTCGTCGTCGACGAGGACCACGGACAGCTGGGCGGTTCGTTCGTCTGCAGGCGCGGAAACACCTCACGCGCGGCTGATGATGACGGCAACATTCACCGGCGGTGGCAGGGTCACGCTCGGCGTCGCCACGCACGGCGACCTGCGTGCGCGCAGGCCGCATCCGTGCCGCAGGGTCGCCGGCGGGGGACGCACCGGTTCCGTCGCCGCGCTTGTTGCCGGCCCAGGGCAGCACCGCAGCCAACAAGGCCGCGGCATCGTCCTGGAGCTGCATCGCAAGGGCTTCAGCCTGCATACCACGAACGATGCATGCGCGGTCATGCGATCGGGCTCAAATTGGGTTCACGCGGTGCGCTCAGAGAGCCGGCGTTCCGCAGTCGTCAATGCAGGCAGCGAGACACTGGGAGCGCGCCTGCAGGTCATCCGCACCCCCCAGCGGCGTCCCCTCGATCATCACGTCCACCTCCGCAACTGGACCCCCCTCGTCGCTGCTCGAATCGCTGTCCGATCCACCAGAACCGGCACATGCGGTCATCCTCTGCCCCACGCTCGTCTGCACCGACAGGAACGGTCCCCGCCGCGCCACCCTGGAGGGGCCTGCATGGTCGAACAGTCCTCTGCACGAGGCTTCATTGCAAGGGGCTCCCGGGCATCGCGGCCCGGCCCGGCGGTCCCGCAGAGAGAGAGAGCATCGCGACGGCCCGCTGCGTGCTCGTGCGAGACAGGCCCGCAGCGCCGGGCCCGCGTGGCGTGAGATCCCCTGGCGCATTCAGGTGTACTCTTGTGACGCAGGCCGCGTCGTCGGGCCGCCCGAACTGCGCGCAGAGCCCCCCAGCAGCCGTCGGTCCGTCCGAAGATGGCTGTCGGTGTGACACGGTGTCTGGTTCTACCGTGGCGACTGCTTGAGCGCGAGAGGGGCGCCGGGCACGCGCGATTGGCACTCGGCGGCGCGTGCACTCGTGCGTCGACGGATGCGTGCGGGGGAGCGGCTCCTGGGGCTCAGCAGCAGGGCAAGCACCAACACGGGCTCGGCGGCGCATATTGCCGGTCGCGCAATACGTGGACGGCCCGAATGGCTCCCACGGCGATGAATGCGTGCGTCCATCAGGGTTGCGTGGCCCTGAAGCGCAGGGTGGCGCCGGGTTGCGCTCAGAGAGCTCAGCCCAAGCTGTGTTCCGGGCAGCAGCGTCGCGGGGTCGTTGCTAGAGCGGCGGACGATAGTCAGTGGGTGTTCAGCAAGGCTCTGGTCCGCGACGTCGCGCCAACATTCGATAATGCCATTTGCAAGTACCCCCCGGAGGAGCCAATAAGCGTCGAGCGGGCCGTCGAACAGGTGCGGTTGCAGTGCTCCAGCGCAGCTCGCTGTGCGCGATACGGCATCCAGGCTGCTTGGAGCCACCAGGGCGCCCCGTTCCGGTCCCGCGCCCGACGTAGCCGCGCGTGGGCCGCGGTCAGCTGTTGCGCTACCTCACAGCGGCTCGCAATCGCGCTCCTGACCTCACGGCACGTCCTCGGTGCGCGCGCTCGCAGCATGATTTGTACATTAGGAGGCTGCAGGAAGCCGGGGTGGAGGTGCTCAAGGTCGCGGCCGACAAGAAGTGCCCCGATTGTGTCTTCATTGAGGACACCGCCGTAGTCGTGACCGGCGTCGGCGCCGTGATCGCGTGGCCAGGCATGCGGACCCGCAGGTGCGCCGTCCCGCGCCCCGCCGCGCGCCCCGCCGCGCGCCCCGCGTGCGTGCTGGCTGCGCACCACCACGTAGGCAGTCCGCGGTGCTGGCTGCAGGCGGGAGGTGGGCCCGGTGCGCGAGGCCCTGGACAGCCTCGGCCTGAAGCTGTTCGACGTGCAGAAGCCCGGCGTGGTGGACGGCGGCGACGTCCTGCGCATCAACACGGACATGTTTGTGGGCATCTCGAAGCGCACCAACGCGCAGGCCCTCGAGTACATCAGCGCCGCGCTGTCGCCGTACGGGATCCGCGTGTACGGCATCCCCGTGCCCGAGGCCCTGCACCTCAAGAGCCTGTGCACGGCGCTGGACAGCGAGACGCTTGTTGTGGCAAAGGGACCTGGCGCGGGCGTGAAGCGGAGCATCAACCTGATGGCCATCGACGACCTGCTCGCCGTCGACTACAGGTGCGCGCCGGCCGAGCTGCCGGCCCGGTCCGCCCGCGCCGAGCCACGCCCGGCGTTGCGTGACGGTGCCGCGTGCCTCGTGTGCCGTGCAGCTTCGTCGAGGTGCGGCATCCGCTCTCCGCGAACGTCGTGCGGATCAACAAGCACGTGTTGATCCAGCCGGCGGACGACGAGGACCGGGAGATCTTGGTGCGCGCGTGCGCTGCACGGGGGCTCACACCAGTGGAGGTCGACATGAGCGAAACGGGCAAGGCGGACGGCGCGCTCACGTGCTGCTCCATCCTCATCCCATGACGCCGCGGCCTGCTGTCCGTTGCGTCGCTCACAGCCCGCCGTTCCCCGAGCGATCTGTTGTTTGTGGCCAGCGCCTGCCGACGGCCCCGGGGGGCGCGATGTGAGCAGAGCAGACGTGACGTTTCTTCACACGCTTTAATTTATCACGCACGCCGCCGGTCGGCCCTGTCGATGGCGCCAGGGGCCGAGAAGCAGCTAATTGGCCAACTGATGCACTCGGAAGCATTCAGGGGCGGATCGCAGGACAACGTGCTCCCCGCCGGCCCCGCGGCCGGCGTTTATCCGGCCCGCCGCGTCGCGCTCACGTCGGGCGTTCGATGGCCCCCTTGAGGTTCCGCAGGACGATGTCGGTCATCACCTCCTGCTCGTCGGCAGTGGCGACGTGGAACGTGAAGGCCTCCTTGATCGCGCTCGGGTCCATCTGCTGGCCGCCGAAGAGCAGGTTCTCCTGGGGCTTGGCGTGGAAGAGGTACGAGTGCACGCTCAGCGCCTTGAGGTCGTGGGCGCACGTCGAGAGCAACACGTCCGCCCAGACGACGCCGCTGAACGCCTCGGCCTTGCAGCGGCCGCCGTACAGGTGCTGCCCGAGGCGCTGCGCCGCGGCGGCCGAGAAGATCATTCCGGCGCCCGCGGACATGTGCGCGGTGTGTGAGAACACCTCGTCCCAAAAGTACCCCATCGCGAGCGGCAGCTCGTAGTTGATGCGCCCGAGGAAGCCCAGGAGCCGCGGGGCGTTGATCCACGTGTCGTCGTCCGCGAACACGACCCACTTGACGTCCTCGAGGTGGAAGTCGGAGAACTGCGGCTCCTGCATCAGCCACTTGAAGCCCTTGGGCTGCCGCTTCTGGTCGTCGCCGTTCGCGTTCGCGCCGAGCAGGCCGGGGGGCGAGAACACCGAGAGGTTCTCGTCCGGGCGGTCGGAGAAGGCGAAGACCATGCCCATGGCGCCCCAGGTGCGCAGGATGGCCGGCATGAAGACGTCCTGCATCGCGCCCGAGGTGGCGACGACGAAGAGCACCTCGTTGCGCGTCAGGGGGGCCGTCGTGGGCGGCAGGTAGCACCCGGGGGTGTCGTGGCAGAACTCGGTGAACTCGGGCAGCGTGAGGTAGCGCCGGTCCGCGAGGCGCAGTCTCCGCCGCTGCAGCTCCACCGCGTCGATCGCGTCCTGCGCGCTCGAGGGGCGGACGATCGCGCCGTGGGCCGTCGGAATCGGGTCGCGTGCGGCTGCAGGCGGGCGGGGCCGAGCCCATGCAGAGCGCGGGGCGTACCTCCGTCATTTGAGCGTCGATCAGGATATCGTTCGGACCGATCTGATAGCTAGCCTCTGTGGTGAGCAGCTGCCGCACGCCCACGATCATCCACACTGCACGGAGCGCGGGTCTCGGGCAGAACGTGAGTGTGATATGCAGGACGGCGGGAGGCCTCGCTGAGCCGGCCGCGTCGCACGGGCGGGCGCCGACGAAGGGCGGTCGCCGCACGCGTCGAAGTCGTCGCAGCGGGGGCGCCGTCGGCGCGATGCCACGATCGGGCCACGCTTGCGCAAGTGCAGGGTACTAAACGCGCTACTCGGGTCTTCACGTCCGCATCGCGAGGGGATTCTCAGATCAATGTCATGTTGCTTATCGCAAGATTGCGACCGTGAGCCGGATGGAGCAGCAAGGCGCGTGGGAGGCGTGGCGCGCGGGCAGTGTGGCAGCACAGGGCCCCGCTACGTGTCCTGTGCGCCGGGACACGCTGGACCATGCGTGCGTCCGCACACAGGTCTATCCGCAGCACTGTTCGGTGCGCACGACCGCCGTTGCGCACCAAGGATCCCCAGCAGGCCTAAGACCCTAGGCGTGAGGAAGGCATCGCCCTTTTTCCCGTCGCCCATCGCGCCCCACAGCCCGAGGAACTACTCTGTCACGTCCCGAATCGCCGCCGGGAATGCCAGCGCGGCTTCCAATGGCCGACCTACCGCGTCACGCGGTGCGCACTCGAGCCCTGCACAAGAGACCGCCGCCTTCGCGTGCCAGTCGTCGCGGAAATCACCGGTCTAGCCGACCGCCCTGCTCTCTGTTCTGTCGTGCAGCGGTGCCGCACCACGCCTTCGCAACGGACGGCCCTATGGCCTGCCAGGCAGTGCCCTCCCCCCTGACGCTGCCCCAAGACACGCCCCCCGCGGCACCAGCCCACGCCTCAGCAGCAGAGGGCCGCGGCAACGCCCCCCCCAGGAACACGTTCGGCCATCACACCCCCTCGATCGCGTCCCAGTTCCGGTTCAGGTCGCGTGTGCTCGCCACCGTCGTCGTGCGAACCTGCTGCCCGCGCGCAGTCCCCGCCTTCGCGCTCGCCCGCGCCGCCGGCTCCCCAGCGGCCCTCCCGCGCCCCTGCTCGCTCGTGCCCGCGCAGTCGCTGCCCCCCGAGTCCTGATCCGTCCCCCAAATCACGCCCCAGCGCCCCGTCTCCCGCTCGTTGCCCTCCCGCACACCGGCCGCCCGACCCGCGGTGCGCTTGGCCGGCGCCTTGCTCACGGGGCGCGGCGCATTCGCGTCCGCGAGCGGCCTCCCCTTCGCGTCGTACATCACGCCGTCAATCTCAAACACCCCCCCTGACTTGAGCGACACCGCCGCGCCCGCCTTGGCCGGACTGGACTGCTTCGAGCTCCCCACGCTGCCGGGGCCGCCGCGGGACGTCGTGCGCGCGGGGCCGGCCACCGGCGCGCCGCTGGACGCGGCGTCGGAGTCGCTGCGGACCACCGTGGCGACGCGGCCCTGCGTGGCGGTCGGCACGGGGCGGCGCGGGGCGTGAGGAGCGACGCTCGCAGGCGCGCGGGGCGGGCGCGCGCGGCTGGGGCGGGCAGGCACCTTGACTTGGATCGACGCGCGGATGACGGGCATCTCGACGGGCGTGACGTCCCAAAAGTCCGGGGGGGGGTTCGAAGCACTTCCCCCCCCCGTCGTGAACGCCGGGAGGCCCCCGACGACGTGCGGCTTGTCGTCCTCCGCGGGCTGCGCGTCCTTTGCGGCCGCGGCGGCACCCTTGCGGCGCGGGCTCAGCTGTAGCTGCACTGGGCCAGGGGCGCACTCATCCTCGTTCGCGGGCTCGCCGGCCGGCGGCGCGCGTGCGGCGCGCGGGCTGCGCAGGGCGGCGACCTCGGCGTGGTCGGCGGCGGCGTCTTCGGTGGGCCGGGCGGGCCGCCCCGCGGGCGCGGGCGGGAGGGGCTCCGGGCGCGTGCTCGCCGCGGGCGCCTCGCTGGGGTCCGGCTCGTGCAGGAGCTGCCGGACGCGCCGCTCGAGGTCCTCGAGCCCGGCGTTGATCCACTGCGCGGGAAAACGGGTTTCCGCGCGGTGTGGCGCGTGCGACGAGCGGCGCAGCGAAGCAAGAAGCAGGCGCCGGCGTGAGCGGTGCGAGGCGCGCGGGACGGCCCGTCGACCGGCGCTGTGCACGGCACATGCTCCAGAGATGCCGCGACGCGCGTGCCGCGGAGGGTCGTGGCCGCGCTGCCGCGCGAGAGAGCGCGCGGCCTCTGGCGAGCGGTAGCGCAGGGGCGTTGCGCCCGGGGCGCGGGTGCGAGCACCGGCTGCGGGCGTACCTCTTCGGAGGGGTAGGCAGCCTCGGCGCCCTCCCCGCTGCCGGGCGCGACGAGGCGCACGCGGTGCGCCTGGTTCGGGGTCACGAGCGCGATGACGTCGCGCAGTGTCTCGCTCGGGTGCTCGTCGAGCGCCGCGGACCCCGGCGGCCCGCAGCGCACTCTCACGACGAACTCTTGATTGGGGGCCACGATGGCGCAGATGGACTCTGGATCAGACACCGGGTGGCTCAGAGCGCCCTCTACTTCCCACTCGAAGGCATCTGAAGAGGGCGCCGAGACGTGCACGGTGAGCAGGGCCTCCGTGGTGTTGGTCGCGGTGAAGGTCGCATCGCTCCCGCGCCGCTGCAGCGTCAGTTCGGCGCAGGAAAGTGCGAGGTCCCGCGCGGGGCCAGACCCGTTGCTTGCTGAGCGCGCGTCACTGCTCATCGCCGTCTCTGCGGCGACTGGCCGCCCGTGAGTCGCAGCGCGGTGGAGGGAGTGTGGCGTACGCTGCGGGGCGCGAACGCTCGGCGCCCGTGTGGTGCGAAACGCTCGAGGGGGCGTGTTGCGTCGGTCCGACCAAAGTTTGGAGCTGGTCCCGCGCCAGGGCCCGAGAGCGCTGTAGCCGCGCACGCGTGCCGAGTTCGATGCCCGGTCTATGAGCTGTGGCAGACAGCTTGCAGTGCACAGGTAGTGGCTGGCATTTGCGTGCGTGGCGTGAGCTGGCGAACGACATGATGGTGGCGGGTGCATGAAAGAGCCTCGGCGACGATCGCCGCAGTTCTCGCCGAGACTCTTGCGGCAGCACCCGCAAAGAGGTCGCCGCAGAGATGTCGCGTGAAGCCCGCGAGGCCCTGGTTGTGGCGGTGGACGTGGGCGAGGGCATGAGCGAGGTGCGTTGAGCGGCCCGGTGGGCAGCCCCGGCGCTCGAACGCGATCGGACCGCCACAGCCGCCACGACACACGCAGTCCCGACGTCGACAGGCGCGCCGCGCGTGCGTGCTGTGCAGGAGGCCCGAGCGATTGCCCACACAGCCGTTGGCGGGCTCCTGCAGTCGCGGCTCCTGGTCGGCATGCACCAGATGGGCCTCCACGACGCCTCGCTGATCCGTTTCGGCACCGCGTCCACGAACAACAAGGCCGCCGACGACCTCCCCGGCGAGGGCCTGTACCAGCACATCACCGTCGACCGCGCGCTGGGCTCGGAGCCGCCCCTCGACGCAGCCGACCTCGCGCACCTCCTGCGCGTGCTCGCGCACCCCGAGGCCCACCCGCACGCCGACCACGCCGAGGTCCTCGCCGTCGCCCTCCAGGAACACCAGCAGCACTGCAAGGGCCTCCCGCTGAAGAACGTCGTCCGGCGCGTGATGCTGCTCTCGAACTTCGCGCGGGAGCCGGACGAGTCGATCGCGGACATCCTCGAGCCGCTGCGGGCGGCCGCGGAGAAGCAGGCGGTCGAGCTGACGCTGCTGGTGCTGCCGCTGGACGAAAAGCAGGGGCAGCTACACGCAAACGTGCTGCGCAACGTCCAGCAGCTCAAGGAGGGACTCGGGGGTAGACTGGCCGTGCATGTGTGCCCGAGCGCGGTGAGCGCCGCGGGCGTCGCGCTGGGCGGGGGGGGGTCCAACCTGGTGCCGCGACTGGGGCGGCCGTATCGGAACCTGGACCTGGTGGTCGGGCCGGACAGCGACACCGGGCCAGGCGTACCGGTGTCGATCTACAAGCGCACGTTCGAGCCGCGGGACTACACGCGGGGTTTCGCTGGCGAGGTACACGCCTTGAGCCTCGCGCACATGTCCTGGGTCCGGGTCGCTGCCCCGCACGCGCGCACGTGTGACTGACGCATCCGAGCGCTGAATTTCCGCCGAGCCGCAGGCGGAGAAATCGCGCCCGTCGCAGGTCCCTGCGGTGGAGCCGATAAACATTGAGGACGCGGGCGACAGTGCTCAGGAGCGCGCGCCGAAGCCGGAGAAGCGGTACCGCTACGCGGTCGGCGAGTCCGTCGTGGAGCTCAGCAAGGCGGAGAACGACGCGCTCGCGTTCAGGCCTGGCCCGTGTTTCCGCTTGCTGGGTTTCGTGGCCGCGAGCGCTGTGCCCGACTGGGCGGTCATGGACTCGGCGTACACGGTGCTGCCGCGACGGGGCGACGGCACGGCTGCGGCCGCCTTGGCGGCGATGCGCGTGGCGATGCGGGAGCGGGGCGTGGTGGGGGTGGTGCGGTGGGCGGCCACGGGCGCGCATCCGGCGGTGCGGCTGTACGTCATGGCGCCCGCCGCGGAGCACGACTGCTGCATGACGCTGGGGCAGGCGCCCTTGATGGACGACTTCAGGGCCACGTGGGCCGCGTTGTTTCCACCGCTTCCCCAGGACGTGGGCAACGGAGCGCAGAACTCTGGTGTACGGGCCGCGGTGAGGGACTACGTGGGCGCGATGCGATGCAGCGACGACAGCGACCCGGAGGCGCTGGTCGACCCCGGTTTGCTGCGGGGGCTGGCGTTCCTGCAGCAGAGAGCAGAGGTGCGCATGTCATGCACAATGTGCTGGCTGCTTCCACGTGCGCGTCGAGCCGCGGAGACAAAGGCGTTCCGATGGCATGACACGCTTGAATAAAATGTGTGCGTGCCTGCCGTCTGCAGGGGAACATGAGCCCCATGGACGCAATGGAGCGGTGGGCCGACGACCACGAGGTGACGACGACCAAGGTCGCGGCGGGACGTCCGGCGGCAGCGGCGGCGCTGGCGAAACTGTCCGACGCCGCGCGCGGCAGGGACGGCCGCGTCAAGGTCGCAAGCAAGCAGGACGCAGGCTAGCGCCTTCTTCAGCTATCAATCCCTCATGGGATGCGTGGCCTTGCAGAATCAGCATGCGTCGAACAATCCATCACTCACATAATATGCTGCCTGAAGCAGCCGCAGCACCACGGCAAGCCGCAGCAGGTCGGCGGTGCCCTAACATCTACGCGAAGAGCTTCGCCCCGCTCTTTTCGAACCTCTGTAGTGCGTCCTCGTACAGGGCCTTCTTCGCGGCGTCAGGCACGAACCGGCGACCCCCCTCGGCCGCGGATGTGACCTCGCGCACGTAGGACCTGGTCTCCGCGCCGAGCAGCGCCGCGGCTGCTTGCAGCGCCGCTCCGAACGCAGCTGCCTCGGGCTCGGCAGGCGCCACCACGGGCACGCCGAACGCGTCAGCAAGCGTCTGGCACCAGAGGTCCGACCTCGCTCCGCCTCCGACGGCGATGAGCTCCGTGATGTCGCTCCGAGACGCCTCTTTGAGGCGGCCGAGCCCCGACAACAGCGACAGCGTGGCGCCCTCGATGGCCGCCCGGTACAGGCCTCCCGGCGTGAGCGAGCCTGGCGTGATACCAAGCAGAGCGCCGGTCGATCCAGGCCAGTTCGGCGTCCGCTCGCCCACAAAGTAAGGCAGCATGAGCAGCTTCCCCACAGGAGCAGCCAGGGCCTCCTGCGCGAGCTCCTCGTGCGACTTCCCCGTGAGGGAGCAGATCTCGTTGACCGGGCCAGTGCAGTTGAGCGTGCACAGGAGCGGGAGGTACCCGCCCGTGCAGTCGCAGAAGGGCGCCACGGCTCCTGTCTGGTCGATGTCGAGCGCGTTCGAGAAGCCGAACACCGTCCCCGACGTTCCCAGGCTGCACACCCATCGCCCCTCCTCAACGGCGCCTGCAAGCACGTGAGAGCGACCGAGGCAGGCCTCGCAAAGCAGCGCCCCGCACTGGTGGGGCATGACGCCGTGACGACGCGCGTGTCCGGCGGGCTCACCGACGCCGAGCGCGGAGCACATGTTGTCGCCGCTGCCCTTCGACACCGCGATCCCTGTCGGCAGGCCGAGGTACTCCGCCATGTCTGGGCGCAGTTTGCCAATCGGTGCGTCGCCGCCGTCAGACACAGCGGGCAGCCAGCTGGACAGGCGCGGGTCGATGACGTCGAGCCACGCCTGGTTCCACGAGCGCGTGTTGATGTCCAGGAGGCCCGTGCCGGACGCGTCGCCGCACTCCATCGCCAGCTCGCCCGTCAGCCTGAAGTTGACCCAGTCGTGCGGGAGCAGCACGTGCCGCACCGACGCGTACGTCTCCGGCTCCGCGTGCTTCAGCCAGAGCAGCTTCGGCGCTGTGAAGCTCGCCAGCAGCGGCCACCCGAACTGCACCCGCGTGGCAAGCACAACGCGGTGAGAAACATCGCCCCCCGACGACGAGGACGGGCACGTCCGAACGCGGCTCGCACGCCGCAGGCCGCAGCGCCGCACCTCCCGGGAGAGCTCCTCCGCCTCCTTCGCGGCCTCGACGTCGCACCACAGTTTCGCGGGGCGCAGGACTGCCTTGTCCGCGCCCAGCACCACCAGCCCGTGCTGCTGCCCGCTGACCCCGAACGCTCCCACCTGCGCGGCGTCCACTCCCTCGCACGCCCGGCCCACCGCCTGCTTCAGCGCCACCATCCAATCCTCGGGCCTCTGTTCCGCGCGACCCGGCACGCCGTCGGTCGCCACGTCCAGGGGGTCCGAGGAGCCGCGGGCGACGACGGCGCGGGAGTCGACGTCATACACCACGGCTTTGACGCTCTGCGTCCCCACGTCGACGCCGATGGTCAGTTGCGCACGGCAGGACATGCTGCGTCCTCGGCGCCTTGTGCTGCTGCCTGCGCGCACGAGGGGGGCCGGCTCCGCGTGGCCGCGCACGTCAATGAGACCGCGAGGCGATGTGCGCGTAAGCGACGATGCTGTCGCGCGGGCGCCGCGCGGCAGGGTCACGGGAGCGCGCCTGAGTGATTGCACAGAGACGAGCTCCTGTGTTGGGGCGCGGGAAGGTTGTTCCGTGGGGCAGCAGCGAGATGTGTGTGAGCTGCCTGGAGATGCATATCAGTCCGCGCGTGCCGCGCCAGATGCGTCGCGTGTGGACGTGGCAAGCGCCCCTGATAGTTGTGCCTCTTCACGGAACGATCGACGTTGATCCGGGATGCTGCGCGCGAGATACATGGGCGCAATGCCACGAAACGCCTCTGACATGCAGCTGCGGCGTGCCACGTAGTCCGCGAGGCGTCAGAGGGCCACGTGCGTCGGTGTTTGTTGGACCCGACGGGTGCAACACAGCACGCCCCTCTTCGTTGCAGCGCTCGCAGCACGTCGCCGGCCCGCAGCGCGCATGACGTCACTTTGCGGTCACCGTGCAGACGCGGGACGAGGGCGTTTGAGTGCACGCACCGCGGCGGAAGGGCCACAAGTGTTTGCCCGCGCACCTCTCCGGGCAGCGCGGTGCGTCTCCAGCGTCGAGGAGGAGGCTTCCGCCCGCAGGCGCTTGATGGCGAGAGGGCACCGCCACGTCGAGCATCTGCGCGCAGTCTTCCGTGTTTTCCTCTCCGAGGCAACGCCCCGCGAGCCCTACGGGTTGCGACTGGGCGCCGCCTGCCCCTCGCGCGGCGCCATGCCGCTCCCCTTCGCGCCTAACGGGGCCACACTCCCCGCCCCGAAGGCGAACTACTCAGGATTCACCCGCACAGGGAGGTTCAGCGGCGTGACCTCATCCCCCACTTCCGCGCGGGCACCCTCCCCAGTTCTCACGCTCCGTGCGTCCCCGGGCGCGCCACCTCGCTCCCTCGCCTCCAGCGCCCTCCCTGGCAGCGGGAGGAAGACCGCGGCCCGCGCCCCCAAGGTCGAGTTCATGTGTGACGAGTGTGGGGACACCTTCCTGCAGTGGTCAGGCAAGCACCGCCCCGGCCCGCTCGCCTCGCCCGCCGCTCGCCACGTCCGCTGCGAGCGCCCACGCACGCCGCCGTCCCCTCGCCGCGCAGGGGTGTGTCCCTCGTGCAAGGCGCTGAACACGATGAAGGAAGTGCGCGTGGAGACGGAGCAGGCCGCGCGGGGGTCGGGGGGCGGCGCGGGCGTGCGTGCCGCGGCGGGCGCGATGCGGAGCGGCCCCGCGGAGCAGAACTTGGGCGGCGGGGGCGGCCCGGGGGACGTGCGCAGGGGCCGCGGGTGGGTGGACAGCACGGAGCAGCCCGAGAGCGTGACGGCGCTGGCGAGCGGGAGGACGGGCGGGCCGAGCCGTGCGGTCATACCGGGCGAGGACGGACAGGAGCTCGGACGGGTGCTGGGCGGCGGGCTCGTGCCGGGGGTGTGTGTGTTGATTGGGGGGGACCCAGGAGTAGGAAAGTCAACCATCCTGATGCAGGTGCGGCGGCTTTGCGCCGGCACAGCTCCCGCGCGCAGAGCAGTACCCGGTCGGGCCGACGCCCGCCGTGCGAGACGCAAAACGCGTGTGTGGTTGCAGATGGCCGACCGCATGGCGGGCATGGAGGACGCGGCGCCGCTGCCGCAGGGGCCTGTGCTGTACGTGTCGGGCGAGGAGTCGAAGCAGCAGATAGTGCAGCGGGCCACCCGGATGGGCGTTGAGCACGGGTCCAACATCCTGCTGATGTGCGCGTCGGAAATCACGACCGTCCTCGACCGGATGCAGGAGCTCCAGGTACGTACCTACGACGCGAGTGCTAGGCGCTGCCTGCGCGCGCGTTCGCGACCCACGCCGCCTGCGCTGCGCCCACCGACGACGTGTGCTGTCGGGTGGTGTTTTCGCGCAGCCACGGTGCGTGGTGCTGGACTCGATCCAGACGGTGTACCTCGCGGACGCCTCGGGGGCTCAGGGGTCGACGACGCAGGTCAGGGAGTGCACGCGCGCGCTCAGCATGCTCGCGAAGAACATAGGGTCCGCGGTGTTCATTGTCGGGCACGTCACCAAGTCGGGGGAGATCGCGGGGCCGCGGGTCCTCGAGCACATGGTCGACACGGTGGTGTACCTCGAGGGCGAGCGCGGCGCGCCCGTGCGGCTCCTGCGCGCCGTGAAGAACCGCTTCGGGGCCACGCATGAGCTCGCCGTGTTCGAGATGGAAGGTCTGGGGCTGAAGCCGGTGCCCAACCCCTCGGAGCTGTTTCTCAAGGTGCGTGTCGTGCATCCCCTCGTCGCGGTGCCGTGCAGAATCATGCGGGCTGCGCTGCGTGGCGTGATGCACGGGGTCAGTGCGTGGTGGGGCGCAGGACCGGGAGCTGACCGAGGGGAATGGAAGCACGGTGACCGTGGTGGTCGGGGCGTCGTCGCGGCCGATCCTGGTCGAGGTGCAGGCGCTGTCCACGCCGGTAGCGGAGGGCGGGGGTGGCAGCCGCTCGTTTGGGTACGGCATCGACAGCCGCCGCTTGATGCTGGTCACGCAAGTGCTGGCCAAGCACGCGGGCGTCAGGACTTGGGCCAGGGACATCCTCGCGAACGTCGTCGGCGGCATCGACCTGCGCGGCGAGCCTGCGGCGGACCTGGCCGTTGCCGTCTCCATCGTGTCTTCGACGTTCAACAAGCCGTGCGCCGCCCGCGCCTCCATGCTGCCCGTGCCCCTGAAACACGCCCCCAACTGACGTTCGCCATCACATCATGTCATTCAGTCAGTATGTGTCACCTTGATGCCTTCCCGCGAGGCCGCCCCCGCAGAGTGCCGCTGGACATCGCGTGCATCGGCGAGCTGGGTCTGTCGGGCGAGCTCCGCGCCGTCCCGTCCCTCTCGCAGCGCATCCTGGAGCTGTCAAAGCTCGGCATCCGCCGTGCTGTTGTCCCCCTGGTGCGCGGCCTCGCCCCCCCCCCCCGCCGCACGAAGTGCTCCGCGGTGGCACTCCGCACGTGACTGAAGCGCGCCTCTGTTGCCCCGGCGCCCGCGCGCAGGCGGGCTTCTCTCCGGGGACGGACACGCACGGAGTCGAGGTGGTGCCGTGCAAGAACATCCGAGCGGCGTTGCGGGCGGTGTTTCCGGCTTCCGGGGCGGGACGCGACGGTGACGACTGACGCCGGCCGCGAACGGCGGAGAACCGGACAGCCACGTCACACATGGGCGCATATTATTCTCATGCAGCCGCAATCGCAATATGATTGTTATGAGGCTGCGACAGCTGCGAGCGGTGTGAGAGCGGACGCGCCGAGCGACCGCCCCGCCCGACGCAGACAGCAACAGTCGCCAGCCTGAACGATTGCCGTCCTCGGTGCCGCCTGCCGCGTCGCCGCGTGCCCTACTGGTCAGTACTGGGTCACCTGTTCAGGTCGCACTGGAACGCGGGAGTTGTGCCTCTTGCTCGGGCCCCACAGGCCCTGGTCGATGGGGATCTTGCCCTTCCTGCGCCGCGCAGCCGCACAGCGCGCGAGTCAGCGAGGCACCGCTGCAGCATCGCGTCCACGCCGACAGTCATGGCGCGCGACCGCCGCACCTGGGCTCCGAGTAGGCGACGTTCGAGGTCGACATGAAGTGCGTCTGCGGCTCGTCTTCCCGCAGGGTGTGATGGAAGATTGTGGCGCCGGGCTGCCCGCGCATGGTGGCCTTGAGCGTCGCGCGACTGCGGGCGTCGTTGGCCATCTCCTCCTTGTTCAGCTCGGGACGCTTGAAGTGACCCTTGCTCGTCGTCTCGGCCTGAAACGGCGCGCCGTAGTCCAGAACGGATCTCCGCCTCCTGCGCGCGAAGCCACACCTGTCGCGGTGGGGCTCGTACGCTCAGCGGGGCGCGCGCGCACGTGCCCGAGCCGAGCGAGCGGGGCGCGCCGGTCGCGAGATGTCGCGAGATGCAGCGCAGATCTCGAGCTGCGTGCGCGCGGGCTGCGTAGGGCGGTGCGCGCGCGACTGTGGCTGTTGGTGAGCACAGCGTTTGGCCGCCTCCAGGCGCGGCGACACGCACCGGTGCGCGGTCTTCGCGATGTCCTCCACCCAGTTTGATATCAGAGTGCCGCTGCCGTAGATGTTCTTCGTGCCACTCAGCCCGATCCCTGCAGACACGCACCAACAGGCGCTGGGACTTGTGCGGCCGCCAAACGGACGCGCAGGGCCATCTGCGCCCCTCGCATCCTCGGCGACGCGGGCCCTACATCATCTCGGTGCCGACACACAGCCGCGCGCCGCCGTGAAATCCACGCAGCGGTCCCGCGGAGCCAGACATGCTTTGACGCACCCGACCCCGTCATCGGCGTGTAACGCTCGCCGTCGTCCAACGTGTCGCGCGGCATGACGTCACTATGCGCGACCGTCCGCCTGTCGCAGGCCGTCGTGTCCAGGCCGGTCCCTCGCCCCCGCCTCGCTTGTTTTCTGCTGCCGCGTGCCCGCAGGATGCTGTGTGACGCTCTCGACGGGTCGTGCGCGGTAGTGATACGGCGTGGGGGCCGCCGGGCGCGTCGCAACCCCTTGAGCTGCTGCGATGCGGCGCGCGCCCCCCCCCGGAGCGCCACCTCAGGCACGTTGTGGTCGGACGGTGGGCCTCACGCCTCCTGAGCAGGCTGAAGGCGCTCTGCCGGTGACCAAGAGGCCGGGGGCGCGGTGTCCTGTGCTCACTCGTCGCACCCACACAGCAGGGGACCCTGCGTGGCTCGAGATAGTGCGAGTGTGCGACACACGGCGACGCTAGAGAGTATCTGCGTGGTTTTCGCCACCGTGGGAGGCAGGACGGGGCTGCTGTGGGCGGCAAGGGGAGGCAGCGGCCGTCGCCATGCGGACCCCACTGAAAGGAGATGGAGCGGGAACAGGTGCGGCCCGAAATTTCGTTCCTGCCGCGGGCAGCGTTCACGCTACCGCGCACTCTGCACCAGCTATAACGTACGTGCGCGCGTGCGCGTCGTCGATCGCCGAGGCCGGAGTTCGGCCGACCCTGTTCCAACACTACGCTACTCATGAATTCGTTCATGCAATGTCCTGCTTCACGCACCGCGCGTGGACGGCTGTGCGGGTCCGCCTCTCAGGCTGCTTGCAACGGCCCACACGCGGCCTCCGGGGCGCGACGGAGGCGCCCCTGTTCCACGCAACGCAGCACCGACACGGCGGCATGCTGTGCGCGCTGCCCGGAGCGACGTTTCCGTCGCAGGCAGCGTGGGCGCGCGGCCTGCAGACCGCGGCCGTGCCCAGCTCTCCGTGCATCGCAGGGGCGGCGCGACGGGGTGGGCGCGCGAGGAAGGTATCTGAGCGGATGGCGGTGGTGGACGTGGAGGAGCGGAAGCGCGCGTTGGCGGCGCGTCTGGAGGCGCTGGAGACGGACCACGCGGGGCAGGACGTGGGCGAGGACAGCGACGACGAGGAGTTCGAGGTGAGCGAGGAGGAGGACGACGACGGGACGCGGCAGCCGAAGAAGCAGAAGGGCAAGGGTGCGCGCCCCGCCGTTGCAAGGCCCCTGTGCGCTACGCTCGCTGGCGGCGCCCCACGCCGCGCCGCGCGCGGCGAACCCCGGCGACGTTGTGCGTCCGTGCGTGGCTGCAGGGAAGCGGCGGACGACGCGCGGGCAGCTCGACCGGAAGGGCGCGCGCACGCTGCAGGCGCTGCTGGAGGAGCAGGAGGCGGGGGGGGGTTCAGGGCCGGGGTACTTGGACGCCGCGGTGGGCCCGCCGCGGTACCGCAGCCCGCGGCGGCTGTGCAGCGTGTGCGGGCAGCTCGCGCCGTACAGCTGCACGCGGTGCGGCGCGCGGTTCTGCAGCCGGCGGTGTTCCGGCGTGCACGCGGACACGCGCTGCCTGAAGTTCGTGGGCTGACGGGCGCGTAGGCGCGGCGCGGGCGCGCGGGGCGCGACGCGGGTGCGCTGGGCGCCGCGTGCGAAGGGTGCCGTGTGATGCGCGGTGTTCGTAGTAGTCTCCGGCCGGACCGCAAGGAGGTGTGCGGACGGCTGAGGAGCCGCCCATGTGTGCACGGTGGACGCTTGCGCGTCGGTGCGTCGGGAGCCACCCTTCGCCGGCGTGGTGGCGCGTCACGTGCGCTGATGCGTGGCAGTCCATTGCGTGTGGCAGGCGCCAGAGCTGCGCACAGGAGGCGCTGCGCACGCCCGGGGCTGCGTTATGCGTGTGAAAACGGATTTCCCGCTCGCGAGCCTCTGCTGGGCGCCCGCTGCGGGTATAACCTATACTGGTGGACAGGAGCTTGTCCGGGGCCTGACGTCGGCCGTGGCCGCGCCAGGGGCTTCTTGGCGGGCCCGCGGGCGAGACAAGCGCCAGTGGCAGCCCGGGCAAAGCTCTGGGCGTCGCTTCCGTGGCTGGACCAGGCCGGGGCATCTCTGCTGTGTGTTGTCACGCAGGCAAGTCCCGTGCCGCACCCGCCGGCCACGCACGCGCGATTTCGGCCAGACCACCTCGTTCCTCGCAGCTGTGTCCCCCCCTACCTCCCCGGGCGACTGTTCCCGGGGCCGCTGCTGCGCGCCAGGACGCGCCCTGCCCGAGCTGGGTCCCCTCGGGGCCGCGGCCCCGGCCTGGGCGCGCAGACAAGCCAGCGCCGATCACCGGCAGACGCCAAGATCTGTCTGTGGCGCACGCTGCGCCCAGACGGTCCGTTCGGGCGCGCAGCGTTGCGGGACGGCACTCCGTTGCAAGCAGCCTCTACGCACCCCGGTCCGCCGTCCGGGCAGCGAGGGGCGCTACGCCGTCGCGGACTCCGTAGGATCGATCCCAGCTGTCCACGTCAGCCCTCCTGAATCCGTTTCAGCCGCTCTAGGATCGCCCCCGCTCTCCGCCGCTCGTGAGCTCGACGCAACACTGCTGTTTGGTTGGAGGCTCTCTGCGTTGGTGCTGCCCAAGCATCCGTCGTTGGCGGCGAATCTTTCCATGATCTGGCAGCAAGGAGCGCATATCCGCGAACGAGCGCTGCGGAAGTATCGCGGATCCGCCTGTGCGCGCTCCAGTGGCCTGCTGCTCCGCCGATGCGGACCGGCTCGTAGGAGGACGCCGCCGTTCCGAAAAGCACGCGGATGGTCTTGACGCAGGAGTGCGGTCCTGAGACGGCCGCTCTCGTCATCTGATTCGCAGGTGTCGAACGGCTGCTGGGTCCCTCCAACTCTCCGCAGCCTGGGACCTCGCGCGGCGCGCGCATAATGATCGCCGCGGGGAGGATGCCGGCTCAGGTGCGCGCGCCCGCGGCTGCCACGCCGCGATGGCCCAGCCTCCGGCACCGGCCCCCGCTGCGCCGCTCCCCGCCGCGCACCTCGTACCTGCATCCCCAGCTCCACCCGGTCGCTGCGAGGCCCGCGCGAGCAGCCGCGGCGCTTCCGCGTCGCAGCGACGCCCCCATCGACGCCTGACGCCCACCACGGCACAGAGCACCGTCCGCTACGGCCCCGCGGCCTCCGCTCGGGCTCCAGCGCCTGCGCGGCGCCACCGAGCGCTGGGCGGCCGTCTGACCCGGTGGGACTGCGCCGCGCGTGCGTGCAGGAGACGGCGTGGGCCCCGGGCGGCGACGCGGCGGGCGACGCGGCGAGCCTGCAGGACGCGTTCAAGCGGTTTGCGCTGCGCAGGAAGCAGGACAGGCGGGCGGCGGAGGAGCTGCGGCGGCGCGGGGAGAGCTTCCGGCGGAGCGCGGAGGCCAAGAGCGAGCTGCGGCGGAAGTTCCTCGAGCGGTGCGCGGCCCGGTGCGTGCGTGTCGGTCGCTGGTGCTGTGCCGGGTAGCGCGTGGCTGATGTGGGAGCGCGGTGCGGTTGCGTGCGTGCAGTGCGCGGCGGTACCTCGGGGTGCCGTACGCGCGGCGGTTCCACGCGGCGGAGGGGGAGTGTTCGTGCGAGGGGTGCGCTGAGAGCGGGCGGCAGCTGGCGCAGGAGCCGTTGTTTCTGGACTGCTGCGCGCTGGTGCGGCGGTGCGTGTCGGACCTGAAGGAGGAGTTCGGGTTCCAGCTGGGCCCGGGGAACCAGGCGTTCCAGTGGGACACGCTGCGCGCGCACCAGGTGGACTCGGTGGACCAGCTGCAGCCGGGGGACTTGATCTTCTACTCGGGGGAGTATTACAGCGAGAAGGCGAAGAAGCAGCACTTCGACATGACGCACGTGGAGATCTTCGTCGGCGGCGCGACGGGCGAGGCCGTCATCGGGAGCCGCGAGAAGCACAAGTGGGTGAAGGAGTACGACTCGTACAAGTTCGACTCCAAGTCGTGGAAGCTCAAGGAGCACTTCTTCTGCTCCATCGACGCCTGGCTCGAGGGCAAGTGCGAGCCGTCCGGCGAAATCCCCTGGAAGTGGCTCGTTCGCGGCGACGGCACCCGGCGCTCGGTGTTTGACTGCCTCTCCAGCCAGCAGCAGCAGCAGCGCGCCAGCGCGACCGAGTCGGTCACGTCCACGCCGCGCAGCAGCGCGAGCGGGCGCAGCAGCGCGAGCAGCCGGAGCGGCGCGAGCGAGGGCAAGAAGAGACGGAAGGTGAAGCGCAAGGTCAAGAAGAGCAGCGCGAAGGCGGATGCGGACAAGGCGGAGAAGGCGGCGGGGAGCCGGAGCAGCCAGGGCACGCCGCGCGTCCTGTCGTCGTCGCGGGGGTCCTCGCACGGCAGCCAGTCGTCGCTGCAGAAGCCCTTCAGGATCTGAATCTCATTGTTGCAGTGCCGACGCATTTTTAGCAGCCGAACCAACACGCGAGCCGTCGCGACGACGCACGACGATGTGACCGCGGCGCGAACGCTGCTCGCGCGCCACCCCGCTGTGCGGCGCACGACTGCTGAAAGAATGAATGCTCTGCACTCGAAGACGCCTCTGCGGTCCGGGCGGGCCGAGATCCGCGCCCAGCCCGACCCACCGAAGCGCCCTGAGTGTGCCGACGGTTTTGGCTCGCCGTGCTCGGAGCGGCGGCGTCGTTCGCGGGTGAGACCGCTCCGAGTGGAGCTGCGGCCATCTATTGCCGTCTCGAAATACGTCACAGCGCGCCCCGCCCGTCGCACCGAGAAGCGCCGAGGACGGCCCGCCCCGCGCTCTAGTTGTAGTACAGTTCCAGGTTCATCCCTGCAACGGCGGTCGGGGACAGCGCGGGTGCACTCACGCCCGACAGAGCAGCCAAGCGATGTGGAAACGCGGCGCCGGGCGTGCGGGAGGAGCGCACGCTCGCGGGTGTCTCACCGTCGTGGATTTCGTAGTCCTCGAGCGTGATGTGGTCCTTGTACACGTTGTACCACTTCTGAATCCTGCAGCGGGATGCACGCGGCGAGAGGGTCGGCATGCGGGCTACAGAGCGGCGCATGGCCAAGTAGGAACGCAGAGCTCGGTCGGAGCGCGTGATTTCCGCAGCGCGGTGCCTCGGGCAGCGGTCCGCGCCTGATCTTTTCTGGCCGCGTGCCCGTTTGTGCCGCCACGAGCTTCTTCAGGTCCCCAATCGTGTCGTCCTCGCTGCAGGGTGCGGCGACACGCGTCGAGATGAGACGGAGAGTCGCGGATTCGGCGGGATCGCAATGTGCCGGCGATGCGCCGCCTGGAAGCCGGCGCGCTGTCTCGGAACCCCCGCGGGCAGCGGGAGTGCGGCGTCCGCAGGTGGCATCGCCAAGATCGGGCGCTGCGGCGGCACAGTGTGTGCAATGTGCGTCCATGCGACGCCCTCGTGGGGCGCAGTGTCCGCGCAGCGTGCGCTCATTTGCGGGCAGAGACTCACTTGCACTTCACTCTAATCTTCTTCCCTAGCCGATCGTTCAGCACGATCTCGATCATCGTGAGCGGCTGCCCTCGCCCTCGATGCGGCGAATTACGAGCCGGAACGATCTAGGCGCAACCAAGCGACGGGTTTTCGGGGCGAAACACGCACTGGCAGGCTTCAGGGCGCGACGGGTGGCCGACGACGTGCAGCGGACTGGGCACGTGGGGCTTTGCAGGGATGGTCGAGCCGCGTCGCCCACGTAGCCGCTGGGGGCGCGCGGAGGTGTGGACCTCGCGTTTTTGCACCTGCGTTGCGTGCCCGACTGAACACAGCGTCCCGCTGTGCGGCCGCGTCGCTGTCGGGAGTACAGCACCCCGCTGCGTGGAGCATGACTGCCATGTGCACGCACGCATCGATTCGGAGCCGCACCCCTCTTCCCGGCGCTGCCACCGCCGAGGAGCCAATTGCACCCACCTCGAGCGGCTGCAACGGCCCAGACTGCGTCGTACGTCAGACTCCCGCCACCCACGCCGGCGTGTATCGCCTCGGAGGAAGCAGAGCACGGCCCGCGAGCGATCCCGACAGATGGGGAAGAAGGCTCGCGAGCGTAAGAAGGCCGGCAGCCTGGCGCTGGAGGATGTAGCGGTCCGCCGTGAACCCGCGAAGGACGAGTCGGGAGACGAGATGCGGATGAGTGATGACGGTAGGCCGCCGCCCGATGTGAACGCAGCGGCCGTAGAACGGGCCGGCGCACGACGAGTGCTTGCCCAGCAGGAATCAGGCGGCGGCCTGCGCGTGGCCGCCTCCGCCAGCCGCTCCACTTTGCGGCTTGACATGTCGAATCGCCGTACGTTTCCTCGCGGCGATTGAGCGCAGAGGGAGCGGCGCTGGGCTCAGCAAACCCGTTCGGCTTCCTTGCTGCTGGCGGCGACGACGTGGACGGGGACAAGGGGGCGGACAAGGGCGAGGACCTGAAGATGGACGACGACGCAGACATCTTCGGACTCAAAGCGCAGCGGTCCCAGGTGCGGCGCATGTCATACATGCAGCAAACAAACATCGCCCTGCGCAGTGCGTGTGCGCCGCGTGCCGTCCGGGCCGGAAGCTGACGAGCGCCGTGCTTCCCGGGCGCGCTCGCAGGTGTCGGCGCGCCAGCGCAAGCGGCATGCGTCGCGCTCGCCCGGGGTCGCGCTGAAGCTGACGGGCAAGCGGGGGAACAACACCATGAAGCAGCGCCGACGAAAGGTGCGAACGCCGCCGGAACTACGCGTTCGAACGCCGCCGCACGGGGCGGCGCGCGCCCGTGCTGCCGGGCGCCGTCGCGCAGGACGGCCGGCGCGCGTGCCGACGCGTCGTCCGCCCGTGCTGCCTGCGCGCGCAGTTGCAAGCCGCGGAGAAGGCGATCAGCTTCAACAGCAAACTCGGCGCGAAGGCAACGCGAGTCAAGTCGAAAGCGCTGACGCGCAAGAAGCTCAGCAACCTCTACTAGAGCGCCGCCGCGCCGTGTCAACACCTTCGTTCACCGCGCACGTGTCAACACCTTGGTTCACCGTGCACATGTCTCGCGCGTCGCCGCCAGCTCGCATGGGGCTGTCTGCCGAGCGACGCACCCCGCTCGGCAGCACGCGAGGCACGTTCTCGCAACGGCGTCGTCGTCGCTGCAGCAGCTCGTCGTTCGTCACATCTTCCTGAACCACTTGGGCAGCTTCTTCTCGCCGCCGATCCCCGGCAGCTTGCTCTGGCTCTCCTTGAACCCCGCGTCGCTGCCAACCTCGACGAATCCGCCCGCCCCCGTCGACCCGCCCCCCTCCTCCCCGAGCCCCGACGCCACCCGCCCGCCGCCGGCCTCCCGCGGCACGTGCGCCGCGCGCCGCGCCAGCACCTCCGCCCGCAGCACCTCCGCGCCCTGCGGCGCCCCGTCCCGCAGCCCCACGTGCACGTACGCCGCCGGGCACAGCCCCAGCGCGTACAGCGACTGCGCCACGTCCCTGATCTCGACGCGCGGCGGGGTCGTGAAGAGGTACGCGCGCCGCCCGAGCTCCGGCACGAGCGCCTCCTGCGCGGCCGCGAGGAGCGTCGCGGCCGTCTCCGTCGCGCGCATCCGCACCTGCACAACGGTCCCCTCGCTGTCCGGGAGAAGCAGGCGAATCACCACCACGCCCGCGCGCTCGGCCTTCTCGCGCGCCTCCTTCTCGCGCATCGCCTTCGTCTTCAGCACGTCGTCGTTCGCCGCCCGCCGCAGCGCCGTCTGCTCCGCCATGACGCGCTTTAAGTCCTCCGGGGACATCTCAAAGTAGTCGTCAGGCATCCGCGCCAGCTCCTGTACCAGGCCCTCGACGCGCAACAACCCCGGCATCAGCACAGGGAGGGGGGACGCGGGCCGGACTCGGCGACGCGGGCCCGCTCGTACGGTCTACCGCAGCCAAGGGGGGGTGTTGCCGCTTTACTGTCAGGTCGGGGCCGCACCTGCATGAGGTCCTCGATGCGCGGGCCCGTGCCCGCGAGCGCGTCCCTCCGGAACACCGACGCCGCCGCCAGCAGGCTGCGCGCGCGCCCCTGCGCGTCGCTCGCACCGCCCGCGTCGCCCGTTGCCCCCGAGTCCGCCGCAGGCACGCCCGCGGGCGTCGACCACTGCAGCGTGATCGGCGCGGCCTGCTGCGTCGGCGCCGGCACCGGCGCCGCGGCTCCGTCGTCGCGCGCCCGTCGGAACGGGTGGTTGGGGTCCCACTCGTGCTGCGCGTCCTCCTCCTCCTGCCTCTGCCGCTGCCTCTGCTCGCGCCGCTCCTGCCTGCGGGCGTCCGCGTCCTCGCCGAGGATGCTCGCGGCGAGCTGCAGGCTCCCGCCGCACATCTCGAGCGCCTGCACCGCCGCTGCCCGCGCGTAGCCCATGTCGACCAGCTTCGCCACCTTGCTGGGGAACTCCGGGTCGCCGCCGCCCGGCTGCGGGGCGCGGGGCGCGGGTGCCGGCGCCGGTGCCGGTGCCGGTGCGGGCTGGGCGGGCTGCGCGGGCCCGGGGGCGTGGGCGAAGTAGGCGGCTTGTGCGCTGGGCGCTTGGAGCTCGAGCTTGGTGCCCGAGGGGAGGTTGGCGAATCTGACGGGGTCGTCCATGGCCAGCGGCTTCTTGTTGTGGATGAGCTTGCACTTCGAGAGGTCGGCGGTCCGGCCGGCGAGCTTCAGCGCCTCCTCCGCGACGGAGCGAAGGGTCATCATGGGCGTGGTCTTCACCACGCACCGCTTCCCTGCGCGCTCGGACAGGACGGGCCGCCGCGTCGCTCAATCCGAGCTGTCGATGGCAATGCACATTGAGAGAGTTCGCTCGGGTGGCAGGTGGGGGCGCAAGACCGCTGTAACTGCACCGGCGGGATCCGACGCCCCGCGGGGCGTGCTTGTGGGTCGCGGACATGGCCGCATCCGCAATGAATCGTGCGAAAAAAGATCGTTCGATACGCTTGCGCGCGAAACAACGGTTGGGATGCGCTGCTGGGGGCTGGGCGCAGCGCGCTGTGCCAACAGCTTCCAGTACTGTCGCGCTAGCGCACAGGTGGCTGGGCTCCGGGCGTGTCAAGCACGTAGAACAGCCCGATCGCAAGATACATCTCCCAAGAGGCGTGCGGGCAAGGTGCGAGAGCGGTCTCTGGCGACGTGCGCACCGTCCACAATGACAGCAAGGTTCGACATCCTGACGGCCGCTACCTGCGCCAGTGCCAGCGGTGGCCGACGTCCGCGGTCCCCCCGAATGGCCGGCCAGCAAGCGCCGGCGGGATCTCATCGGCAGGTGCGGGCCATGTGGCCGAACATGACTCCCCCCCGACAGGTGTTGGCGACGAGTCAAGTGGGACGCGTCGCAGCTGCACCCCGCCCCCCGCCGCGCCTCGAGCGCGGCGGGGTCTGTCCTCAGCATCCCGGCACCAAGACGGGCGCTGCAGCCCCCCCGTCGCGGCCAGACACGTGCCGACCTCAACTCTCGCGCGTATACAGGCGCGAGCAGAGCCGCACGGCCGGGTGCCGACCGCGCCGCGAGCGCGGGTGAGAGTCCGTCATCTCGGGGGGCGCGTGTCAGGCGCGGCCGATCACAAGCGCCGCGTGTGTCGGTTGTACAGCACGCCCAGCAGCGACGCAATGAAGAACCCGCCGTAGATGCCCGCGGTGGTGTAGCACGCGCTCGACGCCTCCGCCATCTGGTCCGACAGCGACGGCGCGTCCTCTCCGTGCGCTGCAGGCACAGGGCGCGCGGTGCGGCCGGTCGGCGGGCTGCCACAACGACACACGTCTGTACGGCGCCAGCGCGCCGTGCACGGGTGCCGCCGCGCGTCCGAGCGCCGGCCGTGACCGGTCGCTGCGCTGCGTTCGTGCGGCGCGCGTCTCGCTGCGCTCGGTCGCCGGCGCGTGTGTGGGATCGCGTGGGGCTGAGCAGGTGTGGGGGCACGGGCAGCGTACTCGTCCATTCGCCCAGGTACGGGTAGTTCTTCTTCACTAGCGATCCGAGGAGGAGCAGATATACGCACCCCATGCCCGACATCAGCATGCAGAAGACCGAGTCTGCACGCAGCGCCGGGGAATTGAGAGCTTCGTTGAACAGGCAACCAAGGCGGCTCGTGGACGGGCAACGCTGGATCCTGTTACCTCAGCCGTTCTCAGACAGGGGCGGCACGCCCTGTCGTGTCGCGAAAGGCCGGGCATGCGCGGGTATGGCGCGCGGCACAGCGGTGTTGGCGAGAGACCCAAAAACGGGGCAGGTTGGGTTCGTACAGCATGGCCCGCAGAAGCAGCTGAGCTGGCTCAGCACCATCTTCGCCTAGCACTCCTTCCAGACCTTGGGAACCCGCTGTATCGGGCCACGGCGGCCGCTGGGGCACTGCGCAGTGCTCTTGGCTGGTCAATCGAGCGCTTTCTGCCTTCAGCACCTCCTACTGGTCCCAACAAGTCCCTCAGCACGAACCAGACACCTCAAGCTGCAGTCGGGCGCGCACGTTCTGTGCCGCGCCTCACGCAGCGCCCCACAAGAAGTCGACAAGAGGTAGTGGAGGAGTTCGAGGGGTCTCGACTGCGTATGAGCACGCGCGCGCCACGACGCGATCGGCGACAGCGGCACGCGGCGCCTGACACACCGGACTCGCGCTGGCCATTGTCATACCTGCGACTCGACGCGGACATTCGCAGCGGGCGCAAGGGCAGTGCAGCGGCGGCTGCACACCGTGCGTTGGCGGCTCGCGGGTGCACAATATCTCGTCGGCGGCGCCCGTTCTGCGTGCACTGACCGCTTGCGGTGGTACTGGGCAGTGTAGCAGGTCGCGAACGAGGGGCATGGGGAAGCGGGCGCAGGCGGGAGCCCTGGCAGCGAAGCCAGGTGCGTCGGCGCAGCGCTGTGGCCGCTGACACGCATCTGCAGTCGCAACACCCTTCTCCATTGATGATTCCGCGAGGACACCGAAAAAAGAGTCGTCCGGTGGCCGGGGGACGTCACCGCGGTGGTCGTTGCACAGCGCGGCGTGTGTAGCGCCCCGTTGCTGCCTCGGTTTCTGCACAGCCGCGCGACGCGCCCGCACGACGTCCTTGCAGGGGCTCCCGCGGTCAAGCGCAGCCGGCGGGGCGCCAGCGAGGACCCGGGGCCTGCGTCGGTGAAGCGGAGGAAGGCGCGGGAGTCTGTTGAGGATGACGCGGGCGCTGACGTGGCGCACCGGGACGAGAGCCCGCACGACGAGTTCGGCGGGTCGGGCGAGGAGGAGAGCATGGAGGTCGCGGGGGAGCGGGGGGCGTCGGGGAGCGACCAGGAGGGCGACAGCGCCAGCGGCGACGAGGGCGACGGGGGCGAGGACGGGTCGGGGTCCGACGGCAGCGACGACGAGGGGGGCTTCCTGTCGGGGAACAAGGGCGTGTCGTTCGCCAAGGCCTTCCACAAGGTCATGGAGGAGGCGGACAAGCGCATCGCCAAAGTGAGGGAAACAGCGCAAGGGGGCGGCGCAGCTCCGATCCTCGCAGGTGCGGGCCGCCGCGGCGGCGCCGACGCGCGGCGCAGGCGGTGCCCTCGGCCATGGCATACCCGGTCGCTGCGGCGGGGCTGAGCGCGTCGTCTGTCGGCGCTTGTTCGCAGGCAGCAAGTCGCTCGCTCGCGCGCAGCAGGGCGAGAAGGAGGCGCTCGAGAAGGCCCGGCAGCTGCGCGCCGAGCGGCTGCAGATGAAGCAGCGGGGCCACGAGCGCGTGCCGCGGAAGGGCGCGGACCCCGAGCACGACTCTCGTGAGAAGGCGCTCAGCAAACTGGCCACCAAGGGCGTCGTGCGGCTGTTCAACGCGATCGCCAAGGCGCAGCGGGCAGCGCCGGCCGAGGCCGCCGCGAAGAAGGCCACGCGGTCGTCGTTCTTCAAGGAGCTGCGCGGTACGCACCCGGTGCTGCTTGTGCACGCGGGTGTGGTTGCGGTGGTCGTGCGCACACGCGTGATGACGCGTCCGCCCTCTTGCAGATCAGAAGAGCGAGCGCATGATGGCGGGCGTGAAGCCCGCGATGGTTGCGCGGGCGGGGGCGGCGGAGCAGGTGGTGGACGACGAGGGCAACGCGGTCGGGTGGGACGTGCTGCAGGAGGGCGGGGAGATGCCAGGCATGGTGGCGGGGCGGAAGATGAAGGACTGGGACGCGTCCGGGCCGTCGAAGGGCAAGCGGTCGAAGGAGAAGGCGGAGGTGAAGGACACGCTGGAGAGCCTGAGCGAGGACTCGAGCGACGACGACGACGAGGATGCCGGCGGATGGTGACCGCGGCTGGGCGCAGCCACCTCACAGCGCGTGCGGGCTGTGTGATGTTCGAGCGAGAGTCGGCCTTGGTGTGGGCAGGTTCGACTGCATTAGGTGCCTACTTGGCAGCGGCGGCCGCCTCCTTCTGCTTCCTGGCCTTTTCCTTCTTGATCACGTCGTGCGCGACGTTGAACACTCCGTGGTGCGGCTGGTCGCACATGGGGCAGCGCTTGGACTTTTCGCTATGCGCCAGCGCGCACCGCTCGCAGAAGTAGTGCTTGCACTTGGTCACCACGGGGTTGTACACCTCCGCCCACGGCTTCCGGCACGCCAGACACGCGAACGGCACCCCGTCCTCGTCCTCCTCCGACTCCTGCACCCGCACACGACTGATACTTGATTAATTTGTTTCAACATCCATCAACACGACACGACACCCATGCAACAGCCCCCCACGCACACCCCCCGCGCTTGCCTCGTCGCTCCCCTCGTCGTCCGACCCCAGCCCGCGCTCCGCCTGCCGCCGCCGGAGCTCCTCCTTGCGCTTCTGCTCGGCCTCCCACTCCTGGTCGAGCTGCCACCCCTGCTTGTAGTCCCCGCGGTCGTGCAGGAACTTGCACGCGTCCCCCCACGCGCAGTACCCCGTCTCCTTGTAGTCCTTGCACACGTCCGGCTTGTAGTCGATCTGCACCGTCATGCGCATGTGCTTGCTCGGACGCAGCGGACCCGCCATCCCGGACTTCTTCACGTTCGAATACGTGTTCTCGCGCCTGAAACCTGCGACGACGGGGCCGCGCGCGAACCCGCGTTCCGAGCCGCGGCCGACGCAACACACGCTGCACTAACGAGGGCAGAGCCGCGGGGGGAACGGCTCCGTTCGCATCCCCATCGCACCTTTCTTCCAGTCGGTGTACGCGGCCATGCCCCTGTACACGCCGTCGTCCTGCTCGCCGCCCTGTGCGAGCATCTTCTCCCTCAGAGCTCGCGCATCGCGGTCGTCCTCCGTCCCGATGTCCAGCGTGCGCGTGGCGCCGCCGTCGTCGCGCTCCTGCAACACCGCACGCATCAGAAACACGTGAGCTGCTTCCCCCGCGCGCGGCGAGGGGCGCCGTCCAGTGCGCCACGAAACGAAGTGTGCCGTTGCTCTGTAGTTTCGGCAGCGCTTGCCATGCGCGAGCAAACGGACTCGGCTTACCTGGAGCTGTCTGGATGCAGCGAATGCAAACTTCTCAACGCCCTTCTCCCCGCCTGCGTCCTTGGTGGTGAATCCCAAGGCGCTTTCTTTCCCAGGTCTGTTGTGCGTCACCTTCTGCACGACAGTGGTGTCCTGCGCCGTGCCGCCGTCCTCCGCGTCGTTTGAAGCGGCACGCTTCCGGACGTTGGCTCTGTTCGCGCCCCTCTTCTTGAAGAAGGTGCAAACGGGCTGCTCCCCTTTCTCTCCTTTCTCATTTCCGTCCGGCCCCCGCTCGTCTCCACCCGCGCCGTCCATCTCGCCGCCTCTTCCAGGTCACCCTCAACGGTGGCGACAGAATTCTACGTCGTGGCCGACGGCATCGCTGCGCGCTGGTGGTGCTTGCAAGCGCGCCGTCCAATCACAGGCGATTCCGACAGTGCTTGCGTCTGAGCTCTTCAGGACGCGCATGACATGCCCAAAGCAGTCTTCTCGCGGCGGCAACCACGGCCGGAGCAGGCCCTGGGGCGTGTTAGAGCCAGTGAGACTGCAGGAGTGTACCTCTCGCAACTGCGCCGTCATCGCCACCTCGGGACTTTGAGACGCATCGGCCCTCTGCGGTGCCATTTCCCGGGCACCGTCAGAGTCCTGCGACCGCCGGCACCCATCGTTCTAGCGCCGACGTGTTGCATTACCACATCGACACCTAACAGAGCTGTGCCGCGGCCACCTGTCACGTCGGCGTCCGTCGCAGCCGCTCGACAGCTGAGCTCCATGCTCCGACGCGGCGCCAGCGCGCTAGCGCGGAGATTCTCCTGCTCACAGGGGCAGGTGCGCCAGCGCGGCAGTGTCCCGGCCCCGACCTAAATGCTCTGCGTCGCTTGGATGCGGCATGACCGCGCATCCCCGACGGCAGGAGACACCGGAGACATCGTTTCCGGCAGAGCAGTGCCTGGCCTGCGCTCTGTCTGCCCAGGGAACGGCGCCCACTCAATGCTAGGTCGAGTTTCTTCCGCAGGGGTCCGTGGGGCAGTGGGGGGGCGCCAGCGCTGAGGGTCGCGCAGGAGGCATCTTCAAGTCTGAGGCCACTGCTTCGCGCGGATGCCGGTGCAACAGCGGGGGCCCCGGGCCGCAGGAGGCGCAGACACAGCGCACAGTGCCATCATCAGGCGGCCCGTCCGGGTCCGAGGGCCGCGGAGGGAGAGGCCAGACGTTCTGGACAGGTCTGGTTAGAACTAACGTAGACGGCCAGTGCTGGTTCAATCCATCCACGGGCCGCAAGGCGCTGGATTTCCAGCGCGAAGGCACTGCACTGGCACACTCAGCGCCGCCTCACGCGCCGTCCGCGGTGCGACTTCCTGCAGGGTTCGCGGCCACGTGCGCCCTGGCCGCGGGCACGCTGTACTGGTACAAGACGGAGCGGGAGCGCATTCTCCGGCAGCGAATTGAGAAGTCGGGTGGCAAGACTGTGGGCAAGGCGCTGATCGGGGGGCCGTTCGAGCTGGTCGACAGCCGGGACGGGAAGACGCCGTTCTCGGACAGGTGCGTCGCCCGCCGCGCCGTCGCGTCTGCGCGGGCCGCTGCGGGGCGCGCGGAGTCCCCACAAGCGTCGCGCTGCGTTGGTAGTCGCAGGGACCTGTTGGGGGAGTTCTCGCTGCTGTACTTCGGGTTCACGCACTGCCCGGACATCTGCCCCGACGAGCTGGAGAAGATCTGCGAGGCGGCGAACCTGGTGGAGCGGCAGGTGGGCGTCAAGGTGCAGCTGGTGTTCATCACGATCGACCCGCAGCGGGACCACGCGAAGCAGGTCAAGGCGTACTGCGAGGAGTTCCACCCGCGTCTGATCGGGCTCACGGGGAACGAGGAGGCCGTCGCGCGCGCCTGCCGCGCGTACCGCGTGTACCACCACCGCACCAACGACGACCCCAAGGACTACCTCGTCGACCACTCCATCATCACCTACTGCCTCGACCCGCAGGTGAGGGGCGGCCACGCGGGCACCTGCGCGCGCGGGGGCGCGAGCCGCGCGCGTGTGCTGACGCGGGGGGGTTGTGTTGTGCGCGCAGGGGTCCTTCCTGGCGTTCTACGGAAAGAACAGCACGAAGGAGGACGTGGCCAAGTCGCTCGTGGAGCTCATCCAGGCGTACGCGAAGGACCACCCGGAGTACACCGTGCCGAAGCCGGCGTGACACGTGCAGATGCCGTGGACCAGATGTGACTGCGTGTCAGGCACAATGGCATGTCGTCGTGCGGGCCCCGATTACTGCGTGCCGGACCCCGACGCGCCTCGCAGCACGCCTCCCCTGCCCGCGTCGCCCCCGCCGCTCGTCCGCGCCCGTCCCTTAGCGCAAGCGAGGGCGCGCTGTGTCAGACATGGTGCGCGCACACAGGACCCGGTCCCACTGGACTCGCGCGACGCGTTCACGCGGTATGTTGGGGGGCGCCGGCTTGCGACGCACCCGAAGGCACTGCCGCACGGCCGTGTGTCTCGCTCGAACCCCTGCGCGACCGCCAAGATGTTGGGCAAGGCTGTTCCTGCCAGTGGCAGGGCCTCGGCGGCGGGCCTGGCTCCTCGCCCGGCCCCGGGATGCGTTCGGACGTCCGCCAGCCCTGTCAAGCCGTCGAGCAGGAAGGTGTCGTGCCGCGTCGTCGGCGACAGCAAGCTGTGGAGGTGCGTTCGGTCCGCGAGGTAGTGGATGGTGGGCAACGCGCGCGCTTGCCGCGCGCACAGGCGGCGACCTGCCGCAGACGCCCCCCTTCAATCGCCGTGTCTGTGTGCGGCTATGCTGCTCGCCATTGTATCGATCGTGCTCATGCGTGTTCGACGCACGAGGAGGGCGCGCACTCTCCAAAGGGTCCAACCAGCGGCGATCGCGGTGCAAGAGCAAGCGCGACGAACGCGTGTGTGCGCGTGCTGCGTGTACAGCACTATGCGCTGCGCTGGGCTGCATGGATGGGTTCGGCAGCTGACATTCGACACTTCCAGAGGCCTTGGTCGGCCCCGCACTCTTGCCCCGATGGCGATTCACCGCTGCGGTTCCGGCGTCGTTTGTCGCGCAGGGATCTCGAGATCACGTGCGAGAACATCGCGGAGGCGCCTCCGAGCATGAAGTCGGACCCGGAGCTCGCGTCGGACCTCCGGAATGCCATGAAGGCCCTCAAGCAGGGCGGTGGCCTGAGCAAGTGGGGCTGCAAGGCCAAGATGCCGCGCAGGATGGTGTCCGTGGGGGAGCTGCGGATGGTCGGCATCAAGAACCCCGAGGCTCTTGGGATCCCCTCGGTGCGTCCGTGACGCGACCAGCGCGCATCACGTGTGTGTCGCCACCAGCAACCGCCCAGCCAAAGCCCGACGCCGGCCGCACACGCTCCTCTCCCCTCCGCAGGTCCGGAACGACGCGGCGTTCCTCGCCACCACGATCGTCGGCAGCAGCGTCCTCGCGGTGATCGCCTCGCAAGTCCTGCCCGGGCAGTGGGCGCCCACCGCGGCGTACCTCATCGGCGGCGCGGGCCTGATCGTGCCCATCATCGGGTCCATCAACCCCGCCATCCTGCAGTTCGCCATCGACCGCTTCAGCCTCGTCTTCCCCGACTACCGCGAGCGCACGCGCCGCCACGAGGCGGGGCACATCCTGATCGGGTACCTGTGCGGCGTCGCCATCGGGGACTACTCCCTCGACCTCGGAAAGGTGCGCGAACAGACCGTCCCCGCGCGCGCCGCCTGCCGTGCGGCAACCGGCGGTGCGGGGTGCCTAGCGCTGGGTTGCTCGTTGGTGGTCGCAGGAGCACACGGACTTCGTTGAGAGCAAGCTGGAGCGCCGCATCATCGAGGGCAAGCTGGACGAGGACACGCTGAACGTCCTCGCCGTCGTCGCGATGGCCGGTGTCGCGGCGGAGGGCACCAACTACGAGGAGGTGCGCACCGCGCCCTGCCCTGCCCGCACCCGACCTGCGCCGCGGCGGACCAGCGCGCCGCTGGCTCGCTGTGCACGACGTGACCACGGCGAAGGGCCGCGCCTGCCTCCGCAGGTGATTGGCCAGAGCGCGGACCTGCTCTTGTTGCAACGTCTCATGGCGCGGAGCGAGACGAAGCTCAACGACGGGCAGCAAATGAACCTGACGCGCTGGGCCGCGTGGCAGGCGTGCCTGCTGCTCCGGGAGTTCAGTTCGGAGTACGAGGCGGTCCTCACGGCGCTGGAGCGGCGCGCGAGCGTGTACGAGTGCATCCAGGCCATCGAGGACACGCAGACGACCAAGGCCGCCGCGAGCAGCTAGGGGGATGCGAGGCGGCTGCCTGGACCAGGGTGTGATGCGTGCAGTGCGGGCCCGTCGCTCAGGCGCTACGGGATGGCAGGGTCGTGCAGCGAGGGTGACTTGGTCGTTGGTGGACGTGACGTGCGGTCTGGTGTGTGTGCGTGGCCCCCTTGTGCGCCAGGCAGCTGTAGATACGAAGGTTTCCCAGCGTGACGCCAGGAACCCACACACACCATTTTCTTTTACCTGTCACTGTCCTACCGGGCCGTTCTGACCGACCCCCGAACGGCGCTCACGGGGGCTGCGGATGCACGACATCGAGCACATCGCGAGTTTCGTGCCGACGCTAGTGTACGGCGGTACAGGGAGGTGGGCGCCTCGCTGCACGGTGCTAGGGCTCCAACGAACGGGCTCGTTCGCAGCGCTCATCGGACCTCCCGGCCGCGATGGGCGGCGAAGGTCGTGCCTTCCGCGGCAAGGGCGCAGGCGTCGGTGCGTGGCTCCTTGACGCCTTTGTCGTGGAGAGATCCGGGCGTGCCAAGCCCTCACCTGGTCAAGCAGCTTGCGCGCGACCAGCACGCAATGCACGGCACCGAAAGCGGGTGTTCGGGACAGACGTCGAGAACTCACAGGCCTCGAGCGTTCCCAGTCTGTTGCATCGATCGCGGCGAGCGTGGCGTCGCGCTGAGACAACTGAACGCAGCAGCTCCCGACGGAAAGCCGCCACGTCCGCGTCTGAACCGACATTCAGCGCGCACGACCCGGTACCTTCATTCACGTAGTATGCCACCGCGTCGCATGCGCAGGCATCGGGATCGGTTGCGGCTTCGGGGTCGGGTGGGGCTTCGGGGGCGCACCCATCGGCTTGCTGGGCATGGGGATGGGCGGGGGGTGCGGGATAGGCGCCGGCTTGGGGTGGGGCATCGGCCTCGCGTTCGGCGCAGAGTACATCAACACCAACGCGGCGTTCAACGCGGCCACCTCCGAGGACGCGCGCCGGGGGCCGTTCAAGGTGCGAAACACGCGATGCGCGGGCGTCGCTGCCCCTGAGGGGATCCAGCACGGCTTGCTGACGTACGCCGCGTTGATCCGACGCGGACGCAGGCGCTGCGGGATCAGATCACGAACGTCGTGGCGCCCAGAGCGCGCGTCGTGCAGCAGTACGGGTCCGACGGGCCGAAAAGCGAGTGACGCACAGCGCACATCGTCGTGCGGGCCTGTGATAGCTCGTGTGGGATGGCGGCTTCGCGAGCCCCGCTTGCATCGGTGTGTGGGTGTCCTCTCCCTGCGCAGGTTGCGCTGTTGTGCGCAGCGAGGGCGTGCGCACGGCTGTGTGCGCAGCGCTTGGATGGCCACGCAGCCCCGGATGAGTTGACTCCGATTATAGCGCGCTGCGTGCGCGGTCGCGTCCGCTGGACATGGGGGGCGTCGCGGGATGTACTGCCAGTGTCCCCCACGTGTCAGACAGGCGCTGCGCCGCCGGCGGCACCGATCGAGCATGTTGCGACGCAGCCCGACAGCGCGGGTGAAGTGTGGCGAGTGTCCTGGTTGCGCCACGGAAGCGACGCTGAGGCCGTCATCTTCGGTCGCGAGGAGCGGCACATCATGCAGTGACGGCATCGCTCACGTACGAGGCTCTCGTGATCGCTGCGTGGCGTTTCTCTGAACGAGACAGTGGGCGCTAGCCCCGAGCGCTGCCGGAACAGGCTTCCCCCGCCCCCCCGCGAGCGGGAGAGCGACGACGCGATCTGGCACCGTGGGTTGAAGAATGTGGGGTTTCTTCGCGGCAGTGATCGTCCTAGTGGTGGCGGCTGTGGTCATGCTGTACGTCCGCACGCTGAGGCTCGCCCCGGAACCGCGCGCCAGACGGCCGCGTCCTTGCCGTGCGCGCCGCGGCGCGAGAGCATCGTGTGTTCGAGTGTCCACACGGCGCGGACACCGCACGCGCAACGGCACACGAGCAGCGCGAGCCGATACAACTTCGGCGATCGGACAGTTCTGTGCGCACATTAGCGCCTCGTTGGCGGTCACTTGCGACGGAGCCCCGAACAAAGTTGCATCCGGCTCTTGGTTCCTTGCGCGCGTGCAGGCTTCGGCACTACACGTCCAAGGAATGCGGGTGGGACGTTTATCTGTCAGCTGGCGTCGCCTGGCTGACGTCCATGGGGGTCCTGGCGCTCGTACCGATCGATGTGTGGGCCGCTCTCTCAGGTAGCGCACCAACCACCTCGAGCCGCGGCTTGTCGTGCGCCCGCGGCACGTCCTCGGGGCCGCCTGATGCTTCGATCCAACCGTTCGGCGCCGGCGAAGAATGCGCTCGTACAGCCCGTCGCAGGAACGCGGGCCGGCGGTCTGCCAATCTGCTGCGAGCAGTGCCGCGTGGTGCGAGCGCGGCTCCCCGGCCCCAAAGTGCACTGCGCGCGCCCACATTCGCAGGTTACGAGATTCAGGCCATCTGGTACTTGTGGCAGCTGTCCTATTGGACGACCTTCGTCCTCACCTGGGCAGTCATTCCAATTCACCAAGGTGCGCGCACGCCGAAGAAGAGCAAGAACCCCGTCCTTTTGCAGCTCCGCCCGCCACGCCTCGAGCCGCATCACGGCACAGCGCCTGTCCGACCCCGCGCCACACAGCGCTGCTGGTGCCTCTCCCCGCCCGCACTCACTGAGAGAGCCAATCACCGCGACCCGCTCCCCCGCAGGCTACGCGAACGCGGGCGACTTCACCGCGGTCGCCAAGCTGCGGACCTCCCTGCGCGACAACCTCACGTTCTACGCCGTCATCGGCGCGGTCGGTCTCGTCGGGGTCACCGCGCTGGTGCTCAGCGGCAAGTTCTCCCTCACGCGCCTCCCGGGACTCGGCATCGCGCTGTCCAACGCGTTCGGGCTCTTCGCTGGTACGCTCCGCCGCGCAGCACCTCCTCCTCGACCCACCCGTCCACCCGCCGCGCGCCGCCCCTTGCACAGCACGCGCCATCCGTGACGCGCCCGCAGGGCTGATCCTGATGTCGTACGGGCTGGTGGAGCTCCCGCGGCGGCTGTGGCGTCGGTCGGATCCGCACCGCCACGCGCAGTTCTGCATGTACATGGTCGGGCGCAACAGCGAGAAGCTCGAGAGCGCCGCGTTCGAACTGACCAAGGCAAGCCGCGCCCCGCACCGCGCACCGCGCACCGCGCACGCACGCGCCCGTCCCGAGCGGCGCCTCAGCCGCCCGCGCCCCGCGAGCCCGTGCGCAGGCGCTGCGGGTGGTGCACGCCACCAGTCAGCAGATGCACCGGCGCGACCCGCTCCAGCCCTACATGGACAAGATCCGCGGCTACGCGGACAAGCACTCTCTGCGGCAGGCGGGCGCGGAGGCCGGCCGCGGCCGCGGCATGGACGACCTGGAGGGCGCGGACCTGGACTACGGCACCGACCTCGACGGACTCGCGCAGCTGCGGCGGCGCCTGAAGGTGCGCGGAGGAGGCCGCAGTGGCGCTGGCGTGGTGCGTGCGCGCGCGGGCTGTTCGACCACGTGCGTACGTGTGCGTGTGCGTGTGCAGGTGGCCGTGGCGGTGTACGAGGGTGCGCGGGAGGAGTACAAGGCCGCGGTGGTGGAGGCGATCGAGATGGAGGACATCTCGCGGCAGCTGAAGCCGTCGGGGGGCCTCGGGGCGCGGGGCGGGGGCGGTCCGGCGGTCCCGCGGGAGGACACGTGGTCGTGGAGGTACAAGTGCTACGCGCGGCCGTGGGCGTGCCGGCTCGGGGCGCTGGTGCTGGGGCTCGCGAGCGCGTCGATCCTGCTCGCGGAGGCCACGATCTCCACGCAGCAGGACCCTGACCTCTCCGTGTTCTCGAGGTGGGCACCGCGCGTTGTACTTTGTTGCCCGGGGCGTGATCTGTGCGCGCGTCGACGCTCGCACTGCGACGCGGTTAGCGTGCCGTTCACGGTCGTTCGGCTCCGGGCGTCGCTGTGCAGGCTGATCAAGCAGGGCAAGCACAGCGAGCTGGGGTTGCAGGCGCTGGTCCTGCTGCCGCTGTGCTACATGTGCGCCAGCGCCTACTACTCCCTCTTCCACCTCGGCATCTTCAAGGGGGTCTACTACCTCGTACCAGGACACTCGGCGCCGCTGAGCCTGCTGATCAACGCAGGTGCGTCGCCCCACGCGCAGAGTCACAACGGACTGCCATCGTGCAGGGAGGCGCGCAGGGAGCGTTCTCCCTCCCTCTCCACGCCTGCCGTCTCTCACCCGTCAGCGCCCCCCGGTGATCCGCAGCGCTGATGTGTCGGTTCGCGGCCCCGATCTGCTACAACTTCCTCAACACCATCCACTCGGGCGACGGGTCGCACCCGACCAAGTTCGAGCAGATGATGCAGTCCATGCAGGACCTGCCCTTCTTCGGCGGCGAGTTCAACGTGTACTACCCGCTCGTGGGCGTGGCGTTCACCGCGCTGGTCCTGCTCAATGCCTGGGACCGTCTGGCGTCCGCCTTCTGCTGCTGCTTCGGGGGGTACCAGAGGTTCCGCTTCGACAAGGACGAGCCCGACGACGAACACACCGAGCGGTGCGCGCCCCCAGCCCCGCTCGGCACTAACCAGCGCCGTTCTGCCTGTCCCCTGGCCGCCTGAGCGTTGTCTGTCTGGCTGAGAGACGCCTTCCCGTGTGGGACGCACGCGTGCAGGGGCCGCACGATCGTTCAGCAGGAGCGGGGGGCTCTGGAGCGCGGCGGCGACATCGGGGACACGCTCGGACTGGGTGCGCTGGGGACGTCCGCGTTCGGTGCGGCGGGGGCGGCGCTGCAGTACGGCGGGTGCGTTGCAGCTCCGTACTTGGTGCGGCACGCGCGTTGGGTCGCCCTCTTTGCGTCAGCGACGATGGTTGTCATTCTTGTGGTTTCGGTGTGTTTGCTTTGCAGGTACAACACGGGGGCCACGAGGGAGGCTGGGCGCCCGCGGGAGGCTCCGGCGGGGTCGCGGTGGTGGTGGAACAAGTTCCGCGCGGTGCCGCAGCAGGATGAGGTGCAGAGCACGCAGGGCACGGGGAGCCCGCGGCGCGGGATGCTCTCCAACGTGCTGGCGCGCGTCAGGGGCGAGGGCGACGGCGCGGGCGGGGCGCGGCGACAGGGCGACCCGCTCGAGCGGATCTTCGGCGACCTCGGCCGAGACGCGCGCGGGGCGCCGTCCCGCGGGGACGACGCGCGTCTCGACGACGATGACTTGGACGGGAAGGGGGGCGCGTTCCGATGGTGAGCGCGGGGTGCAGGTGGCGCGCTCCTTGCCGGTCGCACGGGCTCGTTCGACTTGGGCGACGCGCACCGCGGGTGTGCAGTCAGACCGCAAGGTCGCACCAGGGAGACGGGCACGTTCTAGAGTGTTGAGCGTGTGAGTGCACGCAAGCGCATGGTGGCTGCGCGTCGTTGTTGTGCCTTGTGGTATTCACAACTCTTCGTGCGGGGCCCCGAGGTGCGTTTCGGCCGCTTGCTTCCAGGCACCGGCGGCGGATGCATCAAACATCATCATGCGCACCTCCTCGACGTGCAGCTCCGACCGCGCGAGCTCCTCGATCGTGGCCTTGATGGTCGCGACGGACACGTCCGCGGCCTCGTCCAGCGGGTACCCGTACACGCCGCAGGAGATGGCCGGGAAGGCCACCACGGACAGCTTGTGCGCGTTGGCGGCCTGGAGCGACCGGCGGTAGGACGAGGCCAGCAGGGGCGCGCTGGCGGCCGCGCCGCTGTACACCGGCCCCACTGTGTGGATGACTTTGCTGATCCGCGGCGCCATGTTGAAGGCGTCGGTGACGACTGCCTCGCCCGTGGGACAGCGCACGTTCGGCCGCACCTGCGGGAGCTGCTCGCACGCGCGTTTGAGGTCCGGGCCCGCAGCGCGGTGGATCGCTCCGTCCACGCCGCCGCCTCCCAGGCAGCGCTCGTTGGCCGCGTTGACGATGGCCGTGGGGGCGCCCGTGTCCAGCTTGGTGATGTCGCCCTGCGCGACGACGAAGGAGCAGCCCGGCGCCAGAGAGTAGCGCATCGCCGCGGCGTCTCCTCCCGCGGCCCGTGCTGATGTGGAACGGCCTGCACGACCAGGCCGGGAGAGGCAACCGCCTGGTCTCCGTGCCGTTTGGCGGACGGACTGGCATTGCCGTATGCGTTCATGACGTTGATTGATCTCGAAAAGTGGTGTATCTGTTCGAGGCATGCACGATGGCACGCCACACTGGCCGTGAGGTGGGTTGGCGATGCTGCTGATGCATCTGTCTGCAGCGAGGCGCACGCGACGATACACGACCTCACCGGTGGATCTACCGAGAGCTGCTGGGGAACGCGACTGCAGGAGCAAAATGGACGTCACGGCGCTCCTCAAGAGCAGCATGGGCGCGAGAACAAGGCTGGTGCCACAAGAGTCGGCCTCGCAGACTTCCGGCAGCCGAGCACACAGGGATAAAAGGCGCGAGAGCTGCCCCAGGTGTACCGTGCTCACGTGCGGGCCCTCCCTGTCAGCCCAGCGCGAGCGGCCGGCTTGCTGCGTCGGTCACAGGATGAGTCAGGAAAAACTGGCCGCGCGGCGCGAGTGCGGGCGGCCATTGCCGGCGGCGTCGCGCCGGTTCGGCACGACTGCGCAGGGACTGTTCTCAGCTGCACGTCTTGCCCGGGAAGCCAGGGTCTGAGACGCACTGGTTGAGGGTGCATAGGTCGGGATGTTGGCACACAGCGTTCTGAGCCCCGCGACCTGCCCGCGCGTGGGCCGCGGGGTGTCGCGCCGGGGACAGCTCGTTGTCACCAATGTCGCGACCCCCAACAAGCCGCCCGCGAGCAGGTGAGCCTGCACAGGGCCAACTGACGGCTCGCCCTCAACGGTGGCGCCCGGGCCTCCCGTTGCTGGCAACGCGCGCCGCATCCGCCCCGTAACTAGGGGTCCATGTCATCTGGCAAGCACGTGGCGGGTGTTCATTCTGCGCTACCAATCCCTGACGCCGCGCTCCGCGGTTCGGGCCGACATTCGAGGTCCCAAATACCTCGCGCCCGCGCCTGCAAACGTGCTGCGCGACGTACCGCAAGCCAGCCGTGCCCGCCGCGCTGCCGAGACGGCCCACGCTCAGCGCCGCTCCGACGCCAGCGGGCGTTGGTGGGTCCTTGCGGCGCCTGCCCTAGGACTTCGTCCGTGCGCGCAGGCCGGGGCCTCGCGCCGCCGAACCTGCGACCCCACCGGCAGGCCAGCGCCGCTGCGGGTCCAATGCGCCGCGCACCCCGGCTACAGTCCCCCCTGAGCCCCGCGCGGCTGTATCCTCATGTGCCCTGTCCAGCCCGCCGCGCTTTTCCCCGCGGGGCCCTGCTCCGACGCGCGAGCCTCCCTGCGGCGCGCATGGCCCGCGACTTCGTGCCGCTTCCCGCCGATCTGCGTATCGCGTCCGACGCGCGCGCCGGGGCCGACGTCCACAACCGCTGCTCGCCGTTCACTCACCCCAGCCGCCCGCCGAACCGGGCCCGCGCCGCCCCGCCACGCCGCAACAACCCCGCCCGCCCGCTGGTCCACCGCGGCGCCGCGTGTTCCGCGCGCCCCGCCCCCCACACCCCCCGCGCGCCCGCGGTGCGTGCGTGCAGGCTGGCGCGGCGCAGCAAGGTGGAGGTGATCAAGGAGAACTCGGACTTCCTGCGGCACCCGCTCATGCAGGACCTCGTGGACGACCAGCCCATGATCTCCGAGGACTCCATCCAGCTCATGAAGTTCCACGGGTCCTACCAGCAGGTGCGACGCGCCACTCTGGCTGCGCGGCGGCCCGCGGGCCACGACCGCGCCCCGCGCGACCCCTCGCGCGCAAACGCACAGCGCCTCGATGCACCGCGAGCGCCGCGGGCACCGGTCGTGCACGCCGCGGCCACGTCCCGGCCGCCTGTGGTGCTCCCGCGTGCGGCACCCCCCCCCCGTGTACCCACATGTCTCACCCTGCCGTCCCCGGTCCGTGCCTCCGCCCTCGCAGGACGACCGCGAGAAGCGCACCCGCGGCGCCGGCAAGGTGTACCAGTTCATGATGCGCACGCGGCAGCCCGCGGGCCTGGTGAGCAACGAGCTGTACCTGACGATGGACGACCTGGCCGACCAGTACGGCAACGGGACGCTCCGCCTGACGACGCGCGAGGCGTTCCAGCTGCACGGCGTCCTCAAGCAGGACCTGAAGACGGTGTTCAGCTCGGTCGTCAAGGCCATGGGGTCGACGCTGGGCGCGTGCGGCGACGTCAACCGCAACGTGATCGCGCCGCCGCTGGTGGACCGCACGCGCAAGGAGTACGCGGTGGCCGCGCAGCTCGCGGAGGACATCGCGGACCTGCTGGCGCCGCAGTCGGGCGCGTACTACGACGTGTGGCTGGACGGCGAGAAGTTCATGTCGATGGAGCGCGAGAACCCCAAGGTGACCAAGGACCGCGCGTTCAACAAGTTCGGGACGAACATCGAGGGGCCGGAGCCCATCTACGGCCCGCTCTTCCTCCCGCGCAAGTTCAAGACGGGCGTGACGGTGCCGGGCGACAACCACATTGACCTGCTGACCAACGACCTGGGCGTCGTGGTCATCTCGGACGACAAGGGCGAGTGGAAGGGGTGCAACATCTACGTCGGCGGCGGCCTCGGGCGCACGCACCGCAACGAGGACACGTTCGCGGCCATCGCGTCCCCGCTGGGCTACGTGGACAAGGAGGACGTCTTCCACGTGGTCAAGGCCATCATCGCGACGCAGCGCGACTACGGGCGGCGCGACGACCGCCGGCAGGCGCGCCTGAAGTACCTCGTGCACCAGTGGGGCGTGGACCGCTTCCGGTCGGTCGTGGAGCAGTACATGGGCAAGAAGATGGAGCCCTTCGTGCCGCTGCCGGCGTGGGAGTACAAGGACTACCTGGGCTGGGGCGAGCACGGCGACGGCAAGCTGTACTGGGGGCTCTACGTGCAGAACGGCCGCGTCAAGGGCGAGGCCAAGAAGGCCCTGCGCGAGGTGATTGAGGGGTACGACCTGCCCGTCATCATCACCGCGAACCAGAACCTCATCCTGACCGACATCAACCCCGCGGACAAGGACGCGATCACGAAGAAGCTCAGCGCCGCGGGCCTCCGCGACCGCGACGACTGGGACGCCATCGAGCTCACCTCGATGGCCTGCCCCGCGCTGCCGCTCTGCGGGCTGGCCGTCACCGAGGCCGAGCGCACGCTCCCGGACGTGAACGCCGCCATCCGCGCGACCATGACGCGCGTCGGGCTCCCCGAGGACGAGCCGCTCATCGTGCGCATGACGGGCTGCCCCAACGGCTGCGCGCGGCCCTACATGGCCGAGGTCGGGTTCGTCGGCGACGGGCCCAACAGCTACCAGCTCTACCTGGGCGGCAGCCCCAACGCCACGCGCCTCGCGGACGTGTACGAGGAGCGCGTCAAGCACGGCGACATCACCTCGACGCTCGAGCCCCTGTTTGCCTACTGGAGCCAGAGCCGGCGCACCGGCGAGTCCTTCGGCGACTTCTGCGGCCGCATCGGGTTCGACGGCCTGCGCAGCTTCGCCGAGTCCTACGAGCCCAGCGGCGCGCCCGCGAAGGCTGCCGCGGCCGCGGCCGCCCCGGCGAACGGCAACGGCAAGGCGGCCGCGCCGGCCAAGGCCAAGGCCGCGCCCGCGGCCACCGGGGGCAGCACCCCGCTCGAGAGCCAGCTGACGGCGCTGCTGCAGGAGGCCGCCGCCAAGGGCGGGAAGACCCCCGAGCAGGTGCTCGCGGACCTCCTGAAGAAGGCCGCGCAGGAGTAATTGGCAGAGTTTCACGACAGGGCGCGTTGCGCGTCACATGAGTCATGTAATTTACGAACAACTGGTGGCGTGCCTCACATGCCGGGAATCCTGAATCAACTGCTATGCTGTGCGTGGCAGACTGCGACACTGGCCGGGTGCGCGACAGGTCAGATTCCGAACTTCGCCCGCGCCTCGTGGATGACCTCGCCCTCCGACGACGAGCTACTGCTCGCATCGTCGTCGCGGGTGACCGCCAGCACGCTGGTGTGCGGCATCGCGCGCTCCACCAGTCCGGCTGGCACGTCCGACGTCTCCCATCCAGCGCCCTGCTTCAGCGGCGCCACGAGGTCCGACGCGTGCCGCGGAGCCCTTTTCCGCACGTGCACGGGCGTCGTGCGGGACGCACGGGCTCGCGCAGGCGCAGGCGCATGCGCCGCAGCGACAGCCTGCTTTGGGGCGCCGCTCCGCGCAGCGACCGGTTGCTCTGCGGCCGCGGCGGGGCCCCTGCGTGTGCGGTTCTTCGCACGCTCCGTCCGAGCCTGAATCGCCGCGACGAGCTGCTTGAGCTGCTGCTGGACCATCTCAATGCGGCCCGTGTCAGACGCGAACCCTTCCATGTCCGTGGCTGCGAAGAGCACCGGGTCGCGCGGGCAGCGTTTGATACCGGTGCTTTGCGGCCGAGAGTGCGGTGCGATCGGGGGCGCGTTCTGCTCTCGCGTCCAGCTTTTGCAAAGTCACCTGAGAGTTCGAAGAGCTTGTCTGCGTCGAGGGCGCTCAGTGCTTGGTCGATGGGGAGGTCGGTTGGCGCGGGGTTCGCGGTCGTCGGCCTCGGAGGAGCTGCTTCGGGCTCAACAACCGAGCTGTCGCGTCCGTCTCCGTGCGTCTCCCGGGTCCTGCTAGGACAGCGCGCTGTCTGCCTCGCAGCGGGATGCACTGAGGTCGACTCGGGACGCCGCCGCAGGACGTCGCGGCCCCGTGGCACGCTGATGGCGGCCGCTCGCTCCGAGTGTCTGTACGTCGGCGGCGAAACCACGCCTGCAAGGCGCAGAGATGCCGCGGCGCTCGGGGCCGGGAACCGCCCTGGAGAGACGCTGCGGGAGAATGTCGCCCTGCTGACAGACTCTCTCGTCTCAGAGAGACGGGGCCGGCGCTCCGCGGACGTGAGGCGCAGCGTCGGGCGAGACGCCGTTGGTGCTGGGGGCAGTGCCCGCAATGTCCGTGATCGCGACAACGTGTCGTCAAACAGCCTGCGCGCAACACGCGTGATCAGGCCCTGTCTACTAGTATCTGGATGCAGCTTTCGTTCTTCGCGTCATCATCAAGTCGTGCAAGTGATTTTTGTGCCGCACCGTGAGCGCGCGATCGGGGCCGAGCGGCCGGCTGCGACGCGTCGCCGAAGCGCTGTGCTTGTCGAGGGCTGGATGTTGAGTTCGTGTCCGCCCCTCGCCAGTCTCTGGAGCATCAGGATGTGTTCGTCGGAAACGGGCCCGTTGATGACGATCGTTGTGGGCTGCACCGCCTTGCGGAGCAGGCGCGGCCTGTAAGCCTGCACAATCTGCTGCTTCCGCGGACGTCTCTGCCAGCCCATGCAGCACAGGAAGCGTAGGAGTCCGAGGCGCAGCTCGCGGGGCGGTGCCTCGATGTCTGCCATGAGAGCCGCCCGGTGCGGTGTTGTTGTTGCAGCTGGCAGGGATGACCGACGGCGCTCCTGCCTCGACATGCCAGCACCAGCCAGCTCGCTGCTGGTCCGCCGCAGCGCCGCGACACTGCACGCAATGGCTCTCGTTGCGGACATTCGGACGTCTTCGGGTGGAACGTTGGCGTTTTGTGTTCCCCGAGACCACAGTACCGTCCGCTTCCGTCAAGCAGTGGAACGCAACCGGCGCGAACGACCGCATCTCGGAGGCACGCGTCTCGCACCTCGTGCCCGACATTCTCGGCTGCGTTCCCTCGCGTTCGACTTGCTCGAGTGCTGTTCCCTCAGCCATTGACACCGCTCTCGAACGCAGCCTGGTCGCCGCGGCCGACCTGGCATGCACCATCGCCATCTGCCTCCGATCCTTCGACGGCCCGTCTAGCGCGCCGGGCATCACGCGCAGCCCCAGCGGCCTGTGTTCGTGGGTTCTCACTGTGCTATGCGTGGCACGCGGACACCGCGCCTGGCGTGCGACGCTGGAGGCCGACGTCGCTGGCGCAGTGCGCGACCGAGCCCTGCTGCGCGACACGGGCGGAGTGCGCCTAGCGAGCGCTCACAGCGCACATGAGCAAATCTAGGAACCTAGGGGGTGTCCACCCTCGTGCCTGTCGACATAGGGTCAGGACCCCGGAAGTCCAAGCCGTCCGATGAGGTAGAGGCACTGCAGCATCCCGCGCACTATCCAGGGGTTCGAGAAGGCGTGGAAGGCTCCGAGCGTGGCGGCGCCCGTCCTCCACGCGAACTTGCCCCAGCTCCACAGCCGCTGCAGGCGCGACTTCTGCAGCTCCTCGACGGCGATCTTGACGGCCTTCTGCAGGTCGGCGGGCTTCATGTTGCGCGACCGCGGGTCCTGCGCCAGGTGCGCCGCGATGAACGCCGCCATCGACGACACCAGCTCCTCGTCGTCAACGTACACGTAGTCCGAGTCAACGCTGTGCCTGCGGCTGCGAAAGCACCGACCCGCCCGTTGCGCGGCGGAGGACGCTGCGTACTCCTAGCGGATCCTCGCATGGGTGGGTTGCGCGCGGAGCTCGAGCCATGCAGTGGGGGCGCAAGGAGCACACGTACCTTTCAGTGCTGCCCCGAGTGGACGGCTGCGCCCCCTCCGCGTGTTCGCTCGGCTCGGCGGGCCCGTCGGCCGTTGCCTGCTGCGTCGCACCCGTGTCTCGCTCGATCTCCAGCGGGGCGTCGCCGGCTGCACGTGGCGGGCAGGCTCGGCACGAGTGATGCGCGGGCGCGGGGTGCGCACAGGGCGAGCGGCCTTGACGTTGGGCGCGCGCCAAGAGAGATGCGGACCGCTACGCCACCCACGGTTCGATGGGAGATGTCATCGGTCGTGTCGCGTCGCGGAGAGCTCACCTGCAACCGCCTTGTTCTCTGGGAGCAGGAAGGATTTCGGGACGACGACGTCGGGGTAGCAGTGCTGGTGCTCGATCGCACATATCGAAGCCTGCAGTTTCTCCAGGAACGGCTCGGACTCCACGGCTCGAACGAGGCGGTCGAGGATCTGCAAGAGGAGATGGAATTTGTGGTGCAGCCTGCTCAGGCGCGCGACACCCGGCGCTCAGAGGCCGCTGGACGGCGAGGGTGACAGAGTTGAACGCGAGTTCACGTTGTTGCGGCCACGTGGAGGCCGGTCTTGCCGCCCGGTCCATTCTCAGGTATCTATGGGAAGCGACTAGCTTCCATTTCTCTCGGTGCGCGAAATCGATATGCCTGCTCACCTTGTCGCTTTGCCCGTCACGTTCGTCTTCCGACGTGTGATCCGGAGCTTCGTGCGGCCCGCACGAGGCCGGGAAGAGATGCAGTGCTGCGGGGAACGTCTCTTGAGCCGCGTTCCACGCACTAATGAGGCTGCGGGCCTCTTCCTCTGTCTCGCACGCGCAGTTCACCACCTCTGCGAGCGCGCAAGCGCCGGCCTCGAGGGCCGACATGTCCGCGCCGGCGAGCAGCAGTGCAGGAGAATGGAACTTTCGAGAAACGCACGACAAGGCTCGAGCGCCTGCGACTGCGGTACCAGGGCCTTCTCGTGGGCCAGACGCGTTGACTCTACCGTTCGCGCGGGCGCGACGCCGCGGCATCGAGCTGCCCTGAGGGTCGTGGGGGGTTCCCGGGACCTCCCGCGGGGCCCACGGCTCGCTGTCAATGCGGGCCGCGCTCGGTCGTGCCGCCGAACACCGGCCAGCTCCTCCCCCTGTTCACGTCGCGTATGGTCGGAGTGCCCGTCAGTGAGTCGACTGCGGCCACCAGAAACCTGCAGCCGCACCTGGATCGCTCTGTCCGGGCCAGCTCCCGGCGAATCGAAGCATAGTGCGCACGACGGTGCACAAGAAGCAGGAGCGGCTTCGGCGCGCAGTAGAGTGAGCGGCGGTGATGCGCGGGCGGGCGGGAGGACAGCTCCGAAGAGTGTTGTCTGTCTTCCGCGCCGCGGATCACCGCAGAAGCGTTTGGACAGGTCGAGATGGGAGGACGCACTTCAAAGGGAGCGGCCCGCGGTGGCAGGACCCCGAGCGCGTTCGGTTCTACCTCGGAGCGTCTGCAGCCGCAGTTGCCTTGTACGGGGCCTTCTGCTACAAGAACTCGCAGGTGCCCTTTCCGTGGCCCACCTCGCGTGCGGGCACTCCGCCGCTGTCGTTGCCATCGGCCGCCCCACCGTGACCTCCGGTCGGCACGTGAGGTGCGGTGTCACGTACTACGTGTGTCACTCTGCTTCTTCATTACAGGTGGTGCCATACAGCGGTCGGTCGCACGTCGTGATGACGAGCCCGCGAACGGACGCATATCTCGGCGACAGAGCAGCGGTTCAGATCGTCGCACAAGCGCGTCAGCGTGGCGCGCTCCTCCCGCCGCACCACAAGCTTTCGATGCTCGTGCAGCGCGTCGGCGAGGCACTGACGCGCGTCGTCGAGGAGGGCGCTCGGAAGGGCGAGGGGGGTGGGTTCCAGGAGCACCTCGCGAGCGTCCAGTGGCGGTTCTACGTGATCGACGAGCCTGTTGCCAACGCGTTTGCGACAGCTGGCGGCTCCGTGGTCATATACACGGGGCTCATCAACCTGATGCAGAACGTCGACGACCTCGCCGCGGTGATGGCCCACGAGCTCGCGCACATCGTGGCCCGGCACAGCGGCGAGCGCATGACCAGGTCGCTCATGTCGATGCCCGCGCAAATCTTCATCTCGCTGGGGGCCGGCCTGCCTCCAGGCTTCGGGTCCGTGTTTCTGGAGCTGCCGCAGAGTCGTCAGAACGAGATGGAAGCGGACAGCATCGGTCTGCAGATCATGAGCAAGGTGCGACAGCAGCGGGCGACCGGCACTGGTGCATGGGTCCGCATCAAGCCCGCTGAGGCTCCCCTGGCACGTGCCGGTCCACCTCACCGCGACCGACCGCCGGCGCACCACGCAGGCGTGCTTTGACCCCGCGGCGATGGGCCGTGTGTTCGCCGCGCTGGACATCGCGGCCAAGAAGTCCATGGGAGGGACGCCGCCCAAGCTGCTCAGCACGCACCCGCCGAGCAAGGACCGCGTCAAGGCCGCCGCGGAGCAGGCTCCATCGTCACTGCCCCTGACGCAGAATGCAAGGTGTTTCGACTTCAGGCGGAGACTCGGCCTGACTCCCATCGGCGACGTCACCGGGGCACTGCCCGGTTGGTGAGGGCACCTGCTGCGGACACGCGGCTGCGTCTCGGGGACAGCCTTGAGGGAGGGCTGTGATGTGATGTCGCGACGACGCAGCGCGCGTGGCTCAATCGCGCAGGCAGCCTCGCAGGTCCCGCAAGGTAACACTGGCATTTCAACCACCAAAGCCGCCTTTGGGTTTCTTCCCCTTCTTGCCCCCCGAGGCCTTCTTCCCCTGCCGCTTCCGCGAGATGCTCTCCGCGGCGAGCGGCTCCTCCTTGGGCTGCGGCGCGAGCCCCATGGAGATCCAGGTCTGACTGACCCACTTCTCGTCCACCGCGTCCACCGCCGTGTGCACCGTGCGCGGGTCGTTCAGGCCGGAGGAGAACGCCGGGAAGAATATGCACGCCCGGCCCCTCTTGGGCTCCACTTGCAGGCCCAGCAGGTCGAACCGCGTGGCACCACCCTCGGCGACGTCGTTCAAATAAACCAACAACGTGCCTCTGCGCGCGTGGCTGGGCCGGGGCGAGATGGGTGAGCGGCAGGAAGCACTGCGGCGAGGCACCGCGCGCGACGGTGAGTCGGGGTGCGCACATTCTCTGGTAGCGCTTCTTGGCGGCCACGTCAAGCGGGAACGCGTCCTCGTGCGCGAGGAAGTGCTGGCCCTCGGTGTAGTGGGCGACCTGCGGCAGCTCGAACGCCAGGCGTCCTGCTCCCGCGGGGGGGCGGAAGCCCGTCGCGTGGGGCTGCCAGCGGCTCTCCGGTGCAGCGAGGAGCTTCTTCGCGCGGTCCAACAGGGCGAGGATCTGCTTCGCCAGCGCGGGCTGCGTCGTCAACGTCGCCGTCGTACACGCCAGCGACGTGCTGTTCCGAATCTGCGCGCGACCGAGCGCAGGCCCGGCAAACCGTCTGCCACGGCAACACACATCATGCGAGCGTGGGCGCGCGAGGGCCCTGCGCGAGCCCGCCTGCGAGCCGCACGCACCTCCCCAGTGGTGTCGCCAGCCGCGCGGCTCGGTTTCATCTCCCCCGAGTTCTTGGCTGCGCGCAGGAGCGCGTCGCAGTCCTCGGGCGGCAGGAAGTCCTCGACGACGGCGATGAACGGGTCCAGGTTCAGCACCTTCATGCCAGGAATGTCCAAGTCGAGCGGCAAGAAGTCCTCTGCGGAACACACGCGGGGGGGGCGTCTAGGATCCAACAGTCCACGTGAAAGAGCCCAGAATGATTCGATGGACACACCCCTCATGGTCGTGGCGAACCGAGCCGCTGCGTACCTGCCAGGCTCGCTGCGAGGTGCTGCCGGTCCGCAGGCGACGCGTCCGCGACCGGGAGGCCGCCGGCCTCGACTGCTTCGGGTGGCAGCGGCACCCTGTTGCGCGCTCGGACCCGCGCAGTGTGCGCGGCTAGGAGGTCTGTCTCTTCCAACGTGCCTGCGTTTGGTTCATCGTGAGCGTTCGATGGGTCTTCTGCAAGGAATGCTGCGGGAACATGGCAGTGCGTGGCCTGGATGCATACCAGCCTTCATCGTCGTCAGCTCGCGCGCTGGCCGAGACACACGCCGGGCGGGTGGGGCCCGCTGAAACATCCTCACTGATGGAATTGTTGCCGGGGCAACAGTCCCGCAAGCGTAGCGTGCATGCTGCACGGCTTGTGTCACCATGCTGTAGTCACTGCCGACGCTTGACGCGTCTACAACCCGCGCAGTATATCAGGTTTTCCTGCGCCCATACGAGGGCTCTGTCGACATGACGCGTGGCGACGCGGAGCCGTCCACGAGAGCCGGGAACGCGCGAAGAAAGCCTCCGTCAGACGGACCGACCGCTGTCGGCGGCTCTGCGCGCGCGCGCTGGAGTCACCGGCAGCACGCAGTGCCCGGGGAGGGCAGAGTGTGCGGCGCTCGCGGCGGTGTGGTCTCGCGCACCGGACCTGCGCGGGGCGGACGATTCAGATTCATCAACGGTGTTCGCCGAGAGCTCCTGCGGGGCAGTGTACTCTCGCTGCCGTGACGCCCGTCGGCGCCCCGTGGGGTAGAGGACTCGGACGACACTTCCGTGGCGTTGCGTCCGGATAAAGGGCGCCGTCGCGCGGTTCCTCTTCAAGTCCCAAGTCATCAACGGACTGAAAGCCGCGGCCTGAGGGCGCATATCACGCCGACCTCGTCGATTTCAGGACGAAAGGTACTATCGCTCTGGGTCCGGGCTAGGATACAGGGATTCCACGCATAAGACGACGAGCAAGCAGGCTAGTTTGCCCCACGACCGTCCTGAGGCTGGGCCAGCGGCACTTCCTGTCCGCATGGGCTCCCTATGTTGCTTGCATTGCAGAGCTCGGACACAGTCACGCGTAGGCGTGCGACGTCGAGCTCCTGCGTGCGCTGGCACCCGACGCGCCACCGTGCTCTGTGCGCCTGCTGCGCTGCCCGCGTTTCTCGCACGGCGCCGCCGTCAACCCGGATGCTCGCCTTCCCGCCCTGACGTCACAGTTGCACAGTATCCGCAAGCGCACAAGCGCGAGCTGCTCGCCTGGTTCCCCTCGCTTTCCGCGCCGGGTGCAGGGCACACGAACCCGCGCTCTCAGAGGCTCTTCCGCCGCAGGAATGGTGTGGTGTCCGAAGTGCGAGGAGGAGGTGGAGGCGGACGTGCACCCGGAGGGCGGTTTCTCGGCATGCACGATCTGCGGGCTCGTGTTGGAGGAGGGGGCCTACTCGGCCGACCCCATGTTCGCCAAGGGCGCGGACGGCGAGTCGGAGATGGTCGGGGTGCGCGTGAACGAGCGCGGCGAGATCCGGGGCGCCGGGCGGGGCTACGGGGGCCTGCGCTACGGGTCCCGGCAGGTGGACTCGCACCAGCGGACCCTGGAGCGGGCGCAGAAGCTGATCGACCGCGTCCTGGACATGGTCGGGATGCAGGGGCGCAGGGGACGGTGCGTCGCGCCCGAGCGCCCCGTGCCGCGCCGGCGCGCGTCGTGCCCCGCGTGCGCGTGCGTGTGCTGACGGGGAGCGATTGCCGTGTGCGTCGCTGCTGTGCAGGGAGGAGGTTGTGGGCACGGCGCACCGGCTGTACCAGCTGGCGCTGAACAACAACGTGACGCGCGGGCGGAGGACGGAGCTGGTTGCGGGGGCGTGCGCGTACATCGCGTGTCGCCTGGCGGAGCAGCCCTACATGCTGATTGACTTCAGCGACGCGCTGCAGGTCAACGTGTACACGCTCGGCGCCGTCTTCCTCGAGCTCATCAAGCGGCTGCGCTGGGAGGGCCACCACGTCCTGCGCAAGCCCGTCGACCCCTCGCTGTACATCCACAGGTGCGTGGCGCGCACACACACACACACACCACGGATGTGCCGACGCGCGGGCTCCCCCGCCGCGGCACGTCGTGACCGGGGTCGCGCGACGGCACTGCGCGCAGGTTCGTGGACGCGTTGGAGTTCGGGCGGGGCCGCGACCAGGTGGCGGTGACGGCGATGCAGCTGGTGAAGGGCATGAAGCGGGACTGGATGCACACGGGACGGCACCCGAGCGGACTGTGCGGTGCGGCGATCTGGGTGTCGTCGCTCATCCACGGGTACGAGAAGACGCGGGCCGAAATATCAGCCAAGGTGCGCTGGCCCCCACCCGCGGCGCGGACACAGCCTGCACGCCCGGGGGGGTCGCCGCGCGACGAGCACCGCGAGGCTGGCGTGAAGCGCAGGTGCACGTAGCGGAGGAGACGGTGTCGCGGCGCGTGGAGGAGTTTGCGCTGACGGCGGGGTCGGCGCTGACCCCGGAGGAGTTCACGCAGCGGGGGCGGCAGCTGGACCAGGAGACGCGCGAGCTGCTCGAGGGGCCGCCGCCGGGGGACGAGGACGCGGAGAAGCGTGCGGGCGCGTGCGAGCACGTGCGGAACAAGGAGGCGGCGCACTTTGCGCGCGGGATGTGCGCGGCCTGCTACCGGGAGTTCGTGGAGCTCGCGGGGTCGGACCGGTCCGCGCACGCGCCGCCGTCGTTCACGCGGAACGTCATGAAGGAGCTAGAGAAGGCCGCGGAGGAGGACGCGCGTGCGCCGCCGCTGCCGGCGCCGGGAGACGAGGAAGCGGGCGACGCGGAGGGCGCCGGGGCCGGCGACGGCGACGGTGCGCAAGCGGGGGACGGTGCGGAGGCGGGGGACAGTGACGGCGCGGAGGCGGCTGGGCGGGGTCGTGGGAGGGGACGACGCGGGCGGGGGCGGGGGCGGGAGCGGGGTCGCGGGCGGGGTCGTGGGCGCGGCAGGGGGCGCGCGAGCAAGCAGAGCAAGGGCTCGGGCGACGAGGAGTCGGAGGAGGACGCAGCGGAGGGCGGTCGCGGACGTGGGCGAGGAGCGCGGCCCAATCTGGCAAGGGGCCGCGGGCGGGCGCGCGGCCACGCTGCTGCCGAGGCCCGCCAGCGACGGGCCGGCGCGGTCGCGGCGGTGGCGGCGACGACACAGAAGCTGCAGGCTGATCTGGAGTTCAGCGACGACGACGAGGACTTCGGGCCGCTCAGCGCTGTTGACCAGCATCTGCGCCGACAGTTCCTGAACCGCGCCCGGCTCGACATGGAGAAGCAGGCGGAGCAGGCGATCCTCGCGCGGCGCAAGGGCGCGGGCGGCAGCGACCGGGGGGGCCAGGACCGCGCGAGGGGGGGCTCTGCGGCGGCGAATGGCAATGCAGCTAGGGAGGGTGCTGCTGCTGCGAATGGAACGAATCGAGCGAAGAAGAAGAAGGGCGGCCGGCCAGACAAGGTGCGCGTGACAAACACTGCACTTGCGCCCGTCACGCAGGGCGTGTTGTTTCCCGGGCGCGGCACCACGCCCTTAGCGTGGTGGTTCTGGGTGCGTGCTGGTGCAGGCTGAAGTTGACGCAATCGTTGCCTCGGGCAAGGCGCGGGAGGTCCTGCCCGGCGAGCTGTCTTCGGACCGCTCCGATGACGACCTGCGGGAGGAGCTGAGCGACTTCGACGACGATGAGGCCGCGATGGTGATTCACACCGACGAGGAGGCCGCGGCGAAGCGGGCGCTGTGGGAGGAACTCAACCGCGACTGGCTCGAACACCAGGTGAGGGCGCACCAGAGAGGCGACTCGAAGCGCGCCGTTCGTCAGGCCGAACCCCCCTCCCAGCAACGACCACCATTGCGTGTGTTGTGCAGGCGAAGAAGAAGGCCGCCGCCGCCGAAGCGGAGGCCAAGGCGGCTGCCGAGGCCGCTGCTGCCGCAAGCCAGAAGCGAGGCCGAGGTCGGCCCAAGGGATCCAAGTCGCGGCCGAAGCCGGACGACCTGCCCCCAGCTGAAGATGCTGCCATGGCGGCCAGGTGCGCTGGATACGCGCCGCTGCCACGGATCCGCGGCCGCGCGGGTCGAGTCCGCTCACGTGTGTCGGTGTTGTCTGCGTTGCAGGAGCGCGCTGGAGTACCACAAGGCGTCGTCGAAGATCAACTACGAGGCGCTGGACGAGCTGTTCGGGGACGACGACGCGGACCAGCAGACGGCGCCGGCCGGCAAGGACGCGCCGGCGCTTGGCGAGACGTTGCCGCACGAGCCGGATCCGGGGGCGGGGGCGGGCGGGGAGGACCTGGGTGCCACACAGGCACACACCACTGAGAAGCAGTCGCAGCCGACGCGGGGCGCGCTGGGGACGCTCGCGAGCCGCGGCACGCTGCCGACGTCCCTCGGGCCCGGAATGTCAGGTGCGGTGCCGCGAACTGGCGGGCTCGCGATGCACGAACTCGACGCTTGCTGTGCACCCTAAGACACGTGCAACTCCCCGCCCGATGCAGGCTTGCAACGGAGCCTGGGTGGCCTCGGCGGGATCGGCGGCCTCGGTCGGCCGGGCAAGCGGCCTGGAACGATGCGGTTCGGGGGCCCGTCGTCTGGGCCGGGCAACAAGCGGCTGCGGATGGAGGAGCCCGACTGAGGGCACCGCTCGCTGTGACGGGCTGCCAGCACGTGCGGCGTCGTTGGTCGCTGCGGCTCACATGCTCACTTCCGCCTCATGTTGATGCCTGCTCGGATGACTTCGTCCACGAGGAGCAGTTGGCAGGCCATGACGGGTGCCGAGTTGAGGATCTGCTTCTTCACCGTGTAGTTGTCGTACACGCCGATGGTGCTCGGGTCGCACGGGGTCCCCGACTCCAAGTCGAGCCCCGCGGGGTTGCCGCTCTTGTGCTCCTCCTGCAAGCTGATCACCGCCTCCTGCAACACAGACGCGAGGGCGGCGACTTCAGTCAGCACGGCCGGCCGCGCGCGCACATCCGAGGCAGCAGCGGCCGCGGGCGCCGCTCCTCCCGCCGCGCTGCGTGCGGCGCGCACCTGTGCGTCGTGGCCCGAGTTGTCGGCGAGGATCTTGGGGATTCCGAGCAGCGCGTGCGCAAAGGCCTCCACGCCGAGCTTGGCCTTGCCCTCGGTCCTGTTCTTCCCCTCGCCGAGCAGGTGCAGGGCGCAGGCCACCTCGAAGGCGGCGGCGCCCGGCACGACGGCCCCGTCGTCGATGGCGTTCTTGGCGGCGCGCAGGCCGTCCCGGATGGCGTCCTTGATCTGCGCGATGGTGTAGTCGTTCGGCCCCTTGATCAGGATGGTGCACGACCGCGGGTTCTTGACCTCCTCGACGAACGTGTACTTCTCCTCCCCCAGCACGTGCTCGTACACCTCCCCCGCGTACCCCAGGCACTCCTCCGAGAGCTCCTCGACGGCGTTGACCATGTACCCGCCGCAGCACAGCGCGAGCCGCTCGGCGTTGCGCTTCTTCGCGCGGCGCAGCGCGAGGATGCCCTCCTTGGCGAGCATGTCGAGGGAGAGCGGGTCGATGCCCTTCTGGTTGATGACCACGAACCCCTCGCCGTCCTTGCACACGCGGCGCTTGAGGTCGATCACCGCGCGCACGCGGTCGTCCGTGACCTTGCGCTCCGCCTCCACCAGCCGCTCGCGCTGCTCCGCGCTCGTGTAGAAGAACCCCGAGTTGACCTCGGTCTTCTCGTACTCGAGCGAGATGTTGCACGACAGGATGTGCGCCTTCTCCACGCGCTTCTTCATGTCCGGGTGCCGCGCGCCGTGGTCGAGCACCAGCCCGCGCACCAGCCGCGTGTCGCTGTCCAGCTTGTGCCGCATGTGCATCACCTCGACCATGTTCAGGTCCAGCGGCTCGCCCTCCTGCCGGATCATCAGCAGCGCGTCCACCACCGACTCCGTCAGCCGGTCCGCCATCTCCTCCGCCAGCTTCGTCCGCAGCGCCGTGCGCACCACGCACACCAGCGTCTCGCGGTCCGCCCCCGTCAGGCCCTGCTTGAACGTCTCGAGGAACATCAGCGACTCCCGCTTCGCCGCCTCGAACCCGTCCACGATCACGCGCGGATGCACGCCCTCCGAGATCAGACGCTCCGCCTGCTTCATCAGCTCGCCAATGAAACACACCGTCGTCGTCGTGCCGTCCCCGCACACGTCGTCCTGCACGAACACGGACGCAGGCGGGTTGCGGACACGGCGGACATGCGCACGCACAGGAAGGGCCGCCGGCGGCGCCGCGGTCGGGCGCGGCCGGAGCGGCGCTTTTGGACGCGGGGAGGGCGCGCACCTGCGCCGTGGCTGTGCGGGCGATCATGACCGCCGTCGGGTTCTGAATTTGCATCTCGCGGAGGAGAACATTGCCGTCCTTGGTGAGCTTGATGTCTGCGACGCGGGTAAGGCGCGAGTGGGCGGGCGAGTGAGCTGACCGGCGCAAGGGCGAGTGGTCCGATCACGACGGCTCAGGCGGAGACGTCTGAGGCTCGCGGCGATCTCCGTGGATGCAGCATGTCTCGGAGGAGGCCGCTGTGGTCCGTCCCGCGCAGAGGGCTCTGCGCGGAGGTGCAGGCAGCATGGCGGGAGGGAGGCGACAGCCACGGCGTTCGACGCGGCGCGCCGGCGGGCGCGGCACCACCAGAGAGCTCTGAAACGAATGAATCGTTCGGGGGGACGCGAGAGGCAACAATGAGGACGCTGCGGCGCGCGGCTGAAATGCGACAAAAGAGTCGTGGGCCGCGCGGCCCGGCCTCGCAGCGTGCGAGCATCAGAGGCAGCAACACGCCCGCGAATCGATACACCAGTATTATGTCCGCCACGACACCGAATGGTGCGGGACGTTACTGCGTGTGGACGTCGCCGCAGGCCAGGAGGCTACAGAGAGCCTTGCACATCCGACATGCGCGCCCGGAAAGCACCTCTAACTCAGATACGGGTGCGCATGAATCGCAACTCTATGTCGGCAAGGCGTTCCCGCATCGCAAGGGCCCAGCACGGTCGCCGGCACCTCGGGCAGCGGAGCCCTGCATAGCGCGCCGCTGCCCGGGTGGGCGCGCGCTGCCCGGCGCGGCGGTCCTCACCTCCGGCTCCACCGACGAGCATGTGGAGGCTGCCCTTGGGGCCGAGGTTCTGGCGCAGGACATCGGAAAGGCCCTTGGCGGCGTTGATGTTCATGTGGAGCGCGCCCGCCCTTCCAATGACCTCCGCGCGCTGGTTCAGCCGTTGAATCGCGGGGGCCGCCATCTTCGCTGGCTGACTGAGACACCCGCACCCTTCCAAATACAGGCGGCGCGCCCCCGCGGCGGGCCCTTGACGCGGCGCGCGCCGCTGGCAGGCCCCGCGAAACCGCCATCAGCCTCCGCCCGACGGACGCGCCGCGCGGCGGCCGCCGTTGCCCCGCCGCGCGCGGCCCCGCGGCCGTAGCCCGCAGCGTGCCCGGAGCCGGCCCGAGCCGAGAGACGACGCGACGCGATGTTGGCTTCTGCCGTCCGGCGCCTCGCCGGCTCCAGCGCCCTGCTGGCCCGGCCCTTCTCCGCGGTCCCTGCCGAGCGCTACGTGGAGGAGCTCTTCGTGGGCACGGACGCGAAGTCCACCATCATCGTGCAGCCCCGCGAGCGCACGTACGGCCCGCACGAGACGCTCGACCCGAAGGAGGTGTGCGGCGCGGACCGCGAGGCCGAGAGCATGCACGTCGACCACGTCGCCGTCGTCAGGAGGCCCTTCCTCTGCGACGGCGAAACGCCGCCCTCCCTGTACTCTGCAATGCGGCAGGTCAAGCCGGGCCACATGGCAGGTGCGCCGTCCCCCCGCGAGCTGATAAGGCAGCACCCTCGCCGGGGAGGGCGCGCGGGCCCGGCGACGGGCTGCCGGGGCGCGCGGCGATTCGCCGCCGCCCCGGGTCGTGCACACGCGAGACGTCAAGCGAGCTCGCCAGCAACGTCGCCCGCCGCGCCCCGCAGTGAGCGCACCGCCGCGATGGCTGGACTGCTCGGTTGCGGTCGCCTGCAGCGCGGCTCCATTGCACCTGGTACCTCGCTCGCGCGGGATCCGCGTGAATCGCGCCACCTTCGAGGTGTCGGCCCCCCGAACAGCGGGAATGTGCGGCCATATCCGCGAGAACGGGGATCCCTACACCAGGCACCAACCACCCTGCGGTGGGGGCCGCACGCCGAGCCGCACCCGGGGCACGGGGCGGCGGGTTGCCGACAATTCGCATGGGCCACGCCCCGCGCGACCTTGGACGGCGTTCTCGTGTCCCGCTCCGCAGTTGACTCGGCAGTGTGCCGCCCGGAGAACCAGATCTGCCTGGACGTGTACGAGCGCACCGCGGCGGGCCGCTTCTCGCTCATCGACGCCGCGCGCCCCCTGTTCAGCTACTTCAAGGTGCGCCGCCGCCGCACCGCGTCAACCGCCGCTGACCCCGACCGCAAGCGCCGCAGTGCCTCACTGCGCCCTCCACGCGCCCGGCCGCAGGAGCGCGGCATCCAGACGCACCTGACGCCGAACGTGGCGGACTTCAAGGCCCCCACGCACGACGCGCGGCAGTCCACGAACCACGTGCTGATGATGTCGCCGACGGCCTTCACGTTCAACGCGGAGGCCGCGGAAGACAACTCGTTCATGCACGACAAGGTGGGCGGGCAGCTGTGCACGATCGAGGTGCGCGGGAAGGTGCTGCGGGAGTACGCGAACTACATCCACGAGCTGACGCACAACGCCGGCGTGGACGTGCACCTGTTCGAGTACTCGACGGGCATGAACACGCCGGACGCCGTGTTCCCGAACAACTGGTTCTCGACGCACGCCGCGGAGGAGGCAGGGGGGTCCACCAAGGTGCGCGCCCGCCCGCGACGCCGGGCACATGCTGCCCGCCGAGATGTGCTGCCTGCCCAGTGACCGCCTGGCGGCCCGGCTCACCTCCCCGCGTCGTTGCGCGTTTCGCAGGAGCGCACCTTGGTGCTGTACCCGATGAAGTGTCCGAACAGGCAGGCGGAGCGTCGCAAGGACGTGATCGACCACCTGCTGCACGTGGGCAAGTACACGCACGTCCTGGACCTCAGCGGCGAGCACGCCCACCACCGGTACTTCGAGGGCACGGGGTCGCTCGTTCTGGACCGGCCGCGCGGGGTGGCGTACGTGGCTATCTCCGAGCGGTCGCACGAAGACATTGCCAGGAGGTGCGCCACACGCCCTGGCGCGCTTGTGCGCCGCAGTGGGAGGCGGAGATCGACGCGCTGACGATGACCAGCGAGCTAGGCTTCGTCGTCTTCGTTTCGCAGGTGGGCGGCGCAGCTCGGCTACCACGACGTGGTGTTGTTCCACAGCACGGACCAGGACGGCAACCCGGTGTACCACACCAACGTGATGATGGCCGTGGGCACCGGCGTGGCGGTCGTGTGCTCGGAGAGCGTCGCCGACACCGCCGAGCGCGAGAACCTGCTCAACCACCTGGGCCGCCACCACGAGGTGCGGGGAGCGCCCTGTCAGCACGCGCGCAGCTGCCTGCGTGGCTCCGCGCTGCGACCGGCCGAACGACCCTGCCCTCTTCCTCTGCGCCGCAGATCGTGGACATCACGCGGGAGCAGATGAACCACCTGTGCGGCAACGTGCTGGAGCTCAGGAACCGCGACGACCTGCCCATCATGGCCATGTCCACCCAGGCGTACAACGCCTTCACGGAAGAGCAGCGCGCTGCCATCCTGCGGCACACCGCCGCCATCCACCACTCGCCCGTGGACACGCTCGAGTGGATTGGCGGGGGCGGTGTCCGCTGCACCCTCGGCGAGATCATGATGCCCTAGGAAGGCGCCGTGGCGTGCGGCTGGTCGCCGCGCCTCGGCCTGTAGCGCACCGCGAAGCAGGGGAACGTGTGAGAGCTGGATGACGGTCGGGCCCCATGACTGCATGCTTGGAGCTGGCACGTTGCAAGCAATCACGACCCGCGGCATGCCTGCCAGTCTGTGCCGCCTGGCGCAGCTTGTGCCGTCTCTGCAATGTCAGTCACGGGGCAGATTCCCCGCGCTGTGTGCATTGAAAACAGAGAGCGTTGATCCTCCTTGAAACAAGGACGGTGCTTCCCCTCCGAGCCAGATGTGCGCCGTTTGGCCTGGCGAACGCCGCGTCTGCGACGCCGGGTGGCGCACCAGCCGGGGCTCATGCATGGGAGGGCGCGCCCCGGCAGCGGAGGCCCGAAGCTGAGTCAGCCCGACTTGAAGCGGATCGTTTTCGCGCGCTTCGACGCTGGACGTGCGGTCGCGAGCGGCGCATTCCGGCGTCCTTCATCTTCGGTCACACTCCGAATCAGTTGCGAGCAGTCAGGTCCGTCACATTGGCCCAGGGAGACGGTGGAGAAGTTGCAGCCCAGAGCGCTCCGTGCTCAGACGCTGCACCGCTGTGCGGCTGCAGCCGTGGCCCGCGGACTAGCGCTGCGCCGTCTGTCGACGCAGGGAATGCGCTAGGCAGGAATGAAGCTATCGCTGCTCGTCTCGGCCTGGTGCCTGGTCACGTTGCTCTTGCCCCCAGCGAGCTGCTGGTCCTGGCTGCCGTGGCCATCCCTGACCTCCGAAGGGGGGCCGTCAAAGACCGACGACTTCGACTACTTCGTTTTCGTCAGGTGCGGCATCAGCGACTCCCCCTTGGGCTCCCGAAAGGGAGGCCGAGGGAGATGCCATGGGCCCCGGCAGCGCCACGTCCTGCGGGAACGGCAGAGTAGCGGAGCAGCAGCATCTTCGCTCACCGTTCACCACAGACGCCTGACACCGAGCCTTACACGCGTCCTCGGCGATCAGCTCCGGGGCCGCCATTGCAACCATGAACCACGACGCTCGATGGTCTAGCAACGGGGACAGCCTGCCCGCCGCGCCCTAGGCTGCGAACGTCCACTCACCAATTATCCGTTGCAGGCAGTGGCCAGGGACCTACATTAGCGATCATGGGTACCACGGGGAGACTTTGCCCCCGCCGTCGACGTTTACCATTCACGGACTCTGGCCGCAGTACCTAGGCCACGGCTGGCCGCAGTTCTGCGACCCGACGCGTCCGTTCGAAATGGGAGCACTGGACGACTTGCAGCCAGCGCTGCAGGACAACTGGCCGAGGCAAGAAAGCGCTTGATGCTCATCGCGTACCTGCGCGCCGCTTCATGCGTTCCTGACGACCGCACGTGCCACCTGTGCGTGGAGCTGCAACACTGTGCGCCTGTCCGCGCGGTCATTCTGCAGCTACGCTGGGAAGAACGACGGGTTCTGGGAACATGAGTGGAGCAAGCACGGCACGTGCGCATCTTCGGTGATCGACAAAGAGCACACGTACTTCCAGGTCGCGCTGCTGTTGCACGACCAGCTGGACCTGCGACCCGCGCTTCACGAGTTCCTTGCGGCTGGGGAGCCGTTGCAGACGAGGTGGGGACTGCAGCAATCGCGCCGCTTCAACTCGTGCAGACGCTTGGACAGCGATGCGTACATTGCGACCAGAGAGGCGACCCGCAGTGTGTGTTTGCGCGTGTCTTCGCGGCGGGGGTCGCTGACTGACGCCCCCGATCCTAATGCTGTGTGCAGGCGGCTCGCTGAATCGATCTACGGGAGCTTGGGGGTGCGTCCGGTTATCCACTGCTCGTCTGGACAGCTGTTCGAAGTTTGGGTGTGCGTGGGCCGCGATCTCGTCCCGTTCGACTGCCCGGAGCCCTTGGCAGCAGTGCCGCCTCCAAGGACGTCATGGGGGCTCAAGCTGCGTAGGCTTCTGCACAGTGCGCGACTCAAGGAGGACACGTCGTGTCCGACGACCATCGTCGTTCCGAACCTCGCGACTTGATCGGCCGCGAGTTCTTCATGCGCGCCCTCCATCTGTACATACCACAGCACATACCATCGCGAACCGACGACATGTGAACATCTGTCGCAGCCTTGCATCACAGGGTACGGGCATCAGCGTGCCCTTGCGGGCAGAACATGATACAAGGTGGGCCAGGGCCTGGTGGGCCAGGTATGTTGGTCACGGGCGTGCCATCTCAGTCCTTCGGCACCGAACCGCAGATGAACTGCTTCAGATCGAGCTGCACACCGCCGCCGGGTGCGGGCTGCTCCGAACCCCCTCCGTCGACCCTCCTGCTCTTTGTGGGAGGTCCATCCAGATTGCCACCCCCCTCAGCCAGCGCCTCCCTGACATTCTTCAGCCCCACTGCCTTGCTCACGGCCTGTTGCGCGATGGCGCTCAGCCCGGTCGCAGGCGCCGCCGCGGCCCCGCCGACGCCCTGTCCTCGCACCGCGTGACGCGCGGGCCCGTGCCCAGGCTTGCGCATCTGGTGGATCAGGCTGGTGTGGGTGAGCTTCCGGCCGACGTTCGCGATGTGCATCGCCGGCGCCGCCCCGTTCGCCTCTGCCTTCGCTCCGAAGAATTTGCTGTTCACGCGGGTCCCCGTCATGTCCACGGCGAGCGGGTTCTTCCGCGGGGGGCTGACGACCTCGGGCGACGGGGAACGGGTGCGCTCCGGAGTGTGCCGCCCTGCCTCGCTCAGCGGGTGTTGCAGGCTGCCACCGCTGGGCGCCGACGACCTCGCCCACGACGGCCCAGCCGCTCCGCTTGTGCCGCGCAGCGACCCAGTGCTCGGCATTGCCTGCGCAGGCCTGCTCACTTGGGGCTTGAACATGTTGCGGATGTCGCCGCCGCGGCCGCTCGCTGACTTGGTGAGCCCTGCGCGCTGTGCGTGTGCCTTGGGCTGCGCCAGCTTTCCGCCACTTTGACTGGGCTGGGTGCTGCGCGAATTCCACAGCGCAGAGCCGCTCTGGCCGGGCTGGGACCCTGTGTGGCGCTGAGCTGATCCGCTCTGTGTGGGCGGCGGTTTCGCGTCCTCGGCGAAGGGCTCCCTCGTCTTCGGGCTGATGTCGCCACGCACAAGCGCCTGCAGCCAACGCAGCGCACCTGCCGCTTGAGACGCACCGCCACTCGGTCCAGGCATGCAGTGAGTTGGATGGAAGCGGCACGCACCTGCACGTGCTCCTCGGGTATTTCCGGGCCGAGGAACGACGTGTCGCTCGGGTCCAGCAGTGCCGCTGCATCGTCCGGGATGGAGACGGTGGACAGCTCCGGGTCCGGAACCATCCCACCCTCGGGGATGTCCGTGACGTGCGCGATCCTCTGCGAGGAGTGATGCGCGAGGGAATGCTGGGCATCCACATGCGGTGCGACAGCCGTCTCCCACCCCGCAGCGCAACATGAGGGGAGGCGCGTCGTCGTCGTCGTCGCAGGGTGACCGCACCTGTCTCTTCGGGCAATATATCCGCTGGTGTCTGAACGTCCAGATCGCCCGCTGGAACGACGCTTCGTACCCACGCGGGAGTGCGATCCCGTTGAACCGCAGGTGCTTGCACGCCTTCACCCAAGAGCGGGTCTTCTTCATCGCGGCGTGCGCAGTCTTCGGCCCCACGCCTGCAGGACCGGCGGTCAGAACGAACAGGGTGAGCGGCGCGCAGGCCTTGCTCGTCGCGGCGAGTCAGCGGTGGCGCGAAGACCAGGCGCGTCGACAAGGACCTACCTTTCCCGGACGGTAGGAAGTCGCAGCCGAACAAGACACACATCTGCATGAACATCTCCGGCGAGAATCCCTTGAGGTCCAGCCCCTTGCAGTTCTCCAGGTCCTCGAACGCTATGGCCTGCAGTGCGGGAGCACAATCCACCTTTCTGCGACCGGTCGCGCGCCATGACCGCGTGCCTGCCGCGATTGGGGTGCACATCAGTGGCCGCTCGCGCTGCCAGGGTGCGTGCGACGCAGGCGGCCCACCTGCACGCCGCCTGCTTTGTCCATTTTGAACAGGACCAGGGGACACCCGTACGCGAGCAGATCGGAGTCCTCCGTCAGCACCGCATCGACGAGACCCTGCTTCGCTAGGTACGCCATCTGCGCGTCGGCCTCGTAGGGCGCGATGACGTACTCGACCTTGGCAGCGCGCAGTGCCACCACAAACCTGCAACTCTCCCTCGGGAGTGCAGCACGGTCTGAACCACCGCCTTGTACGCGCACGCGCCAGAACGGCGCGGCAGAGATCCGAAACGAAGCTAGCGTGCTCGGGAGCCATCCTGACCTGTGCGCGACGTCGTCGGAGATGTTGACTGCCTTGGCAAACCACTCGTATGCAGCGTGGTCGTTGCCGCTCTGCGCGAACGCAAGCGCCTTCTCGCGCGCCTCCTCGCGGCACCTGCGACGCTCGGCGTTCTCCCCCTCCTTCGCCGGCAAGGCCGCCCCATCAAACACCACGACGGGTTTGATGCCAGCGTGTTGCAAGGTCTGCACCTGCCTCATGCAAAAGTCCACATATCTGCAGGGATGTTCGAGACCGCGAATCACGACAGGTCTGCGTTGCCGCAACGCCGTGCCCTGTTGCGGGAGGGCGAAGTCAGTGGACGGAGCGTGCGCTGAGGCCCTGCTGTGCTGCGCGCCTTCGCTCGGGGGCGGCAGCCGCTTCTGGACGGTGCCCGCTTGCACCTTCTACATCAGCTCTGCGGCCTCGGCCACGCAAAGCACTTCTACGCGGCGCGCACGCCACCAAAAGACGTTTTGGCGCCCGCCTCGCCGGGAGTTCCCGAGCTTCCCCCGCGGCACGGGCATGGCGTGCCGCATGACCGCAGAACCACCGCATTTCAATCCATGCTTTCGTGGAGCACGTGCCAGGAGCGCGTCGTTTCGTTCGCGCGGGCTGTGCGGGGGCGAGCGGCGCGCTTGTCCCATCGAGCTGGCTGGTGCACCCACCTCGTGGTGTACGTGCCCTCGACGATGTCCTTCGGGCATGAGAGAGCTCCCCGATGCAGCCAGCAGAACGCGTCGACGGCTATCGTCTTCCCTCGGAAGTCGTTCAAGTGTTTGCGCTGGACGACAGACTTGAGCTGTGGCAACAGCCCAGCGATTCCCATGTCAGACGTTGCGCCCCCGAGCTGGGCCTACCCCGAAGTGTTCCAGGCGAGGTCTATCTTGCCCAGTCACCCGCGTGCGCGGCGCATGGGTCAAACGCGGACGAGGCCAGTTGCCCTCCACCAGGCCCCAAAAGCGCGCTCGACAGCTTGCGCGGGAGAAGCGACTACACTGGGCCCCTATACCGCTGACTCCAGCGCGACGAGAATCTGAACAGCGTACGCCACAGCCGCGGGGCAAAGCATTGCGACGGGGGCCTAAGTGGTCCTCTAAGAGGGTGACACCACCAGCTGACGTCAGGTCCATCCTGGCGCACCGCGCCTGGCTGCGAGGACGCCGCTCCGCTGCTGGTGGTTTCGGCCGCTCAGACCGTGAGAGCGAGCAGGGGAGTGGCATGGCCGACCAGTGCGGTCGTGACAATCAAAAATGTTGCTGCACGCACGGCAAGGCACGGTATCACATTGCACCTTGCTCCGTGCGTGCCGATCCATCAGACACGAACCCTATGGCCCAGAAGCCGGGAGGGGTCTCAGGCGGAGAAGGTTGCGGCTGTTTGCGAGCCGCTGGGTGCAAGCTGGAGACGCCCTCCGGCTCCGGGCGTGGCTGCGGCTCCGCTCCACAGGACTTGGTGCCCCTGCTCACTTGTCGTCCGCGTACACTGCTCTGACGTTCCTCCGGGGGCGCCGGTCGCCGTCCGTGATGTTTGCACTGCACAGGCACGCGCACTCAAAGGGGCACAACACTCGGCACAGGCGTGAGCTCCGAAAAACCTCTGGCACGAGGACGCCCGCAGCATTTCGTCTTCTCTGCATTGTGACCCAGACCTGGATCACGTCGATCTCGCCGTCTGCGCAGCCCCAGGTGCGCAACGCAGCGTGAAACCTCAAGCACTGCTCGCACGCGTCTCCTTCCTCCCCCCCGCCCTGCCCCGTGGCCGCCCGAGGGCGATCGCGAGGTTCCTCGGGATGCTGCGACGCAAGCAAGGCTGTGTTCAATGTCGAGGGGATATGTGCAAAGACACGAATTCTACCCCACTGGCCAAGTAAGGTCCGCGGGCGCGCACAGCGACATGACCGGCGCATGTGACACGCACCTCAGCCGCTCCTTGAACTGCCGCTCGATCACGTGATGCGTCCTGGCCGGCAACCGCCACCTTGCCACGCGTGGACCTGCATGCGTTGGCCTGAGCGTGTTCGTCCGCGCGCCGACCCTCGGATGTGAAGCGCAGCATCGGCCGCACGGACAGACGTGACGGTGAGCGGGATGTGTCGGGCGCGCCTGGCGTCTCTCAAGCGCTTTGCAGGGACATTTCTGGTGGAGGTGTCATGGACGTGCTGCACATCGACGCCGGCCCCGGGTCGAGCATCCGCGCACTCGACGGGGCATGCCTTCAGCCTCTTCGTCGCCTTGTCGGCCCGGTGCTCGACTGCGGCGTTCCAGTTGCGCTGCTGCAGGGGTGCTCTTTTCCCAAGCGGTGCAGGGGCGGGTGCGGGATCCACGGCGCCCGCATCCCCACGTGCGTCCTGAGAGCGCAACGAGACGCCTGTCGGACTCCGGCATGGCTCTGGAGGTCCTTGCCCGTGACGATCGGCGGGTCCGGGAGGGCCTAGTGATTGAGGGGAGGCATCGCCCAGCGCCTGCGGGCGGGGGAGGGGCGCCGCGATGAGAGCGCGGCCGACGGTCTCTGACTGCGCGCAGCGACGTCGGTGGGGCGCTCGCCTGTTCGCCGCCCCCCCCTCCAGCGACCCGCGTCTTCAGCGCCCTGTACTTGGTCAACAACTTCCAGTACGAGTCCTGCAGGGCGTCGAACGCGCCGGGGCCCCACGGCACTGCCGCTTCCGTGGGTGAGCGCTCTCCGCGCCTGCATCTCCCGCAGAGCGCGGGCTCCTCCTGCGACTGTCCAGACTCGCCTTCGCCGAACCCATCGCCCGGCACGCGCGCACCCGCTCGGTCCGCAGCCGCCACCCCCTGATCCGCAGACCGAGGGACCACCAAAGGCTCGCTATCGCGGGCCTGGACGCGTTCGGTCTCGCAGGTGCGCATCCTGCATGTCCAAGCACGGGAAAGCGACAAATGTTGCCGCAGTTGTAGCTGCGACTCGCCGCCGAGCTACCGTGGATGTTGTCCGCGGGGTCTTACCTCGCGACCTGGGCCTCCAGTACGTTGATGCGTGTTTTGAACATCTCCCTCTCACGGACACGGCATCTTTGCTCAGCTTCGAGCAGTTCCCAGAGTGCCCGATACGTCTGATCGCCGTTCATCGCCCTGCGCCAGCTGCCTTCGCGGCGTGTCCACCGGTGTACGTGCCGGCCAAAGCACAGCCCACCTCCCAGGGCGCGCGGAGACCTGGAGAGCCCGCCGCGCAGCGAAGCGACTGTGGCGACGAGCAACTACCGAGCTGCACAGCGTGATTTGTCGAGACAGGGAGTGCGTTGGCCCGCGCGCCGCACGTCCACGCGCAGCATGCAAAGCACGCTGGGACTGCTCATGCGCCGACGCACGTGCGCGTCCGGCAGGATGACCCCGACGAGCGCAATGGAGTGATTATTGAGCATGCACCGCATGGGAGTCCTTGTGCGCCTGTCTGTCGCGCGCACAGGGCCGCTGCGAGGCACCAGCGCCGGAGCACACCAACGGACGAGAGACGAGGTCGCAAGCCACTCACCTCCGAGTTTTTCGGTCAAGAAAATGCCCGCATTTCCTGACTCGTGATATGTTCCATCAACACAGCCTGCCGATCCTGCGGATGCGGCCACGCTCACCGCGCGGCTGCTGCTCCACTGTCACAGGGAGTGAACCGAGGAGCCTTCGTCGCTTCCGGCGCCGCTCCCCCCCGCCAGTGCGACACCAAAAGGACAAAGCGGCGGCGAGTAGGCGAGCGGAGCGGAGCGCGCGGCATTGTCCTCGGCGCGTGTCGAGGCCCCGGGACCCTAAAGCATGTCGGCTTGTACTTGCCACCGCATGCCCGGGGCGCGTGGGCCGCGCTTCAGGGCCCGGCCGTGGACCTCAGGCCGCCCACACGAGACGCTCGCTATCGACATCGAGTGTCACAAGCCTTCAACCTGCCAAGCAGCCACTTGCCATGGCCGCTGCAAACTGCCCAACGACAGCTCATCTCTCGACGGCGACCAAGACGCGCCCTCCCCGCGACGGTGATACGACATGCAGTCCCGAGCCGCCGAGATCGCGCCCCTGTCCCTCGCCCACGCGCGGGCGCGCTACTCAGCGCCGCCACGCACCCCACATCCTGGTGCTCCCACGCCCCGGGAGCGCACCGCTGCCCACCTCATCTGCCCCGACGCACCGCCTGCGTCGCACGCACGGCGCGAGCATCACTGCCGCGACTTGGCCTTCTCGTTCATCTCGTCCAGCTGGTTCAGCGCCGGGTTCAGGATCTGGAACCCGACCCAGCCGACGGCGATCACGAGCAGCGTCGCCAGCGTGCCGATGCGCCCGTCCGCGACCTGGCCCATCACCTCCTGAGCGGCGTCCGCCTGGCCCGCAACCAGGGCCGAGCCGCCGAGCCCGAGGCCGGCGATCAGACCCTGCAGGGCTCGCAGAGGGAGGGAGCGGGTTGCGAGCCGGGCCGGCGCTCCCCACCGAGACATGATGCTTTCCACAGGCTCTATACACCACTTCGCGCCGAAACCTCATGATTCAGGTCGCTCTCGGGCGTGATGCACGTGACAAATCTCACCTTGCGCGACTTGGCCTTCTCGTTCATCTCGTCCAGCTGGTTCAGCGCCGGGTTCAGGATCTGGAACCCGACCCAGCCGACGGCGACCACCAGCAGCGTCCCCAGCGTAAAGATGCGCCCGTCCGCGACCTGGCCCATCACCTCCTGAGCAGCGTCCGCCTGGCCCGCAGCCAGGGCCGAGGCGCCGAGCCCGAGACCAGCGATCAGACCCTGCACACGAAACAGGCCGCGTGATGGCGTGAGCCAGGCCTCTCGTGCAGCAGAATGGTTCTCAGAGGCCAGGCGCGCGATGCAAGTTGTGTGTCACCTTGCGCGACTTGGCCTTCTCGTTCATCTCGTCCAGCTGGTTCAGCGCCGGGTTCAGGATCTGGAACAGAACCCACCCCACAGCGACCACCAGCAGCGTCGCGAGGGTCCCCAGGCGCCCGTCCGCGACCTGGCCCATCACCTCCTGAGCGGCGTCCGCCTGGCCCGCAACCAGAGCCGAGCCGCCGAGCCCGAGGCCGGCGATGAGACCCTGCGTTCGTCGGAGGCCGAACACACACATGGCTCGGATCCCCAGCGACAGTTCTGGGTGTGTCGCGAGGCTGGCTTCGCTGGGCAGGGACTCGCGCTCGGGGACGATGGGCCTACCTGCCGCGACTTGGCCTTCTCGCTCATCTCGTCCAGCTGGTTCAGCGCCGGGTTCAGGATCTGGAACCCGACCCAGCCGACGGCGATCACCAGCAGCGTCGCCAGCGTGCCAATGCGCCCGTCCGCAATCTCAGCCAGCTCCGTGGCCGCAGCGGCGTTGCCGGCGAAGGCCATCTGGGTGGCCACAGCCGCCATCGCGGCCTGGACGACCGGGGCCTGCACACCATTCACGGTCGGGGCGCACCATCGTTCACCCCGGCGCTCATTCAGCAGGGGCCTTGACAGAGGGCGGAAGCCGTGCCGTGAGGCGATGATTCCGCGCAGGAACGGCCGTGGGGGTTTTCCGTAATGAGACATTGCAGGAGATCCGCTCGAAATGCGCAAGCGCTCCCCGCACGAACGATGGCGTGCGATATGCGGGTATCTTCCGGAAGGACGATCGACTTCAGGCCGATCGCGCAAGCCCTTTCCGGCGCGCGGCGAGCGGCGCTGCTTCTGCTCACCTCCTGAACTGGCGCCTCCGCGGACTCGACCTTGCGCGCACCGGCCACGACCGAGATCACCCGACGAGTCGCAGCCGGCCCCTTCGCCAGACCGCGCCTCGCGGTCGCGGCGGCGGTGCACGTCCGGGCAGCAATCATTTTCGCGATCCTCGTGTGGCAGATAGGTGCCGGGCGGCGCGGCAGGCTTGGCCGATGAAAAGACGCCGCGGTAGGTTGTGTAGGCTTCTTACCTCCCCTACGACTCCCCGCAGGTTGCGTGGAGCGCTCCCGTCGCGCCGGTTGGGGCGCCCGGCCTCCGTGTCGCCCCAGAGATGCATCGCATCCTGTGGAGTGCCCTGCAAGGACGGTGCTGAGGTCCCGAGAGAGCCCGAGGGTTGCGTGGTGGGTTGCACGGCCCCGCCTCCGCCTGGCAACCCACGGCAGCGCAGCGCGAAGCGCGGAACGCACGACACTTCGCCAGCTATGCCGACCCCGGCAAGCGTGCCACGCCACAGGTGCGTCGGCCCCCACATGCCTGCCAGAAACAACAAGCGCTCTCGCCCGGGCGCGTGGGTGCCCGTCGTCGCGCGATGACCGGCTCCCTGCGTCCTCCCCGTCGCGAGCGGGTGGAGCGACCGCGCTCCCGGCACGCAGTTTCGCGCCGCACGGTGGCCACACGGCGGGCGAGGCCCCGTGCCATGGCTGCCAACTGGCAAATATGAGGGGCTCTCGACCGTCCGAACGCAGGCGAAACCTGTCGACCTGGGCGAACAACCTCACCCCGTATGCGGATAGAAGATTGGACACGGCCCGGCAGGGCCAGACGGGGGCTTCCGTGGACGGGTGCGGGCACTGCGTCCTGTGTGCAGGCGCCTCGTGCATGCCCGGCGCATGCTGCTGCCCTCATGCGGCGCGCAGGGCGTCGAAACTCCGCTCTGTCGTAACGTTGGATCGTCCAGCGCGGTCCGACACGGCCACGGATTGCCTGTCTCGAATCGTGCAGGGGCCAGACGCTGCGCAACACTGGGAAGGCAGCAAGCCACTCCCCGCCGGTCCCGTCGGTGTTCAGGTCGCACCGCCGGTCGAATTCGAGGAACCTGACGGTGATCACGACGACCCCGAACCGGCCCTGGACCCCTCTGGCAGCGACGGCGAGCATGGTGAGGCTGGTGCTGTTTGTTTCAAGGACAAGGGCACGTGGCACAGGCGCTGCGCCCCGGCTGCCTTTGTCGTGGATGCTAGCGTCTCGGCGACATGCTTTGGCGTTGTGTGTGTCCACGACGCAGAGGGAGACAGAGGACGGGGTGTTTGGCGCGTCGGCAATGCGCGAGAGCGACCCGCACAACGCTGGGGAATCTGCCTCGGGGTCGGTCACGGCGTCCTTGATCGAGGGCAGCAAGGCGGTGGTACCACAGGTGCCCGAGATCGGCCCACGCTGCCCCGGCGGCCGTCAGCCTGCTCTGTTTGTGTTTGACGCGCCGACGGCGAGGCAGCAACGTGGGTGACCGCGTTCCACCACTGCGGTGCAGGGGGCGACGCAGAAAGGCGCGCATGGAGGGGCCGGCCCGGGCGAGTGCGCCGCCTGCGGGCAGCGCTTGTCAGGGCAGGTGCGTGACGCCGCGGGCTGTTTGTGCCGCCTTGGACGTCTACGCATCGGCGAGAACAATGGGCCGTCCCTCCACCACGGGTGCAGGTGTTTCGGGCCGGTTCGAAGAAGTTCCACAAGGGCTGCCTTGTGTGTGGCATGTGCCGGACGCCGATCAGCGGAGGAAAGGTCTGCTCTGCGCCGGACGACCCGGACGCCCTGTTGCACGAGGCGTGCTACGTCTCCACACTCCCCGAGTGCTCGGTGTGCCGGGTGAAGCTCAGCGGCGCGTACCGGAAAGTACCGTACTGGAACCAGGAGCACTGCAGCGAGCACTCGACGGACGGGACCTTGCAATGCGACTCGTGCCACAGGCTTCAGCGACGCGGAGTGGACCAGTTCGTGCGCCTGGAGCCGAGGGTGGGGAGGTCGGGCAGGGCCATCTGCGGCGACTGCAGCGAGACACGGCTGGGCAGCACTGTGGCGCTGGTGGACCTGTACAAGGAGGTGTCCCAGGACCTGCGCTCGATGGGCATCAACGTCGGTGACGACATCCCGGTCCAGGTGCGCCGCCGGCCCCCCCGCGCGGCCCCAGCTGGTTCGCTCCACGCCGTCACACGACCCGCGAACGTCGACGCCGCCTCCTCGCCGCGCTCTGCAGCTGGTGGACTCCTCCGCGCTGAATCAGGCGCACTCGGAGGACGCCTCGCACCCGCCCGTGTCGACGAAGAAGCACACGCAGCAGCCGTCGCGCCGACGGCAGTGTCGTGGCCTCACTGTCTGTGAGGCCACGCAGGCCTACGAGCGTGACAAGTTCGGGCGTTCCACTGCAATCGGTCCTCCCAAGGTGCGTCAAGAGCATGGTAACGACGATGCTGCTGGCCGCGACCCTCGTGACCGCAGTATGGGCCAGATCACGCACGTCGCTCTCACTCGCCCGATCCCCGCAGGTCGACGTGACTGCCATTCTCATCCTCGGAGGGTTGCCGGAGATCACGACGGGCGCAGTGCTCGCCCACGAACTGACGCATGCTTGGCTCAAACGCAACGGCGCCATGCATCTGGACCCTGCCGTCGAGGAAGGCCTGTGCGAGCTCGTCGCGCACACGTGGCTGCAGCTGCCGTACCGCGTGCCCGCTCCTGAGAAGAAGGAGGGCTCGCTGCACCGCTTCCTCCTCTGGTACCAGGTCCGCGCCCGCCTCAAAGCCGCGCGACGGCGGCCGCAGCGGGCGGCTGCGCGTGCAACAGCCCTGACCACCGCGTGGCGGCCTGTGTTGCAGGAAAACAACCAAGACCCGATCTACGGCGAGGGTTTCAGGAAGGCCAAAGCGTCGCTGGCCCACCTTCCCGGCGGCGGCTCTGTCGCTTCCCTGCTGAAGCACGTCGCTCAATTCAAGACGCTCCCGGTGGATCGCCAGCAGCGGCCGCGACAGCGATGACCCCGCAGCTGCATGACCTGTGCATTTGCAGTCGCCTAGTTGGGCTCCCCTCACGCGGGTTCCCACTAGCAGCACCGAATGTCCATATGCTACGTGCAAAGCCAGCGCACGCTCACCGTCGCGGGTGTCGTGTTCGAGCCACCGTCAGGAGCCGAAACATTTACGCTCACATCTCTTGAACGACTGCTGTGACGGTACCTCGCCCGCGTCCCCACGAACGGCAAGTGTCTCGCAGCCACGTGACCGCCGCGCAGTTACGCTCCACTCCTGCTCCGTGTCAGGTCCGGCGGGCGCAAGCCTGAGACGGCAAGTCATCATGCTCATACCCTGGCCGCCGCGGCAGGCCGGGCGTCTTATACATCACTGGCCGGTGCATCCAGTCACTTCTCTCTGGCAGACTGTCAGGTGGCTGCCAAACTCCCTGACGGACCAGGTGACCGGTGCTGGCGGGCTGCTTGTTGGCAGCAGCAGGGTGGAAGGAAGCGGGTTCGCGCGCAATGGCGACCGCGGTGGTCAGCAAGCCGCATGTAGAGCCCTCGGCGGCTGGGGATACCGAGGATCTCTACACGCGTCTCAAGACGCTCCAGAGGGAGCTCGAGTTTCTCGACATTCAGGTGGGGAAAGCTCTAGCACGTATGCTGGATGCGGCTCATGCCGCCTGTCGTCTCCGAGGTTGCCCGCCCTCCGCCCCGCCGATAGATATTGCGTAGCTGGTAGCGTTGACGCGCCCACGACTTCGCTGTGCCCCGCGACACGGGCGGATCTGTCGTTGCGCTCTTGCCAGCTGTGGAGCGCGGCTTCGGGCCTTGTTTCCACGCTTTCAATCGCGTCTTCCTCGACTCTATGTCAGTTCAGCTTGATTGGACGCTTTTTCCGCCCTTCAGTCCCGAGGAAATGACGCATGTCGCCTCCAACGCCGCTCCTGGGGAATGGCTTCGTCGACTCGGCCCGCTTGGAGCCGAAGGCGTGCCCGATGAGTGCTGCTGCCACGCGAGGCAGCGAGGTAGAGCACTCGTCTCTCGCTTCCCGCACGGTTTATGCCTCGATGCGTCCCCATCGAGGCGCACCGCGAGTGCTCTCTCCATTCCGGAGCTGCTTGCGACCCTTCCCCCTGCGGCCCTCTCACGCGTCTCCAGGAGGAGTACATTCGGGAGGAGCAGAAAAACCTTCAGCGTGAGCTTCTGCGTGCTCGGGAGGAGGTGAAGCGCATTCAGTCCGTGCCACTCGTCATCGGCCAATTCCTAGGCAAGCGCCTGGTGCCATGACCTGTGTTATGCGTGTCGTGTACGGCAGAGCCAAGCGCGCACAGGCAACTTGGCGTCCTGACAAGGACGCTCTGTGCACAACAAGCGCGTCCTGCGTCCGGCTGGACTGACTTGCAGAGATGGTCGACAAGAACACGGGCATCGTGGGCTCAACCACTGGATCGAACTACTACGTGCGGATCCTGTCCACCCTGAACCGGGAACTGCTGAAGCCGTCAGCTTCGGTGGCACTGCACAGGCACTCGAACGCGCTTGTCGATGTGTTGCCGCCCGAGGCGGATTCGTCCATCAGTCTGATGGACCAGCAGGAGAAGCCCGACGTCAGTTACAGCGACATCGGTGGCTACGACATTCAGAAGCAGGAGATCAGGTGCGCTGCACGCAGTTTGGCGCGATTGGAAGCATTCCTTGCCGTGGTTCGACAAACGCTGTGCAACAAATGCACTTCATGTGCTGACTTGATCTCCATGCTGGCCCCGTCGGTGGATCATGTGCGCCGCTTGCTAGCAGCGTTGGTGCTCTGCACTACGCGGCCAGCCACGATGACAACCAGCTTCCCAAAGCGTTGGAGCTGCGTGCCGCTTCCTGGAGTCGAAGTCCGTAATCGTGCCTCTCCGCCGCAAACGTCGCAGGGAGGCCGTGGAGCTGCCCCTTACGCACTTCGAGCTGTACCGTCAGATCGGAATCGATCCTCCAAGAGGAGTGCTCTTGTATGGCCCGCCAGGGACAGGGAAGACGATGATGGCAAAGGCAGTGGCGCACCATACGACGGCCGCGTTCATTCGCGTCGTTGGATCAGAGTTCGTGCAGGTCGGCTGCGCACAATGACAGCGACTAATCACTTGCGACCGCCATCTCTTGCGTTCGGGATTGCAAGCACCATCCCTTTTCGTGCTCATGCTTCTTCTTGCCGAGCCGTCGTGACGCGCAGAAGTATCTCGGCGAAGGGCCCAGGATGGTGCGAGATGTCTTCAGGCTCGCGCGCGAAAACTCCCCAGCCATCATCTTCATTGATGAAGTCGATGCCATCGCCACTGCCCGCTTCGACGCACAGACCGGTGCGGATAGGGAAGTGCAGCGTATCCTCATGGAGCTGCTCAATCAGGTACGCACGGCGACAGTGTTCCCACTTTCCGACCGTCGCGCTGTGTTCCGCTGGGCAACAAAGCAATGAGGCACACGTGCCGACGCCTTTGCAGATGGATGGGTTCGATCAGACAACGAACGTGAAGGTCATCATGGCGACCAACCGTGCTGACACGCTTGACCCTGCGCTGCTGCGACCAGGGCGCCTGGATCGCAAGATCGAATTCCCGCAGCCCGACAGGCGGCAAAAACGTCTCATCTTCCAGGTGGGTCGCTGATGGGCTTTCGAACGAAGCACTCGAAGGCACACAATCTGATGTCAGCCCGCCCTTAGCATCATTGCCCCTTGAATACCTTGCAGGTCTGCACTGCGAAGATGAACCTTGCTGCCGATGTCGACTTGGAATCATTCGTGTCGAGGCCGGACAAGATTTCGGCGGCGGACATTGCGGCCATTTGCCAGGAGGCGGGCATGCAGGTTAGAAAGAAAGACTGCGCGTGTATCTGCCGAGCAAGCGACGCTGCTGCTTGGCCCTGATGCCAACGGACACCTTTTGAGCTTTGTGCACTGCTTGCAGGCGGTGAGGAAAAACCGCTACATGGTGACATCAAAGGACTTCGAGAAGGGCTACCAGTCTCACGTGCGCAAGTCAGACAACGACTTCGAGTTTTACAAGTAACGTTGCGTGCGGAGCGCGCATAATGGAACGGTGTCACGACACGACGTGCACGTCCGGAGGATTGACATGAGGTCTTAGCTCCTTACAAGGAAGCCAGGTCAGCCGCGTCGCCGGCAGTGCGAAACAACGCAGGCATTTGTGAGGTAGTTCATCAGCAAACGATAGAGCCATCTGAGGACCTGTTTGTGCGCAAGTGTTGCGTGTACGAGAGGTCTCGACTTCTTGCCCAACGTCTGACGGCGGCTGAATCCGCCATTAGCCCTGAGCAATTGTTGCAATGCGTGCACAGAGCGTCTCTCTGCAGCGTCGTGATTGTCCATTACATCTAGTCGAATGATCTTCAGGTCCCAAAGCCTTATGGCTGACGACGCGAAGAATGTGACACCTCACCTCATCCGGTCAGTGTGCGACCCTGCGCTGTCTGCGTTTGTTGACTGCGGCGACATGTTGGAAACAAAGAAAATCGAAGGAAAGTGCGGTGTAGCGTGTCTTCTGCACAGGAGTACCAGCCTTCCTTGCGGTCAACGCGTGGGCACAACAACGCTGGAGGTCCTTCTGACAAACTTGTATGTGCGGATGGCACATCCCATAGACTTGGGCCGCCACTGCTTGTCGCCACTTCAGCACAAGATCGCGGAGTTCGAGGGGGCCGCGCCTCGCACAAAGAGGAACTTGCCTCGCCCACGCTGACGTCGGCTGACAGGCCGGAAATGAGGTGTTACATTCTTCGCGTCGTCAGCCATAAGGCTTTGGGAGCTGAAAAGCCATCACGACGTGCATGTCATCGTGGAAGAGGCCTGAGGGCAGCCGTCGACTGTCACCGCAGGCACAATGTTCGCGGCTCGCTACACACACTTCGAAGCCGACCTGCGCGCATCTTGCGTCTTTCAGGCCGGCCCCTTCATCGGTGGCCCCCGTCGGGCCTGAACCGGCCTGAAGGACGGCCCTTGTGCGTGTTGCGCTTGTGAATGTCCGCTTCGATCTGATGGTGATAAGCTATGCTCCTGCCAGACCGGAAGCTCGCAACCATGTCGTCAAGCTTATGACCGGCACCTACGTGCAAGGTAGAGCCGACACAGAGAAAGTCAAGGAGAAGCCGAAAAGACAGAGCATCCCCCGCCGCACGTGCACGAAAAAGAAAAAGAAGTTTTCGTGTGCACATGTAAAGACAGCTTCGCAGACAGTTTTCGTACCGGCAGAGACGTCGCCTTCGGCCGCAGGATTTGCGCCGTGACCAAGACCGGTCCGAGCGCCATCCCGTTCGCCAGTGAACGTTCCGTCGTTCAAGATTGGGGTCGCCGCGGGCGCCTTGCTGGCCATCTCGAATGCCTGCACCACAACCGAAAAACAACCTATAGTTTTTCGCTGAGTACTTCACAGTGAGGGGCGCGCATATCGCATTCCTGTGGCCGCGTTGAGAATCGCTTACCGGCACTAGAATTGCGAGGTCTTGCCGAACACCTAGTCGAGCGGCCGGATCCTCTAGCCCGGGACGATATGCCGCGGCCTCCGCGTTGAATAGAAGCAGCATTGCCTGCGAGCAGCGTGCGTAGACAAGGCATCATGCGTGAGTCGTGTCGTGCCGTGCATTCCAGCCCCCACGGAGCCTGCATGCATGAGCCCGAGACGGTTGACTGTGCCCGATCCTACCTGCATGTGCTCGCCGTGCCGGCCAGCGCTGAAAGCGTCGAGCTCTTCCTCCCACGCAGCCTCAGCTTCGCGAATGCTGTCCATGTCGATTGGCTCATACGGCTCGTGGGTCAGCTTGCGTTGTTTCACCTGCGCGTGCTCGTCGTCGGGCGTGGCGTCAGAACCATTTCTAACCGATCGTGGAGTGATGTTCAAGCGTCTGACGAGATAAGGGGGGCGCGGCTTGGCGCTTTCGACTGGCCAGAGAACGACAACTAAATTCAACGTTCAAACTCACCAAGCGAGGCAGAAGTCCAGCTCGGCACCCGAGCGCGTCGTTTGTCGGCATTCGCCTTGGTTGATGCTGCTGTTCGCGTCCGTCGGACATTGTATACGGCGGGGCGGCGGGCGCGTGGGCTGGCCACGCAGGCGCTGGACGGATATCACCTTGCATCCCGCCGCTGTGCCCACCGTGCGCAGCAGCGCCGCCCTGCTCTCTGAGACGTTCGCCTGCCTCGCCAGTGTGCCCGTGCCGATGCTGATGCGCTGCGGCGCCATGATCGCCGGGCGGCGGTCGCCCACGCGGCGGCAGCATGCCATGATCTAGCTCATACTCTAAACACTGGACCGCAGCCGGACTGTACACGCGCTGAGCTGCCCAGAACTGAAGCATCTTTCGGAGTTGCGTTAGAACCGAAGCGTCGAAATTCGCTGCAGCATACGAAGGGAACGCAAGCTTGTCAACCAGGGAGCCGAGCGCTGCGGGTCCTGCCATGGGGTGAGCCGAGCGCGCTTTCGTCAGCAGCGAACCAGCAGATCTTTCGGTAAAGAGGACGAACCTTTCTTTGCTGTGGAGTGCAGCATGCGGCCTAGCTGCGGGAGTAGCCCTGATGCAACTTGATCGGTCTCGGCCCCGGGCGCTCTTTCCGACAACGCCCGGCAAAGTACGTCGTGTGCGAAGAAAACCACGTGAAGCGCACTTTGGCCGTCATGCAGCGATTCGCACCACTCTCGCATTTGATTCGCCATTCCTGCGGGACAGCAGCCGCTTGCGCGTGTCAGGTCCGCAGACTTGTGCGGCGCGAATTGCTCATGGGCGCGTTTGGCGGGTGCTGGTTGTGTGCCTCACCAGCGGCGTACGCGACGCAAGCGAAAAACCAGCTAGTCGACGCCTTGATCTGGTCCTTGCTGCCGTTCAGCTGCGAGAGCACTTGTTGGAACGGCTCGCGAACCTCGGGCCGGTAAGGTATCTCATCTGGTGAAGGGATGGTGTATGGTATTTCATGTTGGAAGTTCGTGGGACCCGGAAGTGCCGGTGCCATTCCGCCATGCCACGGCGACTGACCAGGGCCAGGTGCCGCAGCATTGCCAGGAGGTGGGTAATAGTGCGGCTGTTGAGCAGCGGCGAAATGCGCCGTGCCCGCACCGTCTTGCGGTCCTGCCATCCATGAATTCTGGGGCTGCTGCGGGCGACCAGCCTGCACGGCAATGCGTTGACAGCGAGGATGCAATGAGGGCCATCGCCTCTCGGTTCTGGCCTCTCGGCCAGAAGAGATACTTGCCGGTCGAGCTCAGCAGGCGACACCATCAGGGGAGCCACCGCCGCCGCTGACCCGGCTTTCGGATGAAACGACATGCATGGCAATGGATCCATCAGACATGTACCTGCAGACATGTCCACAACATCCAGCGATAGTAGCCACTGCCAGGGCCTCCGAGAAGGAACTGGCAGTCCATTGCACCTTGACGCTGCTGAAGCATCCTTTGGAACGCCGGCCCATTTTTCGCCACGTACTGCGCAGTCCGCTGGATCTTCTGCAATGCAGCGCGGCATTCTCGCGGCGAATCTGAGGGGGCGTCGGGGCGAACGCAACTTGTTTCTCTCCATTCTTCGCCCGTCGTGCTGCCGTGACGCGCCTCACAGCTGACATGGCCACAAGACGGAGCCATGCGATCGAGATTGACGTCTCAGCGCAACGTGGTGGGGGTTACCAACCGTCGCGAGGGCCACGTCGGGTGGCGGTGGTTGCTCAGATGGTGGAGGCTCGTGGGGGGGGAAGAATTCGTGCCAAACGGCCAGTGACGCCATCGCGGAGAGCCTATGAACTCCAAGTGATTGTGTCGCGGGATTTCTGGGCCTTGAGACCTTCAACGTGTTGCTGCGCAGCGGGTGCAATCAGTCGCTGTGCCTGGCGTCACGGTAGGGTGCTGCCATGTTCACGCAGCAGTGCCTGCACGTGGGAGTGAGCGAGGTAGGCTCGCGACGGCCCCCTGGGGACCTCGTCGGCAACCCTGCGCGCCGTGTCCGGGCCCGACCGAGTCTGAACACCGACACGCGGTGCTGAGCTGGCGCCCGACTCCCGGCATGCCGCGGCCAGATCCTTGCCCCCTATCACCGCGATCGGGCGATTCGTACATGCAGAGCGCGGCGAGCGACCGGGTGCATCTCACATGCGCGGTCGAAGGATCGACGGGTGGTTCGTCAATGCCGCTTGAAAATGCTCGCGCCCTGCCAGGGCTGCGGGGTCGCAGCGCGCGTCGGCAGGAGGCACATCTCCGTGCGCTGAAGGTGCAGCTCTCCGCCGAACTGCGCAGCGATCAGTCGGCGGGCACCGGCAGCTTCTGTCGAGACGTGGCAACGAGGGTGCACAGATACCTCGCGGAGTGCAGCGTTGGTGACGCGGCGCAGCAGGATCTCATGAGCGCCGTCGAGCACACTTTGACGTCGATGCTGAACGCGGATCGCCTCTTCCACGGCCAGGCATCAGTGGAGCAAACCTGCCGGTGAGGTTTGTTGTTTTCATGAAACTCTCATTCGCCTGCTAGGACGCCGTGGCACCAAGAAACCCCGTGTCTCCGCGGTGCCCATCTGCAGAGACTCTTGCGGTTACCTCGGGTTCCTGGTCAGCCCGGAACGAGGGCTACGGGCAGCACTTGAGGGCATCGTTCAACTCGTACAGCCTTGTGTGGAGCGCACCGTGGCGGACGCGGGTGAGGAAGTCAAAGCGGCTGTCGTCCGCGCCATCAAGGATATTCATGAGGTACGTTGCCCACCATTCTGCCTGCAACGCGGCATCACGCGAGGCTCCTGGGGCCCCGCCCCCAGCACCAGGAAACGACGCGAGACCACGGCGTCGCACTGCAGGCCGCTCAGGATGCGGGCCCCGAGACCGTCGCGATTCGGAGTCCTGATGCGTTCTGCGGATTCGTCGGTGACGTGGCCACGAGGGCGATCGACGAATGGGTTGGGGAAGCACAGGTCTTCGCTGGTCAGCTGGTCCTCATGGAGGCCAGCCATGTGTCGAGCAGCTTCTTCCGGTGCGCGCCTCAGAACCGCTGGTCTTGTCGACCGCTGCCTAGCATCACGCCCGCGACCGTGATGACGTGCCGACCCAAACCCGTGACGCAGAGCTCTCGAGGCGCAACGCTCGGCACGTCGGAACTTGGGTCCCGACGCGGGAGCGCACGGACCAGACCGGGAACAGCCGCAAGGGCGACTTGCACGCCTACTTGGCGCATCAACGAACGGTGGACGCGCAACGCCGGGAGGAGCGTCGCCATCTGCAAAGGCGTCAGACACACAGGGCGACAGCATCACAGAGACCGACGACGCTGCACGGGGTTTCCCTGCCCTCGACGAACTTATGAGATCAGACGGCGCGAGTGTCGACTGCAGCCGGTGGGTGTCAGGCATGCTTGCCAGGTCTGTACCGGGTGATCGGCTGAAATTCAAGAAACGGTTCTTCCTGCTGAACAAGAGGTGCGCAGCTGTGCACATCGCCCTCGCGTATCCCGCAGAGGTGCTCGTGGCACGTGCTGAGGGCTCGCTGACGCCACAGACTCTACCTCGAGGTAGCGATTCAGATTTCGTTGGCTTCAGTGGCGGGCTTGATTTCCCCGCGTCGTTGCGCGCAGCGCTGACCCCGTCCTTGCCAACAAATCACGCAGTGATCGTTCGCTCCACTACTGGAAGAAACCTCAAGACGCGTATAAAGGTATCGAGCCATCGAGCATCCCGATGATGGGAAGCCGTGTTGCTTACCCAGCGTCGGGATCGAAAGACGACCTTCTGACAGTCCGGTACGCCATGACATGCATGGAGCTTCCTCGACCGTACTATGTGTTCGCGTTAAAGTGGCCAGGCACATCGTTTGATGGCACTGTCAGTTGACAATGCATGCGACAACAACAATATGTCTGGCTGCTCCCTGCTTGCAGCATCTATCGTCAGACGAAAGCAACGCACGGCAACAAGTCCAGCGGAGGTGACGTGGAGGACGGCTCGTTCCAGCTGGTGCGCGGAATGGCCGCGATCAAGTGCAAAGAACCTACATCGCGCTACATCCACGTCGCCAAGCGCGATCTTTCGTTCACGATGCAATGCAGCGCTTCGAAGATCAAAAGCAGCTCGAGATGTGGCTCGCCGCGCTGAGGCAGGCCTCGGAGGGTGGAGGCGGCCCCCTGCAAACCACCCCACAAGGGACGGCCAATTCCTTTTCATCCACTTCTGATGTACTCGCGGAGCGGACCGCGGACGAGCGCGGTGCACGTACTCGCACTGGCACCACCGCCCTGGCAGGGGACTCGGCCGGCGTCCGCGGGTTCTACGGCCTTTCTGTGGCACCGAGCGACAAAACGAAGATGCTCGGTCCGCCTTCCATCCCTCGCGGAGGGGAGTCAGCAGGTACGCGCGAGGTCTCGCTCAATGAGGCTGTGAGGGCGTGCTCCTCGCATGAGCAGCGCGGGGAGACATGGCAACACCGCACAACAGTATCTGCTTGAACTGATCTTGATCGCCCGTCAAATTGTCGTTTCCGTCACCAAGAGCCTGTCTCTGAAAGCCCTCCGGCGACGCAGGATCACTGAACCAGGACAAGTGGCGCCTTTCGAGCACAGGGGCTGACGTCAAGGCGTACAGTCAGGTCGCATTGGACTCCCTGGTTATCTCTGTGCAAAAAGCGATCCATCACTTTGTTCTGGCTCGAATCGACATCTCCAGATTTGCCACTAGCCTCCAGGATCTTCTTGCGATGGAAAGCGAGCGTCAGTCGCCGCGCGAGCGGGATCTTGCGACGCTACAGGCGTTCCACAGCAACCCGTCTGCGCTCAGAATGGACGCCAAGAGGTGCGCCCGACCTACCCGCACGCCCATCAAGATACACAACGTCGCAGTGTCCCGCTGCACCAGGCTGATGCCGTGGCGTGCATCACGGAATGAAAGTCATGAAGTTGAAAGTGTTCGCTCGCAGGGCACTCATCGCCCGCATCGACGACCTCTTGGCGGGCGCGGCTGCCACTCCTGCCGGCTGGAATGAGAGCGAGGTTCTGTCGTGCATGCAAGACGCTGAGCTCTTGCTGGGCCAGCAGCCCGTCGTACTGCAAAGGACACCCGTGGCACATGCCGCACTTGGCTCTCCTGGCAGGCTGCGGGGCGCAGGTCGCAAGTCGCCCTTGATAGCGCCAGGAGCTCGCAGGTGGGCGAGTATGTCGCGCAAGCATGACCGGGGGATGCTGTAGACAGATCTCAAGGATGTTCAAACGTCGCCCCTTGAAATCGTCTGTGCCCGTAACTCACCGCAGGGGAAACACCGCGGCACCGGCGCCTGACGTCCAGTCGCCGCAGGAGAGCCCCGAGGACCCCTGGGCAGCAGGCCTGTAGATAAGATTACAAGGGTCTAAAAAGAGAGTGCCCGCAGAAGGTGATGGCGAGCGGACGGATTGGCCTCGATCGTGCCCGTGAGGACATCTTCCCGCAGTCCAGAGTAAGTGACTAGTGTGAGCGAATGACATCGCCGCGCCGCGCGACATGCTCAAGTTGTGTCGTGTCTGTGTCGCGCGCGTCGCTGGGCGCCACAGGACCCGCGGGGACTGCTTACGCCTTCTTTCGGACCTTTCGCGCCTTGTTCTGCGTAGCCGAGATCGATGCGAGAAGGACCCAGACGGACGTGACAGGACCATAGGTGTCTTGCCGCATGCGAATTGCCATGCGCGTGCCTGCGACCGCGAGGACCTGGGGAGGGTCCGGATCACTTATTGCGCCCGAAGCAGCGTATCGGATGGGCACGGCGCCTTCCGCTGCGGGGACTCACCTGGACTTGGGTTCGAAAGCATTGAGGACGCCGCAGGGTGCGCGAGGAGCGCAGTCAGCACGGCGCATGGCTCGGCTGAGGCGAGGTTCATCGGCGTCGCGGTGAAGCAGAGCCCGTCCGGAACCATGCGTCGGACGGCATCTTGGAAGAACGCACTGCCAGGTGCTGCGACGCCCCACAGCGCTTCGTGTTCGTACGCGACGAGCCCAGACGACAAAACGCGCCCCAACTGTTTGTCGTGCACGACGGGCGGGAGCCCTTCCCTTTTCCTGCGGGGGGGTGATTGCACGCAGGCATGATCACTGAGCTGCTGTCTTCGTCGCAGCTCGCTGTCGAAACGCCTCTGACCCGCCCACGCCCGTCGGTGTACAACTCGGGGGATTACGCGCCTGTGCTCAGCTATCATGTTCCAGACCTCGCTCTCAACAGCGTCCACTGTGAGCGAGGCACCCGCCGTGTGAGCTTCCGACCCGCAAGGAACACCCGACGGCACCTCCTCGTCAGACACCTCCATCGTCTTCCAACACGCGCGATCGTGGAGGTCGAATGATGCGACGTCGTCCGGCGACTTGTTCTGGAGCGTCGCGTGGATTGCACTGTTGTTGAACAGGCAACTTGGTCCGAGGAATGGGCAGCCGGCCAGCTCCCCGCCGTCCTTCTCAGAGAACATGCGGCCGCTCGCGGGATCCCAGAAAGTCGGCTGACAAGCGTGGTCGATTGACGTGACCCAGGACCTGCACGTGAGAGGTTTCGGAGGAACGTTGGGTGCTGTGTTAGCAGCAGTACGGGGCAGCACCTGAACTCGGCAGGTGGTGATCAAGCACGCACCTGTCGCCCCCCACGCTGACATATGCATCCAGCCCCAGTCCAAGCAGGAGCCCGCAGAGCAACAGGGAGCGTTCCAGCGGGGTCGCTGCCATGGCACACAGCACGGTCTGGTAGAAGCACACCACGGAGCCGACTGAGGCGCCCGGGCAGTCGAGCGGGTCGTCGCGGTCCTGCAGCAGCGACACGAGTCGCAGCGCGTGGTGCGGAGTGGGCACGGACGGCTGCATCGTGAGCGCCTTGACATACGCTGTGGCTGGCCGCTGAACGCCATCCTCGCCTGCGAGCGGACAGGTCTCGAGTGGCGTCAGGCGAGGCCGCGATGTATGCTTCGTACGGGCTGGGCGCTGCGCGTGCGAGGCGGTCGCTCGCCTGTGAGGATCAGTTTGACTTGTGCGTTCTTGTAGTCTTGGTTCTGGGCCGTGTAGTCAGACCACCACGCCCTCGCGCGGCCGTGGAACGCCGTGACGGCGCAGGTGTCCCTCTCCATGACAGCCCTCTGGGTCCTGGTCAGGAGCGACTTGTCGATCGGCCGGCGAGGCGCCGGAACCAGCTGCAGGCGCACGTCGACGACCCCCGCCACCACCGTGGGCCCTGCATGATGACGCGCGCGAGACTGGACGAGTGGGGCTTGCGCCCACCGACGCGCTGCGGGCCGCGAACAGCATCCGCACGACCGGCGCACCTGTGGTCAGCCCAGTCGGGGCTCTGAGTTCCACAGTCGCCGTCAGCCCTTTGCCTGCGTGCGAACACAGCACGGGCTGCCAGTCCACGAACGCGGTTCCCAGCAGATCCCGCTCCCCGGCGGCAGGCTGCTTCGCTGCGGCTGCCGAGTGCGTCGCTCCAGCCGCGCGGCTCTTGCTGCCATCCAGGGCGTCATGCAGCGAACACGTATACTCGGAGTCCTCCACGCCGAACGTGGCGACCGCCACCAGGTGCAGCTTCTCCGTCACGTCCAGCGCCTCCCTCGGGGCGCAGGGCATGGGGACGGTCGCCACAAAGTCGATGTCGGGGTCCACAGATGCACCTACCGGTGGCGTCCTGCACCGCCGGAGAGCGCGGCGTGATCGGGCCAACAGGCAGAGACGACGCGTGCGGGCGTGCGTGCGCGCCCACGTGCGGCGCCCGGGCCACTCACCTGAACGTGTGTCCGAAGAGCTGACCTTCAATCCAGACAACCTCGCCTCGGCGCGGCGCCCTGCCCAGAAACGACGTGAACCCGCGGGCCCCTCGGATGAATAGCATCACCGATGGCTCGTTGACGTCGTCCGCGCGGGGCGCGGCCCTCGTCTGCTCCACGCCGCTGGCAGTGCCGCGCTCGGGCTGGCTGGCGACCGCGCTCTGCTGCGGGGCAGCCTCGTCCTCCAACCGCTTGGCCTGAACAGCGGCGACGAGACGCCCGATCACACCAGCCTGCACGTGCGAGGGCTCGCGCGGCTGTGTCGCGGGAGGCGTGCCTGCGAAGGGGCGTGATTCGGACGGGGCGAGCGCGCGGTGTTCGTAATGGCTTTCCCGCCACGTCCCGTCACGGAGCGACGGGCCACTTGCCTGCTCGAGGGCTTGCATCGAGAGGTTGCCATATTGTTTCTTGATGTCCTTGAGCTCCTGCACCGGGGCGATAGGCCGCGCAGGCGGCTGTCGGGGCCACCGAGGACGGCTGTGCGCCGCTTGCACACTGTCCAGGGGCTTGTTGCGAGGCGCGGACGAGGCGTACCTGCTTCAGCCCCTCGTCGGCCAGCTGTTCTCGCACCGAGCGCGCGATTGCGTCCAAGTTCGTGGCGACGTGGGGCATCTCGTCGCACCGACCGACCTGCGCTTGCTGGGCCAGGGATCGACCGGAGCACAAGGCCACGTCGTGGTATGAGAGCGAAACGATACGTTCAAAAGGCAGAGTGGGCCAGTTGTGCCCGCCCGCGCACCACACCGGCGGCCAAATGCGCCGGGACAGACGTCCGGAGCACTTGCAAGCTGACCACGTCAGACCTGCAGCATGAGTCGCTCATGCGCCGCGGATCCGTTGCCGACAAGGCCGCGTTACGCTGGCAACAACTACCTGCAGGTGCATCTTTCAGCAACGCCATAGTACGGGACCTGTCGCGCAGTGGCCGATGCACACTGGCACACCAGCAGCATCGCTCCGGTGAGCGCGACGTTGCGGTCGCCACATCGGCGCTGCGTGGGACCGTCCCCCGAGTCTCCTGCATCATGGAGACAGGCAGCGACTGCGCGGCACCCATCTGGGTTTTGACCCTCGGAGGTGAGGACCCTTGCAACCCTTGGGTGACTGCGGCATTGCGGCTCGCGTGTCGCCTCTGCCGCTGATCACGCGTGCACAGATATGCTGTGCGTCGGCCGCTGGAGGGTGCGTCCCCAGCCATTGAGTGGACTGCGCCCGGTCTGCGTCAGGAGAGGTGTGATGGATTGATTGACTACAGGCGCTCGGAGAGAGAAGATGGACGAGCAACTGCAGGGCCTGGGCCTGCAGGCGACGTTTGTTGACGGCATTCACGGCGAGTCGCTGAAGTCGCTCAGTAAGCTGGAGGAGCTGTGCCCCGATGTTCTGGATGTGTTGGAGCTGAGCGAGGCGCTGAGAAAGGCACGTGTCCATGCGCACATGGGCTCGCCCGCGGCGTGATCCGCGCGGCGACTGAGACGATGCCATGTCGCCGCGACTGCGCCTGCAGACTCTCGGAAGGGTGGCCGGGGAGATGGCCCCGGAGCAGCGGCGTGTTCTGGGTTGTTTGTTGGGGCATGTCCGGCTGCAAGCACGAGCGCGTCGCGAGGGCGCGGCGACACCGGTGCTCCTCGAAGACAACGTGCGGATACACCGCTCGGCGTTCCACCGCTGGCACAAGGGCCCTCACCAACCCTCCCCACATTTGGGGTACCTCGGATACCTGGGCTTCGACGACAACATGGCTCAGATTCGCGCTCTGCAGCAACGGTTCGCAGAGGAGCACGCATCCGCGACGGGCAGCAGCTGGATCGAGCTGCCGATGTGGGAGCGACAGGCAGATGGGCACAGCGCAGCCAGCAGCAGTCTCGGCGAGCTATGCTTTGGGGCATACGCGCTCCAGTGCAGCGCCGAGCTTGCGTCTGCGCTGCGTGAGTTTATTCGGGACCAGCTGCGTGCGTGGAGCGAGGGGCAACAGGGGGGCAACCGCCTCCTTCGCAAGAAGCGCAGAGGGCGGAGGTCGGTCCTGACGCTGACCCCGGTGGACAAGCTCCTCCCCCGCCTTGCGAGGACCTGCAGCGGGTCAGCGGCAGGAGCGGTTGGGGTGCTGTCGACCGGGCCAGTTGCCTTCCGCATGCCCAGCTGCAGCACCTGCACGCTGAAGTCGACGATTCACCAACAGTACGACGCGAAGGTGCGCGAACACGTCCGACCTCGCACTCGCACGCGCTCACGTCCTTGCGCTGTCCCACTGAGAGGTCGGGATCGTGCGGTCGCGGGGCGCGGTTGACACGTGTGTGTTCCGCAGAACTGTGCGTTGTGTACACGTCCCGAGGGCACCCCGCGTTGCTCGATCGCCGCCCCGCAGTACTTTCGCAGCACAACGATGCAGCTGAAGAGCTTCGGGTACGACTGGAGCGACCTCTGGCTCACCGCGGACGAGGCCGAGGCATGTACACAAAACACAAACGAAGAGCAGCTCGGCACGTCTGGGGACGGCGCGCAAGACCAGGAACGCAGCGGGGAGGAGTAATCCGCGTGCACGTGACGCCCTTGACTCGTGTGATCGTTGCGCGCCCGTTGTCGGCCCTTGCAATAGTACTCCGGGTCGTAGCAACGTGACTCCAGCGGCCAGCGGCACGTTGTTGGGCTCCCTGGGCCGCCGCGTGCGCACTCCCGCGTCGCATGATCCGTCGATGTCCATTCCGTCGCGCTGATAGGAACCTGGCGACAGTCGCGTGGACGCGTGGACAAAGTAGCACCTAGCGGTGGGACCTGTGTCCGCGGTTACCGGGAAGCTGGTGAGCTCTCGACGTGACGACATGGCTTGAACGACATTGTGCATATTTCGCACGTGCACGTGGATGGCGTTTCTGGCCCCACACGACCGCCCCAGGCCCCGCCTGCTGCACCGAGCGCTGATGCGTGGGCGTCGCGCCGACGGCGCCCGACTTTCGAACAACATCGAACCATCTCCATCCATGTGTTGTTGTGTGCGATGTCCGCAGGTTTGGGCGCGCTCATCTGCTTTGTAGCCTTGGGGGGGCTGCAGGATGGCACGCCTCCTGCAGCAACTGACCACCAAGCCGTCAGATTACGTTGACCGCACCTTTCTGAGAAACGGAGGGACTAGTGAAGAGTATTTCAAGCTCCTGAGTGAGAGCACTACCGTCTACGTGGGGAACCTGAGCTTCTTCACTACCGAAGATCAGATCCATGAAGTGTTCGCGCGGGTAGGCCTACCGCCGGGCGCTGCGCCGCCGCCGCAGTCCCTGAGTTTCACGTCCAAGGCGTGCTGACGAGGTCGGGGCGCCCCCGTGATCGTGCAGGCCGGGGATATTCGGCGCATCATCATGGGTCTGCACCGGGACAACTTGACGCCTTGCGGCTTCTGCTTCGTGCTCTTCTACACGCGGCAGGACGCTGAGGCGGCAGTTCGCTACGTCAACGGCACGATGGTCGACGGGAGGGTGATTCGTGTGGACTTCGATTGGGGATTCCAGGTGAAGTCCATGTGGTGTCGCCGTGCAACCTCCGCGCGGCGGACCAGAGCGGCGGCGACACGCGTGCACGTCGCGCAGGACCTCCCGACTGACCCACCGCGCCTGTCCGGGTGTGCGTGTATATGTGTGTGCAGGAGGGGCGGCAATACGGACGTGGGAAGACAGGGGGGCAGGTGCGCGACGACGTCAGGACGGACTACGATGCGGACCGAGGTGGCTACGGACGCGCCATCGATGGGCCGGCGAGCTACGGGTACGACGGACGACCGAGGTGCGTGTGCGCGGCCCATCCCATCTGGCAGCATGGTTCCCGGCCGCCGCCTCGCGCGCTGCGATTGCCGAGGTGCCTGAATTCGCGGGTATCGGTAACCGTGGGCGCAGGGGGGGGCGTTACCGTGGCGGGGGTCGGAGATCGTTCCAGGGCCGTTCGTCTGGTCACAAGCGTGGCTACCAGGACGATTATGGGCCGCGCTCGAAACGTGGCCGGTACTAGCATGTGACACGAGAGCGCGTCGCTGCGCAGAGGGCGCTCGCAGCCCTCTTCGACGACTGCACCACTCTCGCCGGGCGGTGCTCTGCCTTAGAACCCCTGCTTGACGGCAGGCTTCAGCGCTCGCTGCACCTGCGCCTGCAGCGCGCGAGCCTTCGCGAGCTCCTGCGCCACCTCTGCCCTCAGCCCGAGCGCATCTGGGCCCGGCAGCTCCCGGAGGTCCCGCGCCAGCTTCCGGGCACGCGCATCCTTCGAACTGATGCGGCCGGCCAGCGACTGCAGAGCGTCGTGGCCGCGAGCCGTGGCTATGACGGGTGGTTCGACGGGCATCCGGACGGGAAACAGTGATTGGACGATGTGGCCTGCACGTGGTGCGCACCTGCAGCTGCGACGTCGCCGCAGATACCTTCGCGTATCCGCGCTGGTACTCGTCCAGCGCAATCTTCATCCGCTCCGTCAGTTTGTCGACCTCCAGTCCCTCGAGCTCGATGTTCTTGGCCAGGGACTCGTGCCTCGCCCGGCATGACTGCACGAGAGCCTCCTGGCTCATCAGCCTGCGGGCAACACCCAAGTGCTGGCGGTCGCGCGGTCGCCCAAGCGGGGCCATGCTCACGATCGCGCGTGAGGTACCACGTGCGCACCTGCGGAACGTCGCCTTGTACAGCCAGTGTCTTGGCCGGGGCAGTGCCAGAGCCAGCGCCATGCCTCCTGCAACCGCTGCTTCCGTGGGGTACTGGGCCGTGACCTCCAGCAACTTCTCCTTGACCGTGCTGAAGAACGCCTCCTCGGCCTGCGAGGCGTGCGCCGCCCCGGTGTTCATGAACTGCGCGGTGCAGGGGATGGCACTTGACTTGGTTTCGGCCCTCGGAAACCCCGGAGCAACAGCGGCGCTACGCTCCGGTGCAGCGATGCGGACGTTGCGGCACATCCGAGCCAGGTCGCCCGGGCGCTGGTCGGGCGGCGACAGAACAGGAGACGATTTTCAGATGTCCAGCAAAGATCCGCCCCGCACCTGTGCGGCTCGCTCATGCGCTTGCGAAGAGAGGCTTCGCCACTGCGACTTCGCCTCGGCCAAGGCCTTGCACGCGGTGGCCGAGCCCTTCGTGTACGCCTCGTGCACCTGCAGCGGCAGCACCCAACATGGATAAAGCCGTTCTGCGCGGCGCGCGGTTGAGTGACGACGATCTAGCGAGTAGGAGAACGGCCTGTGCAGCGCGCTGCGCCCCGTGGGCGCGCTCGGCAGCGCGTGCAACCGCCCCCCGGGAGATTGAGTGACTGCCGCGTCTGTTGCGCTACTGGGCCGCACTGTCACGCGCAGGGGAGCGCTTTCTCGGACCGCGCCTGTCGACCACGGTAGGGGGAGCGCATTCGAGTACGACCCCGTCAGGGGGGCTAGTGGGCTGTACCCCAACACACGACGCATTGCGACCGCTAGGGAGGTTGGTCACGGAAGGTCAATATCCTCCGCACGATCATGTGGCATGGTGCAGGTGATTGGGCGTTGTTCGAGCACTTGAACACGGTCGAGGCCATGTTGTCGCACGACGACTCGGAGCGCAAATACGACACAACATCAGCACCGCAGGCAACCGTCGTTTTTCGAGGAGCAGGCGCTCGGGTATATGCGGTGGCAGTGGTGTGAAACAACGAAAAGCGCCTTCTGCCGCGTGGGACGATCAGAAAATGGCCGGTGGGTACGTGGCAGTGCGAGGGCACAGGCAGGAAGTGCAGTGCAGTGCGCGGCGGTCAGGAGTCCGCATCCTCCACGGAAGGATCGGTGGATGCGGCAGAGATGTACGAGCATATCCAAACCGGCATTCACGCGCGCATGGTGCACGGGGTGCGGGCAGGCGCGCAGTGTCTTTCGGCGCCCTACCGACCTGCGACTCAACCGATGCTGCGGTGGATTCAACTTGGTTACGCGCAGCATCGAGCTGCTCCTTGAATGCATCCATGTCTGCGGAGTCCTCGCGCCAGTGCGGGCGGGCCTGGCTGGCGCACAGACGCAGTGCTGCTGAAGATACAAGGGCGCGGACGGTCCCGTCAGCTCCGTGGGGCGGCTGGAGGTGGCACGCCAACGTGCACGCCGGTGTGGGCACGCCCGTTCGTTGCGGGCGACTATCACGTGCGCACCGGCCGAGGTCGCCGCCCGTGGTCGAACTGATGCCGGCTCAGGCCCCACGCGAACCGCTCGCAGCGAACCAAGCCTCCGGCCGCGACTCCAGTGCCCCGGTGCTGTGCGATCCCCAGTCACATTGCACGTGGCGAGTCGTGGCGGACGATCGTAGCAGCGAAGTAGCGTGGCCAACTGCCTTGATCATTGAAATTCGCCCCGAGGAACATCAGGAGCCGCACGCAGGGTGCAGTTTCCCGCCTGGCCGGACGCGCGCACTCCCATCTTTGCGACAAGCGGGGCGGAGCGGCCATCCTGATTCGGCGGTGACTGGTCAGGCGCCCGGGTGGCACAGCAGAGCGTCTCGCGCCATGCACGGGGGCTCCGAGCGGCCCAGGGGGCGCTCACGGCAGCTGTCAGTGCGCTGGGACGAGGAGAACCTCGAGGAGAACGAAAAAATCAAGGCAGAGATCAACCCGACGCCCATAGACGAGGCCAAAACCCCATGGGCTTCGCCGCAGCGAGACGGTACGTTGCGCGCGGTGGCGCTCTCTGCCTGCGATGCGACTCTTGTGCCGCCCTCATGAGATGTGTCCGTCGTCAGGGCGCTAGCTGCCACGGCCAGGGAGGGCGTTGTGGCCCACGGGACCCGCAAACATCCATGCATAGCACTTGCCTCGTCGCCTCGCGAGGACGTCGCTGCCGCACCGCGCGCCTCCGCGCGCACTGCGATGGTTCTTCCGTCGAGGTGCTTCCGCTGCGTCCGGGCGTTGTCATCGGCATGTCGCTGTCCGGGTGGTGCTGCAGATGACGCAGGCGCCCCCATGGAGCTGCAAGGCAGGGTTTCCTGGGAGGTGCGCGGCCCTGGGATGTTGCAGGACCGCGATCGGTGCTCGCGCGTGAGTGCGCCGCGCGGCTACGCTGGCGGCGCTGGCCCCCAGTCTTGAGCGCACAGTGGTTGCGGTGCAGAAGGCGGACTTCGAGCGCCGGAGCAGCGGGAGCCACGACGTTGGGCACCACCTGACGATGGCGGAAGCGGTCGCGCAGCAGGAGAGCCGCGACCCGGCGGAGCGCAGGAAGTTCGAGGACGCGCGGAAGAACCACTACAACATGCGCTCGGTGCTGGCACTGGGCAGGCAGCTCCTGGAGGAGGACGAAGAGGAGGACGACGAGCAGGGGGGCGCGAACAAAACGCCGGCGAACCTCCAACGACAGGTGCGCAACGCGCGGGGGCGCGCGAGGCCGCGCGACCACAGCCGTCATGCCGACAGCTGTCACCGCGTGTCTCGGACGCACTCCGCGGGGTTACTGACCCAACGGCGTGGGTCATCCGCATCGCAGAGGGCGGCGAAAACGCCGCGGGCCTCGCCGCAGGACGACGAGGGCGCCGGCGGCAAGAAACGGCACCGGAAGTTGGAAGAGCTGTAGTGCCGGTGGCGGCGGGAAGGTCCCGTTGCAGACGGGCTGCCTCGGGGTCACAACTTCGACGTGCAATCGCGCGCGCCTCGTCTCACCACTTGCTGTCGAACACCGACGCATCCAGGGCCCGGCCTCGCGAAAACAGGTCGTCCAGGTCATCAAACGGCGCACTGCTGGACGGCGCCTTCTGGCCTCTGGCGCCTGTCGTGCGCGCGCTGTTGGCGTCCGCGGGGCGCAGAGGCTGGGTTGGTGAGTCATCCACACCAGCAGGGCTGTGACTCGACAGTGATCCAAAGGCAATCTGCCTCCGTGGCCTCGCGTCCGCTCGCCGATCCCCCGGGCCCGTCTGCGCTTGCGTCCCGCGCACGTGCGAGTTTTCCTGCTCCGAGGACTTGCCAGCGCCCCAAGAGCTGCGCGGCTCGTGCAAGAGTGCGGCACCTGCGCTGCGCGGGCGCAATGCACTCTGAAGCCCCACGGGCGCGACCGCAGCGGTGCGGTGGCACTGTCGGACCTCAGCCAGCGCTGCAGGCTCCCCGTGTCGTCTGCGCCCGTGGTCGTCACCACCTCCGTCGAGTTGCGCTGGCTGGCTGTGGGTTCGGGCGTCCTCAGGGCCGTGCTCTCGGTTGAGCAGGGAGCCGACCTGCTTTGTCAGCCCGCCGAGCTCGCGCACGGCCGGCGACGGGCTGGTCCCGACCCTGCACAGGGCTTCGTACAGTGCCTGCCCCATCGTGTACGTCATCTGCAGCCCGAGCACCTGCGCCCTTCGCAGGCGGTCGAGCTTCTCGCTGACGTCGCCCTGTCCGTCCTCCAGCGCGCGCATCTGCCCTTGCATGCTCTCCGTGCGCTCCTGAATGTCCTCGATGCCCCTGCACACATAGGCCAAACGACGCCGACGCACTCGCGCCAGGGTCGGGCGAGAGGTGCGCCGGCGGACCGTGCGTACGGGTGCGAGCGCGGATGTAGCTGCACGTGCCGGCGTCCGCACCTCTGCGCCTGCTCCTGCCGTTCAGTGATGTCCTGCTTCAACGTGGCCACCGCCGCCTCGAGTGCGCAGCGCGCTTCGTCGAGCTGCTTGGCCATCCGCTGCGCGTCGACAACGCACGCGCGGGCGAGTCGCGGTGGGTGCTCGGATCGCGTCGCAAAAGAAAGAAAGCTGCGGCAGTTCCGTACCGGGCCCCCGGGATCGCCATGCAATGACAACACGGGCAGGGATGAGCTCTGCAGTCTCTGCATGTGCTTCCGGCACAGGATTCGGCGGAACTCACCGACAGCGCCTTCCTGGTTGCAGGCAGCAAGCCCATGAGCGACCATCCACGCCACCGGGCGAAGAAGTACACTCCGACGAGCGCCGCGCCGGTCGCGCCGATGACGGAGACCCGCGAGCTCCGCGAATTCGCCATGCCGGTCAATGCTGCAGCGTTCAGGCGACGGGAATCGCTGAGGGTGGGTGGTTGTCAGCAGCACCTGGTGGCAGCCTCGCACGCCACACTCATGTCGCGCGTCGGCTTATTGCCGCATTGCGGACAACACTCCTGCACTGATGATGCCGGGGCCCTCGCACGGACCTCCGCGCGTGGCCCGTGCTGCGCTGCGAGGGCTGCACCCATGCCACCGCAGCTTCCGCACCTGCGGTCTGCGCCTGCATCAATGCCAGCGACTGGGCGTGCGCGTTGTCCTGCCGTGTGACGATCTGCTCCAGGTGGTCCTGCATCGCCTTCATCCACGCCTCGAGGTTGCTCGCCGCCTCTCCCGCGCTGCTGGGCGCGAGTTCCAGCGCCTCAGCTGCTCGCTCCCGCAGCGCCTCCTTCGCGATGCGACACGCCGTCGAGTCGCAGTTGTACGCCGCAACGCCAGCTGCTCCGGCACCGCCGTACATCATCAGCCTGAGCAGCTTCATCGCGCCGCAAGAGCCCGCGCTAGCAACATGCGCAGGCTGCCAGGTGCCAACCAGGTCCGAACCCACTGCCACGCTGTGTGTGTGTGTGTGCGGAGCGGGAACGCAAGCAAGCACATGACGCCGGCAAGCATTCGATGGGGACGGCCCGGCCCGGGACATCCCGCGGGGCCTGCGTGATGGGATCTGCGTGGGTAGGACATAGGTTTCTTGCGACCTCCCGACCGCGATGGAGCCGATCGAGCTCGCGCCCAAGCCACCGCGCCGACGAAGAGGTCGGGCGCGCAATGCTACGCAGCACGGGTGCAAGTTTGGGTGGTATCTTTGCACTGTCTCATGGTGTCGCGGGCATTGCCCCCTTGGATGAGACGTGACGCCCTTGCATCGGACCTTGCGCCCGCCGACAAGCATGGAGTGGAACGTCGCTCACAACACGCGCGTGACCTATCCCGAGGCGAGTTCCACGGGTCGGATCAGGACGCGCGCACGCCCGGGTACCCCGGCTGGCTCTCGATCGACGATATCATCGACATGCTCGCCTGGTCCTGCCGGCGCCCCGGGAAGTCGTCGATGCGTCCCGCCGGCGCCGCGCTGCCTCCCGCGTGCGCCGGCGGCTTCTCCACCGCGGCCTCCTGGTCCAGCATGTTGGCGGCCCACTGCGGGAACAACACGGGCGGGACGGTGAGCCACTCGCAAGGGACGCTGCGTGGCTGCGGCGCTGCGTCGGCAAGCGGGGCGCACCATGTCGACCAGGAGATGGAGTTTGAAGTCTGCCAGGTTGTACATCTCCCGCTGCTGCTTGACCTCGGCGTCCAGCTCCTGCGCGCGAGAGAGCGGCGTGGGCGTGACGACGAGGCAGGGGCCGCGGACCACCGTGCGAGCCGCCTCGCTGCCGCGCGTGTGTGCTCACCCGGATGCGGTGCACGAAGCGCTGGTTGTGCTGGTACATGCGTGCGTTGTCCGCCTTCAGCTGCTGCATCTCCGACCTGTCCGGCTTCTTGCTGCCCCACGAGAAGAGGCTGCGGAACGGGCTCGCCTTGCGGGGCGTGGTCGCCTGCTGCCCTGCCACTGCGGACTGTCGCGGCGTGCCCGGCTGCAGACGTGCGAGGGCGGGCGCGACCAGGTCGGCGGGCGCTCGAACGTGCGACACGGGGGGCACTGGGCGGGCGTCGGGACCTGGATGGGCGCACCTGCGTGGGCGTGTTCAGGCCAGAGACGGGCGCCGACACGGACTGCTGCTGCTGCTGCTGCTGCTGCTGGGGCTGCTGCTGCTGCGCAGCCTGCTGCGACGGCAGCGGCGGTAGGCCCTGCGATGGTACCACGGGGCGCGCGGGCTGCTGCGGCGGCGCGGGCTGCGCCTGTCCGTGCGGCGGCCCCTGGTAGGACAGGCGCTTCTGCTTGCGCAGCTGCTTCATCTGCTCCTTCAGCGCCTGCCGCTCCGCCTTTTCGCGCGCGCGCGCCTCGGCCGCCTCGCGCTTCGCCGCCTCGCGCTGCGCGATCGCCTCCTCCTTGCGGCGCTTCGCGGCCTCCTTCTCCGCCAGGGCCTGCTCCTGGCGCTGCCTGCAACGCACATGCACCGGCAGCCGCGCCGTCAACGCACGAGCGCCCCGCCCACCGCCGCACGCGGTCCAGGCCGCGCCGCCCGCGCACCTCGCGTCCAGCCGCGCCTGCTCCTTCGCTTGGATCGCCGCCTGCTTGGCCGCCTCGCGCTCCAGCCGCTGGCGCTCCCTCTCGGCCTCGCGCTCCGCCTCCTTGCGCGCCCTCTCGGCCTCGCGCTCCGCCTCGGCCCTCTGGCGCTCCTCCTCGCGCTGCTGCTGCTGCGCGGCGCGCTCCGCGGCCAGCTGCTCCATGCGCTGGCGCTCCTCCTCCCACCGCCGCTGCTTCTCCGCGCGCAACGCCGCCTCCCGCTCCGCACGCTCGCGCGCCTCCTCGGCCTGCTTCCGCAGCTTCTCCATCTTCTTCTCCGCGCGAGCGTCCAGCCAGCCCCCCAGGCCCGACCTGCCTGGCGTGGGCGGCGCTGACGCAGGACCTGCACGCCCGCGCACTGAAACAAGCCTCTCGCGCCAAACACACGCCTCGCGCGACACACGACCGCGCGTGCGGCAGCGCTCTGTCCGGCGCCGGCCGTGCCACGCACCTGTCGAGTAGGGCATGGGGCTGCCAGGGTCAGCGCCCGCGACCTCGGCGCCCAAGTCGCGCGGAGTCATCTCCCGTGACACGGGCGCGGACGCCGCGGGCACGTGGCCCGCGGACGCAGCGGGCAGGTTCGCGCCGGACGCGGGCGGCAGGGGCACAGAGGGCACGGTGGGCCTGTACGCAGCGTCGTGTGCCTGAGGCTGGTCGGGGGCGTGGAACGCCTCGGGCTGCTGAGGAGCGCCGAACCCCTGGTACGGCTGCGCGGCGCCGGGCGCCGGGGCCGCTGCCGCCCCCGGCGCGGTGCTCCAGGGCGCTTGTTCCGGCTGCGACGACGCAGGCGGCCCCCAGGCGCTGGAGCCGCGCTGGGGCGGCGCAGGCGCGCTGCTGGCTGCGGCGCTTTGCGGCACCGCCGCGGCCTGCCCCCAGTGATCTGCGGCGCGGGCGGCGCGGGGTCGTGCGTGGCAATGAGTGGTGGTCCCACGTGTGCAGGTTGCCGCGCGGCGGCACTGCGAGCAGCCGCACCAGTGCGTTCGGGCGCGCACCAGGGAGCGGCGGTGGCGGTCCCGGCGGCGGCGGGGGCGTCACCGGGTCCAGCTGTTCGCGCGGCGGGCTGTGCATGGGGCGGATGATGCTGCCGGGCGGCGTCCCCGGGGCGTCTGGCGGGGGCGGCGGCGGCGGCGGGGGCGGCGCGAGGGACGCTGACGTCGTCGCCGGGGCGCTGAGAGGCACGCCCATGGGCGCGAGCGACGGCGGCATGCTCATCTGGGCCCCTGCGCCGGGCCCGGGCAGCGAGCTGCTCCCGGGGGCGCCGCTGCCGCTGTAGGGCGCACCGCCCGGCACGAACCCTTCCGTTTGGTGCGGAGCGGAGCTCGTCGGGCCCTGACCGACGACCTGGAAGTCCTGGTCCTTGCGTTTCCTGCGCGAACCGGCGCGGGCCGAACCAGCCCTGTGAACCTCGCGCTCGCGCCGCGTGAGCCGGCCGACGCCCGACGCGGTGTCGTGCGGCGGAGAGGTCGGGGGAACGGCGGTCCTCGCGCGCGGTTCTTGAGAGCAGTGCTCGCCGGCCCGACCAAGGGGGCGGGCGCGCGACGGCCCTGTGCTGCGGGACCCGGCTTGTCGCCCGCGTCTGCGGATGGCTGCCGCTCCGCGGGGAGGCTCCGCGCGTGTCCGCGACACTCACCTGCTGAAGATGCCCATCGCGCCCGGAGCTCTTCTGCCGCGACGACGCACAGGCGGCTTGGCCGCGAGCGTTTTCAAACCCTGCACCCAGCTGCGGTGTCGGGTGAGACGCCCCCCACGCTCTTGTCCTCGACGACCGGGCGGTGCGTTCAGCGCTCGGACGGACAGTGTGCTCGCGCCGTGGCGGCTTCGCGCGACAAGCCGCGCTCGTGCGCACGCGGCCGTCCACGTAGGTCCCCCGGCGGACGTGTGACCCGGGCTGGCCCGGACAACGCGGCGAATATCGAGCTACGAACGCGCCGCGGTCGTGCACACGTAGACGTCATCCAGGGTGCACGGGCGGTTGTGTCTTGTTTGCTCGATTGCGCTGGACGGAGCAGGGCTTGGGAGCATGCAGTTGAGGGGCGTGCGGGACTCCTGAGCCGCGGATGCACACGCGGCTGCAACCAGACCCCGAGCGACATCTCGTGGATGTGCAAGATTCGGCCCAGGCAGCGCCGGTAACGATGCTTTAAGACGGGAGCACCCAGGCTCGTTAGCTGAGCGGCCTGTGTACGGCACGCCGCGCTGCACCCGATGTACAAGTACCTCATCTTGCCCGGAAACGAGAGCTCACTTATCAAGGATGCGCTCGACAGGCGGGGGTGCTGGGAACCTGCGGGACGTACGACCTCGACGATGTCAAAGGTATCTCACTTGGGAGGTTGCCACCGCATGCGGCGTGATTCCACCTGCGCGCGGCCGCGGTGAACGACCTGGCTGCGTGCGCCGGATCCACCCAGGAGGAGATGCAGGCGGCGACGGTGGAGATGCTGGGAAAGTATCATCTGTGGTGGGGCGGGAACGGGCAGCGACTCGACTGGGCGATGGTCAGGGGGCTCAGGAGCGGCAAGCACATGTTCAACCGGATCGAGGGGAACGTCGAAGTATGCAGGTGCGGCGCTCGCGCCCCCCGGTTCCAAGCTTGTATCTCTAGTGCGAGCGATGATTGAAATGCAGGACCTCGGCAACCCGTGTCCACTCCCTGGTATTGCCGTCGCAGGAAGAACTCCCTCGCCTTGAACATCGCGCGCACGTGCGGGGCCCCTCCGTGGCTGCCCGCGACGTGCGTCGTGAGCAAGGGAGGGGGCAACCAGGCATGGGCGTCGATGCAGGAGCGGTACGACAAGGCCGCCGCGAACGGACAAGGCCGCGTGTGGATCGTCAAGCCCGGGGCCATGAACCGCGGGCGCGGCATAGAGCTGGCGGACAGGTGCGGCGCTGCATGTCACCACAATGCAGCGCGAGCACCTCACGGATCGCGCTCGCCCCACCGATACCATCGGGGCGCATCCGCAGTCTCCGCGCCGTTGCAGTCGGCACAGTGGCTGCTGCGAGACAAAAAGGCGGCACGCATGCAGCGTTGCGATGTGTCTGCTGTGCGGATGCACCATGCGTGCGCGACCTCGGGGTAATGAGCCCCACAACCTGTGCGCAGCATGGAGAAGATCAAGGCGATAGTCGCGAGCGGTCCGGCGGGGTCCACATGGGTGGTGCAAAAGTACATTGAGAGGCCGCTGTTGGTGGGGGGGCGGAAGTTCGACATCCGGGCGTTCGCGCTGGTCACGCCGGACGGCGGCCTCAAGATGTTCGAGGACGCGTACGTGCGGACGTCGAGTTCGGCGTACAACCTCGCCGAGCTCGGCGACTTGGCTGCGCACCTCACGAACGACGCTGTGCAGGTGCGCGGCGCGCCACTTGCAGCTGGCGGAGGGTCTGCGGGCGATGCGCGTGGCTTCGCGAGCGGGCGGCCATCACTGACACGCAAGCTCCCTCGGGCCTTCCTGTCGGTTGCAGAAGTCGCACGGGACCTATGGCGCGCACGAGGATCATAACAAGCTCTCCCTGGAGGAGCTGGACGAGAAGACGGGCGGCAGGTGCGTGCGATCCCCTGCCGCCCGCGCACCACGTCCGACGCGCACGTCTGTCACGCCTCGCACACACCGCGCACTTCCCAGGGCCCCGTTTCCGCAGGCACAACATCGTGCATAAGTTCAAGACCGAGATGCGGCAGATCGTCGCCGACGTGTTCGGCGGCGTCGCGCAGAAGTTCAACACGTCGAACTTCCAGTGGACGTTCGAGCTCTTCGGCCTCGACTTCATGTTGGACGATCGCGGGCAGGTGCAGGGGCTCACCCGCACACGTTGTCCGTCGTCGCCCGAAGTCGACTCCGGCGTCACACTCGCTGCTCGCCCTGGTGCGTCGCAGGTGTACCTGATCGAGATCAACACCAGCCCTGCGCTCTTCCTGCACGGATCCAAGCTCACCAAGATGCTCCCCCAGGCACGCCTCGTCCAGACACCCCGCCCGCTGCAGACACACCCCCCTGGCTGCACCGGGTTCGCGCCGTGCAAGTCCAGCGCTCACGGTCCCGCCCCTCGCAGGTGATTGAGGGCATCGTGCAGTGCTGCGTGGATCCAAAATTCCCGCCGCCGCCCGGATGGTCGGCCACGACAGTGCCCCCGGGACAACGATTCACGGATGTTCCTGGAAACGTGCGGATCGGACGGCCCTCTGTCCGGGCGAGGTCGTTCGTCAAAACACCATCGCGCTTGAAACAGCCGGCTGCTCAAAATAACACACCGGGCGCGAACGGACAGCCAGGCGCTCCAGGCACTTGAGGAGCCTCGTCGCCAATGCCGACGTGCTCTCTCGCAGCTCCCTCAACTTGGGGCAACACTCACATCCCTTGCACCACGAACACCCGCCTTGTGCGGATGCGCTGTGAGAGCGCACCTCTGTCGAAACTCGTGGTGCACGGCCGCTGCACGATCATGCAGCAGGGAGGCAGTCAGGGCCCTCTCATGGGACTGCGTCAGGCTGTAGCAATGTCAGTGCCAACTGCAGCGAGTGGGTCCGCGTCGTGCTCGTCTCGAACGCGACCTGGGACGTGAAAACGCCCGTGTGTCCAGGTGAGCGTCCGCCGCTTCCAGACACGCGGTTGCCCGGACACCGTCGCGTGGCAAGTCCCCCGCCCCTGCGTCTTCCAGGCGGTTCCGCCGGGCCTCGACGGGCGCACATGAGGCCGTTCCCCGAGGGGCCCGCAGCACTACATGTCAGCACCAACTACGCGAGTCGACAACGCGCATAGACTCTCATTAGAGAACGAGCGGCGCGCCAGCATGACCAGATGTTTACCGCGGGACAAGCTACCTCGGACTTCGACCTGCTGACCCGGGCGATCCGCCCGTAGCTGCAACGTATTGCTCTCTCGGGGCCAGGGCACCCCGTACAGGAGGGCGGAGAGAGGAGGCGGCATATGTGCTGTGCACAGGACTGAGGCCGTCGCTGTGCCTGCACATGGAGGCCGTGCGCCTCGCGAAAGGCGGTCCGACGATGGAGACACGATCAGATGTCTGCCGCTCATATGCAGACTCCGGACAAGGGGCAGCAGCTGACCGTGGCGCGCGGCAGAGCTCGGCTGCATCTGCCCGGACCATTGCGTCCCCCGCTGTCGAACCTGTGCCGGAGTTCGCGGAGCTCGTGCGGGCGCTCGGAGACTTGAAGCCATGTCCCGTGACGGCGACGCAGGTAGGTGCCCAGCCCTTCTACACAGCCCGTCCCGGCGTCAACCTATCTCCCAGGTTGAGTGCCCGGCCGGGCTCTGCCTGGACTTGGCCTGCCTGCCCGCTGGGGAGATGCGCGTGGATCGACGACGAGTCCACGCCTCAAAAGGCCCGCGGCACCATCGTGGCGAGCGCGGGGGTGCAAGCCGCGGCGCACCAGCAGCAACCACAGCAGGAATCGCCCGGTAGCTCGCGTGCGCGGGAACGAGGAATGCCTCGAACCCGATCAGCGATACCAAACTTTGCGTTCCAGCACGGAGCGCCCGCTGTGTGGATCGCAGCGTGGTTTCCCGCGGCGAAAGCGCACGATCCAGGCTCTCCGGTTACCTCCCGCGTCGCGCAACGCTGCCTGAACGTTCCGCTTGCCTCGCAGGGGATGCGGCGCGGTCCCCCTGAGCCGTTGACGCCGGTCATGGCGGGCCTGCGCGAGCAGATGCGCGCCCTGGACCTGAAGGCCGCGCAGAAGCCCGTTATGAACCGGCTGGTGTACGACTCCCAGGACCCCTCCCCCTTCTACGTGCCCCGAGGGACCCACGACCCCGACGACCCCAAGTCGGATGCCCACTGGGCGCCGCGATGCGAGGTGCGTCGACCGGACGAACGAGGCCCGCCACGGCACGTCTCTCGCGTCACCCGCGCCTGCCCCACAGCCCCCCTCCATCGCCCGCGCGCGGTGCAGGCGGTGAACCCGGAGGCTCTCGCGGCGGGCACGCTGCCGCCGTGGTACGTGGCGCACGCGAAGGACCCGACGGTGGTCTTTGAGGCGCGGTTCGAGAGCGGCAACCTCCGGCGCGCGATCCAGGTGGGGGAGTTCGAGTACGACCTGATCTTGCGGCCGGACTACGGGTCGGACAACCACGTGCAGTGGTTCTTCTTCGGCGCGTCGAACCTCCGCGCGGGGCAGCCCTACAAGTTCAACATCGTCAACTTCACCAAGGACTCGTCGCTGTACAACGAGGGGCTCCTGCCCGCCCTGTTCTCCGTACAGCAGCACCGACAGACCGGGCGGGGATGGTACCGGGCGGGGTGAGCCACCCGCGCAACCACAGCGACGCAGCGCGGCACCTCCCCAGTTGTGGCAATCTGCTGCCGTGCGCGCTCACCGCTGCCCGGCTCCCGTCGCTGCAGGGTCGACGTGTGCTACTACACCAACGAGATCCCGCGGAAGGGCGCGAAGAAGGCGTACTCGACGCTCACGACCACCATCGTGCCCCACCTCGCCAACGACACCATCTACATCGCAGGTACGGGCCGCCCGCCGGCCACGCCCGGACCGCGCCACCGCCCAGCCCTCAACGGTTCGCTCCGTGTCTTGAACCGGCGCGCTCGCACCGACGCGGCGCAGGGAGCGTGCCGTTCACCTACTCGGACTGTGTGCGGCACCTGGACAGCCTGGAGGCGGACACGTACCGGAGACGCCACACCACGCGGGAGTGCATGTGCTACACCATCGCGGGGCGCCGGTGCGAGGCGCTGACCATCACGGACCGCAGCGGCGAGGAGGACCTGCAGCACCACCCCGCACAAGGTACGAGGGCCCGTCTGCCACGCCTCGAGAGACCGCTGGGCAGCGACGCCCAGAATCAACTGCCGCGGCCCTACTGATGCGTGATCGCGCCGCGCGCTGCGCAGGGCTTCCCATGTCGAAGCGGCGCGGCGTCATCCTGACGGCGCGCGTGCACCCGGGGGAGTGCAACGCGTCGTGGGTCATGAAGGGCGCGCTGGACTTCCTCACGGGCCCGTCCGCGGAGGCCGACCTGCTGCGCCGCCACTTCGTCTTCCGCGTCGTGCCGATGCTGAACCCGGACGGCGTCTACTACGGCAACTACCGCTGCAGCCTGGCGGGGTGCGACTTGAACCGCCAGTGGCAGGTGCGCGCCCTCGCCGGCGACCTGGCGGACGCGGGGGGTGCGTGGCGGACCCACCGGTGACCGCGGTGCGCTCGCCGTCGCGTGCGCTGCAGAGTCCGAGCGAGCGGGACCACCCCGAGGTGTACTTCACCAAGATGTCGATGCTGCGGATGCTCTCGGACCAAGGCATCGAGATGTTCGTCGACTTCCACGGACACTCGCGGAAGAAAGGTGCGTACCACGGCGCGCCCCCCTCGCGCGCCCGCTGCCGCCTCGCGGCCACGCTGATGGCGCTGCGCTCCCCCGACTCGGGCGCAGGCGTCTTCATCTACGGCTGCACCGACCCGCAGCCGACCGGCGGGGAACCCTCAGGGTGCGAGGGCTTCCCGTACTGCGTGGACATGCTCGGGCCAGGGTGCATCGGCTGCAAGATCGGCGTCCCGATATCCCTGCAACAAAAGCTGTACCCGTACATCCTCGAACGCGAAGCACCCGAGATATTCTCGTTCGGATCGAGCGTCTTTTCGCTGCACCGGTCCAAGGAGACAACTGCGCGGGCCGTCGGGTGCGTCGCGACGTTCGTGGTGCTTCCCTGTCATGCCATAAGGACACCCCACGGTGGCATCCGACCCCCGCGATGGGAGCGTATGACGGTGCAGGTACCGAGAGCTTGGTCTGTGCAATTCCTTCACTCTCGAGGCGTCCTTCGCCGGACCTGCAAGCGGGCCACACGCCAACACCCACCTGACCACGTCGCAGCTGGAGCGCCTGGGAGCGGCCGTGGGAAGCGCCCTTCTCGTTTACACCATGCCGCAGGTGGGTCGCTCCAGGCGTGCTCGTGCACCGCCGCGCCTGTCCCGCGGCCCTGTTCTCGCGTCGGCTCACACTGCCACTGCCACCTTGCTCGCAGACGCACGATCACCACGTCAGCGTGATCAAGGATCTCATCGAGGCGGTCAGCCGCCCGAAGGAGGCCGCTGACGGTGGCGCGAGCGCTGCTCCGCCCCCGCGCGCCCAGCAGGACGACGCGGCAGAGCCCGACCCTGCGGAGTCCAACGTGTCCAGCCGATCGAACAGCCGCACGTCGCTCGTCGCGATGGACAGGCCAGGAGCTGGCAACAGCGGACACGGGCGCCCGAGCAAGGGGGCGAGCAAGGGCTCGCTCTCCCGCAAACCCAGCAAGCTCGGCGCCCCGGCCCGCGGGCGCAGCCGCAAGGGCGTTTCCGCACCCTCGTCGAAGCCGGCGGGCGGCAAACCGTCCAAGTCACGCAGCAAGAAGCAAGCGCCCCCCGACTCGGCCGCCGCCGTAATCGCGGGGATGGCCTCGTCGCCCGTCGTCAAGAAGGCCAGCGTCTCAGAGGAGGCCGACCTGAACCTCCTGCGCGCGCTGGCCGAGGCGCAGAAGGGGAGCGGGCGCGAGAGCTCGGAGACCTCTCGAGAGAGGGGCGCGCAGGCGGGCTCGGCGCTGGAGGACGCGGAGCTCTACGCACGCTACGCTATGCCGCGCTCCGTCTACAGCTTCATGTCCCGCGACATCTGGCAGGCGGCCCTACGGGACCCCGGGGCGGCGGCGGGCGCGGACGAGGGAGCAGGGCCGGCGCGCGAGAACGCAGCTGCGGAGGGGGAGGGGGCGTCTTGTGGCAGCCCCGCGCCCGCGCAGGGATCACACAGCTCGCGCACGTCCTCGGCCCTGTGCGCGGAGATCGAGAACCTCAGCGTGGCGGCTGCCTCTCGCGGCAGCTCGCCGGTGCCGGGCGACATCCGGGCGCGCGGCCGCTCGCTGTCGGTGGGCTCGAAGATCCCCACCATCACTGTGTCGCAGCCAGCCATGGCCAGTAGATTATTTCGCAGTTCCGGCAGACACTCCAACGGCCAAATCGGCGTGTGATGCATGAGACTCCGTCCGATCTCACATCGGGACGCTGTTCCGGTCGCTCGAGCATCCTCGCAATGAGGATGCAACCAAAGCAGGAACAGCCCCAGCACCGTCGATGATGGCCCGCGCGAGAAGGTCGGCGAGCACAAGGAGGTGCGCGCCTCGCCTTCATGATAGGATGTGCGGCGAGCTCTCGAAGTCGCCGAGGAGGGGTTCCGGCCGCGTCAGCAGCGGCACTTGGTACGGCGCCGACGTGACCTCGATGACGCCGGCAGGCTGCTCCCACGCCTCGCCGTCCGCCTGGACCGGGAACGGGCGGTCGAATCGCACGCGCAGGTGCCGGCCCTGGGCGACCCTGGCAGTGCGCGACAGGGAGAAGCTCAGGAGCCCCAGCTGCGCTGCACCAAACACGGCAACGATCTCGAACCGCCTGTCGTCGAACGCGGGCTCCGTGAACGGTCCTGCGGCTGGCAGAAGAGGCGCGTGTGTCAGTGCTTCACTCGGCATCGCACGCCCAGCGAGCATCCTCCACCGGGTGGGCCAAGGAACAGCAGCGTTCATGTGCGTGGGGCGTCGCTCACCGCTTCCCGGCGTCTCCTCGCCCAAGTCCCACATGTCGACGCCCCCCGCGTGCGAGTCGATGTTGAGCACGATGATCCCTTCCGCCTCCTCCGGGATGTCCACCACACGGCCGTCCACCTCGAGCGTGACCACCGACGGAAGGTCGCCGCAGCTGCGCGCGAGGGAGAAGTGGTCCGCGGCGCCCACCAGGCCGTACGCGAGGCGGTTGATGGCGCGGCTCTTGAAGATGGACTTGATGGGCGAGTGCGAGCGCAGCCAGGAGAAGCCCAGCGCGCAGTGCGCGTCGATGCCGAGCCCCAGGTAGTTCGTGAAGTACATCGGCGGGGTGGCGTCCTGCGGCGCGGGGTGCGCGCTCATGTCCCAGCGGTCGAACGACACCACGCGCGCCCTCCTGCAGGCACGAGCGCGGGGAGCACGGTCGTGAGATGCATCGCTTCCCGCGGAGTGCTGGCTGCGGTGCCCGTGGTGCGCGCTGCGCCGCGCGGTCGGCCGCGCATCTCACCGCGCGTCCTTGACCACCTTGGTCAACGAGCCCTCCATGAAGCTCAGCGTGCTGCCGCCCCACCCCAGGGCCCGCGCGAGGTCGTTCCCGGTGCCCAGCGGCAGCATCGCCACGGGCGGCACGTGGAAGCCCGGCGCGGCTGCCCGGCCCCAGCCGTCGCCCTCGTGTGCAATCTTTTCGCACTCGTCCAACACCCACCCTACCGTCCCGTCGCCGCCGACCACCAAGATGCGCAGATTCGGGACGTCGCGCATCTCCCTGCGACAGGCCGACGCGTGGACGGGCCGTGAGCAGCTGTTCGTGGGTGGGGTTGCAGCGCGGCCTCGGAACGATCTCGTCAACGTGGCCGAGTGGAGGTCCTCCACCAGTTGATCGGGGCGGCGCGTGCCCTGCGTGGCAACGCCTTGAAGTCTCGACGAACTTGGACCATGTGTGCGCCGGATACACTGTGAGGTTGCCGACCACCACGGGGTGTGCGTCTCGAATGTGTTCCGTGAAGGCCTGCCGGCGTCGTCGCACATCGTACGATGGCTGTGGTCGGCAACCTCACGGTGTATCCGGCACATACATGGTCCAAGTTCGTCGAGAGACACTTCAAGGCGTTGCCGCGCAGGGCACGCGCCGCCCCGATCAAGTGGTGGAGGACCTCCACTCGGCCACGTTGACGAGATCGTTCCGACGAGCGAAAACGATCGCTCGGAGGGTGGCGCAGCGCACCTCAACACAGGCCCGGGGTCCTGCCGCGGGAGGTCCACGACCCTGCCGCTGCGGTGGACGATCTTCTTGAAGCGCTTCACGAGCGCGTGACCGATGCGCGGGCCCGACGCCGTCGAAACGAGCACGCAGAACGGCCCTACGGGGTCGTTTTCGTTGGTCTCCGTGCTCGGGCCGAGCCGCAGGTCCGACGCGGGACTCGCCGCGGTCGTGCGCGGGCCTAGAATGGCTTCAGCACGAACCAGTCCGTGCTGCGACGAGTGGCCAGGCGCCCCGGGGCGCCGTCTTGCGGCTGCCGCGGGACATTCTCTCCTCGGGCTACCTGCTGCTACGGACCGCAGGGGCTACGGTGGTTTCTCGAACCAACTTACAGGGCCATGGCATAGGTACGTGCATGTAGATCGCAGTTACGCGTCTCTCACCGGCTCCAAGGGCCCTCGCGGGCAGTGCCGACGCCATGTCTACCACCTCTCCTTAATCGGTGTGGGTATCAGCCGCGGCTGCTGGGCCGCGGAGACGAAATTTGAGACGCGAATCCGTGACGGGGCTCGGCTTGGATGCCGTGACAGTTGTACGCGCGCCGCGACCGCAGCGAGCCCTTGAACGGGGCCAATTCTCGCCTCCGGGGAGTGACAAGCCGACTGGGCGGGTAGGTGCCGCCGCGAGGTGGTGGAGCGGCTCCGGGCAGGCGTCACGGCGCCCGCAGGGCACCTCCCTGCTGCAGCGCGCGTTCTGCGTGCCCACGAGGGAGGAAACCACCCGCTGTGCGTGAATTCCGCCGTGTCGCACATGGAGACCAGCAGTGTGTGTGGTCGGACGCCGCGGCACGACACGTTCACATCGCGCGCCCCGTCAGTCGCTGGTGACGAGCTTGCCCGTGGCGAACTGCTGCACGGCGGCCTGCATGTCCCCGTGGCGCATGAGGCCCTCGGCGGCCGACTCCATCGCCGCGGCAACCTCCTTGTTCTTCTCCACCGCGTACCCCGCGCGGAGCACCTCGTTCGCGGACACCGCCATCAGCACGTCGCGCCCCTCCGCCGTCAGCGACAGAGCCTGCGGCAACAGCGCGGCGACACGTGTGTGAGCACAGAGAGAGCACACAGGTGCCGGTGGGCGGGACCTGGCATGCGCCGCTCGCTTCGGGGATGCGCGCGCACCTGGATGGCGTCGGCGAGCGCCTCCCGCACGGTGTCGTCCTGTTCCCGGTCCTCGCCCGCGTCCAGCCGGGCCAGAATCCTGCGCACACACAGGGGGGCCGCGGCGACACCGACAGTGGGCCGGCCGCGCTCCCCTCGCGGCGACGGGACGCACGCACGTCGCGCACGGGCCGGGTGCGCGCACCGGCCGATGTTTTGCTTCTCCTCGAGGACGGCGGCGAGCGTCCCCTCTGCCTCGGCGCCCATGCACAGGTTCTTGATGGCGGCCGCACACCCGCGGCGGCGGAGCTCCGACGTGGCCGTGAGCTGCGGCGTGAGGGCGTGCATGAGGCCGCGGCCCTTCTGCAGGAGGACCTCGCGCGCGCTGCGGATGCGCGTGACGTTGCAGAGCACCAGGGCCACGTGCTCGTACAGGTCGACGGTCTGGCCGAGCGAGTCGACGAACAGGCGGAGGAGCACGGCGACGAAGAGGCCCGCGAGGCGCTCGTCGCCGGTCTGCAGGATCGCCTCGCAGCCCTCCTCCTCGATGGTGATGTTGGCCAGCAGCATGCACAGCATGTCGTGGTGCGGGCACGACATCTCGCGGATGTGCGTCATGACGCGCGCGACCGCGTCCCTCTCCAGCAGCTCCGTGACGCCGCGCTTGTCCTGCGACAGGTTGACCAGCGACGTCGCAGCGGCCTGCAAGAGCGTGAGAGCGCAAACGCGGTGAGGAGCGCGCCCGGCAGCGCCAGCGGCGCGGAGACGGAGGGCGCGCAGAGGCGGGGGCGGGCGGCGTGCGCACCCGCGACACGGAGGCGGCTGGGTCGGCGAGCAGCCGCAGGAGCGGCTCGAACAGCTGCGTGCGCTGCTGCAGGAGCATCTCGATGCCGTCCGAGGAGCCCGTGAGACCCTGCACGAGGTCCACGGACATCTCCCGCAGCTCGCTCTTCGGGCTCGCGAGGAAGCCGATCAGGTCCGCGACGTCCTGGCCGCCGCCCTGCGAAGCCCCCGTCATGCTGCACCCAGGCGGCCCGCTGCCCAGCTGCGCCCCGCGCTACCTGGCGTGTGCCCTGAAAGCGCTCTCTGACTAGCGGGGATGCGAGTCCGTCGCGCAGGGATCGCCCCCTGCGACACCGCGCACTGGGCGCCGGCAGTTCTCCGCCGCGAGCCTTGCAGCGGCCCCCCGGCGTCCGAGAGCGCGGGATGTTACGTATGGAACGCCCCGGCGCGGCGTTGTGCACGAGGAGTGTGGGTGGCTGCACCCTCGCTCGGGAGAATCCGGCTCACGCAGGCTCCCGGCGGCTGCGCGGCTCCCAATGTCCAGGCAGGGTGTCGTACGCCGCCGGAGGGCGACAACCAGCAGTGTCACGCGGTGGACGTGCGCAGTGGAGCACAGTGCACGTGCACACCTCGCGCGCACGCGTATCTCGGCGGGGGCGACACGTCCGCGCCGGACCGTCCCCGGCCGGGACATCCCAGCACAGCCGTCAGGCGCGCCCGGCGCGCCGGTGCGGCTCGATGGCGGCGGGCGCGGCAGCCCGCGCTCCATCTTCGGACATCACCGCAGCAGCCCCCCGAAGACGTCATGCACGGGACTGTTCAGGGTGCCATCAGGGCCACGCCCCTGGCGCGGCCGTGCCAGCGGCCCGTCGCGCATGCGGCCCAGGCGCGCTTCGTGGTGCGCGCGGCCGCGGCCGCTGACGCCGCGGCGGCCACCACGCTGACCACCAAGTGCGTGTCCCCGGCCCCGCTATCCATACCGCTTTGCTCGCGCCTGGGCCGGCCACGCGGCCCCCTCGCGCCCTGGTTTCGCACCGGCTGCCCCGTCCGCAACGTGCGGCACGCGCTCGGCGGCGCGCGGCGGCGGCCTGTCGCTGCCGTCGACCGGCACGGGGCTTGTGTTCTGGCGCCTGAAGGCACATGAGCGGAAACGGCGCGTTCGCCGGCAGCCGCGGGTGTGTCGCGCTCGAGTTTGCTGCTGGTACTTAATGCATGATGGCATCGTGCAATGCGTCGCGCAGGGACATGAAGCGGTCGAAGCGCTACAGGACCGAGCGGGTGAAGGTGCCGAGGAAGGTCGAGCTGTCGCCCGCGGAGGCGGTGCAGCTCATGGTGGACTCGTCGAGCGCCAAGTTCGACGAGACTGCGGAGCTCCACGCCCGGATGAACCTCGACACGAAGTACAACGACCAGCAGCTGCGTGCCACTGTCTCGCTGCCCAAGGGCACGGGCAAGACGGTGCGCATCGCCGTCATCTGCAACGACGACAGCGCGGAGGACGCCAAGGCGGCTGGCGCGGAGTTCGCGGGGGCTGACGGTCTGATCGAGGAAATTGGCGGAGGGATGATGGACTTCGACCGTCTGATCGCGACGCCGGAGATGATGCCCAAGCTCGCGAAGCTCGGCCGCGTGCTCGGCCCCCGTGGTCTGATGCCGAACCCCAAGGCGGGCACCGTGGTCACGGACATCGCGGCGGTAAGCCCCCGCCCCAACCAGCAAGCCGCCGGCCCAGCCACAAGCCCCACGCGCCCCCGCGGGCTGCGCGGCGCACCCACGCGCGAATGCGCGGCGCGGATCCGCCCGCGCGATCCGCCCCGGCCCCTCGCCGCGACGCCGCGCCGCGCAGCCCCCCCGCGCGCCCCCGGCGCGCCTCGCCCTGTGCGCCACCCGTGGGCCAATCCTCTCGGTGCGGCCCGTGCGGCGCCCGCGCGCAGGCGGTGAACGAGTTCAAGGGAGGCAAGGTCGAGTTCCGCGCGGACAAGGCCGGCATCGTGCACTGCTCGTTCGGGAAGACGTCGTTCAAGCCCGACGACCTCCTGGTGAACCTCAAGGCGGTCGTGGTGCGTGGCCCCGCGCGCGCCCCGCGCCCGCACGCACGCCCGCGCGGCCAGCAGGCGACCTCTCGCGCCGGCGCGGCCGCCGCATCGCGTCGGCGGGCGCGCATGGCGCCGCATCTGCTGGGCTGGCGCGCTGACACGCCCGGTGCCCGTGCTGCGCAGGACGCGATCGAGGCGAACCGCCCGTCGGGCTCGAAGGGCGTGTACTGGAAGACGCTGTACATCACGAGCACCATGGGCCCGTCGATCAAGATCAACCCCGGCGACCTCAAGTCGATGCAGACCGACCAGTAGGCCGCCGCCCGTCGGCCCCAGCAGGCTGCGCAACGTGTAACGCAATAGCGTGTGGCACGCTGCACGTGAGCGGGTCGCGACGATGCCAGCCCGCATTTCGTTTCGTGCGCGGGTGGTCGATTACTATATGCGCCCGCTGCTCGTTGTGCCGCGGAGGCACCCGGGTGGGCGCGAAACTCTGCTCACAGCGCTGCGCGCCGGCGTGCGTCAGTTGTTGAAGCGCAGGCCGGCGTTCGACGCCGGTCCCTGCGTCTGTCCGCGCAACGGCGCCACCCCGTTGCCGATCCCGAGCACCGCGTACCGCTTGGCCTGCGTCTCCTCCTTGTCGTGCGCCGCGAATCCCGTGCCGCCCGACCGCAGCTCGATGACGTCCTTCGCCGTCACCTTCCGCCCGTTGTACTCCCCGTCCGGCTCGATCACCTTCTTCCACGTGCTCGCCAGCACCACGTCGCCTGCAACGACGACGACGACGCGCACTGCCCCGTCAGACACCGCCTCCCGCAGTCGCGCGCTCGACCGCGCACCGGAGCGTGCAGGGCGCTTCGCGCGGCGGTCCGCGCGCCCGGTCGCAGCGCACGGCGGGCTGCGCGCTCACCGGTGGGCTTGAGGAGCACCAGCTTGCTCCGGTTGGTGAGCGTGTCCTTCGTGACCGGGTCCATGTACCGCAGCACCTGCCCGTTCGCTCCGGCCTCCGTCGGCCCGCCCGGTATCGGCGTGAACTTGACCGCCACCAGGTCCTTGAGCTTGAGCTTGCGGCCCGTGACGGGGCACCGCGGGTGCATGTCGGGCTTCTCCACCGCCGCCTCGGCCTCGGGGACCTTGTCCGCGGCCCAGAACGACTTGTCCTCGCGCCGCCGCCGCTCGATGTCCCCGATCGCGATCACCGACTGGATGTGGTGCTTGTCCGCGCCCGCCTCGCTCCGCATCGCGTCGGCCACCTCCCGCGCCCGCTGATCGCTCATGCCTGCAACGAACCGCGCGAGACCGCAGTCGCGTGCTGCGCCCCGCGCCCCCGCTCGCCGGCTCCCCGACACATGCACACACACGCACACACGCACCTGCGTGGTTGACGCGGTCGAACTCCGCGAGCCGCGCCTGCTCCTCGGCCGCGGCCGCCGCGCGGTCCCGCTCCTCCCGCCGCGCCTCGTGCTCCTCCCACGCCCGCATCCGCCGCTTGAGCTCCTTCTTCTGCGCCACCAGGTACTCCAGGATGCTCTCGCGGCTGAACACGACGCCCTGGGGCGACGCCACGGGGTCGACCGCCGGGGACAGAGACAGCCTGCGGGGGCGCCGGGGCGCGGGCGCGCTCAGCGGGTCGAGCGGGGGCGCAGCAGCGTGTGCGAGGCGCGCGGCCCGGGAGAGGGGGCGCCCGCGCGGACGAGCGGATCGGGGGGCAGGTTGCGGGCGGTGCGGTGGGTCGAGCGAGCGCCCCGCACCGGCAGTCGTCGAAGTTGCTGATGGCGTCCTTGCCCACGCGCTCCTGCACGGTGCCGAACCCGAGCGCGCGCCGCTCGTGGTACGTGAGCGCCTCCCTCCCCATGACCCCCGCATTCTTGCTATGTCTGCGTGGCACGGGAACGGCAGCGAAGGATACGGTGGACGCGCGCGGGCGACGGGGGAGCCGCGTGCTCTACGAGTGAGGACGCGACCGAGGCGCCACGCCTGCCCAGAGCGACGGGGCGTGTCGCGTGCGGACACGGACAGAACCGAGGGGATGGTCTGTCCGGATGTCCTCCAGGCACGACGGACGTGCGCTGAGCGGGCGGGACCCTGTGCGATGCTTGACGGTCGAGCACCTCGGCCGGGCGGGGCAGACGACGAAATGCACCCCGCTCGCCTCTCGTCCACGGGCATCCGGAGAGCAAGGCAGCGCTCCGGGCCGCGGCGCACCTTTTGCCCCCCATTCCGACCCGTGCAGCTCTCGCGGGACAACCCGGGCCGAGAACGCACGACTAGAGGCTCTGCTGCCCCCCGCAGCGAGCCCGCCGGGCAGCCCTCGATCGTCTGCCTCCGCTAGCGCCGGCCCCGCGCAGCATCAACGCGGCCCGCACGCCGCGCCCGTCACCAATGTGTGCCAGCACGATGCTGTGCTCGCCGCCGCTTCACGTCTCGCGTGTTTGACCTCCGTCCGACGGAAACTGCGCGAGGCGATGCGGACAGCCGCCGCCGCCTGCCCGGGCGGGCCGATGGCGCGCGTGGCGAGCGCCAGGCGCACGCCCCTGAGGAGTGGGGCCTGGCCAGGCGCCGACGGACGCGACGCGGCCGGCCACCGCCGGGCCGGGGGGCTACGAGGGGCTCGGGCGCCCCCTCGCGGCGCCACCTTGCGATCCCCGCAGTTTGGGCGGCCGCCACGGAGGAGGGGGAAAGCGCACAGCACCTCTGTGCTTTCAGCTCACTGTTGCCAATCCCGGACGGGCGCGCGCCGGGCCCTAGGCTGCTGTCGGCTGGCCCGTAGACACGTGATCGCTGCTCTGTAGGCCTGTGCGGCGTATTAGGCGAGGTGGATCCGGCAGGAGGTCGTTTCGCGGGCCCTGGTCAAGAGCACCCACTCACACGCTGCGCTGCTGCGCGAGAGGGCACCGCGCGGGCAACTGTGCGCCACGCCTGCGAGCCGATAGTCAGGACTTCCCAGCAAGCTCGCAGCCCCCGCGCGGGCCGCGGTGTAGTCGCACAGGCGCTGGCTGAAGGAACTCAGGATGGGAGCCGGCTGTTCGACCTCTACGTACGACGACGCGGCGGCACCGACGGCCGCGGCGGCTGGAAATGAAGGGGCCAAGCAGCAGGTGCGAGAAGCAACGCTATCGCGGCCCCCAGGCCCCCGCGTGGCCCCCACATACTCGCATGCCGGGAGTCAGATGCGTTTTGGGCCGGCGAAAGCCGAAGTTGCGCGTAATCCGATGGCCCAGATGTGTTCCCGTTTATCCGGCAGCCACGTCGTCCGTGAAAATCTCTCGAAATAGCGCCGAGCGGTGCAGCCAGGTCTCGGCGAGCCCTCTGGCTCCGCCCTGCGCGTCACCCCGCGACTACGGCGCGGGGAAGTTGGGAGACCTGCGTGATATCGCTCTGCGCTGCTGCGCAAACGCGCGCGGGCTGTTTCGTCCTCGCGGAGCCGGTGGCAGAGCATGCGAGGCGCTCGGCCCGTCGCCCACTCGCGCTTTCCTTGCGTGCATTTCGCCGCAGGCGAACATCTCGTCCAAGTCGAAAGCAGCTGCTTCCCGCCGTCGGCGACTTTCCGTGACGACGACGGACGCGAAAAACCCGAACGCGGTCAACGCACCAGTTCCGGACAAGTCGCAAAGCAACGCCGCTGGGCTGGCCGATAAGCTCGCCGCCCGCGCAGCCGAGAATGCCAAAACTGACCCGAACAAGGCGACGGGCAAGGGCACCCGGGCCCGCCGCATGAGCCTGATTGGCGCTGGCAAGGTGTGGGTCACGACCCTCCCCGCCTGCACCCGCGCCCGCGGCCGGCCCGCCCGCACCCGGCCCCGCGTGCATGCTGCTTGGCCGCTCGATCCGTGGGGCGCACCCGCCCGCGCCGCCCCGCGCCCGACCCTAGCCCCCGTGCTGCCCCCTGTGCGCAGGCCGGCGCCGCGCCCAACATCACGCCGACAGCCGCGAACGGCGCGCCGCCCCCGATCGTGGGCGTGCCCCCGGCCGCGGGCGGCTCGACGGGCGCGCTGGTGCGGTGCCGCGGCGCGTGCGTGTCCCGCACGGGGCAGGAGGGCGACCTGAAGAAGGTCAACCAGGACTGCTACTTTGCGTTCGACAAGTTCCTGGAGGACTACCAGTCGGTGTTCGGCGCGTTCGACGGGCACGGGCCGTGCGGGCACCTCGTGAGCGGGTTCGTGAAGCAGCAGATGCCCGCGCGGTTCGCGACCAACTTCCCCGACATGGAGCAGAAGCCCGAGGGCGGGGGCGAGGGCGGGGGCGAGGGCGGGGGCGCGCCGCCGGAGGTGACGGTCGAGCAGCTCCAGGAGTGGCTCGTCGACGCGTTCCTCGACTCGGACCGCGCGCTCAACTCGAGCGCCGTGGACTGCGAGTTCTCCGGCACCACGGCCGTGGTCTTCCTCGTGCGCCAGGACGTGGCCATCACCGCGTGGGTCGGCGACTCCCGCGCCGTGCTCGCCACCAAGATGCCCGACGGGTCCCACAAGGCCACGCAGCTCACGACGGACCACAAGCCCAGCGGTGAGCGCCCCCCCCCCCACGACGCGCCACACCGCGCCTCCCGTCCGCGCGCGCCGCCGTCACCCGACGGGCCCCGCGTCCCCCCCGCGCGCGGACCGATGCAGACGAGAAGGAGCGGGCGCGGATCGAGAGCTGCGGCGGGCGCGTGGAGCAGCTGCTGGACGAGACGGGGGAGCGCGTGGGCCCCGAGCGCGTGTGGATGCCGTACGCGTGGATCCCCGGCCTGGCGATGTCGCGCGCGCTCGGGGACTCGCTGGCGCACCAGGTGGGCGTGGTGTCGACGCCGGACCTGGACGTGCGGCGGCTGGGCCCGGACGACGACTTCGTGGTGCTGGCCAGCGACGGCGTGTGGGAGTTCATCGAGGCGCAGGAGGTCGTGGACATCGTGTCGGCGATCCCGGACTCGCAGGAGGCGTGCATGAAGCTCGTCGAGGAGAGCGCGCGCCGCTGGGAGGAGGAGGAGGAGGGCGTGGTGGACGACATCACCGCCGTGATTGTCAAGCTCGAGCACGTGGTGGTCAACGGCGAGGCGGGCGTCGCGGGGCAGGTCGTCGCGTCGGCCTCCACGGGCGACGCCCAGGACAGCGCGGACGCGCAGCAGACGGAGCACGCGGACGCCGAGATGGAGGACACGCAGGCGGACGGCGCAGAAGCCGCCACCATGGAGTCCTGACCGCGGGGCCGGCCGCGCCGGCTGACAAGACAGCCCGCGCCTCGCGCGTCGCGCTCGTGCTCCGATGCCCTGGCGCCACTCGGGGCCGCAGGGGCCGCGCGCTGAGCTCTACTCCACACACGCCGCGCTCCGTGCCGTGCCGCGGCGGACGGGCCAGGGCACACTACTTCGCAGCAGTTCGCTCAGGGCTGCGCCGCGCCTGGTGGCGTCTGGCTGCCCGGCTCACAGCTCCGACACGGTCTACGATTGCTCAGAAGAAGAGGTCTATGATTGCCCGCCCGACTTCAGTTGCGCCGGGACAGGCAACTCAGCTGTGAGTGATCATGCTACCCTGCGCGTGCGCCGTGCATACTGGCGGTTCCTGCGCCCACAGTCGTTACGGCGGCTCCCCCCTGCACAGGTGTTGTGCCATGTCTCCCGCCCTGCTGCTGCGACGCTGGCCACGCGCGTGCTCCGCTGCGACTGGACGAAAGCATCCACACTGGTATGTGGCAGGCACGAGCGAGCGACGACGGCTGAGTCAAGGTTGCCACGCACAGGTGACGCAGCGACCCCTGGCATGCATTCAAGGTCGCAGGCGCCGTGGCGGGGGGCTCCGGCCCCCAGTCCGCGCCGCGCCGACCGCCCGGTGGCACCAACTCCGGACCTGTAAGTCTTGATCTCACGTAAGTGGCAGGGCCCTTCCACGCCACCCGCCAACTGCCATCACTGCCCCGGTCGGAGCGCGCGACCAGGAGGACGTGCTCGCCCCAAACCAGGACGCGTTTCGCACTCCCGGCACGGCACCGCGCGTGCTCGGACGCATGCACGCCGGCCCCCCGGCGTGGAAGCGCGGTGTTCACACACTTTCTCCTACAACACAGGTATAATTACCCGCGTCCCGGTCCGACCAAGCTGGCCGCGTCTCGCGGCTCCAAGGCCACGGGGCCGCACGGGCGCGTCGAGTTGCCTGCACCGCGTTCCAGCTGCTTCGTGTCCCGTATTCCGAGGGGGCACGGGCGGACCCATCAACCACCTGAGCAGGCGCGTTCCTCTCCCTGCGGCTGCGCCCGCGCGCGCCCGCGCGGCATTTCTGGCAGAATTTGTCCAACGGTGACACGTTGGGGCCAGACGCAACCGTCGGGGGCTCCCCTGGCGCCTCGGGCTGCGTTCAACGCCGCGAGCCGTCGCGATGCGCCCCAGGGCGGCCGTTCCCAAGCCCAACATGACGAGCATACGCTCCAGTTCGGTTTCTCACATTTCTCCCGTCCCTAACACCGCGCGTGCAATCCGCTCCTCCGCCAATGCAGGCCGCGGGAGCTTGTTCGAGCCTCCACATTCACTAGGCGGCCGCGGGGCGCGTGTCCCGTCTGATTCTTCTTCTTAGCGGCGGGCGGGCAAGATGGACGTGTCGAGGCTGTCGGTCGGCCCCAAATGCGGCGCCCAGCTCCCGCGCGTGACGCGCAGCAGGGCGACGCATACCAGTGCATCTCCTCAGCTCTGCCGCATCTTCCCGGCGGCTGCGAAACCTCCGGCGCGCCGCGGCGGGAGCGCCGTCGTGTGCTCATCGCAGCAGAAATCGCCCGTCAGCGTCGCCGAAGCCGAGGCGAACGCGAAGCGGTGGCAGGAGTCTGGTGGCGGGCAGGGCAGCCAGGACGAGTGGCGCTGGACGCTCAACTGGGACGAAATCACGGACAAGATCACCGTAGGTGCGTGCGCCGGGCACGCGCGTTCGCGGGACCCGCGCCCCCCGGGCAGCCTCGACGCCCCGTCGCGTTCGCTGCCTAACTGCTGACGTTTTGCGCGGCGCTCCCTCTCCGTCCCCGCGCCCGATCTGCCGCACCGCGCGCGCGCCCGGGCCCCTCGACGGCCCGCGCAAGGCCTGCTGGCGGTCCGTTGCGCGGTTCGAGCGCCCAGCGGCGCGCTGCTCGTGGCCGCCTTGGCAACCACCCAGCCTGCAGTCGCCCGCCGCTCACGCGCCCCCCGGCCCTCGTCCGCCGCGCAGGGTCGTGCCCGCGCAGTCCAAGCGACGTGCAGGCCATCGCGGAGAAGTCCGGCTGCACGGCCATCCTCGGCCTGCAGTGCGACGACTGCCTCTCCGCCCTGGAGATAGACTACAAGCAGCTCCGCGCGCGGTGAGCCGCACGAGGCCCCCCACGCCGGGCGCGCGCGCCCCGCGCCGCCGCACGCACCTCCGCCGCGCGAAGCCGGCCGCCGTTGCTTGCTTCGTGCCCCTCCGCTGACCGCGTGCCGCCGCGTGGTGGGGTTGTGCCACCGCAGGGGCACGGAGCTCGGGGTGCAGATGGTGCGCGTCCAGATCCGGGACTTCGACAAGAACGACCAGACGTTCATGCTGCCCGAGGCCGTCACCGTCCTCGCCTCGCTCATCAAGCTCGGCCACAAGGTCTACGTGCACTGCACCGCAGGTGAGCGCCAGCGGCAGCGCGCCCGCGCCCGCCCGCGCGCCCGCCCGCCCGGCCCTCCCTCGCCGCGCGCGCCGACCGCGCCCGCCGTCCGCCCGCTTCTCGTCCGCAGGCATCAACCGCGCGACGCTGACGACGGTGGGGTTCCTGACGTTCGTCGAGGGGATGGAGCTGGAGCAGGCGGTGGGGCTGGTGCGGCACAAGCGGCCGCAGGCGCACCCGTACATCGAGTGCTGGCAGGCGGCGCGGCGGCGCATCCTGGCGCACCGGCGCGAGGAGGTGGGCATGATTGCGGGGGAGCTGTACGCGATGCGCGTGCAGAACAACCAGGAGCTGGACGACCTCGCGGACTTCTACCTCGCGGAGCGCATGCTCGTGCAGCGGTCGTTCCAGCGGCGCGTGCGCACGTACCTCGCGCTGTGGGAGTCGCAGCGGGAGCTCCTGACGGCGCAGCTCGAGAAGCAGTACGAGTCGGACAAGGAGGCCGCGGACAAGGAGGCGCAGCGGGTGGCCAGCAAGCTCGGCGGCGAGGTGCCGGCGCTGGGGGAGCTGGAGAGCCTCACGGGGGGCCTGAGCGGGCTGCAGCTGACGGAGAGTCTGACGGAGATGGACGGGTCGCTGAGCGCGATCCGCGGGCGGCTGCACGAGGCGCAGGGCAAGCTCGCGATGGCTACGCGGGAGCTGCAGGAGGTGCGCTCGCGCGAGGCGCAGCGGCGGGCGAGCGGCTCGGAGCTGCTGTCGTCCACCGACGACGTGCTGGTCGACCTGAGCGCGATCCGCGAGGAGGTCGCGATGCTCGGCGGGCCGCGCCGGGCCGTCGGCGAGGAGGTCGACGAGGAGGAGGAGGTGCGGCAGCTGCGGCGCGCGCTGCGGCTCATGTCGGAGACCACCAAGTGCCTGCTCGACGGCGGCAAGGAGGCCGAGTGCAAGCTCGGCGGGCTGTCCAACCTCCTCATGTCGACGAACGACGACGAGGAGCTCAACGACGTGGCGGCACAGGTCGTCGAGGCGTTCGCAGCCCAGCGCGCGCAGGAGTGGCGTGAGAAGGAGCAGAAGAAACGCGAGGCCGAGGCCAACGGCAACGGCGCGTGAGCGGGCGCACGGGGCGGGAGCAGACAGACTGGAGCGAGTGGCGACGATCGGACGGCCGGCGCTGGACCAGCTGACTCAGGCTCACTGGGACTTGACATGTGAGTGCGCACTGGCACCGCGCCGCGCCTGCAGGCCCCGGAGCGCCTCCTGGTAGTCCCTGCGCACGTGTCGGCGGGGTCGCGACGCGTCTGGCGCGCTGCCGCCTCGCGTGCGCAGATTGTCCGCGTTGCAGCATGCCGGTAGGTCATTTCCTGCGGCAAGCTCGTTTGCTCCACTGAAAACCTGTTCAGCCATCAATCAAGTCTTCGCGCGGGGCGCGCACCTCTTGTCCTTGAGGCTCGCGTCGAACGTGGGCACGCCGGCCATCTTGGCCATGTGTTGCCGGAAGTTCTCCGCGTACAAGCTCGCGTCCTTGCGCTCCGCCTCGCTCGGGTAGTACGTGGGCAGCTCCGTGACCGTCGCGCTGCAGCACACGCGCGGAAGGCGCCGGGGGAGCGTCCACCAACAGCCGCCGGATGCGTGGGGGCGGTCGCGCGCAGCCGGCCAGCGCGTCGGCGCCGCACCTGTGGAAGAGCCCCGCCAACATGTACCACATGTGCTCCTTGATGCCGATCGTCTCCCACGCCGGACTGACCAAACACTGCGGCGCGGGCGCGAGGGGCGGGGATGGAGCGTCGCGTGCATGCGCTGGCGCGGGGGGTTGCGCGGGCGTCGGCTGCGGGCGGCGCACTTTGTGGTACTGGATAAAGTAGGGGCGCGCTGGGAGGCCGGCAATGAAGGGGCCGCGCTTGAACTGGATCAGGCCGCGCCCGTTGGTGGTGGTGCCCTCGGGGAACAGCAGGAATGGCGCGTACCACTCCCCGCGCCGCCGCTTGTCGTCCAGGGAGAGCAGGTGGTCCCGCAACTGCATCGCGACGCCGCCGGACGGCTCGCGCTGCGGCGCCGTGCCTCCGTGCGTCGAGGCGTCCTCCCTCTTCGCCTCCCTGCGTGCCGAAGAGGGTGCTGCGCTCGGGCGCTGGTCCTGCGCGGCGCGCAGACGGTGGCCCTGCCAGCGCTCCATGCAGCGTGGGGCGCACCTCTGCACGTACAGGCAGCCCTGGTATCGCGAGACTGGTCCGACGAGCGGGATGTTCTCCGTGCCGCTGCGGGCCACGTACCCCGGGCAGTGCAGGTAGTTGAACAGCATGATGTCCACCCACGAGATGTGGTTCGAACATATCAACACAGGACCCTCGCCGGCCGCGGAGCCCCCGTCTGGCTGCCCGCCCCCCGCCGCGCCCCGCTGTCGCTTGAACGTGATCCAGACGAACCCTATCGCGAACAGGGCGCACCGGACGAGAAACTTGTGCACCGCACGCCCCGCCGAGCGAGAAAGCAACCCCGCCAGCTGCAGGAACGCCGGCGTGACAGAAGGCTTGGTCGCGTGCGGAGCGCATGCGTCAGTCAGCCAATGCGGCCGGACGGCGCAGTTGCAAACGTGCACGTTTGCCTGGTGGGGGGCCGGGCGCGGGCGACCGTCGGAATGGACGACTGCCGGGGACCTGGCTGGTGGGTTTGGTGCGATTGTTGCGCGTGTGGGGGTGGTAGCGGGACGGCCGCGCGAGGGGGGCGCGCGCTGACCTCGAGCCTGCTTGCCACCCAAACGAAGAAAACGCAGGTCACCGCGAGGACGAACCGCACTGGGAGGACCACTGGGGTAAAGATGAGGAGTCGCAGCTTCTCCCACCACGGCTTCGGCCCCAGACCAAGGGCTCCGTATCTGGGGAACGAGGTGCAAAGGCAAGAGTCAATCAGCGGGGGACGCGAAGCCGACAGCGCGCGCGCGACAGCGATGCCCGGCCGCTCGAGGCGACACATCACGGCCTCCTCGCGGAGCCGTACGCAACGCCAGATGTCTCCCGCCACTGTGCGAGAGCAGGCGCTGGCAAAGAGCGCAGAGAAACGCACATGTCATCTCTCACGAACGGCGCCCACGGGCCGCTCGTTTCCTGTTTCTTGATGTGCGCTGAAGTCTGTACCTCTGACATGGCGGCACGCTGTCAGGGGCCCCTCAAACCATGTCACTGCGGCGCCGTGTCACGCACTGCCAGTTGGCGACCTCCGCTCGCCGCAGCTGACCCTTCGCCGATTCGACGGACACCAGCACGAACACCAAGCTGCACGCGACGCGGCGCACCATTGTGCCGGGGCGTGCGAAGCCTCTCGCCGACGGCGCAGCCGTGCTCAGCACCCCGACGCAGTTTGGCGGGCCCCGGGAAAGCGGCGCCGGTCGCCGCTCGCGACAAGGGCGCTGCGTGCGCTCGACATGGCGAAGACATCGAGCTCCTGCCAGCACACGGAAAGGGCAGAAGCGATCCTCACGGACGTCGGTCCGGAGCCAGGGAATCTGCTCGTAGAGAAGCTTGGTATCCAGGAGCGGGCGGGATGACTGGTGCGGGGCCGAAAGTGCGGCTCGACCGCCTGAAGGAGCAGCTGCGCGGCATGGGGCACGACGTGGACGACACGACGGTCGTAAAGCTGCTGAAGGAGATGGGGCTGCTGCGCCTCGTGGACGTCGCTGAGCTGGAGCAGCCGGGCGCCGCCGAGGGCGACCGCGCGTCGGACGCGCATGAGCCGCCCGCGGGCGACTCGGACGCGGTCCCGAATGCGGCGCCGTCGCAGCAGAACGGCGCGGCGGAGCCGGAGCCGGGACCCAAGGGCGCTGGCGGGAAGTCCGCGATTTGCGCGGACGAAAAGGACTTTCACCTGGATGGGAGCTTCTCGAGCCTCAGTGGAAGCCTGACGAGCAGCATAGGGCACTCCTTCCGGTACTCGTCAGACGAGAACGACCCGTACGATATTCTTGCTGCACCTCAGGCTGCGCGCGGCGCTGCGAAAGCATCAGGGCGGTCTGCTGCGCCGCCGCACGCCACACCGCCGACGGGACGAGCCCGCAGTGCCCGGGCTGCCCCTCCCGGCCTGCTCTCGCCGGAGCCGGTGACGCTGAGCCCAGAGGCTGCAGCTGCTCGGCTCACGCCGTCGCGCCTCTCGGGCAAGGCCGTGCGCGTGCCCGTGGCCCCCGCGACCCCGAGAGTGGCCAGGCGCGACGGACACGAGGTGCCGTCGTTCGTGTCCTCGGCAGGTGAGACCGCCGTGCCGCGAATTGAAATCAAACACTGCAGGGCGGGCTGCCGGCCCACCGCCTCCCTGCGCGCGCCTGCACGCACGCAACGCGCAGAACACGGACCTCCTACCAGCACTGTCCCCAGAAAAGGCGCACCGGATGTCACACGCGCCGCGTGGGCGGAGCTGCGCCAGGTCCTCACTGTAGCTGGCAACGTGCGTCTCCCGCCCTTGCAGGCTCAGCGAGGCGCGCGCGGGCGAGCCCCCGGACCCCAGCGACTGCGTCCGTGCAGACTGACGCGCACACGCCGCCGACTGCGGCCTCTGCGCGGACGGTGCGGCACCCCTCTCCGCCGAGCACGCCCATCGTGCCCGGGACCTCGGTCATCAAGGTGCACAAGCACGAGGGGCCGCCGCGCACCGACAGGGTGGCGCGCTGGCAGAAGCTCAACAGCGGGTGGAAGAAGGACCCGTTCCTCGCCCGGAACGGCGCCACTGGCAGCCGGCTGGGAGCGCGGCCGGCGGTGAAGCGCCCTGACAGCGCGGTGCCGGAGGAGAGGTACCACGAGAAGATGGCGCAGATCCACAGGTGCGCCTCCGGGCCCGTCGTCGCGCCCGCAGCGCGCCCCTGGCCTCCACGGAGCGCCGCAGTGACGACGCAGAGCGAGCTCGTGTGTGTGTGTGTGTGCAGGATGATGGACGCCGTGGACCGGCCGAGGAGCGCGAACCACTACGTGCCGAACTCTTACGTCACGCCCGACCAGAAGCGGCGTGACTCGCTCAGGTGGGAGGTGAGGAAGAACATGATGATGGCATGACTCTCATGATAGCAAACGACAGGGGGAGCGGACGCGGGCGTGGGGCTGGGACGGGCGGGGACAGGCGGGCGCACAGGGAGCCCCCCCCTAGCATGTGCGACATTGGAGGCGCCCTCCCGAGCTTTCTTGTGACTTCCACGCGCAGATCACACGCGGTGCAGCCCCGGCCGCCCGAGTGCTCCGGGGGACTTGCAACCCGACGGGATGGCTAGCGCGGTCCGCGTGTCCATGTGCTCGCCGTCACGCTGCGGACACGAACACCTCCCCGACGGACGCGCCGTGCGCCGCCACCTCGACTGCGCTCCCCACCGCGCTGGGCTGCGACAGTCGCACGCCCGTGACGCTCTGCGCGGGGTGCAGCATGAAGGCCAGGTGCGCGCGCAGCTGCCGCGTCACCACCTGCCACACGTCCGTGAGGCTCCGCCCCTGCCCCGGCACGCGCACCTCGGCGCGCAGCAGTGCCAGCTCCCCCGGCCGGACCAGCGGCACCTTCCACTGCACCCTGCCGCGCCCAACGTTGTGTGTCGCGTGCGGGCTCGCGCGCACCACCTCGCAGCCCCCCGCCGGCAGCACCACCCCCGCGCACAGCCCCTGCAGCCCCATGGCCAGCGCCGAGGACGCCAGCACCTGCAGCGCGACGACGAACGACGCCGACGCGATCCCGCCGCCCCCGGGCTCCGTCGACACGGGACTGCACGACAGCCGCGCGACCACCGGCGGCCCCGGCATGTCGGGGTGCGCCCCCACCGCGTCGTACCCCACCACCACCGCGGGCGCCTCCAACTCCCCACCCTCGGCCTTCTCGCCGCGGACCTCGCCCCAGTCACGCAGCGCCGAGCACCCCGCCGCGCGCGCCACGTGGTACGCCCGCGACGGCTCGCCCCCCGCCCCGTCCCACAGCGCCGCCAGCGGGTCCGCGCCCTCGCCCGCGCCCTGCGCGTCCTCGTCGTCCCCGGCGAGCAGGTCCACGGGCTGCTGCGGCGCTTTGCTCCGGGCATCGTCGAGCCCGCCCAGGTTGAGGTAGAACACCGAGCGCCCCGTCAGACCCACGCTGGCCCCGAACGGATGCATGCCCATGCCGCGGAGCGCCCCGCGGCCGCTCAGGTCGTCGATGCCCCGCAGCTCGATCTGCGGCATGACCGCCGCCGCGGCGTGCCCGGGCGACCGCCGCACCGACACCTCCCCGGCCACCCCGCTGCGCACCAGCCGCCCCGCCGCGTCGTACACGCCGCGCCACACCTCCACCAGCGCGACCGAGCACACCGGCGGGCCCCCGTACGCGCCCCCCGCCGCCGCGGGCGCCGCGGGGACCGTCACGCCCACCTGCGCGTCCGTCTCCGGCGCCGCGCCGAACAGCCCCGAGTCCACCGCCGCGCCCAGGTCGCCCACGTCCGCGTCGCCGCCGAGGAGGTCGTCGATCCCGCCGCCGTACGCGGCCGCGCTCGCGCTCGCCTGCGCCGCGTCGTTCGCCCGCGCCGGACGGCCCAGGTCGCCGAGCGCGTCCGCGGCGCCGCCCCCGAACATGCTGTCGATCACCGCCGCCGCCTCGTCCTCGTCGTCCGAGTCCGCGCCGAGCACGGCGTCGAACATGTCCGAGTCGTTCGACATCGCCGACGACAGCTGCGTGCCCGTCATGCCCGGCGTGGACCCCGTCACGCTGTAGTCGTCCGCCTGACTCATGGCGAAGCTCGACTGCGTCTCCAGCGTCCGCCACGCCGCGCTCCCGCTCCGCGACACCTCGCGCGCGCCCCGGAACGACGACGCGCCGAACAGCGACGCGTCCGACGACTCGGCGCGGTCCACCGACGGCCGCACGCGGTCGGCGAACTTGCCGCTCTCCACGCGCTGCTCGATCGACACCGCCACGCCCGCGCGGGCGCCCTGCGGCACCACGAACGACACGCTCGACGCGCCCAGCGCCGCGCGGAGCCGCGGGCGCCGGAACGCCTCGGGCCGGGGGGCCTCCGCGGCGCGGCCGGACTCGCCCCTCTGTGCGGTCTGGCTGGGCCGCGACGGCATGGCCTCGTAGCCCGGCATGCCGCCGTCGCTGTCGCTGTCGCGGGCGTCGTCGTCGCCGTCGTTCCCGCCCTTCTTCGCGGAGGCCCTGTCGCGCGCCCGCGTCTCGCGCTCGGCTTTGCGCTCGGCTGCGCGGAAGGCCGCGGTGCCGTTGGTGACGTGCACGGAGGCGAGGTGCGCCATGCGGGCGCGGAGCTCGCGGGTCGCGCTGCGCTCGATGCGCATGGCGTCCTTCTCGGTCACGACGGCGCGGAGGTGCGACGCGTCGAGGTGCAGGCGTGCGCCGCCCGACGCCACCAGCGAGCGCAGGAGCAGCGCTACCTGGGGGGGTATCCGGACCGGCTTGTTCGATCTGCGCGTGCAGAGTGCAATGCGAACGCTCGTTGCGAGGGCTGCGACGGCGTCCGCGGGTCGGGATGCGCTCAAGTGCTGACCGAGGCGCCGGGACGGGCCAGCGCAGCCACACGCGGCGCGCTGGGGCGCTGGCGGCGAAAGATCTGGCGACGTTGCGGCGGGCCCCGTCGGGGTCATGCGTTTCTGCTGCGTTCGTGCGACAAAGTGCCCGTGTGAGCAATGAGCGGCAGTGCTCGCGGCGCAGTGGTCGTACCTGGCGAGCAGCGCGGTGGAGAAGAGGAGTGCTGTGACACCAGACATGACGCGGCAGCAGAAGTGCGAGGGCACCGCCGCGGGAGCGACGACTATCGCCCACAGGGAGGGGCCCAAGGCAGATATGTACGCCCTGTGCGAACCGCGCACGACGGGCACGGACGCGCCCCCAGACAGCAGCCTCCCATACCCGAGGGCGCCGCGCCTGTTCCGAAACGCCGGGTTCGCGGACTCCCGGGCCAGCCCCAGGGCCTCGGCCACTGCCTGCGTGGCAACGTGCGCTGAAACCCCGCGGCAGTGCGCCAGCTGGGCGACGCCCGCGCCGTCCGCCACGACGACGGCGACCGGGTGCGTGAGCCGCGTCGCCATCGCCGCGGTGCGCGAGGCCCAGTGGGGCCTGCACGCAGGACCCTGCGAGCGCCACCAGACACGCTCTGGGGCCGTGCCAGGACCGGGAAGGAAGGGCCTTTGGACCGCGGAAGTGCAGGGCCACTTCAACGTGCCAGGCGTCCGTGCGCGCACAGGCCAGTGAAGCCCCGCGGCTCCCGGACAGGCCGTCCGACTGCTCTGGGGACTGATGGAAGCTCCCCACGTCGCGCTGGGTGGGGCGAGTGGGCTCGTTGCGACGCCGCCCGGTTGACTTGGGCACGAGGATGCGGCGACTATGAGGAACACCTAGAGTCGCTGCTCGCTGGCCGTCCCATCCCTGATTCTTCCCACGGAGGATTGCACAGCTCGAAACTGGCGCGAAACCTCGAGCGCGGAGGTCGGATGCGCTAGGCAGCCACAGCCCTCGCCTGCAGAACGATGGCGGGGCCAGACGACCCCACGGCACCGCGCGTGTCGCTGCTGTACCGCTCCCCGGGCTCGAGTGGAATCTGCCTGGCAACCGTCCTCGGCCCAGACGGACTCCGGCGCGATGCCGTGACGATGCGCCTCGTCCGGCCACACGTACGTCACCGCTCCCGAATCGCGCGCGCGTCTCGCACATCGCCGCCGTCCCCCGCGCGACCCCCGTGCCACCTGGACGGGGGCACCCCTGAGCCGCGACCCCCTCCCGCGCCCCAGCGACGCGAGCACGGCGCGCGCGCCAACCCGCTCCTCCGCACTGAACGCTTCCTCACCCCGGGAGCCGGGCGCGCGTCCGCAGGTGTTTTGCCTCGACGTCCCGGGCGCCCAGCCTGGCGACGTAGTGCGGGTGCGGTTCTTCGACGACCGCGCGTGGGTGTGCGCGTCCAACCACCCCGTGCGCAACGTCGACGGGACCAGCATGAACGCCATCCGCGTGCCGGAGCCCGAGGAGAGCGGGCGGTGGGAAATACACTGCACAGGATACGCGTTCAAGACGCGCGCGTCAACCGACCTGTGAGGGCCCGTGCGGCCCCCGTGCCGCCCCCCGCGAGCCGCAGGCTCACTGCGCTCTGCTGCCGAGCGGCCGCGCGCGTCCGACGCCCGCCCACGCGCAGCACGCGCCCGTTCCTGTGTCCGCAGCACCCAGTACCAGTTCCGCACGGAGGGCGGCTCGAACGCCGTCGCCTGCACGACCATGTCGACGCTCGTGCTCTCGCGGCTGTCCTCGGGCGCTCTCTCCGCCACCGAGGCCCCCCCGCGCGAGGCCCTCGACGCCATCCTGCTGGAGGGCGCGCTCTGGGACGCGTGCGCGCGCGCGGAGCTGCGAGGTGCGCCCGCGTCCACGGACGGCGTGCACGCGCGCCCGCCGTGGCGAGCGGGGCGCGCTGACCGTTGCGTCGCGTCCGCCCCGTGTTGCAGGGGCTGGGATGAGGCCCAACTCGCATCTGTCGGTGCTGGACCTGATCGACGTCGAGGCGTTCAAGAAGTGCATGAAGGCGCGCAGGAACCGGCAGGGTATCGCCGCGGACGGGTTTCGCCAGGCGGTCACGGCGGTGGAGTGGGGCCGCAAAGCAGAGGCCAGCTACGCTAAGGTGCGCGCGTGCGGGTGCCGACGTGTCGCGCCGCGAACGTGGACGCCGTTCGCGGACGTGCAGAACCGCCGTGGATCGCTGGGTGCGGTGCAGAAGGGTCAGAGCGAGCGGCTGCCGGGTCGCGGGTACGGGCTGAGCATCACGTGTCGCGGGCAGACGGTGGGGGTGTTCGTGCCGTGGCGCGGGGCGGGGGAGCTGCAGCTGTTCGACTCGCACGGGTACGAGTTCGGGGACGGGCAGCCCTCAGGGGCGTACGTGTGCACCTTCCGCGACGCGGAGCAGCTGCAGGTGAGCCACCACGCGCGCCGCGGACGACGTAGCGCGAGGACCCCTTCGACGCTGACCAGCACAAGCGGAACGGCGTCGTCGGTGCCGGCGAGGCGTTTTGTCTCGCCAGAGATAGTATCGCTGGTCAAACGTTCTTTCGCACCAGCGCGCGCACTGGCAGAGAAACACCTCGCCGACATCCAGGAATCCGTCCCGCTTGCGCGCGCTGGCACGGGTTGAGCGCACCTCCACCGGCGCGCTGTCCTGCGCCCGGCGCCTCACCGCCCGACGTGCACCCGGCTGCACGCGCAGAGGTTCCTGGCGCAACGCTTCCCGCACCTGCCCGGGTCGGACATCTACACGGAGGCGTACGAGATCAACTACGTGACTCACCGGGAGTCCTCCACCTCGCGCGGCACCTTCCCGCTGAACGCGGCCAGCCTCGCGGACACGCTGCGCGCTCTGGCACTCACGCCGCTCGCTGCGGAGGACGCGCTGAGCCCCGCAACGGCCACGGCGCTCGCGCGCGGGTTCGCCGCCGTCGGGGACGCGGCCTGCGCGGAGCTGCGGCGCGCGATGGGGGGCTACGAGCCGCCTGCGCTGCCCCCACCGCCCCTGCGCGCCGACGCAGATGCCACGCAGGAGCTGGGCACCGAGCCGGACACCCCGGCGTCCACGCTCGGTCAGACGGGCAACTCCAACCTCCAGGCCACCACCGAGTTCGGATCTCTCGCGTCCGCGGGCTCGTGGGGCTCGGGCAAGTTTGACGAGGAGCTGCAGGCGGCCATCCTGATGTCCCTGCAGGAGAGCCGCACGGGCGGGGCGAACCTTGCGGCGCCGACGGAGAGCCAGCCGCAACCTGTGCTGTCCGGTTCCGCAGTCGCACAGAGCCGAGAGGTGGAGCGGCGGGAGGCTACGGATGAGCGGTCGGACCTCCCTCCCGCACGCACGGTCAGCCCCGTGCGGGGCGCGGAGCAGGCAGCTGATGTCCACCCGGCGGTGGGCGCCACGTCCCGCGTCACGGCGGGCGGGTCGGAGCCCCCGACGCAGCCTTCCCGCGTCGCGGTGCCCTCTGTGCCCCTCCCAGCGCCTCGAGCGCGAGACGAGGGTACAAGCGCCCCGGCACCGCCACCAGGCCGCAGCACCGACTCGGCGACGCCGCAGACGACGCCGAAGCGGTACGCTCGTCCGATTTCAGCCAGGCCGACGTACGACAGCGAGCGACCCATTCCACAGGCGTGGGGGCACGGCTCGGCGTACACAACGGACGCGTCGCCGTCGGGCCGCATCAGGGCCGTGGCGAACACCACTTCCCCGTCGGCCGCAAGGGAGTACGACCGGCCTGCGTCGAGCGCGTACCGCCGCACGCTGTACGCCGGGAGCACCAGCCCAGCGCACACGAGCGGCTACGCCGTGGACAGGAGCGCGCTGCCGGAGTCGTCGGGGGCGCGGTACGATACGTACAGATCGACGTACACCTCGCGCACGTACCGCGACTACGACTACACGACGACTGGCCGCGAGTCGACCGCCAGGGCACCTGCGACACACGCCTACGCCTACACGGCGCCGAGGAGCGCGCAATACGACTACGGCTCGACGCTCGGAGCTCGGCCATCCTCTGCCGCGGACGCGTGGCGCTCCAGCTCGACGTGGACGTCGTCGACGTCACCCCTTATTTCAACGACGACGACGACGACGACGACGACAGGCAGGACGGGGCTCTCGCGCGGCCGGTTCGAGACGGGGCTGCAGGGCGGCGGCGCCCCCACCAGTCGACCGTCGCGGTACGGTGCTGACGCCGTGCAGGACATCATCGATAAGGTGGACCGCCTGCGACTCTCGCTGCCGCAGAGCAGGACCAAAGTCGACCCGTACGCGCTGTAAACACGCACTCACGTTCCCTGCATCCGTCTAACATTCTACATGAGCGCCTGCAACTCGTCGCCGCCCCTGCGGCGTGACGGCCTCAGCTCGGGCGTTTCGTTTTCGCACGGAGTGCCTCTGACAGTGCCTCGACGGTGCACAGCGCCGCGCTCGGAGCGCCTGCGTGCCCGGTCTCGCGCTGCGCCGGAGACTCCTCCCCGCTCGCGGCTCCCGACGCCAAGTGCTCGCTGTTCCCTGCATGAGTTCGCTCGAGAGGGGCGCGTGAACAGCCCGTCGCCACTCCAGGCAGCACAGACACGGCGTCGCCAGCGCACGGCCGCGACGCACCCGCCGCCAGCACATCCTGTAGCTCCTCGAGCAGCTCGTGCTCCCCGCGCTCCTCCAACCGCTCCGCGAGCGTGCTCACCGCCTTCACCAGCGCCTCGACCTGCGCCTCCGCATGCGCCCGCGCCGCCTCCTCCACACGCAGCGCCTCCACCATGTACCCCGCGAGCTCCTGCGTCCGCTCCAGCTCCGACTGGAGCGCCTCCACCTCGCCGCGCAGCCGCCCGCGCTCCTGCGTCAGCGCGTGTAGCTCGACACCCAGCATGTCGGCAGCGTCGTCGGGGGCCTCGCGGTCCGGGCTGTGCGCGGGGGTGACTCGCGGAGGCGTCGCGGGCCCATTGTCGTCCTCGAGGTGCGTCTGGGAGTCCAGCGAGAGCAGCCGCGGCGGTGTTCCGGGGGCGGGGGAGGCGAATTTGGCCAGTGCGGGAGGGAGGGGGGACTGTTGCGCGAAGGCCCCCAGGATGCTCCCGATGCTCCGCCGGCGGTGTTGGCCGACGTTGGAGAGCGCTGCGGGCGCCCGTGCGGCTGCGTCAGACTCGGGACCCACGTCAGGCTGCGCGGCGTCGATCGACACGTAGCCCGACGCAGGGGGGGACGCGCTGTCAGGCGCGGCGCCCGCCGGCGGCGCGAGCAGGCGGAGCTCGAGGCCGTTAACGCTCTCGTCGAGCTGCAGCCGTCGGCGCGGGCTGCGGCTGCGGTGTGGGGACGCGGTGAGGATGGAGATGTCCTCGGGCGGGTGCGGGTCCTTGACCTCCGCGAAATTGCGCCACGCGCCGCCGTTAGTCTCGTGGACGTCGCGGGCGGCATGGTCGGCGGCGTCGTGGCGGTCATCCCTGCGGCCATCGCACACAGCAGCAGCAGGCTTGCTCGCACCGCTGCAGCGTGCTGTGGGGGCGATGCGGGAGCCCCTCGCAGCGGATATGGAATATCGTGCTTAGTCCGAGGGTGTGGACGGTAGACGCGACCGGGACATGGCCGTGTTCGGGACCGCGCGGGCGCACTTTAGCGGCGAGATGCCCAGCAGCCGGAAACCAGTGGTGGCGAGCTTCTGAAGCATGTCCGTGGCGATGCCTCTCCACCTCGCTCTGTCTTCCGCGGAACCAACTTCACCTGCATCCCCCATCGACGCCCCGCAGCACGCTGCCACCCTGCTACACTGAAGCTTGTTGTGAACCTCGCAAGCACGCTTGCCGTTCCCGAAGGGCTCTCTTCTGCCCGTCAGGTACACATGTCCTTCGACAAAAGTGTGTGGGCTCCGACTCGACGGCAGTAGGCCGCTCAGCGGGCGGGCACGAGAACGCGTCAGCTCTCCCTGGCAACGACCGATGCGCCCACGCGGGCGCCGGGACTTGCGCTGCCTTGATGGTCGGGTTGCTTGTCAGCAGTCTCGGCAAAGTGCTGCACGACACGCCCCCGACGAAGTATCATCGCCGGGGCCGTCACCTGCGATCAAGCGGGATGACAGCTGTGGGGGACCTTCCCGCGGGGGGCGATCGAGGACGCAAACGGGCACGTCGGCGCGGCTCGTGGCCACCGCGTGCACTCTGAACAAGCGTGCGCGACGGCGCTGACTCCACGCTGCGGACACCCTCCCTGCCCTACCTCACGCCACAGAGAAAACCGCGAGTGCGAGTGAGGCGGGCGGTGCAGTGGACGTAGCGAACCAGACACGCGAAGACCGGGACGAGTGCTACGCTGCGACGTCGGTGCGGAGAGCGTTCCCGGCCAACGCGAGCGCGCTGGGCCCGTTCCCTCGGTGCATGGAGTGGCCAACGCGCGGCACACCTGCCCGCGCCTGGCCGCGATGCTGGGCTTCAGCACCACGACCTGGGCCATCATCCTCGGCGTGGGATACGTTGCATCAAGTAAGGCACCCTCTCTGGCCGCAGAGCAGGACCTACGTGAGTGCCGGAGGGTGCAAAGCACCTCCCGCCTCGCGGGCCCGGCCCTTTCGCTTCGAAGTCGCGGTGTCTCCGTTCGCTTGACCGAGCAGCGTCCACCTGTGCTCGCAGCGGGACGTGATGCGCGGCTCCTGACTCGGGGCCTCGGGTACTACACGGGCCGCGCTGTGGGGTTCGCGCTGCACATGCGGTCGAAGTTCCTGGGCAACAACCCGCTCTGGCAGGTGCAGAACGAGATCTGGGAGTCCCTCTGGGAGCTGCAGAGCGTCAAGAACGACATCCGACAGGTGCCAGCGCCCCACCCACCAGCAGCAACCACCATCCCTCGCACCGCCTCGCTCCCGCCGATGAGCAGCACCGCCCGCCCTCGATGCCGCAGGCGACCGCGCGGCGCCCGTACATGTCGCGCCCGCCCACCTTCTTCACCGAGCGCGTGGACCCAGGAGCCAACCCTGCTGACAGATTTAACCCCAACGACAGCGGGGGGGCGGCTGCACGGGGCGCCGCGCCGGAGGCTCGCGGGGAACAGCCCGCGCCGCAGAGCACAGCTGCCGCGTTCACCGCCGAGGACATGCAGCGCGTGCTGGGGACGTCCGGCGCCGTGCGCAGCGCGGGAGGCACCTCCCCCGGCACCGGCGACTCCGCACCGAGCGCGACCGGAGCACAGCCGGACGCGCGCGCGCAGGGGTCGGACGAGTCGGGGGCGGGCTGGGGCCCGGGGCCTGCGGCGTGGGGTGCGACCCCGCCCCCCGCGGGTGCGGCGGCGGCAGCGTTCATTGACGTGTCGGCGTCGGACGTGGGCAAGGCGGGGCACGGCGCGGCGGCGGCGGCGCTGAGCGGCACGGACATCCTGGCGGACGCGCTGGACGAGGAGGAGGTCGCGGCGGTCGCGCGGCGCGCGATACGGCGGCCGGACGCCCCGCCACCTCCACGATGACAAAACACCCCCATTGGGGGCCGTGCGTATTTCAAGCCGTCGACTTCGAGCACCGGCAGACTCCTCCACAACGAAATGTCACACATCGGGCGCGTGTGAGTCCGCCGCCCACTCTTGTCGCTACCGCCACACCCCCCCTCATCCGCACATCCCCTGCAGCTCCGCGAGCTGCCCCTGCACGAGCTGCAGCTCCCCGCGCAGCGAGCGGATCGTCCCGTCCTTGCGCTCGATCGCCCGCCGCACGCGCTCCTCGAGCGCGGCCACCTCCTCCGCGTGCTTCGCCTTGAGGTCCTCGCACCGCCGCAACACGTCCACCATCCGCGTCTGCGCCGCCCGGCCCTCCTCCTGCGCCCGCCGCAGCTGCAGCCGCAGCTCCCCCTCGGCCTCCGCGCGCGCCCGCACCGCCTCGCTCTCGCGCGCCGCGGCCGCCTCGCGCGCCCGCTGCAGCTCCGCCGCCAGCGCACCCTCGCGCCGCGCGAGCTCCTCCGCCGCGCGCGCGCCGTCGGCCTTGGCCGCCTCGAGCACCTCGCAGCGCGCCTGCAGCGCTCCGTTCCGGTCCGTCGCGGCCTGCAGCATCGCCCGCACGCGCGCCACCTCGGCCTCCGCCGCCTCCCCCTGTGCGCGCTCCGCCGCCGCCGCGCGCCGCTCCGCCTCCTCCACGCGCGCCGCCCACTCCGCCTCCAGCCGCTCCGCGATCTCGTCCACCTCGCGCACCCGCTCCTCCTCCACGCGCGCCCGCAGCGCACTCTCGCGCTCCTGCATCTCCCGCCGCGCGCGCTCCGCCACCGCCGCGCGCCACCCCTCGCGCTCCACGTCGAACTCCTCCTTCGCGCGCGCCAACGCCCGCTCGTGCCGCGCCTCCAGCGCGCGCCGGTCCTCCTCCGCGCGCTCCCGCGCCGCATCCCGCGCTGCCGCCAGCTCCTTCCGCGCCGCCTCCGCCTCCCACTCCAGCCGCTCGCGGTCCTTCCGCCGCGCCGCCTCCACCTCCGCGACGCGCGCGTCCGCCTCCGCCGCCAGCCGCGTCCGCAGCGCCGCGCACGCCGCCTCATGCGCTTCCCGCGCCTGCGCCAGCCGTGCGTCCGCGCCCGTGCGCTCCGCCGCCGCCGCGTCCTCGCGCGCGCGCTGCGCCTCGTCGCGCGCCGCCGCCAGCCGCCCCGCGTGCTCGCGCTCCATCGTCTCCCGCAGCAGCCGGTGCTCCTCGCGCAACCCCTCCTCCAACCGCCGCAGCTCGCCGCGGTGCTTGGCCACCAGCCGCTGCACCTCGGGCTCCATCGCGCGCACCGTCATCTCCTTGATCTCCGCCTCCTTGTGCTTCACCCACGCCTCCCTGCAACGCACCGGCAAGGAACCCTCGCCGTCAACACCACACCAACCACCACCCACGCACGCGCCAACACAAGCACGCGCGCAACGCCCCGCGCACCTCTTCGACTGCTCGGTGGCCGCCCACGCGGCCTTGTGCCGCTTCAGCTCGTCCTGCAGCCGCCCCTTCATCGCCAGCACCTGCGCGTCCCCCCGCTTGCGCAGCCCCTCGATCTGCGCGTTCAGGTCCGCGCACTTCCCCGCGAGCGCCTCCTTGTCCGCGAGCAGCCGGTCGATGAACTGCAGGTGCCGCTGCAGCGCCTCCTCGTGCGCCGCGCGCTGCGCCGCCAGCTCCGCCTCGTGCGAGCGGCCCGCCGCCTCCAGCCCCGCACGCATCTCCGCGCGCAGGTCGTCGTTCGCGCGCTCCAGGCACTCGCACCGCCCGTTCGCCTCCTCGATCATGCGCTCGTACCGTCCCAGCTTCTCGCGCAGCCCGCCCACCACCGCGGCCGCCAGCTGACTCGACTTGTCCTGACGTGGCGAGGGGGGGGTCACCGCCGGGTCCGCCCGGGCACCGCCCGCGCCCTCGCCGTGCGCCGCCTCCGGCTCTGGCGTGCCGAGCGGCGTGTTGTCCAGCGTGCTCGTCCCCGACGCGTCACCGTTGGTCCGCGGCGCCGTCGCTGGTGTGGCGGTGCGGGCCGCGGGGCGCTGCGGCGCCGCACCGGCGGACCCGCCGTTCTCGCGCGGCGAAAGCGCGGGAAGCGTGTCCATGGCCGCGTCGACGTCGTCCAGGTACTGCAGGATCGAGCGAATCTTCACCGCCGTCACGCTGTCGCGCACACCCGCGCCTGCGCCCTGCGCGGGCCGCGGCGCAGGTTCCGCGGCGGGCGCGGTGGCCGATGCAGGCGCGTGCACGGCTGTCGCTGGCTGCGGCGGGTCCGGCTGCGCGTTCTGCGGCGCCGCGGGCGGGCTGGGTGCACGGTCGGCGCGCGCCGCCTCCGCGAGCGCGCGGGTCATGCTGGCGCGGAGCGACGCCATGGCGACGGACGCGCCGCCCTCGCTGGAGCTGATCGACAGGTCCACCATCGTGTCGACGGCCGGCGCGTCGGCCCAGGGCCGCCACGGCGCCGGCGGGGAACCGGACGGTGGCGCGGGCGCCGCAGCCGGCGCGGGCGCGGCGGGCTGCGCGGGCGCCTCGCGGCGCGGCGGCGACGGCGACGAGATCTGCGAGCACCACTCGCTGACCGACGCGAGCGTGCTGTCCTGCACCTGCCGCACTGGCGACGCCCGGTCGTGCCCGCCGTCCTCCCCCGCGGCGCCCGTCTGCGACACGTCGGTGTAGCGCGACGCAGCGGGGCCCTCGGACAGCGAGACGTCCCGCGGGGTCAGCACGGGGCGAGCCGGCGACTCCGACGGCGCGTCGGCGCGCACGGGCGAGGGCTGGTCCCCGTTGCCTGCGGCGCCGTCCTCCTCCGTCGCAGTGACGCGGGGGCTGGGGACCGGGGACAGGCCGGAGCTCTGGAGGCGCACGCGCATGCGCTGCTTCGCGGCCTGCAGCGCGGCGATCGCCTGCTGCGCCGCCAGGCTGCGGGTGAGCGCTGGCTCGGCCACCCGTGGCTCCGGCGGGCTAGCGTCCCCGCCAGGCGCGCTCGCGGCGCCCTCCGCGTGCTCCGTGCGCGGCGTCGAAGCAGCGTCGGCGTCCCGGGAGGCCTTGCTCTCGATGCCCGCGAACGCGCCCACGCCGCTGTCCCACGACGACGCCTCCGCGCCATCGGTCGCTGTATGCCACGCGCTCGCGGGGCTCCCGTGCACGACTGCCGCGCGCACAGCGGCGTGCCTCGCATCCCGGGCAGGCTCCGAGGCGCGCGGCCCGCTCGCGGCGGCGCCGTGCGGCGCTGCGGCCGGCTCCCTCGCCCGTTGCGGTGCGGCGGCGTGCCGGCGCCAGTAGTGCTGGATGACGCTCGCGGCCACCTCCCGCGTGAACCGCTCGAACTCCGCGGACGTCAGGCTCGCGGTCTGCGCCTCCGAGAGCGCGGCCGACGCCCGCGCGGCCGCCGACTTCAGTTTCGGGCTGATCGACGACACCACGCGCCCCACGTCGTCGTCGTCCTCGCCCCCGGGGCCAGCGTCCGCGGGCGACCCGCCCGGCGTACCGCCGTACGCCACGGCCTCGGGCGGCGCCCCGCTGCGCCGCCGACGCAGCGGCCCGGAGCCCCCGGTGGTCGAGGGGTCCTCCGCGGTCGCCTCCGTGCTCGACGACACCCGCAGCGACGCGTCGCCGAAGGCCTCCGACTCCTCGCGCTTCGGTGCCGCGGCCCTCGGGCTCTGCGCCGGCGCTGCTGCGCGCGGCGCGCGGCGGCGCTGGCTGGCGAAGCTGGAGCTGCGGCTGGACGCAGACAGGCTGGCGAGGCTGGCGGAGCTGCGGCGCAGCGGGAGGCGCCGGCCGCCGCGCGCCGAGGATCGCTCCGAGGGCGCGCCGCTGCCGTCGTCGCTGCCGCCCGCGAGCCACGAGCTCGAGATGGACGCGCTGGAGTCCAGGGGGGGTGCGGCGGACCCCCGGGGGGCTGACGCCGCGGTGCGGTCGAGGTCCGAGGAGGCGTCGGGGCGCGCGTGGGAGGGCCGCACCGGCGACGGGTCCTCGTCCTCGTCGGCGTACCGCGCGTGCGCACGCGCGGGGGGGTTGGAGCCTGCCTGCGTGACCGACTGACTCAGCCCGCTGGTGTGACTCAGGGAGTCGTCGTCGTCGTCGCCGTCTCCGCCATCGTCCTCCGCGTGCGGCGCGGCGGCGCGGCGCTCCGCGGCGCGCACCGGCGTCGACGTGACTGACACGTGCGGCCCTGACGACAGGGAGTAGTCAGTGGGGTACTCCGTGCCCTCCGAGTTGGCCGTCAGGTCCGACAGCGGCGTCCGCGGGCCGCGGCGGTTCACGATCGGCACCGCCGCGCGCGTCGGGCGCGCCGCGGGCGTCTCCGGCGCGGCGGTGGACGCCGACTGGTTGAGGGAGGACGCGCTGAGGGCGTGGTCGAGGTCGCCGCGCACGCGCTGCATGCGCTCCGCCAGGGACGGCGCCGCGCGCGTGGCGGCCGCGGGCGCGCCGGCGGACCGCGTGGGCCGCTGGGGCCGCGCCGGGGTGACGTCGGACAGCGCGGTGATGTCGACGGACGAGTCCGCGAGGGCGGGGTCGCGCCCGGCACCCGCGCGCGTGCTGCGCTGGGGCTTGGCCGGGGACGGCGAGGGCGGGTTGCTGGCGATGCCCGTGAGGTCGCGGCTCCAGTCGGAGAGCGACGCGGCGGACGCGGTGGCTGGGAGGTCCGGGGGGGGCCGCGCCGTGGCGGCCGCGCCGCCGCGCCCAGCGTGCGCGGCGGGGACGGCACGCAGGGCCCCGATGCTGGAGGAGATGCTGTCGTCGACGGAGAGGTCGGACGCGGAGTGCACGGTGAAGCTCCCTCCGCTGACCGTCAGGTCCGCGCCCTGGGGCGCCGGGGCCGCTGCGGGGCCCCTGGCGGCGGACGACGCTCGCTGGCAGTTCCTGCGCGAGAACGACGGCGGCCTGGACGGGCTCTGCCCGCGACGGACGCCGCGGGGCGCGACGAGCGGCGACGGGGTGCCGGAGAGCACGCTCGAGCCGCGGCCGTCACTGCGCGGCGTGGCGGCGCAGTCCGGGTGCGTTGACGCGCCGCCGATGCTCGTCGACGAGTCCTGCGATGACGCGGCGCACGAAACGCGGGCGGCAGCGCGTCAGGGAGGAGGGCTCACGGGCGGGGCTCGCCGCGGAGGACAGGCGAACGCACGGGCCGTTGAGCCGTGCACGTGGCGCACACGCGCGTCAGTGCGCGCGAGCGCGGTCCCTGGGCCACACGCCGACGGGCGCGCGCGCCAAACGGCCTTGGGGCGCCGGGCGTAGACCTGGCGGGGCCACACTCACGTCTGCTTTCAACCCACGGCGCGCCCTCTCCCGCTCCTCCTGTATGGCGCTGCGCTCGCTGGGCGTCGGCGTGGCGCCTGTGTCGCCGGACTGCCGCATCGACGCCCGGATGGACGCGAGGCTCGTCTCCGCGCTCGCGAGGTGCCGTCCGCGCACGCTCGCGGGCGCCCGGGCCTGCTGGCCGCGAGCAACGGGCGTGCCGCTGATCTCGAGGCTGGTCCCGGGCGTGGATGAGTCGTACAGCGACGACATTTCAAACGTGTGCCCTGCGGGCGCCCGCTCGGCCACCAACGAGGACACCCGGGCGCAATTGGCCACCACTTGGTTCAAGCTACCGTTTTGGCGGGCCTCGCTCTCAGGGTCGCAACAAGCCCTGAGACTGACTCGCGGCGGTCGGACAAACCGCAATTCACCTGGCGGGCCGCACCGGGCGCCCCCATAGACGGCGTCGGCGACGGCGTGCGCGGGCGAGTCAGGCGTCGGACTCGATCGATTTCACCCCTTGCAGCTTCACCCAACGAGCGCCTCCTCGTTGCAGTCGCTCACGACCGTAGGTGTTCACGATGTCGGCCCCTCGTAGAAGCGAAAATTCGCGGCTCTGAGGAAGCGTCCGGGCTCTACACATCCTAGAGCTAGCTGCGTGCGGGCGACGAGCGCAGCCGGCATGTAGACGCGATCCGTCGTGCGGTGCGCAGAGAAGCGATACAGTCAGGCACACGCGCAGCTACGAGGTCCATCACGTTGTCGTAGGAGCGAGTTTGCGACCTCATTGCACAGCGCGCACAGGACGGGCGCCGTTCCGGTCGAGCCGAGCGAGGGCCCCCGAGACACGGACGCGGGGCAATGCGTATGGTGGCACGGCCCTGAGGCTGCCATCTTTGGGAAGTTTTGTCGCGCGACGTTGCGGTCCAGCCCAGCACCAGGAGGTCCTGTGGCCGATACCGCACGCTGCCGTCGCGTGTTCGGGATGTCGGACGACGGGCTCAAGGCCCTCGTTACACGTCTTGCGGCCGCCTGGAAGAGGGCCGAAGCCGGGGACAAGGTAGAAGGCAAGCGATGCGAGGACATTCTGAGGAGCATCTCCATGCACGAGGTCACGGCCAAGGTGACGTTCACGGCAACGGACGCGTCGTGGATGCTGCCCTCTCGTCGCTGTGCTCGGCAGTGCTCGCGCACGACTCAGCATGGCTCCCGGCCACGGCAGAGTGGTGCTGAGGTTGCAGACTACGCCGCTCCCCACCTGTGCAGGACCTCGTCGAGACCGGGTGCGCCAAACTCACACGCGTCATCGCTGCGTCCAAGAACGCGGAGCTAGCGGCCTTGGCGCAGAAGGCGAGTGACACAGCACAGGCCCACTGTCATGGAACAACACATGTGGCCCAGCAAGCACGCGCGCGACCCGTGGCCTACAGACGCGCTTGCCCCGCGCGTACACACGGAACATGCCCGAGAACCGCGCCCTGCTGCGTTCCGTGACCGCAGCTCTCAACGTCGTGGGTGGCACACATCCGCAAATCCAAGGCTCAACCGAAGCCGAAACAACAGACCGCGCCACAACGGACCGCGCCGCCCTCCAGCGCTTCTCCGCCCGCGCGCCCCGCGGGCCGCGGCGCGAGCATCGAGGGGCGGGAACACAAACAAGTCAGGAGCGCAACGGCGCCGCAGCAAAAGGCGAAAGAGGACGCGACTTCCGCGCAACGCCGCGCCGCGGAAGCGCTGGAGTTCGCGCACAAGGTGCAGGAGCACGTGACGTTCACGGGCAACGGGACGCGCGACATGGCGCGCACCGCGATGGCCAAGGCCTTTGCGTCGCACGGCAGCGGCCGTCGTTCTGCGCCGGAGAAGGTGGCGGAAGTGGTCGACGAGATGGAGGCGGGGCTGTTCGACATGGCGGGCAGCACGGGGGCGTCCGAGTACCAGGTGCGGTACCGGGCGCTGCTGCAGGCCATCAAGCAGAACGACGACCTGCGGCAGCACGTGCTGGACGGCAGCGTGGGCGCGCGGCACTTGGCGGCGCTGCCCGCCGCGGACCTGATGCCTGCGAAGGTCAAACAGCGGCTCGAGGCGGTCAAGAAGGAGCGGCTGGAGGCGATCATGCAGGCACGCGCATGACACGCTGCGCTGTTTTTCTTTGTTCCTCCGTGCGCTCGCTGCCGCGCATGCACCAGGGGGATCGCACAACTCATGCACTGATTGACCTGAGCGCCGCGCATCCCGCGTTCTCCGCAGGTCGAGGACGAGGGCGCGGCGACGGACATGTTTGTGTGTCCGCGGTGCAAGTCGCGCAACTGCGTGTACAAGCAAAAGGAGGCCAGGCCCGCGCGGTGGCCGGCGTTCTCGGACGAGGCCGCACCGGCGTTCGTGACGTGCCGGGACTGCGCGCACCGCTGGGTGGATGACTGACCATAGCCGTGTCCGACGTGCACGCCGACTCAGACCCCTTCACAAGTGATTTCAATGCAGCCGCCAGTATGACCAGTGCCTCCCGCTACTCTCGCTCCGCCGGTGTCTGTGCGCGCTTCACCTGCGCTGCAGCCTCCCTTGCTGTGCCGCTCCTCCCGGCTCGCGGTCACGCTTGCGTGTGGCCCGAGACCCAGGTTTTTGCGACTTCCTAGGACGGGAACCGTGCGGCAGATCATTCCATGCAGCGCAACACGCCGTCGGCATGCATCCAACCCCCGCCAGCCAACTCACCATCTGTGACGGCGGCAGAAGCACGCCACCGCCGTCCGGGAGATGCATGAGCGGCACGACGTACGTGTCGAACATACGGCGCAGGCGCAGCAACCTGCTGCCGGGGGTCTCTGGTTCGATGTTCTCCAGCGGGGTGCACATGACCTCCACCTGCGGAGCGTCGCACGAGCAGGGCAGGCGTGCAGCGTTGAATGCAGCGAGCAGCGAGGGGCCCTGCGGGGCTGCGGGCCCGGTACCCCTCACGGAGGTGCTCCTGAGTCATGATAGTCACGATGCCGATCGCGACGCGCGTCTGCTGTGTTTGCGACAGCGCACCTCGCAGAGTAAGCCCGCCAGCAGCGCCGGCGTCACGCGCAGACCCCCTTCGCCGTCCACCAGCAGATCCCTGTGCGGGAAGCGTTCAATCCACGCCGAAGCCAGACACCGCAGCAGCGACCCGTCCCCGAACTGCATCTCGCCATCCTCGTCCAGGACCACGCTTTCAAACGTCACCAAACCCTCCAGGCTGCGGCAGGGACACACCACCGGGTGACGCCCGATCTCGCAGCACCGGAACGCCGGCCGGGGCTGACGGGACGCGGGGGCGGCAGTGCGCGTGCTCTGGGTGTTGGCAGCAACGACCCTGAACTCCAGCGCGGCCTCTTGCACGCCGCGCTCCGCGTCTCTCCGCAGGGCAGCACTCCGTGCCTTGATCTGCGACGCGGGACGAGCGCGGGGACGTACGCACGATTCGGACGCAGTTCGCGGTTCGGACGCGGGACCTCGGGGGAAATGGTGTACTTCCCATGAGCGAATGCTTCGATCAGCGGTCGCACCTGCTGCATTTTCTGCAGGGCTGTCACGTCGTGGGTGGCTGTGGCGACGTCGTGCGTGGCCTCCAGGAGCAGCTGGAGGCAGGGCGGGTCCATCCGCCTCCAGTGGGCCGCGCTGACGCTGGCGTACTGCGCTCTCAGATGCTGCAGGAGCCCGCCGCCGAGTAGGGCACGAAGCGCGTCTGCATCGGTACATTCGTACACGAGCAGGCAGAGTTTCGCGTCACCTCGCGATCCAAGCGGCGAGCTGGGAGTTGCAGGTGCATCATCATCCTCCAGTGCCAGGCACGTCTGGTACTCCAGGCTCTCGCGCAGCTCGCCCGGGATGGTTGCCGGCCACAGTTGCGCCTTGATGCACAGGCCTCGCTCGCGCGCGACGACGCCGTTCATGCGCGCAACCACCCTCAGCGCAACCACCTCCATCGACCCATCCAAGGGCGTGGCTGCAGGGTTGCTGTCTGTCGCGGCCGAGCGGTCTTGATCCGCGTAGCCCGTACCGGCGGAGTTCATCGCCTGCGAGAAGCGACCGCGCGGTGGGAGCCGACGTCAGTAGTAGGCCAACAACACCTCCCGGTCAAGTCCCGATGCGCGGGCCGCGCTGACATGCCGATCGTGACACTTCCTCACCTGTTCTTCGGAACACTCCACCGCGCGCATCGCACCGTTATGCTGATGCAAGCATCTCGGGATATCGTGCGTTGCAGCCAGGAACGCCATTGGCAGCCACCCCACACCCGGGATCCACGCAGCGACGTGCGACTCCGGCAGCAGCACGCCGCCGCCGTCGGGCTGCGTCGTCAGCGGCTGGACGTACCTGTCGAACATGTAGCGCATGCGTACGACGCGGTGACCGGGAGAGCGCAGGTTGAACTTGTTCTCCAACGGCGCGCACATGTCCTCGGCCTGCACGGCGTCGCAGCGCGGGACGGACGAGGGACCGCCATCTTAAGGCGAGGGAAGAAGGGAAACCGATGTGTCCCCGTCGCGTGCCGGGCATGTTGTCAGCGGTCCGCCAGTGGCGCACCTCGACCAGCAGTCCTGCCAGCACCGCGGGCGTGACGCGCAGTTCCGTGCCGTTCGACAGCAGCAGGTAGTTGTGGGAGACTCCCGTGACGAACGCCGACGCCAAGCACCGCAGCAGGGACCCAGGACCGAGCTGCAAGCTCGTGCCGTCGGCGTGCAGGACGAGGCGCTCGAAGGTGACGAGCCTCCCGAGGCCGTCCGCGGGCGACACCGTTGCGTTCGCGGTGCCGCGGAACGCCGCGCAAGAGCGCTGTGCTGCGCGGCCCTTGGTCCGACGGGGAGCGGTTACGGCGAAGCCCAGGGCGGCCTGGCGCAGGCGTGGCGTCACTTTGGCTTTGGTGGTCAGCACCGCTGCGGTGGTCTGCATGTGGCGTGATTGTGCGGCACAGTAATGTCTGCGACGTCGTTGAGCAACTGCGGTGCAGGTTTTACGTGGTGGAAGGCGTGGTTGACGGTGGCCACCGGAGGCGCACTTACCACTAAAACAACTGCGCCAGCCTTCACCTGGCCTCCGTCGAGTACGTCGGGGTTCTTCATGGCCATCAGACACAGCTCGAAGTTGCTGCGACCCTCAAGCTCTTCAGGTGCAGATGTGCTGCGCCGCAGGGTCCCACTGCCCAGGAGCGCCAGGGCAGCGTCGGCACTCGTGCAGTGATACGTGATCAGTAATAGTTTGACCTTCTCCAGCGCCGCCAGAGGGCTCGATTCGCTGTTTCCAGACGCGCACGTGGCCCGCTTGATTCTTATGAGGTGCTCTTTCTTGATGCGGTGCGAAGGCGGTAGGAACGCCGGCCACAAGACTGCCCGCGCTGGACGCAGCTCGTCGTGATGTCGCGGCGCCATCGAGTTCCGCGGGCCTGTCTCACGCAGACCAACTCGTCGATCAGGCGCCGATCGACAAGCTGCGTGGTGGTCGCCTGCGCCGACGAGTCGACGAGGCGGTACGCGGGGGCCTGCGCAGTCTTCAGAATCCGACGTCATCGTCATGTCGACGAGGCCGCCACGAATACCCGGTTGAGCCCCGCCGATGACGACGTCATCGCATTTGTTGTTGCCGGCGTCCTCTTCCGTGACCACCACCGTCGCCGGTATGTCCGAGTCGCAACCGCCCTCCTCCTCGGAGGTGATGCGACCATGTTGCTGTATCTCCGCGACCTGCGCCTCCATTGCGTTGAGGCGCGACAGCAGCAGGTCCAGGGACTCCGCGTTGCCGACGACATCGTTCGGCGAATGATCGATGGCGCGCGTAGAAACGATCTCGTCTAGGCGAGCCTGAATCCGCTCCAGTTCCTGCGGTCGGCAGTGCGGGAGCGGTGCGTGAGTTCCTGCATATTCAGTTGGTGTGCGCCACCCTCGACGGACTGCGTCGCTGACCTGAGGCGTAAGCATCGCGTAGGTTCGGTGGCGTATGCTGCCCTGCGCGGCCTAGCGGCCGCGACAATCCCCTAGTGTGAGGACGGCGAGCGAAGCTGCACCACCAGAGCAATATCCTTTGCGGCGCCGGCGCGCAGCCCGCGCGATGTCCGTACGAAATGTGCCTCGTGGTAGTGAAGGACGTGCGACGTGCGAGGGGCCCGTCGAGGCCTCAACATGCGTGGCTGGCGGCGAGGACTCACCTCCACAACGTCAGGCTGGAGAGACGTCCTCCTCGCCGCTCCCGGTGACCGCGGCTCCCCAGGTCAACGCCAACCTTTTATCTACCTGATCTGTTGCGGATCACATAGACGCGCAACGACGGACGGTCTCCTCGAACCCTGCCGGTCCCATGATCTGCCCTGGTCCCACTGGTCTTGGGACCGGGTCGGCCGACCCATTGGGTCCAACCGCCCTCATGATTGAAACTGCGCGATCGCCTCGCGGCGGCCCCGGAAGGCGATACGCCGCCCCCGAGGCCGAGACCATGCTGTGCGTAGCTCTCTCTCGCCGCTAGTGACGAACGAGTTGATCGAGGAGGTTGTCCCCTCATGACGTGCACGACGCGCCCCCGATGCTCGCATGCGCGGCTCCGTACGCGGCAGACAACGTCGCCTCGGTGGGTCGCGCCGGTGCTGCCCCTCGCGGACAGCTTCCTCTGTGCCGCAGATGTGCGAATTCGCCGCGCACCCGGCAGTGCGAGCTCAAGGTGCGTGCAGTCGCAGCTGCGCGCTGACGACAGTCGAGACGCCGGTGCACGGTCCCGGTCATGGCGGCAGCGCAGCCGCCATGTCCGCGCCGTGGAGCACGGGCGGGCAGTGCGCACCGTGCCGCGCCCCGAAGCCCTCCGTCATGAAGCTGGACTTCTGCAGCAACCAGCCCGGAAGTCTCTCGCGCATGTTCGCCTCCACGTCCTCGACCCTGCGCGCGGTACACCAGCGCCACGTCGGCACGCGCACAGCAACAACGCACTACCGCACGGCTGCACACCCTCCGCAGCGCACCTGTACCGGGCAGAGAAGTGGATGAACAGCACGTGCCCCACGTCGCGGAGCACCTCGAGGCACTCGGGGCGCAGGACGTGCCCCACGTGCGTGTGTCCGAACTTCTCGGCGTCCTCCATCGTGGTGCCGTCCTCGACGAAGGTGCACTCCATGATCAGGAGCTTCGCGTGGCGCACGTCGGGGTTGTCCTTGTTCAGGAGGAGGAAGTCCCCCGTGGTGTCCCCCGAGAAGGCCACCTCGGCCACCTCCACCACGTCCGACACCTCCACGCCGTCGCGCCGCAGCGCCGCAATCTCCCTCCCGGGGAGGCCGTGGTACTCCGGCTTGAGCTTGCGCTTCTGCGTGATGACCGCGTACCCCTGGGACGGCACCGGGTGGATCGTCGGGAAGCACCGCGCAACGCACCCCCCCTTCTTGAGTTGCACTTCTACCTTGTCGGCCGGTCGGGCGGGGACGAGGTTCACGCGCATGTCGCAGCCGTCCAGCTCGCGGTGCGCCGCGAGGAGCGCCTCGACGGCGGGCACGTTGGGCGTCGGCAGGACGACCGTCGGCGGCGGGAGGGAGAGCAGCTGGCGGCTCGCGATGTGGAAGTTGATGCCGCCGATGTGGTCCATGTGCGCGTGTGTGATCAGCACCGTGTCCTGCGCAGAGCGCACCCCGGTGCGTTCGCGTCAGTTCGCGCAAGGCACCGCGGCAGCCTGCGGCGCGCGCGGGGGCAGGCCGGACTTGCCTGGTAGACCGCGCGCTGCGGGCAGCGCCCGATGTCGAAGGCTACGTTGAATTGCGGGAGGATGATGCACGTCTCCACGCCGCCCACGCTTATTCCCTGCAGCTGCACGCCGCCCACGCACACCATCTCCGAGCACCGCCCCATCTTGCACACCCAGGCGGGGCACTTGCGGACCGCGGGTCGCAGCGAGCGCGCCGCAGAGAGCCCACGCCCGTAGCTGAGTGCACCTGCCCGCCTGCCGCGCAAGTGCGCCGCGGACCCCTCGCGCAACCTTGCACGTTGACAGATGATGGTCGCCGCTGACGCCATCGAGCGGAGATTCGCTCTCCGCTGCCGCTCGCACGTCGGTCTGGGACCGGCGCGATGCGCTGTCGTGCCATCTGCGTGCAAAGCGACCACCCAGCGCCTCCTGGACGCCCCCCTGTTGCGCGTGCTACAGTCGGACACGCTCTCGCTGCGTGCTTGGGGCTTGATTCCCCGCGTCGCGGCGCCCGCGCAGCAGAGCGAGCACGCACGTACGCCGCGTCGATGCCCTGCCTCCGCTTCGCAGCGCGAAGGACCTCCCGCGGCACCCAGAGGCTCCACAACTCTGAGAGCTGCGCCGCGAGGGTCGCGGTGATCGATAGCACGGTCGCTGCGAATAGGGGTCGGACGCCATGAGTGTTCAGGAGGAGCTGGACGCCCTTGACAGGGTCCTCACGCGCCTGGCGTTCACAGGTGCGCGCCCTCTACCAGGCCACGACTTCGTGCGGTGCCCCCGCACCTCGCAGCGCGACACACCCGCTGTCGAGCCATCCACGGCCTTCTCCGATCGCCAAGCATCGCCAATTCGGCACGATCCCAATGCCTGGCAGCGTCGCCCGCCCGGAGCGGGGCGCACCAGCCGTGGTCTGTTGATCTAAGATCCGACCGCCGCGGCAGCCGCCCGGGCGACCGCAACGGCGCAGCCGCAATCCCGCCGACCGCTGCTCGCAGAGGACCACGACATGGAGGGCGTCCTGGCGAAGCTGCTGCCCGCCATCATCCGCAAGCTGGGCAACAACAACGAGGCGCTGACCAAGAAGTGCCTCCAGCTGCTGTCGCACGCCAACAAGCGCATCCACGGCCTCAGCTCCATCTCGCTCCCCCTCGAGGTCCGCCTCGACCGCCCGGCGCCCCCGCCTCCAGCACCACGTCCACTACCTCAAAAGCCTCACACACCCCCCCCGGACCACACACCTCCCTGCGCAGGCCCTCGTGGACCTCTTCGTGTCCCAGCGCGGCCCGGCGGGCCACCCGCTGGTCCGCAACTTCTCGCTCGTGTACGTCGAGATGGCCTTCCCCCGCGCGACGCCCGAGCAGCAGGCCGCAGCAACGCCGAAGCTCCTGCCCGGGTGCGCGCACGCGCCCAGCCAGCAGCGCGAGATCGTGCTGCGCCTGGCCATGGCCTCGATGGAGTACCACGGCTCCTCGAAGCGGTACGTCGCCGGGCCTGACGAGGCCGTCAAGTCAGACTGGCAGACGCTGCTGTCCAGCAAGGAAGACCTGACCGTGTTCCTGAAGCGCGCGCTGCTGCTCATGCTGTACCGCCCGCCCAAGTCCGTCCCGGTCGGCACGCGCGACGAGCAGACCGACGCCGTCCAGCTCCTGCGGCAGCAGAACGAGGCGCGCCGCATGGGGCGCCCCCCCGTCGCGCCCGACGCGGCGCCCGCGGCCCCGCCGCCCGCGGGCGACGCGTTCGAGCTCGTCGCGGCCCCCGGCCTCACGCTCCTCGAGTGCAAGACGATCGAGGGCAAGGGGGGCGCAATAGACCCCCCCAAGCTACAGGACATGAAGCTCGGCGTGCTGCAGCTGTGCGGCATGCTGGGCGTCGCCGCGGAGGACATGCTGACCATCTACATCGCCGCGGCGTGCGACCCCATGGGTGCGCGCCTCCCCGCACCCACCACGCGCCTACGCACGCGCTGCGCGCTCCGCCCCCGTGCGTGCCCACGCGCCCGCTCGCGCCGCGCCGCCCGCAGCCCCCGTGAGCAGCCGCGGCGAAGACCTCCTCCGCCGCGGCTGCGGCATCGACACCCTGGCCCCCTCGGTCGACCTGGAGCGCGGCGACCTCGTCAGGCAGCTCTTCCGGCTCATCGAGGTGCCCGGGGCGCCCGCGGAGGAGCAGCCGCCGGCCGACCGCGAGCGCGTGCGGCGGCCCCCGAGTGCCGCGCTGCACCAGCGCACGCTCGAGGTGCTCGCGCGGTCCCTGGCGGCCGCGAACACCTTCCCCGAGGCGCTGACGGCGATGCGGGACGCGATCGTCGGCGGCGAGGGCAACGTGCGGCTGCAGCAGGCCGGCATGGCGTTTGCGATGTGGGTCCTGCAGAAGGCCGACGCGCAGAAGCTGTCGGTCGAGATGTGCCGGGGGCTCCTGCAGCACCTGCTGAACCTGCTGTCGGCGGGACACATTGCGGGCAACCAGGACCCCGCGGCGGCGAACCTGCGCTCGTTCGCGTACCAGTGCTGCGGCCTGCTCGCGAAGCGGTGCCCGGAAGCCTTCCTCGGGTGCGTCGACCCGCCCAGACTGGCAGTGCACGTGCGCTGGTCGGTGCGCCGACCAGGCCTCGGTCCCACCGCGTCGCGAGCATCGAGACTGTGTTTGCAGGGACGCGGACATCCGCACGGACCTGCCGCAGAAGTTCTTCGCGGCGCTGCACACGGAGCCCGACGGAACGCGCACCGGCCTGCAGGAGTGCCTCTCGCTGATGGCCGTGGCGTACGCCGGCAGCCCCGAGGCCGTCGACGACCTCCTGCCCATGCTGGAGACCGCCGCGACGTCGGACCTGACCGCGGTTGCCGTCAGCGCCCAGCTGTGGGTGGGCCGCATCATGCCCTTCAAGGACCCCCGCGCGCGGCACATCAACGTCATGGGCGCCGCGGACAGGCGCCCGCAGCTCCGCGACATCGTGTCGCAGGGCCTGCAGATCGCCGCGGGCGGCCTCCGGAAGCCCGGCGCCGGCGACCCCAAAGGTGCGCTGCACAACCGCAGACACGACACGTGCGACTGCGTCCGGCTCGTCGACGAGCACACCGACCGTAGGTGTGCTTCCCTGTGCCTGTGCAGCGGCGGGGCGCGGGTTCCCGGACCCGCTGCAGCTCGTGAAGTACTTCCACGGGAAGCACCCAAAACTCGCGCGGGCGCCCGAGGGCCACGGAGAGCCCGCACTGCACCCCGCGCAGCAGGAGGCGCTGCTGTCGCTCGCGGTCGACTCGTTCCGGAACCACTTCGGCCTCGGAGCGTCGCCGGCGGCCACTGTGGACGGGCGGCAGGGCCCGGCGCGGACGGACGCCGAAGCGCGGGCAGCGACCGAGGCCATCTGCGGGCTGGTCGCGCACGCCGTCGGGCCCGGGACGACGTCTGCGCTGCTGTGCCTCGCCCTCGACGCGGCGTGCGCGCTGTGCAACGACAGCCGCGACGCCGTCTCGCAGACGGCGCTGGCGGTGATGGCGGCGCTCACGCGCCCCGTGCGCGAGACCTCGCTGCCCTCCGTCAGCGCCGGCGCGCGCGTACGCGGCGCGCGTCTGCTCGGGATCCTGGCCGCGAAGGGCCTCGGGTCGATCAGCGAGGAGGCCACGCTGTCGACGCTGGTCGACGCCGTCAACGACGACGGGCAGGCCGCCGCGCCCGCCGCCGCGCAGTCCGGCGAATCCTCGGGTGACAAGCCCGCCGCCAAGCGCCAGGCGGCCGCGGGGCGCCAGTTCGAGACGATCGACGGCGCGATGCAGTGCCTGGCGCATGTTGTGCCGCAGCTCCACGTCGCGGGGCGCGGGGCGTCGGACGCGGTGGTGCGCAGGGCGGTGGACGCAATCAAGGCGCGCGCGAAGGCGGGGCAGCACCAGGCCGGCGCGGTGGAGGCGCTATCGCTCCTCGGAACGACCCCGGGGGTGTTGCATGAGGAGGACGTCACCGCGACGGTGGACGCCGTCCTGGAGCTCCTCAAGTCCACCAACCGCGGCGATCAGCTCAAGGCGCTGCACGCCTCGGGTCTGCTGCTGTTCGGGCACCCGCAGGCTGCCACGCTGGAGCGTTTGCTGCCGCCCGTGCGCGAGGCGGCCAGGACCGCCGAGGACGAGGCGGTGCTGCTCTCCGGCGAGGTCGCCGCCTTCGCCGTCGGACAGCTCAATGTCACTGCGCAGGACGTGCTCTCCACGTGAGTCGCCCTCCCGGGCCGTCAAATGCGCCTCTGCAAGCTGTCCGTGTCTCTCGAGGCACGATCGCGACGCCGTCACGACCGTTCCACGCGCGTGCAGGGGCCTCTCGAGCCTGGCGGAGTGGGAGCCGTACGGGCAGCTGTGGGACAAGCTCACCGAGGACTCCTCAGCCGGCCCCGCCAGCCTGCCCGCGCAGGCGCCCTCCCACGACGCGGCGCGCGAGGCCGACCGCGGCGCCGCGCTGGACTTCTCGCTCCAGATGGCCGAGGAGATGGCCGTGTCGCCGCGCGCTGCCGAGCGCGCCGCCGCCGCCGTGTGGCTCCAGAGCCTCCTCCGCTTCTGCGGCCCCTTCTCCGCGGCGCTGCGGGGCCACCTCGAGCGGCTCCAGGGCGCGCTGGTGTCCCTCCTGGGCGACATGGGCGAGCTCGCGCAGGAGATGGCGTCGCGCGCGCTGTCCCTGGCCTACGCGCTCGGCGACGACGCGCTCCGCAAGCAGCTGGTGGCCAACCTGACGGGCATGCTCAAGGGCGACAAGGCCGTGCTGCGCAGCGCGAAGCTCGAGGGCGACAGCGAGGTGTTCGAGGAGGGCTCGATGGGGCAGGCGCCCGGCGGGAAGGGCCTGACGACGTACCGCGAGCTGTGCGACCTGGCGAGCGAGCTGAACAAGCCGGACCTGATCTACAAGTTCATGGACCTGGCCAACCACCAGATGTCGCTGCGGTCGCGGCGGGGCGCGGCGTTCGGCGTCGCGAACATCGCGAAGATCGCGGGCGTCGAGATGGAGGGCGTGTCGGACGACGTCCTCCCGCGCCTGTACCGCTTCCAGTTCGACCCCAACCCCCGCGTGCAGGACCAGATGCGCGCGATCTTCACCGCGCTCTTCCCGGAGCCCGCCGCCGCGCTCGAGCGCGCGTTCGACCGCACCGCCGCGGAGCTGCTCAAGGAGATGGGCGGGCGGTCGTGGCGCGCGCGCGAGAGTGCGTGCCTTGCCCTGTCCGACCTCCTCCAGGGGCGCGCGTGGGGCACCGTGCGCGGGCACTACGTCCGGGCGTGGGAGATGGGCCTGCGCGCGCGCGACGACATCAAGGACTCGGTGCGCGGCGCCGCGGACAGCCTGCTGCGCACCCTGGTGTCGATCACCACCAAGCTGTGCTCCAGGGACGCGGCGAGCGGGCCCGGGAGCGCGGCGTGGGAGACGGCGCGGGAGGTGCTGGACCTCGTGCTGCCCGTGCTGATCGACAAGGGCCTGCCGTCCAAGGTCCCGGAGATCCAGAACGTCGCGTCGTCGACGCTGTCCAAGGTGCGGAGCGCAACCACAGCGAGCGCACGCAGCGGTGCGCCGCCGCGGCGCGTCTTGCTTTGCCTCTGCCTCTCCGCTGACTCTGCCTCGTCCTCCGCGCCCCCGCGTGCGTTGCAGCTCGTGACCGGGGCCCCGAAGGAGGCGCTGTCGCCCCAGATCCACACCCTGGTCCCGACGCTGCTTGAAGGGCTGTCGGGGCTTGAGGACGCGCGGCTGAACTACGTCGAGCAGAACGCGTCCAACTTCGGCATCTCGTCCAGCCGCCTCGAGCAGGCGCGCGTCTCCGCGTCCAAGCGCACGCCCATCGCCGACGCCATCGACGCGCTGGTGCGGCAGGTGGAGAAGGGCCACCTCGACGCGCTCGTGCCGCGCCTGACGCAGCTCCTGCGGCGCGGACTCGGCCTGAACACGCGCGTGGGCACCGCGCGCTTCGTGGGTATGCTGGCCATGTCGCTCGGGTCGGAGCTGAAAGAGAAGGCGGGTCACCTGATCAAGGCGCTGCTCGACGGGGTGTCGACGGACCAGTCGCAGGCCGTGCGGTCCGCGTACGCGTCTGCGTTCGCGAGCCTGTGCAAGATCGCGAAGCCGGAGCGGCTCGAGAAGGTCGCGGGCGACTTGCGGGGCATGTGGGACGCCGACGGCGCGGGCGGCGGCGGCGGCGGGGACACCGCCGTGGTGTGCGCGCTGGCCGTGCGCGCGATGTCGCGGTCCGCGCCGGACGCGTTCTCGCAGATCTCCGCGTCGCTCCTGCCCGTGGTGTACATGGGGCAGTTCCTCGACGGCGGCCCAGCCAAGGCGCTCTTCACGGAGGTGTGGGAGGACGCGACGGCGACGCCGGCGTCCGCGATCCGGTTCCACCTCGACGGCATCCTCCCGCTGCTGACCGCGTCGCTGGAGTCGGAGAAGTGGCCGCGGCGGCGGTGCGCGTACCGCGCGCTCACGCACGTGGCCAAGGTGGGCGGGACGGCGCTGCGGTCGACGGGCAAGGCGCCGGAGCTGCTGCGGACGCTCGTGCAGCAGCTGCAGGGGCGCGTGTGGGACGGGAAGGAGGAGCTGCTCCGGGCGCTGCCGCACGTGCTCAAGGCGTGCGCCGCGGAGGCGGACAGCAGCGCCATGCACGTGGACGGCGAGGACGAGGGCGTGGACACGCAGGCGCTCATTTCGGCGCTGCTGGACGCGACCTCGAAGAAGGAGAAGGCCTTCCGCGAGGCGGCGCTCACGTGCCTGGGGGAGATTGCCGCCTCGACGCCCACGCCCGGCGGGTGCGCGGAGATCGTGCGCGGCGTCCTGCGCCCGGCGCTCGCGGCGCACGCCGCGACCGCCGCAGTCGCGGACGAGAAGCGCGGGGCGTCCGCCGACGACGCGGCGGCGGCTGGCGACGGGAGCGGCGACCGGCCGAAGCTGAGCCTGGCGCCCGCGGTCGCATGCGTCAGCGCGGCGCTGCGGGGACCGGACGCGCGCAGCGCCGCGGACGAGATCCTGGCGAACGACGCGCGCGGGCTGTGCGCCGTGGTCCAGGCGGGGGGCAGGCCCGCCCTCGAGGCGTCGTGTCTGCAGGTGCTCAAGGCATGCATCGACGCGGCGACGCGCGAGGAGGACGCGGGCGCGAAGGCGGCGACCAAGGAGCTCGCGAAGGAGCTGGGGACGTGTCTGGCGCGGGCGCTGCGGTCGTGGGAGGCGGGCGCCGCGGCGCTGCGGCTCGCTGCGATCGAGTGCTGCACGTCGCTGGGGACGGCGCTCGACGCGGCGGGGCTGGCGGACCTGCACGCGCTGGTCGCGGACTCGCTGAGCAAGGTCGTGAAGGACGACGTCGTGCCGAGTATGCGGGCGAAGGCGAAAGCGGCCCTCGCGATATGTTTGCCGAAGTGAACTTGCTGGCCAGTTGGTTCGTTCGCCATACTTGGGAGTGTGAGCATCCGCAACGGTCTGGCCTCCAAACATGACGGTGCGGCGCTCTCGCGAGCGCGGGCAGGGCTGCGCTTCACGCTCGTCCGATCGCGAGCCGCTCTCCGGTGCGACCTGCTCCCGAGCGCGGGGCGAGACACGCGTCTCGTTACGAGGGTCTCGGTGCTCGTGCACTTTCACGAACGGCGCCACCACGGCGCGCGGCGTCACTAGTACCTCGACCTCCCCGCCTCCTGAGGTGGTCTGCAGAGAGCGGCTGGTTCTGTCCAGGCGCCTGATGACCTCGCCGCCGGATCGTCGACATCACAGTGAGCGACTTCACCAAGACAGGAAGCTGCACGAGGTGAGCGACGTCCATGTTGCAGCCCTCGAGAGCCTCCAGCTCGTGCGCCACAGCTGGAGCGCGACGCCCTGCCGGTGTGCGGGTGGTTGGTTCTGTCAATAATACCGATGCTGGCATGGCGTTGCGCGAACGACGACGCGGTCCCACGGAGGAAATCTGTCCTTTTCTTCTCCAGCGCGAACAGTCGCTCCCGTTTTGCGGCTCATTCAGAGCTGCCCGACTGCCATAAACTTCTCCCGAAGGTAGCCTAGATGAATGGCTTTCTGCGTGGAATAGAGTAAAGCGCGTTTGTTTGCCCGCGCGACTGGTTGTTGGTCCTGCTCAGCGGGCGGTGCTCGAGGCGCGCAAGCGAGGCCTTTTCCACGGGTTTCCTGGCCATCACGTCTTTACCCGGACATTGTCGCGTGCGTAGGGCCTCATGTTGCCTCCCACCTTCAGTTCAGCTCTCACAGTCCGCGTTCGGCGCACCGCCACCGGTGCTCTCGCATGGCTCTGGTGCTACCGTGCACTCTCTCGGTACCTGCTTGCCGACCTTCACGACCGTTTTCTCCTCCTTTGAATTATCGCGGACGATGCGCCTCCCGGTCGTCAGCAGGTACGCGAGCATGCGGCCCGGGTTCACATTCGCTCCCGAGGGCGGTCACCCCGCGGCGGTCCGACGTCCTGCGAGTGCGTGGGTGCGAGTCCAGCAGGACATGTTTGTCACCATGACGGCGGCGACGGTGTGGTACAGCACCCCAAGCGGATTCCGCGGCAGGTCGCTGCCCGATATTACCAAGTGCGGCATCGGGTCTCCCAACAGCACGCAGCCCCCGCAGTGGTTCCAGGGCGTCAACCGCGAGGAGCAGGCCTGCGCCGCCGCGGCCATCCTCGTCCTCGGCGTCCTCGCCAGCGACCGCGCCGAGCCCGGCACCTGGGCCAACGACTGCCGTGTCGTTCAGGAGCGCTACGACCTCCCGTGTCAGCCGGGGGGCGACACCCTGCGCGCGGTGCTGGCCACGGCGGGCCTGACGCCGGCGGGGTCCAGCGAAGGGTACAGCCTGGAGGCGGTGCGGGGGATGATCGACGAGGTGGTGGCGCGGTGGGGCGTGCCGTCGGAGAAGAAGAAGCTGCCGGTGAAGCTGGCCGTGCGGCTGATCGACTTCTGCAAGCACATCGTCCGCAGAGCTGCGAACCCGCTGAATCTCGAGCGCCCCCCGGACGAGCTCGAGCTCGCAGAGGTGCGTGCTTCCAGAGAGCGGCCCGTGGTCCGTCTCAGAAGACGATTGCGCTCTGTTCATGCAGCGGAGCTCGAGCCTTCTTCAAACAAGTAGTCACCCGCTCACGGCACTGGATCCACTCGCGGGTGCAGCTGAAGGCCGACTCCAAATTCCGCATCGAGACGCTGCGGGAGTTGGACTACCATCTGAACTTCGTTGTCGACGACGAGGACGGCACCGCCCCCAACCTGATCAGGAAGGCGTGCAAGCAGCTAATCTTGGCGTGCACGGGGCGGTAAGCGCCGCGCAGCTCCTACGCCCGCTCCCCACTGCAGCAAAAGAGGAATGTGCTGCGCTGCACTGCCGCTCCCTCGAAACCTGTCTCAACGAACACCCGACCGCAGGTTCAACGCCCCGGCTTCCGCCAAGAAGAAGCCCCGGCAGTGGGAGCTGGCCGTCTGTACCTCGCATCTCAACCCGACTCCGGTTGAGATGGCGGCGAAAAAGCGTGACCGCACGCACGTCATTCACGGCGCCGTTGCCGCCGTTGCGGCCCTGCGCCGCTGGACCCGCAACGGCCGGATCGACGTCCCGGCGGAGATCGCGCTGTTCGAGTTCCAGGGCCTCCCGAACATCCGCAAGGCCTGCGAGGACCTCATGAAGGACCCCAGCGACGACGAGCTGCAGCGCGTGCCGCTGATCAAGGACGCCGACAAGAAGCTCGCCCGCGCTGCTGCAGCGGCGCTGGTGCTGGGCACCATCGCGACGGGGTATACAGAGGACAATCACAGACTGTCGCGGGTGCTGACGCAAAAGAGGGAGGAGCTGGAGGAGTGCTACGACAAGCCCGGGCATAACGGGGGGGCCTCGATGCGCGCGGTGCTGGCCAAGGCAGGCCTGACGCCGCCGGGCTCGAGCGAGGGGTACAGCCTGGAGGAGGTGCACGCGATGATCGAGGCGGCCCCGTTGTTTGACGACAAGGACCCGGACCTGGAGATGAAGTGCGGCTTCATGCTCCTGGCCTTGTGCAAGGGCTTCGCGAGGCGCACGCTGCGCAACCCCAGGGAGGTGCCCGGCTGGGAGGACCAGGTACGGGCGCCGATGCTGTCTGTATTCGTTCCCTGTCCAGCGCGACTGGGAGGAGCCCTCGCCGGTGCCGTGCTCGGGCGCACCGAACTGTACGGTGTTCGAGTGCATCAGCGTGCCCGCCGGCCCCGCTCCCCACAGGAGGAGGACGAGGTGGGCAGAATGGTCGACAATTTGGGCCTCCTGCACCTCGCGGCGGAGCAGATCACGGGCACCACGATCCAGACCTTCCACGAGGTCTTTGCGACCATGTGCCGCGCCATGATCGCCAAGCACGCGGCGCGGAAGTCCAACCCGACGCCCTCCGCTGGCGCCCCAGAGCCCGCATGCATGTCTGAGGACAAGGTGGGCATCTGATGCGGGGCGGCGCAGCCGGGTGGAGCTCGGCGGCGGGGCCCGACCGACTATGCAAGATGTAACAACTTCATGCTTGGAGGACCTTAGACGACTCGCAGGGCCCATATGAGCCCTGCAGTCGCGCTGGCTGACGCGGAGAGATCATGCATGCAAGGCGAGCGCAACCGGCGCGGGTCGCGTGATGATTCGATGCACCGTGGACCATCCGCCATCATGGGTGCCCTGAATCTGCCCACCCGATCCCCTGGTTGACCTGCGCCTGCAGCCCCGACACCCTCGCCTCCGAGGCTCCCGCTTCCGTGGCCGTGTGCAGCGTCGACTCCTCCTGCGCCTCCCCACCCCCCTCCCCCCCGCCTTCCTCCGAGGAGTCTTCTCCAAACGACTGTCGCCTCTGCAAGCACCCGACCAGCGCGACGCGCGCATCACCTACGACCGTCCAGGGCGCATGTCCAGGGCGCGTGCGTGCGCGACGGGCAGCTGGCGGCCCAGCAACTCACCACGCGTCGGAAGTCGGTGCTCTGCCGCACAGCCTGCAGCTGACGGAAAATCATCTCCGCCTGCGCGCGGGAGATCAGGGCCTGATCCGACCGACCCAGCGCGCCCTCCTGTGCCTTTCCGGCCGCCTCCTCGAACGTCGGCTCCGGCAAGCTCCTCTGCGGGCACGTGGCGCACAGAGACAACGAGGTCTGGATGCGCTGCAAACGTGCGTCCCCGCACCCGGCCTGCATGAAAGCGTGCACGCACGGATGGCAGCGGTTCCGAGCGGCCGCCGCGTTGCAAGGCGTGTCTGGCTGCTGCACCTTGAGGATCTTGTTCCGCAGGTGCTCGTACAGGCTGCGGAAGGACAGCTTCCCGATGCTCTCCCCGAGGTAGGCGTTGCGCCACAGCTTGACAAACAGCTTCTGCTGGTCCACGTTCTGGTACCGCGGGTCGCTGGCGCGCAGGAGGGCGACCTTGTACAGCATGTACGCGCGCTCCGCCGCGGTGACCTCGTGCAGCACCGGCCAGTTCCTGATCGGCTTCTTGTGCACCTTGTACACCCAACGGTTTGCGTACTTCTTCACCGTGATGTCGGACGACTTGATGGCCTTGAGCGCCGCCTGCTCGATGTCCGTCAGCTCGTCCTTCTTCTTGTACGCCTCCTTCATCGCATCCACCGTGTCGATCACCGCCCAGACTGCGCACGCCCCACGAAACGCAAGCGACACTCACGCAACGCTGCAAGCACGCACACTGGGCACTGCGCAACGCCGTCTAGGACGCGGGGCTGATTCCCCCTCCTACCGTCGCGGTGCACACTTACTTGCGTCACGGGCCTGCGCGACCATCGACGCCATGACCACCAGCCCCATGAAGACCATCATCGCCAGCCCGAGGTTCTCTGTTGCTTCTGCCCTCTCCTCTGCGTCGTCGACCGTCTTGCCCACGAGGATGATGGACAGGAGCAGCGTCACCGCCGTCGCCTCGAACACCGCGGAGATCGCGTCCACCAGCTGGTCCTGGATGGCCGCGTACGGCTGGAACACCAGCAGCAGGATTACGTTGAAGATGAACAGGCTGCACAGCCCGATGACGGCGCCCTGCCCCTCGTCGCCCGAGGTCACCGCCGACACCAGCGCGATGAAAAATATAATAATCAGCCTGATCGGTCCGTTGAACGACGTGATGTGCACCAGGAAGCGCACCATCCACCGCGGCAGCACCGACCAGTGCCGCGGGAGGTACTCCTCGAGGTAACCGCGCTGGTACCGCTTGACGATCGGGTCCAGCTCCCACGTGCAGTGCCGCCGGACCACCATCGGGCCGAAGTAGTCCTCAAACGGCATCCCGAACCTGAGCAGCAGAGAAACACAAAACAAAGACATGGAACTAACAAACAAGGAACGCACGACAAAAAGAGCGGCGCCAGCGCCGGCGTGCACTCCGCGGCCCTCGCAGCGCCCGCACCTGCGGAAGACCATCCACGTGAATTGCGAGTTGGCCTTCCACTCGCCCTCGATCACGCGCCGGCCGATGCCGAAGCCCTGCCACGGCCCGAGCTTCCGCTTCGCCGCGGCGTCGGCCTCCTGCTCGTCGACCTCGTAGTACACGCCGCGGTTGGGGGACTCCAGGGAGGTCTGGGTGCAAAACACCATCCAGATCATAAACAGCGTCATCGGCAGCGGCACGAAGAGGATGAAGAGCACCGCCACCGCCACGCCGCCCGGGTCCCCCGAGCTGATCAGCGACCCGATCGTCTCCCCGAGCGCGGGCACCCAGAAGTAGATCAGGTAGATCTGCAGGCGTGGAAACAGCAGCGGGGCGGGCCGCGGGAAGCGCTTCTTGCGGTACTTCTTCACCGACCACGCGAGCACCAGGAAGAAGACCTGCAGAAACGTGATCGCCCCCACCGCGATCGCCAGCCAGATCAGTTTCTGCCCCACCGTCAGCCACATCCACTCGATGCTCGAGTCCGACGCCGACGTCGAGTCCAACAGACCTGCGCCGGCCGTGATGTTCGTCCCCGTCAGCGTCCCGGCAACGTTCCCCTGTGCCTGCGCCAGCCCGCGCCCGATGCCGTTCCAGCGCAGGGCCGTCGCCGCTGCGTTGGCGTCATGGCCCAGCGCGGACGCAACCGCCGTCGCAGCAGCGCAGGCGGCGCCGTGCGCGCTCGACGCGTCGCGCATGCCGCCGGCGCAGCGCGCAGGCAGCTTCGCGAGCGCCCCCGTGGTCGAGCGCACGATTTGCCCCAGGCCGTCACGCGCGTGCCCAATCCACCCCTGCCGCGCGCCACCCCCCCGGCCCTTGGCCGCAACCTCGCACAGCCGTCCCGTCGGGTCCAGCCGCGCCATCGCGTCTGCGGGGTAGAACTCGCACACCGCCGCCACCTCGGCGGCGTGCGGCCCGTGCGGCTCGCGGCGCAGCTTCCGCGCCAGGTGCGAGGACGCGCGCAGCCGCAGCGCGTGCGACCGCGCCGTGCTGCCGTACGCCACGGCCGTGCCCAGCTGCACCGACAGCGCCCGCCGCGCCGACGCCCCGCCCGTCGTCTCCACCGTCGCCGTGGGGTCGTCCAGCTCCGGGTTCTCCGCCTCCTTGCGCTTGTCCTCCGCGCCGAGGATGTCGATCGGCTGGAAGTCTATGAACTCCACCGCTGCCGTGAACCCCTCCACCATCGGCGGGATGGACTCTGACTCCGGGTTCTGGAACTTGTTCATCATGCCCATTGCGCTGAACATAATGACCGCCCCGGCGCTCCCCACGCCCGCCCCGCTGCTCCCCGCGCCTCCGCCGCCACCCACCGCGCCGCCCGCGCCGCCCGCAGCGCCCCCCGCGGCCGCCGAGGCGCCCTGCGCAGCGGCCATGCCGGCCACCTGCGTGGCCACCGTCCCACTGACCGCCGACGCCGCCGACGTGGCCGCGACGCCGCCCACCGTCGCCGTCACGCCCACGGCCACCGTCGTCGTCGCGATCGCCGTGAACGCCTGCTCAGACTCCTCCTTCGACACCGTCTTCTGCCTCCACGTGGTCTCCGCAACGGCACCTTGCGGGTTCGTGTTCCCGAACACGTCCGAGAAGGACTCCGCCGGAACCGCGACCCGCACCACGCCCGTCGTCACGGCGGTCACGCGCACCACCAGCAGCTGCGACGACAGGCTCCAGATCACCTGCGCCCTGTTGGCGTTGGTCAGGACCAGCTTCGACTCCCAGCCGCCCTCCGGCGAGACGGCGAACCCGCCCGGGAACGTGAAGCGCACCTCCACAAAGTCGTCCACGCCGGCGTAGAAAAACGGCTTCAGCCGCGTCACCGCCACCGTCGGCCGCGTGCGCTTGGCGACCACCTCCACGCCCGCGATGGCGTCGGAGCGCAGCGGCGTGCCCTCCGCGGACGTGGCGCTGATCAGACCCGCTGGTGCCGACAGCCTCGCCGTCTCCGGCCCGCTCGCGCCCAGCGCCGGGTCCACGGCGACGCGCACAACGAACGCGCCGACGCTGTCCACCGTGACGGCCGTCACGGAGCACCCGGACGTGACGAGGCCGGCCTGCACCGCCGTCGCCGCGGTCGTCACGGTGCCCCCCGTGCCGACGGCGCTGAAGATCTTCACCTCGAACGCCTCGGACCCCAGCACCCACTTGGCCTGGTTGACCAACAACGGCAGCTGCCTCACGGCCCCCGTGCCGGCGTCGTACACCGTCTGCGTGCCCGACGACGGCACCAGCGCCGCCTTGAACGTCCCCGCCGCTAGGTCCGGCACAGCCTCCCTCTGCGTCACCTCGGGGGCTTGCGGCAGCACCACTGCCGCCGCAGAGCTCGCCACGCCCGAGGACCGCACGAAGATGCTCGCCCCCGGCACGCCGCGGGCCGCAAGCGCTTGTGCCAGCTGCCCGCTGTTGATGGCCGTCAGCAGGGACGCCAGGAAGGCCTGTGAGCCCTGCCGCACAGCGCCGCCCGTCACCCCGATCACGGCGGAGCTGCCCGTCTCGATCGAGACCTGCTGCAGCTGCCGGCCGTGACCGCCGGCGAGGTCGGTCGCCGCCTCGGACAGCTCCAGTGCCTCGGCCCGGCGGCGCCCGACCGGGGTGAACACCCCCACAAACGCCAGCAGCTGGACAGACGTGTCAGACGACGAGAAGCTGGGCAGACTTTGCAGAGCCTGCAGCAGCAGCAGGCCGCTCTCGCCGCCCGGGCCGTTGAACGCGCTCCGCGGCAGGTTGAACTCCATGGTCAGCGACACCACGGTGCTTGCAGGCTCGAGGCTGCTCTGCGTCGCGGCCGGGGGGGCCTGCGTCGCCGTGGGGCCCTGCGTCGCCGTGGGGCCCTGCGTCGCCGTGGGGCCCTGCGTGGCGGTAGGCCCCTGCGTCGCCAGAGTGGTCTGCGGGCTGGCAGTGGTCGTCGCCGCAGCAGTGGTCGTCGCCGCTGCAGTGGTCGTCGCCGCGGCAGTGGTCGTTGCCGCTGCAGCGGTCGTTGCGGCGCCTGTCGTCGGTGCCGCGCCTGCCGTCGTTGCTGCGACCGTGGTCGTGACCGCGCTCGTCGCCGCCAGGGTGGTGTTCGGCGCCGCTGTTGTCGGCGCTGGGGCTGCCGTGGTCGTCGCAGGCACGGTGGGGGTCGCCGCCGCCGTCGTGATCGCGGCCGCGGTGGTCGTCGCAGGCACGGTGGAGGTCGCCGCCGCCGTCGTTGCCGCCGCGCTGGTGGTCGTGGCCGCAGTCGACGGCGCTACCGTCGTGTTCGGCGGGGCCGTCGTCGCAGGGAGAGTGGTCGGCGCCGCCGTCGTCGGCGCTACCGTCGTGTTCGGCGGGGCCGTGGTGCCCGCGCGGAGGAGACGCCGGGGCCGCCACGCTCCTGCATGCATCCCGGTTTCGTCGCATAGGGAATCAGTTTCGCGTGCGGCACGTGGCGCTCGAATGGGCTTCTGATAGTCATGCGCCGCGGGGGTTCATAGCTCTGTAGCTGCGCAGTGCTGCTCGCGAGGCGGCCGTGCCCTCTCGCAGTGGCCGACATCAGATGCATACCCCCGCCTGCACTGAACCAGACGATCACCGGGCCACGCAGCGTGCGTGCTAACGTACCGTCAGTCTGCGATACGTCATGGCCCGGCAGGTGCTCCATCCCGTGCAGAGCGCCGCGCTCCTGCTGCGGGCCAACTGAAGAAGGGATGCAGCCCCGGGGGCGGCCGGGCGCGCCGTCACGACGCCCGCAGTCGTCTTCCTTGCATGTTGGATCAAGAACGAACCCAGAGGGACAGTCGACGGCGACGATGGCGGGCACCAGAGCTAGCAACACCACCAAGCGCCAAATTCCAAGCGCTGGACGGCGCGGGCGGCATCCCAGCGGCATCTTGGCGGAAACGATCGTGTATCTTCGCGCAAGTGTGCTGGCGCTTCGTGCAGCCCGCTGGCGCGGCCAAAGCGCGCTGGCGCCCAAAAGGCAGCAAGTGCCTGGAGCGTCGGCACGTGCGGCAGCCAGGCCGCTGAGCGCGTGTGTGCGGTGCACCGACGTGTCTCACGTGGCAGGAGCGAGCTGACAATGTCGCCGGCGCGGGCGCTGCGGCGCTGCAGCCGGCTCAGGACCGACCGACATCAGCAGAGCCTCCTGCTGTGTCCGGCAGCCAGGCCTGCCAGCGGTGCGAGCCAGGTCCCGGCCGGGGCACAGGCGCACTTCGGCAAGAGCCCTCAGAGAGCGTTTCCTGCCGGGAACCTTGTCCCGCAACGCACCACGGAGCACCTGCACGTGCTGCTGTGATCGGCTGGAGCGCGCAGTCTGTGCCCGAGGCCCGACGCGCTGACGCGGGGCCTCGCACGGCCGCCCCCCTCCGCGGTGCCGTGTCGCTCGTGAGCTGGGGAGCGTCTCCGCGCCGAGGTCCGGCGTCGCGGCGTTTCGGCCGCGGGCAGTGAGCGTGCGCGCGCCGCAACATGGACGGGGAGGCGGCGCGCAAGAGACGCCGGCTTGCCGACGCTGCGGAGGCGCGGCTGCGCCACGCAGGCGAGGAGGGAGCGACGGCGCCGAGCGGAAGGCCCGCATCGCCCGCCCAGGCCCCGAAGGCTTCGCAGCGAGATGGAGACGGGCGCGCGGCGACACCTGACGCTGCCTTCCGGCTGCTGCGCGTCAGGTGAGTGGCAACAGGACTGAGCTCATGCTGCGATCGTGTGCGCGGACGCCCGGATCGCTGAGCGCGCGGCGTCGGTGCGGTGCAGTGCAGAGGGGCGCCAGGAGCCGCGCACGCGACGGGGGGGCCGCCGACGTGCTGTTTGCGGCATTTGGTGCGCGGCGACCTGTCGTACGCGTTCGTCTCGAACTACATGATCGACCTGCCGTGGCTGCTCAGCGCGTGCCCAGCGCTGACTCGGGCGGGCCACTTGGTGGTGTGCCACGGCCACCGCGAGGACACGAGCGACGCGATGGTGCAGGTGCTGCGGGTACGCGTCCCCCCGCACGGCGTGACGCGGCCCGACGTCGCGTCCTGGCCCTCACTCCTCGACTTGAGATGGATGTTTCCAAATGAACGTGTGTCTCGCTGCCAGACCCAGCACAGCCGCGACGCCGGCCCGTGCCTGAGCGCAGCGTCTGCGGATGGAGCACAGGACCACTCTCTGGCAGCCACCCCTGCCGATCCGGTTCGGGACCCACCATTCGAAGTTCTTCCTTCTGAGGTTCAAGACAGGCCTCCGAGTTGTCGTCCTCACGGCCAACATGATCCACGCGGACTGCAACTCGAAGGCACAAGGCGTGTGGTACCAAGACTTCCCGCCCAAGGACCCATCAGCCCGCACAGGCGGCCAGTCGGGCGCTTCTGAGTTCGAAACAGACCTCCTAGCATATCTGTCGCGGCTCGGGCTTCCTAGAGGGGACTGGGAGGACCTTCAGGCGGTGGTACGGGCGCACGACATGTCCTCGGCGCGCGCCAAGCTCGTCACGTCGGTCCCGGGGTACCACACGGGAGCAGAGAGGCAGCGCTGGGGGCATCTGGCGCTGCGGCGAGCCCTCGAGGTGCGGCGCCCGGACCGCGGTCGGAGTGACTCGAGGTACCGAGAGCGCACGTCGTCGCGGAACGGGTGGCTCGTTGTCGCGCGGCTGGCGATGGGATGACGTGGCACGGCCGTTTGTGGCTTGCGTTGTGCAGGAGCTCAAGGGGCTGCCCGAGGAGGCAGTGGGTACGCCCCTGTGCATGCAAGCGAGCAGCATGGGCTCGCTGTCGGACGTTTGGCTCGAGCGGGAGTTTGGACTGACGCTGCGGTCGGGCAAAACTGCCACCAGGTAACACACCCCCACCCCGCGCCCGACGCGACAGGCCAGACCGCACCCGTCCGCCCCGGCCGCGCATCACGAAGCGACGGCGCTCGTCGCTCGCCACTTGGCTCCGCAGGCCGCTCGGCAAGCCGTCGCACGGCATGGGTCCCGTGGGGATGCGGATCATTTGGCCGACGGTGGCCGAGGTGCAGAACTCGCTCGAGGGCTGGGTGGCGGGGGCCTCGATTCCGGGGTCCTCGCGCAACGTGAACCGCGGCCACCTGGTCCCGCGGTTCTGCCGCTACGCCGGCGCCCCCGTCGGGCTCCAACGCGCGATGCCGCACATCAAGACGTACGCGCGGCACTCCGAGGACGGTCGCAGGATATTCTGGCTGTTCCTGGGCTCGCACAACATCTCCATGGCGGCCTGGGGCAAGCTCGAGAAGAACAGCACGCAGCTGATGGTGCGTTCCTACGAGATGGGCGTCCTCCTGGCGCCCTGCTTCGAGGAGGCGTACCTGAAGCACCCGCACGCGGGCTTCCGGTGCCATCCAGTGCCCTGGGAGCGCGGCGCCGCGCGGCGCGGGGTCGGCGGCGAGGTGGTAATGCGACCGTGGGATGTGCGCGCGGCGGAGGCAGAGAATGCGGCACCCGGGACGGCGTGGCTGCCGGTCCCGTACCCGCTACCGCCGCGGCCGTACGGCGAGGCGGACGAGCCGTGGGTCGTCGACGAGCCGCGGGAGTACCCTGACGTGTGTGCGCAGATGTGGCCGTGCGAGTTCAGCCACTACGGGTTCGTCGACAGCGACTCGGACACGGGCACGGACGACGACGACGGGCCGGAGATCGTGCGGGCCGCGCCGGGCAGTGCGCAGCGGCGCCCCCCGGCGGCTGCCGGCGAGGCGGAGGTTGTGGTCAGCAGCGACAGCGACAGCGACGTGGTCGTTGTCGGGTCGCAGCCGTGAGTTGCGGACTGCTAGACACCGTGCGAGTGACTGGAACGCGCCGCAGAGATCGAGGGAGCGGGTGAGCGGCGCGGTCGGACCCAGACGGTCAGCGCGCAGCCAGCGGCGCAGCGCAGCACGCACTGGAAACTGCGACGAGGCCTCGCCACTGCACCGCAACGCCCTGCCGCATTCACAGCGCCTCATCGTCGCCGGAACCCGTCGTCGCCCCTTTGCCGGAAGTGCCCCCGACTGCGCACCCGCTCCTCCACAGTCCCCCCCCCCCCGGCGTACACCTCCGCCTCCATCCGCGCCAGCGCCCCCGCCCTGTCGCCCTCCTCGCCCCGCCGCCGCAGCTCCTCCTCCTCCGCCTCCTCCTGCCCGCGCACCCGCTCCAACCGCGCCGCGCGCTGCCGCGACTGGTCGTCCGCGTTCCCCGCCATCTCCGCGAGCCTCCGCGCCCGCTCCTCGTCGTCGATACGCCCCACCGCATGCCGCTGCCGCGGCCGGTACGCCGCGGCCTTGGCTTCCCGCGCTGCAACAGGGAGGGGGGGGAGGTGTTTGAGCACAGGTCGGGCACGTCCACGCGGCGCGGATGCGGGGGCGGACGTGGCGCGTGGCTCACCCTCCCGCTCCTTCTCCTCCGCGGCCCGGCGCAGGCGTTCCCGCGTCGCCTCCGCCCCCTCGCCCGTCCTCACCCCAGTGGGCGCCGCCTGACTCATGTTCAGCCCGTACTTCAGGTGCGCGGCCTGGTGCGCCGCCGCCGCGTCCTGGTGGCCCTGCGGCCGCACGGGGCTCCGCGACCGCGGCGAGCGCGACCGCCGGCGCTCTTCCCGGTGCCCGTGGCGCGGCTCCCGCGCGCGCTCGCCGTCCCGGGGCTCGTGGCGGTCGCGCCGCCGGTCGTGCTCGCGGTCCCTCCCCCGCTCGCCGCTGCGCTCCCTGCGCCGCTCCCCGTGCCGGTCGTGCCGGCTGTCGCGCTCGCGGGACCGCTCCCGGTCGCGGCGGTGGCTGCGCGAGCGGTCCTCGTCGCGGTCCCGCCGCTCCTTCTTCTCCTTCTTCTCCTTCTTCTCCTTCTTCTCCTTCTTCGCCTTCTTCTCCTTCCGCGCGTCCCCGGGCCCCCTCAGTTGCGCGACCTCCTGCTTCAGCCGGTCCATGACCACCGGGTTGCTGCGCAGTGCCGCGCGCGCTGCCTGCTCCTGCTGCTTGATCATGAACATCGGGTCGTTGGTCATGCGCTGCCACATCTCGTTCTGGGCCTGCGGGTCCGCCGCGGCGTAGAAGGCCGGCAGCGCGCCCCCCGGCCTCGCGGGCTTGGCGCCGGGCTCCGGGGTGGGCGTGGGGGCCGCCACGCCGGGGATGCCGGCCTGCGCGGACTGCTGCGCGGTCGCGTCCTGCTGCTCCGTGGCCGTGCGGGCCTGCATGGCGGGCCCCGCCTGGTACAGCCAGTCCACGCGGTCGGACTTGGGGACGTGCCCCCCGTCGACCGCCTGCTTCTCGAGCTCCTCCCGCTGCCGCTCCTCATGGATTTGCTTCTTCAGCTCCTCGAGCTTCTTCTTCTCCTTCTCCGCCTCCTGTTCCTTGGCCCATACCTTCTCCTGCGCGGCTCAGGGACGGAGAATCGTGCCACGTAGATCAGCGCCGGCGCTCTGGTGCGGAGCTGCGTCTCGAGCGCGACCGGGGCCGTCGCGGCTCGCACCTGGAACTGGATCGAGCCTGTGTGCCAGGACTTCTTGTTCAGGTACGCGAGCCCTCCTCCCATCGTCGACCCAGCCCGCGGGCGCGCAAACGGCGATGTTTCAGCCTGCTAGCGTCCCCTCGGGCTCGAACGGTCTTATGTCGGCCTGCTTTGCGAGCCGCGCTCTGCAGCAGCGATTGTCCGTCGTGGCGAGGCGCGCCGCGGCCCAAGGAGCCAGCACACGCACCACGGGCGCAAGCTTTCTACCATGACCTTCCGCCCGACACCGACGCGCGGCACCGGCCGTTCGCCCCTCCCCAGCTCGCGGGCACATGGCATGCAGCGCCGCGACCACGCCGACCCACGACCGCCTCCCCAGCACACACGGCTCCCCTTCTTCACACGCAGTCCAACCCATGAAGCGGGTTCCTGCCTCCAGCACCGCCGTCACTCCGCCGCCCCGCCCGCCCCCTCCTTCTCCGCGGCCACCGCCGCCGCGACGTCCTCGAAGATCGTCGCCCACACCCCCCCCGGCGGCGCCTTCCAGTTCTCCGGCACGGTCTCCTGCACCGACGGGCGCTCCGCCAGCCGCCGCATGTACCCCGACAGCGCCGGCAGCCCCGAGAAGTCCCCGCCGCACCGCTCGACGAAGAACAGCGGCGGCGCCAGCACGCAGTCCGCCAGCGTGAACGCACTGCCCCCCGCAAACCCCCCCTCCCCCGCCGCAGCGAGATGGCCCTCCCAGACGAGCAGGTCCTGCGCGAGGGACCGCAGCATCGTGCGGTACGCCTTCTCCCCGGCCTCCGTCGCGCGGTCGAACTTCTCGAAGCCCACCATGGCGAAGCCCACCACGTTGTTGATGAACACCTGCCCTCGGACCTGGAACGCGTTGGCCTCGTGCAGGCGCTGCAGCGCGAGGCCGAGCGCCGCCTTCTCGGTCGGCATCAGCGGCGGCGTGTCCGGCCGCGTGTGCTCCAGGTACTGCGCGCGCAGTGGGCGGCGTGCGCACGTGGGACGTGGCGCGCGGCAGCGGGCGGCGTGGCGCGGGCCGGCTCGGGCTGCGTGCGCGGGGGGTGTGGGGCACCTGGAGGATCGCGAGGGACTCGTTCACGGCGATGCCGTTTTCGTCGACGAAGCTGGGGGACTGCATGCGCGGGTTGATCTTCGCCACGGGGCCGTTGGGGTCCTTGAGCTCCGCGAACGACATCGGCTTGTCGTGGAAGGCGATGCCCTTCTCGCGCATCGCGATGAGCGCGCGGCGCGCGTAGGGGGACCCTGCGCGGACAGGTCGGGGCCGCTGGGAAGGTGGTGCTTAGTGGCCCCTTAGCTAAGCCTCCCACGGCCCTCGAGAGCAGCGCGCTGCGTCGCTGCGTCGCCCCACAACTCGTGCATCGATGCTTTCATGATTGTGAGCTGAATGCATGGTTGTGCTGCCCCGCGCACGCCGCACGGGGGAGATCGTACATCTGCTCGTGATGCGGTGCAGTGCAGTGCAGTTTCTCAGTACAAGAGGGTGGAAAAGCGGCCGGACCCCGCGCAGACGTACCCTGAATGTAGTAGATCGTCGGTCTGGCGACGCTCATGGTGACGCGTGGGACCTTTGGGACGGCAGGGCTTGTCTGCAACCAACCGGCGCGGACTTGGCAGGTGCTGCTGGGTGAAGGCGCGGCTCAGCGACGCACCGTGACGCAGGAGGGAACGTTGTGCGAGCGGAGCGCAGCTGGAGCAGCGCAAGACCGCCAGGCGCCCGGCGCCACCGGACCCACGTCACTGGTTATACCGGCCTGACCGCAGTGCGTCAGCTGCGACGTGGCGCGCGTCAGCCGCTCGCCGGCGGCGCGCCCGCGCCCGCGCCCCGCCCAGGCGCAAGAGATCTTCGTTCACATGATATGCTGCCGAGCGCCGCCCGCTAGAAGAACACGGTGAGGAACGCCAGCGCGCACACCGCGCCCGTGGCCCCGAGCGCCGCGTGCATCTCCTTCTGCGTCTTCTGCCACCGCGGGATGAAGAACCCGGCCAGGGCCGCGCACGCCAGGAAGGCCACCGCGCCCCCGACCTTGCTGGGCAGGACCACGGCCGAGTACAACAGCGCAATGCCCAGTGTCGACCCGGCGTACAGCGACATCTTCGAACCCTTCTTCATCCAGCCGACAGCGCCGCCCGTGACCATCGCCGCGCCCAGGACGTACGCGAGCTGCGGGACGGGGCCGCGGCGCACCCACGGTGGGCTCTGTGCGTCGTACGCGAGCTGCAACGGCGGCGACGCGCGGCCGGGCGGGGAGCGCGGGGCCGGGAACGCACCAGTGAGAGCAGCTTGCCCTTGTTGAACCCGCCCTCGCCCGCGCCGCCCTTGTCACCGCCTCCGCCCCCGCCCCCCCCGCCCCCGCCGCGCCCGCTGGTACCCCCTCCCCCGCCGTCCGCGAGCGTTGGCCCGTACGCTGGTATTCCGGGCTTTTTGATTCCATAGGGCGGGAGTCTAACTGAGGCCTGAGCGTACGTCCTGCAGTTTTCACGCGGGGTGCGCGCAGCGCTGTGCTAGGAGTCGCAGCCCCAGGGGCGCCCCCCGCGACTCCCGCGGAGGACGGGGCGCGCGTGGTTGCCCGTGCAGTGGCGTCGCGGCGCGTGCGCTGTCCACAGCGCGGGGGGGCGGCACACTCCAGGCACGGGCGCGGCACGTCGGGCGCTGAATTCGCCATTGCTCTCTGTCGTGCGAAACTGCGCATTCCTAGCCTCGTTGCGCGGCGAACGCCCCGGCGGATCGGCTGCGCTGGTGGGCCGATGAGAAAGCATCCTGGGCACGCTGGCCGCGTCGGCCGCCGTGGCCCCGAGCCCCCCGGCGATTCAACCAGTGCGCAGGGCGGCCAAGGGAGGAATGCCGCCGGGCTCGCGCGCGCGTGCTCCAGGTGCGGGATGTGACTCGACTTCGAGCGCCCCTGCGGACTGACGGCGGCATCGCGCGGCCAGCCAGGCTGCGTGCCCCGCGGCACCGCGCGCGCGGGCCCCGGTCGTGCTGCGCGGAGGCAGGAGGGGCAGCGCACCAGAACCCCTTCTTCTTCGGCGCGGGGGCGCGCTTCTCCTTCTTGGGCTTGCCGACGAGAGGCCCGTACAGGGTCAGCCAGACCTCGTTCGCCCGCACCGAGAGCAGGTCCCCCGACGGATGGAACATTGCCGCAGCTCGCTCGCTCGCAGAGCACCGTCGCGCGCGGTCGTGCGCTCAAGCGTACGCGCCCCCGGATGAAACAGCGACGCGGGAGCTGGAAGTGGCGCAGCGACCGCGGCGTCCCGTCCCACGATACCGGCCCGGGCAAGGGCCCCACCGACCCCCTCCCGAGGGCCCCGCTGGGCCAGGGCGGCGGGATCCGCGGAGTTGGCCGCGGCGCGGCGGCACGGGGCGCAGTTGCATGTGGGCGCGCGACCGTCCGCCGAGCAGGGGATCTGAGACGTCGTTGCGGGCGACTGCTAGGCGCACCGCGCAACACGTGCTGCCCGCCGTCGCCGGGTGCGTGTAGCCGAGGCGCGGGGGTTCGCGGGCGCCCAGGTGGGTCGGATCCAGGGCGGCGACCATGCCGCGCAAGAAGGGGCAGGGCGCGGCGGGGAAGGCGAAGGCTGAGCCTGCGCCAGCTCCTGCGCCCGCAGCGCAGCCCGTCTTGTTGGTGGAGGATAAGTGGGCTCAGGTGCGGATGGCTCTCGCTGTGTGCTCGGGCGTGCGGGCGCCTGGCTCGTCGCCCAGCGAGCGGACGCGCCTCGTGCCAACCAACATTCCACTGTGGTGTTCGTGCCTGGCGCCTTTGCAGTGCGAGAAGTGCGACAAATGGCGCCGCCTGCCGATGGATCACGTCATAGACGAGAACGAGCCATGGTTCTGCCACATGAACCCGGACAAGACCTGGAACAAGTGCAGGCGGGTCCTCACGCCCTCCGGCCCCACGGCGAACGGGCGCATCGCGCGAGGCCTGCGTATCGCTGTTCTCTGAGTCTCGACGCGACGCGGCAAATGCGAACTTCCTTGAGCGGGCTCCGCGCGGCGGCAGAGCAGAGCAGCACCTGGAGCTGTGCCACAGCGCTCCGCCGCTGTGCGTGATACAATGACTCTTTCTTTCCGACGCGGCGCAGTGTACCCGAAGAGAATTACGCCGCAGGCTTCGTCGCGCCCCCCGCGGACGGCGTGGCGCCCCCCGCCACGGAGGCAGCCGTGCCTGCCGGCCCTGTGCTCACCGACGCGCAAATCCTCAAGAAGCAGGAGCTCCTGACACTGGCGCAGACCGCGCCCGTCAAGGTACAGCGGTTCCAGCAGGCCTTCGCCAAGCTCGTCGAGACGCGCGGCGCGTGGCAGCAGCAACGGAAGCAGGCGACCGCCACGCCCGGGTGGGCCTGGGAGGCGCTCTTCGCGGTCGTGCCGGACCACGGCGCGTCCGCGCTGTCCTCCGTGAACCAGGCGACCGCCGCGCAGTACTTCCAGTCCACCGCGGCGGGCAGGAAAGCGGCGAAGATGAAGTTGGAGGCGTGTCGGGACGCCATGGTGGCCGCCGCGCAGGAGGGGCTGCCGCTGGTGCAGGACGCGGCGGTGGTGGCGGCGGACGTCCAGAGGCAGCAGCAGAAGGTCGCGCAGCAGCAGAAGGCGGGCGGGGCGCCGACGACGCCCGCCGCAGTGGGCCCCGGGCAGGCAGAGCCGATGGCCGTGGAGTGAGCGGCGTGCGGCGTGCAGCGCGGCGCCGCGCGGCGCGTGTAAGGCGCAAGTTGAGGATGCCAGTGCGCTTGGCGTGATGGCTGCGCGCGCTATTACACGGTGTCATTACAAAGCCGGGCCGGCACTGGCTTGCCGCGGCACGGCCGGGGCGTGCTGCGCGCCGTGCTGCGTCCGCGCATCGAGCGTCCGCAGCGCCTCGTTCAGCACCTCCCTCAGCAGCCCCTCCACCACGTCCTCCAGCTCGCCGCTCCTGCTCAGGGGATGCCCGCAGGCGACCGACCCGCCGTCCACCCCGCTGTACGCCACGGACTTGTTGTGCGTGATGCTCTCGTCGACGTCCCGGGCGTCGTCCGCGACGGCGCGCGCGACGATGGCGCGCACCAGGCCAGCCACGCAGTCCTGTTCATCAGGGTCGTCCGCGCCGTGCGCCGAGCCGTCCTCCGCAGGCACGAGCGACCGCAGAGCCTGGTCCACCGCGCGCGACACCAGCTGCCTGACCGCGTCCTCGACGTCGGGGTCGGACTCGGCGAGGTGGGCGTGTGCTGGGACTCCCCCGGCGCCGTGGAACGAGCGCGCCTGGCTGGAGCAGCTCGCCGCGAGCGACGCCGGCTGCGCGTCATCCAGGATCTGCGCCGCCGTCGAGATCATCGCTGCCACCGCCTCGCTGGCCGCGTGGTCGCGTCGCACGGCCTCGGGCGGCGCAGCAACGTCCGTGTGCTCCGAGGCGCTGCTGACGACGCGAGCCATGATGCCCGACACCGCGGCGGCGACCTCCGGGCACGGCGCGTGCTCGTTCTCCGACGCGCTGCTGACGACGCGGGCCATGATGTCCGACACTGCCGCAGCCACCTCTGGGCAGGGCACGCTGTCGTGCTCCGAGGCGCTGCTGACGACGCGGGCCATGATGTCCGACACGACGGATGCCACGCAGGCCCCACCGTCGTCCTCGTCGGCCGGCACGCTCTTCGGCTGCTTTCCAGCGGCGCTGTCCCACCCCTGGATGTAGTTCGCGCGCGCACAGAGCCCCTCCTGGGACCGCGGTCCCGCCCACACCCCGGCCCGCCCGCCGCCATCTGCCCGCTCCCGGGCGCACCCGCGCTCCAGCACCTGCGCCAGCGCCGCGCGCTCGTGGCGCTCCAGAATCGCCCGCGCCGCCTCGTGTCCGCAGCCATCCGACAGGTCGTGGGCGGCAACCGACGAGACCTGACTCGCCACGGGCCCCGACCCCCCCACGTGCGCACCGTGCGCCTCCGCGACCGGCAGCGCCAGCCAGTCGCTGACCAGGCGCAGAACCATGGGGTCGGTCAGGAGGCCGCGGTGCGTCCCGTCGACGGGCACGCGCGTCCCGTGCGAGAACCCGTCCCCCCGCGCGCTGGCATACGGCACCGTCCCGTCCCCGTCCGTGTACACGAACTGCGCCTGCGCCGTCGCGAGGTCGTCCCACGACGTGATCGGCGCGTCCTCGCTCCCGTACGACGCCGCGATCGGCGCTTGCGTGCCGATGCCGACCACGCTGAAGAACTGCACCGACGCGGGCAGCTCGGCCTGGTCCAGCATGTACCGCGTGGTCTCGGCCCACCGGAACAGCTCGGAGTTGTACGGCAGCGCGAACTCCTGGCCGTCCAGCATGACCTTGTTGCCGGCCATGCGCGCCTCGAGCAGCCGCGAGAAGTGGGGCGGCGGGCGCCGCGAGGCGCGCCACGTGCCGCCGCCGCCGCCGTCGCCGTCGTCGTCGGCGTGGTCCGTGTCGGGCTCGAGCCCGAACACCAGCTCGCACGGCTGCACGCCGCTCCCGTCCGCGCCCTCGCCCTCCGAGGGGAAGGCCGTCCACAGGCGCACCGTCGGCGCAATGCCCCCGAAGGCCACACCCGGCGCCGGCAGGAGCTCGTGCATCGCGGGGGACTGCGCGCACAGCTGCTGGAACGTCGGCCGCGTGACGAAGAAGTGCTCCTCCCAGCCGCGGACGAACTGCACGGAGACGCAGAGCAGCGACGTGCGTCATGTCGACTCGACGCGTCGGGCGCACGCAGAACGCTGACCTAACACCGCGGGCGCGCGTCCGGCATCGGCGGGGCCGCTCACCTCTACGCCGGACAGGATGGCGTCGCACGCCACCCCGGGCGCCCCTCGGAACGGCGTGGCGATGGTGATCCACTTGCCCACGAGCCGCTCAAACACCTGCGGGCGCTCCGCGAGCAGGCACTTGACGAGCAGGCCGCCCATCGAGTGCGAGACGACGCTCGCGCGGCGGCCCCCGCTGCGCCGCACGGCGCCCTCGAGGCGCGCCTGCAGCCGGTCGAGCTGCGCCTGCAGGCGGTTGCTCTGGCGAAAGTCGTACGGGCAGCCGTACAGGTCCTTGCCCGCGACGTAGCCCTTGCTCTTCAGGTGCGCAATCAGCTCCCTGCGAGCGCGAACGCACACCGCGGGTTCGGGCCACCTGCCATGTTGCGGCAACATGGGCGCGGCGCGGCGCGGGGCGCGTCGGAGCGGGCCCGCAGGCCGCGGCTCGGCGCAGGGGCGCAACGGGCGCACCTGTAGTAGTGCACGGCGCCCACCGGCCAGACCATGTCGGGGTCGAGGGTGTCAACGCCATAGAGCCCATCCGCGGCCGGGAACTCCGTGCCGTCCGCGCTGTCCATGGGCAGGACGTCGCGGGCGACGAGGGGGTCGAGAGCGCCCGTCTCGGCGTCGAAGCGGCCCCACAGCTTCTTGTACTCCTCATCCTGCGCGGCGAAAAGGCAGCAGGAGCGCAGTCACGTCAGAGGCCGCGGCGGGCCGGCGCGGGCACGGAGCCCGGGAACGGTCGGGCCGAACAGCGGAGCGGGATCTCTGCTTGGGCCCGCGGGGGACCGCGGGCCGGGCGAACGGCTGGCTTGCGGTGCGCGGCCGGTCGAGCAAGCCCATGGAGGGTGCAGCGCTCTCATGGCTCTCGGGTGGGGCCACGGCGTCAGAGCTGCCTCGCGTCGAGACGAGGAAGTCGCCTGTCGACTGAGGAGCCCGCAGCGATCAGCGAGCGGCGATGGTGCGGGCCAGCGGGCCGGGCGCCGCGACTGGTGGATGAATCTCTGCTCAGTGAGAACTTCCCACGACAGCGACCGCCCGGCGCCGTTCGCGGGGCGTTTCGTCGGACTGACCTACTCGATCGAGTCGGTTGTACGTGGTCGGCGGCTGCCACGGCACGGCACTGCGCCTCGACAGCGCTCGGCGCGCTGGGTGTGGCGCTGCCACAGCATCTCGCGCACATGCCGCGGTGCGGGGCTCGCGCGGGCCGGGGCTCACCGAGTGCTCGAGGACGACCCACACGCGCTCCGTCTCCCCGGTTTCCCGGTCCCGCACGCTCAGCACGCTGCCGCAGAGCCCCGGCACGAGAACTACGGGGTCCCGGCCCGGCTCGTCGTGCTTGTGGTGCCCCTTGCGGTGCCACGGCCACCACCCAGTCGGCAGCTTGAGCTTCATCGGACCGCCCGCGACGCCTGCGGGGCTCGGTGAGCGCGCCTGGGGCTGCCGGCAGCGCGGCGCGCTTTGTGTGGGGTGTGGTTGGTGCTTAGTCCTCGCTGCGTCGTGTCGACGGTGCGAGGCCGATCTTGAGGTGTTCAGACGGCGCTGAGTGGCGCGGCGGAGGGCGCCGGCCGCCCAACGGAGCGAGGTGCAGGCGGCCGTGCGCGTCGCGAGACCTCCATGACAGGTGCACTCATGTGCGGGTCAGACGCCGGCTTGGAGGCCCCGTGCACAACGCTGGGCGCCCGCCCGCAGCGGCACATGTTGCCAGGAGTCGCACGAAATCGAAAGAGACGCTCCAGGACGCCTCGTTGGTCGGCGGGAGGCTCGAGGGCTCGACGTCGCATCCTGCGGACGAGCGTGCCGGCCCGCGTGGACCGCTGACAGGTCGGTGGGACGTCGACGGGGCCCGCGACCTCGCCGGGCATGCCCAGGGTCCACCCAGATGGCGGCTCGGTGAGCACGGAGGGTGCAGGGCAGGCAGGTAGGTGACAGGGCGCCCCGCGCAGCGGTGTCGCCCGTTCGCTTCTGGCGGGCGGGGAGCGCGAGCCCTCACGTTGCGTCGCGGGTCGCCGTCGTTGCAGAGCCGTTGATCCACCAAGGCGCCGAGAACAGCAGCGGCAAGGTGGAGGACAGGTCTCCATCGGCCCCGCCCCAGGCGGTCGACGCGAAGGCCAGCGCGGCGCTGCTGCCGGTAGTGCGGACCGTGCCCGACAGACTGCACGAAGACTTGATTGCGGCCGCGCAGAGAGACGATGCTGACGAGGTGCGGGCACGCGCCCTGGCGGCACATGCTTCGCCGTTGCCGACGCAGAAAAGACAGCGAACACCACGGCGCTAGCGGCCCGCCTGCATGATCTCTGTCGCGAGGGAGCCATTTCGCGCCGATTCAGCCTTGACACGCGCGGAGGGGCCCTCGACGGGCCGCCAGCACGAATCACACGCAAACGTTGGGGCCGGTGCGGCACGGACGGCGCGCGACGGATCGGAGGGCGCCGTGACGTGAGATGGCGGTCGCTCCGCGCAGGTGCGGAGGCTGGTCAGGGAGGGCGCTGACCCCAACTGGGAGCGCGAGGACGGGTGGAACGCCTTCTACATGGCCGCCGGCAACGGGTGCGCGGACGCGGTCGAGGCGTTCGGGGAGCTGCGCGACCAGGTGAGCGCGCGCGGGGGGCGCGGATCGGGCTACCCGCGCCGCGAACTGGGCGGCGCGAGACACTGTCGTTGAGTGCCGATGGTTGAGACCGGGCTGTGGCGTGCTGCGTTGCAGGGCGTTGGGGCGCCCGCTGACCCGCAGCGTCCGGGGATGTTCGGCAACAAGCTGTTCCACTTCTTGGGCGTGCCGATGACGAGCGACTACAGCGCCGTCGCCAGGACCGTGCCGGTGGCGGCCAAGTGGTTTGGCGGGGTCGGCGACGGCATCAACACGCAGGCGAGCGACGGCAAGACGGGCATCCACCTGGTCATCCAGTTCATGGCCGACGGACCCGGCAAGGTGCGCAAACCCCGAACGAACACAAACACGCGCTGCGACACCGTCCGACCATCGTACCGCCGCATTGTGCCGCACGTTCCGAGGCGCGCCGTCTCACAGGGGCGCGAAGCAACAGGTGTCCCGCCGGTTTCCGCACCCGCGCGCAGATCGAGCTCCTGCGCGCGTTCGTGCACTCCGGGGCCAACCTGACCATCTTCGACAAGCGCGGCGACTGCCCGCTCAGCCTCCTGCTCCAGCTCAGCCCCACGCTGGCGAAGGAGCTCGCGCTGGACCCGCTGTACGAGCTCGTCCGCAAGTTCGAGCCCATGGAGCTGCTGCGCAACGGCATGAACGTGCCCTTCCACGAGGCGTTCAAGTACAGCAAGGTGATCTACGGGACGCAGGCCAACGGCGGGAAGCACGGCGGGCTGGACCAGCTGTCCACGGGCCTGCTCAGGATCCTGCACAACACGCCCATGGCGCACTACCTGCTGGCGCACCCGGCGGTGGACCAGGCCGTGCGCGCGCACTGGTACGCGGGCGTGCAGAGCTTCATGATCGCGCAGATCTCGATCGTGCTGCTGCTGGTCGTGCTCCTGACGTTCTCGCTCGTGGTCGGGACCATCACTGGCCCGCACCACTACACGGGGGCGCTGTCGTACGCCCGCGCGGGCGCCGAGATCGCAGCGGTCGCCATCAACTTCTACTTCATCTCGGTGGAGATCGGCGACCTGTGGGAGGCGTACGCCGAGGAGACGACGGCCTGGAACAACCAGATCGACATCGTGTTTGGCATGTACGCCGTGGACTCGGCCGCGCCGGGCGGCCCGCAGGTGGTGCAGCGCGACAAGGTGGCGCGCTTCGTCAACACGTGGGACGCCACGGACGGCGCGGCCGAGCGCCTCGGCCAGGTCGACGTGACGGACGAGCAGGTCTACGCGGAGTTCGACAAGGTGTGCGACAAGGAGCTGGGCGGGCTGACGCTGGAGCAGTTCCGCAGGGTGTGGACCAAGCTGCGCAAGGAGAAGCAGTGGGTGCTGGCGCTCAACCAGTACATGAGCGACTTCTTCAACTGGAACGACCTGACGCTGCACCTCCTCATCCCGGCGATCGCGGTGTGGCGCGTGGTGTACCTGGTCCAGGAGGGCGCCGGCGAGTCCGTCGGGGGGTCGCAGGAGCACGTCGACATGTGGATGATGTGCGCAGTCAGCCTCCTCTCGTGGGGCAAGATCGCGCGCTACTTCCTCTGCTTCCAGGTGCGGCCCGATCGCCTTCCCTGTCGACCGAGCGCCCCGCGCACGTCCCACGGCCTCCGTCTCCCCTGCACCGACCTGGTGCGATCGTGCGTTGGTTCTCGCAGCCCATGGGCCCCCTTGTCGTCATGGTGTTCTTGATGCTTCGGAAGGACCTCAGCCGCTTCGCGGCCATCCTGGCGATGTTCTTCATAGGCTTCAGCGTCGCGTTCTTCGTCCTCCTGCGCGACAGCCCCGACACCGAGGACTTCGACACCTTCCCGAAAGCCATGCTGTACTCGTTCTTCATGATCCTGGACGGAATCGCAGACTACGTCCCAGCCATGACCGCGGCCTCGCCCTACGTCGGGCCCTTCCTCGCCATCGCCTACGCCCTCATGGGCCAGGTCCTGCTGCTGAACCTCCTGATCGCCATGATGGCCACCTCGTATTCGGAGGTGTGGGACCAGGCGGAGGTGTCGTGGCGCCTCCAGGTGATCGAGGCCATCATGCACGTGTCGAAGCGGAGACGCGGCGGCGTGAAGACGGACTTCGAGAAGTTCGAAGTGCGGTACCTGCCCACCACGGAGCTCGAGTCGCTGCTGGCGGAGGTGGGCGACGAGGACCTGATTCACGGCCCGATGAAGGTCAAGGACGAGGAGGAGGCGCCCGCGTGGGCGACGGCGCTCGGGGCGCGGCTCGAAAAGATCGAGGGCGAGCTGGCTGCGCTGCGTGGCCGAGCTGCAGGGCCTCGCAAGACTGCGTCGGTGCTGTAGGGCAAACCAAACATTTGCGCCCTGTTCCCGCAGCTTCGCGTGAGACACGCGACTGCTCGGCCACGTCAGACTAGGTACCAGGTCTACGCAGCTTTGACTTCGTGTAACTTTTGGCTGAGACTGCGCAACGCCACGAGCACACTCACATAATGGCCTTGCTAGCACCGTTGAGGGCGCGTGCCATCATCCTCGACGGCGTCGTACCGTCGAAAACCCACGCACCGACCCGCACGTGCGCGCCACGTGCATTTAGATCTCCATGTCGGACAGAGAGCCTCCTGACAGGTCGTCCAGCTCCGCGATCCGCCCAGCCCCCACCGTCTCCACCGGGACCTCCGGCGGCGCGTCCGTGTCGTCCAAGCTCCCCGACGACAGCGTCCCGGCGTCTCGCTCCCCCTCCGCGTCCGGCGGCGCCGCGACGGGGTCCACGGTGTCGCCAAGCGAGTCAGACACAGACAAATCAACGTTTCCCTCGCTCTGCTGCGCAACGGGCGGCGCGTGGATCGGGATCTCGCCGCCCACGTCACGCCCGGACGAGCCGCGCCGGGGAACCCCCGCAGAGGCAGCGCTCGCCTCCTGCGACACGCGTCCGCGGCTGTCCCGCCGCGCGGCCCCGACCGACGCAGCGCTCGCCTCCTGCGACACGCGTCCGCGGCTGTCCTGCCGCGCGGCCGCCCAGCCGCCCACCGAGGCCGAGTCGCGGCGGCCCACCGACCCGCTGCTGACCTGCGCCTTTCCGAGCGACGCGACGCTGGCCTCGCCGCGCGCGCCGCTGCCTGCCGAGCTGACGAAGCTGCTCTGCTTCGCGAGGGTCGGCTGCGTCGCGGAGGGCGCGGACGGGGGCGGAGGCGGCGGCGGCGGCGGGGGGTGTTGCTGGCTGTCTTCCGCGAGGAGGTCCTCCAGGCTGTCTGACTCGTCGCGCTCGAAGTCGTCGTCGTAGTCGAACTCGTCGTCCTCGTCGTCGTCCTCGGCCAGGCTGTTCTCGCCGCGCGCCGGGGGCGGCGTCGCCGTGACAGCCGTGACACCTGCGACCACTCGCACACACTCGGTGACGAATCGGGCACGCGTCCTGCCGCAAGAGACACGAAACAAGCCAGAAGGGCAGGCGGTCCGGGGCGCGTCTCGCAGGACCACGGCCGCTGCGTGCGGTAAGCAACGGCGTTCGAGAGGATCGCGCACGCAGTGTCGTTCGAACGGCACGGCCGTCGTGTCAGCTCACCCGTGCGCTTGTCCGGCGTCGGCTTCTCCCGCGGGGACGAGTACTGCGGCGACAGCACGCGCTCCTGCGGCACCTCCGACGACTCCCCCTCTGCCGCGGCCCCGGACGCCAACACCACCGTGTCCCCAGCGCTCTCCCCGCCAACGCGCGACACGGGCAGCGACGGACCGCGCGCCTGCGGCGACGCACCGCCCTCGCGCGGCGTCAGCTCCCCTCCGGGACCCCCCCCGATTCCTGAGTCAGTGCTCTGGTTCAGGTCACTCCCCCTGCGCTCCAGCTCCGACATCCGCTCCCGCACGGCGTCGAGCTCGAGCGGCCGGGCGGCGGGCCCGGGCCGCGCTGCGGCGCGGAACACCGCTGACGGCGCCCGCGTCGGGGCCATCAGGTCCTCCTCGGACTCCTCCTCCTGCGTCGGGGCCGCCGCGGGCGCGCTGATCGGCTGCAGGATCGCGCGGGCCGCGGGCGGCGGCTGCCCGCGCGTCGTCGCTGGCTGCGTCGGCCGCGCTGCGGGCACCGGCGGCTGCGTCGTCGCCGTCGCCGTCGTAGGCGGAGCCGACGGTAGCGGTGGCGCAGGTCGCGCCTGCGGGTCCGCCACGCGGTACTGCGCGCCCTGGAGGTACGCGAGAAGCGCGCGGCGGTAGAAGTGGAACCTCTCGCGCTGGTCCGGCGTCAGCTGCGAGTTCAGCTGCCGCTCCAGCTGCTGCTCCCGCAGGCGCGACGCCTCCCGGTACTCTGCGTCCGTGATGCCGGGGCGCGAGCCGTCCCAGCCGGGGATGTACTGCGGGAGCAGCGCGTCGACGTCGCCGAGCGCCTGCTGCTGCGCGGCGGGGCGCATGCGCTCCAGGTCGGCTGCCGCGTGCGGGCGGCGCGCCAGCACCAGCGGGTGGCCGCGCACGTGCGTGGGCAGCAGCGCCGCCCAGCGCGCGCGGTCCTCCTGCGACTGCTCCGGCTTCGCGACCGCGCGCGCCTGCTCCTGCGCCACGAACTCCCCCGCCGACGACCGCGGCGCCGGCGTGAAGATGGACGACGTCCACGACACGCTCGGCGACTCCGACTCCGACGTGGCCGGCCGCACGGGCGGCTGCTGCTCCGTCTGCACCGGCGTCTCCTGCGCGGACGTCGCCGCGGCGCGCTCGGCCCGCGACGGCCCGATCTGCGGCGCCGGCGGCGCGGCGTCGTGCGCGTGCGCGGGCGCCACCTGCGGGAAGCTCAGCGACGCCTCGGCCTCGACGGTGCGCTCGCCGCCCTCGCTCTCCTGCGCCGGCGACGCCTGCGCGAGCGACGCCTCCCCGCGCAGCGACCCGCGCGACGTCTCGTGCGCCGCCTGCACGGGCGACCCCTGCGCCTCGTCGCCGGCCGCCGGCCCGTCCCCGTCGGACCGGTCGTGCCGCTTCGACGAGTCGCTCTTCTGCACCGTCGTCTCCCGCCGCAGCACGCGCCCGCTCTCGTCCACGACCTCGCGCACCACCTCCTTGACGTACTGTGACACGTCCGACGAGCGGTCGCGGCCCGCGGCGCGCGCCCGCGCCCGCAGGTCCGCGTTCTCGCGCAGCAGCTTCTCCATCTCGTCCGCGAGCGCCTTGTCGCTCGCCCCCTCCCGCAGCTGCCGCCGCAGCCGCTCGATCGTCGCCTGCTGCGCCTCCACCTGCCGGCGCAGGTCCGCGTTGTCCGCGCGGAGGCTCGCGACCTCCGTGTCGAGCACCTCGCGCGACTGCGACAGGCTCTCCACGCGCGCCTCGAGCTCCGCGCGCTCCCGCTCCCCGCGCGCCCGCTCCTCGTCCACCGCGCGCCCGAAGGACTGCCAGTTGACGCCCACGCCGCCCGGGGCGCGCCCGCGCAGCCGGCTGAGCTCCGCCTCGAGCCGCGACGACCGCTCGCGCTCCTCGTCGAGCTCCCGCTGCAGCGCGCGCAGCTCGGCCTCCAGCTCCGCCGCGCGGTCCTCCAGCGCGTCGCGCTCCTCCTTGACCGTCAGCGCCGCGTCCTGCAGCCCGCGGCTGCGCTCCGCCAGCATCTCGCGCTCGCGCTGGAGCTTCCGGATCATGTCCTGGGCCTCCTCGAGGCGCCGGCGGAGCTCTGCGGGGCGAGGGCGGCCGGGTGCGGAGCGGTCGGGCGCCAAACAAACAGAGCGGGTGTGTGTCTCCACGAGCACAGTGGTGGCGCGTGCGTGTGTGTGTGGTGCGAGGGGACCGACCTGACGCGTCCCACTCCGCCGCGGGCGCGGAGCTCGACGCGCGCCCGAACGAGCGGTCCGCCATGGAGATGTCGATCGGCTGCTGCTGCGGCACGAGCTGCGCGGCGGGCGCGGGCACCGGCGCGGGGGCGGCCGGCGGCGCGGCGCGGCGCGGGCGGCGCAGGCGGGCCGGCGCGGGCGCGGCCGACGCGGAGTGGCCGTGCGCCTGCTGCGTGACGTTGACGTTCGGCCCGGCGCCCTCGCGCCCCATGAGCGCCAGCACCTGGTACGTCTGCAGATGGCGCTTGTTGGCCTTGAGCTGCTGCTTGGCGTGCTTCAGCTTGCCCGCGTGGTCCTTGGCCTTGGTGCGCGCGCTCTCGAGGGACTTGCGCAGGGCGCGGCGCTCCTTCGCCAGCGCCTCGTTGTGGCCGTTGAGCGTGTCCTGGGGGGGCGGGGAGCGTGGGCCGGTGAGGGGCGGAAACGCGCGGCTGGCGGGCGCGGGGCGAAGGGCCGCGTCTGGGCCGCGCTGCCGGGGCGGTGCGGCGCGGGCAGCGCGGCGGCAGCGCGCGTGCGAGGCGGTGCTTGCAGGCAGCAGGGACGCGCACCTGCACCCAGAGGAGGTAGTCAATGATCATTTGCGCGACGCGGAAGATCTTGACGAAGTTCAGCTCGGTCAGATACATCGGGTCCTCGGCCTCGATGTCCCCGTACGCGACCACGTCCACCACGGACTCGAGCAGCGCTGTGTCCGTCTCCCGCAGCACCCTGTCGGGGTCGATGGCGTGGAGACGGCGCCAGTCGATGTGGAACCTGCGGGGCGCCTCGGCGGGGGCGGCGCGCGGTGGCTCTGCGGGCCGCGCGGGGCGGCAGGGCGGGGGGGCCGCGTGGGAGCTGCGGGCACTGGAATCCAAGCGCTGCGGCCCGCCGAGCGACGCGGCGACGCGTGGATGCGCGAACTAGGCCGTGGACGGCGGGGTCGTTGCGGTGAGCGCGGGGAACGCTGCCTCCGTGCCGCTTCGGGCCGCAACGGCAACGGTCCAGCAAGCACGGAGCACTAGGGGCGCCCGCTCGGCCGCCTGGGAGTCGCAGAGCGGCGCTCCGACGCAGCGCGAGGACGGAGCCATGACAGGGATGCGCTGTGTGCGGAATCGATCCACGGGACCGCGGGGCGCGACTGCGGGCTGTACCTGTTGGTCGTGAATTTGAAGGGCCGCTCCTTGAAATGCACGGAGTCGTTCGGGCCCGGTATCGGACCCGAGGACTCCTCGAAATACTCCTCTCGATACGTCATCCTTGCGCCGCTCCGCGCCGCCCACGCGCTGAGGCAGCGGCTGCCTGTGCCTCGGCCGAGGCCTTTCGAAGCTCGCTGCCTCCGTGGCCGTCGAGCGTCCCACGGGGGCACGATGTGCGACGACTCTGTCGGGTTTGCCCCGCCGCGCGCACCCGCCTGCGGCAATGACGTCCCACACGCGCCTCGTGGCGGGTCAGACACTGATTCACGCCCCGGGGCCGGTCGCGCGCGGCGTCCTTGCCTGCGCCCCGCACGCAGCCGCCCGCATTCATAGAAGCGGTACCTAGGGACGCGTCCGATACATCCTCATCGTCGCGGGGGGCGTCAGGAGCGGACTGCTTGCAGAGTAGGAGCCACTGTCGCTGCCGCTGGCGGGAGACGGGGACAGAGGCGCCATGGGGGAGGAGAACGGCAACGGTGAGCTCTCGCTCCGCGCGCCGGACGGGTCTCATCCCGCACCACGGCGCGCCTGTTGGCGACGCAACCAGCCCCAGTCTTTGTGCCCTCGCACGTGCTGCGTGCGCCAAAACGGCGGTGTCCTGCGGCGCCAGTATCTTTTCTCGATTTGTTCCTCTGTGCTCAGCGCGGCCTGAGGCGCAAACTCCCCCCGTGGTGTGCGGAATGCGAACATGCTTGTATTGCAAGGCATACACGGGGCTGTGGTGCCCACAGAGCAGAGCTGGCTCCCAACGTCCTCGTCATACGACGCTGATAGCGCTGACGTTACACCGGCGCCGCAAAAGGCCACGTTTGGGCGCGACCCGCGCCAGGCGCCCCCTTGTGCAACTCGCTGGAAGGCCTCATGGCGGGCGTGCGCTCGCCCCGCCGCCCCCGTGGCGTTTCGATGACCTCACGCGACACTCACACCAGCCATATTCGAAGCGAGGGACGTTCTCTCGAAACTCCTGTTTCCTCGCGCCACCGAGCGCCACCACCTCCCCGCCGCCACCCCTTCCCACCGGTGTGCGGGCCTCCCGCCGCTTGACAGGACGCGCTCGCACGCATCGCGGCACCCCCACGTCGAACACGTTCGTGCCACGCGCACGCGGCGCATCCGCCGCCCCACGCGGCTCCGCACAGGCCGCCCAACGCCCTCCTCCTGCACCACCTCGCGCCCAGTTCGTCCCGACGCCCTCGCGCGGACGCTCGGCCCGGCGAGCGCAGGAAGCCGGTCGCAGACCATCACCCGGCAGCCTCGTTTCCGACCGCCATCCACCCCGCAGCCCACCGACCCATCCCGCGCCACCGCGCGCGTCGCTCTGGCCCCCGCCGGGCACCCTCTCACCCCGCCCCCTCCCTCTCCGTGCCCCGCAGCCGGCGCCATCGTGCCGGCGGGGCCCGCCCAGGCCTCCCCCGCCGCGGGCAAGCGCCCCGCGCAGCAGGTCGTGCGCACGCAAACCAAGGCCGTGGGGCTGATCCAGCCGCCGCCGGACATCCGCGCCATCCTGGACAAGACCGCGCAGTTCGTGGCGAAGAACGGCGTCGCGTTCGAGAAGCGCATCCTCGAGGCCGAGCGGCAGAACGCCAAGTTCCAGTTCCTGGTGCCCACCAGCCCCTACCACGCCTTCTACCGCCACCGCGTCGAGGAGATCCAGTCGGGCAAGGACGACGCCGCGAAGGCCGCGCAGGCCGAGGCCGCCAAGGCCGCCAGCGAGCCCGCCAAGCCCGCGGCCGACCAGAAGGAGGGCGACGAGCAGCCGGAAGAGGTGATTTCCCGTCCTCGGCGCCGTTGCTCCCCGCCGACTCGCCGCGCGCCGCCCCGCGCCCGCCACGCGCGCGCACGCCCACGCTCCCCGCCCCCGCGGGCCCCTCGGCGCGCAGGAGCAGCAGGGCGGCCCCGAGGACGGCGTGGTGGTGACGACCAAGACCCTCGAGAAGCCGGACCCGGAGCTGTACACGGTGCACCTGCCCGCGGGGCTGACGGCGTTCGACGTGGACCTGATGAAGGTCACGGCGCAGTTCACGGCGCGCAACGGGAAGGCGTTCCTGGAGGAGGTGCAGCGGCGCGAGGCCAACAACCCGCAGTTCGCCTTCCTGAAGCCGACGCACTCGCTGTTCGCGACCTTCACGCAGATGGCCGACGCGTACTCGCGCGTCCTGATGCCGCCGAAGGGCGTCCTCGAGCGCCTCAAGCAGGACAGGTGACCCGACGCACGCGCCGCCAGGGCGCGACCCTCGCGCGCCCCCTCGCCCCGACCCTCGCGTGCCCGCCTCGCCCCGACCCCCTCGTGTCCGCCTCGCGCTGGGCCGTGCAGCGCGGACTGGTCGCACGTGTTGGAGCGGTGTGTGAAGCGGCTGGAGTACGAGAAGGCGCTGGACCGGGAGCGCGTGGAGGCGGACGAGGCGGCGCAGCGGGAGCGCGAGGAGATGGCGGCGATCGACTGGCACGACTTCGTGGTGGTCGAGACCATCTTGTTCGACGACGCGGAGGACGAGTCGCTGCCGGCGCCGCTGTCGCTGCAGCAGGTGCTCATGTCGCGCAAGGCGCAGGAGTACGACGCCGGCGCGGGGATGGAGGACGCCGGGGCGGAGGAGGTGGAGATGGAGATGGACGAGGAGGAGGCGGCGATGGTGGCGGAGGGGCAGCGCGCGGAGGGCGCCAAGCGCGTCGCGGGGCAGGTGGTGGAGGCCGGGGACGACGAGGGGCCCGTGCGGGTGGTCGAGGGGTACAAGCGCGAGCGCGCGGAGGGCCCGGACGCGGCGACGCGGTTCGTGCGGTCCCCGCTGACCGGCGAGCTGATCCCCGTGGAGGACATGGAGAACCACATGCGGGTGTCGCTGCTGGACCCGCGGTGGAAGACGCAGCGCGAGGCGATGCTGGCGAAGATCCGGGACTCGGCGTCGGCGTCGGACGAGGAGATCGCGTCGAACATCGCGGGGCTGGCGCGGACGCGGCCGGACATTTTCGGGGACCGGCGGGAGGAGATGAGCGCGGCGGTGCAGGCGGCGCTGGGGGAGCGGATGACGACGGGGAACCAGCGGGCGGTGGCCTGGGACGGGACGACGACGGGCGGGCCGGGGCTCAAGGCGCAGCAGGCCGCGATCGCGCAGCAGCGGGCGGAGCAGCCGCTGCCGTCGCTGGCGGCCAAGGGACCGGACGCGCCGCAGGTGGGCGTGGCGATGCCGCCGCCGCCGGCCAAGGGCGAGCCGCCGAGGAAGCGGCAGAAGCAGGGCGAGGGGGAGTGAAGGCCGTGTAAGCGCTCACACGAAGCGAGCCCGCCGCGCGTGTCACGGCATGGCCTGCTTGATCGCCGCCCGGACGCGCACAGTGTGCTTCGGAAAGAGCTTGCGGAAGCGTGCTCGGCCCGGCCCGACGCCCATCGCGGTGTTGCATGCGAGGAACGTCGCTCCGCTGTCCACCCACGGCGTCGGGTCGAAGTTCGTGCTCCAGACCACGTTGAACGGGTACACGCGCACGGTCCTGCACTTGCCGCACGCCTCGCGCGCCGCGGCGCGGCCCTTCTTGCCCTTCGACGCCGACACGTTGAAGAACACAAAGTCGTACGGCGACAGCGCCAGCGTCCGGCTCCACTCCGCCGCCGCACTGTGTCTCCGCGCCAAGAGCACTACGCGCCCCGCCAGCTCCCGCAGAGTCATCCGCCCGACCTGCCACCCCTGGGCCTGCGGCAACATGCGCGCCCCGAAGACCGCCCGGAACTGCCGCGCCGCCTCCTCCAGCACGCGCTCCCCCCCGCGCCCCTCGCGCCCGACATTCCAGTCCACGAACACGAACACGGGGGGGTCTAGAGACTCCGATGGCGCATCGGAGTCCTGCGGTGCTGTGGCCGCAGTGGTTTGTCCCGTTGGCCGCACGTCGGGCTCGGGCTCGCCCTCGCCGGCGTTGGCTTCGTCGGGCGTGTCTGGCGGCGGGCTCGCGAACGCCACGTCCTCGATGAGTTGCAACGCGTCGCGGAGACTGACGCGGTCGGAACACGGCTGCACGGGACCGGGGGCGAGGCGAGCTGCATCGCGCGAATATGCAGCAGTGGCTGCCAGGGTGGAGCTCCTGGGTCGGGCCACACATGATGTACCCCAATGACGGGGTGGGGGTCATGCATCGAATCACGCAGAGGACCAAATGCAGGTAGCGAACATATGCTTCTCTCGAGTTATTGTGCGAGGGCAGGTGCGAGGTGTCACCTGCGCGAAGTACCCGTGGCGGAGGACGGGACAGTGCTTCCTCGGGCCGTTCCCGCCCGTCACGTCAAGCTCGACAGCGCGGATGCCGTGGCGCAGGTCCCGGGCCAGTCCTTTGAGGGAAGACCCGCAGCATATCTGCCAAGGGAAGCGCAGGTAGCTGTTGTGTGATGCTAGAACGAGGAGGTCGGAGACGGGCGTGTCCCAGGCCTCGCGCTCGACGCAGTAGCCGAGGTGCGGCGGTTGCTGCTGAGGGGCCACCGCGCCTGCGTTTGGCATCCTATGCAAGCTACGCCCGTGATTTCAAATGGAAGATGATTCACTGACATGAATCAGTAAGTCGGGACGTAATTGCTTCGCTAAGCGCGCGCACAGACGGGAAATGCCTCTGGCCCTTTTTCCGACGCGCGCCACACGCTCGAAGCACCGTGGAGTTGCGTGCGCACACGAGATGGCAAGTCCTATCTTCCACTATCGCGGCAGCTGTCGCGCCTGCGTGCCCAGGTCCTGAATGGAGCCGGGCGCAGCGATGAGAAGTGCCCAGGGGGACTATCAGCTTCGGCAGACAGGAATAGAGCATCCACAGGGCGAGCCTCTCGGCCATGCGCAGGCCGTGCAGGTACAACGGCTCCCACGTCGCGCGTTCCGGAAGAGCAACGAAGAGGTCAGGAAGCATCACAGAAAACAACACATCTCGACTGGGTGAGCAAAACAAATCAAAAACGGCGCAGACTTCAGCGTGCACGGCTCCGCGTGCGTCATACGTCCCCTCACTCGCTCGCCCAAACCGCGGCCCGCCGCACCACCGGGGCCAGCGCCGGCACCGCCACGGTGTACATGCGCGCCGCCGCCTGGCTCAGCGCAGCCGCCGCTCTGGCGCCGACCGCCCACACCAGCCACGATCCCAGCGTCCTCATCATCTCGCCCCCCGCCACCAGGGCCAAGCCGTCGCCTTGCAGGCCAGTCGACAAGTCGCTTGCAACCACGCCATCCACCAACACGGGCCGCCCGCTTCGGGTCTTGAACGCGTACTGCCCCGTCGCCGGCACCCACGCCACACCCGTCACCTCCGCAGCGCGCACGCGCCCCTGTCCGCCGCCATCTTCGCCACCGACCACAAACACCTCATCGCCCGCAACAACGCTCGCAGCCGCCACCAGGCGCGCGCCCGCCAGCCACTGCGACTTCTGGATCACGCGCGACACCACGCGCAGTCTCTCCAGCCACGCCGCCGTCGCCTCCGACCCGCCCGTGCCGCGCGTCCAGAGAAGGTGCCCCGGCGACAGCACCAGCGCCGCGCCGCCCGCCACCTCCACGCGCACCATCGCCGACCGCGCGCCCGCCTCCGCGCGCGTCACTGCCACCACCTCCTCCAGCACCACGCGCCCGCTCTCGTCCACGACGCCCACCGACGACCCCACGCGCACGTCGGCTGCGCGCAGAGCACCGGCCGCCGACACGAGCGAGCCGCTGGCCGGGAAGCAGTCGGGGCGCACACCCTCGTAGTACGAAGGGAGACAAGCACCCGGAGAGTCAGCCGACCTCCGCACGGGTCCGTGCCACTGACATCCCACAAGCGTCAGGTTGGCCCAGTCGCGCTTTCCCTCCGCGTCGTGGAGGCAGGCGCTTGCGTGGCACACGTGCGGCAGCGGCGCCCAGGGCACTTGGTGGTCTCTCCAGTTCTTGCATTCGGCCTCGGTGCTCCGAGACAGGCACACAGTGGCGCCGATCCAGGCGCACTCAGTGACACGGGCGCCGGGGACCTCTGATGGGCCAGACCACTCGCTCTCGAGCTTCGTGAGGTCCTGCACGAAGAGCGTGTCTTCGCGCGCCGTGCACTCCTGCCCGACAACGACGTCCTCCATAACGGTGCCCGTGGTCTCGCAGCACGGCGTGACCGACTCCTCGCAAAAGACGAGTGAGAGCGGATTGTACGAGCATTCCACCTTGTGCGGACAGCTCATGCCGTTCTCTGCGCACACGCAGGCGTCCGTCTTGATGCACTGGGCCGTCGCAGCAAAGTCCACCCGGCGCTGCACCACGTCGACCCATTGGCAGCTCACCGTCGCATGGCCAGTACTCAACTGGACAAGCACTGGCCCATTCAAGCACTCTGACCGCGTCTTGAACCCCCTGCACTGACCGTTCCCGAAGCCGACCAAAGAGCGGGCCATCGGCCGGGAGATTCGAGCGATCATCCCGGACCCCTCCGTCCACGGCGTCGGTCTGAAGGTGTACGACGTCGGGCACACCAACGGCGGCTCGTCGACCGCCTGGAAGCTCCGCGCCCACGCCGGCGCGCCGCTCTGCGCCCTGCGCCTGTTCCTGTGCATGAGCTGCACGGCGCAGAAGCACGTCGCCCCCGCGACGTCCGCCCCCTCCTCCGCCACCTCGCCGGGACACACCGCCTCCGCCGTCGCCATCGCCGGCCCGTGCCGCCCCCACGACGCCCGCAACTGCATCCTCACGTCGCCGCCGCTGCCCTCGGGGCTGTGGACCGCGCCCGCCTCCGTCGCTCGCAGGTGCACCGACACCGGCGTCCCGCCCCGCAGCCGCGCCACTACCCGCGTCGGCCGCCCGTCGCCGTCCACGTACCGGCGGTGCACCTCCTGCGCCGCCGCACACGGCACGCGCGCCCACTCCGCCCCGGCCGCCGCGCCCTCGCCGAGCGCTCGCGCGCGCAGCTCGCGCCGCCTCCCGCGCACCTCGCCCGCCGCCGCCATGCGCCTCCGCACCGCCTCCTCCCCCTCCGTCTCGATCGACAGCGTCTGCCCGGGCTTGCTCTCCGCCAGCACCGAGCACAGGCACGCCTCGTGCTCCGTCTGCACCCCGACAGGACACAGCACCGCGTACAGCGCCACCGCGCTCTCCGCGTCCACGGGCGCCGCCACGATCCGCATCCCGAACCCGGGGTGCTCCTCCAGGCTCTGCGTGTACTGCCCGCCCTCGTACGCCGCGCGCTCCAGGTCGGACATCTCGACCGCCTCGCGCCGCAGGTGCCCGTCCGGCGTCTTGTACAGCACGTCAACGTGCATCGTCTGCTGCTCGTACGCCGCTGCCCACCGCTCGGCGTCCGGACACAGGGCGAACGCCACGGCGTCCGCGTGCGGCGCGAAGCCCTCGGGCAGCGGCAGCGGCTCCGCCCCGCCTCCGCCCGCCTGCAGCAGCCGCCGCGCGCCGCCCGCGTCGCCCGCGCCGCCCTCGGTCCACACCACCTGATTTGTTACGCGGAACCGCCCCTCCTTCGGGCCCATCACCTCCCCCTGCACGTCGCCCGTCGTCACGGGCGCGCCCGACCCGCGCTCGCGCAGCACGCTGTCGCCCCGCGCCTCCGTCGTCTGGAAGTGCTCGAACATCGCCCACGACATGCCGAAAATGGCGCCCAGCGTCAGCACGAGCAGCACCACCAAGATCACCACGCAGTTCCGCAGCAGCCGGGCCAGCGCCTTGGCCTGGCTCATCTCGTCCAGCGCGCGCACGATCTCGTCCTTGGTCACCAGCCCGTCCTCTGCACAGCACCCCGAACCTCTCCTCGTGGTGTGAGCACGAGCAGCACGCCGTCGCACGCCCGACGGCCGCACACAAGCGATGCGGTGCGCCAGACAGAGACTGCGGGCGCGCGCAGCGCCGCGGCGGTTCCGCCCCCCTCGCGCGTGGCTGACCAGCGCCACGCACCGTCGCGGTCCAGGTCGTGCTGACGACGTAGAAGCGTCTTCGACCTCCCCGCGTGGGTGCCATCGGACGTGTCTTCGCCCCTTTTGCCAATAAGCTGCCCGATCGGGATCCCGTCGGGGTACCTGCGCGACGGAAACACGGGCCCGCAGCTCTCTGCCAACCGCCAACACGGCGTGGGCGCGCGGGCCGGAAGCCAGGCCAGTTCCGTGCGTGGCATCGCGCCGCGCACACGCCTGTAAACTCCTACCTGTCCCAGATGCCGTCGGCGGAGGCCTTCGGCGGCGGTGGCGGGAACTCCGCCGTCACGCGCTGCTGCGCCTCCGCACGGCCCGCCGACGCGCCGCCGCACGCATCTTCCGCGAACGCGACCATTTCCTCCTGGCTCTCAGAGCAGTGACGGCTGCAGTCCGGTCGCGACGCAGTCAAACGCGACGACTACGCCCTGCAGGGAGGACACGGGGCGAGCCAGGTGTGCGCAAACGGCACAGGTGGCTGGTCTCGACGACGCGACGAAACCGCCGCGACAGCCGGCGAGGACATGTCAGCGCGGTGCGAGGCGGGCCGCTCTGCAGGCGCGCCGTCGTCCTGTTCGCGTCACGCACCTGCTGATGGATGAGGGACAAACCAGCCAGTGTGGGTTAGTTATCGATAGAGACGACGCGCGACCAGGGTCGGGAACGCTCTCGATGATACCGAGGCAGTGCCTCGTCAATCTAGGCGATTCGCTCCCCGCGCCGGGCCTCCGAGGCCCTCGCATCCACCCGGTCCTCAGGACTCCTGGACCGTCCCGGATGGTCAGGGGGGGGGACTTCCAGGAGGCTCGGGCAGCGCCCCGGGGGACAGGGCCCGATGAGCCCTCTCAGGGCCGTGTAGTGCGCGTACCAGCCGTCGCGGAGCGGATTCGAGGAGCTTGCAGTCGACAGCCGGCCTCCGCAAACACACACACCAATGCGCGCACAACCAATGCGTCCATCACCTGCGCCGGCACAGCCCAGCGGCCGCCGCCCCACAGCGCTCGTCCCCGCGCGCCCATCGCCCTCTCCTCCGCGGAGGCCACGGGCGGCGGTGCCCCGCGGAGAGTGCGGTGTGGTGGTTGTTGTTGCGCACAGGGCCGCACCGGTGGGCGCCAGGGGCCGTGACGTCCAGCACGCTGCGTAGGATCACACGCGTCTCTCGCGCGGGCCTGTCCGCAGGGATCAGATACGTGGCTATCAAAAATCGCGCCCACACTCGCGCGCGCGCGATGCTCCGCGCGGCGCGCCTGGCAGCCGGCGGCGCCCGCGTCACTTGGCCGCGGCCTTGGCCGCCTCCTTCGCCGCGATCTTCGCCTGCAGCGCGGCGGCGTCCCGCTCGATCCGCTGCTGCTTTGTCAGGCCGTCCTTGTCCTTGGCAGACTGCCCCTTGCCGAGCTTCTCGCTGCGCTTCTGCACGGACGACCGAGCGGGCGCGAACCTGAGCTGGCATTGCGCTGCGCGGGCTCGTCGGCTGGGGGGGTCACCGCGCCCGGCGTGCGAGCGGAGGACTCGGCCATGGCTGGCGGGATGCGGAAGCTTCCAGTGAGCGGCAGGACGCGCCAGGCACGGGGCCGCAGTGCGTCTCCGCGGACTCTGTGAGGGACACGTCCGCGTTCCTGCAACCGGAACCGCCCAGAGGCTCGTGCAGCCCCGCTGCCGCCGCCCTAAGGGGAGACAACGTGCGACGCGGAGCCGAGGCCGTTCCGGCCTGCGCGCCCGGCACAGCCAGGCACCCGCTGGCCTTGATTCCGTACGAGAGCGCTGGCACGAACCCCCGCGCCGCCAGAGCAGCGCTGTGCCGCTGGAGCGAGCTTCCTAGCAATAGGAGGCCACTACCGCGGCGCTGCTCCGATATCCAGGGACTCCGCGGCCAAAGGAACGTACCCTCGCCCTCTCGCGGTCGATATCGCGCTGATTTCCCCGCGCCATTCCGCCTAGTCTCACTGGAGCGGTCTAGAATGAGGGACTGTGTGTGTGTGTCTAGGCCAGGACCACTTGTTCCGGCCGGCTCACCGCCAGGGCCCCGGGGGCAACCGTCGATCAGCACCAGATGACTGCTTGGTGAGAATGGACCTGCCCGCCGGCCCGCGGGTCTCATGACGCGCCCCGCGCTCGCGTGGCGGAGGAGTGCCAGCCTGACGCCATTTGTGTGTCGGGCTCAGGCGGCCCGCGCCAGGCCAACCCCGCTGTACTCGCTGCCAACATTCCCCGCAACTTGCGCGAGGGGAACGGAGCTTGTCCCGCCGTTCGGCTTCCCGCACGGTACCGTGCGCAAAACAAGTAATTCATTAACGCGCAACATGGAGCGCAGCGACGGCAGGACAGACCATGGGGCGACAATTCAGCACCGAGCGCGAGAAGCGGTGTCAGGACGGACGCAGAAGCACGTTTCTCGGCCAATGGCAAGACAGGTCGATCCTCGGCATCACAATTTGCTTGGCCAGAGCTCTGGCCTGGTGCTCGAGCACCAGCACACTGGTGCCGGGCTCACGAGACGCTGTGTGCGAGGGCCGCACCCTGAATGCCCGCCAGGGCTGCTGAAAGGATAGTTCCCGATGACCGCGCGGTCTATCGGGATGTCGCTGCCGGACTGGCACAGGCACCGCACGGTGCTTGTTGCTCGCAGACCTAAAGGCGCCCGCGCCGGGAGGATGCTTGAGCGACCGAAAGGGTGTGGTGGGTCGATCGTGCTAGCAAGATACTATAGCGAGCGTGAAACATGGGAATCGTGATGCTTGGTTCTTTCTCTTGATTGTGGCGCACGGGAAGGAGGGTCGCTTCGGCGCCCGGCGCGGCGCCTACACAGGCGACCCGCTGGACTCCTCGCCGGACGACGGATGCACGGCGTTGCCCGACCGCCCGGACGCCGTGGTCGCGCTGCTGCCGTCGCGAGAGACGCGGTCGCCGACCTCGAGCGTCGCGCGCTGCTCCTGGTCGGCCTTGAGCGAGCTGCGCTTGAACGACAGCCCGAAGTGCGGCACGTGGATGTTGCCAAGGCTCATCCAACGCTCCGCGGCGTGTTGAATCCTCTCCTCGTGCTTCCTGCCGCGCTCGTACGACGCCTTCAGCCGCTGCGTTGCGCCGAGGAGCAGGACCGACTCCTGGTCCACGGCGTCGGCGCGGGACTGGGCCAGGGATTTGCTGGACTTGAATGTAGCACCTCCGAAGCGCAGCCTGGCGTTCTTGTACAGCGCGACGCGGTGCTCCGCGACGGTGCGCTGGACGTACGCCTCCTCCTCCGCGGACAGCGGGCCAAGGCGCGGCCAGCCGCTGATAGGGCGTCCGAGAGCCGCGTTCGCCCACCGGTTGGCGTACATCTTGCCGAGGATTCGCGCGCGCTTGTCCTCGACCTCCTCCTCGACGACGCGGTGCAGCATCTCCGCGGGCTTCATGCGCATGGAGCACGAGAACCGCACGAAGTCCGCGAGCTCGCACGCGACGTCGTACACCTGGGAGATGACGGAGACGGAGAGGCCTACGACGAGCACCACCATGAGGGCGTCCCCGAGGAGCTTCGCGGTGTCGGCGCGGTCGGCGGGGTCGTCGATGGTGTTGACGGCGACCACGATGCCCAGGAGCAGCCAGACGGAGACGTACTCGCACGTGGACTGCAGGGCGTCGACGAGCTGGTCGGTCCCGGAGGCGTAGGGTTGGAAGGTGAGGAGGAGGAGCACGTTGATCGTCGTGAGGACGATGAACCCCGCGATCTGCCCCTCGCCCTCCGTCGGGCTCGCGACGCTCGACACCAGCGCCAGTAGAAACATGAAGGTGACGCGCAGGGGGGCGTTGAACGCGCAGCCGTACGCGAAAAGCGTCGAGAGCACGGAGTACTTCCCGTCGGGGTACCACGCTTCCAGGTACCCGCGGTTGATGCGCTTGATCACCGGGTCGAGCTCCCACGTGCAGTTCTTGCGCACCACGTACGGCCCGTGGTAGTCCTCGAAAATGACGCCGAACCGCGTGAAGAACGCCATCTCCGTGGAGTTGCGGCCCTTCCATTCCCCGACGGGCGCGCGCCGCCAGATCCCGAGGCAAGTCCAGGGACCGGGGCGGTGTCCGTGCCACGCCGCCTGCGCCTCCTTCTCGTCGACCTCGTAAAAGATGCCTCGATAGCACGAGTCCATCGCCACCTGCGTCGAGTATACGATCCACGCGCAGTACAGGACCATCGGGATCGGGATCGCGAGGAGCAGGATCCACCCGAGCGCCTGCTCTCCGTCGCGGTCGTCCGTGATGAGCGCCCCGGCCGTCTGCGCGATGGCCGGGACGAAGAAGTACAGGGTGTAGACCTGGATGCGCGGGAAGAGCAGCTGCGAGGGGTACCGCGGCGTGCGCCCCCTGCGACGGCGCAGGTACAGCCACACGAGCGTCGCAAACACTTGCACGGCCGTCTCCACCCCGACGAGGATCGCCATGGCGATCATCTGCTCGGCCGTGCCAAGGAAGAGGTGGTCGGTTGCGTCCTCGATGCCTGTCACCATGGCGGCCTCCGCGGCGCCCTGCGGGTCCTGCAGAACCTTGCGACGGTGCTCCTCGGTGAGGGCGCGGCCCGGGAGGATCTCCCACGTGACGGGCTTCGCGCTCCCCGCGCCCGCGCGGTAGTCGCGCGCCCACGCCTCCACTGCGTACCGCGGGGGGCGCCCGAACAGCTCGGTGTGCACACGCGCCCAGACGTCAACGGCCAGGACGTGCCGCGCCGCAGCGAAGAAGCCCCGGCGACCCTGGGTGGACGCCAGTCCGTGTACGGCGTTGTGCACGTCCGTGCAGGGGATGCGCCCGGCCTCCGCGATGTGCGGCGCATAGTACTTGCACACCGCGTCGAGCCCCTCGAGGACCTGCTTGAACCGCTCCGGACGCCGAAGCATCCTCTCCATCTCCGCACTCGAGACGGCAAACAGGGAGTCGAGACTGGCTTCCGGTTCCCCGGCATCCACGACGTGTGCTGGGTGGTGACGCCGCCGCAGACCAACGACGTCGAACAGCCCCCTCCGCCGCACGCGGCGCCTCGCGCCTGCGACCGCCGCGAGCTGATCGTCAGCAGGCACGCACTCCGGCGACTTGCCGTCGTCGCCGAGGAAGATGCCCCTGCCCATGAACGGCTCCGTCGAACACCCCGCGCCGGTGAGCATCGCGGGCTTCGACGGCTCCTCGAGCTGCGCGATCATGTTCATCTTCTGCAGCGAGCCGATCAGGAGCGCCATTCCTGCGCCGCTGGCGGCACCCGTGCCTCCGGACGCCGCCGACCCGCTGCCTGCCGCGCCTGCTCCGGCGCCGGACGCCGCGCTCGAGGCCGCGGCCGCAGCGCTCGCACCTGCGCTCGCGGCCGACACCGACGTCACGGCGTCCTCGGTGGCCTCGCGAGACACCGCCGGCTTCCTGTAGATCGTCGTTGCTGCAACCGGCGTGGGGTTCGAGTTCCCGGCCACGTCCGTCAGCGCCCCGGCAGGGATCGTGATGACGAGCGAGCCCGTCGTCGCGGGCTCCAGGAGCACGCGGATGCGCGTCGCGGAGAGGAAGGAGGCGGCGACGCGGCGCACGGTGGCGCCGGTGACGACGATCTTGCCCTCGAGCGACGCCGGGGGCACGACAGGCCCCCCTGCGACGATCAGGTCGAAGCGCAGCACTGGGTCCGAGAAGTACGCCGGCAGGAGGTCGAAGGACACCGTCGGCGGCGTCCGGTCGACGAAAATCCTCAGCTCCTGCTGTCTTTCGTTCGTGCGTCCGTCGGTCGACACGAGCCGGCCGGCGGGCAGGCCGAGCACGGCCTCGCCTTCGAATGCCGGGTCGAGGGCCACCACCACCGTGTACGCGCTGGCCGAGGCGGCGGTGACGGACTGCACGGACAGACCGTGGGTTACGAACGTCGCCGGCGTGATTTCGACGCTGACGCCCGACTGCAGCGTGATCAGCGCCGAGAACGTGTCCGACCCACGCATCCACTGGTATCGCTGGTCCGACGCCGGCGACAAGGTGTTGAGCGGGGCGCTGGCCACGGTGCGCGTCGTCTCGTCGTACTCCTTGTACTGCCCGACCACGGGGCGCATCGTCGCCGCGAAGCGGCCAGCGTCATCGGACGTGTCCTCCTGCGGTGCCTGCGGCGCCGCGGGCAGCGCAGCGGACGTGAAGCCCTCGAGGTTGTAATCGACCCTGATGGGCAGGAAATACACCTCCCCCGTCGGCTGGAAGCTCGGGAGGGGCGTGGTGCGCAGCGCCGTGCGCAGCTTGTCGCGGTAGACCGTGACACCCGTCGCGCCGCCACTGTAGACATCGTTGCCGGTCACCGCGAACACCACCATGTGTCCCGTGGGCACCGCAGTCGCCATCATGGCGCGGCGGTGCATGCGCCCGGTCGTCGGAACCGCAGTATCGTAGTAGGGGTACACGGCCTTGACCGAGAGCACCGCTCCTCCGCTCACGTGCCCGCTCAGCGCGTTGACGAGCGAGAGCAGGTCCGCGCGGAGGACCGACGCCTGGTCGTCCGGCGTGGCGCCCTGCGGGTTGCCCAGCGCCGCCGCGGCCTGGAACACCACGCCAACTGCGTACACCGCGGCGCTCGTGGGCAGGGGCGGCGGCGTGCCCGGGACGGTCGGCAGCGGAGGGCTGGTGGCCTGCGGCGGCGACGTCGCGTTGACCTCCGGCGCAGGCGTAGTCGGCGGAGGCGCGGTCGTCGCCGCTGAGGACACCGTCGTGGCGGCGGGCGCCGCAGTCGTGGCAGCGGGCGGAGCAGTGGTTCCCGTTGAGCTGCCGAGGGACAGCTGGCGCGCCATGTTGGAGCAGAAGTCCGTCTCGTAGGTGTAGATGGCCGCTTGCGGGCCATTGCTGACGCCCGTGACGGTCTTCGGCGTGGCCTCGGCTACGACGATCGGGGACGTCCCGTGGAAGGGTGCGTCGAGGGTGGACATGGCAACCTTGCGGCCGAAGAATGCTGGCTCGCCGGTGTCGCGTATGATCCTGAAGTAGTTCGACGGCGGGATGCCGCCCGGGAACGGCGTGTTTGAGGGGTTGAGCGCGTAGTCGATCTCGAAGATGTCGATCCGACCTGCACAGCGTTGGATCGAAAAAACAAACAAGCTATCGACTTTTGTTATTCGCTGACCTACAGGCGCCACTTTGTCGGTGCGGCTGCATCACGCCAACCGCAAGAGCGACGTCGCGCACACTGCCGCAGAGCACCTCGGTCGATCTGCGACAGGATATCTACGGGCATCGCTCACCGACCGACCCGACGACGATCGTCGAGTTGGACATCGCGACGGACACCCCGCCTTCGAGGTTGCTGATCGACTGCCACGACGTCTGCCCCCCGACCACGTCCCAGAGCTGCAGCGACGTGGCCCATGCAGACCCGGTCCACGCCGGCCGCGAGAACACCACGAACCCGCCCGCGAGGTCCCCGGGGCAGCCCCAGACGAGCCCCGGCGACCGGCGGTCGATCGCCATGTCCCCGCACAACGTGGTCGAGGGCGCTGGAACGTTCGCGGGGGCGTACACCCCGGGGTCACCGGGGCTCTGCAGGCCGACTCCAAAGGTACCGAGAATGCCGACACTGCCGTCGTCGAACGTAGGGCGGCCGTAGAAGAGCGTGGACGCGCCGTCCGACATGTACATGAAGTCTCCGTCGCAGCGCACGTAGCGTCCGATCTGCGAGTTGCTCCGCGTGGACACAAAGTAGTTGACCATGTCCGCGGTGGCCGGGCTGACAGCCGTGGAGCCGACGGAGTAGACAGGCGGCGACAACACGCTCCCCGCCGACGGGATCGTCCACGTCCACGTGGCCAGGGTGGCCACGGAGTCGGCCAGGAGAAGTGGGTGCCACCCGGCGCCCTCGACGCACAAGATCTGGTTCCTGCTGACCGCGGACTGCCCGCACCCGCCGGACGCGCGGAGCGGCGTCCAGGCGGTGTCGCCGAAGATGTGCGTGCCGAGGGCGATCACGCCGCCGATCGTGCTGAGGGCCGTCGCCGTCAGGTCGGCGGGGCCGAAGTCGGTGTCGGCGCCAACGCCCATCTTGCCGAGCATCCGCTCCTTGGAGGAGAGGTGGTGCAGTGAGTTCAGGGCACAGTTTGTCCAGCTGCCTGTGGCGCAGCTGCTCGGGGTGTTGTACGGAGACGGCATGCTGAACAAGCCGTTGGTCATGATGCCGCTGGCGACGCCCTGCGTCAGCGCCCTGTAGTCGAGCCAGAAGAGGCGCGTGCCCATGCCGACCCAGTGATCTGCGCACGCGCGTGGCAACGCGACATCGAATCATTCGAATCGGGAGCGTTGCTTTCCAGTCGTGCGCGTCGCGGGGGTCGACCCAGCCTGCGAGCGCCGAGCTCACCTGAGCCAGTGTCAACGTCGAACGCCCTGGTCGCGAGAATGTCGCGCGTGATGATGACCCAGCCGAGCAGGTTCGCCACGCGGTACGCAGACGACGAGTTCGGGTCGAACACGGCCACAACGTCCACGTCCGTCGGCCACGCGGAGGTCCACGGCCGCGAGGTGCCCGATTTGACGTTGCCCTGCCCAGCGCTCCCGATCCTGGACGCAGGAGGCGAGCGCATGTGCATTGAGCAATCGATCGTGCTCGAATATTGCACACCAAACATCGATACGCGACTGTCGGGCTGACGCTGCAAGCGTTTGCATGATGACGTGGCGCGGGGCGGGCGTCACTTACGCGCAAGCCCATGCGCCGCCGTTGTCGTAGCACCCGGACGCGGTGTCGTACACGGACCCGAACCGCGACGGAGGGGACGTCGGTGCGCGGCCGCGCAGCACGTCAGCGTTGTCGCCCAGCAGCACCAGACCGAGGTCCCTCTGGACGCCGTCGGCGGGGTCGACCAGGCTGAGCGAGATGGAGTACGTGACCTCGGTGAGGTGCGGGTTGCTTGCTGCCCGCGCCGACGGCAGGTTGGCGTCCGTGGCGTTCACGGCCGCGAGGCTGACCGTCAGACCAAAGTCGCTCGCGTGGTACGTCTCCTGGATGCTCGAGGCGTACGGCAGCGGCGACCCCCCCGTCGCTGCACGCAACGCAACAACGGCGACGATGAGCACTGTGCGGCTGCCTGTGCATCGCATGCGCGGAACGAACAGTGCGGGGGGGAGGGCGCGCACGAATCGTGGCGTGAGGCCGCACGTATCCCGCCCACGCGCCGTTCCACGTGGACCCGGGGCTGTCAGTCGAGAGGGACCTGACTCTGGAGAGTCCCACAACGACGTCGTCGTTCGCGTAACTGCTCGAGCGGGAGCGCGAGTACTGCAGAGCAGGGCCGATTCGGTGCCGAGGTCGTCAATGAGCACGAGGACTAGCCATCGAGAGGCGTCAAGAGGCGCACAACGGCCACGGAGTGCTTGTGTGGGGCGTACCTCGACGTTGAAGGGGCTGCTGAAGGACAGCAGGTACATGTATGCGGGGGGCGTCGCGGGGCAGTTGTTGCCGATCAGCTGCGCCGGACCGGCGCTCGCGACCGCGACCAGTGCGAGGAGTGCCAGGACGATCGCTGCCGTCATGGTGGCACGGCGGCCGTGGTGGCCCGGAAGGCCGGGCATGGGTGCGCCTCGACGCCGCCGATGCGTCTGCGGGCAGGCAGTGGGCGGCGGCGGGGTGGTTGGCGCAGCGTGCCCCGGTGGCGCGACATTTGGATTGTCGCGCGGGGTGCTTGGGGCCGAGAGGTGGATGGAGGGCTAAGTTGCGTCTGCGCTCGCAGTGATGCGTCAAGCACGACGTGAGCGGGGTGCAGGGCGCGTGGCGCAGGCCCGTGTGGGTGTGTGGGTCCCGCCGGCGCAGGAGACGGCTGCTAGGCGGTTACGAGCGGTTGCTGCGACGTGGGGCGCGACGGTGAGGCGACGTCGCGCCGGCGTGGGGCCGTCTTCAGGTTTTTTCTGGCGGTCGCGGGAGGCCGCGGGACGCCGCGAGGGGGGGCTGTGCGTCGAGCGTGGCGGCTTTTGGGCATTCCACAACTGCGACGTCGCGTTGTCTGTCCCGAAATCGACAGCTCGCGACCATGACAAGGATCCTCCAAAAGTGATTCGGGCGTTCGGCGACGTTTCACGTGAAATTACCGCCGAGCTGTCTCTCGACGAGCAGCAGCTCGGCGAGAGTCCGCCCAGGCGCGCCAGTTGCGGGTTCGACCGACGAGAGTGGCACTCAACGCGACGTCACGAACTCAAACGGAGCCTGGAGCAGCGGCATCGGGCGGGCGCACTCACCTAGGCCACTACAATCGCGCCTGCGATTCGCGTGCCACAGCACCGGGCAGTGCCCACGTAGCGGAGCGTTCGATGCCAAATCGACTCGTCAGTTGTTTTACTCTAGTATGTGAGCAGCTGGGCGCGCTCGCTCCCCCTCGAACGCGTCGGTGCGCGCGGCGACAGCGCCCGACAGCCCCATGTCGTCCGGGCGGTTGGAAGGTGCTTCGGTGTCCATCGGACCGACCCCCGCGCCCCATTTCGCCCAAGGAGCGCGCCCATCGCCCGTGTGGATCGGTTTCCGCGCGCAGGGGGGCAGCACACTCACGTGCGGCCGCCTCAAGCACCGGAACGGGGCATGGTTGTCAGGGAAGGCGAGGCCGAGGCGTCGCAGCATGAAACGCCTTCGAACCGAAACGCTCTAGGTTCAGGATCTCTGGACATTTGACATGCGGAATACACACAAGTTGGAAGTAAAACGGCCGCGACCACGTCAGTCGGACCCAGGGTCGACGCTTCAGATACAGTTGGCGTTTGGCCGAAGTGCGCGTGCCACGGGGGTCAAATCACCGGGACCGCGCGAGGTCGCGACACGCCACGGTGCGTACTGTTCCTCTGCGCGACACCACTGCCTTTTCGTGGTCCCCTCGTGGTGCTGCGCCGTTCGATCCACCCCCAGAGGTATCGCGGAGTTCCTGCGCGGACCTGCCCAGGGCGCGGCCGACGCTCGCGACAGGCAGCACGCTATCTGACCGCGCTGCGCTGCGCAGGGCGCTGCGGAACCCCCGGCGCCGCGCAGTGGCGCAGCAAGCGCAGGCGCAGCGAGGGTGGGCGCCACCGCGCGACGTGCGCGACCCTCGGGTATCTGACGCTCCTCACGCATAACATCGTCTCCGTCACGATGCGATAGCGAACAGGGCGCGCTGCAGCTTGGCCGGCGCGGGGCCGTCCACACAACCCAGTGGTGCATCTTGTGGCTCCTCGCGCGCGTTCGCACAGTACTGGAGGTTCACTCGACCGCGAACGCGTAGTACATATCATGGGAAAGCAGAAGCAGGCCGGCGGGAAGCCCAAGGGCGGGTACTGGATGGCCACGGTCGACCCCGCGAGGGTGCGCTTTGCCTTCTCCCGCATCCGCCCGTACTTCAGCGGCTGCGGGCGCAAGGTCGAGGACACACTGCAAGTAAGCCGCACGCCAGCACGCCCCCCGCTCCCGACGCCCTGCGGATCGCCCTCGCGAGGGGGCAGCCCAACGCGCGCGGCTGCGCCAGGACGCACACGCACGCACACGCGCGCGCGCGCAGGACATCCGCGACGGGAAGCTCGACGCACGCGACCTGCCGGCCATCACCGTCATGGACCGGCCCGACAGCGGCGGCGGCGACAAGTGGTACTTTTCGCTGAACAACAGGAGGCTGTGGGTGCTGAAGCGGGCGGCGGACGAGGGCCTGCTCGGCGGGGCGGGCGGACGCGAGGTAGAGGTGCGCGTGCGCGCGATGCGGCCGCACGAGCTCAAGAAATACACCTTGGAGACCTGCGCATGCGAGGTGAGTGGGCGGGAGCGCGGTGCGTCGGCGCCTGGCCGCATGCCGCGCACGCGGCGCCCCGCCGGCGGAGCGAGGGTTCGCGCGCGCGGACCGGCGGTGATTCGAACGACCTGTATCTCGTTTTGATATGATTTTGGTATTACGTTGCGCAGGCGAAGTTCCTTTACGCTGCGGGCAACGGGGACGTTCCGGACGGGACCGCGGAGGGCGACCGCGACGGTGCAGCGGCGGAGGAGGAGGACGAGGAGGAGGGTTCCGGCGACGAGGGGGTCATGCGGGGCGAGCGCGAGCGGTTGGCAGAGCTCATCGCGAGGGCTGCCGAGGGGCCGGGGCTGGCGCTGGAGGAAGCGCGGGAGCTCGAGCGGCTACGGAGAGCGCTGAAAAAGGCAGGGATCTCGGTGTGAGGTCACGCATATGCGTCACAGAGACATGAGTCGCGATCCAAAGAATGAAGGCATTTCATATTCCGACGTGCCCGGAACCTCTCGGACCGCGGACGCGACCCGTCGCCCCGCGCTGTCCTGGATCCGTGACAGCGCTCAGTGCCGTCCCATGCAAAGCCTGCGAGCCGGAATCGGCACAACGCACCACTGCGCTGGCGCGTCTGGTCACGGCGACCCGCACTCGCTGAGCGCCTCCGGCACGCCCGGCAGGAGCGGCTGCTTCGTGTCCAGCCCGTGCTGTTTCGCGTGCAGGTCCTTGTTGTCAAGAATGCACCCCACCACGTCGCTGTCGATCACGTGCGTCTGGCGCGTGGCCAGCGACATGAGCATCTCCCGCGGCAGCAGCCGCGACGTCGGATCCACCGCCGGCGTCCGCGCCCGCGACGCCCCCACCCGCGCCCCCGCCTGCCACAGATTGCTCCACCGCTTGGGGGCCATCGCCGACGCTGACGGCGGGCGCACGGGCTCGGCCGCCCTCGCCTCGTCGTCCTCGTCCGGGAGCTGCGCGGGCGTGTTCAGGTGCTTCCGCCACTTCCCGCCCTGCAGCCACGACGGCGCGCGGCGCGGGGGCAACTCGGCAGCGGGCTTTGCCAGCGTCCCCGGCCCCGCGCCGCGCGCCGACGCCGCCGCGCGCAGCGGGGCGCGCTGCCCGACCATCCCGAGCACCGGCCGCGGGCCCTCTGTCCGCCGCTCCGTCACGAACAGCGGCGCCCGCTCGTGCGCAGTCATCGGCGGACCCTCCCCCAGCATCTCCAGCGAGTTCGCAACCGGCCGGACCTCCGCAGGCGCAGCCGCCGTCTTGGCCGTCCGCGGCCGCCCGGCCGGCGGAGACCCCTCCCGGTGCCGCGCCGGGCTCGTTCTCGGCGCGCGCGTGCTCACGCTCGTCGCCGGGATGTGTGCGCTCTCCAGCACGCGCGCGGGCGGGCTCCTCGACCGCACGGCGTCCTCCGCGCCCGTCGCAGCCGTTTCCGCGCCCTTCCGCAGCGAATCCCCCGCGCTCTCGTCGCCCCCCGCCCCCGCCCCATCGCCCTCCCCCTCCCTGCGCTCGGCAACGATCTGCCGCGCCCCCTCGCGCGCCATGCTCCAGAACAACTTCGCCCGCGAGTCCGCCATGGCCGGTGGGCCGTGCGACGCCGCCGGGACAACGGCTTTCGCGTCCGGCTTCTTCCGGCCGAGGCGGAAGCTCGGACTCGATGGCACGCCGGGCTGCGGCGGCGGGGGCTTCTCGCCGTCGCGGCCCATGGCGGTCGACACGCCGACGTGCACGATGCTGTCGCCCTTGGACGTGAACGCGGCGATCGCGGCCGCGAACTTGTCCGCCGCGCCGTCCGCGTTGGCAATGGCGTGCTTGGCGAGGTGGTACCCGCCGCCCCCGACGACGCCGGTGCGCGTGTCCGGGTCGACCTGGCGGCGCATCGCGAGCCACGTCTCCATGTCGTCGTGGTGCTGCCCCGCCGCGTCGACGGCCTGCTCGACCATGGCCTGGGCGGCGAGCACCAGTCGCGCTTTTGCAACCTGCAGCTGGTTGCGCGCCAGGGGGCGGTCCTGGGAGGCCAGCGCCTCGTGGATGCGCATCAGCGCGAGGTGGAGGCTCGTCTTGATCGCCGGGGCCTCCGCGCAGTCCAGGACGGAGGGATACCGCTGCATCAACCCCTCGATGCGAAAGAGCAGCCGGTACGCCCAGTTGAGGGTGGCGTCCAGGGTGTGGTCCTGCTTGTCGTGGCCGCCGCGGTGCAGGTAGAGCTTGTTGCACCGGAGGCCCATGGAGCCCGGCGGCCCCGAGTGCTCCGTCGTCTGCGACGGCGTGCGCAGCACCGCGCGCCGCCGCCACACCTTGGGCGGCCGCGTGTCCGGCCAGTACCACTGCAGCGCCGGCAGCTCCACGACGTCGTCCTCTTCCTGCGCGGAACAACGCCACGCGCTCTCAGCAGGTCGGACCCACTCCGCTGGACTCGAGCGGGCTCCGCATGTGCGCAGGATGTCGCGGCGAGCGGGGTTGGGGGACGCGCACCCCTCGCTTGCTGCGGGCGTTGCGCGACTTCGTCGTCGCCGACTCCGTCAGCGTCCGCGGCGGCGACTTGACCCGCGGGGGCTCCTGCGCCTTCCCGCCGCGCGCCCGCGGCGTCGGCTGCGGCGTGCCGCTCCCGGCGCCACTCGGCCTGCGCGGCGGCACCGCGCGCGCCTCCGCGGCGTTCGCCGCGTTCCGCGCGACGGCCTTCGCGGCCCTCTTCGGCGACGACCGCTTCGCGACATGCAGCGTGTTGCGGTGCGACCTGGGCCCCAGTCGCGCCAGCGTGTCGTCCAGCGTCGACAACGCGCCCTCCAGCGACCCCTTGAACTTCGTCGTCCTGCGCGTCTTCTTCAGCAGGTCCCCGCCGTTCGGCTCGCGGTCCCGCATCTGGTACCGCCCGTCCGGGTCCGGCTCCGCGCCCGCCTCGGGCCCCAGCTGCTTCACCTCCACCGTGCGCTCCATGGCGATCTCGTCCTCGCTGCGGAACCCGAGGACCTCGCACACGCACTGCATCGGGTCGTCCAGCGCCGCCGCGCTGAACCGCAGCACCTCCCAGTCCTCGACTGCGCGGGGGGGGGGGTGTGCGCCGTCGCCGATGAGTGTCAGCATCTCATGGGGCGGAGACGCGCGGGGCGATGCGGGGCGTGGCCGGCCTGCGCGCGCGAGGAGGACGCGTGCGGGGGGGTGCGCGTGGCCGTGTCGGCGGGCGAGGAGGGCGGCGTTGGGGGGTGCGTGCCTCGCCGCGTGCCGGTGCGGGTCGTGGCCCGGTTCTTGGACTTTCCGGCCTGTTCGTCCGCCATGTCGCGCTTGAGGCCATCGATGACGGTCCTCGCGTCGATGCGCGCGGGGTCGAACAGCGGCACGGCCGCCCGTTTGGGCTGTTCAGCGAGCAGCGACGCGCGGCTGGCATCGGCGGACTGCAGGTTGCCGCGCCGGGAAGCCGCCGCCAGAGTGAGACCTGCGGAGTGCCGCCAGTGCAGAGAGCCATCGAGTCACTTCACTCTCCGGAGCGGACGCCCTCGGAAGGGCGCGCGCCCCCGGCAGGACGTAGCATGCAGTGCGGGACGCCGTCCGGCCGCGTCGAGGTGCGCCGACACGCGGCTAGCGGCGCTGTGCATCCTCAAGTCCGTAGAGGTGCGAGCGTGGCTCCCGGACGGGCGGCGCAGCGACCAACGCGACGCGGGCGTGCATGGCAGTGCTCAGGGACCCCGCCACCGAAAGTGCGATGATTCCGGGAGAGGAGCGCGCGACGTCCCGTCGGGGGACGCAGCGGTGCGGTCATGTGCTGTGGGGCGCCGGAGCCCGCTCGAGGCGGCGTGTCCGCGCTTCCCGGCCCGCTAACGTCGCCGCGGCGTCGAGGTGCAACATGCGGGCGGGCGCGCACCGCCTGGGCCCTGGTCGGCCCCGTGCTCCAGCCTCTGCGGCGCTTCTATGGTCACGGACGACTCCCGCATTGTGACCCGCGCGCTGCCGGCCGCTGCGCCGGGCCCGGCGCTTGGAGTCGACACTGCGGGCACTCCAGCGCGGGTGTCGCGGCGCCGCGGCTGATATTTTCCTGATTAATGAACGACTAAGGGACGAGGATGCACGCCGGCGCGCTGTTACCGCGCCCCGCGCGCCGGGTGCTGCGAGCGCGCCCTCATCGGGCCTGAGAGCAGAGAGAGCTTCGACGTTTTGCGTCTCCGACGACGACGACGTGCGTCTCGGGCCTCGACAAGCAGCGCCGACGACCCCAACGAGTGGTGCGGCCGCCCTCCGACCCGCGGCGACGAAGCGCAGTCCTCCGGGAAGCGCAACGGAGCACGTGGCCAGGCGTGGACCTCCACTGACGTGGGCCGCCCGGTACGGCACGCGCTCGGCTTCCCGCGGGCTCAAGCGTGGGCGGCGGTAGCGCTGTCCGCAGTCTGACTGGCGTCCCCAAGCCCTGTAACCGGGCATCGTCGGAGCTGCGCGTTCTCGGGCCGTGAGCGGGTGGAGAGAGCCCTGAGTCGTCCCGCAGCTGGAACAGCCCGTGTTTGGCGCGTGTGGTCTGTTGATTGGCTGAGCGCATACACACGCGATCTACCCGGGGGCGTTCGCGGGATCTTGGCGCGTCAGTACGCGGTGCGGGCGAGGACTGGAGGCGGGCCCGGGGGTGGCGTGGGCGGCTTGGGCGAGGCGCGATGAGCCGGGTGGACACGCTGTTCGTGACGTTGCGGCGAGGGCTCGCTGGGACGCCGAAGAAGCAGCTCGAGCAGCTGAAGACGTTCGGGTTCACGCGGCCCTGGCAAGTGGTCGAGGTCCAGAACAGCGCGCCCATACGAGGCGTTCTCGCCAAGGTACGCCGCGCGCCGGTACGCGCAGAGCTTCGTCGCCCGGTGCGGCGGCGCGCGCGCCGTTGCGCGCGCTGCAGCCCCGCGCAGCCGCCCGTGCCTGCGCTGAGAGCATTGCGGCCGGTTCCTCCCTGCAGCTGGTGCACATGGTCACGATCGAGACGGACAACATGTACCACGAGAGACAGGAGCGCAACCAGGCGAAGCTCGCGACGCGGGACACGCTGTCCGTCAAGCACGGGAGCCTCGATGGAGGTGCGCCGCTCCCCGCGCGAGCCCACCGCCGCCCGCCGGCCCAAGCGGCCGCGCAAACCCACCCACGCCCACCTCCCTGCTGCAGTCGCGGCGCCCGTGGCTCCGGAGGACACCGTGGCGCGGGTCCAGGCCCCGTATCACCCAGGCGCCAGGGACTCCCTATTCTTCCGCACAAAGAACCGGGCGCCCGGACACGGCTACGTCCGGGGGATCGGGAAGGCGAAGGGCGTCCGCTAGCCGCCCCTCGCCGCTCGTGAACCACCGCAAGCTGCCGTCCGTCGCGTTCACACACAGTCGCCGCGTTGTCACAGCACGCCCGCCGTGGGCGCCACGCGCTCCCGCTGGTGCTCGGCGCCGCCCTGCCCCTGCGCCGCGGCCTCCATGAGCGCCACCAGCCACGCCAGCTCCGGGTCCCGCGCCGCCTGCAGCCCGCGCACCACCTCGTCCGGGCTCGGCGACCCCAGCGAGCACCGCATCAGCCGGTGCCGCGCGGGCGCGTCGACGCGCAGCACGCTCACCGCGTTCAGCCGCGCGGCCGCCGCCACCACGCACGCCGTCAGCCGCGCCGGGTTCTCGATGCCGCGGCACTCGGCGCGCCGCTGCCGCAGCAGCGGCTCCAGGCGCGCCACCAGCGCCTCGACGGTCGCGATGTCCGCGCCGGTGTCGCGCGTCTCGAGGAAGAGCGCGCCGAGCGTGAGCCGCTCGATCCACGACGCCCCGGCGATGACTTTGACGTTGTAGTTTGCATATGATTCGTTGACGGCGCGCATCATGACTTTGGTGGTCACCTGCCCCGCCGCGAGCATCTTCGCGGCCGCGACCGCCGGCGCGCGCATCGCGGGGCGGTCCGCGTCCGGTGCCGCGAGCAGCGCGATCGGGTGCTGCACGCGCGCGGCGCTGGCGCCGGGCAGCGGCGTGCAGGTGATCGGCGTCGCGGCGTGGCGCGGGCGCGGTGCAGCCGGCGCCACGGTGTCCTGGCTGTCCGGGAGATCGAGCGCGGGGCTGGACGGCGGGTCGCTGTCCACCACGGTCGCAGCGGGCGTCCGCAGCGCCGCATCTGAGCCGTGCCGCGGAGATCTTCGCCGGGGCTCTTCCGGCGCGTTTCCAGCGGCCTGACTGCCCCCCGCGCACTCGTCCTGCGCGTGCGGGCGCGTCGCGGGCGTCGGGCCGCGCCGGTCCGTGCGCGGCGCCGCGAGGGCGTGCGCCTCCGTGTGCGGCGTCACCACGCTCTTCGCCCCCGCCGCGCGGCCGTCCCGCGGACTCGCGCGGGCGCCAGGCGGCGCCGCAGCGCCCGCGGCATCGAGTGCGCGCAGCGCGTTGGCCTGCGCGGCCTCGGTGATGTCGAGCGCGCGCTTCGCGACCTCGAGCAGCCTGCGCACGTCGCCGCCGAGAGCGGCGACCTTCCCGACGGCCTGCGTGATGGCTGCGTTGAGGAAGAGCGGCTTCTGCTCGCCGTCGATGGTGATGTGGATGCCGTCGAGGCGCTGCTTGAGGATCGACGTCAGTTCTTGCGTCGTGTACGTCTGGAAGGCCAGCTGCTTGATCGAGTCCGCGCGGGACCGCAGGCGGCCCGCGGCGAGCTGGCGCTGGAACAGGTCCATCGTGTTGGCGATCCCGATCACGCACAGCTTCGCGTCCTGCCGCGGCCACTCCCCGAACAGCTGCGCAACACGAACCAGGGCGTCACGTCGTCATGTTGCTTGCACAGGCGCGCGCGTGCGCGGCGTCGGCGTCGTCGCGGCTCGGCGGGCGCGCGGGTCGCTCACCTCGTACAGCACGTCCTGCCTGCTGTTCGCCAGCATGTCCATCTCGTCCACCAGCACCACAGTCACCCTCTGCAGACCCTGTTTGCCCTTTCCTTTGAACCGCGCCTCGAGGAGCTGCTTGGCCTGCGCGGGGCTCACGAACGACCCCGAGAGCTCCTCGTACAGCTGCTGGTACGCGTGCTGCGGCGTCGCGAGCCGCCCCGAGTTGATCTCCACGAACTGGAAGGGGGGGAGTCCCTCCTCACCCCCCTCCAACTCCGCCCGCGCCGCCTCCTTCCGCAGCGACTCCACCACCTCCAGCACCGTCGCCGTCTTCCCGATCCCCGGCATCCCCGCCACGAACATGCAGTCCGAAGTTCCCGACCGAATCGCGCTCTCCAGGAACTCCCGCACCTGCGCCTTCTCATTGTCGCGGCACAGCAGGCTCGCGGGGCGGTACCCGAGGTGCAGCGCCGCGCGCGCCCGCTCCAGCGGGGTCGCCTCCGCGCCGCCCGCCAGCGCGCCGCCCGGGCTGCGCCGGGACCGCGCGCGCACCGCGCAGGGGCTTCGCCGGTGCCCTCCCGCCCGCGAGCGGCCGCGAGGCCCGCGACCCCCGCGTCCTCGTCGTCGGCGTCGGCCTCGTCGTCCGCGGCCGCGACGTCGCCCGGGGCCACGAGCGCCCGGCGCTTGCGCTGCTGCGCGGCCGCGGCACCACTGCGGCGCCGCTTGGTCGCTGCGGCGCCCGCGGGGCCCTGGAACGTGCGGTCGTGGTGGTCGAGGTCCTCGTCGTTGTCGTCCGCGACGGCGTCCTCGTCGAGGACCGCGCCGTCGTCGCCGGACATCCACAGCCGCCACGAGTCCACGCACGCAGGCGCGCGCTTGTACTGCTGGACGAGTGGGTCGTACAGGTACCCGCACAGGAAGACGTCTTGGCTGATCGCCTCCGCGAGCCGGAACTCCCCGGGGGACACCACCTGCGCGTCGCCCACGATCGACGCCGCCGGGTTGCCCACGTCGCACACCGTCGACAAAAACACCTCCCTGTCGTGGTGGCGCCCGCGCACGCGGCCCGTGTGCGTCTCCTCGGGCCGCATGAACCAGCGCGCGTCGAACACGACGTCGACCTTCGTGTTCGCGCCCGACGCGTCCACGAGTGTGGCGCGGCGGATGCGGTCCACCACGCACAGCTCCACCTGGCCGCGGTGGAAGGCCGCGCGGTTGCGGGCGCGCGAGGGCGCGCGCTGGTCGCCGCAGATGCAGTACACGTAGTCGCCCGCTGCGAGCAGTTGCCGCGGGCGCGGTCGGTGAGGGAGGGCGACGCACGTAGCTGTGATTCGAAACGCAAACACGCGGGAAGAGATACGGATTGCCGTCTGGCTGTGCAACGCTGGTGGTCTCCATGGCCTGGTCGCACCTTGCACCGTAAAGACCCCCCCCTCCTCGCTCCTCCCCGCCGACCCGGGCCTCCGAATCCTCACCTTGTCGACCTCCTTGCTGTCGACCTCCTTCCACACCTCCCGAGGGCCCTCCCGCCCCGCCCCCCCACCCCCCCTGCGCTGCCCGGGCGTACGCGCCTGGCCCTGCAGCGGCACGTGCTCCGTCACCGGGTCGTACGTCCCGTTGTCGTGGTCCACGTTGTGCAGCGCCTGCTGACGCAGCAGCGCCATCTGCGGACACGCGCTCTCGTGATGCCCCCCCTTGCCACAAAAGTCGCACCCGAAGCCCTGCATCGCGGCGCCAGACGCACGGAGGTCGCTCTGCGGTCGCAGGGGCAGCGGTGCGCGCGCCCGGCGGGCTCCGACGGCGCCCCGCGCGCGGCGCGACGCTCCGAGTCCCGCGGACGTGGCAGCGCGCACACGGCAGCACGCGCGCGCCCGGTCAACGCAGCACATCCGCCTTTGGTCCGGCGCACAGCGGACTGGTGCGTCGACAGCGCCTGTGCGGATCCAGCGCGGCGGATCCGCGGCGTTCTGCGCCTATCTGGAGGCCACGGCTGCGCATTTTGGCTCTGCAACCGAGCAGGAGGTACCACCCACGCCGACACCCTCATCCGAGGCTCGAATCGCCGGAACGGACGCGTCGGGGTACTATATGCGCGGCGGGCGCACCTTGCGGGGCTTCTTGGCGTGTTTCGCGCCGGCCTTGGCCGTGGAAGGCAGAGTGGCGCCGCGGACGCGAGTTGGCGGGAAGTTGCCGGGGCCCTTCCGGACCCCGATGTGCGCGCCCCGCGGCAACAGCGGCAGGATCTCCTGCAGCGGGGACCGGGGCGGCGTCGGCGGCGCGTCAGCGCGAGCCCGCGGTGCCGGCAAGCGCGCGCCTGGGCGCAGGGTGCCGCGCAGGGGCGGGTGCGTCGCGGTGCGGGGGGCGGCGGCCGCTGACACGCAACGCGGGCGTCGCTCGCGGTGTCAGCGCACCATGGAGGGCCACCGCCACGGCTTTTCGACGTCGGGCAGCGCGCGGCGCTCGTGCGCGGGGCGTCTCTTGAAGATCTGGCTCCGCAGGTCCTGCCGGCGCAGGAAGTGCCACTGGCCGTCGCCGATCAGCGCGAATCGCCCCTTGTACTTGCTCCCCGGGGCGGGGAGGCCCCTGCGCCTCGCGACCATCGCGCAGCGCGGCGCGCGGGCGCGGGAGGGAGGTTTGGCGGGAACCGCGCGCGGGCCGTGGTCGAACGGTCACTGGCCGCTGGCGAGCGTGGTAGCTGGAGGCTGCGGACAGAGGTACCGGGGGCTGCGAGCGGCGCCTCTCTAACAGCCGGACCGCGCGGGAGAGGGGCGGTCTTGTAGCGGCATAGTTGCGGGCGGGCTGGCGTGCCACGGACGGCTCGGTCGCGACTCTGCGTCTACGGCGCGGATCCTTGCGGTAGTGCCGCGGGCGCACGCGGTTCTACGCCCGGTGAGAGCCCGCAGGGACCGCCGCGGGCGCTCCTGCCTCCGTCTGTCTACGCACCTCGCGTCGGGCGCGGTGGACGGCCTGAATCGATGAACCGGCGCGACGACGGAAGTCCCCACATAAGTGTGCCCAGAAGTCGGATCGTTACGGCGTTCGAGTCGCGGCGCCCGATCCAGGAAGCCGCGCCCCGACTTGCACGTGCGTGCCGGTTCGGGGCCCGCAAACCCCCCCTGCGCGTCTTCGGAACGCATCGGTGCAGCGTCCCGGGGAAATCAGTTTCCTCTGACGCCGGATATCGAAAGTACACGCCGAAACACGCAACCATGGGCGGGTTCGGGGAGGGTCTCCGTCCCTGTGGCCACTGGCCGTCAAGCGCCCGGTCTGACCCCCCGCGCCCCGGTGCCGCCCCCACAGCGGTCCGGTGCCGCTGCCCGCGCGCAGATACGGCCCTTCGCGATGCAGTCGAACGCCCTCGTGAAGCAGGCTGCGCGGCCGAGCGCCGCCCAGCGCCGCACGCGACCTCAGCGGCCGTGTGCGCGGTATGGAGGCGGAATGGGCGGCATGGGCGGGGGCCGGGGCGGGGGCGGCGGGGGCTTCGAGATGAACCGGCGGGACGAGCGGGGCCTGATCATGCCGGGCGAGGGCGGCGGGCAGGTGCGGCGACGCGCTGCACCCGGAGAGCGGCGGTTTGTGGCCGGCGCGGCATTTCCGGGCCTGGCGGTCCGGGAGGGCGCGCATGAGTCGTGATAGCACCTCCCTAGCGTAGAAGCGCCCGCTTTGATGCGCGGGCGGCTGTGTGTGGGACGATGGTCCTCCTCAGAGACTGAATGCCGGGCTGTCGCGTCTGCAAGCGGCCTGCGCGTGAAGTCGGCATGCGTTCGCGGGGAGCACCGCTTCAAGAGCACGCCGCTCGCGCGAAACGTCGCGAGAAAGCGACGGCGCCGCGCACGGCCTCGAAGTACATCCACCTTCGACGAACTCCGCGGAAGCGTGCCGCACCGTGCGCGGGCACCGCTGCTCGCGGGCGCTTCTCGCAACACATATTCTCTCCTTGCCTGCGTGCAGGGCAACCAGGGCGGCAGGCCCTCCACGCTGTACGTTCCCGGGCAAGAGAGCCAGTCCCAGCTCGGCGGCCGGCAGCTCCTGGACGCGACCGGGAAGCGGGACGCCGAGGCACGGAGCGGACCGGTCAACCCGTTCCGTCCGCCTCCGGGGTTCATGGAGGGCAGTGACGTCAAGGCACGCCCCCGCCCGCAACGGCCCCCTCTGCTCCCCCACGCAGCCGCGCACGGCGCGCACACGCCGCGAATTCTCCCGCCCTTCCGCGCGCCGCATCCTCTGCGCCGGACCGCCCTCACGCGCCGCCCGGTTCCCCCGCGCGCCCCCGCAGAAGATCGACATGGACCCCGACACCATGCTGCGGCGCCTGGGCGCCATGGCGGCGCCGTGGCACGAGCTCGCGGACCTCCTCCTGGAGCTCAACCGGCAGGGCTACGACGGCACGATCATCGAGGAGATGGCGGACATCCCGCGCCCCGTGCAGGTCCAACCCCCCACCTCGCATCACCACGCCACGCGCCACGCGCCACCGCCACACGCACCCTCACCGCGCCCGCCTCCCAACAGCGCGCTCCACCGCCACGGCCCCGCAGTCGTGCTGGATGGTGGCGTCCAACGTGTACCGCACGCTGGTCAAGACCGGGGAGCTCACCGAGGACGAGCTGTCGTACTTCGACCCCCCCGAGCGCGCCGAGTGCCTCCTCGAGATGCGGAACGTCACCGCCGAGCGCCGCGCCCCCGCCGCGCGCTACATCCAGGAGCAGGGCTTCGACGGCGAGATGTCCACCGTGCTGGCGCGCGCCGTCAAGGAGCACGAGCGGTGCGCGCCCCCGCACGCGCACGGAGCGCTCCGCGCGCGCTGCCGCCCGTCCGCGGTGCAACCGCCAACGCTCCGCGTGCGCCGCGTGCGTGTGTGCGTGCAGGAAGCGCGACGGGTACCACAACTTCTCGGAGCACCCCGGCGACGCGCTGGCGTTCAAGTACTGGCGCGACGCGAACGAGGCGCGCCGCAAGGACGACATCGAGCGCTTCGCGAAGAAGGGCCTCGCCTGCTGCGTCACCGACGGCGCGCGCGCCGCGTTTGATGACTTCTTCGCCTCGGACAAGCCGCGGCCCGACGCGCTGCAGACGTACCCGGGGGAGATCAACTTCGTGCGGCTGACCGCGGAGGAGACGGCGTTCCGGCCGCTGCCGGTCGTGGGGGCGCTCGGGGAGGTGGCTGCCGCGCAGGTGGAGGGCGCGCCGCGGACGGGCGTGCGCGGGGCCTTCCTGCTGTTCAAGCCCGGGGGCGACGCGGGGCTGGAGTGGGCGTCGATGCCCGCGTGGCTCCCGCTCCAGAAGGCCAAGGCGCCCGTCGGGCTCATCGTGGAGGACTGCGCGCAGCACGCGGAGCTCCTGTTCACCGCGCAGGCGAAGAACAAGGACGACGCGAAGCGGCTGCGCGAGGGCGAGGCGATGATCATCGGGGACCGCCGCGAGGGGATCCAGGTCCAGCCCAAGGAGTTCTACCTCGTCGACGAGGTGCGCGGCCCGCCGTTGCACTCTGGAGCCGCGCTCGCGCCTGCGCGCCACCGCCGCGCACAGGCCACGCGCGCACCTGCGCTCGCGCTGCCGGCGTGCCGCGGCGTGACGACCGCTGCTGTTGCCCCGCGTGCAGGGCGGCCGGGCGGTGCTGGCGAGCGGCGCGGCGGTCGGGGAGCGGACAGTCCTCGCGGAGGTGCTCATGGCCGTGCGGCCGTTCGCCCCCGAGATGAAGGGGCTGGGGGCGAGCCTCATGAAGGGCGTGAAGCTCTGAACGGCCCGCCGCGCAGCCGGCTCGTAGCGTGCATTTCTTACCGTCATGCGCGGCCGGGACGCCGCGGGCGTGTGACGCGGGCGATCGAGAGCAGGGACCGTGTCGACATCGCGGAATTGGATCGCGCCCACGTGCCACGCGGCGCACGTTTTCGCCCCTAGGTGGCTGAAGGCTGTCTTCGCGGGGTGGCGATCCGTGGACCGGGCGAAGCGTGGGGGGATCGTTCGACGCGGCGTTTGTGGACTGCAGAAGGGTTACATCGCGCAACGGTTTGAAGGTTCTCTCTCACTCTACTGCCGCCGTGTCGTGACGGGGCCTCGGCTGCTTGCATGGCGCAGGGCACCGCGCTGGGCCCTGCCAGGCACGAGCGCTCCCACGCGTGCTGCGCGGTCGTCGCGCGGCCGGAAGAGGCCGCACGCGTCAAGCGCAGCGCCCGCGGGCCCGCTCGTGCGCCGTGGAAAGACAAAAGTGTTGCAGGGCGGGTTTGGGCTGTCACTGGTAGCCCGCGGCCTCCTTGATGGCCTCCACCTGGGCCGCGTCCATGGACTCGCGGTCCCACGAGTGCTTCTCGCCGCCAGCGTTGACCGCCCAGGCGTCGGCCGGCTCCTGTACGCACGAGGATAGCCGCCGCGCACCGTCATGGAACGATCCGAGACGGCGCCGCGAGGGCCGCGAATCGCAAGAACGTGCATGCAGAACACGGGGGGGCGCCGACGAAGTACAGGCGCGGGGTGGTGGCGACCGGGGCTCGCCTGCACTGATGCAACCGACGCCAGATCCTTGCCGCTCGACTTCCTGCCGAAGCCGAGCCTCTTCCGGATGGCACGCACGCCTCGCTGGAAGCGGTTCGCGGAGTCCGCGCCCGCCGCGGCCTGGTACTCCGTCAGGCCCTGCAGCTGCGAGAGGCCTGGGCTGTTGCGCGAAGCCTGGACGCAGGTGCGCGCCGTGCGCGCGTTGGTGGCGAGCCTCGCGGGGCGCGCTGCGGCGTGGAGAGAGGTGTTCATCGCGGGAGTCCGGGGAACGGTCGCGGAGGGCGTGGTCGGGGAGTTGTTGGGGTGTCGGTTGGACCTGCAGTGCAGCGGGGTGGCGCTGGGCGGTTGTCGCGCGAGTTATCGGTCGGAGGTCACGCGAGCGAGTGAGTGAGCAGTGTGGGAGGTGGGGAGGGCGGTTTCGGGGTCGGAGAGTGGTGGACGGATGCGTCACCGGAGGGCAAATGCGAATCAGGGAAGCGCCTGGGCCGCGCCGCGTGTCCATACTTTTGACGGCTCGCGTCATCGACGCGACTCGAAGTCAGTGGAGGAAGGGGCGGGGTAACGCAGAATCGGGAGCCCAGGCGCGTGCGCGACGCGAGATGCGAGGAAGGATGCGCGGTCGAGCCGCTACTACGCGCGCCCGGAAACAAACGCTGGGGCCTCGACGGCGAACCGAAACGCTTATTCCGCTTATGTACAGTGCCGTGAGCGCACCACGACGCCGAATCGATCGGTAAGAGCGCAGCAGGAGGGGGACGATGGTGCAGCAGCTCTGCGGGCGCTGCTGGCTGCACGGGGGGATGCAACTGGCGGCTCTGCGGGCACTGCAACGGCCCTGAGCAATGTGCGTTCGAAGGCGAAGGAAACTCCGCACGGACGGCACAGTCGAGCCCGTGCTTTGGCCGCCGTACTGAAACGAGACGGTTCGAGAACTCACCGATATCGCAACTCTGCAGCCTTGACCTTCATTCTCGAGATGAGACTGTAAAGGACTACACGGAGATCCGCGCGCGACGACCCCTCGACGCCCAGACGACCCGCGCGGGGGCAGTGGACCCTCTCGCGATGCTCCGTCCGAGTCAGCATGGCGTTCTCTGACGCGTCGAACGATGTTCTCGCCCGCATTTGGTCGCGCTGGCCAAGGTCCAACCATTCACCGCCAGATCGACCTTCGCGGCGTCCGTCGACCCCACTCCGCGCGCTTGCGGCGCGCCCTCCCTACCTCAGTGCCCCCCTGCGTTGACGGCATCCCCACGCAGCTCGCGAGATCACACGTCCCGCCCGGCGCCGCCTCGCGGAACCTCGCACGCCCGCAGCACGTCGGCCGCGGCCTTCGCGTCCGGCACCGACCGGAAGTCGGGACGTATGCCTGCGCGGTCAATGTCCGTCCCGCCCGGCGTCACGTAGCGCCCGACGGTCACGACGAGCCCCGAGCCGTCCCCGAGCTCGTACACCGACTGGATCAGGCCCTTGCCGTACGTCTTGTTCCCCGCCACGACCGCCCTGCAGTTGTCGCGCAGCGCGCCCGCCACAATCTCCGACGCGCTGGCCGTGCGCTCGTTGACGAGCACGGTCACGGGCAGGCGCGTCAGCGGCGCGCCCTGCGCGCGCGGCGGCTCCTTGGTTGCGCGCGCCCGCCCGTCCGCGACCACCACCGTCGCGCCGTCGTCCAGAAACAGCTTCGCCACCTCGATGCCCTCGTTCACGAGGCCGCCGCGGTTGTCCGTGAGGTCCAGCACGAGGCTCACGGCGCCGCGCGCCTCGAGCGCGCGCACGGCCTCCTTGACCTGCGCGCGCCGACGACGGGCGACCATCCGTTCGCGGTGCTGCGTGAAGCAGTGGCGAGACGCGGGCGGCATCGTGCAGCGCCGCACCTGCTTCTCCGCGAGCGCGTTGAACGACGTGATCTTGATGTACCCGCGCGGACCGCCCGCGCCGCGCCCCGCGAACGGTCCCGGCTGGTCCAGCTTGTAGCTGACGGGGTCCTTCGCGGGGATCGTGGCGGGCCGCTCGACCTCGAACGTCCGCTGCGTGCCGTCGGGCTTGCGCACGCTGAGGCGGACCGTCGCGGGCCCCGGCGCGGGGGCGTCCGCCGGGGCGCCGCCGCGACTGATCAGGCTGGCGGCCTGCATGCGCAAGCAGCGGCGGGGCGCGGACGTTCGAGACGCAGGCAGAGTGCGTCGTGGGAGCGTGCCTAGCGGATAGAAACCCGCGCTACGGACGCAGGCCGAGCACTGCAGGGTGAAGATCGGCCCCGCAATCGAGGAAGCAAGTCTTCTGTGTGATATTGCCGCTCCGTTCGACGCGCACCTCGAACGGCGAGACTCCGTCGAGCGGCACGTCGTTGATCGCGAGCAGCTCGTCGCGCTGCGCAATGCCCGCCTGCGCGCCCGCCAGGCCGTTGATTGTCCCCAGCACGAAGACGCCCCCCGGACCGCTCCCCTCCGGCGCCGGCGTCCCCGTCTTGGACGCGAGCTCCTCCGCAGTGGACAGGTTCAGGCCGATCCCGCTGATGTCGTACTTCCGCATGTCCTTGAACTCCTCCGGCGCCTGCACGGGCGGCACCCCGAACAATCCTGCCTTCGTTATCGCTCACCAAACAGATGGCCTTGCACCCTTTCTGAGTCCCGACGGACGGACGGCGCGCAGCTCCCCGCGCAGCCGCGCACAGCACAGAGCGAGTCGGGGCGCCGCACCAGGAACCTCGTGTACGGGTCCTTCGTCCCGCGTGCCATCATGCTGCGCGCCGCCCGGTACGCTGCCTGCTCGTCAATCAGGTCCTGACTCAGGGCCTCGTCGCGGAGCTGCGCCCAGCGCTCCCGCGAGAACCCCGCGCCGCGCACGTCCGTGAAGTGCTCGTCGATGACCTGCGGGCGGGGCGGGGGGCGGGCATGCGTGGGCGGGGGCGCGAGCACGTGGTGTGTTGGGGGGCGGGGTGGCGGGCCGGCGTCGCACCTGCCAGACCTCCTGTATGAGGTCCTGGGCGCGCTGCCGGCTCTGCGCGCGCTCCTCCGCGGTGGCGCCGGTCGGCACGGCGCGCCGAGCTGTGTCGACGGCAGCGCCGAGGCCGCGCTCCAGGGCGGAGTCGACGCGGCGCAGGAAGACGAACATCGATTCCTCGGCCTCGCTGGCGACGGTCGCGGCCGCGCCCGCCTCCGCCAGGGTCGCGGGCGAGGCGAACGGCGCCCCCTGCGCACCTGGCGCGGCACTGCACAAAAGTACGGACAGCGCAAACGCTGCCAGCCGCTGCAGAGCCCGCGGGCTGCGCGGCCCTATATCTTCCTCCAATACCATCCCATCTTCTGGCCGTGATGGCCACGCAGACGTCCGAAAACGGCGCTCGGGCCCAGCCTCTGCTTGATGGAGCGCTCTCCGCCCCGCGCAGCCCGCCGCGACGGCGCTCCGTGCTGCTGCTGCCGCGAACACAGCAGCAAGCGCCTGCGCCAGCCACCAGGCACCAAGCCACGCTGGAAGTGAGCCTGGGCGAGCGCCCGCAGCGCCGCGAGCCCGCAGCGCCATCTCACGCGCGTCCGAGGGCGGCAGGCAAGAGGGGGAGAGCGCTACCTGCCGCCTGCACAACGACCGACGAAACATCGCGCATCGCGCCGAATGAGACCCGTCCTTCCAGCTGCCCTGGTTCGCTCCCGGCACCCGTTGAACCATCATGCTCTCAGCGACACATCCAACGCCGCCCCCGCACGCACCGCGACAACACCGCGCCCGGCCACAGCTCGCCAGCGCCTCGGCGAGCCCGGTGTGGCGCCTCCGCGCCCGTTGCGCGCCCATGACCGCGGCAGCCGCCCAACTCCCCGGGAGCCCTCCCGCGCGCGGCGCCACTGACAGTGCACGACGTCCGACGCGACTCCGCCGGCGCTGCGACGTTGCCCGGCAGCGTCGGCTGCCGCCGGACTACATGCGGCCTCCCATGCCGCAGGGGACGCGCGTGCCTCTCCATTTCGCCGGCACTGGCGCAACCTCCTGCCCCAAATACAGAGCTGCGCGGCGACTTGCACACGCCCGTCTGCCGCCTAGATCGCAGCTCCGCTGCTAGCTCGCGCGGCAGTCCTCCGAGAGGGAGGGCGTCGTGTACCGTGCACGCGCCGGCTGCGCGCCTGCGTGGAGTTGCTCACAGATTGCACCCAGCGGTGCGGGAAGGCGTCCGTGTCCGGACCGGCCGGCCCGGTGACGGGCGCCCGCGAGCATGTTTGAGAAGTTCGCGAGCGGTTTCTTGAACAAGCTGCTCAAAGGGTACGTGCGGAACCTCGACCCCAAGGCGCTGGAGATCAAGCTCTTCTCGGGCGACGTCGAGCTGCGCAACCTCGAGCTCGACCCGAATGCGTTCGCCGCGCTCGACCTCCCGGTTCAGGTGAGCTTCCCGCTCGCCCCGCGCGGCTCCTCCTCGCCGCATATGCGGAGGAGAAGCTCGCACGCCACCAGCGTACGGATCCGTGGGCCTGTGCCGCGGCCACAGCGAGTTCGGGAGGTCGTTCCTCCACGAGTAGTTCGGGTCGCGTTGACGCTCGCGCTCGCCCGTGGGTCCCCCGCCGTGAGCGCGGGACCGAGGGATGGCGCGCCCGGGAAGGCTTTGCACTCAAAGCGGGGCGTTCGCGTCCTTGTGCGACACTTGCGGCTGTTTGGGCGATATTCGCGCCCTCAACATGTCCCACCTCCTCCTCACGCGGCATCTCGAGCTCGCCCGCGCGGGTGTGGCTGTTTCGGAGGGAGGGCTGGGACGCAAACCAACAGGGGCGACGCCGGTTTCTCGACGGCCGTGGCACTCTTTCTGCCCGAATCCCAGTGGAGCGTCGTACAGCTGTCCGTTTTCCGCTGCTCGACGCCATTTAGAGGGCCCGCAGGCGCAAACGGCCGTGCGTCAAGCTAGCACAAAAGCGGCCCCGACGCGCGTAGCGTGCGGCCGACGTCCCGGGTCCCGCCCGGCAGTCGCGGCCTGCGACATCCCGCACGTGTTCGTTCCGGCAAGCCGCCGTCTCCGGCGCCCTCACGCGCGCAGCGCCACCTCACAGGGTGTTGTCCTGCCCGGCCGCTGCGCAGATCCGGGCGGGCCGCGTGGGCCGTCTCGGCGTCCGGATTCCGTACCTCCGCTTCGGCCGCGACCCCCTGGTGCTCGAAGTCGACCGCATCTACGCGCTCGCGGAGGCGTGCGACGAGCCCGCTACCACCCCCGAGGAGCGCATCGCGCGCAAGCTCGCGGCGGTGAAGCGGCTCGAGAACGAGTTCGTCGGGTCCCTGAAGAAGCGAATGAAGGACGCCGTGCGCCTGGCGCTCGGGGAGGAGGATCCGCCCTCGAAAGCAGAGCAGGCAGCTGGGAATGGGCGCGCGCTGGCCATGGTGGAGACGATCCTGTCCAACATCGAGGTCAAGATCACCAACGTGCACCTGCGCTACGAGGACGGCGGCCGCGCGGGCGGCGACTCCATCGGCGCAGGTGCGCCCTCCCCCGCAACACCACTCGCGGTTTCCCAATTGCCGTCATCACAGAAAGAACGCACGCACGTCGGCCCGTGCCCGCGCGCAGGCCTGCTCCTCGGGTCCCTCAAGATCCGCTCCCTCGACGACACGGGCCGCGAGACCTTCGCCCTGGCGTCCGACCCCGACGCCGCCGCGGCCAAGGTGGTGGCCATGCAGGGCCTGTCCGTGTACTGCGACGTCGGGCAGCCGCTGTGGCGCGACAGGGACCCGCCGATCGACTGGGAGTTCCTGTCCTCGCTTCAGTGGGACGAGCACTTCCTCCCGGACATCGAGGCCGCCGTCGTCGAGTGCGAGCGCGTGGAGGCCGCGAGGCCAGGCAGCACGGCGCCGGCGCTGGGCGAGGTGGCCGGCGGCGCGGACCGCAAGCTCGGGCGGTGCGCGCTGCTGTCGCCCATGGCGATGAAGATCCTCTTCGCGCGCAAGTCGGCGCGCCAGCAGGCTGCGCTGAAGCCCGGGGAGAGCATGAACGAGGTGACGGTGTACGTGCGCGATGTGCGGTTCAGCGCGACGGAGGACCACTACACGGCGATGCGGTCGACGATGGACGGGTTCGCGCTGCGGAAGCTGCGCGCGCCGCACGCGCACCTGCGGCCGGCGGACCGTCCGCGAGGAGCCGAGGCGGTGCGCGCGTGGTGGGCGTACGGGGTCGGCGCGGTGACGCTGCACCGCCGGGGGACGACGGTGCGGTGGGACGACGTGCGGAACATGTGCCGGTACCGGAGGGAGTACGTTGCGAGGTACATGGCGGCCGTCAAGGGGGGTTTTGTTGACCAGGACGTCAGGATCCAGGAACTGGACAGGGAGCTCGCGGAGGGGACGCTGATCCTGTTCCGGTGCGTGGGGCCCGCTTGCGGTGCTGCGCGTGCGCGTGGGTGCCCTGCGGCGGGGGCTTGTTGCCCGGTGGTTCGCACCGTCTGTCTGCAGGGCGAGAAGCAGGGGTGCCTTTTCGTTGCTCTGCCTCGTTCGATCCGTCTTGGTCGCACACGCGGGAACAACCAAGAATCATATGAAAATAAATGAAGGAATAGATATCAACCACACAGATGGCAAACACCACCTGTGCATGTTGTTGTGTCGCGTGCAGGCGCCTCGCGCACCTCAAGATCCACCAGGAGCGCGTCCGCGAAGAGGTCGAGCGCGAGGAGGCGCGCCGGCGCTCGCAGTCGAGCTGGTTCGGCTGGGTGTGGTACGCCGGCGGCGGCCGCCCCCAGCGCAGCAACAACGACGAGGCCCTGCAGGCCATGGGGCTCTCCGGCGACGAGATGCTCGAGATCAAGAAGCTCGTGGACAAGACGCAGCAGCGCCAGCAGCGCGCCGCGAAGGAGGCCTCGCGCCGCAAGCACGTCGTCCTCATCTCCCTCAAGTCGCGCGTGGAGTCCCTGCAGCTGCAGCTGTGCGCGCACGACCTGCGGCCGGTGCTCGCGCTGGGCGCGCAGGACATGGTCGCGGCCGCGCAGGTCCTCCCGAACTCGCTCGACGCCGCGATGAGCACGGGGAGCTTCGGGTGCCAGGGCCTCGGCGGCGACGTGATCCGCTCCACGGCGCTGGACCGCGCGGACCGCCTGTCGCCGATGCTGGGGTTCACGACGGCCGCGGACCTCGAGGCCGAGGGGCTGGCCGTCGGCGACGCGGGCGCGCTGCTCGACGTCCCCGCCGCACTGTCGGTGCGGGTGATTTCCAAGCCGCAGGGCGGCGTGCCGCTGGACGCGTGCGTGTACGCGCGGCTGGCGCCGTCGTTCTGGAACGTGGACCGCGCGACGCTGGACGCGGTGGTCGACACGTTTGCGTACCAGTCGGAGGTGCCGCTGCACCCGATCTCCGGCGCGTACGTGCGCCGCGCGGAGGAGGCGGCGCAGTACGCAGGCGAGCAGGTGTCGCAGGCGGTGGCGGCGCGGGAGAAGATGCGGCTGGGGATCGACGCGACGCTCTCGGCGCCGAAGATCGCGGTGCACACGGCGGCGCCGCCGGCCGGGTCGACGGAGCGGCCCGTCGCGCTGGTGGTGGACCTGGGGTCGTTCGCGCTGCACTCCGACCGGGCGGTCGCGGGCGAGATGGGCCTGGACGACGCGACCGCGGAGGACTTCGACCTGCGTCTGCGGCTGCTGGGGCGGTCCTCGCACATCTGGCTGGTGCGGGGGGAGTTCGACTGGGACAGTCAGACGCAGGCGCACGACGCGTGGCAGGTCTCCGCGGAGCGCACGGCGCTGTCGGCGGACGGGTGCATGTCGCTGCAGAGCGGCAACATCACGTTCCCGCTCATGGAGGACCTCCAGCTCACGGGCGGCGCGCTCGTCGCCCCCGCGCGGACCCTCGCGGACCCCGGCCTGCGCGTGATGCTCAAGGCCGACAACGGGAAGCTGCACTTCTCGCCGCAGCGCGCGGAGATGCTCATGCGCATCGCGGACGAGCTGAGCGGCAAGAGGGCCGCGGCGGCCGCGCGCCCCGCGTGGCTGGACGCCTGCGACTGCGACGGGCCGCTCCTGGTGCTGCGGCGCTCGGAACTGGCGTCGCCGGTGCCGACGTGGGCGCCGATGCACGCCGTGCTCGTCGGGAGCCAGCTGTTCTTCCTCGCGACGACCGCGGAGGGCATGCTCGAGCTCCAGTTCCAGCACAGCGTCCGGTCGACGGCGCGCGTGTCGCCGTTGGCGCCGGGGTTCAGCGGCGGCGCGTCGCACGCGCTGGCGGTGCACAAGCCCGGCGTGGCGCTCGCGGCCGTGATGGAGGACCCCGACGCGGTGGTCCTGCGCGCCCGCGACGCCAACGACCGCGAGCGCTGGCGCAGGGCGCTCCGCGCCGCACGGTCGTCGACGATGGTGCGCGGGGAGGACGAGGTGCTCGCCGCGGTGGACCCGAGCGACTGGCTGCGCGGGCAGCTCGACATTACCCGGGGCGTGGGGCTCGAGGACGTCGCGGGGGGCGCGAGGGCGCCGAGGCAGCGCAGGAAGAAGGCAAAGCAAAAGGGGATGCTGCTGGGCGTGACGATGGGCGTGGCGTCAATCTCGCTGTACGGGCCGGCCAAGGTGCTCGGCGCGCCGGACGTGAAGCGCGCGATCGCGCTGTCGGGCGCCCCCGGCGCCGCGAACGACCAGTTCGAGGCGGACCTTGAGCTCGAGGTTCCGGAGGTGCGCTACTTCCTCATGTCTGCCATCGGCGCGGCGGTGGACATCCACGTGGACCCGCTGGCGGGGACGAAGATCCGCGTGCTGGCGGACGCATTGGCGGTCCGCAGCGAGCTCATGCGCCTCGTGGGGTGCGACGACAAGTACCTGGCCTCGACACACCCCCCGGACCTGTTGAACAAGCGCATCGAACAGCTGACCGCGCCCGCGGAAGTGCGCTCGCTGGCGGCCGTGCGGTCCGACAACTTCAAGCGCGACGAGTACCGCTGGGAGGACGCGGACTTGTGGGAGGACGCCCTGGACCTGACGCTGAAGCTGGCGCCGGTGCCGATGCCGGGACAAGCGCCGCTCCCGCCGCCGCCGGAGGAGCCCCGCGCGAACATGGACGTCGACGTCGTCCTCGGCACCTTCATGCTCCGCGTCGATCCCGTGTCCGGCGCAGCGACGCTCCTCCTCCTCGAGGCCCTGGGCGAGGCCGCGAAGGCAAGCAAGGTGGATGCGCGAGCGCCGCCCCCGCTCTCGCCGCGCGCGAGCGTCGACCCGGTGCCCGCGCAGGCAGCGGCGCTGCGGGCGCGGGACCAGCCCGCCGCGGGGGAGATGTTCAGCGCCAGCCAGAGCATCGCGATGCGGCGCACCACAACGCCGCTGCAGAAGGCGCCCGAGCTGGTGCTGCCGGGGGACCAGGGCGTGGAAGCGCAGCCGTCGCTGCGATCGTTCGACGTGAGCTCGCCGTCGCTGAGCCCGCGCGCCGGCACGCTGTCGCCGCGGCCGTCCCTCGTCAGAGACATTGGGGTCCTGGAGAGCATGGTTGCGGAAACAGTGGGCCCGGTCGCGGAGGAGGCCGTGCGCGCGGGCGGCGCGGCGGTGGAGCGCGCGCAGATGGTCGTGCGGCTCTCGCTGCGCCGCGGCAGCGTGTCCGCGGCCTACACGGGCCGCAACGCCCGCGACGTGGTCGAGGCCTCCCTTGGCGACTTTGAGCTGAAAATGGAGACCCGGGCGCTGCAGATGAGCATGGCGCTGACCGTCGGGGACATCTGCGTCGAGGACGGCGCGCTCCCGAAGGACCACGCGCACCGCAAGGCGCTGCGCGTCCCCGCGGGGAAGGGAGAACCCGTGGTGTCGGTCGAGTTCCAAACCGTGGCGGCGGGGCGCGCGGCGCGGCCGGCGCGGGTCGCGGACGACCGCGACCCCGCTGCGTCGGAGCGCGGCCGCGACGGCGGGGCGCGCGTGCCGCCGGGGCTGGCCTTCGTCCAAGTTGCCGCGCAGTTCCGCTCCACGGAGGTGATCTACCTGGACCGCACGGTGCGCGAGGTGCTGACGTGGCAGAGCGGCGTCTTCTACTGCCTCGCGCAGGCCAAGGCCGCGGAGTGGCCGCCGCCGCCGCCCGCGCTCGTCCGCGGCGTGTCGCGCAGCCGTCTGAGTGTGTCGCGGCAACCGTCGGTGGAGCACCGCGCCTCCCGGCTGTCGCTGGCGGAGTCCCGCGCGTCATCGATGCGCGTGGCGCAGGGGCCGCCGAAGCAGCCGCCCGCCGCCGTGCTGCTCGACGTGGTGCTGCACTCCCCCCTGGTGACCCTCCCGAGGTGCACGGGGAGCCGGGACGCGGTCGTCGTCAACATGGGCGTGCTGACGGCGACGAACCGCATCCTCGAGTGCGCGGGGCCGTCGCGGTACATCGACCAGATGGACGTGACGGTGCGGCAGCTGGCGCTCAGCACGTGCATGCGCGACGTGCCGTCGCGCAACATGGTGAACGAAGAGAGCTTCGAGTGCCGACTGGACATTCGCCGGCCGCTCGTACCGCACCCGGACGCCGCGGTGCGCGTCGCCGCGGACATTGGCGGCCTGTCGGTGTTCGTGACGGACCGCCAGATACGTTTCATTAGTATTGTGTCGCAAGGCAACTTCAAGGAGCCGCTGCGCGTCCCGAACGGCGCGCTCTTCATCCCCGCCGCGCACAAGGTCGCTGCCGACGAGGCGCGCTCGCTGCGGCAGCGCATGTCCTCGCACATCCACAAGCGGCACCGCTCGTCGCTGACGGCGCCCCGCCTCGGTCTGTCGGCCGTCGCCGAGGAGACGGGGTCCGAGATGGAGTCGGGCCGGCCGGCGGACGCGGGCGACGGCGGCGTGCATGCCCTCGCCGCGGCCGCGCAGACCAGCACGCCCCTGGAGCTCGTGGTCGCTCTCGAGTCAGCGGACATCAACTTGTACCGGCAGACGGGCACCAAGCGGGCGGGCGGGGCGCGCTGCGAGCTCCTCAGGCGGCGCCTGGAGGCCTCGCCCGTGCCTGGCGCGCTCCCGATCGCCCGCCTCGTCGTCGGCAAGCTGCAAGTCACCTACAAGACGAGCGTGCTCGAGCAACACGTGTCGCTGCGGCTCCCGCAGCTGCGCGTCGAGGACGTCCGGCACGCCGGGCGCGGCATGGTCATGCTCTCGAGCGGCATGATCGGCGTCGGGGACGGCGCGGTGTCGATGAGCGTCGCCATGCCTGATGGCGGGTCGAAGCGCGTCTCACGCGGGTCGCAGGCTCGGATGGGCCGCACGTTCGGGGCGAGCTCGACGGGCTTCAGCGACGACGGCGCAAGCGTGCTGCGGACGCACCGCGCGTCGCTGGATGTCGAGCCAGGGAGGATGTCGGCAGGCACCGCTGATTACAAGGCCGCGATCGGCAGCGTGGGCGGGCTCGAGCCGTCGCTCCTGCAGCTCGACGCCAAGCTTCGCAAGGACGGCGACGTCCCCGCGCTCGACGTCACCATGCGCCTGCAGCACCCGGCGATCCTGGCGGAGATGGAGTTCGTCGCCGCCATGCTGGTGTGCTTCGTGCCTGGCGCGCTGGGACCGTCCAAGGTCGATCTGCGGTCCTCGGAGCTCGACTTCGTCCTCTCAGCGGACGCCACGGCCGCCGGCGACCTCGTCCTGTCCCCCTTCGCGCGTCTCATCACCGACCCGGCAGTCCCAGGACCCGCGGAGATCGTGTACGACGGGGCAGGCACGCGGATCGTGCTGCCGTCGCAGACGTCGCTGGCGGCGACGGCCACGGCCATCGCGGGCCAGCAGAGCACGCAGCCGCAGCGCACGGGGGCGGAGGCGGCGATCGTCATCAGCGCGGGGCACGTCCTGCGTCTCAAGAACGTGACGGTCGTGAACGCGCCGGCGCTGCCGGCGCTGCTGTCCCTCGCGCCCGGCGCGCGGCTGCTGATGGAGCCCGCGGACGGCGTCGAGCTGGACTGCGCGTCCCGGCCACTGACGCGGACAGAGGTGTTGCAGCTGGTGGCGCGGACGCCGGGGCTGGGCCACGCGCTCACGCCGGACGCGCTGCGCGAGGGCGACGTCGAGGTCGGGCGCGATCAGACCGACGGCGGATTCGTGACCGCGCCGGAGGGTGAGGCACTGCCGTTTTGGATGTCGGCGGGGCTGAACCTTGACGAGAGCGGCGCGGGCGCGAGCTCGTCGGACGAGGACGACTTTTTGGTCGGCGACGACGGCGGCGAGGTGGAGCCGCTGTCACCGCTGTCGCCGAGCGCACGGGAGCTGGCGGCGAGCGCCACGGTCACGGACGTGATCGGCCGCACGTGGCGCCACGCGACGTCGACGCGCGACGTCCTGGGCGCGGATTTCCGCGCGACGGGCGACAGCCAGCGCTCGCTGAACACCGTCATGAGCGGGGAAGAAGCCGGCCGTGGGCCCGGGACGAAGGTGACGTTCGAGGCGACCGCGCTGGGCCTGTGCGTGGCCCTCGTGGCTCACTCGGGGTCGCAAGACCCTGTCGCGTGCTCGGACACGGGCGCCGACGCGCGCGAGTACATCCTGACGGGCATGGTCAAGATGGGGACGGACGCCGCGATCCAGTTTGCGATGGAGAGCGACGGCTCGTCCCGCGTCGCGGCGTCCCTGACCCACTTCAACGTCGGCTTCCAGCGCAACCTGTACGCGCACCTGCCCGCCGAGGCCGGGCGCGAGTTCGGCGCGGAGGCGCACGCGCTGCTGGGTGCCGGCGACGCCATCGACCCCACGTCGATCTCGGTGTCGGTCAAGCAGACCCCGGAGCGCCTCATGTCTGACTGCTGCATCGACCTCAAGCCCCTGTGGATCAACCTGAGTCCGGACCTGGTCGTCATCGTGTCCGAGGTGATGGAGACCGCGCTGGCCGCCATCGCCGCGCCCGGCCCGACCGAGCCGCTGATGCTGTGCAACAAGTTCGCGCGCGTTGCGGTGCTGCGGGCCGTCGACGGCGCCGGCGCTGCCACGCTGGCGGCGTCCCGCAACCAGACGCCGCCCATCTGCGTCATTTGGAAGCCGCGCGTGCCTCGGGGGTACCGCGGCCTCGGCCACGTCGCGACCGCGGGCACCGCGGCGCCGTCCCGCCCCGTCACGACCGTGTCGGTCTGCGCGGGCATCGCCGCTGACCCCGCGGGCTACAACTTGGTCTGGCCAGTGCCTGGGCGCGACGGAGCGCTCCCGGACTCCGAGGTGTACCTCTGGGAGCCGTTGCCTCCTCCGGGGTACGTCGGGATCGGTATGGTCGCAACGAAGACGCCGGTGGCGCCTGGGCCGAAGGAAGTGGCGGTAGTAAAGCGGGGGTATGTCAGCACGCACGCCAAGACGTCGCTGCTGCTCGCGCGGTCGCGATTCGCCGCGACGGCGGAGGGCATGGACCAGGAGGCCGAGACGTTGCGGAAGCTGGAGGGCAGTCGTAGCGTCGTGGCGCAGAAACGCGTGGTGACGGCGATGAGCACAGTGCGTGGCCGCGCAGCCCCGAAGCGCATGGACTCGGCCAAATCGCGGTGGAAGAAGGCGGCGTTCGCGACGAAGATGCTGGGGCGGCTCCAGACGATCGCCGCCGAGGGGAAGAGGTTCGAAGAGACGGACTGTGTGGACGCCAAGGGCAACCGAGTGCGGCTGGAGCTGTGGCCCGTGGAGAACAGCTGCTCGACGTTCGTGGCGCACGTCGCGCCCGTGCAGGGCGACACGCTCCTCGGGCCGCGCTGGAAGGCGTTCGACCTCAACACCCCCCTGGGGTGCACCCCGCAGTCGGTCTGGGCGGCGCTGCAGAACGCGCACACTGGCGCCAACGACCCGCTCGGGTCCGTCGCGCTCCCCGCCGCCGCCGACAACGTGCTCTTCCCCATCTCCAAGGCGCCCGCGGACGCCATGACGATCTCGGCCGCCGAAGAGGACCGCGGTGCTTCCGCGGCGTCCTTGGCCGCGGCACCTGACGACATCGACCAGACCTCCAAGAGCGTCCAGCGCGCCCTCTCGCGCATCCGCCTCGCAGCGCAGCACGAGAAGCTCGCCACACCGCGCCCGCACGCCTCGGCGCACAGCTCCGTCGAGTCCGCCGGCGGCATCAGCCTCGCGCAGATCTACACTCCAACGGGCGACTACGAGCCCGTCTTCGTGCCGGACCGCGAGGCCGTCGCGCGGCACGGCTCGGACCTTGTGTCGTTCTGGCGGCCCGCGGCGCCCCCCGGGTGGGGCATCGTCGGCGACTGCGTGGGCCCCAGAGACACGATGGTTCCCCCCGAACAGGCATACATTCTGTCCTTCACGCTGCTGCGCCCGCCGAAGAACGGGCAGGCGCTGGCGGCTCGGCCCGCGGGGTTCCGGCTGGTGTACGGGCGCGGGGGCGGCGGCGGGCTGCACATCTACGAGCCCGTGCCGTACCCTGGGTTTGTGCCGCTGGGGTGCGTGGCGAGCAAGGGGCCGATGACGCGCGAGGACAAGCAGCGGCTGTTGCGCAAGGTGGTGTGCCTGTCGAACAAGCTGGTGCGCACGCTGGACGCGAGTTCGAGCGAGTCGGAGCCGATCGAGACGCAGGTGCTGAAGATGGACGACGACGACTCTGTGCGGCTGGTGATCGCCGAGGCGGCGTGCCGCTCGTTCGCGCTGGACCCGAAGTACGTCCCGTCGGACGTGGTCGTCACGGCGCTGTACTGCCTGCGCCGCAACGCGTCGGAGATCATGCTCACGTGGTGCTCGAACTCGCGCAAAGGGCTGCGGCGGGCCATCGCGCAGCCGAGCAGGCGGCACGGCGCGGACCCCGGCGCGCCGGACGACACCAAGGTCACGCGCTTCAAGCTCTCGTTCGACGGCATCCAGACGAACCTGTGGGGCCCCAGCGGCACGCACTGGATCAAGGCAGTCCTCCGGGGGAGTGAATACTCCCTGAGCATCCCGGCGCCCGGGCTGATGCAGGCGAACGGGCGGCTGGAGGTCCACGTCAACGTGTTCAACATCAACGCGAAGCAGTGGGAGCCGCTGCTGGAGCCGTGGGCGGTGTTCTTCGTGCTGCGGCGCAACGGGACCCGGGAGGAGTCGCGCGGGTTCGAGCCCGGGACGACGCTGAAGATCCACGCGGACGGGAGCCAGGCGCAGGTGACGCTCGCGCACTCGACGCTGGCGTCGCTCACGGAGGCCCACGCGCGCATGGAGGACTGGAAGCAGAAGACGATCATTCTGCAAACCTCGGACGAGAAAACGCGCGCGGAGCTGATGTGGAGCATGTACGGCAACCTCGCGGAGCACGCGTCGTCGATGGCCGCGGACGACGGCGCGCGCAGCACCGCGCGTTCCGGCGCCGCGGCCGGCAACGCGATCTCGGTGCTGGTGAGCAACCAGCTGGGATCCGATTTGGTGATGCGGGTGGACCACGGGTACGGGCACATCACGCAGACGGAGATCCTGGAGGGCGCCGTCGAGGACGTGCCGTGCCCTACGGGCGTCGCCGCGCAGCCGCAGGTCCGGGGGGACTCGGACCTCGATGTCAGACTGTACATCTACGCGCACGTGCGCGGGTACCGCGCCGACCACGGCGGGAAGACCACGAGGAGCGACGCGGACGCCCCGGTCGGGCCCGCGACCGCCGGTCTCGGCCGCGACCCCGGCGTGTTCGTCACGGCGCGGGTGGCGTTGCAACAGTCCACCCCCGGGGGTCTCTCTCCCGCCCTGAGCGGGATGTCCGAGCTCGCGGAGGGCGCGCGGCGGCAGCTCCTGCTCGGGAGCAAGTCGCCGAACGTGTCGCCTGTGCCGCACGGCGAGATGGTGTGGCACACGGAGCCAACAGTGGCGCAGACCCGACCGCGGCCGTCGCCCTTCGCACCCGACGGGCCCGAGGGCGACGTGGCGTTTGGCGAAGTCCTCGTGCTCGACGCGCAGCTCCCTGTGCAGGAGGTCCTGGGCGTTCTCGCCGAGAGCGAGGGGGCGTGTGCCGACCCACAGTCGTTGTCGCTGTGTGTGGACCTGTGCCTCTGGGAGCACCCGGGGGGCGACGCCCGCCCGCACCTCATTGGCAGCGCGCGCACGCCGCTGCCCGACCGCGCGCTCAGGGCCTGCGTCCTGTCCACGCTGGGCCTCCGCAAAGTGCCGCGCTCTGCCAGCGCGTTTGGTGTCGGAACCCTGCTCCTGACCGGTCCGACGGGGTCCGCTGCCGGCATGCTGGGCTTCGGCGCCCAGGTCGACATGGTCGCGCCCCGCCAGCGCATGCTGTCGCTGCTGCGTCAGCAGATGAGCGAGCTCAACGCGCGCCCGGGCGTCGTCGTCTCGGCGCTGACCGCGTCGGCCAACCGCGCGATCTCGGCGCCAAAGCTCGCGGGATCGACCATCTGGGCCGTCCTCCCGAGTCTGCCGGGGCAGCGATCGACCGCGACGAGTGCGTCGATGGCCAAACAGCACGACCACGAGGACCAGACCGCTGTCAGCTCCCGCGCTTTGCTGCTCGGCAAGACGCCGATCGTCGTCGACAGTCAGATGCTTCCGGGCAGCCGCCGCGTGCTCGAGGTCGTCCGGTCGGCGTACAGGGTCACGAATCGGCTGCCGTTTGCGGTGGAGCTCTTTGCGGACGTTGTGCACGAGGACGCGGGCGACGACGGGGTCCCGATGACCCCGACCTCGCAGATCGCGGCTGCGACTCAGTCGAGCCGGCGTTTCGCGGCCTCGGGGCACACGTCGTCGTCAGGGACCAACGCGACAGCGACGTCCGGACGCTTCGTTGCACCCATGACCACGAACGAGGGCAACATCCCGTCGAACGTCCGCAGCGTTGAGATCGAGGTCCTCGAGAACCAGCGGTACAAGCCGTTCAAGGGCTGGGGCGGGAAGGGCCACCTCCTGCCCACCGACCGCCCCGCCTACACGCACCAGCACCCGGCGTCCAGCGACGACTTTCCGGACCCGCAGCCGCCGCGCGGCTGGTCGTGGGCCTCCGACTGGGCCGTGGACACGCGCGTTCGCGGCGTCGACGCCGACGGCTGGTTCTACGGGTTCGACTTCTTCACGTGCACGTGGCCGCCCAAGTACGCGCAGCGGTCGTCCGGTCCGGCGTCGTTCGTGCGGCGGCGGCGGTGGTACCGCAAGATGACGCGGCTGGCGCTCGCCGGGGCCGGCGCGGAGAGCGGCGCCGTCGAGGGGCTGCCGCCCACGCCGGTCGGCGCGCCTCCGGGGGAGTCACAGAAGTGGACGCGCGTGGGTCGGCTCGGGCCGGGCGAGACCATGCCGCTTGACGTCGACCTCGTCAACGGCGACACTGTCGCGCTGCTGACCATGCGCCCGGTCCTCACGGACGAATTCGAGGAACTCGGGGCTTCCTATTCGTGGCCGAGGATTGTCAAAGGGTCTTCGGACCTGGCCCTCGACCTGACCACGCTGGCGCCGGACAACCTGATCGTCTTCGAGTCCGAGCGGGCGATCGTCAGCGACGATGGCTCGCCGGTGAAGGGCCCGCCCTCGGACCGCGTCCTGGAGGCGGGGGGCTCCTCCGGTAGAACCCTCGACTCCTCCACCGGGTCTGGCAAGTACATGTCCGAGACGGAGCGCCTCCTGTGCGACAGCGGCCTACCGCCGCGGCTCTCCATCCGCGTCCGCGCCGCAGGCATCCCGCTGCCCATGGAAACCGTGGTCGGCAGCGGTGCCACCATGGACTGGCATCTGGTGCTCGAGGAGCCGCTGAAGCTCCGCAACCTGCTGCCAATCCCCTGCACGTTCGTCATCGGCGCCCCCGGCACCGGCGAGCGCGACATGCGGTACACCGTCGGCCCCAACGAGGTGGTGAGTGTGCAGGGCTTGATGGTGAGCACTGCCATCTCGGTGGTGTGCGAGCCGCGCGGGTACAGGTACGTCGACGACCCGTTCGTCATCGGCACGCCCGCCGGGTCCAAGCCGAGCGTGGATGCCCGCAGCGCGGGCGGAACGGTCACGGTTGTGATGGACGTGCGGCATGCGACGCTGGAGTCGCACCAGGCGAAGCTCGCGCTGCACTGGGAGGGCCCGCCGAAGACGTCACGGGCCGTGGACGGCTCGGACAGCACGAGCAAGAAGTACCGGGCTGCCTCGGACCTCGGGCGAGGGAGCATGCAGCTTGCGTCGGGCGAGCTGGCGGTGTGGGCGCCGATCGTGTTCGAGAACGTGCTGCCGGTGCGCGTGGACTTCGCGACCGTGCACTTCAAGGACAAGCGCCGGAAGGCGCTCGCGAAGGAGCGCGAGGCCGCGGCGCTCGCGCAGCAGAAGGCGGGCGCATCTTCCAAGGACGACCCCGCCGGCGACGCCGCCGAAAACCTGGCCGTCGCGGCGGCGGGCACGGCGCCGATGCGACTCACGACGCAGGCGAACGACTCGCTGGACTCGTGGGACCAGGACCAGATCAAGCACCTGACCGCGCAGGGGTGTCGCGGGACAGTCCTCCCGGGGGGGTTCGCGATGCTTGCGCTCCCGCCGCTGTCCGCCAAGGAGCAGCAGAAGGGGTACGACGTCGGCGTCGCGTTCCGCCTCCCGGGATCGGAGTGGTCGTACCCGATCGGCCTGGTGCAAGAGGGGCCGCGCCCCGGGGGACTCCCCATGCGGCTCATGGGGGCGGCGCGCGAGCTGGTCGCGCACGTCGTGCTGGGCGCGGCCGCGACGACGCGCTGCGGGTCGCCGACGTGGCAGCTCACGCTGTGGCCGGCCATGCGGGTGTGGAACGCCACCGGCATGCCCATGACGGCGTGGTTCCGGTCCGGCCCGGACGACCCTGCGTCGATGCGCGCCAAGGCCGACTCGCCCGCGCTGCTGCGGCTGCATCCGACGCCCGAGCCGCACGCCGCGGTGTGGCGGCCGAAGGGCGATGTGGGCGCGGTGCGGTTCCTGGCTGGGGTGCTGCGTGCGAGCGGCAACGCAGGCCCCGGGACGCCGCAGCACGAGGAAGCGGCGCGCGAGAACGACGACATGCAGAAGCACTGGACGCTGCCGATGCGGCTGTGCCAGGACACGAAGCCGCGGCACGTGACGATCGACCTCTCGGAGTCGACGCTGGCAAACCTGGGCAGTGTGGACTACCAGACGGTCGCGACGGTGCTGTCGCGCGGCCCGCTGGCGCTCGAGGTGCACATGGGCATCGACACCGCGGGCGTCATGCAGATCCGCCTCACGGGCATCATGTCTTCGGGCCGGAACGTTCTCGTCAACGCCAGCCCCGTCAACCTGCTCTGCGAGTTCCAGGCCATGTCCGACAGCCCGGGGGACTCCGGTAGATCCAACTCGGCGGAGGTGCGCCTCGGCGCGTTCGAGGCCGTGTCGGTGCGCTGGGACGCTCCGAACGAGAACACGCACGCCGTGGTGTACGCGCGGGAAGCGGACGAGAAGTTCGAGCGCGCGGTCGCCAGGGGCGCGACTCACGCCGCCCGCACGAGCGTCGACGCGGCGCACGACGTTGCGCGCACGCGGCGGTTCGCGATGGACTGCCGCAGCGGCGGAACGCTGCACTGCATGGCAGTGCGCTGGTCGCCAATGGCGCTCACGTCCTGGCGGGACCCCGTCACGGGCGCCGAGGCCGAACCCCCGGAGCCGTCCCCGACGAAGCAGGCGCCGCAGTCGCCAACGAAGCAGGGCCCGCAGTCCCCCAGGTCCCCCAAGTTCGAACCGTCGCCGTCGCGCAGGTCCTTCCGCGCGGACAGCTCGCGGCGCGCCGAAGCGCGGCCGCAGCCCATGCACGGACTGCGGGTTCTGTGTCGGAAGCGTGTGCAGGACCGCGGCATATTCGGCCCCGAAGCCAGCAAGATTTCGCCCGTCGACGTCCTGCTGCATGAACTCCGGTTCGAGCCGCACCTGGCGCGCGTCGACGCCGCGCTGCCGTCCGACAATGCGCTCAGCGACGAGGCCGTCGCGGCCGAGCACGAGCTCAGCGACGTCGCCGCGCCCTGGCTCGCGATGTTGCGCGTCCAGTTCGAGCCCAACGACGTCGCGCTGTCCATCATCGACCACCGCTCGACCGAGCTCCTGCTGATGACGTTCACGGGCCTGCGGCTGTCGTACACCACGGGGCTGGGCTTCCAGGGCATGCGGCGCATCCACGTGCGGCTGTCGGACCTGCAGATCGACAACATGTTGCCCGGCGCCCACTTCCCAGTCCTGCTGTTCGCGAAGCGGAGCACGTCGCTGCCGATCTTCGAGGTCGTGCTCGCGGAGGAGACGGAGGTGGCGCAGGAGTCCTCGCGCTGGCCGGCGCTCATCTTCAACTCGGGCGGCAAGCTCGTGCTGAAAGCCCACGAGACCCTGATCTGGAGACTGTTCGAAATGTTCCTGTCCGTGGCCGCCGTGCTGACGCGCAGCAAGGGCGCGACGGGCGACGACGGCCTGCAGGCCGCCGAGGCCGACCTCATCGTCAGGGCGCGCTCGGACCCGTGGGTGACCGTCGGCCACCTGGCGCTCGGCGCCCAGAGCCTGCGCATTGACTTCAAGCCAGACGAGGCCGTGCGCCCCGAGGCGCTGGTCAGCTCCGGGTACCTCGCGACCGTCCTGCCCGTCGTGTCGGGCTTCGCGAACCTCAGCCACCTGTGGGTGTCGTTCCTCGGCATCGTCGAGTCGCCCGCCATCATGCGCAAGAGCCGCATCTGCCCCGAGATCCTGGACCGCGTCAAGGGGCAGCTCATCGGGCAGTGGACGCGCGTGCTCATGGCGTCGGCGTGGTCGACGGGGATCTTCACGGCCATCAACACCGGGCTCGCCGCCGCGTCGCTCGACTCGGGGTGCGGCCCCCCTCGTGTGCCGCACACGTGTCATGCGTGGGCACATTTTTTTCACGCGCGTGGTTTCTCGCGTCCTCGCTGACGGTGTTCATGTCCTCGCAGCTGTCCTCGCCCTGCTGCTGTCCTCCCTCACCTCCCCGCGTCGTCCGTCCGCCCCGTGCAGGTCCCAGTCGATCGACTCGACGATGGGCGACACGCTTGTCGAGGGCGTCGCGCGCGGGGCCAAGGCGGCCGCGAAGAGCACGTTCCGCGGCATCACGGGCGTCTTCACGAAGCCCATCGAGGGCCTGAAGCAGGAGGGCAAGGTCGGCTTCTTCAAGGGCGTGGGCAAGGGCCTGTTCGGGGTCGCGGCGCAGCCCATCACAGGCATCGCCGCTGGCGTCGTGCACTCGATCGAGGGCGGCTGGATGTCCCTGAAGTCGACGATGGGCAACTTGCTCGGCGACGACATGCCGGATCCGCCCCAGGCACGCCTGCCACGCGCCGTGGGGCTCGACGGGCACGTCATGCCGTTCGACCGCCGGGCCGCGGAGGGCCTCGCGCTGCTGCACTGCGTCACCGCGGACGACACCTTCAAGACGAAGCTGCGCACCAAGGTGCGTGGGACGAGGCCGCAGGGGCCCGGCCGGGAAGCGGCCCGCGCAAAGTTCTCCGTGCTTCTCTCCCTGTGTTGCTGTCTTCGCCAACTCCTGCTGTGCCGCACGACGCCGCACGGTATTGCCCGCGACGCGCCCAGCGTCTAGGCGAACGATCACCGTCCCGAGAGAGATTCAGGCCTCGCGGCGTGTTGATGGGCGTGGACTGGTCTCATGCAGCTGCAAACACGTGTGGCCCTCCCCCCCCCGTCCGCAGATGCGCGTGTTCTCCAAGGAGGTGTGCGAGGCGATCGGCGACACGAACCTGATCCCGGCGCTGCTCACGGGGCGCACGGAGCAGCAGGCCGAGGCGGCGTCGACCGCGGCGGGCTCCCTCGTCCCCGAGATCTACGTCGGGCACTGGTACGTGTCGCGCTCGAAGATCCTCCTCGCGTCCACGATGCAGCTCGTGCTCGTGCATGCGCCCGCGGGCATCGACTTCGTCACCTCCCGAAGCCCCCCGCCGCACGTCAAGAGGCCAAAGGCCCTGTACGCCGTCCCGTGGAGCGACGTGCTGCACATCGAGACCATGGGCTACACCCAAACAGGCGGCCGGGGAACTATCTCGTCTGGTGCGTGCACGCTGCCGCCCCCGCCCTCCGCCCCGCCCTGCGGTTTGTGCCCACTTGCAACTCAGCGCGCTACCTCGCCTCGCGCGACTGCAGGCCGGACTGTGGGCCACAACGAAGCCGACGAGGAGGCCATCGGCAGCGACGACGAGTTCGAGGAGCGAGAGAGCGTCGACTCCTCGGATTCTCTGTCCTCGACACAATCGTCCATGTTCGCCGCACCGAGCAAGCAGTCCTCCGCATCGGCCCTGGCCGCGCAGAAGGAGCGCCGCAGCATCGAGGCCAGCGTGAGCCAGGTCGGACGGGCCAGGCGGGCGCCCAAGGCCAAGCCGGACGCCGCCCTGGCCATCCACCTGAAAGGCTTCTCCATGTCCGCGCCCGCGCGCTCGCGGCGCGGCAAGCGCGGCCTTTCGCCGTTCCTGCGCGTCGTGGACGTCAGGGGCACGGGCCCGAACGACAACTGCGTCGAGCTCGCACTGCAAATACGCGCTGCGTTGCGCGAAGTGCAGTTGCGCGTGCAGGGCACCACGCTCGGGACGCTTCCCGTCCTGCAGCCCTCGCTCTCGCTCGGCAGCGGGGATATGGGACCCCCCCGCATGTCGGGCGAGACCCCTGCGCCCCCGTCACCCGCGAGGCAGCTCGCGCCCCTGGGCCACCGCCGCGGCATGAGCTTCGACCAGGACGCCGACCTGGACGGGTCGAGCGGCGCTCTGATGTCCCCCGTCACTCCAGGCCGCATGGAGCGGACCAACCGCATCATGCCCGCGTCCCGGCCGTCGCGGCTTCAAATCCAAGTGGCACCCACCGTGCTGCGCATCGTCTGCGCGGCCTTCAAGGAGCTCTGGTCGCCGCGCAAGGCTACCATCGCATCCGGGCCGAGCGGTCTGGGCATGGCGCGCAAACCCATCTTCGGGCTGGCCGTCTTCGCGCCGCGCCCGCCCGCGGGCTTCGTCGCGCTCGGGCACGTCTTCCAGCCGCCGGCCGACCCGCCGCCGACCACCGTGATGGTCTACCGCGACGACGCGCTGTCCACGACGCTCCTCGGCGAGAGCGGCCGCACGAGACCCCGCCTGGCGCTGCCCCTGGAGTTCTTCCTGGTGTGGCGCGGACTGGGCGGACCGAACCACGCGCCGATCTCGATCTGGCGCGGCGTCCCGCCGCCAGGCTACGTGTCGGTCGGGGCGGTGGCGGTCGCGGGGATGCACGAGCCTGACATCAGCTGTGTCAGGTGCGTCCGGGAGGACCTCGCAGTCCCGTGCGGGCTGGTCGACGAGGGCAAGGGCGCGTGGAGCAGCGCGTCGACGCGCAAGGCCGACTGGCCGGTGTCGGTGTGGCGCGTGGACAACGAGGCGAAGACGTCGGTGGCTGTCAGGAGCAGGAAAGACCCCCCGTTCAAAATGGCCTTCACCGTGGAGCTGGGCGACAGCTAGGTGGCGCGGGGATGTGCGCTGGTTGGAAGCGGAGTTGGGTTGACAGTTAGAATTGAAATTAGGCACTTGCGTTTGTTGCTGTGTTGTGTTGCATGTTCAAGGCTCCGCTTGAGTGCATCGTGGAGCGTCAACGTTGCAGAATTAGTGCATGTGGAGCCCCGGGCGCCGCTGTGAGACCTGGTCGGCGTCAGTCTCCGTGGTTGGGCGCAGCCAGCGACGCGGCAACACTCGTGACGCAGGTCCCTGGAAAGCGCGAGGCACGAGATTGAGTTTGAGATCGTCAATGCGGGCGCGTCTGATGCAGCGCCGCCGTCCCGAGTGCGCTGAGCGGTGGATGGCATGCCGCAGCCGTCGAATTCTCGCTCAAGTGTCAGGGGGGGGGGATGCATCGGCTGACAGCTCTGCGGACCGTCAGTCTGAGACGGCCCAGGTATGCGGCTGTCGAGTGACGAACAAGCTACTCTTTTCAGAAAGGAGTCATGAGTCGCAAGGGAGACCTCGAGAGCGCTCTAAAGAATGTTCAGGCACGGAGAGCGGTGGTTCTGGCTGTTGCGCGTGGGAGGACGCAACCAGCGCGAGGCTCCGTCTCATCGCTCCGCACCTTGTCCACGTATCCGCCGCAGGATTTCCACGACGCTGACGTAAGCCGCGGGGCGGCGCGGGACGAGGGCGAACGCAGGAAGGACAGGAAGCGCGACCGCAGTCGCAGCGCGGAGCGAGACCACAAAAAGCACAAAAAGAAGGAGAAACACCACAAGAGAAAGGAACGGAAGGACAAGCACAGGCAAGGGCCCACCACACGTGGCGCCACGCCCCCCTCCCCCAACCACTTGCACCAGTGAGCGCCCTCTGCGCCGCGCACACGCGTTCCCGTCGGCATCTCTGCGCCGCAGATCGAGCCATGATCGGCACAAAGAGCGGCGCAAGCACAGCCGGCACGGCAGCCCTTCGAGCAGCGACGCGTCAGACAGCCCCCGCGGCGGCCGCAGGGTCCCGGCAGTCGCCGAGATCGACCGCGGACGCAAGAGCGTCGCAGCCTGCCAGCGCCTCCTCATGACGTTCCCCGCAGTGCGCTCCGACCTCCGCGCCATCCTCGCGCAGGCACGCATCCCGCAGTGACACCGCGGCGCGCTGCCCACCTCTCCGTGCTTCCCCGCAGGGCCCCGCAGCCGCCGTCCGGGACACCACGGCTAGCCCACGTGCCCCGCAGGTCGATTCCGGCGCCGGAGTCAGCGTCGCGGGGGTGCCGGACGACACCCTGCGGTCACATCTTGAGACCTTGCTGACGTGCTTGGGGCTGGCGTCGCGGGGCGCCGGGAAGCCGTTCAAGCTGCCGCGCGGCGCGCCGGCGCCCGCGCTGTCGTCCTGGCAGCTTCTCTCGCCCGTGCTGTCAGGGCAGCTGCCACTTCCCTCGACACTCCCCCCGGACCCTCTCGCGCCGCCGCCGGACGTGCCCGCGAACGCGAAAGCCAAGGCGGCCGTCCGGCCGAAGGACGACATGCCCGACGTCGTCCTCGGCGACTCGAGCGGCGACGACGCCCCCCCGGCCACCCGACCACGCACCGCGCCTACAGCACGACCCGCAGCGCCCACAGACGCCGGGGCCCGGGCGGCCGCGCGCGCGGAGGAGCCCGTGGGCCCAGAACCTCCACGCGCGGTCCGCGGCCCGGCCATGCCGACGCCGGAGCAGCTCGCCGCAGCGCAGGCCGCAGCGCACGCGGCCGCGGAGGACGAGCAGGTGGGCCCGGAGGTGCCGCTGGACCTCGAGGAGACAGACGACGCGAGGTGCGCGACGCGTTCGTGTTTTTCCGCGGCCTGCGCCGCTGCCCGCGGGCGTCGCAGCGGGCGCAGTGTACGCGCTTCGCCAAGGGCTCGTGCGCGTCACGGGCGGTTCTTTTCGCAGCACGGCCGCCCCGACATCACTGCGAATCCGCTCCCGCGCGGGCGCTGTCGCTGCGCAGGGTTGCGGAGGTGCGGCGGATCATGGGGGTGCTTGCGCAGGCGCCAAAAGGCCCGGACGGCCAGCCGCGCGCCGAGGCGATGGCGTACGAGGTGGTGGGCGTGGAGCGCGGGGCGAGCGCGGCGCAGGTCCGGCGGCGGTACATGCGGTCGTCGCTGTTGGTGCACCCGGACAAGTGCGACCACCCAGAGGCGCGGGCGGCGTTCCAGGCGCTGAGCAAGGTGGCGGCGCAGCTGCAGGACGCCGAGGGGCGCGCGGTGGTCGAGGGCGCAGTGGAGGACCAGGAGATGTGGGAGCTGGCCAAGGTGAGGGCCCTGGCGAACCGAAGAACGCAGATTGCTGCATCACGCTCGAATCCGCTCGTTTAACGTCCTTTTTGGTATTGATCGCGCACTAACGCAAGAGTGCGATGACGTACTGGCCGTGCAGACCGTGGCGGCCCAGCAGGAGCGCGCCGGCGCCTGGGAGCGCGTCCGTGGCGGCGGGGGCACCCCTGGCGCTGGTCTGACGGGCCCGGAACTCCCCCAGGCGCGCGACACGTGGATGACGGACCTCCCCGCGCTCCCCACGCGCGCCGCCGGCGCAGAGGGCATCACCTCGAAGACCGCCTTCGCGCAGAACTCGCGCGAAGTAGGCGACCGCTCCGGGTGGCTGACGGTCGGGGGAGCGGCGCCGGCCGCGCCGCCGGGCCCCGCTCCGGCATCGCTGCCGCGCGGGGCGTACGTCAGCTCCGCAGCGCTGCGCGGGGAGCCGGAGGCGAAGGCGCCGGCGGCGAGCGGCGGCGCTGCGACAGCACGGCAGAGCTTGCTGGAGAGGCACCAGGAGGAGCTGAAGAAGCAGAAGAAGTCGAGGAAGGAGGCGGAGAAGAAGGAGGAGCGCGGGGGCAAGGCCGCGGGGGAGTCGTGGAAGGGGGTGCACCCGTGGCGGCCGTTTGACCGGGAGAAGGATTTAGAGGCGCCGCGGCAGGGGGCCGTGCTGGACAAGGGCAAGGTGCAGGAGGGGTTCCTGTCGCGGTTCCGCAGCGCGGGGTCGTAGCGGTGTTCGGGGCGGGGGGGTCCGTGCCCAAGACCACGAGCGAATCGCAATCGTAGCGGTCATGATAACCCCCCCCCATTATTTTATATTGACCTGGTCGATCGTCGCGTGCTTGCTCAGAGCGTGTGCTTGGGCGGCGCTGCGGCTCGCTCACGGCAACGTGGTGTCACAAACACGAGGCGCGCGCACGGCCGACTCTGTCCGTGTGCAGCAAGGGCCTTTCGGCGCCTGCACAGGTTTGTGGTCCTACAGGCCGTCGGAGTCCTGGAGCGCCTGCTGCACGGAGGCGCCGAGGGCACGCTGCTTGTTCTCGCGAGCGATGCGCTTGCTGTGGTCGGTCATCTCGCGCAGCTGGGCGGCCTCCGTGTTGCCCATGTTGTCGCAGAAGTCGCTGCAGTACGACGACTTGAGCGGCTCGACCTCCTCGTGGTCCGCAACGGCCTTCATGGTGATGTGCGACGCCTGCACGCGGCGCGGGGGGGCGAGCGCGAGCCGTCAGGCCCGCAGGGAGGGTGCAGACAAGGGCTGCCGCGCCGCCGTCGCCACGCGATGACTCGCGGCTCTTAGACGACGATCAGCTCCAAAAAGATACGGGCATCCTTCCAGAAAGGGCACGGAGCGCAAAGACATCGGCTCTCGGCGGGACGAGCGCCACATGCTGGACACACGCGCTGGTGACTCAATTCCGGGGGCGTGGTGGGCCGCGGGGCGCTGCGCTGCTCACCCTGAGGTCCTTCTTGGTGAATTCGTTCATCTTGTTGCCCGTGAAGTCCTGCAGCGGCACGCCCCCGTGCACCTCGGTCCAGAGCTGGTCCACGTCGCTGTTGGCCGCCCGCGACGCCGTCGCGTGGCGGTCGTTCCGCCACCACTTGTGCGACTCCGACGACTGCGCCCCCTCGGTCTTCCCGAACGTCCAGTCGCGGCGCCGCGCGCGCTTCTCGAGCAGCACGGACGGCCCTGCTCGCACATCCACGCGTGGGGGAACGACTGAGCGCGCCGCCGCCCCAGCAGACACTCCACGCTCAAATCTCATCGCAAATGGACGCCATGGCCATGAAAAATGACATCATTATCAATACGGCGCGCGTCATCGACCGTCTGTCGCGTCGCAGCGCTGAAGTCGTGTGCAGGTGTGCGGCCAGGTCGTGCCCCGTTCCGCCAGAGCGACGCGCGACGACACCGAATGCGCACCGGGCGCGAGTCTGCCCGGCAATCCAACGACGTCGGGCGCGAGGAGCGTCGCGTGCGGCCGAGCAGGAGGCCGCGGTGCGAGAGCAGGCGGAGGTGGACTGCTGCGTGCGTGGGGTCGCAGGCGCGCACCTGCGTAGCCCGCAACCCACGAGCGTCCCTGGGGGTCGACCTCCGTCATTGCCGCGGACTGCTCGGCGGCGCTGTGCGTGCGGGCGTCCTCGGCGGGGCGTGCGCCGGGAATAGCAGGCGCTGTGTGCGCTTCAGGCGGCGCTGGGACCGAAGCAGCGACGTTCGTAGGAAGGGAACGGCGTCACGAGGACAGGAAATCGGGACAGTGCGCCCCGCGGGCGGCGCGGTGGCCTGAGGTGATCGGGAAAGCGGCGAACCTCGGTCGCCTCTCCAGGAGACTCCTGGACCAGCTGACAGACGGGGAATCTCGTCTCCGAGCCACGGGCATGCACCAAGACCTGGTCACAGCCACCACACCGGCCCCTGGCCCGCGCGCCCGTCACGCTCAGCCGCAGCGACCCGCGAGCCTCGCCCGACGGCACCGTGCTCGGCGCGCGCCAAGCGACGCGGACGCGCTGCGCAGCGTTGGCCCCGTTCCCCCCCGGGAGCCCCCGCAGCCCTTTGCCGCCGTCACGGCGCCGGACCGCGTCCGGACTCGCACGACCACCCGGCTCACACCGCCGGCGCGCACGAGACGTCGCCGAGCGCGGCGAACACGTCCGCGATGACGTCGTTCGAGACCAGGAACCCCCCCGGGGATGTCAGGCGCGCCACCGCCGGCACGGGCCCCGAGGAGCCCTCCGCGACGACGCGGCCCTCCGCGACGTGCGGCGCCAGCGCGCTCCAGATGCGCCCTGCACGTGCAACCGCCCCGACGACGAGCGTGTGGAAGAATCCTGGGATCGGCGGCGAACATCAAATACCGAAGTGAGACTGAAAAGGGGACGAAACGGGTCTCCAGGCGAAGCAAGCACCGGTCGATCCCGAACTCAACACGCACCTTTCGCGTCCTCCCCATATTCGCGCCCGACCTCGTCCAAGTCGAGGCCGTCTGCGGTGCGCAGCCGCAGCATGACGGCGTCGAGCAGCATCTCTGCGTCGTCCTCCGGCGGCACGTCCCGCAGCCCGGGAACGCCCCCGCCCGACGCGGCGAACTCCTCCACCCACCGCTCGTAGGCCGGGATGGTCCGCGGGCGCGCGACGCGGCGGCGGCGCAGGAAGCTCGTCGCGCCGACGCCGACGCCGAGGAACGCCGCGCCGGACCAGTACGCCCAGTTGTGCCGGCAGCGGTGCCCCGGGAGCGCGAAGTTCGACACCTCGTAGTGCTCGTACCCCGCCGCTGTCAGCACGCGCGACGCAGCGCAAAACATGTCGGCCGCCGACGGCTCGTCCGGCAGCGGAGCGACCCCCGGCTCGTACCACCGCGCGAACGGCGTGCCGTCCTCGACCTGGAGGTCGTAGCACGAGATGTGGTGCGCCCCCGCGTCGACGGCGCGCCGCAGCCCCTCCTGGTACGTGGCCAGCGTCTGGCCCGGGAGGCCGGACATGAGGTCGAGGCCCCAGGACGGGACGCCCGCGGCCTTGACGGCGTCGATCGCCGCGAAGACCTCCGCGGTGCGGTGCGTGCGGCCGCACTTCTCCAGCTGTGCGTCGTTGAAGGACTGCACACCCATCGTTACGCGATTGACGCCCGCTGCGAGGTACGCCTCCATGCGCTGCTGGTCGAACGTGCCGGGGTCGGCCTCCATGGCGATCTCCGCGCCGTCCGCGATGCCGTACCGCGCGCGCAACGTGTCGATGATTGACGCGAGGAGGGGAGGTGGCACCAGCGACGGCGTTCCTCCCCCGAAAAAGATCGTTCGAAGCGGCCCGGACCCCTGCGGTGGTGCGGGGGGCGTGGTGCGCTCGTACGCCGGGCGCGGTGGCTCGAGGCGCGGGCGTGAGGGCCGGGGAGGCTGCGAGGAGTGCAAGCCGCGGTGCTCCGCGGAGGGCCCGCGTCATGTGCGCGGGGCGCGGGTGAAGGGAGGAGATCGGTGTGGTCACCTCGTTTTCGGTGAGTTCGATCTCGCGTCGAACCAGCTCGACGTAGTCTCGGATCTTATGTTGCGTGTGCTCAGCTGTTGGGTTCTTGCCGACGGCGTGCACTGGGAAGTCGCAGTAGTGGCAGACGCGCTTGCAGAAGGGTAGGTGGACGTAGGCAGACTGAACTGGCGCTGATTTGGCCGCGTGGGGCGCCGCGGCGACGGTCGACTGGCACCGCACAGCCCTGCGCCGGCCCGCCACGCCGCTCAGCGGCATCTTGCGCCGACACAGAGCCCGCGTGATGGCGGCTACGTGCTGAGCTTGACACATTTGCCCCTCCTTGCGACTCGTTTTCCGGTATCAGGCGGCACGGAGCACTCCTGTCGTGTGCAACCACCAACTGCGCGACGCAACCGACGCGTTCGAACGCGTGCGCGCCTTCAATATCCCGCTAGGTCGTAGCAAGGCGCGCCTGCACGCGACGCCAACGGCCCGCGACCTTCCGGGCCCGTCGCACACCGAGCCATCAGGCCCCCGGGAGGCATGAACCTTCGGCTGAGTCAGCTGCGTCGCGACGGGAGCGACAAGCGACACCCCCCCCGGCCCTGGAGCACGCGCGCGACCACGTCGGTGCGCACTCGGCGCCCCGGCGCTCCATCGTCGGACGTCACACACTCGTTGCGTGGCATGGCGGCGCACTGGGGCCGGGAACAAAATCGTTGCGAAGCGAGCGGCGCGGCGTCACGCGCGGGCCGGCCTGAGTCCCTCGATGCGGAGGCCCTTGACGGCCAGCTGGTACCCCTCCTCCTGGAAGCCGTCGGCCGCGATCCGGAGCACGCGCACCGCCGTGTCCACGGGCGCCGTGCCGCCGCCGGGCGCCGGCCTGCCGACCTCGGCCGCGTACGACGGGTTGCTGGTGCGCAGCGCGGCGGGCGGGCTGCGGTGGGAGGCCAGTTCGGTGAAGTCGGAGGGCTCGGCGCCGTCAAGGAAGTTGCGCTGGCCGCCCATGGTCTTCCACGCGACCATGCGGGACCCCTCCGGGCGCGTGGGGCAGCCGTGGTGGAAGGTATACCGCGACACGCGCACCGGGAACGGGAACGTGAGCTGCGGGGAGGGGACAGGGCGACGGTTTGGCACTTGGCACGAGGGGCTGCGCAAGAATACGCTTCCTTGCGGTCAGCATTGGAATCACGCGAGGATTCCAGCCTGCTCGTGCGGTCGACAGGGCGGCTGGGGCCCGTGCGACGCACCGCAGGGCGGAAGAACACCACCCGACGCTTGCGGGCGCGTCCAGCTCGGCAGGCGCGTGAGGAGTGGGCGCAAGCAAGCGCACCTCGATCCAGGGGTGAGTGTAGTGCCCTGCGGTGGCGAACCCCGCGACGCCGTTCCCGAAGGGGTCCTCTTGGAGGTTGCGCACGATGTGGTAGGTGTCGCCGTAGCAGGCCGAGGACGTCCGGATCTGAATGCGGTCCACGATGGCCTCCCAGTCTAGGGGAACCCTGCGGGGCGGGATTCGTGGGAAGATGCGCAGCGATCGGCGTGTGCAGGCGGGGACAAGCACCGCAGCGCTGGTGAGGGGCCACGGCGCCGTGCGACGCGGCGGGGCGGCATGGCGAGCGCGCACCACTCGTCAGAGGCAGCTTGATCGCAGGAGGTGTCCTTGGCGATCTCGGCGTTGCGGATCGTGATGTCATAATTGACGTCCGCTGCCTTGACGTCCGAAGGCTCCACCACTTGCGGGGCCACTTGCGGGGCGGACGACGCGTTGCCCATGGCTCCAACGCTCTCCTTTGGGCGCACGATTAATGAGCGTCCGTCGCGTGCGCCTCCGTTCGCCATTGACGCATTCGGCGCGACACAGCGCCCCGGGTCCTCCCCTCGCTCAGGACCTGTGGCCTTTTCAAGTACGCCGTAATTGGCCCCTCACATCCCCTCATTCGACGCGAACGACGTCCTGTGCACCTGTGACGCGCCCTTCAATCACCGCGCGGTCGCCACCGCGCCCCATCGCGGGCCCTGCGACATGTCACCACCACCACGCTGCCCGCCACCCCGCTGCGATGCTCGACAGCGGTGCTGCGGTCGCGGAGCGCCAGCCCGCGTTCCCGCGCGCTCCCGCGCCCGGCACGGAGGCTCTCACGTCGCACGGGTTCGACGGCACAAAGGGGAACGCGGATGTGGAGCAACGCACTCGCTGCGACTGTTCCAGCACGCAGCAGAGAACGTGACATGCTGCGAATTACAGAGAGCAAGGGCGGCCCGGTAGCGCGGGCGCCGCGTGAGGGCCCGCGCGCTGCGCCGGTGTGCCTGCCCCGTGTGCGGTGCAGGGCGGCCTGTGCCGCCATGCGCTGCCCTAGTAGCTCTGCGGCGAGCCTCCGGGAAGGGCTCGCCGCAGGCCGGGGAGTGAGGAGTCGGAACGCGCCGGCCGTGTGTCTGTCGACCGGCCGCCGGGGATTCTTCCGCGGTCGTCCGCGGGGGGTGCGCGGCATGCGCCTCTGGACACGATGGCCGTGGGCGGGCCGGCGAGTGATGCGCGACGTAGTCGCCTCTGTGGGAGCACGCGGGGGAGGGAAGGGTCATACTCGAACCTCGCGTGACGTTGCGAATAATTGGAAATTGGCAGCCACGAATTGGCTCTCAGTGGAGCAGAGGGGGGGGGGAGGTGAAAGAGAGAAGGGCGGGAGGGGAGGGGTGTTGCAGTTGCGTGGCTGCACGCGGCGTGGAAGCGACAGTTGTGAGCGCGTGGGGCTGGGATATGATTTGAACGAGGAGGGTTGGAACTGTGTCGTCCTTGCTCGGCTGACGCAGGTGTGTGAGCGCAACGAGTGCCAACGAAGTACGAAGGGGAAGGCGGGGAGGGGGGAGGGGGGAGATGGAAGGGGGGGGGGGGAGGGGGGGGGCTGCTGTCAAGGACATGCGCATGCGCGAGTTGCAGTTTCCACCGCATGTCATAAATCTGTGCAGGCAGTGCATGGTGGCAACGGCTGCGTGCGCAACCACGCCCATGCTCTGCTTCCGTGTTGTCTGCGGGAATGCAAACTGCCATCGCTGTGGAAGGAATCGGGCCGGGCGACCGCTGTGCCGCCCCGGCCGGCAGCTGCGAGGCGACGTTGGTCGCGGCCACGTGAGGGCGTCACTCGGCAATCGCGCCCATCGGCGGACAGCCTGTCGCAGACACCCGCAGTCCCGGGAGGCTGGGGCGCGGGGCCTTGTCCAGCGCCGAGCCCAGCGACATCACGCCGGGCGGCGCGCCGACGGCAGAGACGCGCCGCGACCCGCCCGGCGCGTGCCCGGACACATTCGGCGTCGCGTCGTCCTCCCCAGGGCTCCCGTCGAACGTCGTGTGCTGGCTCAGCAAGCCCTTGCGCGACAGCACGCGGCCCATGAGACGCATGGTGGACGACACGCCCGCCGCAGGCGCCACCGCGTCCGAAATGCTGCTCTTCGCCTCGAGCGGGCGCTCCTCCGCGGACGGCGCCCCGTCGAGACGCGCGTCCCCGATCGCCGAGCGCCGCACGCCGCCCGCCGCGGCGACGGGCGCCTCGATCCCCGACGCACCGTACCGCCCGTGCAGCGTCGCGAGCTGCTCGAACGCCTCCATCATGCGGCGCGTCGCGACGCGCTCCGCGATCAGCTGCTTGAGCGCTTGCTGGAGCCGCGGCATCGCGGTGGCCAGGCGCCCCAGCGCAGCCTTGTCCACCACCAGCGCCGTGACGTCGGTGACCGCCCGCACGGTCGCGGTGCGCGTGGCGCGGCCGAGCAGCGTCATCTCGCCCACCACGTCGCCGGGCCCGATGTGCGCCAGCACGCGCACGTCCTCCGCCGCGGCCCCCGTGCGCAGATGCTCATCCAAGACGTTGGCGGTCTCCGCAGCCTTCATAACAAGATACTCGAGCTGCACGCCCTCGTTGTCTTCCTGGTCCGCGTCGTCGTGGCGGGGGGCCTTCTTCGCCGACTTGTGCGACTTGTTGAACACGCCCTTCCCGCCGCGCGCCGCCGCGACGGCCCGCTGCATTGCCGCGTCATCGATGTCGCTCTCCTGGCGCGCGCGCTTCGCCGGGTGCGCGCCGTCCGCCTGGAGCGACCTGTCCGAGAGGAACTTGTTCACCGGCGGCTGCTCGGCGCCGCTCGCGTCGCCCGGGCACGAGCTCTCCCCCCGCGCCGGCATCGTCTGCGCCAGCGACACCTGCGATTCCGCCACGCCCGGCAGCGTCACCGCGATGCCCGCCGGCGCCGCGCCCAGCTCCGCCATCGAGTCGTCGTCGCTGCTCGACGACGACGCGCGCCCGCCCTTGGCTGCCCCCTTCGGTGCCATCATCAACATCATCGATGCTTCCGAGACGTGCTTGCTGGTCAGCCCCGACGCGTACCGGTTCACGGGCGGGACGCCGCGCGACCCGCTGCTGCGCAGCGTCGTCGTCGCGCCGCCGCGGCAGTCCGCGACGCTGCTGCCCTCGCTGCTGCTGCTGTCGTCGTCGTGCATCAACGCCTCGTCCGCGGCGGCGCCGCTCGCGCCGCCCATGTGCTTCAGGACCTCCGCGCGGCCCGTGATGATGAAGAACATGCAGTCGCCGTCCTCGCCCTCCACCATCAGGTCCTGCCCGGGCCGCCAGCTCTGCCGCGGCACCACGTCGCGCAGCCCGCCCTGCGCCTCGATGTGGCCGACGATGTGCGCGAACCGCCCGCCGCCGCTCGTGGCCACCGGCATATCGCCCGGCGCGCGCGGCGCCTCGCTCGCCCGCGTCGCCGCCCCCGCGCGCGGCGTCATCGTTGCCGTGCTCCCGCACTCCGACGCAAACGCCCGCACCGGCCGCGCCGCGGGGCTCGGCGGCGCGTGCGGCGCCTCGGGCCGCTTCCACGGCACGGCCGGCACCGCCGCTTCGCCCGCGGAGGACTCGCGATGCGGCGGCTCGACGCGGCTGCCGGGCGTCGACGCGTAGCCGCGCCCCGACGGCTGGGAGTCGACGGCGGACTGGCGCGAGAAGCCCGGGAGCGGCCCGAGCGCGTCGTCGTCGAGGTCGAGCACCTCGGCGAGCCACGGGTGCGTCACGATCTCCTCGACGGTGGGCCGGCGGAGCGGGTCCTTGTCCAGCATGCGCGACAGGAGGTCTTTCGCCAGGTCGGACACGGGGGGGTGTTCGGGGAAGACGAGGTCGTCGTCGGAGATGGCGTCGTACATCGCGTACGTCCGCATCGAGAAATCCCCGAACGGCAGCCGCCCGAACAGCAGCATGTACAGCGTGACGCCAGCGGCCCAGAAGTCCGCGCGCACGCCCGAGTACTCCTCGCCGCGGCAGATCTCCGGCGCGAGGAACGCCGGCGTGCCGTTCACCGCCAGGAGCTTGTCCTCCTGCCCCGGCGCGAGCGTGCTCGCCGACCCGAAGTCCGCCAGGCGCACGAGGCCGTCCGCACCGAGCAGGAGGTTGTCGGGCTTGATGTCGCCGTGGATGACGCGGTTGGAGTGGAGGTAGTCGAGGCCGTCGACGAGCTGGATGAAGTAGTCGCCCGCGGTGGTTTCCGACAGGATCTCGCGACTGCCGTCGTCGGCGTCGGTGCACACGGCGACCTGCACGGGGCCGCCCTCGACGTACTCCATGACGCAGAGGAGGTGCGGGGCGCGGTCGTCGTCGATGATCTCGTACACGTGCACCACGTTCGGGTGGTCCAGCGACTGCATCAAAGGGCGGGGGTTGCCATGGGGTGGTTCAGCTCAGCCGCAAGCGTCGAACGAAGGGAACGCGTGCGCGGGTGCACGGCGCGCGCACTGCACCGCCAGAACCCCGCTCCCGCGAGATAGCCGAGCAGCGCGTGCGCGTCAATTGAGAGACCAATAATAATAATAATAATGCTGGTTGCAAACTCGTCCGCGCGTCCCGGCGCCGCACCTTGAGCACCTCCGCCTCCTTCTTCAGCGTCGTCGCCTTGTCCGCGCCCTGCCGCTGCCCGAACGCCGGCCGCCGCGCGCGCCCGGCGCCCGCAGGCGCCTTGATGACCAGCTTGACCGCCACCAGCTGCTGCTCCTTCAAATCCATGCACAGCTTGACGTCGCCGTTCGCGCCGGACCCGATCGTCTTCACGATGTGGTAGTGGTTGAAGAAGTTGGCCGTCCGCCCGTCGACGCTCCCGATGTTCAGCTTGCGCGTCTCCACCAGACGGCTGCTCTGCGACTGCGCCTCCGTCGTCGCGCTCAGCGCCGACACGCCGCGGCTCATCGCCGGGCGGCTCCCGAGCGACTTGCGCACCGCGGCCTCGGAGCCGCCGTCCTGCGGACCCCCCGCGGCCGCCCCCCACGGCATCGAGGCGCGGATCGCCTTCGGAGTCGCGGACCGCGGCGACGGCGCCTGCGCTTCGTCCGCGCCCGGCAGCGCCGCCGACACCGAGTTCGTCCGCCCGAGTTCCGGCACGCCCCCGACCTGCGCCATCCACGCGCTCGCCGTGGACCCCCCCCGCAGGATGCTGCCGCGGCGGCCCCCGTACAGCGACCGCCCGCGCTGCGCGACCGTGAGCGACCCCGTCCGCGACCCGAGGCGCTGCGACCCGATGTACCGCGCGATGTCCTCGAACGTCGCGAGCTGCTCGTCCTCCACCACCTTGCGCACGTCGCCGCCGATGAGGTGCCGCCGCTTCGAGCCCGCGAGGCCCGTGCCGGGGTCCATCGGCCCGCTGCCCCAGCGCGCCGGCAGCGGGCGGTCCGTGTCGCTCCCGGGCGCGTGCGGCACGGCGGGCCGATGCCGGCCGAGGTCGTCGAGCACGGCCATGGACTGCGCGCGCAGGTCCGGCGCGAGCGCGGCGTCGTCCTCGTCGGCCTTCGCGGAGAACCGCCGCAGCGTGGGCGACATCGCGAACGCGGGCGCGCGCAGCGGCGACAGCTGGTCCTGGATCTGCAGCAGCGCGCTGTCCTGCTCCGCATCCGACGGGCGCCCGCTGCGGCGCTTCGTGTTGTTGCGGCTGATCAGGCGCAGTAGCGACCTCTGCTTCGCGAAGCCCCCCGGCGCCTCGTCGCCCTTGCGCTGCCGCCGCTGGAACAGCCTCCCGAGGAGGGAGGCGCGGCGCGGGCGCGACTCGGGCTCGCTCGGGGGCGCCTCCGGGGCGGGGTGCCGCGAGAGCAGGCTCGCGCTCTGGCGCTTCGAGGAGTGCTCGAGCTGGTGCTTCGAGCGCATCACGAGGCGGCCCAGCGACGTGGACGCCTCGAACCCCTTCGGGCTGAAGGGCGGCGCGGGCCTGCCCAGGGGCGGGCGCGGGAGGCCGGGGACCTCCGGGGGCGCCGGTTGCAGCGCGAAGCAGAGGTCCCCGGCGACGGACGTGATGTGGGCGCCGTCGTTCGTCCCGCGGTCCCCGCTGCGGAGGCCCGCGGAGGGGACGCTGGGCCTGGCCAGGGCGGAGCGGCCGCGCACGGCGCCGAGCGCCGCGGCCTCGAGCTCCGCGGAACAGCCTGGCCCGATGGTGGGGAGCCGCTTGCGGGGCGCGTGCGGCCGGGGGAGGGCCGCGCGGGTGTGCGCCGGCAGCGAGGACGCAGTGTCCAGCTCAGCCACACTCGAAGGCCGCTCAGGCGGTCGCGTCAGGTCGCGGGGGGGCGCGAGGGCGCTGAGGGGCTTCTGTGCTATGTTCTCCGTCGTCGTACGCGCCGTAGGGGAGTCGAGGGGCGCCACCGTGTTGCTGCGCGCGCTCTTGGCTCCGCCGCGGGCGCCCCCGAGCACGGGTGCCCCCTGGCCGGTGCTCTCGCCCAGGGCGCCGCTAGAGGCGAGAGCAGGGTGGTCCGCATTGGGGGCCGTCGTGCGCTGCGGCATTTCGCCCGCCGAAGCGCTGCACAGCACGGAACGGGGCCCAGCAAGGTCAGGGCTAGGGGCTCGGCACGCACCGCACGGGGCATCATCCCCGACGCTCGCGCGCCTGGACAGAGCTCCAGGTGCAGGGAGCATGCTGTCGTAAGGAAGTCGCGTAAAGGTCCTCGGAGGCGCGTGGCGGGCCAAGCACAGTGCGTTGCCGGAATCCAAGTCGCACCTGGCCACCTGGACGTGCTGCGTGTCGCCGCCGGCGTCGCTCGGCCTGAGCACGTCCGCCAGAGTGCGGCCGGGCCTCCCGTAGCCCGAGGACTGCCGCACGGGCGGATTCGGCGCCTCGCCCGGCGCCCCTTGTGCGGTCCTGGCGTGGAGAATCTCGTCCGCGGAGACCGGCGCCTTGCTGCCGCGCAGCTCTGCTAGAGAGGGCGTCATCGGTGCTACTGACATGGAGTCTGCATAGCCCCTGCTGCCATGACGCCGCGGCAGGACGGCACGCCTGCAATGCTGTGCGGGCTATGTATGCAGCCGGGCGCGGCTGCACGTCCGGGGAAAGCGAGCGCCGCTGAAATCCGCCAGGTTAAGCGTGCTTGGCAGGCGACAGGGTCCAAACTGCCTCGTCGCCGTCTCGCCGGCCGTGATTGCTCGGCACAACGTAAAGCTGCGGTCCGCGTGCCGAATCCGACGCTCGCGCGGCTCTGGGGGAGCAATGCGAGCTTGAAATGAAGAAGAATGGTCGACCACCCGCACCCAGGCGCCTTGTCTGCCCGCAGCCGACGCGCCGCGGCGCCACAGGCCCCCTGCAATAGGGGTCACGTCCCGAACGCGTGTCGCACCGGGGGCCTGGATCGATTCCGCCCACCCCGACTCGATTCCGAATATCACGCGACCTCCCCGGCGCTTTTTTGTCGCGCGAAGCAGCCCGGGGAACGCCGAGCGCCGGCCCTTCAGTCACATGCAGGGGTTCGATACGCCGGACACCGCACGCCCCGCGGCGCCAAACGCGCGCCCCGCACGAGCCGTCCCGCTGCCCGCGGGGGCGCCCGGCCGCCTGCACGCGGCCAAGCCAGCGCTGGCGGCTGCTGGTGGCGCCAGAAGAGGGCACGCTCTAACACACACATGCAGTCCGCAGCTGCACGCTCGCGACGGTTCCTGCCGCGCTGGGACGCGGCCCGGTGCGCATGTCCGCGCCCGTGGCACGGCGGCGGTGCGCCGGGCGTGGGGATTGCGGAGCGCGCCGAGAGACACCGCAGGCGAATCAACCCACACTCGAGGAACGCCATCTTCTATTCTCACACCGAGCATTGATTGCTTCAGGGCCAGTCCGGGACTGTCCCGGTGCCCCGTCCACGGAGCCCGCCCACTCCCGTGCTCGGCCCGTCCGATCCCGTCTCGCCACCACTCGAGACTCTTCTCCAAACCCTGGTCGTGTGTCTCAACTGCCTCGCGACCGTGACCGTCGCACCTTGTTCCCCCCTTGTCACGAGGACCCCTCCGACGGCCGCGACTGCCCCTGCGAGCGCTCCAGCTGCGCGTCCAGCCGCGACTCGATCGACGCCATCTCCCGCAGGATCGACGCCAGGGACGGGTCCAGGGGGCCCACCGCGGCGCCCGCCGCAGCGTCGGTGCGCGTCATCGGGCCCTCGTGGCTCGCGCGCGGCGTCGGGGGGTCCGAGTCCTCCCCGGGGAGACGCTGGCCCTGCGACGCACCCGTGCAGCACCGGCCACGCGCGTTGGCACCACAACAGGAAACATAGGGAAAGTCGAGGTGCAGGAACATATGGAATCGTGGTCTGGCGCGCGTCGTCGTCGCTCGGTCGTCACTCACCTCGGCCATGTCCGTGATCGAGTAGATCGACCGCACGGCCGCCTCCGTCCCGCAGAGCGACCGCATCGTCGCCGCCTCGTCGTCGTCCTCCGCGTCCTCGCCCGACGGCGCGCCCATCGACTCGTCCAGCCCCGCGCCCGCGCCGCCCCGCCGCGCGCTCTGCTCGAACGACGCGTACGCCTCACGCGCGCGGTCGTCGCTGCCGAAGCTCGGTGTGCGCTCGCTGCCGGGCGGCGACAGCGGGCCCTCCTCGTCGCCTCCGGCCGCGGACCCGGACCCCGACGCGCTGAGGCCGCTGAACTGGCTCGAGTGCGGCGGGTGCTCCTCGGACGGCGACGTGAACGCGCGCTCCGCCGCGGCGACCGCCTGCGACAGCGTGGCGGGCCCGCGGGGGCGGCGGGCGCCCGTGCTCGCGCCGCTGAGGCTCACGGAGAAGCCCGACGGCGTGCGGGAGTAGTCGCGGTTGGGCACGGGGGAGCCGGAGTCGCGCGTCAGGGACGGACCGGAGCTGAGCCCGGACGAGGGGGTGTTGGCGAGGGCGGGGGCAACCCTGATGGCCGCGACGAGGTCGTCGCAGCTGCACGCGTCGCGCGACCGCTGCGACGACGACGCCAGACCTGCACATCGATCAACAACCAAACACCGCGCGTTGACACATGATATGATATGACATGTGTGTAAGTGCAATGAACGACCAGAAGGCACGCTGCGCCGAGCACGCGCGCACGCACCTGTCCCCACGGACGGGCCGGACGGCGTGTCCCCCGGTACGCCGCTCAGGCCCGGCCCGATGCCCGAACTCCCCCCGCCCGGCGACGTGGTCGCGCTCGTCGTCGCGCTGCAGCTCGTGCCGCTCAGGCTGCCGTTCCCGGACTCCGGGCTCGTCCCGGCGTCCTCCGACACGAAGCTCGACTCGCTGTGCAGGCTCGACCCCTCCCCGGACGCCCCGCGGCACTCCTCCACGCCCCGCTTCGCCGCGCGCCCCACGTCGACCCCCGCCCGCGCCGCCTCCTTCTCCATCCGCTCCGCGCGCCGCCGCAGCTCCCCCACCTCCTTCGCGAGCTCCCGCTCCCGCCGCTCCGCCTCCGCGCGCCCCCGCGCCGCCTCGTCGTCCACCTTGCGCTGCTCCTGCTCCAGACGCAGCATCTCCTCCCGCGCCACGCGCCGCCGCCACTGCGTGTCGAGCTCCAGCAGCTGCTTCTCGCGCTCCAGCTGCAGCCGCGCCATCACCTCCTCGTGCTGCCGCGTCGCCTCGCCGTTCGCCCGCGCCTGCCGGTCCAGCAGCTCCTCGCGCAGGGCCTGGAACCGCGCGCGCTCGTCGTCCTCCGCCCTGCCCTCCTCCTCGCCGACGCGCCGCGCGTGCGCGAGGCGCTCCGCGAGCACGGCCTCGCGCGCGTCCAGCTCGCGCTCCGCCTCCGCGTCGCGCGCTCGCTCAGCAGCGATCTCCGCCAGCAGCGCGCGGAGGGCCGCCTCCTCGCGGGCGCCCTCCTTGGCGAGCTGGCGCTGGCGCTCGTCGACCTGCGCGTCGTTCTCGCGGCGGCGCATCGCGCGCTCGACGGCGTCGGCGCGGTCGCGCAGCCCCGCGGCCTCGCGCTGCCGCGCCTCGGTGGCGGCGGCGAGCGCGTCCGCGCGGCGCCGCCCGGCCTCCTCCGCGGCCCGCCTCATCTCCTCGACGCGCGCGCGCACGTGGTCCTCGTCCTGCTTCATCAGCGCGCCCTTCCGCGCGCGCTCCGCGTCCGCCGCGCGCGCCTGCTCCACCGCCGCCGCCTCCGCCATCCGCCGCAGCCGCCGCCGCCGCTCCAGCTCCGCGTCCGCCGCCGCCCCCTCGATCGCGCTCCCCGCCGCCATCTGCGCCGCCTCCGCCGCCGCCGCCAGCTCCGCCTGCACCGCCGCCTCCTTCGCGGCCTTCTCCGCCATGGCCCGCTTCTGCAGCGCAGCCGCCTCCTCCTCGGCCGCCCACTCCCGCTCCCGCTCCGCCGCCGCGCCGGCGTCCGCGACGCGCGTCGCCTCCACGCCCGCGCGCACGCGCCGCTGCGCCGCCTCCCGCGCCGCCTCCTCGTCGAGCGCCCACATGCGCTGCTGCGCGGCGAACTCCACCGCGCGCAGCTTCTCCTCCTCCGCGCGCCCGCGCAGGTCCAGGTCCGCGAGCTTCCGCTTGTGCTCCACGTCGCGCCGGAGCGCCTCCAGCTCCCGCGTCCACTCCTCCTTGAGCTGCGCGAGGTTGGCGCGGTACTGCGCCTCTACCAGTGCCACCTGCTTCAGCCGCTCCTCCTTCGCGCGGTCGTCGAGGCCGAGGCGCTCGATCGCGGCCTCCTCCTCGACGCGCCGGAGCGCCGCGCGGCGCTCGGCCTCGACCTCGGCGACGCGGCGCTTCTCCGCCGCCCAGGAGGCCTCCTGCGCCTGCATGGCGCGCGTGCGCTCCTCCAGCTCGTGGACGACGCGGCGGCGGCGCGCGATCGCCTCCTCCTCCGCGCGGATGCGCTCGCGCTCGGCCAGGTGCAGGTCGACCGCGGACTTGGGGTACCCCGTGAACGGCGGGTACGTCTGCACGCGGGGCGGAGGGGATATATCAACGTAAATATACAATCTTCGGGGCGTACGAATAGACACATATGTATGGGTTGCGGCGGGCACACGGGGGGCCAGCGCGCACTCACGTCGCCCGGCGGGAGCGCGAGGAAGGCGCCGTCCTCGAGCTTGATGGCGTCGGGCGTGGTGTCGCGCATGCGGTAGGCCAGCTGGATCAGCTTGTTCACGTCGAGGGCGTTGCAGCGCCGCACGAAGACGTCGACCTCCTCGCCGCTGTCCGCCGCCATGATCGCGCCGCGGAAGTGCGCCATGTAGGCCAGCACGGCGTACGCCAGGAAGCTCGGGGGGTTGGAGACCATGTGGTCGAAGACCTTCATCCACTCGGCGCGCGACAGGACCTCGGAGAGCAGCGTCGACATCAGCGCCCACGCGGGCGCCTGGCAGCCCCCGAGCGCGCCCTGGAACGCCGCGAACAGCTCCGGGTCGTGGTGCGCCAGGACGGGGTCCAGCCGCGTGAGCAGCGCCACAGGCGGCGCGGGGAAGGTCGCGAACCACCCGGCGGACCAGTTGCGCACGAGCGTGGCCAGCGCCTCGAAGCAGTGCAGCTCGTCCTTCCCGAACGCGCGCACGAGCGGGAACGCCAGCGCCGGCATGTAGGCCACCTCCCCAAACATGGGGCACCAGTGCGCCATCGCCGACAGGGTCCGCGCGAGCCGCGAGAGCAGCGTGCGGTCGCGCAGCGGGTACCGCTCGCCGAGGTCGTTGAACGCCGGGTGGATCCCCGCCGTCGCGAGCGCCCGGAACGCCTCGCGGTTGGACGGCAGCTTGAGCAGGCTGCGCCAGCACAGCGGGCGATACTTCTCCGGGTACTCCCCGAACGCGTCCAGGAGCTCGCGCAGGCGCCGGCGCGACAGCTGCGGCGCCGCGGGGTCCGACGCCACGCCCGCGCGCTTGGGCTCCCGCCCGCCCGCGCGCGCCGCGCCGCCGCCCGTCATGCCCGGCACGAGGCCCGCCGGCGCGGCGCGCACGCGGTCCTTCGCGGACGTGTCGGCCCACTTCTGGACGTCCGCGCGCGCGGGGAACGCCTGGTCCCACAGCCCGCGCGGCGGCGGCGGCGCCCCGCCAGGCACGTGCCCGCGCACCGTGCTCCCGCGCTGCACCGCCGCGGCGTCCACGTCCGCGCCGGAGTCCGCCGCCGCCGGCGCCCCCGCGTTCGTCGCGTCCGCGAGCACCGCCGACCGCGCGAGCGGCTTCTCGGCCCCGGCCTGCGCCTCGCGCACCCGCGCCAGGTCGAACAGGTGCACCGCGCCGTCGCGCGACAGCATCGCCGCGTAGTTCCCGCGGCCGTCGCAGTCGAACAGGTCGCACTTGCGGGCGTCGAGGCCGCGCGGGGGCACGACCGAGCACGTGAGGCGGCCCGCGGCGGTGTCGGCGAAGAGCAGCGCGCCCGTCGCGGTCAGGCACGCCACGGTGGCGTCGTCGGGCATGAAGCGCATCTGCACGACGCCGCGCGCGGCCGCGGGCTCCGGGAGGGCGAGCGTGCCGGCGAGGACGCCCGTGATGAGGGAGTAGACGTGGATTTGCTGGTGGCACGTGCCGATGGCGACGCACTCGGAGTTGGGGCTCAGCGCAAAGCACGTCACCTGGGAGCTCGCGCGGGCCGCGTCGCCCGGGTGCGTGATCGCGATGCGGTGCCGCACGCGGAACGTGTCGGCGTCCCAGATCCACACCGAGTCGTCGCGGAACGCCGCCGCGATGTGCGTCCCGTCCTCCGTGAAGGCGCCCTGGAGCACCGCCACGCCGCCTGCGGGGGGGGGGGTGTTGGGGGTGTTTTGATTCTCGCGGGCGGGGGGCTGGCGCGCGGGAGGGAGCTGGCAGCGCGGGTTCTCGCGGGCTCCGCAGTCTTGGATTCCCGACTGGCTGCGGCGGTTCCGCACGCAGCGCGTGCACCGCGGGGCGTGCCTGCCGAGAGCGTCTTCTTGCGCGTGAGGTTGCGCATGTCCCACACGATGAGGCCGTCCGCGGACACCGTGAGCAGCTCGTCGGCCGTCGCGCGCATCGTCATGTTCTTCGGCGGCGACCGGTGGCCCTTGAGCGTAGCCAGCAGCTGGCCCTCCTCGACGTCGTAGCAGCGCACGTTGCTGTCCGAGAACGCCACGTAGATCTCGCGCTTGTTGCGCCGCGAGAACGCGATCGCCGTCGGCTCCACGCCCGTCCGCGCAATCAGCGCGTAGCGGTTGCGTGGCACGCGCAGGAGGTAGATCTGACCCCGGGTGTCGGCCGTGGCGATCATGTCGCCGCGGGGGCTCATGGCGACGCCGCAGAACGTGGACGTGTCCACGGGCGGGCCCGCGGAGGCCTTCGGCCACGACCTGCGCCGCGAGGCGCGGAGGGCGGGCGCGATGTGGCACTCGGGGGCGAATGCGCGCGCGACGCGGGGCGCTGTCGTGGCGTTCGTGGCGCGGGCGGGACGAGACATCAGCGAGAAAGGGGCGGGGGGCGTCGCGGGGTCGGGAGAGCGGGAGTGTGGGTGAGGAATGCGGTCGGGAGCGTGTGTGGGCTGTTCAAGAGCAGCGTGCGGAAGCGAGCGGGGGGGTGTGCCCTCGACGCCGAGCGCGCGCGAAAACTGTTGTTCAGGGTCGGGATGGGACGGTTCGCGGCGGAGGGTGGCCTTGCGCGCGGCGAGCGGTCGGAACGGGGGCTCGAAACGCGGGCGCCCGGTGGCGAAAGCACCACGGACGTTACGGCTTCCGAGGCGTTCATTTTCGGACGACAGTGCGCGACGACGAGCGGTGGAGCTGTGAAAGGGGTTCGGTGGGCGTCGGCTGGCGCGCAACGCCGCGCGGACCCACGGCGGGCGCTCACCTGTTGCTGAGCACACTAACGTGGCCGTCTGCGCCGATGTCGGGCTTCGCGTGCCAAATCTGCCCATAGTTCCCGACGATGTTGACCTCGTGGGCGCCGCCCATGGCGGCAGGGGGCCGGAGCGGGGCGCGGAGGCACCGCCTGGGCGAGCGCGCTTTGAACCGCCAGCGAGCAGCTCCGTAGAGCGCGACGACCGAGGGCTCAGAGAACCTCGGCGCGACCCACCGAGCTCGGCTGATTTCTGTGCGCGCCAGCGACGGCGCAGCAACGACGCGAGCGGCGCGGCGCGAGCGGCGCGGCGCGAGTCCGACACCATCACGAGTCAGCACCGCACACAGCCCCAGGGTGCGCCGCGGGTACGTGCAGGCCTCGACCTGCACGGCCACGGCCGTTCTGACCCGGCGGCGTGCTGACTTACGCGCCACATTCGCGCCGTCACGCGTTGCAGCAGCGGAGGGGTTCTGTGTTGAAGTGACCGCAGCAGCCGTCGCCCCGACGGCCCGCGGCAGAGCGGCGCGGCTGGTTCAGCCGGATAGGTAGATAGGAAGACGGGATGGACGAGGACGATCTGTATGGGGACGTCGCAGGCGGCGCTGAGGCAGCAGGTGGGAGGATGCATCCTCCCTGAGCGTTTGCGCGCGTGTCCCGCGGCAACCGCGTGGCCTACGATGAGGCCGCATCCTCGGGGCGTTGTCTCAGCGTGGTATTCGCCGCTCTGCCCGTCGCTATGCCGGCACGTCAGTGCGCTTGCCCTCTCGCGGCGCCGTGGCGGCACCACAGAAGTTGTAGTGCGCGTTCCGCGGCCGCGCGTGATGCAGAGAACGGCAACGATGACGGCGAGCTCGATCTGTACGGCGACATGGACGCCGTCGTCGCGCCCGCGGACGCCGGCACCGGCGATGCAAGCGGCGCCGTGCAGGCCGACACCGTCGGCGACCGAACAGACGGCCCCGCGCAGGACTTCGGTCGCAGCGTCCTGGTGCGAATCCCAGCCAGACACCCCCGGAACGCCCCCGTAGCGCCCCCCACGCGCGCTCTGCCTGCTGTTGAAACCGTTCCCGGCCACTCCCGCGTCCGCCGTCGCGTGTTCCGCGCACACCGCACCCACCTGCGCCCCCTGTGCGCTCCTCCACCCCGCAGGGCGGCCAGGGGCGCGGCAGCTCGTCGCTGCCCGCGGACGCGTCGCCCCTGGTCATCTCCGGCCTGCCCTGGTGGACGTCCGACGCGGAGCTCGAGCGGCTGTGCTCGCAGCACGGCATCGTCTCGCTCGTCCAGTTCGCCGAGGACAAGACCTGCGGCAAGTCCAAGGGCTTCGCCGTGGTCGTCATGGAGGACAGCGTCGCGTCGCACCGCGTCAAAGCCGCCCTGCACGGACAGTTCCTCGACGGCGAGCGCTGGCGCATCTCCTGCGAGAACGCCGACCCGCGCACGCTCGAGAACCTCGTTGCGTCCGGAGATGTCCCCGCGGGCGACTACGGCACCGGGTTTCTGTCGTACAAGCCCAGCATGCCGCCCGCGGCGGCGCAGGGGGGCGCGGGGCCCGCGGCGCCGCGTGGGCCGCCGATGGGGGGGCCGCCGGGGATGGGCGGGCGCGGGCCGGGGTTCCGGGGCCCGCCGCGCCCCATGATGGGGGGTATGCCGCCGCGCCCAGGTATGATGGGGGGGGGTATGCCGCATGGGATGGTGCCGATGCCGCCGCGGTAGCGAGCGCGTGTGAGGTGCGCTTGTGGCGAGGGAGTCACGATTGGCGGTGGCGTGGTGACCTAGATATTGATTGAAACATAACTCAAAAACAGTATCAATCATAGGGTCATAATGAATGATGAAGAGCGACGCGCATGGCCTCCTGTGGCCCGACCCGCGTGATCCTCGCGGCCTTGCGCGCCACCGCCGGCAGCACTCCATATCTGCCAGGCGCCGGCCCCAGCGCGGCTCCCTGCAGGCTCGCCCGCGCCTTGCAGGCCGGCGGGACGGTCGCGCCAGGCCCCGAGCCACGCCGTTCGGCAACGCGACGCGCAGCACCTCACACGCCAGCGCGCCAGCGCCCGCCGCTCCCCGCGACCGTGGCTCGCGGCGCGCGCCCACCTACATCTTCAGTTTGCGGCGCAGGCGCGCGACCGTGTCTTCCCACTCCGGGTCCGTGTCCTCCATGGCGCGCTGCCCCATGTACAGCCGCTCGGTCTTCGTCCGCAGCGTCTGCTTCGCCGCCGGCCCCTCGTACACCTTGGGCGCACACAGGGGCTGCAGGTATTTGTCCCTGAGCTGCGCCTGGACCTTGGCCTCGCGCTCGCAGCACCGCTCGTAGAGCTGGACCATCGACGCGGTGCGCTCCTCGACGGTCTTCCGCGGCATCGGCACGAGCGTGCGCTGGAACTGCCCCGTGTTGGCGTCGCGCTTGTAGCGGACCATGGCGGAGCGCGGGCGCCGGCCGCCGGGCGGGTGCGACGGCTTGACGCGGTACAGGCGGGCGACCATGGCCTCCTGCTCGGCCATCGAGAGGCGCCTGCGAGGCGCGGGGGCGCGGGGGCGCGTTGGGGCGACCGACGGCGGGAGCGTGCATCGCCGTGGCGGGCGCCGGTCGGGCGGGGCGTGCGCGAGAGGGCCGCGGGCGTACTTCGGCGGCGGCGGAACGAAGCGCTCGTAGCCGGGGTACGTGGTGTACATCGAGCCGCCCGGCGCGGCGGTCATTGGCCGCGCGCGGCCCTTGTGCGGCACCGTGTGCGGCCCCCCTGGGGAGTGCGGATCCCGCATCGCGTCCGCGGGCCTGCGGGAACGTGGGCGAGCGGAGGAACGATCGCACGCGGGTGGCGTCGCGCGGTGCCGGGCGCGGGGGCGATGCGAGGTGTGTGCGTCAAGTGGACCCGCTGCGTGCCCACCTGGCGGATTGCGGCCGCGGGGTGGGCCCGGGGGACTGGCTGGAATCCTCCTCGTCGAAATAGGACGTCCACTTCGCATCCCGACTCTTGCCGCGCCCGCGAGGCGTCTCTGGCTCCACAGCAACCGTGTGCGTGTGGTGCGCGTCGCCGTTCGCCTCCGGCGCATCCGCGCTGCTCTGCTTGGATGTCCTGGCCGCCTCGCTCGCGCCGCCGGCGTCCGGCTCCGACGCAGGCTCCTCGGCGGCCTCCTGCGCACCAGGCGCATCGGGCGCGCTAGGCTCCTCCCCTAACTCGCCCGCGGGCTCCGCCTCCGCCGCCGGCTCCGACGCAGAGAGCCCCTCGGCCTCCTTCGCGGCGCTGATCAGCTCCTGCGCCACTGACTCGGGGTCCTCGCGCCCCGGATCGCCCCCAGACCCCGCACTGGCCTCCCCGGCCCCCTCCACCGCCGATCGGGGCGCGTCCTCCGCCGCGGAAACTCCGTTCCCGCTCCCCTCGGCCCTCTCCTCCTCGGATGCAACGGCCTCCGCCGCCTCCCCGGCCCCCTCGGCCTCTGCGCCGTCCGACTCGTGGCTGCTAGTGGGCCCAGGCTCGGGCTCGGCGCCCCCCGGCTCCGCGGGGCCGTCCTCCGCCGCGGCGCCGTCCTCCGCGGTGCTCTGCCCGAACACCAAATCCATCAGGTTGTCCCGCGCGTCCCCAGCCTCAGCCGGCGCCGCGCCAACGTCGGCCATGTTCCCGGGTTAGCAGCAGGCCACGGGCGTGCGGGGCGTGCGCGCGGCCAGGAACGGGCCCGTACAGCAGCCGCTCAGCGCCCAGTGAGCTCGGTGGGCGCGGAAAACGCGGCAACGCCGCCCCAGGCTCGCTGCGCGCGCACTTCTAATGCTGTCAGCGCCTCCACACGCACGTCGCGCTCGCGAAACAACGGCGTCGCCTCGCCGGAGCAGTGAGTGGGCCCGCCGCGCGCCGCCGGGCGGCCAAGAGCCCCCGCGAACGGCCACGCGGACCCCCCCAACGTGTCTCCACATGTCGACGCAGGTCTGTCTGGGGCGCACGGGCACCTCGGGGGGCGACACGACGGTCGCGCGCGCCGTGCGCCTCGCACTGGTCGTTGTCTCTCGCGGGAAGGCTTCGAGATCCTGAAATTCCCGACCTGCGACGCGCACGAGCGCCATGATGCGCCTGCAACCACCCCGGGTCTGCGCCGCTGCTTCCCGGCATACGCACGCGGTCAGACTCGCGTCGCGGCCTGCTAGTTTACCCCTCAGAGCCGCCCAAGCGGCCCGCGCGTGCCCAAGAGCGCGCCGGCCCCGCCCGCCGCGCGCCTCCGTGGCCACCGACGGGGCGGCGACTGGCTCCAGCGGGGGCGCGGGCGACGTGGCGGGCGCGGGCGAGGAGCGCCTGCCGCTCGACGATCTGAATATCCACCCGCTGCTCGTGGTGAGCCCCCCGCGCCCCGCGCCTGCGCGGCGTCGCGCGCCGCGGCTGCCCCGGCGCCCGCTGGGCCACGGAAGGCCGCAGCGCGCCTCCCGCGCGCGAACAGGGGCGCCGATCGCGCCGAACGCGCCGCCTGGGACTCCGGAGCGCGCGTGCGTGCGGAGCGGCACCGCATTCCGCGTGTGCGGGGCCCTTCGACGCGCGCAGCGCACGGAGCGCAGCCATGCAGCCAGCGCGCTGCCCGCGACTGCGGGCACGCATTGCGAGCGGATCCCGGCCCGCAGCGTCCTGCGTTCGCGTGCCGTTCGCGCAGGATGCGCTGTACGAGCAGGACATCGTCGAGCCGACCGAAATCCAGGTGAAAGCGGCGCCGGTGATTCTGGGCGGGCAGGACGTGGCGATTCGGAGCTACACGGGGAGCGGGAAGACGCTCGCGTTCCTCCTCCCGATCCTGACCGCGCTGTTCCACCAGCTCGAGGAGGACCGCGCGCTCGGCGTCAGGGACGACAAGGCCGTCAAGTGCCTGATAGTGGCGCCCAGCCAGGAATTGGCAATGCAGATAGTGCGAGTGGCACGGTGCGCTTCCCGCCTGTCTGCGAGCTCGCGCGCGGCTGGGTGCCTGCGTGGCGCTGCGGTCGGGGCGCTGGATGTGCGCTGGAAGTCGAGGATTCCCGAATGCGTGCAGGTCGATCCTTCCTGAGCAGCTGCGCCCGACGGTGCAGCAGGCGATCGGCGGGGCGAACATGGAGCGGCAGATCCAGGCGCTCCGCGACAACCGGCCGCTCGTCGTCGCGGGCACGCCGGGCCGCCTGTCCACGCTCAGCCGCCTCGGCAAGCTCGGCACTCACACCACCAGGGTGCGTGCGTCCTCGGGCACTCCTGCTTTCTCGACTGCCGGCCCCCGCAACGCCTCGACTGGCCTCGGGCGACCCGCCGCGCACGCACACACACGCGGCGGCGCCCACGTCGCCGCGGAGGGAGGACGTACACTTTGCGGTTTACATTCACTCGAGAATACCCTTCTGAAACTTGCGCGCAGTTCCTCGTCCTCGACGAAGCCGACCAGCTCCTGGCGCGCACGTTCGCGGACGACATGGAGCGCATCATGAAGCACACCGGCCGGCGCACGCCCGGCGGCCGACGCACCATCATGACGTCGGCCACCATCTCGCCCCAGACCGTCATGAAGGCCGAGAAGCTCGGTGCGCGGCCCCTGCGCGCACGTGCGCGTGCGCGGCCGCGGCGCCGCGCGCGCGGCCGGATGTTCGGTGTTTCGGAGCCGACGGGAGACCTGGTTTCTCGAGTGTGTTTCGCAGGGTGGATCCAGGCGCCGGAATTCGTGTACACGGGCGAGCTCCGGCAGGCGCGCGCCCGCCCCGCGCGGGACCCGGAGTCCCCCGCGCCCGTCGACCACAGCTCCGCGGGCGGCGCCAGCGCGAGCGACACCACCCCGGACCTGCCCCCCAACCTGCGGCACGCGTGCGTGCTCACCGCCGCCCGCCACCGCGTCGACACGGCCCGCCGCGTCATCCACGCGTCCGGCGCGCTCAAGACCCTCATCTTCGTCAACCACCAGCGCCGCACGAAGGACGTCGTGTTCAAACTGCGCGCCCGCGGGCTCCTCGTGGAGGGTCTGCACGGCGAGCTAGGCAAGCAGAGGCGCCAGGACGTGATGCGGCGGTTCCGGCTCAGGCCCGGGGACGCCGGGTACGACAACGACCGTGGGCTGGACGTGCTCGTCGTGAACGACGTGGCCGCGCGGGGCCTGGACGTGCCCGAGGTGGGGCTGGTCATCAACCTCGAGATGCCGTCGAACGCGGCGCACTACGCGCACCGCGCGGGGCGGACGGGCCGCGCGGGGCGCGAGGGGCTGGTCGTGAGCGTGGTGGAGGAGGGGCCGGAGATGACGGCGGTGGAGCGGATCTCCAAGGGGCTGGGGGTCGCGATCGAGCGGGGGAGGGTTGGCGGCGGGCGGATCAAGCTGGACGACGCGCAGGAGGCCGAGGAGGAGGAGGACGCCGAGGAGGAGGAGCAGGAGGCGGACTGAGCTGTGGGCGATGTGCGTGTAACTCACATCGTCGCCGCGGCTCGCGCGGTCGCGGCTGGCTCGCCTGTCGGACTGCGGACGCGTCGCCGGCTCGCTGGGGCGCGCCCGTGGCGGCGGTGTAGGTCTTCAAAAGGTGCGCAAGTGTGCATGCAAGGTGCGGCTGCCGGGCTACAGCGGCACGGGGAAGCGGAAGCGCAGGACGAAGCGCTTCAGGAGCATCATCGACAGCACCATGACCGCCGCCTGCGTGACCTGGCGAACGAACATCTCCCGACGCAGCGCCTGTGCCTCTGCACGGAACGAAACACGCAACGCGCGCGCCTCGTCGCAGGCCGCGCAGCGCAGAATTCGGTGTTTACGCACTGCCGCGTCGATGCGCTCGCCGTCGCGCGCACGGGCGCCCTCGGGAAGCCGCTCACCTTCCGCCGTGAGCTCCTGCGGCTCCTGGACGTCGGGCTGCTCCGGGCCCTCGAACGCGCGCTTGATGTTGAGCAGGGCGTCGCGGAGGCCGTCGCCCACGTTGCGCGCCACGCGTCCGATGTGGCCGAACAGCCCTCCGAACGGCGGCCCCCGGCGCTCGCCCTCGCTCCGCGACGACGACGTCGACGGCAGGGACGGCGGCGGCGTGCCGTTCGGTCCGACGATGTGGAGGCGCCGCGCCAGGTTGCGCATCAGGCGCAGCTCCACCTGCTTCTGGAGCTCCCTGCACACCACAACAACGAGACAACGCGCCGGACGAGTTCGTCGCACGTGCATCCATCCATCGATCGCACCGGAACAACCAATAAATTTCGTGACATCCGAGCGGGCTACGCGGCGTCGCGAGCGCGTCGTGGCCGGCATCTCGCGGGGCCTCACTCGTCATTGACGAGCTCCTCCACGCAGTCGCGTGCGGGCCCGGGCAGCGCCGCGACCGACCGGTCGATCGCGAGGTCCAGCGAGCCGATGATCGCGTCGACGTCGAACGGCGCCGGGGACCGCAGGGCCACGACCTCGTCGCTGCCATCGTCCACGCACCCAATCTGCCCCCAGTCGTCGCTGAAGTCGACCGCCAGCGCGCCCTCGTCGTCGGCGTAGATGTGGTCGGTGATATTTACCTCGCGCAGGTGGACGATCGTCGGGCCGTCGTCGAACGAGCGCTCCGAGTCGCTGTCCGGAAGGCTCCACGTCCTGCCCTGGAAGCCTCCCGTCTCGGAGCCGTCCGCGCTCTCGACGCACTCCCAGCCGTGCTCCTTGCACAGGCGATCTGCGAGACGGAGATCGCGACCGAAACCGCGGCGTTTGAACCGTCGAGGAGGCGCGCGGCGAGACATGGGCCAACCGAATTCGCTGGGAGTCTTCCTTTCCCGATCTCCATGGCACATCAGTCATGGCGCCTGTGGCCAACCGCCGCGACGCGGGACGTTCGTTTCGGCGGCCGCACGAGGCGCGCACCTGCTTCAGCGGTGACAAGGAGGCCGAACGTCTCGTTTCGCGGCTCGGGGAAGGCCGTCGAGCCCGCTTCGAGGTGCAGCGCCGAGCTCGCCCGAGCCCCGCTGTAGCCGCTGCGGGACCCCCGCGCGGCGATGGACATTCCAGCGAAGTGGTCATCGATCTACAAAAGGCAGGACCGGCGGAATCAGGCCATTTACGACACGACAAGCCCAGCGTGAATGCGTCCGAGACGGTGCATGCATCTCCCTCAGCCCGCGCACTGCCACGGTGCGACGCGGTACCGGCGGCGCCTGAGCATGTTTTTGAGATACGAGGCTCGGCTCCGCCGCACTTCGGGTAGTCAAAAGCTGTGCGACGCGCGCACCTGAGAAGGCGAGCCAACGTGGTCGTGCCCAGCTCTCTCCGACGCCCGCGAGGGGCCAGGCCGGCCCTGGCTGATCCGAGCGCCCGTGGATAACGGCCCGGAACGCGCCAGCCTCTGCGGAACCTGTCCCTGGCGCTGCATTTTGGCCGCACCTCCGCCCTGGTGCTAGGCGTGCGCTCCCCGTGGAAACGCCGCAGACAGACAGGCCCCTTTGAGTCAGGGGCGACGATGTGACGACGCAGGTCGGGATCGAGTGAAAAACAAGGCCCCACGGACTGTGGTGCGGGCGACAGAGGTGTGTTGAACCAGCGGGGGGCGCTCCCGCCCAGTGGACGCGGAACGCGCATCAGGACGGACTTGGGATGCGAAGGCATGATGATTCGATTGACACAATGTCTGCTCAGCGGAGCGTTCACGCGAAATTCTCCCCGTGCATGGCAGCTCGGGCAGCGTGCGCTCGGGCAGCGTGGGCAACCGCGTCGCTGGACAACACCTCTCAGCAGGGGCTGCCGATCTCGCAGCGGCGGCGCGTCGTGCCGCGAGGCGAGCCCAAGTCCAGCCGCGGCTCTCCAGCTCCGCGGCGCGCTCCACAGCACCACGGCCGGCGCACCGAGGGAGCGGCAACCAACCAGCGCCAATAAATTCACACGCGCGGCTCGCCGCCGTTCCGGCGCGCGTGCTGCCGCGTCCGCGCAGCAGCCCCCTGCAACAAGCATGCTCTTGCTCTACTACTCATGTGCCATGATTCGTTCATTCATATGCATATATCACCATGGAGCTCCGTTCCGTCTTGCCCGCTCGATCCCACCGGCCCGGCCCGACGCACGCGCCCCGCGCGTCGACGCCCCCGCGCCCGGCGCGCACGCCCCGCGAATGACGCTTCCTTACTTGTACTGGGCCATGAACTTGGCGTTGAAGTCCGAGAAGGCCTTGAGGATCTCCGGCATCTCCGACTCGGGCGGGAGGATGGTCGTGCGGAGGTGGAACGTCCCGTCCTCCTGCTGGAAGCCCGACCCCGGCACCGTCGAGATGCCCGTCTCCTCGAGCAGCTTCAGGCAGTAAAACACGTCCGGGGCCTTGCCGGCGGCCTTGGCGGCCTCGACGGCCTTGGCGGGGAGGTGCAGGCGCGGGAAGGAGTACATCGCGCCCTCCGTGAACACGCACGTGATGTTCTCCATCGCGTTGAAGGCGTCCGTCATCATCTTGGCCCTGCAGGGGAGGGGGGGGGGAGTTGTGCGGGTCGGACGCTGGCGCGTCGCTGGCGTGCCGCGGCGGCGAGCGTGCAACGTGCGGAGCACGCGTGAGGCAGTCGGGGCACGGCGGCTGCGCAGCGTGCCGCAGGTCGGCGACGGCGCAAGGCGGCGCGGCATGGGGCGGCACCTGCGGCGGAGCGACGCGATGGTGTCGGCCTTCTCCTTGGTGTGCGCGGCGTAGCTCGGGCCGTCCTTGGGCGGGCCCTGGAGCATCAGCGACATCATCAGCTGCCCGATGGTGTTGGGGGAGAGGTTGATCGACGACAGCTTGTACATCTCGTCCATGACGCCCGGGTGGATGTTGGTCATCTCGACGTACCCGCCGCGCAGACCGCACTCCCCCGGGGACCCCTTGGACACCGTGTGGAAGCTGCGGGGGAGTCAGCCCAGGGGGGGTCGTTGGTCAGAGCAGGGGGGGGTCGCGCAGACAAGCACGCCGACCACGGCCGGCGTCAAAAGCAAACCGCGAGTACGCGTCAGGAGACGCCCCGCTTCGCAGTCGACGCAGCACGCGCACGCGCCCCCCGCATCGTTGCGCGCGCTCCCCCGCACCTCATGAGCTCGACCTCGCTGCTGTACGGCTCGCCCATCTCCATGAGCACCTTCTTCATCGACACGAACGGCCGCTCGTCCTGGTACACGTTCTCCTGGTACACCTCGTCCGCCAGCAGCACCAGGCGCTCCTTGTGCGCCAGCTCGGCGAGCTCCCGCAGCTGCCCCGCGGACAGGCACGTGCCCGTGGGGTTGCCCGGGTTGATGAAGACGAGCGCGCGCGGGTTCTGCCCCGCCGCGCGCGCCGTCGCGAGGGACTCCTTGAGCTTGGTCAGACTCAGGCCCCAGTTGTTGGTCTCGTCGAGGTAGTACCCGGCCATCTGGCCGCCGAGGAGCGCGATCGACGCCGAGTACAGCGGGTACTGCGAGCAGGGCACAGAGCCAACACAAGACGACGGTTCTCGAATGCACCATGACTTGATGATCCACCTAGTATATATGCGGGACCGGCGTCGCGCAGCGCACCTGGGGGATCGGGACGAGCACGGTGTCCTTCGGGGACGCGATGAGCGCCTGCAGGCCGAGCCGCACGGCCACGGACGCGCCGTCCGTGAGCCAGATGCGGTCGGGCGACGTCGGGTGCCCGTCGCGCTCCTCGATGAACCGCGCCACCTCCTCGCGCACGAACGGGTAGCCCTTCGAGTCCGAGTACGCGCCCACGCCGCCGCCGACCTTGGCCATCATCGCGCGCGCGCGCTCCACCGCGTCCGGCGCGAACAGTTCCGTCACCTTAGGGCTGTCGAGCAGCGCGGGCGACATCATGAGAGACAGGACCTGCGGGCGGTGCGCGGGGGGCGCGGGGCGCGTGAGCGGGCAGAGAGAGGCGTGGGAGGGGAGGGGGGGGGGGGTTGTTGGGGGTGTTGGTACCTGGCGGGGCCACGAGAGGGGCCTTTGTTTGAGATTGTGGGGGTTGCCGACGTTGGTGTAGATGATCTTCTTGCCCTGCTTCTGGAGCTCGACGGCGCGGAGGTACAGCTCGCCGCGCACCGCGTACTGGGTCCTGCGTCGGGCGGGGGGCGGCGAGCGGGGTCGGTGTTGACCGTGCGCGGCGAGGGTGGGTGGCAGCGCGGCGTGACGGTCACGCGGCGCCGCGCTTGGTGTCGCAGGGGCGCTCCGTGGGGACGGAGGTGGCCTGGAGCGGGGAATTCGTGCGGTGAGATGCGGGACGGAGGCGCCAGGGCGACGCGGCTCGTGGTCATGCCCCACGAAACGAATCGCCGCGTGGTGGAGAGGTTCCAGGGACCGGTTTGGATAGTTCGTCACTGTAACCGATCGTTTCAGTCCACGAGCGCGACGAGCGACCGTCTAGGTAGGTTTTGATGGTCTAGCGGCGACGTGCGAGCCGCATTCCCTCCAACATGGTTGGAGGAACCACAGATCTCCGGTTTGCGGGAAAGCAGGGGACCGCCGCGCTGGTCCGTCGGCCCAGGTGCATGCACTGACTATGTGTGCAGGAATGCGGCGTTGTCTGGTGGACGTTGTCGCGCCGTGCGGGCGTCCCTGGGCGGATGTTCAGCGGCGGCGCACGCGCGATGGTTGGGTGCCGGCGGGGCGTGCGTACTTCTTCACGTTCTCCGGGAGCGCCTCGGGGGTGAGCTGCGGGACGTAGTCGCCCGGGACGGGGGCGGGCTGGGCCGCGAAGCCGCGCGAGAAGACGGAGCGGGAGGCGAGCGCCTGGGCTAGGGCAGGGAGGCTCGAGTCCGTCGCGAGGAGCGTCTGCCGCCTCACGATGCCCGACATGGTCTTCATGATATCTGTCCTACGAGATCGACGCGTACGTCGAGCGGTCCGGGACCCGGAAACCGCGCGCACGAGCCCTGAAGCGAAGGCACGCGTACCACCGGCGCTCTCCGAGCGAGGCTGGTTGACACCGAGCGTGAGACTTCGGAGGGATGGACCACGTTCAGAGTGCTCGCGCGCCGCGTCGAGGCGCCGTCACGTACACGGACGGCGTCGGACGGGCGGTCAAGTCGAATGCCCACTGCGTCAGTCCGACGGCGCGAGCCGACGCCCGGAACACGCACGAACGCACCTGGAGCGAATGACTCACAGTCGCACCACTCGATCCACCGCCGTCCTAGCCAATTCGAGCCGCCAGCAAGCAGCGCGGGCGAGCATGAGAGACAACCCTGGCTCCCACCGCCTCCGGGAGCCCTCGCGCGCACCCTGACCCGGCACCGCCACAGCTGAGCGAAGCGTCACAGGTCTGCTGCCGTCCAGCGGCCAAGTACTACTAACAGGACATGAGTAAAAGACATACAATCATTGAAACAGGTCCTCGTCTCCGAAGCACCATCTCGTCAGGTCCACGGACCGAACGCCTCGTCACGGCTGCGCCTCCTCCGCCTCCGCCACCACGCCCCGCCCCGGCGGGTCCGTCGCCAGCCACACCACGAGCGCCCGCAGCTCCTCGGGCGTCAACAGGGCACCCTCCACGCCGCGCGCCGCGCGCCGCCGCGGCTTCGCGCGGTCCCCCGCGGCCCGCAGCGCGCCCGTGCTCGCGACGGTCACGTCGCAGCCCGCCGGACTGAGGTACTGCGCCACCGCGGACTGCGCGGAGGACACCACGTCGGCGACGTCCAGCTCGCTGCTGCCGGGGTCCGGCACGGTCAGCAGCAGCACCGGGACGCTCCGGCGGCCCGCGGCCGCCGCGGCGCGCGCCACGGCGCGCCACTGCTCCGCGTCCATGCGCCCGCCGGCCCCCGTGGGCAGCGCCACGACCACCAGCTTGGGCCCACAGGGGGTGTTATCATTCTGAGTCATGCCGAGGGCGCACCGCAGGCGCTGGAGCCAGCCGCTGTCGCCGCCGCCGCAGCGGTCCAGCGCGGTCTCGACCTGCTGCGCCTCCCCGAGCACGTCCCCCTGACACCCCCCGCAGTACCCCACGCCGTCGATCGCGCCCACCACGTGCCCCGCGGGGCCCGCGGCGGCGCCCTGGTCCGGCAGCAGCGCGGCCAGCACGCGCCGCGTCGTGTCCGCGCACGGCCCGATCGCCCACACGATCGGCGGGCACAGCGACACGTCGACCGCCGCGCGCTCGATGTCGGTGGCGAGACCGAGGCGCAGGGTGGGCACTGCGCCCTCGGGCGGCGGGCGGCGCGCGACGCCCCCGCGGCGCCGCTGCCACGGCCAGCCGAGCCCGCGGCCGTCCTCGAGGGTCGCCGGGAGCGGCGGGGCCGGCACGGACATCGCGCCGGCCGCCGCGGCGACGGCGACGGCGTTCAACGCAGCTGCCGGCACCCAGACGCGCACGGCGAGCTCCTCGCCGATCAGCGGCTCCTGCACGATGCACCGCCGGACGTCCTGCAGCCGCAGGGGCCCGCGGGCCTCGACGGCGTCCTCGTCGCCCTCCGCGGGGAGCAGCGTCGACATGAGGGGGCCCTCCGAGGCCACCGGCGCCGGCGCGACGTCCCCGCGCCACAGCAGCGTGACGGCGAGGAAGGAGATGTACGACAGGCCCGTTCCGCGCAGGAGCACGCTCACCGGGGACGCCCCGGGCGGCCCGCGCGTGCCGTTGTGCCACGCCTCTCCGTCGAGCCGCGCGGGCGCGACCACGTCCGCCGTCAGGTCCGCGAAGCTCCACGGGCCCGTGAGGCCGAGCTTCGAGAGGTCGCGTGCGTACCGGAACCCGAAGATCCCCTCGTCGTCCCCGCCGCGTCGCGGCAGCGGCCGCGGCAGCTCGAGCACGCCGCCCGCCTCCGCCGCGCGCCGCCGCGCGTCCTCGACCTCCTGCGCCAGCTCGCGCTCGCGGTCCGCGACCGCGCGCTCCTCCAGCGCGCCCTCCGCGACCACCGCCTCCACAATCGCGCGCGCCCGTGACCGGTAGAAACGCATCGAGTGCATCAGCGTGCGCCGGCCCACCACCGCGCGCACGCTGTTGCGCTCCAGCGGGTGCCGCGCGCCCGGGTACCGCTCCGCCATGCGGTCCAGCACCTGCGCCTCCACCTCCTGCAGCGCGCGCTCCGCGGCCTCTGCGGAGGCGTCGTCCTCGTCGTCGCCGGCGGCGCCGGGCGCCGTGACGTGCGCCGCGACCGCGCCGCTCGACCCGAGGAACATCGTGCACCGCCAGATGTGGAAGTAGTTCGGCACCGGCGGCACGAGGGCGCGGGCGCGGCCCAGGCCGGACACGCTCGCGAGCGTGCCCGCCGCCCGCATCCCGCCGGACGCCACCGCGCCCGCGGCCCACCAGCCGCCCGACGCCACGGCGCCCGCCGCGCGCACGCCGCTCGACGCCACCATCCCCGCGCCGCCCAGCACAGCGCCGCCGATCCTCCGCAGCAGCGGCTTCGTGCCGCGCACCGCGCGCGCCGACCCCTCCCGCTCCCCGCCCGGCGCCACGACCTTCGCGGCCGCCGCGGCCTCCCGCGGCACGGGCCCCTCGTCGTCGCTGGTGTCCTCCTCCAAATCAACCAGCGCGGGACGGTACCTGTCAGACATGCGCGAAGACCCCCCCTCCTCGTCGCCCTCGTCGCCCTCGTCGCCCTCGTCGCCCTCGTCGTCCTCCCGCGCGACGTCGGGCTCGCCGGCGTCGTCGCCCATGTCCTCGGAGGCCATGAGCTCGGATAGCAGCTGTCCTTCCGCCTCCAGGAACTCGCGCTCGTGCCCGCGCACCGCCTTCTCGACGCGCCGCGTGGCGTCGGACGCGGACGCGGGCGCCTGGGCGTCGTCGTCGTCGTCGCGGGTCGACGTGGTCTCGAGCGGCGCAGCGGCGTCGTCAGGCTCGGCCGTCTGGCGCTCGCGGAGGTTGCGCTGGAGGCGGAAGAGGCGCATGATGTGCGGTATGGGGTCCTCCGGCATCAGGTACGACTGGAACCGCGCCCCGTACGACTCGATCAGTTGCGCCAGGGCCAGGTTCCCCGGGGGGGGTGTGGCGAACGTGACGCACTGCACGGGCGACGCAGGCGGCGGGACGCGGTGGGCACGACAGCAGGACACACCGGCGAGCAGTGCAGAGAGAGCGCCGGCGCGGCTCTGGACGGCGGGGGGGGTACTGGCATGGCGCACCTGCACGAGCTCCTGCTCGAGGGGCGAGGCGACCTGCAGGAGGCGCAGCGCGACGAGCACGGCGACGGCGCCCCCGAGCGAGTGCCCGCACAGCACGAGCGGCTTGTTCTTGCGCGCCGCGGCCTGCAGCAGCGCCTCAGCGGGCACGCTCTGCGCGCGCGAGAAGAACCCGTAGTGCGCGCGGCAGCCCGCGAGCGGCGGGCGCTCCGACCACAGCGGCACCGGCGGGAGGTCCAGGCCGCCCGTCGCGGGCCGCGCCGCGGCGATGCGGGACCCGAGCTCGTCGCGCGCGTCCTCCATTGCCGCCTCGAAGCGGTCCTGGGAGGGGGCGCGGCTCGCGGGCCACCCGGGGGCGCCGCACAGCGGCACCTGCGCGACGGACGGGGTGCGCGGAGGGCGGGTGAGCGGCCAGGGGGCGCGGCCGGGGCCGTTGGCGGGGGAGGGGGGGGTGCGTCGTCGCGGGGTGTTCTGGGGTGCGGGGCGTGCCACGCCGTGGCAGGGACGGGCGGGGGGCGTCCGGGCTCGTTGGGGACGGTGCGGGGGAACGCAGTTCGAGAAACCAGGTCTGGGATGCGCACTTGGTTGACAGTGACGTCGGCGCCGAGGTCCGCGAGGCGCTTCGTGCCCATGAACCCCACGTAGATGGCATGCTCGCCCTCGCACACGACGTACGGCTGCACGCAGTGCGGGAGCGTGTGCCGCAGCGCGCTGCGCGGCGCCGGCGGCGCGGGCAGGTCCAGGAAGCCCTCTGGGAGCTCCGCGCGGTACTCCGCGGCGTGGTAGCGCACGGAGTTCTCGAGGACCTTGTACCCGAGCTCGGAGCACGCCAGCGCCGTCAGCACGCGCCGGATGCCCGCGCGCGGGCACCCCCTGTAGCTGCCCAGCAGGTGCCGGGCAATGGCCCTCGCGACGTGGTCCGGGATGCGTTCCAGGGCTGCGGGACAAGTCGCCGGCGTGAGATCGAGTGTGAGGGAGCTTGCGCGGCGCTTGCGCGGCGACGACGGCGCCCGGAGGCGCCGAATTGATGCACATTCCAGAGCCACGGCGGGCGGAGCAGGCATAGGAGGTGACCGCGGGGGCCCGCGAGGGCGCGGCGAGCGGCTCCCGCGCGCCGACTTGGAAGGCCGTGGCCTGGAGAGCGAGAACTTCCACCGATCGTGGTCGCTCGGGCGGCGGAAACCACGCGTCCGAAATGGTGGGGAGGTGGTTAGCGGGCGCAGGGCCGGGGACGGCCGGTCGCGCGCGTGCGGGCGCGCAAGGCGGGCGCTCGGCGTTCGTGTGTGCCGAATGAGCGCACAGGGCGGCCCCGGGGCCGACGCGCGCGGCCCTGCGGAGCCCAGCGCACCCCGGCCGGAGTCAATGAGCCAACTACGGGAGCCTGGCGGGGGAGGTTCCCGGGGGTCGCACTTGTGAGCGCTTCGGTCCGGAGCTTCTCCTCGCTCCTCGTGACCGCAGCGGCGGGCGCGACGTCGCGCGCGGGCCCCCTGCGGCGCCCGCACGGGCCGCCTGTGCCGCCCCGGGAGCGACGCCGGGCGGGGGCCCCAGGCTTGGCATGGCGCAGCGCGCGGCGGCCGCCGTGGCCTGTGGCGCGGGAAACGGCCGCCACGCACCCGCACGGCGCGGCCCGGGCCACCATCCTGCCGTGCGCGCGCCCACTAGAACCTTGAGTCTAGGACCGCGACGGTCGCGCGGGCCCGCCTCGAGGAGCTCCCCAGACAGACTCCGCGGATGCTACCGCAGCATGTGCGCGCTGGGGTGCCGCGAGGGCGCTGTGCAGCGGCGGGCTCGGCGCGCGAGAGGGCGGCCTAGGGCAGCTTGCGGCCCTGCCTCAAGGTTGGCGCGAAATAGTCCCTCCCGCTGTCTTTCTGGGACGCAGAGGTGTCGGAGCGCGCGCACCCTGCCGAGACCCGAGCTTCTGGCGCGGCGGGGGCGCCGCGGGGCCGAAGAGGGCGGAGCACGCCGGCGCGGTGGGTGTGTTAGGGGGGGAACCCCTTTGGCGCGTCAGCGGGCCGGGCGGGCTCCCGGCGGGCCGTGGGCGGGATTTCCGGGTCGGAGGGGGCACAAGGTGCTGGTTCACGGGAATTGTGTATTTGTCACGCGGCGTGGCGATGCAGAGTGCGGGATGGCAACCAATTGCCCCTTTCCTTGCCACGCCGAGGGTGGCATCACGGGCGTGCGGGCCGAGCCGATAGGGGAAGGAGCTGGGATGGACGGACAGGCCCTTGCGTCGGCCGTAGACTCGTCGCCTGAACGGCCGGTGCGTGTCTGTGCTCCTGCAGCTCTTCGCGGCGGCCCTGGCGCGCTGCTCCGCGGTGCTCATGCGCGAAAGCGTGCTCATGCAAGGCACACGTGATCCATGTGCACGTGAGCGGGAGAGTTGCGCCTGAATGCGGTCATTTCCGCGCGTTGTCGACGATACACTGACAGCCCGCTCAGGCGCCTGTCGCGCGCATCCCCGTCCGCAACGTCCGCGAGAACGGCCGCACGCGTGCCCCATGCGACGCTAGTAATCGCAGGCCGGCGTGGTTCACCGCGCAACTCCCCACCTAAAACCGCACCGTTATGGGCCGTCCCACGCACGCAAGCCTCCCCTCCACCGCGCCCATCAATCAATGAAGCGACCGCACCGACGCGCCCGCGAACCCCCCAAGCACCACGGGCCCGCCACGCCCTCTGCGCGCAGGAACGCGACCTGCGAACTGACGACGTCACGCACGTGCCCAACAACTGCGGCGGCAACGAAGCGCCCTTGGAGGCCGTTCTCCTCGAAGTTCCGAGTCTCCTGGACCACGTCGTGGCGCGCGGAGGCCTCGCCGCTCTCGCCAGCCTCGCTGCCTGCAACACCGCGACGCTGCGCCACACCCTGCGCCACAGATACGACGCTGGGTGTGCGCTGTGCGTCCGAGCGGCGCCCGGGTCGGCGCTCCTCCGCGCGGTGTCGCGCGCCACGGCCGGGCACGGCCCTGTGTGCGCGTCGGTGAGCTGCCTGGGCGTCGTGGTCGGCGCGCACGCCGCCGCGGCGCTCCCGGCCACCGACGACGCCACCGTCGTGCCGTCGCACGCGTCCGCGGTCCGGCGCGCGTGGCGCGTCCTCCACGCCGTGCTCTTCAGCGCCGGCACCGACCGCGTCCCGCCGCCGAACGAAACCGTCTCGGCGCTCCGCCTCGCGTACCCGCCCTTTTGGTGCCTGTCGCCGCACGCCACGTCGCCGGCCGAGGTCCGGGCGCTGTCGCTGGTGATCCGCGGGCTCCGCCTGCTGCCCGCCCTCCGCGAGCTGCGCCTCGGCGCGGTCCCGGGCGCGTTTTGGGGCGCGTCGGGCTCGGAACGCGCCCCGAGCTCGACGCTGTTTTTGGACCTGGTCGAGAACTTGAATGCCTTCGCGGGGAGCCTCGAGGTGCTGGACCTGCACGGGTGCCGGCTCGGGCGCCGCATCCCGCTCTCGTCGCCCGTCTGGTCCCGCGTCCTGCCCAGTCTGACGGCGCTGCGCGAATTAGTCCTCCGGGGGAATGACCTCGGACCCTACGGTGAGGACGACCCCCGCGGCCACGGAAACTGATTCCAATTCCCGCCTCGGATGCGCCTCACAGCCTCCGTCCTGGCCGTGCGTGCAGGATACCGCGAGGTCGCGCGGTCGCTCCCGCAGCTCACGCGTCTGACCGTACTCGACCTGCGCGACACCGACTGCCCCGCGGACCCCTCCGAGGGCGTCCTCGACCTGCTGCACGCGCTGCCGCGGTCGCTGCAGGAGCTGCGGCTCGGCGACAACGAAAGCTTCGGCGTCCCGTTCGCGGCCAACGCGCTCCTCGACGCCTCCGCCAGGGCCGTCGACGCGCTCGCGGGGCGCATCGCGCGGGGCGAGTTCCCCGAGCTCGCGGTGCTCGACCTGGGCTGCACGGGCGTCGGGGAGTACGTCGCCGCCGTCGCCGCCGCGCTGCCCGGCACACCTAAGCTGCGCGAACTCTCGCTCGAGGGCCTCGACGCGGAGCCCGACGCGTGCGACGCCGTCAGCGCGGCCCTGCGGCACGTGCCGCTCCTGGAGGTGCTGCACGTGGGCGGGAACGAGCTCGGGCCGCCCTGCGTCGAGGCCCTTGCACGCAAGCTGCCGCGCACCCTGCGCCGCCTCTACCTGCACTCCATCGACGGCGGGATGGCGGCGCGCGGGACGCTCGAGCTCGCGGCCGCCGTGCCGTCCCTGCGGCGCCTGGAGGCGCTGATGCTGTCGTCGGCGGGGCTGACGGCCTCCGCAGGGCTCTTCCAGGCGCTTGCCGGCCTGCCCGAGCTCCAGGAGCTGGACCTGCAGGACAACGCGGACGCGTTCGCGGGCGGCGACCCGGGCGGGTGCCCCGGCGCTGCGTTCGCGGCGATGCTCGCGCGCTCGCCGCGGTTGCGGTACCTGCGTCTGGGGCGGTGTCGTCTGGCGGGGGCGGGGGTGTTTCAGCACGTGGCGGAGGGGCTCTGCGGGTGCGCGGGCGCGCTGCAGACGCTCTCGCTGGACTCTAACGGGCTCGGCGCGAGGGAGGGGCGGTGGCTCGCGGAGGTGGTGAGCCGCGGCATGCCCGCGTTGCAGCACCTGGACTTGTACGGGAACGCGCTCGCAGAGGACGAGGGGGACGGGCTGCTGTGGCTGCTGCGCGGGGTGTGCTGGGGCGCGCCGGAACTGCGGAACCTGGGGCTGGACGGGAACGGCATCGGGCCCTCCCTCGGCCAGTGCGCCGACGCCGTGCGGGCTGCGCTCGAGGAGCTGCGGGCTGCGCGGCCGGCGCTGCATGTGCAGGTCGGCTGACGCTGACTGCGGCCACGTCTCGCGCTCCGCGGACGTGTGCGCGGGGTCATCATAGTGTGTGTCTACTAGTGGTTGTGTTGCAACTTGCAGTGGACGACAGATGTGCATAACTCGGCTCTGAGGCTTTCGTGATTCGCTGGTTCGAACGACGTGTGAGTGTGCACGAAGCAGACGCGTGCGGGGACCTCGCATGCTCGCAGGCCGTCCCGCTCATGCATGACGAGGTGGCTGCTGTGGACACGGGGAGGGGCGGTTGCTGTGCAGCGGCAGCGCCCTGTGCGGAGACTGCGTCCGTGCCAGCAGTGCTGACGGCAACCTCGCCGGTCGTTCCACGAGCCCTCGCGAGCACGTCGTCTCTGGTGCCGCGCATGGGGGGCACCAGCGCGGGCTCACAGCTGGTCGCTGGTGCATGGCACGGCCTGACACGGACCTGTGCGTGCGAGGCACCACGCGTGTATCACTGATTCGTCGACGACCCCGGGCGCCGCGACTCCCCCACTCCCGATTGCTCTGCGTGACAGGCCTTCACGCGAGCACAGTCGCACAGCACTGCCCCGGCGTCGCGCCAGTGCTCCCCCAGCGTCGCGACGCCTCTCCGGGGCGCCGGGGCCCTCCGTCAGCCCCCCGAACCGCGTCACAAACTGTTGAAATAGTCCAGAGAGCCAACAGGGTCGTCCTTCATGGTCTTCGCACCGGGGGTCCAGTTCGCCGGGCACACCTGCACGCCACGCACGCACCGGGCCGCCGCGTCAGCGCCCCGCGCCCAAGTGCCGGACGGCAGGCCGCTACGCAACGAACAAGGTTATACTGTGGGAGGGGGGTGTGGGGCTGTGTCGGGTCGCACCTCGCCGTGCTCGTCCGTGAACTGGAAGGCCCTGACGAGGCGCAGCGTCTCGTCGATGCTGCGCCCCACGGGCATGTCGTTGACCGTCGCCTGCCGCACCACGCCGGTAGGGCTGATGATGTACAGGGCGCGGAGGGCGAGGCCGGCGTCGTCCCCGAAGTCCACTAGGCAGCCGTAGTCCTGGGCGATCGACTTGGTGATGTCCGACAGCAGCGGGAACGTGCAGCCCCCGAGCCCGCCCTGCGGTGAGCGTGGGAGCGCCGCGGCATGTCACGCAGGCTCGCGGGGGGCGCGCACGCGGCGCCCGGGGCCCGCGGACGCGTGGGGCGCGCGTGCGCGAGCGAGGGGCCCGGACGTGCGCGAGGTGCGTCGGACGGAGCCGGGGCGAGCGGGCGCGGCGGCGGGGACGGTGACGGGCCAGTGGAGGTTGAGGGCCGCCTGGGTGGCGCCGAGGGCGGGAACGGCCGATGTTTTCGCGGCAGTGTGGCCCGTATGGAGCGGGGTCGGCGCGGGCGCGTGCCTTGTTCCGTGGAGTCTGCGCCCAGTGCAGGTGGGAGTGCACGTTGTCTACCGAGCACCCCAGCACCTCGCAGTTGATGTCCTTGAACTCCTGGATGCGGTCTGAGAACGCGTGGATCTCCGTGGGGCAGATGAACGTCCAGTCCGCCGGGTAGAAGAAGAGGACGACGTACTTGCCGCTGCACGCGGCCGGGCATGTGGGCCGCAGCAGGTGAAACTCGGCGGGGCGCGCAGCAGGGGTCCGCGGGCGGTGCCCGCGCGCGGAGCGTACAGGCGGACATGTGGAGCTTCGGGCGAGCTGCGGCATTCGGCAGGCCGTGGACTACGCTGGCGCCGAGGGGGGCTCGATGCACGTCACCGAGCAACGGCGAACTGCGCGCTCCGGGTGGGCTGGGCGCGGCGATGCTGCACGGTTTTCGACGGCACAAATACTGAGCTCCCGGCCCCTGGCGCCGTGGCCGGGCCGCGTCGCGTCTCGACGCACGGAGCGGGCCGTGCAGGAGCACTGCAACGCGGACGGCGCTCCAGCGCCCGGAGCGCGCGACTCCCGCGCCCCTGCCGCGCCCCCAGCGTAGCGACGGCGTCGCAGGGTCTGTCGCGCACCTGAACTGCTCCAAGGAGACCTTGGTGATCTTGCCATCAACCAAGGCAGTTGCCTCGAAGGACGGCGCGGGCTTGCCAATTGTGACGGGCATCCTGACTGACACCCTGCTTGCTGTGGGTTGTGCGCGCCGAGCGCGGCGCGCCGGGCCCGAGTTCCGCGAGCGGAGGCCCCGGACGGACCGTCCACTTGCACCACCCCTGACGTGGCACCGCGGACCGCACACAGCCCGGCAGTGGGCGCGCTGCGCGCTCGCGCGCGCCAGACGGGTCAGGCTGCGTGGGGAAGCCGTTTAGGAGGTCCTCAAACGAGGACCGGGGCCTCCCGCGCAACGGAACTCGACTTGGGGACGTTCCCACGCCCCGGTAGCAGCGCTCGGCCACGCGCATCGTGCACGGGCGCGGTTCCCAGCGCACGCGTTGGTATGTCTTGTTGTTGCGCGGACCCAAACGCCCGTTGAATCACGGTTCCGTGCGCGATGGGGCTCGCAAGGTCTCCAAGAGAAAACGAGCCCAAGGGGCCGCCTCCGCTGTCGAAGGGCGTCTGTCGCGCGATAGTGGCGAGCAGGACATCCGGCCAGCTGATCCTGTCCGGGCAGCATCTCACCGAGGTGCGCACGCGCCGCGCCACGCCCGGGACGCGGTCCAGGCACTCTCCCTCCCGCCGGCGCCCGCACCGGCGACGTGGGTCCACGCAAACACCCGCGGAGAGACGTTCAGCCACACGGCCAAGCGTCGCGGCCCCTCAATCCCGGAAACCCATCCCCTACACCGCGCGTCGCCCCTAGGCACCCATCCCCCGCACTCCGCGCGCGCTCACGGCCCTCCCGCGCGGCCCGCGCTCCGCTCGCAGGCCCCCACAGCTGTGTTCGACATCGACGAGCGCGTTCCGGGCGACAGCGCGGTCGACTGGTGGGAGTGCGTCGAGCTCTCCCGCCTCGTGCTGAGCCAGAACAGCCTGTCCCAGCTGAGCTCGGACGTCGCGCGCCTGACCTCGCTCCAGGCCCTCGAGGTCGCCTACAACGACCTCGGCGCCCTCCCGCTCGCCGTCGGCGACCTCGTCCACCTCCGTCTCCTCGACTGCTCCCACAACCGCATCCGTGCGCTGCCGCCGAGCGTCGCCGACCTGCCGGCGCTCGCCAAGCTCGCCTGCGGACACAACTGCCTCGTGGACCTCCCCGCGGCGCTCGGACGCGCGCAGCCCGCGCTCGCGGAGGTCCTCGCGGACCACAACGAGCTCGCGACAGTCCCCCCGGGGCTGTCCGCGTGTGCCAACCTGCGGAAACTCGACCTCTCGCACAACCGGCTCGAACGCCTCGACGCCGACGTGCTCCGCGGCATGCGTGAGTCCACAGCCCCGCCGCCCCGCCGGAACCCCCCCCCCCGGCTGACGTGTGTGCGCTGCGTCTGACGGGCACGCCCCCCGCGCGTCGCAGGGTCCCTCGAGGAGCTCGCCGTCGACCACAACGCGCTCGCGGCGCTGCCGGACGAGATCGGCGCGCTCCCGCGCCTGCGCATCCTCGCGGCGCGGCACAACCGCGTCTCTGCGCTGCCGGAGGCCGTCGGCGGCGCCGCGGCGCTCGTGGAGCTGCACCTGGGCTTCAACGGCCTCACCGCGCTCCCCGCGACGCTCGCGGGGCTCGCGGAGCTGCGCACGCTCGACGTGCGCGACAACCGCCTGTCCGCGCTCCCCGAAGGGCTCGCCGGGGGGGGGTCGCGCCTGGCGCTGTCGCTGCTGGACCTGACGAACAACGACCTGTCCTCGCTGCCGCCGGAGCTCGGGCGCATGACGTCGCTGCGGCGCATGCCGCTCGACGGCAATCCGATTCGCTCGATCCGGTACGAGCTGGTGTCGGGTCCGGTATCGGGTCTCCTCAAGCACCTGCGCGACCGCATGCCGCAGCCGCCGTCGCGGCTGGACGCGCAGGCGCACCGGGACGCGCAGGAGCTGTACGCCGCGGCCGCGAAGGACCCCGTGGACGCCGTGCACCCGTACCCTGCGCCCCCGCCGGCGGGGCGGCGAACAGGCGCGGCGCCGGGGCGCGGGGTGGCTCCGCCGCCGTGGGGCGAGTACGAGCCCAACCCGCAGCGGGTGGCGGCGGCGGCGATCGCCGCGCGGCCGGGCCCGGCGCGCGCGGTGCCGATCGGCGTCGAGGAGCGCCGCAGCGCGGTCCGCGCCGGCAACGTGCTGGGCGTCGACGAGGACGGGCTCGCGCGGGACGTCGCGAGGAAGGCGGCGGTCGGATCGGACGGGCCAGTGAAGCTGAGCTTTCGCGGCGCGGGGCTCGACGAGGTGCGTGCGCGCGCAGTCCTTGCTTCCTGTCCCTTCTGCGTTTCGACGTTCCTTGACGCACCTGCGCGTCCGTCCGCCCGCACGTGCAGGTCCCGAGTGAGGTATGGAGCATCGCGGCGCGCGTCGAAGCGCTCGACGTCTCCGGGAACCGTCTCCGCACGCTAGATTCGCGCAACGTGGCGCTGCTGCAAGCAGCGACGCACCTGGACCTGTCGAGCAACCAGCTGGTCGCGTGGCCGCTGCCCTCCACGCCCCTGCCCGCCCTCGCGCGGCTGTCGCTCGCGCGCAACCCGCGGCTGCCCGTGCCGCGCGGTGGCGCGTTCGCGGCGCTGAACGGCTTTGCGCTGCGTGCCCTGGACCTCAGCGGCGTGCGGGCGGTCGGGGACGCGCTGGACTGGGGCGACGTGGCGCAGTTGAAGGCGCTGGAGGAGCTGCGCGTCGCCGGGTGCGGCGTCGCGGGGCCCTGTCCGCCGGAGGTTGCCACGCTGAAGCAGCTGCGAGTGCTGGACCTGAGCAGCAACCGGCTGACGACGCTGCCCGAGGCGATCGAGGTGCGCGCGGTGCATGCATTGTGCGTGCCTTGTGCGTGGCCGGGCGCGGGCCGATGCAACGACGACGACGACAATGCTGCGAGGACGCCGGCTCACAGGGGGGGCGTGAGGTTCGGTGGGCTTGCAGGAGCTGACGCGTCTCGAGGAGCTGGACGTGGCGAACAACGACCTGACGACGCTGCCGGCGCGGCTGGGCCTGCTGCGCGCCACGCTGCGTTCCGTGTCGGTGGCCGGGAACCCGCTCCGCGCGATTCGCAGGACGATCACGGACGCGGGGACGCCGAGGCTCCTCGAGTACCTGCACTCGCGCCTTGTGACGTGACTCCGAGCGGCCCGTGTCCGTGCGTGCCCACCGATCGTCGCACGAACAGGCCGCACCAAACACGTGGGGGGGGGGGGTCACTTGCGGGCCGTTGCGGCCGCTGCTTCGCCAGGACCTGTGCCGGGCGCCCGGCTGCGGGGCCGACGCGGCGGGCCCCGTGGAGCCGGCAGCGTGACGTGGAGTTGGAAGCCCACAGGTGCTGGTGACAACGTTGTCGTTGCGGCTCCGCGCTCGGCGTGATGAAGCGCGCTCGCGGCCGCAGCGCGAGCTCTCGTCGCGAAGATGGGCTGGCACCCACGCCCGAGCGTGGACCTCGAGCCCGGTGCGGAGCGGAGCCTGGATCTGCTCGTGTGTGAAGGCGGGGCGTCAGTCATGATACCTCGTCTGCGGGCGCGTCTTACGCGTAGGTCTGGTCGGGACCTTAGGTAAGCTTAGGTGGACGTCCAACGCACGCAGCAGTGGCTGGGTGCCCGGGCGCTCATCTTGGGCGGCTCCTGCGAACACAGCGTCAGACCTTGCGTAGATCTACGGCGGAGCGTGGCTCGCTGCTGCAGCTACGTGGCGTGCGCCTGTGGCTGTGAAGGCCTAGCAGCCTACCGTGCGGCGAGCGCGCGCAGCAGTGGTGCCGAAAACTAGCCAGACGGATCGTTTCGCTAGTCCTCAATTGGCGATGCCCCGCAAGGACGGCTGACCTGTGGAGCGACTCGCCGCGGAGCGACTCGTCGCCGCGCTAGCACGTGCGAGGCGGCCTCGGCTCGTCGCGGTCCGCGGGCGGAGGTCCGGCGTTTCGATCGCCTCAGAATGCCAGCTTCTCCCGCTGCCCCGCCCGTGGACATGGCGCAGTCGTGCCCGCCCATGGAGCTCGGAGGCGCTGATGACCCTCAGAAAGGCTCTGGCGGCCCGTTCCCGCACACCGTCTCCCTGGGCCCGACCGACGGCCTCGCCGTGCCCTTCAAGGAGCTCGTGGACCCCGACGACGACCACTCGTCCGCCAGCGGCCACGAGAACAGCGCCGGCGCCCCCCTGGCCTCAACCAGGGCAGGCTCCCGCGCCGTCGCCCTGGTGCGCCACCCCGCGCCTCGCCCCCCCGCAGCCACCGCGCAGCCCGAACCCTCCCGCCCGCCCGGCGCCCGCCCCGCCCCGCCCCCCCCCGCCGCCCCGCCGCGGGCGTGCCCCTGGGCAGTTGGCCACCCCCGCCAGAGGCACCGCACGCGCGCCGCCGCGCCCGGCGCACGAGCGGCCCCGCCGACCGCGCACGCGCCCCCCCACTTCCGCAGATCCACAAAGTCGTGAGCAGCTGGGCGTGGTACGCGCTGATCGGGAGCTCCGCGCTCCTAGCAGTCATCCTGGACTACATCGCCCGGACGGTGGACGTGCACCCGGAGCCGGCGCCGTGGTCCGACGGGGAGCGCGGGGCCGACCTGACTCCGTACAAGCCCACCGAGACGTTCGGGCTCGCGCTCGGGTGGACGCTCGTGGCGCTGTGGAGCCTCGACACGGCCCTAGCACTGGCAGCGCGGGTGCTGGGGACGGGCCTGCCGCCGGCGCGGGCGGGCGCGCGCAGGCCCGGCTCGCCGTCCGGCGCCCCGGCTACCACCCCGCAGGAGCGCCAGGACATCGCTCTCGGCGATTGGCTGTTCGTGCTGGATCTCCTGGCTATGCTGCCTCTCACGGTGTGGCTCGCCGTGTCCGCGGGGCACAGCGGGTACTGCCGCTGGGCGGCCGTGGGGCCGTTCAACTGCGAGCCCGAGGGCATGTTCACCATCACGGAGATGGGCCCGTCCGTCATGGTCCGCGTGCGCGGCTACTATGCCTACTCGATGGTGATATGCGTCCTCCCGGTGCTCAAGTTCGTCGCCGCGACCGCACGGCGCTGGTGAGTCCCCGCTCCCGCCAGCCCTCGGACTCAGCGAGGCGGAACGCGCGCTCCGCGGACCCGTGCGGCCCGCACCGCGCCGGCGGGGGCCGCACACTGTGCGAGCACCTCTCTTGTCCCGGCGCCAACTGCCCCCGTGTCCGCCCGGCCGGCCCCGCAGGCACGTCCTCGCGCTCAAGGACCCGTCGGGGCGCGACAAGCGGCAGCCGCGACGCCTCGCGCGGCGCTCGATGCTCCGGATGGGCGGCCTGCTCGTGGTGGTGGCCCTCGTGTTGCTGCAGGTGTCGGCGCAGGTGCCCTTCATCACGTTCCCGGACCCGATGGTCCACACCGCGGCCGCCCTCTCGACGGTCTGCCAGCTGTCGATCAGCAACGGCGAGTTCGTCTTCCAGAACGCCACCGCGGAGCTCAGGGTGCAGACGCGCGGCCAGCTGCGGGCGGACAACGAGGTCGACGCGTCCATGCTGCTGTGCCTCCTGCGCGTCAAGCTCACCGTCGAGCAGCTCCAGATGGCCTTCGACGCCTCGCAGCAGTTCGTGCAGCCCTTCCTCGTCGTAGGCATCGAGCACATAAGCACGGCGCAAGTCATCCCGGTGGTGCCGCCCGACGGCGCGGACTACTCCGGCGCCGTGCGCATCCAGCCGGACGTCTCCGGCGTCGGGCTCGTCCCCGAGGGCGCCGGCCTGAACGACCGCCTCGAGCACCGTGCGTCCCCACCTCCCGCCGCGCGGTGCACTGTGCCCTGCACGCCCGCCGCGGACGCCCCCGACCCGTGCGCGCCGCGTCCTCGTTGCTGCAGAGAACGTGAACCTCGTCGTGGCCACGAACGGCTACTTCCAGGGCACCGTCACGCTAGCGCTGATCAACAAGCTGGTAATGCTGGCGCTGGCGACGCTGCTGTTCGGGCTCGTGTCGTGGGAGTGGCACCGGTCCTTCACGCGGCCGTTCACGGAGCTCTACACGGGCATCGTCGCGGCGGGCGTGCTCCTGAACGAGCAGTCCGTCGGCGTCAACGACGCAGCCGCCCTCGCCCTCGACCGCGAGCTCCCGGGCGTCACCGAGGCCGTGCGGCTCCTGCTCGGAATGGTGCGGGCGCTCGTCCAGGCGGCCAACAGCGGCCACCGCACCTTCATGGACGAGCTCATGCGCTCGGCCAAGGACCGCGGGCGCGACGAGCCCTTCCGGCAGTGGCTCGGCGCGATCGCGTCGGACCTGCAGTGGGACGCGACGGCCGTGGGGCGCACGGGCAGGGGCAGCGGCAGCGACAGCGGCGGGCGGCGGCTCGCGAAGCTCAAGCTCTACGAGAGCGAGAGGCTGCGCGGCAAGACGGGCTCGCGCGTGCGGCTGATCGGGCCGCAGGTGGCGTCGCGGCCGCCGGGTCTCGCGAGCAAGTCGGAGCAGCGGCGGCTTTCCGGGAAGCGGCGGCATGTCGCGCGGCTGGGCGACGGCGAGGACGCGACAGCCGACGGTCCCGCGGGGGGGGGTGCGTTCCGGTCGAAGACGGCGGACGGCGAGGACCCCGCGGCGTCGTGGCGCACGGACCTCATGCGGACGACGCCGATCTCGGAGTCGGAGGCGGCGTGGGGGGAGCCGGCGACGCTGCACTTCAACGCGCTGGCCGTTCCCGACGACAAGCTCTCCGAGGTGGCGATTCAGATTTTCCGCCTGGTGGGCGTGGAGTACGACCTGGCGCCGGACCACGAGGTCTGCGAGTTCGTGCAGAAGGTGTTCGAGCAGTACCACGACCACCCGTACCACAACTGCCGGCACGGGCTGGACGTGGCGAGCTCGGTGGCGGCGTTCATCCGCATGTCGCCGCACCTCGCGACGCTCCCCGTGGACGAGCGCCTCGCGATCGTCGTCGCCGCGCTCGGCCACGACGTGGGCCACCGCGGCGTGAGCAACAAGTTCCTGGTCGACACCGCGGACCCGCTGGCGCTCACGTACAACGACGACGCGGTGCAGGAGCAGATGCACACGTCGCTGCTGTTCCGCGTGCTCCACGAGAACCCCGGCTGCAACCTCCTCGCGTCCCTCGGCCCGGGGGGGTACAAGAAGGCCCGAGAGAGCATCATCGCCATGATCCGGTGCACCGACATGGCCAAGCACTTCGAGCTGCAGAGCAACATCCCGACGGTGAGGACGCGCGCGCAGAGCGCCTCGAACAGCGCTGGCAGCGACGGCAGCGGCGGCGAAGACGGCGAGGACGTCGACCCGGACGACAGCACCTACGGCGTGGGCGGCATGTCGCGCGACGCGCGGCTGCGGATGGCGTGCTCCCTGCTGCACGCCGCGGACATCGGGTCGTCGCTGAAGCCGTACGCGATCGCGCGGCCGTGGGCGGACCGCATCTTCGAGGAGTTCCTGCTGCAGGGGGACCGCGAGGCGGCGCTGGGCATGACGCCGGCGCCGATGATGGACCGGACGAAGGCGGTGCCGTCGGACGTGCAGCTCGGGTTCATCGAGTTCTTCGTCGTGCCGTTCATGTCGCGGCTGGTCACGGCCGTGCCGTCGTTGTCGCATGCTGTCGAGCACCTGGCGTGCAACGTGCGGGAGTGGAGCAACGAGCTCGCGGCGATCAAGGCGGACGCGGGCGACGAGGCGGGCATGCAGGACGCGCACAAGCGCGGCAAGGCGATGCTGAGCCAGCTGCGGCAGGCCAAGCGCGGCCCGGGGTCGCGCAACGGGTCGCGCGGAGGCACGTCGGGCGGGCTGCAGCCGCGCCGGTCGGCCAACTCGAGCATCACGAACCTCAGCCGCGAAAAGACCAGGCACCGCCGGGTCTCCTTCGCGTCGAAGGAGGTCACCAAGGCCCGCCGCAAGACGGACACGTCGGGGGCTGACGTTCCAGAGGTGGTGCTGCGACCCAGGCAGCGCTCGAGCGTCCGGTTCGCGTCCGAGGTGGACCCGGGCGCGTGCAACACCGCGGGCGCCACGGAGCCCGGGTCGACCGAGTGGCAGTGCACCAGCGTGGAGGTGGCCTCTCCGGCGCGAGCGCCCTCGCACGCGGCGCCGTCGGAGCTCGGCAGCGTTCCGGAGCATATGTAGGAGTGCGGCACCGCCGCGAGCGAGAGTCGGGCGCTCGCCAGCGCACGGGGCCCACCGCCCCATCCCACCACACTCAGTGGCCCGTTCGAGCGTGGCCGACTAACGTGTAGTGAAGATCACAGGAAGTGCGCAGCCACGGCAGTCCGTCGAACGACGCGAGCCAAGTTAATGACGACGAAAGCACTCGGAAGGACAAAAACGGCCCACGGACGGCCCTCACTCCCCCCCTTTCCCCCCTTCCCCCCCCTCCCCCCTTTCCCCTCACCTCCCTGCTCGACCCGACGCGGACCTCCCTGCACGCGTTTCGGCCTTTTCGCGCGCTTTTCTGCCGGCCACCTGCCCCCTCCTCGGAAACATCCCAGGTCAGTTCGCTCTGTTTGTGCCACAGACACGCATGTGTGCGAAACACCGGCCGCACCTGCCACAATCGCGTGCGGGCCGGTGCCACTCGCTCAGTACGCCCTTGCGTCACCGCTTCCCCGTCTTTTCCCCCGACAAACTTGAACCACAAATGTTTGAACAGAGACACATACCACCCAACCTTCCACCTTCCACCTCGCCCGCTTGACGCCACCGTTGGCGAACGGAACACGCGGGCCCCCGACGACTCGGAGCTTGGCGCGCCCGCGGCATGGCCCTGCGAGGGCGGTCCGCCCCAGCGCATGCGCCTGCATGTGGGGGCGTGTGCCGTCCCTGCCGGTCCTGGGCCACGAGCAGCTGCCTGGATCGCGTCCTGGGTCGAGGACACCGCGGCCGGTCAATCCACGGCCCGCTGTCCGTCCCGCGCCCGTTTAGGGACACGGGCTCTCTTGCAGACTGTCACAAGCAGCGTCACACAAGATATTATTTTCACACGCAACCTCCGCGAAGCACACGTGCCGCATGGCCGGCGCGGCTCTCTGCTGAAGCGGCGTTTCGACTGGCCCGTCATATGTCCGCAGACACCCGCGAGCATATGTCGCCACCTCACGTTTTGTTGATGGCGCATGTTCCGCACCACGTGACACACGACCCTTCCCTTAGACATAGACGAAACCTGCCGGGACGCGCCCTGCTGCGCGCGCGAACCGATGTTCTCGTGCCCCGGCCGATGTGCGGCGCCACACAAGGCTGAGTTGCGCACCGCCACCACGGTGACGACCATGTGATGCTGCAATGCGCAGCAGGCCCCGGGCGGTCACGCGCACGGGGCTGTCCGGCTGCATTCGCCGCTCGACAGACAGTCGTCCCGCGAGCTCGAATGCCCTCCGGCACACATTTGTTTGCGATGGTAGGAAGAATGTTGGTTCCTGTGTGTGCCCTGGACCCATGTGCTGTGTCGGTACGCGAGACCCAGCAGGCCGGCCACGTCGCAAACGTAACTCCGGCGCGCAGCACGACTCGTACCATGCCATCACACCGTGGCCACGCCGCGCAGCCTCGCACGGTCCAACACGCGCACAGCACGGTCATGTTGCGGCTTCGCCGTCACAGCCCCGGAGCGGCGTCCGCGATGATCTCTGCGAGGAAATCCAGCCCCGCCTCGACAGCGGTATCCGAAGCCGTCGCCCCGCGCTCGTCGGCGGCGGCCGTGTCCGCGCCGGCCGCGAGCAGCGCCTGGACGGTCGGGACGTGCCCGCTCTCTGCTGCCAGCATCAGCGCGGTCCGTCCCGCGGCGTTCGCGGCGTCGACGGCGGCTGGCGCTGCGGCGCTGAGGAACGCCACGACGTCGACGCGGTTCGCGGCCGCGGCGCCGTGCAGCGCTGTGTTGCCTGCTGCATCGCGCAGCGTTGCGTTCGCCCCGGCCACGTCAACTGCGGTCGGCGACAGATGCCATGCGATGGTCGTGTTATGCTGCGCGTGTGCACGTCACCACGCGGCCGCGCAGGCATCGCAGACCGCTGCAGCCGCTCGCGGTCAACACAGTGGAGCGCGGTATCGGGACCAGGGCGCGCCGAACGCACACGCGATGTCGAAATAAAAAAGTCGAAACAATTCGTGTGCTGTCGGGTGCGTTCGCAAGCTCTGCTCCCACTCACCTAGCCACTGCGCAGTCGACAGGCACCCGCGCGCCGCCGCGTCGTGCAGCGCCGTCTCCCCGAGCGCGTCCCGCAGGTCCACCCCCGCGCCCGCGTCCCCCACCAGCACCTCCAGCAGCGCAGTGTTGCAGTCCCACGCTGCCTGATTCAGCGCCGTGATGCCCGCGCTGTCCGTGCCGTTCGCGTCCGCGCCGGCCTCGAGCATCTCGCGCACGAGCGCGACGTCGCCTTCGCTGGCGGCGCGCACCATGAGGATCGTTGCGATCTCTGTGGGCAGGTCGGCGCCGAGAAGGCGCGCGAGCGTGAGGTTCTCTTGCTGGAGGGCCAGGTCGGCGGCGGTGCGGCCGTCGGCGTCGGTGGCGGCGAGGAGGGCGTCGGTGGCGTTGGCGGCGGCCGCGGCATCGAGGAGGGCGCTGACGACGGCGCGCGGGCGCCGGCGGGCGAGCGCGGCGGTGTGGAGGGGCGTGCGGCCGTCGACGTCGCTCACGAGGACGTCCGCGCCGCCCTCGGTGACTGCGGGAGGGAGCAGAGGGGCGGGGCGGGTCAGGGTGCATCGAAATACCCATGAAATGGAAACAAAAGGGATCAGACGATGATTATCATTATTGTCAGCAAGTTTGCATGACAGGGCGCAACACGCCATGTTGGGAGGAATGTGGCCGCAGCCGCCAACGAGCGGAGAGCAAGCACGTTGCCAGGCAGCCACGGGAAGTCTGTGTGCGTGTCGGCGCGGCGTACCGAGCCAGCGGACGCTCTCCACGCAGCCCCGCTGTGCCGCGTCGTCCAGCGCCGTCTCGTTGCGCACGTCGGCCGCGTCCACGTCGGCGCCCGCGGCGACGAAGAGCTGCAGCATCTCCGTGTTGCAGTCCCACGCGGCCTCGTGCAGCGCGGTGACCCCGGACTCGTCATCGACGGCAGCGGGGTCCGCGCCCTCGTCGACGAGACGGCGCGCCTGCCGCACGTCTCCGTTCCTCGCGGCCTCCAGGAGCTCGAGGGTCAGAAGGGCGGCGTCGGCGGCCTCGTCGACCGGGGCCGCGGCCGCTTGGCGGAGCCCGCGCCGGCCGCGTTGGCAGGTGGGGGACTCGGGGCGGATGTGGCAGAGATCCTTCGCAGCAGCGAGCGTGAGGGCGTGCAGCAAGCACGCAGAGAGTCCGAGGAACAGGCAACGGCGCGCGCTCGTCCGGGACGCGATCCTGCGACGCGACGCCGGGGTGTGGCAGGTCTTTGAAGCGAGGATGCGTTGCTTGCGAGGTGCCAGCACGCATCAGGGGGCGCGCGAAGCCAGAGGAGAATGCGGTCGGTTCGCGCTGGTGTTTCTTGTACCGGCTGCGGTGTCGTTCGCGCGCAACGCCCCTCGATGCGCCCCTCGCACAACAACGCACCTCCTGAACTGAAGATCCATCTTGCCCCGAGAACCAGTCCGCTCGATTTCGCTCGAACCAGCGCACGTCAAACTGTCACCTCCGAGCCTCGTTCCGGTGCCATCGAGCCGGAGACGATCCCAGCAGCCACACCCCGCGCCCTCCACGTGGCAGCCCAGCTGGCACCAACGCAGCAACGAACCCCCCCCGGCTAGTGCACGACCTCCTGCTCCCGCGGCTTGTACTTCTCCCGCGGCAGCAGCTCCCACTCCCCCGCCCCCCGCGCCACCAGCACCCACGTGTGGTACTGCACCAGCTGCGCTCGGTGCCCAACAGACACGAAACACGGGCACCGCCGCCGCAGCTCCTCGTACAGCCCGGCCTCGGTCTCCACGTCCATCGCGCTCGTCGCCTCGTCCAGGAACGCCATGTCCGGGCCGTGCACCAGCAGTCTTGCAAACGCGACTCTCTGTTGCTCGCCAAGGGACAGCAAGCCGGACCAGTCCTGCTCGGCGCCGAGGCCGCCGTGGCGGTCCGCGAGGTCCGGCATCCGGCACACGCGCAGGGCCGACAGCAGGGCCTCGTCGCCGGTGTCCGCCGCGTGCCGCGGCTTGCCAGCGTCGCCTCCCAGGAGCGCGTCAACCTCCGAGTCCTTCGTGAGGGTCGAGGCGCGCTCGCCGCCGGTGGGGCGCGAGGGGAAGGCGACCTGGTGGCGGAGGGAGCCGAGGGGCATGAAGGGGCGCTGGGGCAGGAAGAAGACCCGCGAGCCCCCCGGGATCCTGAAGAGAGGGGGGGTGTTGCTGGAATTGGGTGGAGTTGAAGGGGAGCGAGGCCGCGGGTGCGTGGGTTTTTGAGGGGACGGTGCGTGCGTCGCGCTGTGCCAGAAGGGCGTTCTGTGTACGGCAGTCGAGGATCCCTCGACTCAGTCGAACTGCGGAGCTGGGTGTGACGGGTGTTGCGGGCCGCGGGGAAACCGGCGCTTGGCCGCGTCCCCGTGTCAAGCACTGAGGACACCGCGTGGTCGACATGCAGTCGGAGGGGCAGAGTGGCGCGCCGGAGCGCGCAGAGGCAACCAGTGATTCTCGAATGGCAGCTGAAACGCACAGTGTGACTCAGCCAGGCCGCAGCGCCGCGCACCTGATGAGTCCCTTCCCGTGCGTCCACAGCCCCGCGGCCGCGCGGAGGATCGACGACTTGCCCGCCCCGTTCGGCCCCACGATCAGCAGGCTCTCGCCGCGGGCCAGCGACAGCGACAGCTCGCGGCACAGCACCGCCTCTCCGCGCGGGGTCGTGAGGTGCAGCGCGCGGATCGCGAGCATCTCGCTGCCGGCGCTCGCGCCGTCGTCGGCGCGCAGGATCTCGGTGCGCCCGCCCGGGAGATCTTTGCAGTCGAGAGCACTGCAACACCACGAACAAACAAGGGCTGTCTCAGAACAACGCAGAGTGCACTTGGTACATCCGGTGCTGCTGCGTGCGGGCTGCGCAAGGACCGCTCGGCCCGTGCACGTGCGGGCTCCAGGCGCGCAGTGCCGTGGAACAAAGCGAGTCAATCAACACGTGCGACTGTCTATTCCAGGCGATTGAGTCGTCAAAGGACAGATGAGTGCGGGTGTCTGGCCGGGCGCGCACCGCATGAGGGCGTCCAGGCGCTGCGTCTCCGCGGCGAGGCCGGCGAACTCCGAGAAGTTTGCGATCAGGATGGACACGGCGTCGTTGATGCGCGCGAACGCGTAGGACGTCTGCGAGATGACGCCGTACTCGATCTCGCCGTCGAAGTACCGCGGCGCCGTGAGGAGGGAGGGGAGGAGGATCGTCGCGTACGTGTACGCGTTCGTCCACAGGTTCAGACCTGCACAACAAACAAACAGACACCCAGATCGCAGCGCGTTGGTGCAACACACAGCAACTGCGCGCGGCCTCCGCGCCCTTCCTCGGCGAGATCTCCTCGCCGCGAGCACGCTGCGCACGGCGGCCCCACGCACCCGCGAACCACGCGATGCGTCTCCGCATCACGTCGATGAGATGCCCGAGGTTGCGCAGCGCGCTGTCCCGCTGCTCGCCCTCGCCCCGGTAGAACGCGATGCTCTCCGCGTTCTCGCGCGTCCGCACGAGCCCGAACCGCAGGTCCCCCTCCGCCTGCAGCATCCTGAAGTGCAGGCGCATCAGCTGCCGCCCGAAGCCGAACGACGTCACCGCCGTCCCCGCGACCGCGTACGTCACGAGGAAGACCACGAGCTTCGGGGAGATGGACCAGAGCACGCCCGCGAAGGCCAGCGAGTTGAACACCTTGCCGAGGAGCGTCACGGCGAGCGTGGCCGTCGTGACCGTGAACCGCGCCACGTCGTCGCAGATGCGCTGGTCCGGGTTGTCGAGGAGCTGCACGTGGGACTGCTGCAGGCGGTAGTACGCCCGGCTGCTGTAGTACTTGGCCAGGAGCGTCCGCGTGAGCCAGTCCCGCCACTCGACCTTCAGCCGGCTCTCCACCCAGCTGCTCGCCGCGAAGAGCACGGTGGCGATCGCGATGATCTCCACGAAGGCCCACACCGCGCGGTAGAAGCCGTCGGCGTCCTTGCCGGCGAGGGCCGTCGCGAAGTCCTTTTGCGCATACGAGATGCGCACGAGCAGCCAGGTGGTGACGAGCGACATGGCGACGGTCGACGCGGCCCAGGCGCGCGCGCGCCAGCGCTCGTCGCCCGCGAACCACGGGTGCGCGACGCGCCACCACTTCGGGACGATGTCGCGCACCTTGAGGCGCAGCTGGCTGCACGGGGCGGCGGCGGCGGGCGAGGTTCGAAGCGAGCAGCGATGTGGCGGTGCGCTGTGAGGCCTCGCTGTGGCCGCGGTGATGTGGGCGGACCGCGAGATGCGGCAGACCGCATCATCGATGTTGTTGTGCATGAGCAGGGGAGGGCCGTGGTGGCCCCGGAGACGGCGTCCTAGGGCCGCGCGGTGCGGCCGTCCACACGGTCCGTCGGGTCGCGACCTCGCACGCTCGCACGCGTCGAGGGAGTGCGGCGAGGACATCCGTTGTGTGTGTGCGTGTGCTCACCCGTCGGCCATCGCCTCCAACTGCTCCATCAGGTCGCCCCAAGACGTGTGCTCGGACGAAACCTTCACCTCCGACAGGTCTTTGTCGGTCGCCGTCGCCGGCGCGAGCTCCACTGCCCCGCCCGCTGCGTCAGCAAAGCCTCCCGAGCCCCGGACGGCCTTCGCGGGGTCCGCAGAGGACCTGTCGCCCATCCAGGAGCAACGTCAGGTACCTCACTGCAGGTACATATCAACGCCGCGGGGTGCCAAGACGAAAATCACGCGCCTTCGACGCGCCACGGTCGCACCAAAAGGCGGCAGAGGTGGCCGCTCGTCCGTCTTGTGCGCGACCCAAGGCACGGCGTCGTTGCGTCGACAGCTGCTCTGTGTCGTCAGATACCGCCGACGGCAACGACAGCTCTAGTGCGTGTGCGTGGGAGCGTCACGGTGTGCCTGCAAAAGGTGATGAACCCACACAGGAGGACAGTCAACGCGCTCCTGGATCTCCGTCGTGAGCCTTGCGAGCGCTACGCGGGTGCGAGAGTGGACTTTGGTCAGAGCCGGCGCGGCCCATCGCGCCCGCCCGTCGCCCCTCCGCCAGTGTCACTCCACCAGGGGTGTCTCGGGACACCCCGCGGCCCCACACGCGGCGCCCCACAGCGCCGCCAGTGCGCCGGGAGAGGCGACTCATATCTCGCGCACCCGCGGCCTGGTCGAAGCGCGCGACTGACTCCACCGGGAGACCTCGAAACCCGATTCATGCGTAGATATAACTTTGTGGTCATTCCACGACGCTTTCAAAAGAGAGTCGTGCACGGGTTCGCCAGGGGCGGGAGCCGCATAGCGTCTCGAAGTGATCAGTGGCGGAGACGCGCATGACGCGCTGCGGTGCCGCGACACACGCACGTGCTGTGGATGCTTCAGCCATATTCGCCAGGAGGTTGCGGCAGCGCGCCCGCGCATGAATGTCGAGGCACGACTCATTGCAGGAGGACGGCCACATCGATCGGTTGTTTACGCCCAGGCACGCACTGCCACGTGTCCTGTTGCGCGGCCCATGATGATGCCGATGTTGTCGCGCTGGACCGTCATGCGGTGCCCGACTCGATCCCTGGCCTCCACGCGGCCATGGGTATGCGCGACCGTCATCCTGCGGTGCGGCAGCGCGAGCGGCGGCCAGTCGACCTTTCCACCGGTGTGTCTTGCAACAGGTACAACTGGTCGGAATATACGTTCGTGCGCTCGTTGCGGCGCCCGCCCACCACGCCAGCGCATCGCTCGCATCGTACTACGCGTTTCTGTCATCTATTCGGATCAGCAGGGTGACGGTGCGACGCAGGACAGCGCACTCCTGCATCGTCCAGCTCCTCCGGGGCTCCAGCGCGGTCGCGTGGTCCGTTTCAGCGCCAGCGCAGTCCTGCATGAAGAATATGAGTTCTCACACATGCCGGCTGGCGCGATAGCGCGTGCGCCACGCTTCCCTGCGACGGGGGGAGGCGCGTTCCCCTGCTGGCGACAGCACGCGCGTCGCCCGCGGGCCGCTTCGACGGCGCTGAGTCCCGGACGAGATGAGCAGAAGCACGTTCGCCTCTCTGGTGCGGCGGCGCGAGCACGCCGGCGGCTCGTCCGACGTCCGCGGCGCCCTGGTCGACCGCGGCGCCGACCCCTGGATAGCCTCGCTGGGCGTCAGCCCGAGCCGCGAGATCCGGAGCCGGCACCGCAACGCCGTCCTCTGTATGGACATCGACCCCGTCGAGGGCAGGCACGTCCGACCGAGCCCCGCGCCCTCGCCCCGCACCACCCCCTCCATGTTTGCCAGACGGATGTCGTCACTGCGGTGTTTCCGCGGCGCCGACGCGCAGGTACCTCCTGAGCGGCTCCCTGGACCCGACCGTCGCGATCTACGACCTCCAGGCCGCGTCCCCGCCGCCCCAGCGGCCCCGCGCGGCCGCCGCGCCGCTCCCCGTGCACGCGCCGATCGTGCGCATCGGGCGTAGCCACCAGCACGCGCACCGCTTCGGCGTCACCGCGTGCGAGTGGTACCCCGTCGACTCCGGCGTGTTCTGCACGGCGTCCTTCGACGGCACCGTCCGCGTGTGGGACGCGAACGCCGAGAGCGTCGCGTGCGCGTTCCAGCTCGACGACCGCGTCGAGTGCGCGGCGATATCGCCGCCGACGGCGCCGCAGTGCCTCGTGGCGGCGGGCGCGGGGACGACCGCGCGGCTCTGCGACCCGGTGTCGGGCGCGCTGACGCACACCTTCGTGGGACACGCGGGCCGCGTGCTGTGCGTGCGGTGGCTGCCGGCGTCGGGGTTCGTGGTCGCGACGGGCAGCAGCGACGGGCAGGTGCGGCTGTGGGACATCCGCCGCGCGGGCACGCTCGCGATGCTGGACTTATACCGCACCGCGGCGGAGTCAGGGGCGGGCGTGGTTGGGGCAGGCGACCGCGGCGGAGGGGCCGCGGAGCACGTGGAGGTGCCGTCGTGGTCGACGAGCCGCCGGCGCGCCCTCGTGCGCGCGCACGACGGCGCGGTCACCGCGATCGCGACCATGCCGGACGGCAGGTCGCTCCTGACCGCGGGCACCGACAGCGAGGTGCGCCTGTGGGACCCCGGCGACGGCGCGCGCGTGTGGCGCAACCGGCTCATATCCTTCCCGAGCGCGTTCAACCGCGCGTCGCGGCAGCGGCAGGTCGCGATCGGGTGCCGGCACCTCTTCTTCCCGTCGGGCAGCGCCGTGCAAGTGTACGCGCTGGACACGGGGCGCCCGAAAACGACGCTCAGGTGCGCGGGTCCGGCGTGGACTTGCTCTTTGCGGCTGTGCGCGGATTTCTCTGCGGTTTCGTGCGCGATTTTTGAGTCGTGGCAGCTCGATTGGTGGTGTGTTTGTGGTTGTGGGCGCAGGGGGCAGATGGACACGATCAACACGTGCTGCTGGGTGCCGGAGCACGGGGCGCTGGCGTCGGGCGGCGCGGACGGCACGATCCTGCTGTGGGAGCCGACCAAGACCGCGGACGAGAAGGTGTTCGAGGAGAGCGCGCAGCATGACGGGTCAGACTGGTCGGACTCAGACTAGAACATCAATCGACGAAGGATCGTGTCTGGCGTTGCATGTACGCGTTGTGACGGGAGGGCCGCGCGAGCGCTTCGGCGGCGCATGTGTGGTGGTCGGACCTGACATGACTGTGGGGGTGTTGGCTACAGACCCCCTGTGTCTTGTGGTCGCGGACGGCGTGCTTCGCACGGCCGCGGGCCGCCTGCCGCGCACTCGCGGCCCCCGCGTGCGCGTCGGAGCCGCCTGCGCCGTAGCGAGTGACGAACAGTCTTGTTTCCATAGTTCTCGTTGAGCGCAACACACCATGTCAGGCGAGGCGGGCAGCGCCCCGGCGGGCGGCCCCGAGCTGTCGGCCGCGGAGAAGCGCCGGCAGAGGATCCTCGCGCGCGGCAAGGACCGCCTCGCGAAGATCACGGGCGCCGCGACGGAGTCGAGCAGCGAGGCGGTGCCAGCCGCGCGCGAGCCCGACGTGTCCAAGCCCGTGCCGCCCGCCGCGCCGCCGGACGAGAGGCAGGCGGCAGTGTCCGAGCCGAAGGCCGGCGCGGCGGGCGACCGGGAGCGCGAGGCGCCGTCGTCCGCAGCGCAGGAAGAGGACGAGGCGCAGAAAGCGGCCGGTTCCCCCCCGCGGGAGGCGTCAGGGGCGGCGCAGGGCGGCGGAGGGGCTCGGGAGGCGAAGAACGCGAGCGAGCCGATTGGGCTTGGGTCGGGGATCCGCAACAGGAAGCCGCAAACAGGTGAACGAACTCTCCCTGCGGCACGCGCAGTGCCAGCGGGCGGTTGCGCGCTCCGCGGGGCGGACGCGGCTGCCGTGATGCCCTCGACGCGCGCGTGCTTGCCGCCCGTGCGAGGGATCTGCGGGCTGCGCAGCGCACCCGCGGCGGGCTGCGCGCCTGCGCTGGCGCAGTCGTAGGCTCTGACCCGCTCCCTGCTCCGGCGCGACGCTGCAGCTGCGGGCCCGAAGGCCTCCAACGACGACGAGGACTGGACGATCGACGCGGGGCGCCAGGTCCTCAAGAAGGCGTCCCAGCGGGACGGATCGGGGCCCAGGCCACCCGCGCGGGCGCAGACCCTCAGCGCGTGGAACCGGCTCGAATACGCGGTGCACGTCACCGCGCTCCTGCGGCTCCTCCTCGCGCTGTGCGTCGCGGGCCTCGCGGTCGCGCGGGCGTACGTCCCGGCGCTGGCGGGGGACGCCCCGCTGGGCCTGCCGCCCGGTGCCGCCGCGCAGGCCGCGGTGGTCGCGCTGGAGCGCCCGCTCGCCCTGCTGCTGGCGCTCATCGCGCTGGTCGTCGCCGGCGCGTTCCTGTACTCAGGCACGGCCAAGGCGAAGGAAGGTGCGAACAAGCGCACGCACATGCTCCAAGTGCCTGTCGTTTCGCCCGCATGTGCGCCGGCTCGGCGCTCCAGATCTGAGAGGGTGCTGTCGTGATAGTGGCGCTGCGTGGCTGACGTTCGTTACCCCACCCCCGCGTGATGTGTGTGTGCAGCGGTGCTGGCGCGGAGCCGCGCGCAGCAGAGCACGGGCGCGTTCGCGCCGCTGAAGATGATGATGGCCGCGGTGCCGCAGCTCCGCGCGCCCTTCGAGATGGCCACCACGTTCATGGCGGCCAGCGGCTCCGTCCTAGGTGCGACGCAACCTCCACGCCATTGCACCCACACGCGCGCGCGCGTCTCCGCCGCCGCCGCCCAGCCGCCCCCGCGCTGTCCTCACCGCTGCCCGCCCGTTCGCGCCCGGCGCAGGGGACGTGGCGATCTACCTGACCGTCGTCGCTGCGGTGCTCGGCGTGCCCGCTGCTGCGTTCCTGGACGAGATGGCGCGCAGCGAGGGCGCGGACGTCGGCGCGGGGCGCGCGGCGGACCCGGACGCGCACTTCGAGTTCTAGCTGCGCGTGTGAAACGAGGCCCGCCGCGTCGATCCGACACATATGGTTTCTCGAATGTTTTTCAACAGCAGCGCTCTCAACTGCGATTCCGCGCCCCGCGGTCGCCCGCGCCGAGAAGTCCTCTCCTGGACCGCGGCGCCCGCGACCGTGTCGGACGCCGCGCTCGTGCTCCCCGCGGCACGTGGCACTCCACGTCGTCTTGGATGCCATCTCCGTGACGTGGAGGGCGGCGTTTGACGCCCTACACGCCCTGCCGCCGGGCCCGCCATGGCCCCGGCACCTCCCCGGCGCCGCGACGCGGCCGGGAGGGGTGTGTTGCTGGGTCGGTATGACATGAGGAAACAAGGGAGGGCTGGTGCGGGCGTCATGGGGCCGCAGCGGCGGTGCGGGACGAGTCGTTGTAGCGAGTGTTGTTGCAACGTCGCGCGAGGATGCTCAGGACGGTCGCGAACAGGCTGCGGCAGGCGGCCGTGGCCGCGTCGCCCGGCGAGGCGACCAACGTGGTGCGTTCCCGGGACCGACGGCGCGGAGCGTCGCGCCCAGAGCCACGACTCGTTTTCCTCTCGTTTCCCACGGCGCCCTCGCGCCGCGGCGGACCGCCGCGGCAGCTCGGGCGGCCCGGCACAGTGCCTGCAACCAGCACCGGCCCGTGCCGCTGGCCGGGCGCCGGAACCTCCCCCGTCCCCGCCCAGTCCGCATGCTACCGTCCTCGTGCGCGGCACTGACGGCACGGCCGTCCCCGGGCGCGCACGGCGCGGGCGGGGTGCCGCGCTTTCTGTTCCCAGCCACTTTGCCTCCCCCCCCGCGCTCCCCGGGGCGGCTCCGACGCGCTCCCGCGCTCGGCCGCAATGCTCACATCGCGATACGCCAGGCCCGCGCGCTCAACGCCGCCCAGAGCGTCCTCTCGGGCCGCGAAGCCCACTGCTTGCTCCTTGCCACAGTCCACGCTCCCCGCACCGCACCGCGGCCCCCAACGCCGCCACCCGCCGCCTCCCCCGACCCCAACGCACTCCCCCGCGCACCCCGCGGCCCCCCACGCCCCGGACGCGCCGTGACGCGAACCCCGCCCCCCCTAATCACGCACCCGTCGCAGGTTCGGGGCTTCTTCGCGGGCGCCGCGCAGCGCGCGAGCGCCGAGGGCGTGCACCTCTCCGGCGTGAGCGGCACGTACGCGTCCGCGCTGTACTCCGAGGCGCAGAAGGCCGGCAACGTCGCGGACGTGGAGGCCGACGTCAACCAGCTGGCCGGGCTGATGGACAAGAGCCCGCAGTTCAAGGTGCGCCGCGCGACGACGACTGCCGTGCCAGCAGCGCCGTGAGCGCGGGGCGGCCGCGGCCGCTTGTCGCCGCGTGCGTCTGGGTTTGACGCGCTGGTGCGATCGTGTTGTGTTGCGTGGTGTGTGCAGGCGTTCCTGTCGGACCCGTCGATCAAGAGCAGCAAGAAGATTGCGATGATGAAGGACATCGTCGGGTCGCTGAAGCTGTCGCCGCTCACGGCCAACATGCTGGGCGTCATGTCGGAGAGCGGCCGCCTGCCCGCGGTGCCGGAGACGGTCGCCGACTTCCAGCGCATCGTGCAGGGCGCCAAGGGCGAGCTCAAGGCCATCGTCACCACCTTCGAGGCCCTCACCGACGCCCAGCGCCGGGAGGTCTCCAAGGGTGCGACCTCCCCCCCCCCCTGACCACAGCACAGCAGCGCCCCCACCTCGCGCCGCACAACGGGCCCGCGCTCACCGCCCAGCGCCGACACCGCGCGCAGCGACACGCCCCGAATACCCCCGCGCTGCGCATACACCCCACCCTGCCGAATGCAACCCCCCCCCTTCTCTCTTCTCCCCCGCCGCAGTGTTGGCGGAGCTGGTGGGTGCGTCGCGGGACCTCGAGGTGGAGGCCAAGGTGGACCCGTTCATCATGGGCGGGATGATCGTGGAGATCGGGGACCGCTACATCGACATGTCGGTGCGGTCGCGCATGCGCAAGATCGAGGAGGCGATGGCCTCGGGGGGGCTCTGAGGGGCGGAGACTCGCATGTGACGCGCGGACTGTGCCGCGGGGGTGGAGGGGGGCGTTGATTGTCAATTTACAGGGGGAGGGGGGGTGATGGGTTGTTCGCGGCTAGCGGGGCTGGGCGAGGGCGAGGAGGGAGAGGAGGAAGCTGGCGGTGGAGGCGGCGAGGCGCGCGTGGTGGTTGCGGCAGAAGCGGCGCGTGCAGCGGTCGACGGCGGCGCCGTCGGTGGTGGTGTCCATGAGGGGCCCCACGTCGCGCATGATGACGAGCTTGGTGTAGGGGAGGATGGAGAACGTGAGCGCGCCCGTGAGCAGCCACGCCCTGTCCCGCGTGAGCCCGTACGCGCACCCGTGCGCCACCGTCGCCGCGCCGAGGAGCGGCACCATCAGGTCGCGCCCCTTGGGCCACCACACTGCGCCGCATTGAGCGTTGTTGCGTTTTTTCGCATGTTTGCTGTCTGTGGGATCCGTGGAGGCGCAGAGCCGCGTGCGAGATGCGCGGGGGGCGCGGCGCCGGAGGGGGGGACAGGCGCTGGTGGTTGGGCGCGTGGGGCGTCGCCGACCTGGGAACAGCCGTTGGAGCGTGGCGGTGTCCTTGCGGTCGACGAGGTCGAGCAGCGTGCGGGTCGACACGAAGGACGCGAACGTCATGGAGCCCGCCACGAGGCCGGTGAGGCCCGTCGCGGCCACGCAGGCGGTGGCGGAGGCGGAGGACATGGCGGCGGCGGCGCGGACGGACTGCGCGGAGCACGGGGTGCGCGGGCTCGTCGAGGGCCCGCGCGGATGTGGGTCGGACAGACGGCCTGACTGGACAAGGCACAAGGGGGGTGTTGGACAACCACATTGTCGCGTGGCACCTGGCAGAGGGCCGCCGCGGACTGTCTCGGCCGCGCAGAGCACGCTCTCTCACGAGGGGCGTCGTCAGCGGCACGCGGCCACCGCGGCTGACCCTCGTTGCTGCTGCTGTGCGCGTGTGCGTGTGTGTGGTGGCGCAGGCCGACGCGACGAGCAGCGCACCCGCCCGGTAGCGAGCGCGCGAGACAGCGTGCACGCGCGGGGCAGTGCAGTGGGTCGGGCCAGTCGACGCTGCGCGCGCGAGGCGAGCCCTGCGGCAGTGTGGTCGCGTGCTGCTGCGATCCCGTCGCGAGCGACACACGTGGCGGGTGCGCGACACGGAGCGGCGGAGGACGAGGCGCGTCGTCTTGCTGTGCGTCCGCTGCGGCCGCGTCGCGCGGTGCGGCTCGTGCGCTGCCTGGTGTGGGTGCGCGACGTGGAGCTGGGGCGCCGGGCGAGCCGCGGACGGGCGTTCCGGGGCTGCGGGGAGCTGCCGATGCTGTACGCGGGCACCTGGAGACGCGCTGGTGTGCCCGGCGGCGGGCCGTGCGCGGAGCGGAGGGGTCCGCAGTGACACTGCAGCGGGGAGGGGCGCGTTCGTGGGCGGTGGCGCGCGATTTCCTGCGTGTGGACCGCGGAACGCTGCTGTATTGATCGCGTGACCGATCGCGGCGGTGGTCGGGTGGTCTGCGACCGAACAGTCCCGCCGCGACGTCCGCGCCTCCGGTCGGTTCAAACCGTGCGGCAGTCGCCGCGCCCGCGGGGCCGTGTGTGCGCGTGACCGCCGCGCCCGAGCCGCGCACATGCTTGTCTTACGCCTGATGAGCTCGTCGCGCGGCCGTGCGCGGCCAGCGAGCGCGACGTCGGTCCCAGAGCGCGGCGGAGAGCGCTGGCTGTCGCACGCCAGTTGAACGCAGCGCCGCGTTCCCGCGAGACCGGGGCGCGAACGTGGACGCCCGGTGCGCTCGTCGCTCATGTATCACACGATCGGCGCTCGCGCAAATTGGTTCGCTCTAAGACGGCGATCCCGCTCCGGTATCCGCGGCGACGTGGTGCTGCGGGTGCCGTGCAGGCTCGGGCGTGCCGCGAGTGTCGCGCCTCGGGCCCCGCAGCGCGCGTCCGCGGTGCCGCGCGCTCGGCGTGACCGTGGTACGTCGTCGCGCCGGTGGTGCGCGCCTCGAGCGCGTCGCGCGGTCCCAGCTGCGGCCACAACGCTCCCGCGCGTGGTGTGGCTCGCACCGTTGCGGTCCGCGCTCGCCGCCCCGCGACACTCGCGCCCCGCGCACCGCGCCACCTTCACTGCAGATCCACGACGCCTCCCCTGCTAGTACTCGTGTTCCCGTCCCTGTTCCCGCTCACCGTCACTCCGCGCCCCACCACCTGCACACACCACGACGCGCCCCGCACTCACCACCGCAGTCGCGGCAACGCACCCACCCACACCCACACACGCGCTGCACGTCGCACACCCCCACGTCTCCCCCCACGCGCCCCCCACTCACCTTCGCGTCATCCACTGCCTCCACGCCGTACTCCCTGTTGTTGCTGCACGTGGTGTTGCGCAACGTGACGTGCGTGGGGGAGTCCTCCGCAAACACACCGTTCCACCCGTTGTTGCACATCTCGCCGCCCTCCACCGTGACCTGCACGCACGCGCACGCGCCGCCCACGTCGCGCCGGGACCGTCGTGCGGCGCCCCGCGGTGCACCACACGCGGCGCTGCCTGCGGGCCTGGGACGCGCCCCCGCAGCGCGCGCGGCGAACGGACCGCACCTCTGCTCCGGAATGCGCGAGAAGTCCGGAAGTGCCGCCTCCCGGGTTGTCGCTGAGCTTGCACGCCCGGAGGACGACCCCCGTCGCGCCCTCGACCTCCACTGCACCCTCAACACCACCTGCGCGCGCTCGCCCCGCACGGCGCGCGGCCCGTGAGCGCCGCGGTCGCGCGCAGCCGGGCAGCGGGGTCGACGAGCAGCGGGGCGCGACGCGTTGCGAGGCACGGCGGCGTCGGGCGAGGGCGCTCACCGCCTTCGAATCCGGTGACGGTGACGCTCTCCAGGCGGAAGCCCCGCGCCGGCTCCTGGACGACCAGCCCCACGCCCCGCAGCGTGCCGTTGCGCAGCGTGACGTCGGGGCGCGTCACCTCGATCGTGTCCTCGCCCCCGCCGCGCACCTCGCGCCCCCCGAGGTCGATCACCTGCAGCGGACACACCAGCAGCAGCAACAGAGGCGTCGATCCCGGCGCCGGGCGAGCTTGCGCGGGCGCAGCGGGGCGCCGCACATGCGGGAAAATACTCGTAGCGGCGCGCTGCAATGTGACGCAGCGTCGAACGGCGCCGCACCTTCCCGGAGCCGGCGTTGAGTGCCTCGCGCAGACCGTCCACGGTGAAGAGCCGGCGCAGCTCCGCCTCCCGGCGCTCCGCCTCCCGGCGCTCCGCCTCCCGGCGCTCCGCCTCCCGGCGCTCCGCCTCCCGGCGCTCCGCCTCCCTGCGCTCCAGGACCTGCTTCACCCTGCACCAACGCAGCGTGCAACACACCGCTCAGAACTGCCACTAGGGACAATCGCGCGCTCGGGGAACATTGCTTCGATCGTTGTTCTCTGCGTCCCCGTACCTCGCCGTCTCGTCCACGATCGCGATCTCGCTCCCCTGTCCCTCCTCGGTGCGCAGCAGGCACTCGTACGTGATGCTCCGCGCCAGCTCCGCCCGCGTCCCTTGGCCGCTGGTGATGATCGCCTCGCCGTCGAACGACTCCTTCAGCGTGCAGCCGGACGCGAGCAGCAGCGCTCCGCCCGACGCCATCGCCGCGTGCTTCCCGCCCTCGACGAAGCCACCGCGCAGCGACAGCACGCTCCCGGCCCCGTCGACCTGCAGACTGTCTGCGTTGCCGCGCACCGCCACAATCTCGCAGTCCCGGAGCTCCATCGCGCCGCCCTGCGACACCTGCCCCGCAACACCGCCGTGCCGGATGCTGCAGCCGCTGACCTCCGCCACGCTGCCTCCCCCGCAAGCCTTGAAGCACACCTGCGCGCCCGTCAGCGCACCGCCGTCGACCTGCAGCTGCCCGCCGTCTTCGGCGACGAAGCCCGCGCCGGTGACGTGGCACTCCTGCATCTCGAGGCGGCTGCCGCTGCCCGTGACGTGCCCCGAGCAGGCACGGTCGCAGATGATCGTGCAGTCCGAGAGAGTCGCGTTCCCGCCCTCTGACACCGACAGGACTGATTTCACCCCCGCAGTGCTGCCCTTCACGGCGACGGCGCAGTTGGACACGACCGTGCCGCTGCACCCCTGGACTGCGAGTGCGGTCATCGCCTCGCTCGCCTTGCCGCCGGTGCGCACGGTGATCTTGACGTTCTCGAGCGTGACGTTCGGCGCCGACACCAGCAGCACATGCTTCGCACCACTACGGTACTCGTCCGCAGCGGGCACGTCGTACTCGATCGATGCGTTTCGGAGCGTGACGCCAGCCCTGTCGAGCACGATGCCGTCGTCGAGCTCCACCACCTGCGCGTGCGAGCGCGGAGGGATGCGCAAGGAGTCTGCGTGGTGCTTTCCGCCATGCAGTCGCGGCGGCGGCGGCTTGTTGGAGGCCGTGCCGAAGAGCCCAGTGCGCGGGCTTATTTACGCAACGCTACTTCGTCGATAAACCAATCAAGGAAGCACGCGTTAGTGTCAACAACACGCACGCAGGCGCATTGCGTACGCGGCGTTTTCGCGGCCGTACTCCGCACCTTTTTGCTGCGACCTCCCGCAGGAACCTTCTTGCCAGCCGGCAATTCAACCCAGCGCGTCTTCTTCACGCGGCGCGTCTTTGGCACGCTGCGCGTTTTCTTCACGCGGCGCGTCTTCTGCACCTGCACAGGCGTCTCCACCATCTTCCGGCCCCCGAACAGCTTCTTCTTGCCCTCGACGAGACGGATCTCCGTGTCGTAGTACTGCTCGTCGGCAGAGTACTCCTCCGTCTCGTGGTACTGCTCGTCAACGCTGTACTCCTCCTCGACGAAGGTGGTCACCTTGCTCGGTGCGATGGTCACGACGGCGCCCTTCAGGTCCACGACGTCGCGGGTCTTGTCCGCGAGGATCTTGCGCACCACCTGCGTCGTCACCCTCCCGTCGCCGTTCAGCGTCGTGCGCAAGCCGTCGCTGCCACCGGTCCGCGCCGCGGAGACCGAGAGCGTCGCGGAGTCGCTCGGCGCGCTAGCCACGTCGCCGCCCTCCTGCACGTCGTCCGCCGTCAGCTTGGCCATCACCTCCAGCGCCTCGATCGCCGTGGGCCTCTTCGCGGCCTTGGATTCGAAGCACCTCTCCAGCAGCGACCGCAGCGCCGCTGGTGCCCACGCTGGGATCTTCGGCCGTTCTTTGTTGATCAGCACGGCCGCGAGGATCTCGGGCCCTTCGTTGTCCTGGAACGGCATCTCGCCCGACAGGATCTCGCACACCGTGGCGGCCGCCGACCACATGTCGGAGTGCGTCCCGGGCTTGTCGCGGCCCGTGCGGTGCATCTGCTCGGGCGGCATGTAGTTCATGGTGCCGAACGCTTTCTCGCGCAGCGTCTTGCCGAGCGTCTTGTTGGTCTCGCGCGACAGCTGGAAGTCCGTCAGGACCGCAGTGCCGTGCTCCGTCAGCAGCACGTTGGCGGGCTTCATGTCGAAGTGGCAGATGCCCATGGCGTGCAGGTCCGCGAGCCCCTGGAAGATGTTGCGGCAGATCTGCAGCTTGTTGTCGACGGACAGCGGCCCGAGCCGGCCCTGCCCGCGCAGGCGCTGACTGACGGAGCTCGGATACCGCCGCATCACCAGCATCACGCGCGATCGATCCTTGTCCACCACGTAGCCGTGCAGGGTGCACACATGGTCGGAGCACAGCGACGCTCTGACCATGCGCTCCGCCTCGTTCTTGACGCGCTCAACGTCTTCATGTGCAGACACCAGATCGCCCCCGATCTCGACGACCTTGACCGCGACGTTGCACAGGTCCGTGCCCGTGCCGTCGCGGTCCCATACGCCGCCGTACACGGTGCTTCCGCCCTCGTGCGAGATCGCTTGGTTGCTCACCTGGATGCGCTTGGGCTCGATGACCAGATTTTCCTGCAAGCGAACAGAAGCATCGCGGTTTCAGCGACGGGCCGTCAAGTCGCGGGTCGTGAGTGCCGGTGAGGCGACGATGATCGAGTCACGTCAGTGGAGGACGTCAAGTCGCGGCTCGCGACGACAAGCACGCCGCGGCGGTTGGACGAACGTACCAGGGCCTCGGCCAGCGTGCGCTTCTGCTCCTGCTCCTTGATCCGACGGATCTCCGCGGCCATGTTGCCCACGATCGTCACCCCCTGCTTCTCGTGGCCGGGCTTGAAGCACTTCGTGTCCGCGAGCACCTTCTCCACGCTGCGCTGCTCCTGCGCGGCGTCCACGCTCGGGCTCGCGAACGTGCCCACGATGATCTCCAGCATCGCCTCCATCCTCGCCTCCCTCGCCTCCATCTTTTCCATCCGCGCATCCATGTCCTCTCCCTGCGACATGACCTTCGCCAGGTCAGCCCCGAGTCGCTCCACGCCCTCCTCGACGACCACCTGCAGGTTGCTGAGTCCGCCCTGCACGTCCTGCACGCCCGCGCGGACCTTCTCCGTCAACTGCACGTTGGCACCCGCGAGCTCGCTCATCGCGCGCCCCAGCGCCTTCGCCGCTTCCTGGAGCGCCTCCTTGCGCTTCTTCGACGTCGCGAAGACCTTGATGCGACTCTCACGCTCCCACGTCAGCGTCTCCGCATCCAGGCTCTTCAGCGCCCCCTCGATCGACTGGAGGGTCTTCCCCAGCAGCGGTGCTGCCTCCTTCACGGCGCCCAGCTCGTCGAGGATCTGCTTCACCTGCAGCACGTGCGGCCGCAGGGTCTCGCACGCGCTGCGGATCCACGCGCAGTTGTCCAGGCGCGTCAGCACCGCCCGCGTGAGCGCGAGACACCCAGACACGGCGCACTCCATGGTGGGGCACCTGCGTTGCGGCGCACCGGGGGGATCTGTGGTCTACACGCTGCAAGGGCGGAGCGAAATGGACGCGTGACGCTGGCGCAGGGCGTTGCATCCCCGGTCAACCTCCCTGTCGCGCCACTCTGTGAGGATTGGCGTGGAGGCTGGGGGATCGCCCGCGCAAGCTCCCGCCCGTGAAGTATGGACGACAACTCAAGTCGGACCGCGGCGTGTTAATGATAAATCTGGGAATGCGGCCCCGAAAGCTGCGTTCCGTGCGACCTCCGCGACGACGACGGTGCCGCGAACGGCGAGGGCGCATGCGCGAAAATGGGCGGTCAGTATCGCCGACTCGTCCACGGCACGATAACGCGCGTAATTTCTCAACCTTGCTGGGGAGAGCTGTCGACAAGCGGTCCTAGGGCGGCATTCAAGGTGCGAAGCTTCCTGGGCCTCTGCTTCTTCATCGTGCCGGTGCGGCCGCACAGGAGCCCTTTCGCGCAAATTACGAGGCTCACTCACCGCAACACGGATCGGACGGCGTGATTTCAGCAGAAAGAAGGTCCAAAACTTCCAGGACCGCGCAAGATTGGGTGCTGGACTTGAGAGTGGCAGTGAGCTTCACCCGGCCAAGTAACGGGTTACGCGGCAGCCCTTGAGCCCCCACGTCGAGCGAACGGGATGCAATGATCGGTGTCACCGCACACTCGCGCCAATGGCCTGCAGGGTCGGCGTGCGGGCCGTCAGGTGCCACGTTTTGTCCCCCGCTCAGGACCCTCCGTGCTGAGCAAGAGCGCGGCGGGCATGGAACAAGTGCTGCGCCGCTCGATCGGAGGTCTCGAAGGTTGACAGGAGGGGCCCGTCCGAGGGGCGCGCTGTGCTCCTGGCCTCGGAGGTGCCTTCGCGAGCAGCGGGACACCGAGCGACACTCCGCCCGCAAGCAGTCGGTGAAATAGCGCTGACCTCGCGCATCGCCGACGCACGCGGCCTAGCCGATGAAATGCGACGTGTTGGCAAGACGAACGAAACGAACGTCGAGCACGACCCCACGTCGCAGGCACACGCACGCGTGGTTGCCCAGGTATCGACCTGGGGCTGACGGGCGCGGCGCCAGGACCGCAGAGCCCACCAGCTGGCCTCGTGGCAGCATGCCCTCTAGTCAATCCACAAGGGATGGACGCATCCACGCACGCTGCTCTGCCAGGACTGCGCGAGGTGTTAGCACACACATGCGCGTGCGACGCCGACGCACGTGCAGACCCGACCGAATGTACGCGGGGAGCCTACGCGGCGCAGTGTGCGTCAGCGCAGCGTTCCGACCCACGGAAGCCGTTCGCAGCCACGGTGTTGTTGTTCCACGCCGCGTCGACGCCCGCGCCGGGCAGCTGGGCCGCGGGCGCGCCGCCGCGGCAGCGCCGCACGGCGCCTTCCCCCGCGACCCTCCACCGGCGTCGGTGGGGTCCAGCGGAGCCGCGGGAACGCGTGCCAGCAATTACCCCCCCCTCGCGGTTCGTCAGCGCGCAATTGGCGGCCCGCGGGCGGCGGACCTGGCAGAAGACACAGCGAAACGCACTTGCAAGGACGTCGGGCAGCGCGGCATCCGCACTCGCGGACGGCACACCTCTGCAGGTGCGGCGCGAGAGCTACGCCAGCACCCCCTCGCCAGCGCGCGGCCCCGGGCGGAACCAAGCGCGCGCGCCGGCGCGTGGCGGCCGCGTCGACGCGCCGTGACGTGGCCATCCTGCGCGGCTTGTTGCGCGCGCTGAATCCCGACCACAGCGAGCCGGGAGGCTATGCTTCCACAGTCTTCCTTTCAGTCGAGTTTTCCCATCTGGGACGCCGTCGTCGCGTGACGAGCAGCCAGACTGCTCCCACGGCGCCAGTGCAGGCACGGGGACTCGCCGGGCGGCGCGGAGGCGGTCGTACGCGGCGCTTGCTGCGCGTGCGCGCCCTGAGGAGGGCGGAGGGAGACGCGCGGCGATGGCGCCGGCATGGCGGCTGTGGCTCGCCGCGGTGGCGCTGATGGCGTTCCCAGGGATGTCTAGCATCGTCGCGGCCGACGCGGCGTCGAACCCGGAGGTCGTGTGCGGCAGCGTGATCAAGCTGGAGAGCGACGCACACAAGGGCTTCCGGCTGGTGACGCAGGTGCGCGCCGACGCGCCGGTGCTCGCGCTCCCGTGCATCGCTATCCAGCCACCGTGTCGACCAGCGCGCCGGAGCACTGTATCACGCCCGGTGCCAGCGACGGGAGCGCTGCACGGCCCCGCGCGACGCAGGATGTGGCCTACGGCGGCGGCAGCGGGCAGATGTCGGTGACGACGAATCCCGAGTCGGACGAGGACGGCTACTGGGTCGTCCGCGGCGCTCCGGGCTGCCGGTGGTGGTGTCCATGAGAGGCGCGTGCGAGATGCGCGGGGGGCGCGGCACCGGAGGGGGGGACAGGCGCTGGTGGTTGGGCGCGTGGGGCGTCGCCGACCTGGGAACAGCCGTTGGAGCGTGGCGGTGTCCTTGCGGTCGACGAGGTCGAGCAGCGTGCGGGTCGACACGAAGGACGCGAACGTCATGGAGCCCGCCACGAGGCCGGTGAGCCCCGTCGCGGCACGCAGGCGGTGGTGGACGCGGAGGACATGGCGGCGGCGGCGCGGACGGACTGCGCGGAGCACGGGGTGCGCGGGCTCGTCGAGGGCCCGCGCGGACGTGGGTCGGACAGACGCCCTGACTGGACAAGGCACAAGGGGGGTGTTGGACAACAAACACCCTTGTCGTGTGGCGCCTGGCGGAGGGCCGCCGCGGACTCTCTCGGCCGCGCGGAGCAGGCTCTCTCACGAGGGGGCGTCGTCAGCGGCACGCGGCCACCGCAGCCGACCCTCGTTGTTGTTGCTGCGCGTGTGTGTGTGTGTGGTGGCGCAGGCCGGGCGCGACGAACAGCGCACCCGCCCGGTAGCAAGCGCGCGAGACAGCGTGCACGCGCGGGGCAGTGCAGTGGGTCGGGCCAGTCAACGCTGCGCGCGCGAGGCGAGCCCGGCAGCGGTCTGGTCGCGTGCTGCTGCGATCCCGTTGCGGGCGACGCACGTGGCGAATGCGCGACATGGAGCGGCGGAGGACGAGGCGCGTCGTCTTACCGTGTGTCCGCTGCGGGCGTGTCGCGCGGTGCGGCTCGTGCGCTGCCTGGTGTGGGTGCGCGACGTGGAGCTGGGGCGCCGGGCGGGCCGCGGACGGGCGTTCCGGGGCCGCGGGGAGCTGCCGATGCTGTACGCGGGCACCTGGAGACGCGCTGGTGTGCCCGACGGCGGGCCGTGCGCGGAGCGGAGGGGTCCGCAGCGACGCTGCGGCGGGGAGGGGCGCGTTTTCGAGCGGCGGCGCGCGATTTCCTGCGTGTGGACCGCGTGGGACGCTGGAACATTGATCACGTGACCGATCGCGGCGGTGATCGGGTGGTGTGCAACCGAACAGCCCCGCCGCACCGCCCGCGCCTCCGGTCGGTTCAAACTGTGCGACAGTCGCCGCGACCGCAGGGCCGTGTGTGCGCGTGGCCGCGGCGCCAGAGCCGCGCACATGCTTGTCTTACGCCTGATGAGCTTGTCGCGCGGCCGTGCGCGGCCAGCGAGCGCGGCGTCGGTCCCAGAGCGCGGCGGAGAGCGCTGGCTGTCGCACGCCAGTTGAACGCAGCGCCGCGTTCCCGCGAGACCGGGGCGCAAACGTGGACGCCCGGTGCGCTCGTCGCTCATGTATCACACGATCGGCGCTCGCGCAAATTGGTTCGCTCTAGGACGGCGATCCCGCTCCAGTATCCGCGGTGACGTGGTGCTGCGGGTGCCGTGCAGGCCCGGGCGTGCCGCGAGCGTCGCGCCCCGGGCCCCGCAGCGCGCGCCCGCGGTGCCGCGCGCTCGGTGTGATCGTGGTGCGTCGTCGCGCCGGCGGTGCGCGCCTCGAGCACGTCGTGCGGCCCCAGCTGCGGCCACAACGCTCCTGCGTGTGGTGTAGCTCGCACCGTTGCGGTCCGCGCTCGCCGCCCCGCGACCCGCGCGCCCCGCGCACCGCGCCACCCTCACCGCGGATCCACGACGCCGTTACCGAACATCGCAGCAAAAAACTTTTCCGGACTGCTCCAGCCCTGCTCTACGTCGTCGCGCCCCACCACCTGCACCCACCACGACGCGCCCCGCACTCACCACCGCAGTCGCGGCAACGCACCCCCGCACACACACACACACACACACGCGCTGCACGTCGCACACCCCCACGTCCCCCCCCACGCGCCCCCCACTCACCTTCGCGTCATCCACTGCCGCCACGCCGCACACCCTGTTGTTGCTGCACGTGGTGTTGCGCAACGTGACGCGCGTGGAGGAGTGGAGCGCACGCACACCGCTGGACCCGTTGTTGCAGCACTCGCCGCCCTCCACCGTGACCTGCACGCACGCGCACGCGCCGCCCACGTCGCGCCGGGACCGTCGTGCGGCGCCCCCCGGTGCACCACACGCGGCGCTGCCTGCGGGCCTGGGACGCGCCCCCCGCAGCGCGCGCGGCGAACGGACCGCACCTCTGCTCCGGAACACGCGCACAGTCCGGAAGTGTAGTGCCCCGGGTTGTCGCTGAGCTTGCACCCCTGGAGGACGACCCCCGTCGCGCCCTCGACGTGCACTGCACCCTCCACAGTAACTGGAACCCCGAAGCTACCTGCGCGCGCTCGCCCCGCACGGCGCGCGGCCCGTGAGCGCCGCGGTCGCGCGCAGCCGGGCAGCGGGGTCGACGAGCAGCGGGGCGCGACGCGTTGCGAGGCACGGCGGCGTCGGGCACTCACCACGGCTGTAGTTGTAACCGGTGATCGTGACGCTCTCCAGGCGGAAGCCCCGCGCCGGCCCCTTGACGAGCAGCCGCACGCCCCGCAGCGTGCCGTTGCGCAGCGTGACGTCGGGGCGCGTCACCTCGATCGTGTCCTCGCCCCCGCCGCGCACCTCGCGCCCCCCGAGGTCGATCACCTGCAGCGGACACACCAGCAGCAGCAACAGAGGCGTCGATCCCGGCGCCGGGCGAGCTTGCGCGGGCGCAGCGGGGCGTCGTACATGCGGGAAAATACTCGTAGCGGCGTGCTGCGATGCGACGCGGCGTCGAACGGCGCCGCACCTTCCAGGAGCCGGCGTTGAGTGCCTCGCGCAGACCGTCCACGGTGCCGGCCTTGCGCTCGGCCTCCCTGCGCTCCGCCTCCCGCCGCTCCCCAAGCTCCCCACCAAGCTTTGCGCTCCTGTTCACGAAGATATTTTCCCCCTCGTTCCCGTTCGCGAGGACCCCGTACCCCTCAACCTGCAACCCAAACATCCCGCCACCAAACCCCCGCGGTTATGCAACGCGCGGCGCATTGCTCCCGTACATGCGCCGCGAGCGCACATGCATGACCTCTGAGATCAGTTCGGTGACCTTCAGGTCCAGGGCCTGTGGTTCAAGTCAAGTTGTCGCGTGCACTTGCCTCTGCGCCTTCGCAATGGACGCCGTTCTTCTTGTTGCTGCTGCAGTCGACGTTGCGCAGCGTCACGCGCGTACCACTGTCGCGCGCGCTGACGCCGTCCTCGCCGTTTCCGGAGCACTTGCCGCCCTCCACCGTCACCTGCAGGTGCGCTCGCACAGCTCGACGCCGATGGACGGAGGCGCTACGGGCACATCGACGTCCCGGACGGTCCATCATGTGTGCACGAGCGTGTTGCGCCGACACGAACGCCGTCATGCGCAGCAATCGAGTGTAGCGATGTACACGTAGCGAGCTGCAGCGGTTGACGCGCACCTGGGCTCCCGCGACGACAGCCACGCCGTGCTTCTTGTTGCTGCTGCAGTCGACGTTGCGCAGCGTCACGCGCGTACCACTGTCTGATGCATACACTCCCTCCGCATTGTCTCGGATCTCGCTGTCATGGATTGCAACCTGCACAGCACTCGCATTGCAGGGATTCATGCGGTGCCCAACGGTCACCGCCGAAACGAAAGCGAGATCTCGTCTCATGTGCGCTCGACACCGCAGCGCTGCTAGCAAGTGGGCGTGGCGCCAGTGCGGCTGACATCGGATCAGCACGCGAGCAGAGCGCGGTATTTCCGGTACACCTCCGCCTGCGCGGCGGCAATGGATGAGCAGCGCACCTCGGCGCCGGCCAGAGCGCTCAGGCCAGTACTGGAGTTCCCCTTGATGGTGCACTTCCTGATTGTCACGCCCTTGGCACCGCGGATCTCGACCACACTCGGCTCTGCAGGTGCACGCGTGCCCGGTACACGACAGCCCGATTTGTATTGCACACGGCAGAGGAGGCGCACGCGGTCACGCCGAGTCGCACAATCATGCGCGCGCTCGCCCCGCACGGCGCGCGGCCCGTGAGCGCCGCGGTCGCGCGCAGCCGGGCAGCGGGATCGACGAGCAGCGGGGCGCGACGCGTTGCGAGGCACGGCGGCGTCGGGCACTCGCTCACCGCTGAAGTTGCATCCGGTCACGGTGACGCCCTCCAGGCGGAAGCCCCGCGCCGGCTCCTGGACGAGCAGCCGCACGCCCCGCAGCGTGCCGTTGCGCAGCGTGACGTCGGGGCGCGTCACCTCGATCGTGTCCTCGCCCCCGCCGCGCACCTCGCGCCCCCCGAGGTCGATCACCTGCAGCGGACACACCAGCAGCAGCAACAGAGGCGTCGATCCCGGCGCCGGGCGAGCTTGCGCGGGCGCAGCGGGGCGCCGTGCATGCGGGAAAATACTCGTAGCGGCGTGCTGCGATGTGACGCAGCGTCGAACGGCGCCGCACCTTCCAGGCGTCGAGTGCCTCGCGCAGACCGTCCACGGTGCCGAGATGATCCAGCACCCAGCGGTCCTTGAGCTCCCCACCAAGCTTTGCGCTCCTGTTCACGAAGATATTTTCCCCCTCGTTCCCGTTCGCGAGGACCCCGTACCCCTCAACCTGCAACCCAAACATCCCGCCACCAAACCCCCGCGGTTATGCAACGCGCGGCGCATTGCTCCCGTACATGCGCCGCGAGCGCACATGCATGACCTCTGAGATCAGTTCGGTGACCTTCAGGTCCAGGGCCTGTGGTTCAAGTCAAGTTGTCGCGTGCACTTGCCTCTGCGCCTTCGCAATGGACGCCGTTCTTCTTGTTGCTGCTGCAGTCGACGTTGCGCAGCGTCACGCGCGTACCACTGTCGCACGCGCTGACGCCGTCCTCGCCGTTTCCGGAGCACTTGCCGCCCTCCACCGTCACCTGCAGATGCGCTCGCACAGCTCGACGCCGATGGACGGAGGCGCTACGGGCACATCGACGTCCCGGACGGTCCACCATGTGCGCACGAGCGTGTTGCGCCGACACGAACGCCGTCATGCGCAGCAATCGAGTGTAGCGATGTACACGTAGCGAGCTGCAGCGGTTGACGCGCACCTGGGCTCCCGCGACGACAGCCACGCCGTGCTTCTTGTTGCTGCTGCAGTCGACGTTGCGCAGCGTCACGCGCGTACCACTGTCTGATGCATACACTCCCTCCGCATTGTCTCGGATCTCGCTGTCATGGATTGCAACCTGCACAGCACTCGCATTGCAGGGATTCATGCGGTGCCCAACGGTCACCGCCGAAACGAAAGCGAGATCTCGTCTCATGTGCGCTCGACACCGCAGCGCTGCTAGCAAGTGTGCGTGGCGCCAGTGCGGCTGACATCGGATCAGCACGCGAGCAGAGCGCGGTATTTCCGGTACACCTCCGCCTGCGCGGCGGCAATGGATGAGCAGCGCACCTCGGCGCCGGCCAGAGCGCTCAGGCCAGTGCTGGAGTTCCCCTTGATGGTGCACTTCCTGATTGTCACGCCCTTGGCACCGCGGATCTCGACCACACTCGGCTCTGCAGGTGCACGCGTGCCCGGTACACGACAGCCCGATTTGTATTGCACACGGCAGAGGAGGCGCACGCGGTCACGCCGAGTCGCACAATCATGCGCGCGCTCGCCCCGCACGGCGCGCGGCCCGTGAGCGCCGCGGTCGCGCGCAGCCGGGCAGCGGGATCGACGAGCAGCGGGGCGCGACGCGTTGCGAGGCACGGCGGCGTCGGGCACTCGCTCACCGCTGAAGTTGCATCCGGTCACGGTGACGCCCTCCAGGCGGAAGCCCCGCGCCGGCTCCTGGACGAGCAGCCGCACGCCCCGCAGCGTGCCGTTGCGCAGCGTGCCGTCGGGGCGCGTCACCTCGATCGTGTCCTCGCCCCCGCCGCGCACCTCGCGCCCCCCGAGGTCGATCACCTGCAGCGGACACACCAGCAGCAGCAACAGAGGCGTCGATCCCGGCGCCGGGCGAGCTTGCGCGGGCGCAGCGGGGCGCCGTGCATGCGGGAAAATACTCGTAGCGGCGCGCTGCGATGTGACGCGGCGTCGAACGGCGCCGCACCTTCCAGGAGCTGGCGTTGAGTGCCTCGCGCAGACCGAACATGGTGCCGAGATGATCCAGCTCCCAGCGGTCCTTGAGCTCCCCGCCAAGCTTTGCGTCCCTGTGCATGAAGATGTCGTCTGCATTGTTCCCGTTCGCGAGGACCCCGTACCCCTCAACCTGCAACCCAAACCCATCCCGCCACCAAACCCCCGCGGTTATGCAACGCGCGGCGCATTGCTCCCGTACATGCGCCGCGAGCGCACATGCATGACCTCTGAGATCAGTTCGGTGACCTTCAGGTCCAGGGCCTGTGGTTGTGGTTCAAGTCAAGTTGTCGCGTGCACTTGCCTCTGCGCCTTCGCAATGGACGCCGTGCTTCTTGTTGCTGCTGCAGTCGACGTTGCGCAGCGTCACGCGCGTACCACTGTCGCACGCGCTGACGCCGTCCTCGCCGTTTCCGGAGCACTTGCCGCCCTCCACCGTCACCTGCAGATGCGCTCGCACAGCTCGACGCCGATGGACGGAGGCGCTACGGGCACATCGACGTCCCGGACGGTCCATCATGTGCGCACGAGCGTGTTGCGCCGACACGAACGCCGTCATGCGCAGCAATCGAGTGTAGCGATGTACACGTAGCGAGCTGCAGCGGTTGACGCGCACCTGGGCTCCCGCGACGACAGCCACGCCGTGCTTCTTGTTGCTGCTGCAGTCGACGTTGCGCAGCGTCACGCGCGTACCACTGTCGCACGCGCTGACGCCGTCCTCGCCGTTTCCGGAGCACTTGCCGCCCTCCACCGTCACCTGCAGATGCGCTCGCACAGCTCGACGCCGATGGACGGAGGCGCTACAGCACGAAGGCACATCGACGTCCCGGACGATCCACCATGTGCGCACGAGCGTGTTGCGCCGACACGAACGCCGTCATGCGCAGCAATCGAGTGTAGCGATGTACACAAGCGAGCTGCAGCGGTTGACGCGCACCTGGGCTCCCGCGACGACAGCCACGCCGTGCTTCTTGTTGCTGCTGCAGTCGACGTTGCGCAGCGTCACGCGCGTACCACTGTCTGATGCATACACTCCCTCCGCATTGTCTCGGATCTCGCTGTCATGGATTTCAACCTGCACAGCACTCGCATTGCAGGGATTCATGCGGTGCCCAACGGTCACCGCCGAAACGAAAGCGAGATCTCGTCTCATGTGCGCTCGACACCGCAGCGCTGCTAGCAAGTGTGCGTGGCGCCAGTGCGGCTGACATCGGATCAGCACGCGAGCAGAGCGCGGTATTTCCGGTACACCTCCGCCTGCGCGGCGTCAATGGATGAGCAGCGCACCTCGGCGCCGGCCAGAGCGCTCAGGCCAGTGCTGGAGTTCCCCTTGATGGTGCACTTCCTGATTGTCACGCCCTTGGCACCGCGGATCTCGACACTCGTCTCTGCAGATACACCCGTGACCGTTTCGCGGCATCCTGATTCTCATCGCATACGTCAAAGAAGGCGCACGCGGTGACGCCGAGTCGCAAAAACATGGGCAGACGTCCTCGGGAGGCGTCTGTACAGCGTCAACAATCCACCTTGGGCTCTCCCATCCCGCGGGATCTCGCGCGGGCACGCACCGTTACCGGAGAAGCTGCGAACATCCACGTGCTCAATGGCGCAGCCGTTCGCCCCGTCCGTCACCCGCAGCTGGACGTTCCTGAGAGCGCCGTTCTTGAGGACCACGCCGGGACGGATCACCTTGATGGACTGGCCGCTTCCGACGAGCTCCCGGCCGAGGAAATCGATGACCTGTGAGTCGCACCGGTTGGACAGGCACTGTCACTCCGCGTTGCGGCCCCCGCTTGCAGATAAGAGGCTGTGGGTGCGCGGCGCCGGCTCTTCCGGGCCGGGGAGACCACCCACGTACGTTGACTGCGGGATCTGCCACCCGCTTCATCAGTCCATCGACGGTGAACTCGTCCGATTCGCCGAACGGGGTGCACTTCTTCTGCTCCCGCGCTGCTTCTTGGATGAGGCGCCTCGCCTTTAGCTTAGGCACCCCGAGCTCCATCCAGTCCTCCTCCGTGGAGATAGCTACTGATTCAACGTCGAATACGCCGAGCTGTTCCGCGGCGGCCACCACGGTGTCCTCATCGGCGTGCAGTTTGAGCCTCCTCACCAGCTCGACGATGTAGTCGTCCGCCATGATGTCGAATGTGAACAGCGCGCCCAGGATCGAGCCGGTTGCGTATGTCAGAGTGCGGCCGCAAGCACGCCAGTTGGTCCGGGGCGCTCACGACGCGCCGGCCCCCCCCACGATGTGTCCCTCGGGGCCTCCTACGGACACTCGGCTCGACCTGCAGCCCCGCACCGAGGCATTGGCGCGTTGACGCACTGATCTGCGCTACTTGGGTACAACTGTCCCTCTCCCGCGTCCCGAAGCGCGGGGAGACGCGTGTGCGGTCGCTTTGCGCGGGCCCAACCTACCAGGTGGGACCCACCCGGTGGCTCGAGGCCATTGCCGGTCGATCTGCCCGCCAATCACAAGCATTCGCGATCCAGACACACGTCCTGGCGGGTGCTTGATCTTGTTGACGTATAACAACGCGCGGGCGTCCTGCTGTGGCGGCACGATGCTGGACGCGGTGAAAGCGGCGGTGCTGGACATCGCGGCCGAGGCGGTCAGGATGGTCCAGCCGAAAAGGAGGACGAGCGGGAGGTCAAGGAGCTCGCACGCTGCGCGGAGGTCGCGGCGGCCGTGATGGAGGGCTTCCTGGCCGACGGCAAGGCAGTGCGCACCGCCTCCGATCGCGGGCTCCTCGACGCGCTGGAGCTCCTCGACGCCAACCTGACCAAGGCCCACGAGCTTCTGTTCGAGTGGAGCACCAAGAAGGTCCGGCGCAGCGCCATGCCCGCCAAGTGGGCGCGCAAGCTGGCCGATGCCTGCGGGGGCATCTCCCTCGGGCTGCAGCTGGTCGCGACCGCGAGCGCGGGGAAGCTGAACGTCGCGGTCGAGGACGTCCGCGGGCTGTGCGTCGATCTGCTCCGCGCGCAGTCGGACATGAAGGATTTGATCGACGCCGCGCACAAGCAAGCGCGCAAGGCCAACATCACGCCCCAGCAGGTCGACGCGGTGCTGGCGCGCCACATGGCCGAGCTCCAGATGCGGTCGATCAGCCCGGCGGAGCTGCGGGCCGTGCGGGACGAGATCCTCGCCGGGGGCCGGGCGAACGCGGAGGCGCAGGAGGCGACGATGGCGCGCATGGAGCGGTCGCTGACGGGCGCGATCGCCGCGGCGGCGGAGCGGCACCGCGAGGAGCAGCGGCGGGAGTTCGAGGAGCTGAGGGCGGCGGGCGAGCGGGGCTTCCGCGACGTCAAGTCGTCTGTCTCGCAGGACGTGACGGTGGCGGCCGACAGGGTGATCGAGGAGGTGTTCGCGCGCGTGGGGGGGCTGGTGCAGGAGCGGCTCGGAGAGGCGGTGCGCACGATCGAGGAGCGGGCGTCGGAGCGGGCGAAGGTCGACGTGGAGTGCATCGAGCAGATGCTGGTGCGCGAGATTGACGCAATGCGGATCGGTGCCGGGCAGGGCGTGCGCAGCGAGGTGAGCCGCGTCGAACAGCGTGGGTGACTGTCGTGCAGCGCACTGCGTCGGCGGCTCGCGGGTCGCTCAATCTGCGTGCTTGTGCGACTCTCCCTGACGCGGCAGATGCCGTCGCCATGTTGCTGCGCAGGTGAATGAGCTCAAGGAGAAGGTGCAGCGGCTCGCGTGGGAGAGCACGCGCAGAATCGACATGTGCGCCGGCGGCGCGCAGAAGTCGCTCGAGGCCTGGCGCATCCCGGCGGGCGAGGTGGTGCTGGGGCCGTCGTTGTCGGAGGGCGGCTTCGGCGACGTGCACGAGGGCGTGTGGCGTGCCCCGAACCAGGTGCCGCTTCCGGCGGCCATCAAGGTGATCCGCCTGCACGGCACGAAGCCCAAGGAGCGGAACGCGCTGCTGCGCGAGGCGCAAGTGCTGTCGCGCGCCCTCGCGGCGAGCCCGCACGTCTGCCAGCTGTACGGCTTCGTCGACGGCAACGACAGCGGCGGCCAGGCGATGCTCGTCATGCGGCGCTACGCCGGGTCGCTGTCGGACGCACTGGACCTGCACGACGGCAAGCCCATCCCGCTGGGCGCGTGGCTGCCCGCCATGGCCGACGTCTTCCGCGCCCTCGACTCGCTGCACCGCGTGGGCATCACGCACTGCGACGTGACGCCGCGGAACGTGCTCCTCGACGGCTCCGGGTGCGCGGTGCTCGCGGACTTTGGGCTCTCGCGCGTGACGTCCTCCTCCTCGGTGGCGAGCGTCGCGACCGAGGCCAAGGACGCATGCTCGCGCAACTACGCGGCACCGGAGCAGCTCCAGGCGCGCCGCCGGGCCGACCGCGGCCCGCACACGGACGTGTGGGGCGCGGCCGCAGTGGCTGTGCACCTCGCGTCCGGCGTGCTGCCGTTCAAGGGCTGGAACCGCGAGGACATCTACAGCCTCGTGGTTCACGACCGCGAGGCCCCGGAGATTCCGAGCGGGCTCCCAGGCCCCGTGGCGGCCGCCATCGCCGCGTGCTTTGCGTACGACTTCAACCGCCGCCCGACCGCGCGGTACGTCCTGGACGTCCTCGAGGGAGAGCTGCAGCGGCTCGCGGACGCCGTCGACCGCAAGTGCCTCGTCCCACCGGCGGCGCGCGACCGCCCCGAGCAGCCGACGCCCTCGTGGAACGCCCCAAGGACGCTGCCCGTCGCACCGGTGGCGATGTCCAGCGCCACGCAGGCGTACCACGAGGAGCGCGAGCCGTCGTACCCCGAGCCTCCGCCGCTCCCCGACGGCTGCGGTGAGGGCGAGGCGCTCGTGGACCGCGTCGTGCGAGAGCTACAGCTCGGGGACGACACCGCGGAGCGCGTGCGCGCCGCCCTGCCGTTCGGGGCGTTGTCCGACGCCCAGGACGTCGCGGCGCTCACCGAGCGGGCCCTGCGGTCCTGCAAGGTGTCCGCGCTGCAGGCGCGGCGTGCGATCCCGGCTCTGCACGCCGCTGCCGCCAGAGCGCCCCCGCCCGCGTCCACGGCGCGCCGCGGCTCCGCGCTCACGGTGGCGGGGCTGCAGCAGGTCCTGAACGATCCCACCGTCCCCGTCGTCGACCTCGAGGGGCGCGCGGTGCGCTGCGTCGGCAACGCAGAGGGTCTGGTGATCAACCGCCCTGTTGTGCTGCGTAACGGTCTGCTGGTCGGGCTGGGGAGCAAGGTCGGGGGGCAGATGGCTGCGGTGCATCTCGGCCGCGGCGCCGCGGGCGCGGTGCTCGAGTCGCTCCGCATCGTGGGCGGGCCCGGGCACGGCGTGTACGCGCACGGGGAGGCGAAGGAGGCGACGGTGCGCGGGTGCAGCATCACGCACAGCGCGCGGAATGGCGTGATGGCGATCGCCGGGTGCCGCGTCGCGGTGGAGGGCGGCGAGGTCGCGCGCTGCGGGTGGAACTGCGTGGAAGCGACCGGCGCGGGCACGTCCATCGTTGTGCGCGCGACGCGGTGCACGGGCGCGAAGGGCTGTCACGGCGTGCTCGCGGAGCAAGGCGGGATGGTGACGATGGAGTGGGGCTGCTCGTCGGGGAACGCGCAGGGCGGCGTGGCGGCGTCGGGGAACGGCGCGAGGGTTGTTGCGGAGAGGGTCGAGCTGTCCGGGAACGGCAAGGCGGGGGCGTGGGCGCAGATGGACGGCATGGTGGAGCTCGAGCGGTGCCGCGTGGTTGTGGGGGACGGGAGCGGCCCTGCGACGGGCACGTGGGAGGGGGGGAGCGTGATGGTGGGCAAGGGGACGCGCGTGGTGCAGGGCGGCGCGGTGGGGTGACGGGGCGGCTGGAGGGCGGCGCCGAGTGCAGCAGGCCGGTCCGTGGACGCGAGGTGGGTCGAAGTCGGCGGCGTCCACGTGTGGCACACCCTTGTCGCCAGCGGCACAGACACCCGCGCGACACGGGGCGCTGGACAAGCGTGCCCGGGCACCTTGCTGCGCACTGGGTCCGACGAGGCCGTGTTGTGCGGTGCCGCTTCTGAGTGTGATTGCGCCGCGCGTGACTGCGCAGGGGGGGTTCCAGGGAGTAGGACACGGTGCGGGGCTCAGACGAGTGCTCCGGTGATCCGGTGCCGCTGACGTCATGGTTGTGTCATGCGTAGGGTCAACGGCACCTGAAGACGTGCTCGGTAGCGAGACCCCAACGAATCACGGCGCAGACACGTCGACTGCGCATGCGACGTGCGGCGTCGACGCCCGCGGCGGGCAGCTGGGCCGCGGGCGCGCCGCCGCGGCAGCGCCGCACGGCGCCTTCCCCCGCGAGCCTCCACCGGCGTCGGTGGGGTCCAGCGGAGCCGCGGGAACGCGTGCCAGCAATTACCCCCCCCTCGCGGTTCGGCAGCGCGCAATTGGCGGCCCGCGGGCGGCGGACCTGGCAGAAGACACTGCGAGACGCACTTGCAAGGACGTCGGGCAGCGTGGCATCCGCACTCGCGGACGGCACACCTCTGCAGGTGCGGCGCGAGAGCTACGCAGCGCCCCCTCGCCAGCGCGCGGCCCCGGGCGGAACCAAGCGCGCGCGCCGGCGCGTGGCGGCCGCGACGACGCACCGTGACGTGGCCATCCTGCGCGGCTTGTTGCGCGCGCTGGATCCCGACCACAGCGAGCCGGGAGGCTATGCTTCCACAGTCTTCCTTTCAGTCGAGTTTTTCCTATCTGGGACGCCGTCGTCGCGTGACGAGCAGCCAGACTGCTCCCACGGCGCCAGTGCAGGCACGGGGAGTCGCCGAGCGGCGCGGAGGCGGTCTCACGCGGCGCTTGCTGCGCGCACGCGCCCTGAGGAGGGCGGAGGGAGACGCGCGGCGATGGCGCCGGCATGGCGGCTGTGGCTCGCCGCGGTGGCGCTGATGGCGTTCCCGGGGATGTCTAGCATCGTCGCGGCCGACGCGTCGTCGAACCCGGAGGTCGTGTGCGGCAGCGTGATCAAGCTGGAGAGCGACACACACAAGGGCTTCCGGCTGGTGACGCAGGTGCGCGCCGACGCGCCGGTGCTCGCGCTCCCGTGCATCGCTCTCCAGCCACCGTGTCGACGAGCGCGCCGGAGCACTGTATCACGCCCGGTGCCAGCGACGGGAGCGCTGCACGGCCCCGCGCGGCGCAGGATGTGGCCTACGGCGGCGGCAGCGGGCAGATGTCGGTGACGACGAATCCCGAGTCGGACGAGGACGGCTACTGGGTCGTCCGCGGCGCCCCGGGCTACCCCTGCGAGCCAGGTATCGCCCCGACACCCCCCCGCAACCACCGCAACGCGCCGCACGACGCCCAGGAGCCGCGCCCACGCCCCGCCGCACCCCCCGCGCCCCCCGCAGGCCACACGCTCGCGACGGGCGACGTGATCCGCCTCCAGCACATGGACTCCCGGCGGTGGCTGCACTCGCACAAGCTCCCCGCGCCGCTGTCGGGGACGCGCGCGCACGAGGTGTCGTCGCTCGGGAGCGACGAGGAGAGCGACACGGGCGACGAGTGGGAGCTCTTCCTGGCCACCAAGGGCGCCAAGGCGTGGCGCCGCGGAGACAAGGTCAAGTTGAAGCACAAGGACACCGAGGCGTGGCTGTCGGCCACGGGGCAGAAGTTCCCCCGGCCGATCCAAGGTGCGCGCCGCACGGACGCGCCCGTGTGCGAGCCCCTGGCGCGGCGTTTTGCCAGATATACATCACTTGAGGATTGATAATTGATTGTTGATCGATTCGTTGGTGTGTGCGTGCAGGGCACGGCGAGGTGGCCGCGGTGTCGCGGCGGGGCGACGGGGGCACGGCGTGGGTGGCGCGGGAGGGGGTGTATTTGCCGACGCGGGACCTGAAGCAGCTGGAGGAGCAGGAGAGGGAGGGGGAGTTGCTCGAGTCGGACGGGCAGCCGGCGAAGCAGCACATGGAGCTGTGAGTGCGTGGAACGCGTGCCGCGAGCGGTCCGGAGCCGCGCGAATGCTTGGGGGCCGCGCGAGCCCGTGCGGGGGGGGGTTTTGGTGTTGTACTTGTCAGACACACTTTTCCCCCCGGCGGAGCGGATCGTTGCTGCGCGGCCGCGGTGCCCCGTCCCGCTCGGCTCGCAGTCGCCTGCGCAGGCCGTCTCGCATCGCGCGTGGAGCGCACAGACGCACCGGGACGTGCCATGGTCAGCCCCAGCAGCAGCTTCGTCCGCGGGTGCGAGCCGCCGGTCGCGTGCCGCGGCGCGCGGCGCGCCGGTTCGGACGCGAGCTCGCGTGAGCGGGTGCTGGCGCGGGCGTCGGCGCGGCCCGCCGCGCAGCCCGTGCAGCCGGGTGGCGCGTATCCCGCCAAGGACTTTTGCTCCCGCTGCGGCCTCTGCGACACGAGCTACATCGCGCACGTCAAGGTGCGGCCCCGTGAGTGTACGTGGGGTGTGTGTGCGAGACGTTGGTTGCTTTGGAGCGCGCGTGGGCCCGCACGGGCGCCCAAGGTGTTGCGGTGGGTGGTGGTGTGAGCGCAGGATGCGTGCGCGTTCCTGGGGGAGGGGATGTCGCGGATCGAGCAGCTGGAGGAGGTCGTGCACGGACGGTCGCGGCGCGCGGACGACGACAACGAGGCGGTGCTGGGGGTCGCCGAGCACAACGGGTTCCTGTCGGGGCGCATGATGAAGCCCGTGGACGGCGCGCAGTGGACGGGGGTCGTGAGCTCGGTTGCGATAGAGATGCTCGAGACCGGTGAGTTGTTCCACGGCGCCAGCGGCGCGCACCGACGCCGGCCTGGGGTGCGCTGCTCGCACGAGTGGGGGGCGCCGAGGCCGCGCGTGAGGTTCGCGTGGCGCTGCGAAGCTGTCCGCAGGGATGGTTGACGCCGTGGTGTGCGTGGCGTCCGACCCGGAGGACCGGTTCCGACCAAGGCCGATCGTTGCGACGACGAAAGAGGAAATCCTATCTGCCCGCGGCGTGAAACCCTCGCTCGCGTCCTCCCTCGAGTGCCTCGCGACCCTCGAGGCCATCCCGGACCCGCGCTCGAAGAGCGTCCTCTTCATCGGCGTCGGGTGCCAGGTCCAGGCCCTCCGGAGCGTTCAGAAGCACCTGCCGTTCAGGGACGTGTTCGTACTCGGGACCAACTGCGTGGACAACGGCACGCACGAGGGGTTCGAGCAGTTCCGGCGCGCGGCCACGAGCGACCCGGACAAGCTCCTGCACTACGAGTTCATGCAGGTATCAGCCAGACATGACACAGCGCGCGCGTGGCAGTCGTGTTTCATGCATTGATCTTCCGCGCGGGCGCGACGCATGCCCGCGCTGCGGCGGGCAGTACAGACGCTCACTGCGTACATGAGTTGCCTCTGCGTGCGGCGCAGGACTACCGCGTGCACATCAAATATGAGGATGGCGCGTACGAGAAGATACCGTTCTTCTGCCTTCCAGCGAACGACCTCAACGACGTGATCGCGGCCTCGTGCTACTCCTGCTTCGACTACCCCAACTACCTCGCCGACCTCACCGTCGGCTACATGGGCGTCCCCTACCAGGCGCGTGCTGCTCTCATTGGAATAACACAACCCCCCCCTCTGCGCCTCTCGCGTACCCGTCGCCCGCGTCGACACACGCACCCCCCCGCCTCCTCACCGCAGGGCGGCCCGATGTCGGAGCACCCGCAGTCCATCACCGTCCGCAACGCCAGGGGTCGCAAAATGCTGTCCCTCATCGAAGGCCGCATGGCCGACCTGCAGCCGTGCATGACGGCGGGGTCGCGCGACGCGGTCGTCACGTCGACGCTCGAGGCCGACGACGACGCCAAGTTCGGCAAGGGCCCCGACAAGCCCATGCCGCGGTGGCTGGGCAACGTGGTGGCGTCGATCCTGACAGCGGTGGGACCCAAGGGCCTCGAGTTCGCCAAGTACTCCGTCGAGTACCACTACCTGAGGAACTACCTGTACGTGCGGCGGTTCTGGGGGGACGCGCGCGCCGCGGAGCACGTGCCCGGCTACGCGCGGCGGGTGGTGGAGCGGTACGGCGGGGAGGCGGGGCTGGTGGGGAAGCGGCTGGGGATGGGGCTGCCGCCGAACGGGAAGCCGCCCGGGCCGCAGCGGAAACGCAAGCAGCAGTAGATGTCCGCGTCTGTGATGACTATGAGTCGTCATGTGTCTGCTCTTATTCGACGGCCCCGGGGTCCAAGCCGGACGTATGGTGCTGTCCAAGAGACAACACCGTCCTTCGTGCGCTGGATGATTGCGAAGCTGCGGAACTGAGGACCTGGGGCACACATCAGAGAACCAGACAACGCTTTCGTCAAGGTGCCTGCGCAAGGATGGGTGACTCCCGCGTCCCGAACAGACGGGACCCCGCCTTTCGACGGCCCGCGGCCAACGAAGCGCATGCACTTGGCTCACAACCACGGATCGCAACTCGCATCGAGGCGCCACCGCAGCGGCTCGCTCGCGCGCACCGCTGCGCGCCCTCACCAGCGCCCCCGCGCACTCATTTCCGGCCGTCCCACGTCCCGGTCGCCGACGGCCACCGCGCGGAGCCCACCTGCGCCTTCCCGGGCTTGTCCTGCGTCTCCCGCCACTTCTCATACATGGCGCCCTCGCTCCTGTCAAACGACCAGCTGAACTCCAGCTCCCCGATCACCACCGCCTCGCCCTCGCGCACGCCCTCCGTCTCCAGCGCCCGCGCGATCCCGGACGCCTCCAGCACCGCCTGGAACCGCCTCAGGCTCTCGAAGTAGTCGAAGTTGGTCATCTGCGTGAAGGTCTCGATAGCCTCGCCGGAGACGTACCACACCGGCGCGCCCGTCGAGGTGTCGCGCGCGACCTCGAAGTCGTCGATCCGCGCCACCGACTTGCGCTTCGGCGCCTCGGTGACGTTCTCGACGGTGCGCTCGGCCTCGAGGTCGCGCTCACCGGCCTCGGCCAGCACCGCGCGGACCGCGCGCACGAGCTCCTTCGCGCCGCGGCCCGTCGCGGCGGAGATCGGGAGCGGGTCGGGGAGCCCCCGCGCGCGGAACTCCTCGCACACCAGATCATAGTAGTCCGAAGACTCAGGAATGTCCATCTTGTTGTACACCACGACCTGTGGCTTGTCCGCGAGCTCCGGGTTGAACATCTTGAGCTCGAGGTTGATCATGTCGAAGTCGTGCACCGGGTCCTTCGACGACCCGTCCACCACGTGCACCAGCGCGCGGCACCGTTCCGTGTGCCGCAAAAAGCCCTGCCCGAGTCCGACGCCGCGGTGCGCGCCCTCGAGCAGCCCCGGGACGTCCGCGAACACCGTCGTCTCGAAGTCCATCTCGCACACGCCCAGGTTGGGCGTCAGCGTCGTGAACGGGTAGTCCGCGATCTTGGGCTTGGCCGCCGACAGCACCGACAGCAGCGTCGACTTGCCCGCGTTCGGGACGCCGACGATGCCCACGTCCGCGAGGACCTTGAGCTCGAGCGAGAGCCACATCTCCGTCCCGGGCTCCCCGCGCTCGGCCATCATCGGCGCGCGGTTCCGCCCCGTCTTGAACGTCGCGTTCCCGCGGCCCCCGCGCCCGCCCGCGCACAGCAGCGCGCGCTCGCCGTCCTTGAGGATCTCCGCGACCGCCGGCGCGCCCGACGGGTCGCCCTTGCGCCGGATGACCGTCCCGAGCGGCACCCGGACCTCGACGTCCCGCCCGTTCTGCCCGTGGCAGTCGGCGCCGCGGCCCGCGCCGCCGGCCTGCGCGCGGAAGTGCACGGAGCGGCGGAACGGCAGCAGCGACGACATCGAGCTGTCGCCGACCACCCACACGTGCCCGCCGCGCCCGCCCGACCCGCCCGACGGCCCGCCGCGCGGCACGAACTTCTCGCGGCGGAAGGCCACGCAGCCGTTGCCGCCGTCGCCGGACTTCACGAAGACGGTGGCGGTGTCGTACGCGCGGACCTCGACGCTCGTGCTCGCGCGCGCCGGCTCCCCGTCCTCGTCCTCGCTCTCGTCGTCCTGCAGGCGCGGGCGGGGGAGGCTGGCGCGTGTCGGCGCGCGCGCGCACGTCGTTCTGACAGAGCAGATGCACGCTCAGGTGACGGATGAGGCTGCGCGGCCGTGCGGGGCGGTGGCGCGGCGTGTGTGGTGGTGCGTACGTCGCTGAGGGCGTCCTCGTCCTCCGAGTCCTCGTTGCCGCCGACGAAGTAGCCCTCCTCGTCCTCGACCTGCCAGACCGTTTCCCGCCCGCCGCCGACCGCGTCGCGCGGCGCCGCGCCGGACGACCGCGCCCCGGAGCTGCGCCGCGGCAGCTCGCCCCACATCGCCTCCAGGTCCACCTCCTCGACGTCCGGATCTGCATTCCAGGCCCGCGCTCCCAGCGGTGAGGAAGTGCGCTCGCAACAGGCCGCGCGAGGGCTCGGGCCGCGCCGCTCGCAGCGCGCCAGGCGGTGACGGCGACAGTTGGCAGGCAAGACGCCGCCCGCACGGCGCACATTGCCGCCGCGGCCGCGCGCGCAGATAGTGCACGAAGTGGGCGAGGGAGGGAGGGCGACGCACCGGCCGCGAACGCCACCAGCTCGGCGTCGTCGTCGATGTCATCCTCCAACGCAGGGCCCCCCGCTACGAGGTCGCCCAGGTACTGGCCGGACGCAACGCTCGCGGCGCCGCGTCCAGCCGAGCTTCGTATCCGCGCCTGGTCCGCCGCGTCCGCCGAAGACCCACGCCTGCGCCGCCCGGCGCCCCCTTTCCGGCCGCGACGCGCCCCGGCCGGACCCGCGCCGCGCGGCGTCGTCCCGGGCGCCTCGCCCCGTTGTATATCGTCCAGCGCGGCCATGAACGCCTCCTCGAACGCGTCGTCCGCGGAGGCCCCCGCCAGGTCGTTGCCCGACGCCCGCCGGACCGCCCTCAGGCTCCGGTGCGACCGCACCTGGGCGCGGCCCTGCCTCCCCTGCGCAGCGGCGACGAGCGGGCGCGGCGGACGGTCAGGCGGTGATCTGCGCGGAGAACATGAGGGCGAAGGGAGTCCGGCGCCGGCAGGGCGCGCAGCCGGCCTGGCACCGCAGCCCTGGCATCAGTGGATGGCTCGCGCTGGCGCTGGTGCTCTGGGCGGCGGCGCGCGGGGCGGCGCAGGACGCGGGAGGCCGCGCCCGATGCATGGCACGTGATCGTGGGGGCCCGAAAAGTCGCGGCGGTCCGCCGGCGAGGGCGCGGGGAGGGCGCGGGGGCGCGAGGGAGCCAGCAAGGCGCGCGGCTTGAACGTGGGCCGGTGGCGCGGCGGGCGGGGCCCGTGGGGCGCGGGCGGGCGCGGCGCGGCGCGGTGGGGGAGGTGAAGGTGCGGGATCCGCGCGCGTGGGGATCGCGCGGGCCGCGGGTGGCCGCGGTGGCCGGGCGTGGCTCGTGGACGGTGACGCGGCGTTTGGCGCCGAGTGGGGCTGTCTGGTCCGGGGACGCGGCGTGTCGTGGCGGTTGAACGGATTGACGCTCTCGGACGGGAGGTGACGCTCACCGTGTCTACCGCGCGGCGGCAGGCAGTTAGGCCGACCCGGGCCGACGTGCTGCGCGCGGGCGTCCTGCACGCGCAGCCCGTCGCGCCCGCGCCGGAGTGGCAGGACGAATTCATCATCGCGCTCCTGCGGGTCCTGTTCGCAATCCGAGCAGCGGCCTCGACTGCGCGCTCCAGCGGCGTCCAGTGGATGGTGCCGCGCGCGCTCCGTGGCCAAGGCCGCGGCGTCAGCCGCCAACCCGAGCACCTGCGACGAGGAGTGGCCGCGGTGCCACCATCGGGCCGCCCGTAGAGCCGCAGCGGCACCCGGGCGGCGCCGCGGGGCGGGCTCAACTGCAGCCTTCAGGTTCCTACCAGATGGATTTCACCGCTCCATTCCGGGGCCAGACCCGCGCGTGTGCGGCCGCTCGGTGTAGAACTGGAGGTGCAGCAGCGTCCTAGACCCGTTTCACAGGTATTCGAGAGCTAGCCGACGGCGACGGGGGCGAATTCCACCTGGGAGCGACCAGGGGCTCGGCGGGGCCACGCGGCCGCGACAGTCACCGCTTGACTGACTCGCGTCGCGCTCTATGGGGTGTCCGTGAGGTTGACACGCTGAGACGGCGCCTGCGCCCTCACAGCGCCGCACGCGCCACGATAAAGGATGCAGGCAGCCCACACCACCCCCCGCGGGGCGTGCGTGGTCGCTCCTGCCCGTTTTCCAGCGCGCCAACGCGCTCCTAAGATCTATGTCGGGGCAGTTCCATTGAATTCAAGGCCGTGCTCGCCCGTATTTCGAGGGCCGCCGTGGCACAAGCCGAGTCAGCGCTCGCGCCCCCTGCGGGCCAGCGCGGGCAACGCCGGCGAGGACCAGCGGCCCCTGCTGCAACAAATGCTCGCAGTGGCCCCGCTGTGCCTGTGCGGGCCCATCATCGAGCCAGCCATGGCCCTCATCGAGGTAGATGCCCCCCCACCACACGACGTCCGGGCGGCGAACGACGCCCGACGAACTGCGCGCAGCCCTGCTGTCGACCCGCGGGTGCTGGCCCCCGTGTGCCGCCTGCCCTCGCACCACGCGACACTCGCCATTGCATCACGTGGCGCACCTTGCAGTCGTTGATTTTGGGCCAGTTCGCCCCTGCTGCGGACCTCGCCAGCGTGGCCCCGTGCACCGGCATTCTTTCGTTCTTCACCTACGGCTTCCAGGTACGCGCGTCGCAGCGCACCCCCCCGTTGCCCGTTATTATTGCAGTCGCTGCTCGTTGCAGCAGCGCGTGACGGCTGCCCGCCGGTCCGCGTCGCCGCAGAGCATCCAGGTCACGGCGCTCGCGCGGCTCGGGGTGGACCTGGCCAACGGCGACATGGACGCGGCCCAAACGACCTTCTCCACCGTCGTGGCCGCCGCGCTGGCGTGCGGCGCCGTGATCGCGCTCGGACTGAACGTCGCGGGCAAGCAAGTGCTCTCAGGCGCGACCACCAGCCCACGACGAACCAGACAGCGTCGCGACCCGCGTCTCGACCCCACATCGCTCCCAGCGTTCCCCGCCGCCCCGCAGGCATGATCTCGAGCCCGGAGGTCGTCACGCTCGCCATGACGTACCTCGGCACGCGCGCGCTCGCGCAGCCCGCCACGCTCGCCAACATGGTGTGCCTCGCGGCGCTCCTGGCCGAGCGCCAGACCAAGCCCGTGCTGGTCTGCACCGTCGCGCTCCTCACGCTCGCGACGGCGCTGATGTACGTCACCGTCGGGGTCGCGGGCCTCGGCGTCCGCGGCGCGGGCATCTCGACCGCGCTGTCGCAGTGGGCCCTGCTGGGGATGTTTGTCGTTGCCATGCGGTTGTACGCCAAAAAGGAGGGGGGACTCTCGCCGACGCTGCGGTTCGCGACGCTCGAGCGCTTCCGGACGCTCGCAGGTGCGCCCCGGCCCCGCTCCCCGCGCCACGCCCCCGCGCCGCCTTGTTCGAACCCCCTGACGCGGTGTCCTTCCGTCCGGCGCCGGTGCGTGCGCAGGGTCGCTCGGGTTCCTCTCCGGCGGGTACATTCTCAAGAACGGGACGTACCTCGTCATCCACGCGTTCGCGTCCGCGCTCCCCGCGCTCCACCTCGCCGCCCACCAGGCCGTCTTCGCGGCGTGGAACTTCTGTGCGTTCTGCAACGGCCCCGTCGAACAGATGGCGCTCGCGTTCTGGCCGCGCGCGGCCGCGCACGCCCGGGCGACCGCGCGCGCGGGCGAGGTCGGCGGCGACCGCGAGCTGCAGGACATCGCCGTGATCACCGGCGTGGCGGCCGTGCTGGTGTCGAACGCGCTGGCGGCGGGGATCGCGGTCGTGATGACGAGCGCGCCCGCGTCGCTCACGTCGAACGCGGCGATGTGGCCGCTGATTCAGTCCTGCGCGCTGTTCGCGTTCGGGAGCCTGGCGTTCGCAGGTGAGGGCGAGCTCGCGTCTGGTCGCATCGACGCCGCGCTGCCCGCCTGCCGCGACGTGCGCGGACGCGTCCTGGCCGACGTGAGTCAGCGTTGCGTGTTCCCGCGCTGCAGGCATCGAGCTGCCGGCGACGGCGGCAATGCTGGCCGACGGGCACGGCGCGCAGTACATGACGATGCACGCGCTGGTGCTCGCGGGCGTCATCGGGACGCTCGCGGCCGGGGCGAACCTGGGGTGGGGGTTGCAGGGCATCTGGGCGGCCGTGATGGCCTTCTATTTCTTCCGCGCGGTGATATCTATCGCCCTATTGCTGGGGCGCCGGTCGCCGCACTGGCTGCTGGTGCTGCTCGAGCGGCGAGGCGCGCGGCGGCGGCTGGGTAGCGGCGGAGATGCCGCGAGATTGTGAAAGCGTGTCTTGCGAGAGGGAGGGGGTGTTTGGGCCCGGTGGTTGGCGCCGCGCAGACCGCGGGAGGAGGTTTCGGTCGAGAGCATGCGGGGTGCGTGCTCGTTCGCTGCGGGACCTCGGGCAACCCAATACACCCCACAGCTGTCAGACAGACGCGCACCTCGATGCTGCGCCGCGCGGCTTCACCGCCGCGCCACCGGGCCTGCGGTCCGCACGTCCGCGCGGCACCGCAGAGGCACCGGCGACGCTTTGCGACTGAGTTGCGGCCCGCCGACGCGCCCGCCGGGGCACCATGCGGTCACTCGTAGCAAGCCCGTCGGGGTGGGCGGCCGCGATGCGGATACTGCCCGTCTGCGCGTCGCTGGCGCGGCGGCTGTACAGCGCTGCAGCTAGCGCGCAGCAGGAGGGGTCGAAGGGGGTGTTGTACGCGCTGGGGACGCCGACGTTCGCGGTGTGGGGGGCCAACACCGGCGTGGGCAAAACGGTCGTCTCAGCGGGGCTGTGCAGGGCGCTCGCGGCGATGCGGGTGCCCTACCTGTACCTGAAGCCTGTCCAGACAGGTGGGGCGCCCGGCGGTCGGTTTGGGCGCCGCGTCGACGAGCTGCGGGCCGACGGGCGATGGTTGCCATAGTAGCTGCGGCCGCTCGCCCGCCGCGATAGACGCGGTATTGGGGCTCGAATGTCACGCGCCCCGCACCCTCGCGATTATGCAGGCTTTCCGGAGGATTCGGACGCGAGGATCGTGGCGCAGGTGGCGGGCTCGGCCGCAGTGCTCGGCCGTCACGCGGCGGAGCTTGTTGCCACCCCTCAGAGTGCGTCCCCGCCCCATTGCCCGCACGATACGCAGCGAACGCATGAGTTCCACCCTCTGATGCATCCGCGCGCCCCAGTACTGCGTCCCTAGCGGGCGTTTCGCCTCCGCAACCCCATGCGAGGCTTCATCCAGCACCATGCGTCCCGCATTGAGTCCCCGGCGCAGTATCTCGATGCGCTCGCACCTCGCTCGACCCTGTGACGTGCAGCTGGTGGCTCGGGGGCGCCGGAGGGCTCCGTCGCGAAGACAATGTACGCCTGGAGGGCGCCGGTGAGCCCGCACGTGGCCATGCGCGACGAGGGCCGGGCGGTGACGGACCGCGACGTGCTCGCGTCGATCCTGCACGAGCACGGCGCGTTCCACGGCGCCACCGCGGGCCGCGGCGCCTGCCTCGTCGAGTCAGCGGGGGGGGTGTGTTCTCCCGGTCCGACTGGGCGCCTGCAGGCCGACGTGCTGCGGCCGCTGCGGCTGCCGTGCGTCCTCGTCGGCGACGGCCGCCTCGGAGGCATCTCGCTCACGCTCTCCTCCGTGGAGTCCCTCCACTCCCGCGGGTACGACATCGCCGCGGTGGTCGTACCAGAGGCACCGGGGGGAGTCAACTCCGAGGCCATCCGGGCCAACCTCCGCGGCAGCGGCACCACGGTGGTCCCGCTGCCCTCGTGCCCCGAGGCGGCGGACGCGCCGTCCGCGTTCGAGGACCCAGCGCTGCAGGAGTGGCTGGCCCAGACTGACGGCACGATGAAGGACCTGGCCGCGGTGCGTCAGTCCCGCCTGTCCCTGCAACGTTACGGTCGTGTGTGCTGTTACGGTCGTGTGTGCTGTATAGGAGGCGCGGGCTGTGCGGAAACGGGTTGTTGCGGTGCCTGCGCAACAAATTGCAAATTGAACGTGTGTGTTGGATCTCAGTCTTGGTTTGCCGATCTCCGTTCCGCTGCGGCGCAGTATCTGCTGTCGTGGCACAGCACGCGCGAGACGCGGCGCGCCGTGCTCCCGGACGAGGCCGCGAGGGTGCTGTGGTGGCCCTTCACGCAGCACAAGACCACGCCGCGGCACGCCGTCACGACCATCGACTCGCGGTGCGGCGACGACCTCCTGACGCTCAAGGACGCCGACGGCGCGGGCGGCGGCTCCGCGGTGGCGCTCATGGACGGCTGCGCGTCGTGGTGGACGCAGGGCCTGGGCCACGTGCAGCAGGACGTCGCCAAGCAGATCGGATACGCTGCCGCGCGGTACGGCCACGTGATCTTCCCGGAGAACACCAACGAGGCCGCGGTCGAAGGTGCGCGCCCGCATCTGTCCCGCGCACACCCGTGCAGCGCGCCGCAGCACCCGTTGTTACTGCAGCATCACTGTCATGACCATCATGTTCTATGTGGTGTACGCAGCCGCGAAGATGCTTCTTGGAACCGTCAACCCGCCCCCGGGCACGGACGCCCCGCGGTGGGCGTCGCGCGTCTTCTACTCAGACGACGGCTCCACGGCGGTGGAAGTCGCCCTCAAGATTGCGTTCCGCACGCTGGCCGCGCGGCGGGACTGGTCCAGCGTGGACAGCGAGGACGGGAGCGTCCGCGCGTGGGGCGGCAAGCGGCTCGCGGTGCTCGCCGTCGACGGGTCGTACCACGGCGACACGCTCGGCTGCATGGACGCGTCGCCGCCGTCGGTGTTCAACGCGTCTCAGACGCCGTGGTACGCGCCGCAGGGGGTGTTCCTCGACGCCCCGCGCCTCTCGATCATCCGCGGGAAGTGGACCGTCGAGCTCCCGGCGTCCGTGTCGGACGGCCCCTACGAGGTCCCCCCCCCTGACTCAGCGACGCTGGCGTTCCCGTCTCTCGACGCGGCGTTCGACCCCGCGCGCCGGACCACCCCGCTCGCCGGCGCGTACCGCGCGTACGTCGCCGCCCGCATCGACGCGCACGAGTCCGCCACGAGCGCCATCGGGTGCGTGCTGATCGAGCCCCTGCTGCAGGGCGCAGGGGGTATGATCCTGGCAGACCCCCTCTTCCACTGGACCATCGCGGACGTGGCGCGGGGCCGCGGCATCCCCGTCGTCGCCGACGAGGTCTTCGCGGGCCTGTACCGCCTCGGCGCGTCGACCGCGTGCAACATGGCGGGCATCACGCCGGACGTGGGGTGTTATGCCAAGCTCCTGACGGGGGGCACGGTGCCGCTGTCCGCGACGGTGGCGACGGAGGAGTGCTTCGACGCGTTCATGGGCGACACGAAGGGCGAGGCGCTCCTGCACGGCCACTCGTATTCCGGGCACCCCATCGGCTGTCAGGCGGCGATTCAAAGCCTGTCCGCGCTGACGTCAGCGCAATACAACCCCAACCACGTCCCGGCGTCGGACGAGGCCCGCGGGGCGTGCAGCCGCAGCTGCAGGGCGTCGTCCGGCGTCGGGGCGGGCGCGGGAGGCGTGCCCTTCTGCGCATGCAATGCGTCGGCGGGACGGTTGACCGCGCAGTGGGACGCGGGGCGCGCTGCGGCGATGTCGGAGCACCCGCGTGTGGACCGCGTCACGGCGATCGGGACGGTCCTGGCGGTGGAGCTGAAGCCGCGGGACGGCAAGGGCGGGTACGCGTCGGGGGACGCCAGGGCGGTGGTGGACAGACTGCGGCCGCTGGGGATCTTCGCGCGGCCGCTGGGGAACGTGGTGTACCTGATGGCGTCGCCGATGACGCCGCCCGCGGACTGCGCGGAGCTGCTGGCGCGCCTGGAGGCCTGCTTGGACGAGTAGCGCACGAGATATGGAAACGGGATTGTGCGTGCCTGTTCGATTCGTGCCTGACGCTGATTGACCGGGCCGCGCGATCTGCTCAGCAGCAAGACGCGTGACAAGAAGCACATGGTGCGCAGGCACCTGGAGCTCACACTGGTGGTTCAATGATGGGCAGGTCGAGAACGACAGTCTGTTGTTCCACCAAACTGTTCATCTCACGATGTCTCAGCCCCTGCTCCCTAGCTCTGTGAGTTCCGCTCGCTTCAATGCATCCGCTGCCGCTCCCGCGCCAACCACCATCATCATCCCTGAAGGTCACCCAACAATCAAGGAATGCTGCCAACAAGACACAAATGTCAAGATGCGGCGTGCAGCAGCGGGATGTTGCCCTCCAGCGCCGTCTTGACCTTCGCCGACATCTCCTCCGCGTTTGACATGCTCCGCGGGGAGTCGGACAGCCCCGCCCGCTTGCCTGCGAGGCAAACATCCCCCCCTGAGTCAACCTCGTGTGCGCTCCGCGTCGGCGGGCCCGACAGCACGTCGGTCGTCGCCCCCGACGGGCACCGCAGAGGCCCCGGGTGCCACGACTGCGCTGGCGAGCGCGACCCTGACCGCAACGACACCCCCATATGGAACCGCGCTGCGGACGCCACCCCCCCCGCGAGGGACCGGGGGGAGTCGGCGACGACGGCGGCGTCCGTGACGGACGCCGGGCGGCACGAAGGGCGCTGGCTGCTGCTCGCCGACATGGGACGCGACGCCGGCGCGGAGTGCTCCAGAAACAGGTCATGCGACTGCAGGGGCGGCGCGCGCGCGATGTTGTCCGCGGAGGCGTTCGCGGAGAAGAACGCCAGCGCCGCGGTGAAGGTCGCGTGCCCGTTGCTGCGCCCCGGGAGGGCGAGGGCGGCGGGGGGGCTGAGGGGGGCGTCGAGCGCGGGAGCCCCCTCCCGCTGCCACGCGTGGACGATGGCCTCGATGTCGGCTGGCGTGGCGGGGCCCATGCCGACCGCGGGGGCGACGATGTACGCGCCCTTGGCCGCGGACACGGAGGTGCAGCGCAGGGCGGCCTTGAACGACGCGTCGGCGTCCGCGGAGCTTGAGCACTGCAGGACGCGCCCAGCGACGGCCAGGAGCGCCGCGGCGTACCTGCGGGTAGACGGGGGGGGTTGCGGTCGAGCGTTGCGGCGGGGCGTCGCAGTCGAGGCTGAAGCGTGCGGCTCGAAGAAGGAAATTCACGATGTGTGATGGGTTCTTACGGTGTGTCTTCCCCGCCGGCCTTGATCAGCTCGTCGAAGAGATCCACGGCGAGCTCCATGATCTTGCGCAGCGTGTCGCCCGCGTTGCGCCTCGGGAAGCCCTCCGGCGGCAGCACGTGCGCCAGCAGCATCCACGCCGTGGCCATGCGCGCAGCGCTGGTGGGCCCCGCCGCACGCGCCGCCACGTCGTCCGCCTCCTTCACGCAGCTGAAGGCCTCCGACCTCGTCCCGAAGCAACAGGTCGCGGCCTGCAGCCACAGCACACGGGTGCAACGAGAGACATGATTTCACGATCTCCACGACCGCACTGCAATAAAGTGCCCAACAGACGGCATCAGCAGCCCCCCGCCCGCGCTGCTCACCTTGCGTCGCAGCGCCTCGGCCGTCAGCAGGCTCCCGTTGGCCTGCAAGCCCGGCTCGCGCATCGCCCGCAGCTCCCGCTCCAGCGCGTCCAGCAGGAAGCTCACGCTCCGCGTGGTGTCCGCGCCGCACGCAGCGTACGCCGCCGACTCCAGCAGCGCCTGTCCGAGCGGCTCCGCGTTCCGCCCCTGCACCGCCTTCCGGCCCATCTTGGCCAGCCTCGCCGCCCACTCGGTGCCGGCCGCCCCGGCGTGGAACAGCGCGACCGGCGCCGCCTGCGCGGCCCAGCGCATCGCGGTCGCCGACGCCCGCCCGGCGCCGGCCTCGCACTCCGCGAGACACCCCTCGAGGAGGTCCAAGCAGTCCCCCCCCGACGCCGACGCAGCGCTCGCCGCCGCCTGCAGCGCCAGGTCGCCCGCGCTGCCGGGCGGACACAGCGCCGCCCACGCCTGCAGCGCCCGCTTGCAGCGCGCCGCGGCGTCCGGAGCCGCGGCGTCCGCGAACACGCCCGCCGACAGCGCAGCAGGATGAGTGTCGCCGGCGTCTTGGCCGCCCACGCAGCCTCCGCGACCCGCCAGCCCGGCAGCCACGCGGCGCCCGGCGGCGCGCGCCCCGCGGCGCCGGCGGCGGAGGCGTCCTGCGCGCCCAGCGCGAGCACTCGGATGCCCGTGCGCGCCCCGTCCCAGTCTCCGTTGCCTGGCGCGGGGCCCAGGAGGTCGAGCGCCGCGCGCAGGTGCGCGAGGTGGGCTCGCTGGAACCCGAGGTCGCGCGTCCACGCCGCGCAGAGCAGCTCGCAGACCGCGCGGTGCGCGACGGTCGCGGCGCCCGGCGCGCGGAGCGGCGCGGAGCTCCGCGCGAGTGCGTCGCGGGCCTCGGCGTAACGGTGCTCCGTGAGGGCGAACGCGGCGTGGACGAGGTCCGCTTCGAGGAGCACTCTGAGGCGCGCCGCGCGGTCGCCGCCCGGGTCCGCGGCGCCCGCCGTGCGCACGCGCAGCGCGAGTCCGCGACCGGCAGCTGCCAGTTGGCTCAGAGGCAGGACGAGGGGCAGCGGGAGCGGGATCGCGCGGAACAGGACCCCCGCGAGCTTGACGCACTCGCTGTCCGGCACGTCCTCCGCGCTGTTCGGCCCGCTCTCCAGCGCGTGAAGCAGCGGCGCGAGCTTGGCTGCTGCGGAGCGCATGCCGGGGACCGAGCTCTCCCAGCCGGTCGAGAAGTACGCCCAGGCGCATCGTTGCAGCTCCTGGAGTCAGCGGAGACGCGGCCGGTCGGCGTCGCAAAATACCGTCGCGCACGCGCTGCATGAGGGGAAACGTGCCAGGGGACGAACCTGCGCGACGACGTCGACTGGAGAGGCATCTCGGCGGAACGGCATGTTCGGGAGGTCAGGTGTGGATGATGTGGGTACGGCAACCGCTTGACGCGGTGGTTTGTGCCATGAACGCGGAGGGCACCGCGCAGGCAACTTGAGGTTGAAGCGTCGCTCGTGCGCGCAGCCTGCGCGTCGACGCTACATACGATTGGTCGCGTTCGCAAGAACACGAACTGGAGAGTGCGGTTTGCGCAAATACGCGCCTTTCACGGGCCAATCTACGCGGAGAGAGGGCGGTCCGAGCACAGGGGGGCGCGAGGAGCGTGTCAGCGTGGCACAGTGCACGCGCCAGCGAGACATCGGCGATGTGGGCCCGTGCACGCGCGGGATGCATCCCACAGGAAACCTCCAAGCACACTCGTGACTTCTCGATTGCCACCTCCTGCACTCGCACGTCCTGCCCAGCGTCTCGCGCACACCGCGCCGCCGCCCGCAGCACGTCCGCGCGCCCCGCTCACTCGCAACGACGTCTCAACGCTCACATACACCCATGTGCAACGCCACACATTACTAATAATGATTAATAATGCATGCACGTGACATGTGCCGGCAACTACCCCTGCCGGCGGGAGGAGCACCTCGCACCACCCGCGCCGCCGCGTGCCTCACGGCCCCAAGCGCAGCGGCGCGGCCCGCTCCGAGCCCGCGGTCCGCGCTCCGTCGTCGACGTCCGTCAACGGTTCGTCGGACACCTGCTCCGCTGCAGGCGAGAGCGCGGCTGCCGCGATGTCGGCCGCCAGGCTCTCGTCCGGCGACAGCGTCGTCGGGTCCGCGATCGCCGTCGCGTTCTCCCGCGCGTCGCGCGGGAGCTCGGCGGCGGCGTCCGGCTGCGGCGGTGCTGGCTGCGGCGGTGCTGTTGCGGCGACCGGGGTCGTTCCGGCGGGCGCGGGGGGCGGTGAAGCCGCAGGTGCCGTCTCTGGGGCGACCGTGGGCTCAGGGATCGTCGCTGGGGCCGGAGTCGTGGCGACCGCGGCCGTCGTCGGCGGTGGAGGAGGTGCCGTTGTCACTGGCTGCGGGGTTGAAGGGGGGGGTGCTGACGTCTCGGGCGGCGGGACGGTCGCCGCGGGAGCGGTGCTCGGCGGAGCAGGAGCGGCCTCGGGCGTGGCTGCGCCCTCGATCGCCGTCGGCGCCGTGGTCGCCGCGGGCGCAGCATCCACCGCTGGCGGCGTCGCCCGCACAGCCGCTTCGGCCGTCGGCGGAGGTCGAGGGGGCGGATCGGCGGCGTCCGGCTCCGCTGCGGGCGCGGCCGCAGCCTCCTCCTCCAAGTCAGCGGCGCCCGGCTCCGCAGCCTCCTCGGGCTCCGCACTCGCCGCAGGCTCCTCCGGCTCTGCAGGCTCCTCCGGCTCTGCAGGCTCCTCCGGCTCTGCAGGCTCCTCCGGCTCTGCAGGCTCCTCCGGCTCCTCCGGCTCCTCCGGCTCCGCGGGCTCCTCCGGCTCCGGTGTCGCAGCTGCGTCGGGGCTCGGAGCGGTCCGCGGCGCTCGCGCGATCTCGTCCTCGTCGAGCAGCTCCTCCACCAGGATCTCCTCCTGCTCCGCCAGGTCCGCGTCGATCTGGTCCTCCGTCGCCCCTGCGATGCTGCCCGCCGACCGCGGCTCCGTTGGCGCTGGCGCGGTGGCGACAGGAGCCGCCCCCACGGCCACGTCCGGCTCCGCTGTCACCGGTGCATCCTCCGGTGCCGCTGCGTCGTCGACGGGGAGCGGCTCCGCGGCGGGCGCCGCGAGCAGCGCGGCGTCCTCGATGACGTCGACGTCGTCGCGGTCCGTGTCGTCTGGGACGGTCTCGGCGGCAGGTGCCGGGGCAGACTCGGCGTCGACGGGCGCGGCGGCGTCGCGGGGGATCCGGGCGCGCGCCCCCGGGCGCGCCCGCGCCGGCCTGCGCATCGAGAGGCAGAGACACGCCATGTCTCATCGATCGTCGCTGGGCGGCTCGAACCCGCGCGTGGCAAGGAGGCTGCTTCCATGCAGGTACTGGCAAGGGGGGGAGTCTGCGAAGACTCACGTGGGGAGCGGGAGGAGTCCGAGCGCGCGGAGCTGCCGGCCGCAGGTGCATGTGCCGCAGGTGAACTGGCAGAAGGGCGCCATCCAGTCCTCGCCGCACTTGTCGAAGTCCTTCTGCGCGGCGCACGTCAGACGCGCGTCCGGTGCCTCGTCGGTGCACGCGCAGTCGTTGCTCCAGTCCAGACCCGGGTACACCTCCGCGAGCTCCCTCGAACAGAAACAGCTGCCGCAGGTCCAGGCGCAGAACCCTTGCATTCAAGAATCGAGAAACAGGTGTCAAACAATGATTATTTGCTCATCATCGCAGGACGCCATCGGGGGACCCCACGGCCCCGCACGCCACCGCCGACAGCAACCACACGCGCTTCGCTGCACGCGCGGTCCGCACCTGCGTCGCTCGGGTCGTCGTCCGCCCCCCTGCGCATCCACTCGCTGTCGCACTTGCCGAAGCGCTTCTGGTCCGCGCAGGCGTGCGGCCCGGGCGGCGCGGCGTCGCTGCAGGTGCAGCCGAACGACTCGTCGTACGCCGGCACGTCCTCGAGGCGCTCCTCCGCGCACAGGCAGCGGCCGCAGGTGCGGGCGCAGTACTCCCGCATGAAGGACGCGTCGCACTGGCCGAAGTCCCGCTGCTCCTCGCACGTGAAGGCACCTGCGAGGCGGCGCGCGGCGTAAGTCGATGCGGTCCAAGCGTCGTCGCCGCTACTGGGCCAGGAACCTGGTTCGAATTGCACGTCGGGGGTGTCGTTCAGGGCCGCGCGGGGAGTGGACGGGAGGAGACAGCGACCTTGTGGAGGCAGCACGTGATTTGCCGGAGACAGACAAACGGAGACAGCGGAACCTGGGGTCCAAGCGCCTCGCTGCTCTTGTGGCCTACTGCTGGCCCGGATCCGTTCGTCCGTGGCATTTTACGAGCCATATTTCGTGGATCTCGTCTCGTGATTTGATAGGCAAGGCTCTCAGAGCAATCATTTGTGCGCTGAAACCCGATAAACCGGCTAGCAGAGGCCATGTGGTGGAGAAGCAGGAACGGTCACGCACCGGGCGGGGCGACGTCGACGCACTCCGTGCATCCCTCCGAGAAGTCGATCTGATCGACGGCAACGTTTTCCAGAAGCACGGATATCGCGCCCTTGATCATGCCCGACGCGCGCGGCGCCCTGGGCTGCGCTGCAGACCCCGCCGCTCCCTCGGGTGTGGGCCCCGGACACCGGCCGCACGTCCGCGCACAGAAGTTCCCTTCAATCTGCGGGTCGTGGAGGGCACGAATCGTGGGCGCGTTCGGCGCGACGGCGCTGTGTCCGCGCGAGGAAGAACAAGGTACGCGGCGGTTCGAGGTGTACGCGCGCGCACCATCCAGTCGTCCTCGCACTTTCCGAAGGCCTGCTGCTCGGCACACGAGAACGTTCCCGGCGGCGGCACCGCGTCGGTGCAGCTCTGCGCGGCCACGACACATGGCGCGCGCGACAGTGCCAGCACCGCCGCGCACGCGAGGAGCCCGCTGCGCCTCCACATTCGCATCTCGGGTCGTCGATCTAGAGCAGTTCGATCGTGTGCGGCGCAGCAGCGGGTCGTGGCGCGTTCAGGCCCGCCGTGGTGCCGCCGTTGTTGCTCGAGGTATGACTGCGATGACGTCACGCACGCTGGGCGGGCACACAGCATCGCACCGGCGACGACGCAACCCCGGTAGGATCAGCGAGCCCGTCGGACGGATGCTGCGGGCCACAAAACCACGTCGATCAGCCGGACAGCACACAAACGTTACACAGCGTCGCTTGGGCGCCCAGGACCTGCGCTACGGGTGGGCCGTGACCTTCTGGTAGCTCCCGCGCTCGACCATGAAGTTGTCCTTCTCCCGGTTGAACGACTCGCGCGGGGAGCGCGACCCGAGCGCGGGCGGCCCGCCCTCGCCCACCTTGCACGCGCCGTAGTACTGCAGCACGTCCTCGGGGTAGATCCCGCGCTCCTCCGTGGCGCCGTACTTGCCCTTCGCGATCGCGTACGACAGCGCAGTCCACCCCTTGGGCGTCTCCTTGTCCAGCTCGCACCCGTAGTCCACGAACAGCTGAATCATCTCTGCGGGAAGGAAACGAGAAACAGGAAATCATATCAGACTGGCGGTCGATTCCGCCTCGAGTGTCCAGAGAGCACGAGGCAAGCTCGGAGCGCGCGCGATCCCGGTCCCAGCGCGCGCCTGGCCCGCCGTCGATGGCCCAGAACAGCGCGAGGTCGCCCGCGCCGTTCTGGAAATTCGGGTCGGCCCCGGCCCGCAGGAGCGCGCGTGCGATCTCGACGTGGCCGCGGTGCGCCGCCGCCATCAGCGGGGTGTACCCGGCGGGGCAGCTGTACGCCGCGCCGAACACGAAGTTCGGGTCCGCGCCCTCCGCGAGCTTCTCGTACACGCCCTTGACCTCGCCCCGCGCGATGTGGTTGTACAGCTCCTCGGTGGCGCGCGAGGCCTTCACGGCGTCCTTCCCGACTGCGCATCGCAGGGAACATACCAAGAATTAATACAAGACGGGTCTGCGACGCCGGGAAGCCCCGATGCGCCTCCCCACCGCGCGTCGATGCACCCGAGGCAGGTAGCATGGTTGCGCACGAACGCGGCGCGTGGTGCGTACAGACGTAGGGGTCGTAGTCGGGGTGGTGCGACCCCTTTCCGTCGTTCCACATCTCGTCGTACGCCTTCTGGCGCGCCTCACGGCGCTTCTGCATGACCGACTCAATCATTGTTTTGTCAGGTCGTGTCTCGCGCCAATTCAGACAGCTTTCGCCCGCGCACGCTCCGGCGCTCGACAGTCACGACTGCGTGTTGTGCCGCGCGTGGGCGTCTCGCCCGGCACATACCCAGGGACGTGATCGTGCTCGGACCCCTGTCGGGAGTAGAACAATGACACCCCGCTGTGACCGGTGCAGCCCCGCCCTGAACGCGCCGCAGCGGCCGTAGCGTGCGGCCACTGCGATCGGCGTACCCCCGCAAGCGACGACGTACCGGCCGACGGCGACCACCGCCACCACGCTGCTACGCGCGGCAAGAGGGGCTCTCCGCCCGCTGGCGAGGTGCTGTACGTGTCTGGGGGCCACAGCTGCACAGGTGACGACCTTGGCTCAGTGATTTCCGTGATTTCTAGGCGTGGCGGCGACGCAGCCCCGGCGAGGGTCCGTGGGACGAGACGTGCGCGCAGGTTTGCGCTAGCGCGGGTATGGCGACAGGGGCGATGCGTGACCGAAGGGGGGCGGGGACGCGATGAATGAGCCGGGAGGGAGGGACGCTGGGGGCAGGGCCCCGCCCGGGTGGTCGAGCTGGGTCCGCGACGCCTGGACGTTGGTCCGCGCACACATTGGGCAGGGGCTGAGGGCGTTGCAGGCGCGAGCCTCGTGATTCGTGTTCGCAGCGTGATCTGTCGAGTGATGCATCGTGCAGAGAGCGCGGAGTACCGGCCCGTGCCGGCCAGGATCGCGGCGGAAACGGCCTGTACGGCTTTGGTGGGAGTTGTGGAGACGAGGCACGCGTCCTTGCGTGGCTGCAGATGGAAGGCGGAGAATTGCCATCAGACCAAGAGGGGACATGGGTCATCGGCACGTTCTACCCACCGCAGGACCACCACGAGGCCGCTGAAGAGCACCAGCACCCCCCTCGAGACGCTGCCGCCGACGAGGCACCTCCGGTGAGGGCCGCGCGCGCAGTGCTGCACGGGTCGCGGCGCAGGCTCGCGAAGCCGGCGGACCGCGCTCCGTTCCGGCGAGCACCGCGCAGCAGCACAGCCTGGCACTTCCTGCTCCCTCGTCCTCCGCGCACGCCGCCTCCAAGCGCACAGTCCATTCCTCTCTGGATCCCACGCACAGGGCAACGGAGCAAGTCCCGACCGGGGCGAAAGCAAGCCGCCGTCAGGCCCCGCCCGGGGCCCGCCCGACCCAACAGGACCAAGCGCAGTCCAGGAGCGCTTCGGCTCGCTCCTGTGGATCACATATCGCCACGGCTTCGAGCCGCTCGACGGCGGCGGGCACACGACGGACTCCGGCTGGGGCTGCACGGTCCGCAGCGGCCAGATGCTCGTCTGCCAAGCCCTGCTGCGCCTCGCGGCGCACATGGCGGGTTGCAGGGAGCCTGACGTGGCGGAGGACACCCGCAGGTGGGCATGGGCGTGCGCTGCGAACTAGCTGCCTCGCGTGCGGCGCCTCGGAGCACGCTCACGCCCCCCGTGCGCATGACGTGCTGTTGCCAGCTGGGTGTGTGGGGCTCCGCGCTGTGCGGCTGACGCGCGCACGGCGCGCGTGCGAGGGAGGCGCCTGGGCGCCGCGCTGGCTCCGCTGGCCCACCACAGGCGGCTGCTATTTGTTTGTGTGCACAGGGAGATAGCGGATCTCTTCTTCGACGCTCCCGGCGGCCAGCATCCGCTGTCGATCCACGCGCTCCTGCGCGCCGGCGCCGGAGCCTCCGGAGAAGCCCTCCCGCCCGGCCGCTGGCTGCGCCCGGGCGAGGTCTGCGCGGCCGCGCGCTCCTGCCTCAACAGGCAATTACCCCCCCAACCCCCCTCCGACCGCCGAACCGCCACCGCGCGCGCCGACCGCATCCAGCTGCCCGCCGTGCAGGTCGCGCCCCCTCGGCCTGCGGTGCTACGTCGCGCCTCCGCTGGGCGGCGCCCCGTGCATCGCCCGGTCGCAGATCGTCACGGCGGCGACGTCGGCGTGCGTGGACCCGCGCGAGGACGAGGGCGGCCGTGGTGCGGAGCAGGTCGAGGACGAGGGCGCGGAGGCCGGGGACGCGGGACGGTCGGCGAGCGAGTTCGAGCTCGTCGACGCTGACATGGCAGGGGGGGGGGTGATGCGGGGACAGGCGGGGGACGGCGGGGCCGGCGGCGAGGCGCGCGCGGTGCCCTGGCAGCCGCTGCTGCTGCTCGTGCCGATGATGCTCGGTGCGCGGGGGGTCTCGGAGGCCTACCTGAGTCAGGTGGAGTCCCTGCTGCACCTCCGTCAGTCCGTCGGGATCGTGGGGGGACTCCCGCAGCGGTCGCTGTACCTCTTCGGCGCGCGCGGCGGCGCGCTGCTGTGCCTGGACCCGCACACCCCCCAGGCTGCGGTGCGTGCGTCCGACTCCATGGCGTCATACCGGCCCATGCGCGTGGGAGCCGTGGCGCCCGCGCAGCTGGACGCCTCGATGGCCGCGGGGTTCCTGCTCGCGGACGAGGCCGATCTCGAAGAGCTCTGCGCCGGGATCGAGAAGCTGGAGGTGAGCGCGGTGTGCTGGCGGGGCGATGCCATCGCCTTGTGCCATTCCCGATCATTTTGGCTACCTGCGGGTCCCGAGGTGGGATTCGGTGGAGGGGCGGTTGCGAGGATGAGCGTTCGAGGCGGGCAGGGCTGCTGGGTGCTCGTCGTGTTTGTTGAACGAGAAGACAGGAAGTGGCGTTGTGCGTCAACCCATTGCGTCTGCAGGCGCGGTCCGGGGGATACCCGATCATATCTGTGGCGGAGCACGGGTACGACGAGGCCGGGTGGCAGGCACGTGCAGCGAGGCGCTCGGAAGGCGAGGGCCGCGACCGTCAGCGGCGGCCGAGGGATGGCGAGGACGGGGGCTGGGAGCTGCTCTGATGGGTGTGCAGTCGTTGGCTGTGAGGACCAGGCGGACATCGTGCGCGCAGGGAGCACCTGAACTGTGCTTTCCTCCGCAAGCATTGTCGAGGCTGCTGACCATATGGGGGCACAGCGCTGAGGAGCCAACGTTGTGTCAAGATGGCGCAGCTGGGCGGCACGGGCTCGCGAGTCCGTGCTGGATGCAAGTGACAAAACTGTTCCTGCTTGTGTTCCTGACAGCTGGGGCGGCGGACACCCCGGGGGTGTCAACTGCAGCCCGTCTTGCAATAGCATCACATTGTTGTACTTTGTGCGAGTTGATCGACAACCGAAGAGGCGAGTGGGAACGTGGTCCAGACTGGACCACACAGCGAGGGTGTGCCCCAGGGTGGTGCTTTTCGCGGCTGTCCCGGGCCTATCAAGACCTCCCACGCCCCCTAAGGGGGCGCACGACGTGGCCCCGCCTGTCGCGGAGCGGCGGTGCACGGCCCGCGTGCCGACGTGGCGTAGAGAAGGGTGCGTTCGTGGTCGCCCGACGCGAAGGGCGGGGCGGCTTGGATCGTGTATGATTGAATGGGTCTGACTAGTAAAAACATGTGTGCAGGGGTCACGGAGCATGCTGATGGTGCTGCAGGCGGGCAGGAGGTGGTGCGGTGCGAGGTCGGCTTCCGGCCCAGTGGAGCCGGTGGCGTGAGGGCGTCCGAGCAGCTGCGGACCGCAGACGAGCAGGCGGTCTCATCACTGCCCGAGGCAGCAGCCGATGCGGCGAGCGCCCTCCGCCACTCACGGGTCCTTCTCGATGTGGCTGTCGCCGAGAACACCGTCCGACGGCCCGCGCGACGGCCCGTGGCCGCTCGTCGCCAGATGCACGCACACCTCGAGGTCCCGACCCTGCCTGCCGCGGTTCCCGCGCGCCGCAACGCCGAGCCGCGCATTCGACTCGTTGCCCTCCTCTTCCCTGATCGGGCCGTCCACAGGCGCGCTGCCGAGCTCGCCATCCTGCCGCGCGAACGGCCTGCGTCTGTCCCCGCCAAACGTCACGGTCGCCGTCCGCGGCTGGTCCTGCGACACGTGGCCCGCGCGTCCCCCACTGCCGCCCGGAGAGTTCGTGCCGTCCAGCGCGCTGTTGCCCTTGATCCGCACGCCGACGCGCGCCCGCTGCTGCTTGCGGTGCGCCGTCATCGAGTCCAGGGCGGTCGCCTTCTGGCCCGAGTCCCCCGCGGCAATGGCGTTGTTGCTGTTGGCGAGCGCGCTCATCGACGGGCGCTCGAGCGTCCCGGAGGGCGTCTTCGACTTGCGGACCACGTGCGACGCGAGCAGATCCGACGCCGCGTGCACCTCGTGCACCTGCTGCACTTGATTGTCCGTCTGGCGGCGGTTGAGGCTGTGCCGCCGGCGCCGGTGCTCCGTGCTCTGCCGGCGGAAGTCGATGCTCTTGCGCGCCCCGGCGTCCTCGTCGTCCACGCTGGCGCGCCGGTTCGAGTCGAGGCTGCGGCGCTTGCTCTTGGAGTTGTCGTTCCGCAACTGCCCCTGCTGGCGGCTGTCCGCGACCAGCATGTGCCGTGCGATGTTCCGCTTCGCGTCCGACAGCGGCTGCAGGTCCCACAGCGGCACCCACACCACCGACGTCGCCTCCGTCCCGCACGTCTCCACAAGGCGCCCCTTGCGCGTGTCCAGCGGCGGCGCCGCCCGCTCGCTCAGCGTCCACGGAATGATGCTCGACACCGTGATCGCCTCGGGCACGCCGCTGAACTGGTACACGCCGATGTCGCGCATCGTGACGGCACGCAGCGGGCGGCCCTTCACCGACGCGACCTCGAACGCCTGCCCAATCTGCCGCAGCAGCTTGCGGTGCTTGCTCTCCTCGTCCTCGTCGAACGCGTTGCCCACGTACGAGCTGTACCGCTCCACCGGCCCCGTGTCGTCGGCTCCGGGCCCCGATTTGGACGCCTCCGCCTCGCGCCGCTTCATGCTGCGAGACTTCCGCAGCCGCGGAGCGTCCCGGAGCTTCGTGCCGTGCGACCCGCGGCGACTGTGCGCCGAGTCCCGCTGCGCCGCCCGTTCCGGCGGGCTCGCGTGCCGGCCCGAGCGCATATACTCCGTCTTGTGGGCCATGAGAGCCTCGCCGTTGTCGCTGACGCCGTCCGACTCCTCCAGCGGGCCCTTCGCGGACAGGGCGCCGCCGTCCACGGGGCCGCCATCGTGCTCGGAGCCCCCCTCGGGGATGTTGGGAAACATCGGCCGGCGCGCCTGGCGCGTGGCTGCGGTGAGGGAGGCCGTGCGGTGCACGAAGGGCTTCGAGGCCCACAACGCGAGGTCGCTGAGGAGCGTGCGCTTGGACTGCGACATCTGCGGCCCACCGCGCGCGCCCGAGCGCGGCAGGTTGGGCAGCAGGCCCATCATGACCCCCCCCGTGGTGGAAAAGGCCTGGTTGGCGTCGCTCCCGACGATGCCGCCCTTGACCGCCATGTTCGGATGCCACACCGTGCTGAGCTCCGAGGGCGGCTTGAACGAGGACGGCTTCGCGAGCGACCACTCGGCGGCAATCGTGGAGCTCACCTCCTTCGTGACGACGATCTGGCCGGGGTTGCACGCGGAGTAGCACAGGCGCGCGGCGCGGTTGATGAACGGGCCGAAGTAGTCCGCGCGCCCCGTCTTCGGGTGCGGGATCACCTGCGTCGGGAGCCCCTCGTAGATGCCCACGCGCAGGGACAGCCCCGACAGCAGGACGCGGCCCTGGCTGTCGCGCGTGGTGGCGCAGTCCGGGTGCTGCAGGAGCTCCCGCGGCCACTGCGTGAGGATGCACACCTCGTTCGCGAGCATCGCCCACTCGACCGCGCACCGCGGCGAGCTGAAGGCCAGCAGGAAGACGTCGTTGAGCACCTGCGACTCGTAGCCGCCGAAGAGCTTGATCGTCTCCCGGACGGACAGGCGGTACTGCCAGAGCGCGAGCGCGCTCGCTTCCGGGAGCGACGCGGACACGCGCTGCCAGAACGGGATCGAGACGAAGACCAGCGTCACGCGCGACACCAGCGAGTAGTCGACCTGCGGCGTCACGTCCGTGTGGTACGCGAGGAACGCGCAGAAGTCCCGCGCGCCGGGGGCGTCGAAGTACGACGCCGACACCTTCCCGAGCGTCCCGGGCGCGTTGAAGAACACCGTGCGGCCCAGGAGCTCCTCCGGCAGGACCTGGACGAGTCGGACCATCGCGCTCCCGTTCGGGCCGTTCGAGGACACGAGGTGCTCGCCGAGGTCCACGGCCATGGCGGGGGAGTGCCCGCCGGGGCTCCCCACGCGCGTGGGGTCGACCTCGGGCGACATCGAGGTGCGCCCGAGCGCGCCGGCGATCTTCGCGCGCAGGATCTGCGGCACCGCGGCGGCCATCGAGCGTCGGCCCGTCGTGTGCGCCGCGCGCGCCGCGGGGGTGGTGGGCACCGGGCCGATGTCCCCGACGTCCGACGTGCTTTTCGGGGTGTGGTCCCCGGCGCCCGACACCTCCGTCGGCGCGCCCAAGTGCCCCGACTGCCGCGCGAAGTCCAGATCGCCCATGGCCTGGACGTGCAGGCTCATGCGCGACGGCGGCGTCGCCCCGCTCTCCGACCACGGGTTGGGTGCCTGCGGCAGCGTCCCGGGCATCGTCTGTGCGCGCTCCTGGTTGTCGCTGAGGAACGGGTGGTGCTGGTTGAGGCCGTGGAGGTGCGGCGGCTTGGGCGCCGAGGCGCCGAACGGCATCGACCGGTTGCCCTCGAACCGGCCCGAGTGGAGGCCACGACCGCTGTTGAGGCCGGACTCGCCGTCCAGCCCCGTCGACTCGCGGCAGTTCTCCCGGACGCTCGGGAGGCCCATGCGCGAGAGCTTCACGGGCGCGGGCGCGGTGCCGGGCTTCCAAGCGGGCCCGCGTGCGTGCGTGTCGCCCTGCGGCGGCGTAGCCCCCGAGTCGCCGGACGACGGCAGTCGCGGCGCCACCGCCTCGGTCACCTGGCCGTTGTTGCTGGCGCGAGCTTGGCCGGCGTTCTCCGACTCGAGCGACTCCCCGTGGGAGCCGGCAACGTTGCGCCCCCCCGGCGCCGAGTCCTCCCGCCGGCCGCTCATGCGCGACAGCACCGGGGACATGGGGGGCTCGACGCCGCTCTTGAACTCCATTTGAGATCCCCACGGCGACGTCGGAGCGGCGTGCCCGCTCAGGTTGTTCGACTCCCGAGCAGACGTAAACATGCGCCGTCCGCCCGATGCCGCGCTGCGCGTGCAGTGCGACGGCATTCCGCCGTCAATCGCCATCGACATCCGCCCGGACTTGCGCATCATCCCGATGCTCCCGTCGCGCATCGACTGCCGGCGCGCGCGCTGCGCGATCATCGTCAGCACGTCTGCCACCGCGTCAAAAGTCCCCCCCTCCACCAGCACCTGCCCGCCGTCCGCGGCGTCCTGGACCTCGAGCGCCAGCGGCAGCGCCGACCCGCTGAACTTGCGCTCGCCGTGCGACACGACGCTCGTGAGGTCGCCCTTCGCGATGCCCATGCGCACGCGGATCCCGCGGAACAGCAGCACCGACATGGGGTCCCCGGGCGTCTGGTACACCTCGCTGCACAGGTAGTGCTCGAGGAGGTGCGCGGGCCACTCCGCGACCAGCAGCGCGCGCTGCACCTCCATCGAGAAGAGCACTGCGTCGGCGGGCGTCTTGAAGGCCATGGTGAACGAGTCGCCCTCCGTCCACAGCTCGATGCCGTTGTGCCGCGCGAGGATCTCGCGCATGAGCGTGTCGTGCAGGTTCTGGCACTGCGCCATCGTCGGCGGGTCCCACTCCCACAGCTGCGTCGAGCCCTTGATGTCCGACACCACCACCGTCGCCTCGCCCTCCGGCAGCCCCGCGAGCCACGCCAGCTCCGCGGTGCCGTGCATGCACGCGTACCGCCGCACCGCCAGCGCGACCAGCACGCACAGCACGATCACCGCCGGCACGCCGAGCCCGACGCCCAGCCCCAGAACCAGGCCCATGTCAACCCCGTCCTCCGAGCACGCGAACACGAAGTCGGTCGGCAGCGGCACGTCCGCGCTGCTCGGGACGACGCGCTTCTCCAGCACCAGCTGCGCCCACGCCGCGCCGGCGTCGGCGCGCGCGGCGAGCACGTCGACGAGCTCGTCCATGCAGGGGCAGCCAGTGTAGAACGAGTAGTCGGGGTCCATGTGGACGTGGGGGAACCCGGGCTCGTGGAGCGGCGAGATGGCCTCGGGCACGCCGCAGCCCGTGGGCACGCCCTCGTGGTCGGGCACGTGGTTCTCGTCGAGGGAGTGCGTGAGCCACTCGGGGAGGTACTCGCCGCGGGAGTTGGGCGCCGCGCCGACGTGGCGCATCGAGGTGCCCTGCATGACGACGGAGCGCAGCGTGGGGACGAGCCCGAGGCCCTCCGGCACGCGCCCGGTCACCGCGGGGTTGTTCGAGACGTCCAGCACGCGCAGGCGCGTCATGTGGGAGTAGACGAGCGGGAGGGGTCCCTCGAGGGCGTTGGACGACACGTTGAGGACCTCGAGGCTGACGTGCGTCGCGAGGCACGGCACCGGCCCGGACAGGCGGTTGCCGGCGAGCTGCACGTGGCGCAGGTTGGGGAGCTGGCAAACCCCCCCCAGCGACCCCGCCAGGCCGTTGTTCGCGAGCTCGAGCTCCTCGAGCGCCGCGAGGTCGAAGATCCACGCCGGCAGCGCGCCGCCGCCCATCGCGTTGTCGGACGCCAGCAGCGCCTGCAGCTGCGTCCGCGCCGCGATCGTCGGCGCGGGCGGGAAGCCCGAGATGCGGTTGCCCGTCACGTCGACGATCGCCAGCGTCGGGGACGCGAAGAGCGAGGCCGGGAGGGGCCCGGAGAGGCGGTTGTACGCCAGGTCCGCGGCCGCGAGGGACGTCATCTGCGTGGCGTCGAGCACCACGCTGCCCTCCAGGTCGTTGCGGCCCAGGAGCAGCACGGCGAGCTTGCCCAGGGAGTTCAGGGCGTCCGGGAGGGGCCCGCTGAGCTGGTTCTGCCGCAGCCGGAGCGAGGTGAGCTCCGTGAAGAGGCCCACCTCGGGAGGCAGGGGGCCCGAGAGCCGGTTGCCCGAGAGCTCGAGGAAGGTCAGCGTGGGCGCGAGCGGCGCGAGGAGGTCGAGCCGCATGGCGCCGGTGATGTTGTTGCCCGGGAGGACGAGCTCCGAGACGCCGTCGCCCGGCACGCACGTTCCGCTCTCGGCGAGGCCGCTGCTGCAGCAGCTGACCCCGTGCCAGCAGCAGTGCGCGGGCTGCATTCGGCGCACGAGGGACGCGGATTCCGAGGGTCAGATCGTTCGCGGGGATCGCGCCGGTCAGGCGCGCGAGCACGCCACGGAGCGCGCTGCGCGGGGCGGCAGAGGCAGGCGCAGTGGGCGGTCGCTGCGCCCGGCCGTGTGGCGTGCGCGACGCACCTGGGTCACCGCGGCGCCCGTGGTCGGGTCGTTCCTCGAGCAGGCTCCGTTCGCGGCCTGCGCCAGTGCGCGCCCGCCCGCCCCGCCGCCCGCAGCGACGGCCATCCTCCCCTGCCGACGCGCTGCCTCGAATCCGCCCGCCTGGGCCCAGAACGGGCCCCCGAGGGCGCCGTACCAGGCGGCCAGGGCCTCGCGCTGCCTGCCCTGGCACTGCGCGTCGCACGAGAGCAGCGCGCGCCCCGCCGCGGCCGCGCCCGCGGTGCGCGCGAGGAGGGCCAGAGCCACGGCGATGCACGCCCAGGCGCGCGCGGCAGCGCCCCACGGACGCACGGGGGCCCTCGGCCGGCCCTCGTCGGCGGGCCGCGCAGCGCCCGCGGCTGCGGACCCCGGCCCCGGGCTACCACGCCCGGCCTCCAACGTGCCCCACCCGGTGGGCGCCCGGGCGGCGCCGTGCCGCTCGGGGACCCGCGATGGTCGCGAACGGCGCTGGGGTATCTGAGCGCGCGGGGCCGCGTCCGCGGCGCCGCCCCAGGCGACGTCGACCCCGGCGGGAGGCGCGCTCATGGCGGGACCACCTGCAGCGGGTGAGCGGCCGGGGGGGGCGGTGGGCGGCCGTCCTGGGCGGCGCGGCGCATCGGGGGGGGTTCTCCGGGTACGAACTAGGGCGGGAACGCGAGATACGTGCGAAGCGAGGCGGTGGCCGCCAGCGGAGGGGGCGAGGTTGGTTGCGCTGTTGCTGGGGTGGAGAGCGCTGGCGGCGGCGCGGGGGGTCTGGCGAGGTGCCCCGCGCGGCCTTGGTGGACAGGGTGCGTCGGTCTGGGCGGCGCGCGTCCGCGCACTCGGGCTCTGGGGCGGTGTGCGGACGGAGATGGGCCAAGCGTGGACTGAGGCCGTGCGCGGCGGTGCGGTCGACGACGCGCGTCTGGCCCGCGCGGGGTCGTGGGGAACAAAAGCTGAAGTCGGCGCGCGGGGAGCTCGGGGCGGGAAACGCAACAAGACGCTGCGACGGTCCGGTTGCGACCAAGCGGGGCTAGCCTGGGCCGCAGGCGTCGCGCTGCGAACGCGCGCCGCGTTGATGCGTCATCAGGGGAATAAATCCTGCAGGCCGCGGCGCTGAACCGTCGAATTCCGGACCCACCTGGTTGGTTCGTTGACCTCAGGAGTGAATCAGCGCTCGACCGGGCGACCCACGGTGCCCCGGGACGCCATCTTGTCCCCCTTGCTAACACTATCGCTCCAGCCTATCTCGCAGCCCGCAGAGGGGCCAGCGTCGCGTCGTGCGCGTCTCCGTCAAGCCCCGGAGGGTGCAGGCGCATCACAGCTGCACCTGGCGCCGTCCACGGGGACGCAAGCGGCTCGGTCCAAATCTCGCGCGCAGTTCTGCGCGGCCCGGGCCGGGCGCGGCGGCCAAGGCCCGCGCGTCGACCCCCCCGCACCGCGCGGGGCGCCGCAGCACCCCCGGAGCGCCGCGGGGGGGGAGCGTGGCGTGCGACCCCGTCGCGGCGTGCCGAGGCCCGGGCAGCGCGGCGGCGCCTGCCTCTTCCCCGACTTTGCTCCGCAAGGTCCGTTCGAGCACCCCGTAACCCCTTGATCGCGGCTGCGGCAGCATTAGGTGCATTGAGCGCTCGTGACCGGCAGGCAGCGCTTGCTCGCCGCGCGGACGGCTTCGGCAGCGCGGGGAGAGGAGGCCTGCGGGGCAGGTGGGGTCGTTGGTTCGCGGCGCCGCGCAGTTGTGCCGCTGCAGCGCGTCTGTGGCATCGAGGAATCGAGCGTGGGTGCGAGGCGCGCGTTCGAGCGAATTCCGCGTGACGGCGGAGCTCCGGGGCGTAGTATCGGCTATTTGCGACACCAGGGCGCGGAATCGGCATCAAACGAGCGACAGTCGAGGTGCGTGCGTCGAGCGATTCGGCAGCGAGTGAATACTGCGCCCAGGCGTGCATCGAGGAGAATGTCTGCGCGCGGAGCGACACAGTGTCGGCTACACGGCTCAGCCGCCCGCCGGCGACGGCGCACTCCGCACGCGCGCCCCTGCACGCGTCGCCGCGACGTCGACGGCTGCTCATGGAGCCCCGCAGTGCGCGCTGGCGCCGAGACACGCGCCCAAACGCCCCCGTCTCCGACGCCGGCGATCAGACATTCGTAATTGCCGGCGACGCTCGCAGATGAAGTGGGCCGACCTCGTCAAGGGCGCGCCCGAGCCGAAGGCTGGGCCTCCACCCCCCGCAGCGCCGAGCGCGACGGCTGAGCAGCCTGCCGACTTCAAGGCGCCGCCAGCAGCAGTTCCGGAGGCCAACGGCGGCAGCCCGCCGCCCGCGGACCCGCGAGAAGACGCCCGTGCGCCCAGCCCCCCGCCCTCCGGTGCCACGCAGGCGCCACCCGGGGCGCCGTCGCCGAGCGGCTCCCCCGGGGGCGCGGGCGGCGCGGACGCGGACGCGGTGCCGGTGAGGACGACGACCGTCGACGCGCCCGCCCCGGAAAAGCCGGCCTGGAGCCGCCCTGCGCTGCCGGCGAGCGTGGAGGCGCTGCCCACGCCCACGCCCGGGGCGTGGCCGTCGCTGGGCGACGCCACCGCCGCGCCCGCGCCGCGCAAGGGCGCCAAGGTGGACAGCCCGACGTCCGCGCCGTCCCCCGGCGCCGACAGACCCAAGAAATCGGGGTCGGGGGGGCGGGGCCGGCTCGCGCAGGCGACGGCGGTCGCGGGCGGCGAGGGGGCGGACAGGGCGGGCGGGGGCGAGGAGAACGGCTCGAGCGGCGGAGGGGACGCTGGAAAGGTGAGCCCACACGGCCCGCGCGCCCGCGCCGCGCCGGCGCAGGTGCTGTCACAGGCCCACACGGCGGGCGCTCCCCGCGCGCGCGCGGCCCGGGCCCGCCCTCGCCGCGCGCCGCGGCCTCGCTGCGCGCGGATCCCGGAGCGCGGCGGCCGACCGCGCGCGCCGCGCCCGCGCGTCGCTGCAGGAGGGGCAGGGGCGGGCCGGCGGGCGGGCGGCTCCGGAGGAAGGGGGACGGCGCGGGCCGCGGGGACGGCGGCGGCGGGCGCGGACGGGGCGCGGGGCGGAAGGGCAAGGGCGGCGCGGCGCAGGCGGGCGCGGTCTCGTCGACGCTGGCCACGTTCACCGCCGCGGCCGTCAACGCCAACGTCGCCTTCGTGCCGGAGATGTACTACTCGCCGGTGGCGCTCGTCGGCGCGGGGAAGGACCAGCAGCAGGTGGAGGACATGAAGGCTACGGTGCGCCAGCAAATAGAGTATTACTTCTCCGAGGGCAACCTGGAGAAGGACCTCTTCCTGCGGGCGCGCATGGCGGACGGCGGGTGGATCCCCGTCGGGCTGCTCGCGAACTTCCGGATGGTCCGCATCCTGACGCCGAACCTGGAGATCATCGCCGACAGCATCGCGTCGTCGCCGCGGCTCGAGCTCTCCCAGGTGCGCAACCGCGTGCGCGCCGGGCCGCGCGTGTCGCGTGCAGCCCCGGGGCTGCGGCGTCGTGGTACCCGAAGCTGTGCTGTTCGTGCCGGCAGGCCCGCCAGCCGGAACCGTGGTGCGTGGAGCGTAGCATCAGTCGTGATTTCTCGTCTGGTGTTGGTCCCGTGTCTGCAGAACAAGATGTACGTGCGCAAGGCCGGCGGCTGGGAGCGCTGGGTCCTCCCGGCCTCGGAGCGCGAAGCCTCCGCGCGGGAGCCCCCGCTGCTGTCCGTCGAGCAGCTGCAGCTCGCCGCGACGGGCGCGGTCATCGCCGCCCCGGGCCCGGTCGCCCTGGCGCCCTCCGCCGCCCCCGCCGCGCCGGCAGCGGCGCCGGAGAGCGACGCGAAGCCCGCTGCGGACGCCGCGCCCGCGGGCCCGGCGCGGGAGCACGCGTCTCCTCTCGGGGCGGCGGCGGCGGGGGGCGGCGCGCGGGACGGCGAGGCGAAGCCGGCGGCCAAGCCTGCGCCGACGGGGGCGTACAAGCCGCCTGGGCGCGTCGCGGCGGAGGCCGAGGCGCAGCGGTTGCGGGAGCTGCACGAGAGTCAGGGCGAGGGCGGGGGTCCCAGCGCGATGACGTCGGTGCGCGAGGGCAGCGAGGGCGACATCAACCTCGAGCACGAGGACCTCTTCGAGCTCGACGAGGACCAGCGCTCCGAGGACCGCGGCCACGACGACGAGTACCTCAGCCGCCTCACCATCGTCACGCCGTCGCGGCGGCAGGACGGCGGGCGCGGCGGGGGCCGCGGCGCGCACCTCTCGCACGACCAGGCGCGCGTGATCTCCGAGGGCATGGCCATCATGGGCGGCGGCCGGCGCCGCTCCAACGCCGGCGGCGCCCACGGCACCTCCCCCGGCAACCCGGTGCTCCCGGGGAGCTCCCCGGTCGCCATGGCGCACGCCGGGCGGCCCCCGCGGCACCACAACAAGGGCGGCGCGCCGATCGCGCGCGGGGGCTTCTTCGGGTCGTCGCTCCCGCGCCACGCCGGCGGGCGCACCCCGATGGGCAGCGTCACGTCGGGCTACGCTCACATGGGCGCGGCGGCCGTCGGGTGGTTCGTGGGGACCCCGCCGAAGGCGAACGAGATCTACGGGTCCTCGCCGACGACCGGGTTCCGGCCGTCGTCGCTCTCGCGGTCGTCGCCGATGACGGGCTCGCCGCGGTCGGCGGCGGGGTCGCTCCCGGTGCCCAAGTTCCAGCACCCGTCGCGCGCGCTGCTCGAGGAGAACGGCTTCCGGCAGATGAAGTACGTGGCGTTCATGAAGCGGTGCCTCGAGGAGCGCGAGCGCCGCGGCCCGGGCCACGCGGAGGACATGAACACGCTGTTCCGCTTCTGGTCGTACTTCCTGCGCGACCACTTCAACCAGCGCATGTACAACGACTTCAAGAAGTACGCCGAGGAGGACGCGGCCGCGGGCGCGTGGTACGGCCTCGAGGCGCTCTTCCGGTTCTTCTCCTACGGCCTCGAGAAGTGCTTCAGCGCCGAGGTCTACCGGGAGTTCGAGAGCTTCTCGCTCAAGTACTACCGCAGCCACAGCTTCCTGTACGGCCTCGAGAAGTTCTGGGCGTACCACCACTACCACGGCCTGCCCAAGGGCTGCGGCGTGGCCATGGACCCCGACCTCAAGCACCTCCTCGACACCGAGTACCGCTCCCTCGACGACTTCAAACGCGCGCAGGAGCGCATCGAACAGCCCAACAAGGACCGGCACTCCCACGCGGGGAAGCGGTCCGTCGCCGCGCACTAGAGGCCGCCGGCCGCGTCGCCGCAACCTCGAACTAACATTAACACGCATGCGACGATCGCGGACGCGCAATTCCCCACCCGTGCCGCAAGCAGCCCCCCGCGAGCTTCGACGCTCTGTACGCCGCGGCCCGCGGCACCCCCGCCAGTTGTGCGCCGGGGGCCCTTCCCCCTGCTTAGCATTTCCGCCCCTCCCTGTCGCCCCGATCGACCGCGACGGCGACGCACCGTGCGCGTCTGCTCCGTCGCCGCCCTCGGGCACGCAACGCACTCCCACGCACTTGCAAACGCGCATCAACCCGGTCCCAGCTGGCGTACCCCCGCCTCTGACGCTGTCAGCCGACAGGCTGCGAGTGTGCCGGGCTAGCGCCCGGCGGCCCCGTTCCTGCGCTTGCGAGCGGGCGGGGCGCAGCGGCGGATCCAGCTCGTATGTAATGGGTTTCAGATCAAACGAGCGTGTCATGCGGGACGACACCACACCCGCATTACGTCTGTTGCGCGGGTGGTCAATGACTTCTTCTGCGGGAGTGATGCTGCGCTCGTGTGGCCCCGAGGTGGGCCGGGCGTGTGCTGTCGGAGGCTGGCGCGGACGCGGGGGGTTGTGTCGTCCAGTGACCGCCTGTCCAAGCCCAGACTCAGTCTGACTGCCAGAGTGTCCGCTCGCCTCATCGGCGTCGTCTGAGCATCCGCACAGGGACTGTCAGTCCTACGATATCGCGTCCGTGTCGCGCGGCGCAAATGAGGCCGGCTGTTGCGCAAGACGCTGCCCTCAACCACCGTCTCCTTTCGAGCCGCGAGGCCCGGGCGTGAGTGAACGATTTCTGCCGCCCGTTGCAGGGAAGTGATGTCGCATCACTGATGCGGCCGGGGGGCACAGGGGAGTAGTGCCAGCCATGGGCTGCGGCGCGTCAGTGCAGGCGGGAGCCTTGCCATTGGAGCCAGCGCACGTGCTGCCGCTTGGGCTTCCTCTCGAGGCGTGGAAGCTCGACGACGTTGTTGCGTGGATATCCAGCTACGAGTTCTCGCCCAAGGTCGCCGCCAGGTGCGCGTGGGCGGCCGCAGCGAAGCCATCACTTGCCTGCACCTGGCACCTCCGGTTCGCGGTCCTCTCTGCACATAGACAACTACGTGTCGCCGTATCGGCACCTGGTCGCTTTGAAGAATGCTGACGCGCGCCCGTACCGCGCGAAGATCCTCGGGCGACCTGCCGTCGCCCACACATGAGCTCCAGGCTCACTGTTACTTCGCTTCGTCCGCAAGAGCACCACAGCAAGGAATTTGCGCGTTCCGGCTGAAGGACCCCGCCCTCGCGCCGCGCAGGGTCACCGACGGCGTTCGCGAGAACGCGGTCAGCGGCGTCGTGATCCGCTCCTTCTACGACGAGGGGCGCGTCGACAGCCTCCTGGACGCCATCAACGCCAGCGGGGAGATCGAGCGCACGGCGCTCCGCCGCGGCATCCGCGAGCAAGTGCGCGACGAGGCCATGCGGCGCCTCCCCGACGTCATGAAGCTCCTCAAGGGCGAGCTCGGCCCCGTGGACGTGCTGCCGACGGCACAGCTGCCCTCCGCCGCGAGCGTCGAGGCTCTGCTGCAGCCGAAGCGGTCGGGCGCGGGCGCGGAGCCCGGGCCGGACGCGGACGGAGAGGCGGACCTGCTGGCCGACCTGCTCGCGAACGGCAACACAGCGGCAATCCAAGTCGCGCTCCCGGACCACGTCGGCGGCGCGCTCGAGGAGAAGGCGGACGGCGGGGTGATGGAGGTGGACGGCGTGCTGGACGCGTACGTCGAGCCGGCGCAGGAGGCGATCGAGGTGGTCGCGGGGGTCGCGGCGGGGTTCCTGGAGGAGGCGGGCCTGACGTCAGACACCCCGACGACGCTCGACGCCGTCCTGGACACCGTGGAGCCCCTCGTGGCGTCCTTCCTCGGCGTCTCGGAGTCCCTGCCGTACGTCCGGCCCGCGGCGGTGCTCATCAAGGAGCTGTACCAGGCCCTGCGGCTCGTCAACGCGTCGAAGCAGGCGTGCGTGGCGTTCACGAGCGTTGTGCGGCAGTGCGTGGAGGTCCTGATCGACGCCAAGGACGCCCTCGACCCGGACCGCCACGGCGAGGTCCTGCGCAGCCTCGAGGAGACGCTGCGGTGCGTGGCGCGGGTTTGCTGCCCCGCCCTCTTCTCGTCTCGAATTGACGGCCGACCGCGCCCTGCAGCGGCCTGCGATCGCGCGTGTGCCGCCGCCGACCCGGGCCGGCTGGCTCTGTGCTGTGCAGGGACTCGATCGACTTCATCAAGCAGTTCGGCGAGTCGGGGTGGTTCTCGAAGCTGTACTTCGGACGCCGGAACATCGGCCAGTTCGAGGAGCTCAGGCACGCGCCATGCTTGCGGCACCCACGCCATGTTGCGCATCTGCTCCCCTCTGCCCGCCGCTTCGATCGGCCCACGTCGCACTCCGCGACGCCTCCACCCTCCCTGATCCGCAGTGCGCGGCTGCTGGACGGCGTGTCGCTCCTGAGCGCGGCGGTGTCCGCCGCCGGCGCCAAGGTGTCGATCGAGGCCAACAACAAGCTGGACCTGCTCCTCCAGCAGGTGCACAGCGGGGCGGTCTTCGGCGACGACGGCGCGGTGCTGCGCAGGGAGGTTGAGCGCCGGGGGGGTCTCGAGGCCGTGATGGGGGACTCGGAGAAGCTCACCGAGGTCACGGCGAGCCTGGGCCTCGATCAGCAGGTCGTGGTCGGGCTCGTGAAGCAGCTCGCCGCGGGGGGCGTGCACGAGCTCATCCGCCACACCGAGATGCGGCTCTTGTGGGGGAAGTACTTCAAGGGGCTGGAGCGCGTGTCGACGGCGTCGTTCGCGGAGGCGCTCAAGCTGTGGGCCGAGGAGGTCCTGGACGACGCGGGGCTCGTGGCGCGCATGTCGGACCCGGCGACCGTGCGTCGGCTGTTCAAGGACGTCGACCTGGACCTCTCCGGGGAGGTGACGGTGGTCGAGGTCAACCGGGCGTTTCCGAGCGACACGCCCCTGCCGGCCATCCTCGCGCAGCTGCTCTCCACGGTCGCGACGATCCCGAGCAACCTCGCCGCGCTGCCGCTCGGATACGTCCACCGCAGCTGCGTCGACCAGATCTGCAGCGTACGACCCCCCCCGCCATGTCGTGCTCGCGGCGTGCTGTCCGTTCTTGGCGACGCGGCCGTCGACGTACCCGTGCACGCGTCGCCCGCGGCACACGCAGGCCATCAGCGAGGGCGCCCAGGTCACGCTGGTCCACGGCGGCAACGGCACCGGCAAGTCCGTGGCGGCGCTGGCGGCGGCGCAGCGCGCACTGCGCTCGCGCTCCCACCTGGCCGGAACCTACGTCTGCGGCCTCAAGGGCGTCGTCGATCTGGCGGGGCTCGTGTCCGTCATCGCCGGCTCGCTCGGCCTGCCCTCCACCAGCAGCCCGGTGGACCTAGCGGTCGCGGCGGACCAGCGGACGGACAACCTGGGCGGCAAGGCGCTGCTCGTGCTCGACAACGCGGACGCGCTGCTGGATCCTGGCCACGCGTCGGGGACCGAGCGCGCCGCCCCCGCTACCGAGCAGGAGGCCAGGGCGGGCGGCGAGGCGCTGCGGTCCGCGCTGAGGAAGCTGGACGCGATCTCGGAGGGGCGCGTGCAGGTCGTGCTGACGTGCCGCGACCCCGCGCTGCTCGGGGAGGGGCTGCGGCCGGGGAAGGAGGTCGAGGTGGGGGAGTTGTCCGAGGTAGAAGTGGAGGGGTTCCTGGCCGGGCTCAGCGCGCAGCAGGCGCGCGTGGCGCGCAAGATGCTCGCGGACTTCGGCCGCCTGCCCGGCACGATGCGGCAGATATCCTCGCTCGTCCGCGGGGCCGCGCCCGCGGCGCTGGCGGGCATGGTCAAGAGCGTCAGCACCGCGGGGCGGCGGAGCGTGCGGCGGGCGCGCGCGGACTCGTCCGCGTCGGCGGAGGAGGCGCTCGCGATGACGCTGCCGGAGAACGACCGCGCGGCGCTCGCGTGTCTATGTGTCTTCCCCGCGTCGTTCGACATGCCGGCGGCGACGGCCGTGGCGCGGGCGGACGGGACGTGCTTGAAGCGGCTCTGCGCGGCCGGGTTCGTCGAGGAGCATGCGGGGCGCTTCGAGGTGCCCGACTCGGTCCGGTTCGCGCTAGCTCCCCGGGGAGCTGTCGAGGCAGAGGTGCGCGGGCGGCTGCTCGAGCACGCGACGGCGGTGCTCCGGCGGTGTACGGAGTGGTACGGCTCGTCGCTGGCGATCTCCGGGCTCGCGCTGTTCGACCGCGAGCGGCTCATGCTGCAGGCCGCGATCACCGCCGCGCCCAGCGACGCGCGGGCCGCGGAGGCGGCAACGCTGATGTCGCAGCTGCTCGAGGCCAAGGGCGAGCACGAGGCCGCGCGGACGCTCCTCGAGCCCGCGATCAACGAAGGCAGGGTTGCGCAGAGCGACCAGGAGAAGGCCCTGGCGCTGCACCAGCTCGGGCGCGTGCTGCTGTTGGGTGGGCGGCGCGAGGAGGCGCGGCCGAAGCTCGAGGAGGCGCTGGCGCTCCTCGGCGGGGACGGTGCGCGCGGGCCCGAGGCGGCGGCGGTGCGGAACTCGCTCGGGCGGCTCTTCCACGAGGCTGGGGACCAGGCAGCAGCCAAGGCGTGTCTGACGGCGGCGCTGGAGGGCCTGCCGGGCGAGGAGGCGCGGGCGTCGGCGGCGATGGCGCAGCACAACCTTGCGAACGTGCTGACCGCGCTCGGGGAGCGCGAGCGCGCGATGGAGCTCCACGAGGCGGCGCTGGCAACGCGGGAAGCCACGCTGGGCGCCGACCATCCGCTGGTGGCTGCGAGCCTCGTTGCGGCGGCGCGGGCGGTCGTGGAGGGCGGGGGCGCGACGTCCGAGGCGCTGGACGAGGCGCTCGGGCGGGCGGAGAGGGCGGTGGGTATAATGGAGCCCCTGACGTCAAGGGAGGACTTGGGGGTGCGACCGCAGTGGGGGAGGTGCTTGGAGGCGCGCGGGGAGGTGCGGGAGGCGCGCAGGGAGTGGGAGCGCGCGGCGGCGGACTTCGCCGCGGCAGCGCGCGTGGCTGAGGCGGCATACGGCGCAGCGGACGCCGAGGCGCTGCGGCTGAGGGCGCGCGGGGAGGAGTGCGGGAAGAAGGCGGCCGGGTGACAGCGCTGGGCGCGACGTGTGAGCCGGTGTCGGAGCGTCGAGGTGTCTCCGCTGGAGCGCGGTGGGCGACGGCGCGCTGGTGCGCAGGTGATGGCTGGTGGCGGAGATGACGCGAGAGGCCGGCGGGGTGCAGGCGCCGAAGCCCGAAGGCCGCACCTCGGCTCGCAGCTCGCGTCTCGTCGCGAGGCGATGTCCACAGTGCACGGGACGTGATTGTGCAACCTAGTGGCTCTGCACTGGGAGGGACGTCGACGCGACGTGCCGAGTCACAGCGCTACCACTGCAGATGCGACGTGCTGAGGTGCCACGGCCCGCCGGCCGTCCGCGCGAGCGTCGCTGGCCCGCGCTGCGTCCCCAGCGCTGCTGGGGTGCTCCAGGCCACCGCGGTGCTCCCCGGCCACGGCGCTAGCGCCGCGGACGTGCTGTAGTACGCCCCCTTCGAGCTGTTCGGGGGGCTCCTCTGCCGCTGCTTGTGCTGCATCGATCGTGGCGGCGACGCAAATGAACCAGGTCAGGGCACGCACGGGAGCCTGCGGGCGCGATCGCCGACGCGGCCACCGTGCTCTTCCGGGCCCGGTCGGCGCGACGAGAGAGTGGCTACGACGCGAAGGGCTCTCGCGTGCTCGGGATGCTCGCGGGAGCGCGGACGAGGGCTGCAAAAGCACCGGCACACACGCACCCTGGGGTTCGCCTTGCAGTAGACATAGAGCCTCCTGCGCCGCCGGACGAAGAAGCACTTCTCGCAGAACTTCTTCAGCGCCACCCGCGTCTTCATCGCCGCCCCCGCGCGCCGCGCCCGCCTCCACAGCACTGGGTTGCTCACACACGCAGGGTGCCCTCCGCTCGGGTTCCGAGGCGCTCGCAGACCGGCCGCAAGCCCACGGGTTCTCCGAGCAGCCCGGGCCTCGCTCGTCCGCCAGATCCCGCGCGACACCGATGCACCGCTGCCCCTGTGTGCACCAACACCGTCCCCGCTGCAGCTCCGCAAGCCTCACCACCGCCGTTCACCGCCCGAAACGACCGACCGCAGCTGCTGCGCCGCCCCGCGCCGCACGCGGGCCCTTGCAGCCCCCACCAGCCGCCGCAATTGCCCCCCCCGCACCTCCACCGCACGCCCCCTCGTGGTCAGGGCGCTCCGTGCGCGGCCCTAGGTCGCTCGCGGGCGGCCGCCCGGGGCACAACCCCGCGCCCTCCCGTCCTGCACACGCTCGCACCGTCAACGCGGAGCCATGCAGTCCGCGCTGCTGCGTGCGCCCTGCGCACTGCCCCGCCGCACGCAGCCCGCCCGGGACCGCAGCGTGGCCGCGGCGAGCCACCGCCGGGGCTTCCAGCGGGCCCGCGCGGAGCCCCTCACCTACAAGGACGCCGGGGTGGACATCGACGCCGGAAACGAGCTCGTCAACCGAATCAAGAAGCTCGCTCCCGCCATCGGGGGCTTCTCCGGACTCTTCCCGTTCGGTGCGTCGCCCGCGCGCCGCGGCCGTCGCAGCGGGCGTTGCTTGGTTCGCGGGGAGGCCGCCGACGCGGGCGGAGCCGGGACCGTCCCGCGCTGGCGCGCTGGCGGTGCCGCGTGAGCCTAGGCCATGGGTCCGCTCCTGGCTGCGCTGGGGCTGCGGTGCTGGGTGCGCTCCGCGCGAGGCTGCGCGTGCGCGGCGGTCCCGGCACGCGGCGGCGACTCGTGTGCGCGAGCGTGTGCGGGGAGCGGCGCCCGCTGCGGGCCAGGCGCGGCGTGGCCGCGGCCCCCCAACGGGCTGGCAGACTTTGCAGCCATCGCGCAATTTCTGCGAATGCGTCGCGTTTACGGCCGAATGGGCCGTGGTACCCGACGGCCGCGTGGCCTTGCATGCCGAAAAGCGGCTCGCGGGCGCGGAGGGCGGCTTCGGCGCCGCGGGACCGTGCCCCAAGCTCCCGGCGAGCCGTGCGGCCCGCCCTCGTGGCGCGCGCGTTTCCGAGGCCCATTGCGCGTTTGGGTCCGCGGGCGCGGTCGAGGCCGATCGGGAGAGCGTCCGATGTCTTTTTCGCGGCGCAGGAGACTCGTATTTGGTCGCTGGTACGGATGGAGTGGGCACGAAGCTCAAGCTAGCTTTTGCGATGAACAAGCACGACACCATCGGACAGGACCTCGTCGCGATGTCCGTGAACGACATCATCGTCACCGGAGCGCGCCCGCTCTTCTTCCTAGACTACTTCGCGACCTCGAAGGTCCGTTGCGGGCCCCTGCGGCCGCACCACCCAGCCCTCGCCCCACGCAGCGCCGCCCCGCCGCGCTCCTGCCGCGCCGCGCCCCCCACGCGCTCTTCTTGCTGCCAGCCACCTCGCGCGACGCCGCACGCCCGCCCCGCGCCGCCAGCGCCCCCACCCTCGGCCAGTCACTCGCGACGCCGCGACGCAGCCGCGGGGTGCCCCTTCGCGCGCCGCGCCCGCCGACCCGCCCGCGCCCGCGCCTCGCCCCGCTCCGCGCAGCTCGACGTCGAGCAGGCCGAGGACGTCATTCGAGGCATCGTGAAGGGCTGTGAGTTGGCCAAGTGCGACCTCATGGGCGGCGAAACGGCCGAGATGCCCGGGTTCTACGAGCCCGGGGAGTACGACCTGTCCGGGTTCGCGGTCGGCGCGGTGAAGAAGGACCGCGTCATCGACGGCACCTCGGTCAAGGTGCGCGAACGACCACGCGTGGCGCCGCGCCCACAGCCGCCGCGACAGCGTCTCCCGCCGCGCCCCGCCCCGAACCGCCCCGTCGTCGGCGCGCCCGCGCGCGCGGCCCTTGCACGCCCTGCGTCCCCCCCAGGCTGCCTGCAACGATGGCAGCAGGAGCCTGACGGCAGCGCGCCCCCGCGCGCGCGGTCCGCAGGTCGGCGACGTCGTGCTCGGCCTGCCCTCGTCCGGCGTGCACTCGAACGGCTTCTCGCTCGTCCGGCGCATCCTCGACCGCGCGGGCGTGCAGCTGTCGGACCCCGCGCCGTGGGGCGGGCAGACCTTCGGCGAGGCGCTCCTGGCGCCGACGATCATCTACGTGGACGACCTCCTGCGCCTGCACGACGAGGTCGGCGTGAAGGCCGCCGCGCACATCACCGGCGAGGGCCACCCGGGCAACATCCCCCGGGTGCTGCCCAAGGGGGTGACGGCGAAGCTGGACAGGGCGTCGTGGACGCCGCCGGCGCTGTTCCGGTGGCTGCAGGAGGCGGGGGACGTGTCGGACCAGGAGATGTTCCGCACGTTCAACATGGGCATCGGGATGGTGCTGGTGATCGACCCAGAGGAGGTGACGCACGCACAGCAGGTGCTGCCGCACGCCAAGGTGGTGGGGCAGATCGTCGAGGGGGACTCGGTGATCATCAGCTGAGCAAGGCGGACCCGCCGCGCCCGCGCACAGAGGGGAGGGAAATAACAACCCCCAGGGCATGCAGTCAGTCAGTCGGAGGTGTATTGTATTGTAACGTGCCACCCGTGTGTGCTGGTGCGGGTGCCGTCGCGGAGAATCATGGCGCTCGTGGCGCCGCGCAACGCCGCTAACCTGCGAGCGACGGCAGCGCAACTCTGGCTGCGCAACTCTGGCTGCATGCCACCTCACAGCGCTGTCGTTGCCCGCGCCCGCCCTTTCTCGGTCTTTCCTGAGTGAGTCTATGACCCTGAGTAGGCACGTTCGCTCGGTTGCACGGTCCCTGCTCCGGTGTGCGCCTCACTCGGGCTTCTCCAGGTCGGGCAGCTCGTCGTCGTCCGAGTCCCCCTCGTCCTGCCCCAGGTCCATCCCCGCCGTCGGGTCCGCCCCCGCCCCGTTCTGCCCCATCTGCGCCATGAGCGCACTCAGGTCCATGCCGCCCGCGCCCCCGCCCGCGCCGCCCGCGCCGCCCGCGCCGCCCATCTGCGCCATCAGCTGGCTCATGTCCATGCCGCCCATCGGGCCGCCGCCGCCCATCGGCCCGCCGCCCCCCATCGGCCCGCCGCCGCCGGCGCCCCACTCCGACATGTCGTTGAACTTGGACATGTCGAAGTCCATCGCGTCGCCCTCCTCGTCGTCCTCGTCCATCCAGCGGTCCCAGTCGCACTTCACCCACGCGGGCGCCTTGCCGCTGCCCTTGATCAGACGCGGCCACCAGCCGTTCTTGTTCGACTCCTTCATCACCACGATCTGCAAGCCGCGGTGCCGCCCGGCCGGGCGCGTGTGTGTGCGTGTGTGTGTGCGCGCAAGACACTCCGTGCGTGACACGAGTTACGACGCGCGCGCAGGGAGAGCACCGTGGCTCGCGGGCGTGCGGGCGCGCCGCCTGGCCGCTGCGGCGGCGACACGTGCGTGCGGTCCGGCGGGCGGCTGTGCGCACCTGCACGTGGCGGTCGGTCCGGTTAACCTTGCCGCCCGCCTCCTCGATCTTCTCCGGGAACTCCATGTCGACGGCGTAGCTCTCACCTGCGCGCGCGTCGCGCGGGCGGAGGCGGCGGGTCAGCCCCGCGGCAGAGCCGGCACGACGTGCGTGTTAGGGGTGCTCAGCGGTCGCGAGCGCAGGATAGCACGCGTGGTAACGCAGGGGGCCGAGTGCCAAGTGATATGATACGAGATTGGTGGGGAGCTGAAGGCGCTGTTGAGGGCCGGGAGCGCTGTGGCGAGCTCGGGGTGCCGCAGTTGCCCTGGGATGCTGCGTTGGCGCTGCTGCGGGCACCCCCGCGGGCTCCCTATGGCGGCCAGGGAGCGTGAGTTGAGCAGGAAAGCGCCTGGCGGTCAGGCGACGTGAGTGCGTCGCGGCAGCGCGCACACGCGGACGGCGCGCCAAGGCCGCAGTGCGCTGCCGCGGGGGCGGCAACGCGCCGGGCCGTGCCATAAGAGCGAGATCGTGCGGCGGCGCGTGTTCCCCAGCCAATGGGCTGTGGAGCGCGGTCGATTCCAGCGCCAGAAGGCCGCGCCACGATACGGTGGACCGCAGTCACTAGGCAGGGTGACCTCAACGGGCCGTTGCCCAACAGAGGTCCTGCGCGCGGATATCTTAGGTTTCCGGGATGCCCAAGGGCGCGCGTACGGCGTGTCGGAGGCAGCGGGGGCAGCGGAAGGCGCGGTGCGCGCAGGGCCAGCGCGCGGCGCCGCCTCCCCCACGGCCGGCAGCGGAACCTTCACCGCGCCGCGCCGCGTGGGGCGCACCGGGTCGCTCCAGCCCCACGCATGGCTTCCCGTCACGCGGGTGTAATTCCAAAGGGATCTGGGGGCGGAACAGACCGTGCGCCGCGCCAGGGCGCCGCGCGCGACGGCGAGGGAGGCGGGCGCGCACCTTTCCCCGTGGTGCACGAAAAGGAGAGTTTGCCGTGGTCGCCCTCGTTGGTCATCTTGATGGTGGGCTCCTTGCAGTCCTGCACGTCGACCGTCAGGAGCACGCGGTCGTCGCGCTGCGCCCACATCACCGTCGGCGTCTTGCTCATGGTGCCGCCCTTGCTATGTGCCGGCCGCTCCGTGCGCGTGTCCGCTACGTGTCCGAGGCAGATCCAACGAGCTCGTCTGCGGGGCCCGCGGAGAGCGCCGAGCCGGTGTGCCCCTGCGCGGCCCGAGCGTCGCAGATGGTCGGACGCTGACGCGGGGCAGTCACATGACGCAATTCAACAATCAGACCCGGCGTGCTCGGGCGCGGCCTCGCACCAGCAAGCGGGTCACGGAAACGATGATGTCGTGGGCATGCTCCGCGGCGACGTCCACCCGAAGCGCGGAACACCGTCGAGCGCGTGGGCCAAGACTGCGACGCGGCGACCGGGTGAAGGTGTGCACGCGCAGCGTGTGCGAGGACTGGCACGGCGGGCTCATCGCCGGCCCGCTGGTCGCACCAGAGCGTCCATCTCCCCGCGGGCTAGTTGGGGCTGCCGTCAACCAACGCAGTGCACTACGGAGTACACGCTGCTGCCGATGCTCGGGCGGAGCGCGTGCGGCGGCCGTAGGCGGCGCGGTGATCGTCGACGCGATTCGCCGCGCGCCGCGGAGGCTCGGCAACGACCGAGGCCCTGCCCCGGCCGTGCGCGTGCGCCCATGCGCGGTCAGCCGCAGCGCGCGTCCTGGTGCGCGCAGCAACGCCGCGAACCCCTCCCGTAGACGCCCGCCCAGCGCGGCACGCGAGTCCGGAAGCGAAGGCGTCGTCACATCGTGTACGTGCACCTGACGGTGCACCGGTGGCCAAAGACAAGAAAGCCGCGCAGGACGCACGCGCCGCGGCAACATCGCACCGCGCCGCCACGCGCGCGGGGCCGCGCTGCGCGATGCGCACAGCGCGCGCCCGCGCCCGCGCACGTGGCCTGCTCGGCTCCGTGTGGGGCTGGATGCCCACGTGGGGTGATCTATGTAGCAAGTTGGTGGCGGCAAGTTGGTTCGAGCGCCCGCCGACGTGCCGGGGCCGCATTCGTAGTGCTTTTGCACCGCCGGGGCGCGAGCGCCGGTTTACGCGGCCTGGCCGCCGGCAGCGGCGTCGTGCATGGTTTCGGACAGCAGGCCTGCGACCTCCTGCTCCTTGGACTCGAGCGCGCGGACCATCCGGATCGCCTGCGTGTACACAGCGTGGAGAGCGCGCTGCGGGGTCGCGGCGACGAGCGGGCGGGGTGTCGGTCGCGCTGTGCGGGCAGAGGCTGCGGGGCGGCGCTCACCGTCTCTGCGATCCGCGCGACCCTCCGGTCCGCCTCGATCGCGGCGCTGCTCGTCGCTGCGACGAGCCCGGAGTCGAGGAGGGCGGTGGACTCCTCAATGGCCGCGTCCAGGTCCTTGAACACGCGGTCGACACTGCTGCTCAGGAGCTCCAGCTGGGCTTCCGGGGCGAGGCCTGCGGGCGGGGCGCGGCGGCCGGACGACGCGGCGTCAGACAGGGCGAGGGACCCCTCCCGCGGGCGCGCGCGTGCCGCGGGGCCGGGGCGGGCGCGCACCTGCCGAGTCAAGGCGCTCAGCGAGTTCGCGCATGACGCCGTCGTCGGTCGCCGGGAGCGCCGCGGCGGACAGGATGTCGTCGGGGCGGAGCGAGTGCGTCGCCGCGGCGGCCGCGACGGCCACCTCGCGCACGCGCAGCTCCACGCCGCGCGACGACCGGTCCCACTGGTCCTGCACCACGATGCGCTCGATCTCCTGCGGCGCGACTTCCTGCGGGGCGCGCGCGGGGGACGCGTGGTGGGCGCGGGCGCCCGGAAATCGCGGCGGAACCGGCGAGGTGCGCGCGGTGCGCGCGGGGTGCGGCGGTCCTTGCCCCTGGGTGAAAAGCCCCAGGGCAGCTGGCGGACGCGGCGGCTCGCGCCGCATTGCGCCCCGCCGGGCCGCGGGCGGCCCACCGGGCGCTCCGTGAGCGCGGGAACGCGCGAAACGCGCCGGTCGAGCGTGCGCCGGCCGCGCTCCGCCTCGGTCCACCTGGCCAGGGCGTCCAGCGCGCCACGCGGCCCGGGCAGCCATATGCGCGCCGAACGCGCGCCCGCGCGCGCGCGCCGCGCGGGGCCCCTCACCTCCTGCGGGATCTCGATGATCATGTTGTCCCCGGGCTGCCAGAGCACCCACGCGGGGCTGTCCCCGCTGCTCACCACCACGTATTTGTACTCCACCTCCCCGGGCGCCAACGGGGCCTCCCCGCGCCAGATGTGGCCGTCCGTCCAGGTCATCGACAGCGCCCTCGTCACGTCCCACTGCCCGAGCTGCTCCGCCGAGCCCACCATGCGCACCTCCTGCCCAAACGAGGTGCAGTACGGGATGGCGAATTCGACCGTGAGCGGGCCCGCCTGGACCGCGGCGGTGGCCTGCATCGCGCGGGGGGCGACGGAGGACCCCCGCGGACGCAGGCCGCGGGCGCCGGGCGCGCTCTGCGCGGCGCTGCGGCCCACGGCTAGGCTGCCCGCCCGGGGCTCCTGGCACGTCCCGGGGGCGCGGCGGGGGGGCATGGTGGCGGCTGCGCGCTGCCGGGGGCCGCAGCAGGGGACGGCCAGGGACGACGTGGCGCCGGAGGCGACGAAGCGGCGCGCCATTGAAGACCGTGCCGCGAGGGTGCGGGGCAGCAGGGAGGGCGAGGGGACCGATGCCGTGCGGATGCGTCCGCCGCTGAACCGATCGCACGCGCGCCGATGTCGGTAGAGGGTAATTCGGGCGACCCATCCGCGGCGCGCGGCGATCAAGCGCGCCCGCACGGCGCCACACGCGCGCTGCGCTCTGGAGCCCCCCGCTCTGCTGACTCAGGAGGCCGCGCCCCCGGGGGGTGGTCGCGCTCGGGGGCGCCCGCGCACCGCCGGCGCCCAGCCACACCGCCCGCGGCCCGCCGCGGCCCCTCGCTGCCGGCTCTACCGCGCAGACGGGCACGCGCGCACCACCATGGCGTGTGATTTCACCTGCCCTGCAGTGCGCACACGTGGCGCGCAGCACGCGGCGGAGCGGACGCGCGGGGCGCTCGGGCGGGTCCCGACGCTCGACGGCCACGCGCCGGCGCCCGCAGGCAGCACGCGCACGGCGCGCAGCGGACGGGGAGCCGCGCGGAGGGTGCGGGCGACGACAAATGGGGGTGGCAGTCATCCGTGGCGAACAGAGGTGCGTGCGACGCGCGTGCGCTGTTCGGATCGATTCACAGCATGCATGGGGGACTGCGGGGCGCCCGCGCGCCGCGATCACGCGCCCGCGGCGTCTCGAACGTCCCCGAATGTCTGCGCGTCGCGCGCCCTGCAGCGTCGGGCGGCCCTTGAGATCGGAGCAGTCTCAGGTCGCCGCGGCTGAGCTCCTGCCCGACGCCGCTGTACGGGCTCGGCGGCGTCGTCCGGGAGCGCTCGAGGGCTGCCTGGTCCCGTGCCACTGGTGCTTTGACTCAGTGCGTGGGCGAGCGGGAGCGGGAGCGGGAGCGGGAGCGCGACGCGGACGGCGCAGGCGACTTGCCGGCCGGGGACGCGGACCTGCGGAGCACACGTGCGGGAGCGCGTGTGAGCACCACCAAGCGTCGCTGGAGCCACGCAGCGCCGCTGCCGGCTTGCGACTACAATCTGGGAGAATCGCTGCCGCGCGAGCGGCCGGGCGGCCTCGTCATCGTGATGTGCGTCGCGATCGGTGCAATGTGCGGCGCAAGTCGCCCCGATCGGGCGCGGACCTCTTGCGCTGCTCGGCCACGGCGTCCGCGTCCGTGAACCGCCACCCGAAGTGGCCGAAGTCGTCCTCGTTGGCCCACAGCACCTCCCAGCGGCGTCCGTCGAGCTTCGTGTCGTGCGCCTTGCGGTACGCGTACTCGGCGTCGGAGCTCCTGCAGCCAGAGAATGAGGGCGCGGCAGGGAACGGTGATGGCACATTGCGGCGAAACCGCGCGGCGAACAGCCTTGGATAGCAGTGGGTTCGCCCTGAGTCCGGCAGAATGACGCGTCGAGGCTCGCGGGAGCGCGGAGGCGCAGGGCGCGCAAGGCCAGTGCAGCGCCGGGCGCCGTTCGCGGGTGTACGGCGCAAGTTTCGGCGTTTAAAGCCGCCAGTGGCCCATTTGCTGAAAAAGCGGTCGTGGTACGCGCAAGGCGGGGCGTGCAGGGGTCGCACGACAGCATGCCTCCGGTCGAAGCCGACGTCTCGCCGCTCTCAGCCTCCGAGCCCCGCTTCGTCTTGCGCTTCGTCTTCCCATCTGAGTGGCGGCCATCGACAAAAGCAATGAGCCAACAGCGCGCCCGCGAGGGCAGCGGACGAGAACGCGCGGGCGCGCAGCCCGAAGCTGCTAGAGGCCTGGTCGCCCCGCACCACATAGGACCGCCGCTTACCTCTCGAACTCCACCAAGCACTCGCGGTACTTGTCGTCCTTCGCGCAGGCCCGCACAGGCCCGTAGTACGCCATCTCCTCCTTCACGTCCTTACGGCGCGTCATGCTGCTGACATTGCGCACCAGCAGCGTGTACTTGGCCTGGCGGGGACCGTTCGTGGGGCTCATCGCGACTCAACTACCTCGTTTGCTACGCAGCTCGCTCAACTGCGCCGCAACGCGCGCCACGAAGGCCCATGGCGCGGCAGCGGTGGTGTGGCAGCACAACCCCCCCGGTCTTGCCGTCTGACAACGTCTCAACCTCGATCTACGAGGTCAAAGTCGCCCGCTCTACGAGGGCGGCTCACGATGTGCTCCACCACGCCTTCCCCGGGTCCTCGGGGTCCATGAATCCGGTGCGTCCCGGTCTCCGGGCTGTGATTGAGTCGAGTGTGGATCACTTCGTGGGCCGCCCGTATCGCGATGGTCAGCGCGGCCGCGCTGCAGCAGCCCGAGGGCACCGTGACGGAAAAGGGGGGTGCTTGGCATGGATGTCATGGGCCACGATCGTGTGCAAGTTCATAGCGTCGTTCATGTCGCTGGAGTGTGCCCGCGGACCCCGGCAGGCACCCGCAATGAAGCCGGGCGGGGGGCACTGTGAGACGCACCGTGAAATGACCCTGACCCCCCCTGTGCATTTCACGGCCCGTTTCAGGGTCCCCCGCTCAGTTTCGGGTCCAAGCATGGAGTCTTTGCCGCCACACGTCCTGGCGACCATCTTCAGCAAGCTTGGGCGACGTGCAGGCAGGGCGAGCATGGCAGCGGTGTCCTCGCACTTCGCCGCGGCCGTCCTGGTTCACGCTCACAGTACCTTTCGTGTCGAGAAGCAATGCGAGGCATACAGCCGACTCCGCCGAGTGCGGGCTCGGTCGTGCTGGAGGA